CATCCTGGTACAGAACAATTGCTGGGCGGCGACAAATCGAGCAACTGTGGGAAGAATGTCCATTCCTCCATCAAGTCGAGGTCCTTTGATCAAACAATCTCTCTAAGAAAGTGCTAAGACGTAAATTTACCAGTTATTGGAGGAAAATGCGTTCGAAGCGGTGGAAAGAGAAACACCGGGTTGACCTTCCACACGAAAGGAAGTCAGCATCCTAATTTGGCTATCTGGTATTCTGTATCGCGGTATAAGTGAGAGAGCTTGCAAGAGTCCTGAGTTCTATATTTATCAACGCATCTAGGCATCTAGCAAGACTGGAAACACATGGCAATGGAAGCAGAAAGAGCAAGAGTTGCTCCTCTATTAATACATCGGTGCCTCTAGTCATGACGGCATAAGAAGCACTACCTTATACCTGACATCCAATGTGTCAGCCAGTCTGCCTTTTCTTCAACAGCCATCACTCTTCGCGTCAAAAGCACATTTTCAATCGAGTTCTTGAACTTACTATCTCAACTCTTATCCACCAATATCATGTCTCTCTCAAGGTACTTTTAAGAAGCCCACCAGCCTTGGTCACATTTTCTTCTACGTCTCCAGATTCTGTATGGAGAAAAATGGACCTTTTCCCACTTGCGCTCTTCCCCTCACTGAGGACCTGCTAGCCGCTCAGTAGCGCAGAACAACAGCCTGCCATCCTCGTCCAAGGCAATGGCCTGAGAATCGTCTCACTGCAAACACGGGGAAAAAGCAGGATCCCGTCTCCGCGATACAAGCAAGGTACGGCCGACATGTAGCATCTGTACACACCATCGCATACTGATCGTCACCACGTGTCGTGTAACGAGCAAGTCCAGAGCTGAGGTGCGGCCGTACCAATCACTGCAGGTACCTGCCCAGGCAGGTGGGGTTTGCTGGTGCCAGTTGTTGGGCGCCAGTTGCCTGTTCGACCACTCGATGACGACCATGTTCCAGGCTAGCCCCAGGAACAGTGCCGCGGTACCCCAGCAGGAAGCAGCCTGGACAGCACCTTACCTTAAGCTTTGCGCCTTCAAGTTGTCACTTCATGTTCTTTCATCCTCTTCGTCCCCCATCTCTTGCAACCTCAGTCAGACCTGGGACTCCGCCTCTCGCGACGCTCATCGCCATGGCGCCTCTCAGCTGCCGCGGCCTGCTTGTCGGCATTGTCGCGGTGATGCCGTCGCTGGCCGCCGCCTATGCCAACACAAGCTCCAGCTATAACGTCGATGCGCTGCGGGCGCAGTTCGCGCTCATGGACGACCGTCCCAAGGACTGTCCGCCTTGGTAAGACACGAGAGCGATGCATCGCATCACGGCTCTTCAATGATATTGCTGCTGACAATATACGACTTGAAATAGCTTCAACTGCCTCCTGCCCGCCCACACCTGCGCCCAGTACGCAGGCTGCAACGAGTACAACGGCAAATGCGACTGTCCCGATGGTTTCGGCGGTGACGATTGTCTCGAGCCATGTACGTCCACATCGCCAACTCCATGCTATCAGGCCAGCGCTCAGCATTGCCCTGATATCGCGCGCACACATGAAAATCTTGCTAACAGCAATTTCTTTCTCATCTAGTGTGCGGCTCTCTTGCCCGCGGCAAGGACCGGCCGATGCGCTCAAGCTCGTCCTGCGAATGCGATGAAGGCTGGACCGGTATCAACTGCAACGTCTGCACAACGAACCAAGCCTGCAATGCTCTGATGGAGACGGGAAGCGGCGGTGTCTGCTACCAGAACGGCGAGCTCGTCAAGTACAATAACCAGGTCTGCAAAGTCACCAACAAGAAAATCACCGATCTGCTTGGAAGGCAAAAACCTCAAGTCACATTCACTTGTAAGGAGGAGGATGCGACTTGCGATTTTCAATGTCAGTTTCCCCTACCGCCTGCTTCTGTTCCATATGATACTAACTGCTCTCCTTAGTCTGGGTCGACGAGATCGAGTCCTTCTACTGCCACCTGTCCGATTGCACGTCTGGTGCCCAGTATACCAACGACAAGAACACGACTGCGTACAAATGCGACCACATCAGCTGCAGCTGCATCCCTGGCCGCATGATGTGCGGCAAAGATGGCTCGCTCGACCTCACCGACTTCTTGGACCAAGCGATCAAAGGCCCCGGCCGCTTCGAATGCTCCCAGAAGGGCGGCGGTGCTCATGACTGTGCCTTCAAAGAACCCGAAATGGACAATCTCATCGTCAGCTTGATTGGAGACTCTAGTATCCTTCTGGACTGCCAAGCGGGTGAATGCTTATACGAGACCGAGGTGCCAGGCTATCATCGCCCCGTCAAGCAGATCAACACTCCTCTCATTGCCGGCGTGATCGGCGGATGTGCGCTATTCCTAGCTGCAGTCATTATTGGAACATGGTATCTGTCCCGCCGAAGGCTGCATTATGGCGCGATTCGTCTGGAGGATTCCGACGACGAGAGCACCAAGCTCATGGTCGATCACAAGCCGGCTGCCCTCTACTTTCAGAATGTCACGTATACCCTTAATGGCAAGCAAATCTTGTCTGGGATCCAAGGCATCTGCCAACCGGGCGAAGTCACTGCCATTATGGGTCCCTCGGGCGCTGGTAAGACGACATTCCTGGATATTCTCGCCCGAAAAAACAAGCGCGGCCATGTCAGCGGAGATTTTTACGTCAATGGCGAAAAGGTCAACGACGCCGAATACAAGAACGTGGTGGGATTTGTTGACCAAGAAGACACCATGCTGCCTACGCTCACCGTGCACGAGACGATCCTCAACAGCGCCCTTCTGAGACTTCCCCGAGACATGGGCCGCGCGGCCAAGGAACAGAGAGTCACCGAGGTCGAAAAAGAGCTGGGCATCTACCACATTCGAGACTCCCTTATCGGCTCTGAAGAAGGAAACGGCCGTGGAATCTCAGGCGGAGAGAAGCGGCGGGTTGGAATTGCTTGCGAGCTCGTCACCAGCCCCTCAATCCTCTTCCTCGATGAACCGACCAGTGGACTGGACGCCTATAATGCCTACAACGTGGTCGAATGCCTCGTCACAATGGCCAAGAACTACAAGCGAACCGTCATCTTTACCATCCACCAACCTCGCTCCAATATTGTCGCTCTCTTCGACAGGCTGATCCTGTTGGCCCAGGGCAAACTGGTATACTCTGGACTCTTTTCCCAATGCCAGCCATACTTCGATGACATTGGCTACGAGTGTCCCCCGGGCTTCAACATTGCCGACTACCTCGTGGACCTGACTATGCATGCGAGCAGCACGCAGAGTATGGATGACGGCGGCCTTGTTCCCGACGCTGGAAGCATCGGTCCTAGCAGTACGCGGGCTGTCAAGTCCATTGCGAGCGCCTCTCTTGCAAGCGCGGGTGAGGCGAGCGCCGAGCCCTCCTTGCGGCCCAAGAACCGCCGACGTGACTCTGTCAGGCTTCGACAAGAACGGGAGCTCTTCACGCGCAGAAAGCAGACTGATACTGCTGCCTCTTCCGATGCTGGTGGTGACGATCGAGACGGTTATCGGCTGCAGAACAACCCCACCAGCTCCCTGCCTAGCCAACAGCTGGACGACCCTCACGATCTACCTCCTCCGGCCATGACTGGAACAGACCTTGACATCATCACGCGCTCCTTCAGCAAGTCGTATATCGCGGCCTCCATTCGGGAAGACATTCAACAGGTAATCAGGGAAGCCGATGCTGCAAACGGATCCAACTCAAACGGATATGCTCCCAACGGGCCAAACATTTATACCAGCGCTGTTGGAAAGGGATACGCTCGGGTTGGATATCTGCGCCAATTCATCATCATTTCTGGACGAACCTGGAAGAACCTGTACAGAAACCCAATGCTCATGCTCACGCACTACGCGATTGCCATTATTCTGGCAGTGTTCTCCGGATATCTGTTCTATGGCCTTACCGATGATATTCCCGGTTTCCAAAACCGGCTGGGATTGTTCTTCTTCCTCCTAGCTCTCTTTGGCTTTAGCACTCTCACCAGTCTCAACGTATTTGCCAGCGAGCGCCTTCTCTTTACGCGTGAAAGAGCGAATGGCTACTATTCTCCCGCCACCTACTTCGCTGCCAAGGTGTTGTTCGACATTATTCCCCTGAGAATCATTCCCCCGATCCTCATGGGGTCCATCATCTACCCGATGACAGGCTTGGTGCCGGATGCAGCACACTTCTTCAAGTTCATGCTCGTCCTGGTCCTGTTCAACTTGGCGGCGGCAGCCATCTGCTTGTTCATCGGCATCGTTTGCAAAGACGGCGGAGTGGCCAACCTGATTGGCAGCTTGGTGATGCTGTTCAGTCTCCTTTTCGCCGGTTTCCTCCTCAACCACGACGCCACGCCAAAGGGCGCTTTGTGGCTCCAGACACTGTCCATCTTCCACTACGGCTTCGAGTCGCTCATTGTCAACGAGGTTTTGGAACTCACTCTGGTAGACAAGAAGTACGGACTCGACATCACCGTCCCCGGAGCGGCGATTCTCAGCTCCTTTGGATTCCAGAATGCCGCCCTTTGGTCGGACATTAGGAACCTGGGCATCTTCGCCGCCGCCTTCATCGTCCTCGCCTATGCCGCGATGCACATTTTGCTTGTCGAGAAGCGATAGATTAGCACCCTAGACTCTATCCGAACATCAAGAACCACCTTTCTTCTGTGCAGGTTCCGGCATGTACATACCGACCGACCTTTTACTTGTGCTAGGCGAACCTCCTTGGGCATTTACACAATTGGCGTTGATGGAGCACGATCTGACCCTTTGAAGTGTATTTTCTGACTTGTTGGCTACTGATTCTTTGAGCACAAGTTGTAGTGATTGGTTGAGGTGGGCCTAATAAACACATGGTTGCCTCCCACTTCACAGGTTGAGAGGATTCCCTGGCTTGAAGATCGTGAAACGTGACTCTGAATGTTCCAACAAGTGGTTACTGATATAATACATGTAGTTACAGGTGCATGATATTCTACATTGTGCAAGCCTATACCCTTACTCCATTTTGCCTCCCGTAAACTCCTCCGCGATCCTCTTTTGCCGCTTAACAGAGTGATCATACTCTGACTCGTAGTAGTCCATGAGCTTGGTCGACTTTCCAGTGGTGGTCTCCAGCATATCCGCAATAGAAGGAGGCCTGCCGTAGACGCCCCAGGCGTTCTCCGTCGTGCCGTACAGCTGGAAGGCCTGGCTCTGTTTCCTAAAGTAGTCTTCGCTGAAGATTTCGTCAATCTCGGCCTTGAGCTCGCTCTCGTGGACGATGAAGTTGGAGGCGTTGATGTACAGCTCCATGAGGGCATCCCGCCGGGCCTCGTATTTGGCCGTTTCCTTGGCCTGGACCTTGGCCCGGCTGCGCTGCGCGCGGGCGAAGCGGTCCGGGTCGGGGTATACTTTTGTGTCGAGGATGGCGTCGAGGACGGTGCTCCGGGTGAGGCGGTCGTCTTCCCGCTCCGGGGCGGCAGCGGCCTCGTTGTTCTCTCTGAATTTACGGCTGACGCGGGCGTTTCTGGCGGCGTCGCTCCTCTCGCGGCGCCTGTAGAGGGCCTTGAGACCCTGTTCCAGGTTGGCCCGTCGGGTCTCTGCCATCTCGCGCTTCCATCTCTGGGACTCGTTGGACGGCTCGCGCTCGTGGGGGGATCTGGGCGCCGTCTGCTGGATGTACTCGGGCCGGACCTTGCGGTCGCCCTCGGACCGGGGGAAGACCTGTCGCGGGACGGGCAGCGAGCCTCTTACCCGCGGCGGCTTGGCTTCGTCGGTCTGGGACTGGGGAGGCGAGGGGAGGCGGATGTAGGAGGGGGACTGAGGCGGGACGGCGTTGGAGAGGATGGCGGGGGTTGTTGAGAAGGATCGCGAGGCGGAGGCCAATTGGCGGGCTGCTGGCCTAAGGCAGCCGCTTGCCGGATGAAACGACATTGCGACTGGATAGGGGGAGGGTTGGGGGACCGGGCAGCTCTTCTGTTGCTGCTCGTCCGCTGAAGCTTCACGACGTTCCCTCGTTGTGATGTCGGCTTACAGAAAACGAAAATTGCCAAACCCGCAGAGGTGCCCCGGATTATTGCGCTCCGACCTTCCGACTGACCCCTGTCTTGTGCTTACATAAAACAAGATGAGAACCAGCCATCGCCTGCAGAAAATGTGTGGGCTAGTGGGGTCCCTCTCCAAAGAAACACGAGAAAAAAAAAAAAAAAAAAGTTTCGTGATAAGAAGCAGCCCCCAACTTTTTCTCCTCTGCTTTGTTTCTTCTTTCGCTTCTTCCCAAGATCTTTGTGTGCTTGCCCACCAGCAGGCTCCAAAACTTCACCATGGGTACTGGGAAGAAGGAAGCAGCCCGGCGCACGCGCCAGGGCAAGACTGGCGATGGCATGGGCAATGTCCGTGTCAAGGGCGAGAACTTTTATCGGTATGTGCTTGCAGCCTTTGTGTGCTCTGTGGACGAAGAGTTTTTCCCTTGCTTGAAGGCATGCTGACAGAGATGCCTACAGCGATGCGAAAAAGGTCAAGCTTGTCAACATGTACAAGGACGGCAGGGCCCAGAGAGACGCGGACGGGAAGATCACAAAGGCTGCCAGCTACCAGTCCAGAGACATCCCCAATGCCCGGATCGAGCCGAACCGCAAGTGGTTCACCAACACTCGTGTCGTCTCTCAGGATACCCTGACCGCCTTCCGTGAGGCCATGGCTGAAAAGGCCAAGGACCCTTACCAGGTCCTCCTCAAGTCCAACAAGCTCCCCATGAGCCTTATCCACGACGGAGGCAAGGACACCACCAATGGCATCAAGCAGCACAAGGCCAAGATGACCATTGAGACGTCGCCCTTTGCCGGTGTCTTTGGACCCAAGGCTCAGCGCAAGCGTGTCAAGCTCGGCGTCAGCACCGTGGCTGATCTTGCCGACGATACTGAGAAGAGCATGGATACCTACGAGGAGCGGATGGAGCAGAACAAGTTGCTGAGTGGAAACTCCGGCAATGACGGCGAGGCCGAGTCGCTCACCATGGCCATCGAACCCGTCTTCGACAAGGGCCAGAGCAAGCGTATCTGGAACGAGCTGTACAAGGTCATTGACTCTTCCGATGTCATCATCCACGTGCTTGATGCCCGAGACCCCGTCGGAACTCGTTGCAGGAGCGTTGAAAAGTATCTCAAGGAGGAGGCGCCTCACAAGCACTTGATCTTTGTGCTCAACAAGTGTGATCTGGTACCAACCAGCGTTGCTGTAAGTCATCTGCTCTCTTTGGATTCTTCCCGTTCAATCATCTTGCCTCCCCGACCTTGGCCTTGGGCCCCCAATGAATCCTGTCAGGACACCTTACATACTCTCCGTGGAGGACCGTCTGTTACAACATTGGGAGAACGATTGCTATCTCGACTGTCTGCAGCTTCGGCTGCAGGCTGATGGGTGCCGTTTTGGTTACCCATCAAGAGACGGCTGTGCGTCTGATGAGTTGAAGCCTTCCCTCGCCCTCGCGGGCATCCAAAGGAGCTTCTTAGTGATGACACACACATTTCTTCGTGACTGTTCATTTTCATTCTTCATCCTGATCTCACTCTTGAACATCTCTTCTAACATGAGAAAAGGCTGCGTGGGTACGACACCTATCCAAAGAATACCCCACACTTGCGTTCCATGCAAGCATCAACAACTCTTTCGGCAAAGGATCTTTGATCCAGCTGCTGCGTCAATTCTCTGCTCTCCACACAGATAGAAAGCAAATCTCCGTCGGCTTGATTGGCGGTCCCAACACTGGAAAGTCTTCCATCATCAACACTCTGTCCAAGAAGAAGGTGTGCACCGTGGCGCCCATTCCTGGCGAGACCAAGGTGTGGCAGTACGTCAGTCTCATGAAGCGCATCTACCTCATCGACTGCCCTGGTATTGTGCCTCCCTCAAGCACAGACACGCCGACCGATCTCGTTCTGCGAGGTGTTGTGCGAGTCGAGAAGGTGGAGCACCCTGAGCAGTATATTGACGCCCTCTTGAGCCGCGTCAAGCAGCACCACATGGAAAAGACATATGACGTCAAGGGTTGGAAGAACGCAACTGAGCTTCTTGAGCTCCTTGCTCGCAAAGCCGGTCGTCTCCTTCGCGGTGGAGAGCCTGATCTGGACGGCGTGGCCAAGATGATGCTGAATGATTTCATGAGAGGCAGAATTCCCTGGTACACCCCCCCTCCCAAGTCGACTGAGGAGGGCGAAGAGGGAAGTGGCAACGTCAATGGCCGCGGAGGCAGGCTTGGTGAGATGCCTCGGAAGCGACCTGCTTCCGAGACATTGGATGATGCCGCAGAAGCCGAAGCCGAAGTTCCTGCCGGCAAGGCGGACGACGAGGAGTCATCGGATCACAACGATTTCGAGGAATTCGCTAGCGGCACTGAAGAAGCTCTGTCCAGGAAGGCTTCCTTTGGTGCTACCAGTGGAGCGCAGAGCGATGACGAGAGCAACTCGGACGACGTTGGCGACGAAGGCGATGCTGCCGTTGCCCAAATCCCAGCTAATGCTGGTCGGCCGAACAAGAGACAGCGACGTTGAAGAGGATGATGGGCATTGCACCTGTCTACATCCGGCTGGGCGCCGCCATCTGTCTGTCTGTGTCTCTGTGCGTGTACCGTGCCCACCCAACATGGGGGCCCGTGAAAGAAGAGACGTTAGCTTGGCGTCACGGCAACAATAACTGAGACATGCTGTTTGCTAGAGGCAACGCATCTCAGAGACATCCCACCTAGTGCAGCACCCAAAGACCCGTGATGTCCGGGCTACTGATATACATCAGTGATATCGGTATTGGCTGGTAAGAGCCCTTGGTCGCCCACGCTCTCGATGAGACTTGAGGAGGTGGCCATTGAGTGGCTCTGCCATGTGCCTCATGGAGTCTGGCGCAGAAATACACGACTGTTTGGTACTAGATATTGTGCATACAGTTGCCGGAGGGCAGGGATTCAGGCGACGTGTGTTGCCTCTGCATCGCAGCACGATATTGGAGATTCTCGTCACCGCTCTTGTGAGGCTGATCGATCGCGTGTATCGTCGCCCCAGCCTGGTACCAGAAGTTAGCCGATGCACAAGCATACCCAAGGCTCCTGGAATTCGGCAAGTTGCCGTGAAGGCATTGTCGAGGCAGGAATGAAGTCGCATGAATATGCCGGTCGGCCACGAAGAGGTCAACTTGGTGAGACTAGAAGATAGAAATACCCATGACAATGGCCAAGCTTGGTCAAGTCGGAATAATACAATTACATTATATCATGTGTGCTACTTTCTTCTCTAAGGCAATGCCGTGACTGTAGACTTGCATTTCCTTCTTCGTTCTAATGGTCGTGTTGCATGGCATTGACGAATTTTTAGATATATTGAAGGGTGCATGCAGGCCAGGTCGTTTCCCGTCTCACATGCAGTGCGAAGTAAATTGACTCGCACAACAGATGCTTCTTGTTGTTGCTCAATCGAGCCACTTGATGGAGAAGCACTCTGTATTGAATGGCTGGAGGAGCCTTGATATGTAGTAGCTACAGCAGCTCACTCAAGATCAAGGTTGAACGAGATGCTGTCCGACTTTCCCGTCTAGGGTCGTTGGCCATCAATACGAGCTTTTGCCCTCTCTTTGGTGAGATCTGCATGTTCTTGCGTAGTGTAATCATGGAGTCTGCGTGTCTTGAGTTGTGTAATTGTAATACTCGCCTTGGATCAAGTGCCAGTTCAGCTGGCTGGGATGAGGGTGGTTGGCTTGGCCAGTACAAGGTTACATGCAGTGGTGAGTCTGATGGTTTTGCTGAAGTTGGGATGTTGCTTGTTTGGGGTCTGGACGTTCCTCTTTGTTACAAGCTCGTTTTTGCTCTTGAAGCTGATTACTTGCTTTCGTATACTGAGACTTGTGACTCAAAGGTATTTGCACGTAGAAGGATGGAATTTCGAGAGGAAGATGGTTAGGCACTTTGCAAAGCCGTTATCGAGTAGATTGACGGGCGTGGTCGCAGAGTGTAGCATCTTGATGTGTCTTGAACGATTGTATGGCGAGTATTCTGACTTGTGAGTAGAGATGGCAAAGACCTGTCGGGGTGATGCCCTCTGACAACATCTTCCTTGTGTTCCTCGTAATTGACCAACACTTGGTCTGACCGGGCTGTGATGTGTTGTCAGTGAGACATTGTTGCTACCTCAAGACCTCAGGCCATCTGGTTTTTCTCTCTCTTTCTGGGATAGGCATGGTTTACATGCAAGCTATCGGTGAGGCTGCATGCCTATCACTGGGAGGTTGATGCCTGCTTTGATCCTGGTTATTCCTTATTGATGACGATGAGATGCGTGCGTTGGTGCTTGTTCGTATTCTGCAAGGTAGAGGCGAGGTCAATCTGTGAGCTGGCGGTGATTATTTCAGGTTCTTCGGGGGAGATTCGTCGTGAAAAGTGTATGTTTTTGGAGTGGATGAAGTAAGTGGCATCGTCGTGAGGTTTCAGGAGGCTTGGACGAGAAGTAGGGACATCTGGAATCCCCCCCTTTACGTATATAATGATAGCCTCTACCCTGCTTTTTTGCGGTCATCGTCTTCTCTGAGAGCATCCACTTGAAGGATAAAGCAGTCCAGAATCTTGAGCAAGCATATTCATTTGCGAAGATCATCATTTGTCTTGTTTAGAAGACCACCTGATTATCCTCACCTCCCACACGCTCAAGCAGTCGACTTGGACTCGCCATGCTATCATCTCTCCTTGCCCTCGGCCTCGCCGTGACCACGGCTGAAGATGCCGTCGTGCGGACCTCGGGCTGCCAGTTACACCTCTCGGCCTCGGGAGCCATCTCTGGTCCTGTCGGCGAGATTTCGTCTGGCCAGGTGCGAGCTGGCGGCGGAGTGTCATCGACCAGGTTTAGTCTGCAGGGAGCTCAGCTCTGGGACGACAAGGGACGTGGATGCTGGTGGACTCGTAAGCTTCACTCTTTTCTCTCTCTCCTTATCTACTTGGGGTGCAGCATATTTCCCATGTTAGAGACAGGCATGTGCTTTGCACGTGTGACTGGAGAAGCACTTGAGTCAATGTCTTGGGATCGTGGATGGGAGCGCTGACGAATGGACGTGAGACAAAGCGCCGGCACATGTGCTGCAGTGCGACCAGAACCAGAAGCCAGACGACGGATTCGACGTGGGCTGTAACGGCAGCGTCTCGTACGATGGGCAGACGGAGTTTTGGGAGTGCCAGACGGGCGAGGAGGGCCAGAATAACGTTTACCTGGAGGACGGGCACGGCGTCAACTGCAGCAAGATTACGCTCAAGGCGGACAGCTGCCGCTCGGAATGCCCTCCGCCTACTCCTACTCCTACGACTGCTCCCCCTCCTCCTCCTCCTGCAAAGTCGTGTCCGGCGAACCTCGACGGTGCTTATGAGTTTCCGCATCTCATCATTCCTGTTGACAAGGCCGATCCTGACAAGGCCCCTGGGACGTCGTACTTTGGGGAGGTGTCGAGCACCGTTTCGTCCATCTTCAACTTTGACATTCCCAGGGGCGACAAGGGCAAGAAGTGCAGCCTTGTGTTTCTGTTTCCCGAGCAAAAGGACCTGCAGACATCGTCCTTTACGTTTTCTGGTTCGGGCGCGCTGGAGTTTGCCTGGCTGGAGAGGCCTGCGAGCCAGGGCACGACGTGGAACAACAAGCCGGGCGTGAAGAAGGATTTCGGGACGACGACGGTGGCGCCTGGGCATGGGTATGTGGTTTCGACGTTTGAGTGTCCGGCTGGAGAGGCGGTTGCTTTTGGAGTTTCGGCGGCCAATGGGGGAGGGAGTGAGGTTAGGTGGTTTCAGGACTTTAATCCGGCGCCTATTGGGTTGTATATCACCAAGTGCTAGATTATGTATACGGTATAGATGCTTTATGAGGCGATATGGGAGGTTGAGGACGGGGATATGATGCTGGATGATGGGGTTGTTGAATATCGATGTCGGTGGTGGATATTCGTTGATAACGCTACAATATGAACAGAATTCGTTTCTCTATCTTCTTCATTTTCCTTCGGCATGAGCAACTTAATGATGCAATTGCAGCAGAAGTGAATTGTATTCGAGAGGCTGAGGTGTGGGTGGAGATCAAGGTAGGGTGAAGCAAGAGGTGAGGTGAATCGTGAAATGAAGTCGTTCAAGGAGGCGAGGCTCTTCAATCAGGAATGCCTCACACGTTTTCATCACTCAGCGGCTGCACAGTAAAGCATCGATATTACGCTCATTATGAAGCTGTGTTTGCCAAGATTAATCACATAAAATTGATGAATGGCTTTGGCTCGGTCCTGTAAAAGCTTCAAGAAAGATAGATTCATGTGGGAGCAGTTGACCTCGATCTCACTTCTTGCTTCGACCTCGACTCGGCAGCTGGCTGGCGCATGCACACGAGTGGAGATGCTCTCGGCCACTCACATCTCCTTGACAGTGACAATGCTGCCGTAGAGAAAGTGAGAAGAAGTGCATGCATATAGAGGCCTTGCTTAGCCCGTCTTCTTTAACCATTTCGTCCTCATCCTTACATGGCTCTGAACATGCCTCCTCTTCATCCACAGCATCCTGTCACCGACGGTCATCAACACATCACCACCATGCAGCCTATCGCGAAGAAGCCCCAGCAGCAAGCTTCTGGTTCCGGCATCATCACCTACCAAAATAGCAAAGCCGAGGCCATGGCTTTGGCTCCGCAGCACAACTCGCGAGTCGTCAAGAGACCTCCTGGCATGGATTCCACCAGGGCCAGGGCTCTCCTTCAAGCCATGGCGCCCGAAGCCTTGGCTCAACCTTCTATTAAAGCCCAAGCTCCCGTTCAACCCCAACCCACAGCTGCCCCCGATGCTCACTTCGTCGACGAGGCCATCGTCATCGACGAGGCGCCTCCTCTCGCCCCGGCTACCACCTCAGAAGCTGCCCCGACCGAGCAGAACCTCCTAGACACCCCCGCCGCAAGAGCCATCCCTCCCGATATTGACCAGGAGCGGCTGGACAAGCTCCTCGTCTGCAGGCACTGGTCGTGGCTCCACAAGATCTCCCTCTGCCAGCAGGTTGAGATTATGGCTGGGAATCGCGGCAAAGACCATACTACGTGGTGCCAGCGCCTGATCAGGAGGTACGAGAGCAGGGGATTGTGGAATGTGTATGAGATTGATGGCTTCTTGTACGAAGTCGATCTTGACAAGGGGGAGGCGAAGGGGATCCCGAGGAGGGAGTACATTAAGATGGTGGACAGGGTGAAGAGGAAGTGCTGCGCTCCGGTGGTGGTGGAGGTGGAGGAGGTGGAGGAGGATGTAGAGGAGGACAGCGAGGAAGAAGACGAAGGAGAAGAAGGAGAAGAAGATGAAGAGGAAGATGAAGGAGAAGAAGGAGAAGAGCAAGAGGAAGAGCAAGATGAAGATGAAGAAGGAGACGAGGAGGGCAAGGAAGAGAGTGAGGACGAGGTGGTGGGTGAGGACGGGGAGCCCAATAAAGAAGAAGATCGTGAGGAAGACAGACATGAAAAGCAAAAGCACGAAGAGGATGTGGCGGACATGGAAGTGGTGCAGGATAAGGGGGTCGTGGAGATGGTGGAGGAGGTGTTTCACGCTCCAGCTGAGAGCGGTCGCTCATTCTTGGACCTCTTGGACGACAACGGCGACGTGCTGCCGCTGGAGGCCTGGGATAAGGAGCTCCGTGACAGCCTGATGGTTTAATGGGAAGGGATATGTGGAGGGAGAGGAAGGGTAATACTTTGCTTTACCCTTCTTACTACATGAACCTACATGTACACTCATAGTGTCGTGTTGCTACCTGTAAATGGCATGAATTTTCCAGGCATTATGACGACAGAGATAGATGGAATATTTGAAGAGAAAGGTCTCATCAGTCTCGTTCCCCATGAGTGCTCTCTCAGGCTTCAAGTTCTCGTTTGTATAGCCTGATCTCTTTTACAGAGGGGTGAAGCATTCAACTTCGCCGCCTCCAAGTTCTCTCCGTCTTGGACAGCAACAATCGGCTTCTCTCCGCCGACGAGAGCAAGGAGTCAGCCACCCTTCGCTTCCACCGGTCTCCACCATATAAAGTTATCATCTCATGATCACCAGCTTCGGTTTTGTATCAATAGCAGGGATGAGGGCGAATCAGTTCTCAGCCTGTTCATCCACAAGGTGAGGTGAGGTTGTAAAAGGTGGATCGACCGAGGAAGAGCCCTGGAGGAATCACGTCACAGCGCGTCTCGGGCCTGTCAGTGGTGACTTTAGCGGTGTATTTGGTGGGGAGAACCCCTGTGAGCAGAACCTGTGTCCCTTTCACTCTTCTGCAGACGTGCTTGGTTACATAATTGCCATGGTTCGCCATCCCGCACTCTGAAATTTTCCATCTCGTCATTGTTCTTTCAAGAGCATTTGCTGCTGATACAGCTCCTTTCTCTGTCCACCAAGCCACGAACAGACGCGTCTCTGTTCACATAGGATACCTCTTTGCACCAGCAACGCAATCAGACCATCAATTGGCAACAAGAATGGGCGCCTCTTCGTCAAAGGCGGCAGCTCGCGGAGCAGCTCGCAAATATCCCACCAGAGCCCCCGGAGCTGTTCCCCAAGCTACCACGAGGGCCAGGCCTCAGCAGCCTGCAGCCCGTGGCGACGGATCGAAAGATGAAGGTCAGTAGTCAATCAATGCTCTTTACGCACAAGGTCAATAAGCATAGGTCTGACCTATTCACTCCAGCCGTCCGCGCAGATGCCATGGACCCCGACTTCACCCCAGGTGACTTCTCTCGCCGCCTTCATGAGATGGGCATCGTTCAGCCAAACCCCACGCTTTCAAACTCCTCTACCGCGTCTTCGAACCTCTCGCCCGAGTCATTGGACGTCCCTCTAGGGCCGCTGTTTGCGCCTGCCAAGCGAAACACTACGCTGTCTGTGCTCGAAGCTCGGCGCCGCCTTGAGCAAGTTGCTGCAGAGGATCTCGAGAACATGGGACGAGACGCAGGAAGACGCCGCTTGGCTGATATGAGGACCATCCTAGATGCCGTCCATCTGCTGAACAATGGCGTGCCTGCCGCGGATGTTGAGAAGAGACTACGCCTTGCCCCTGGTTTGCTGAGCAAACTTGGACCTTCTGGTGTCTTGACGCACATTCCGGCTCAATAATCACATCCACATCGATATTGCAGTTGACTCACTGAACTTTTCTCATATTGCCAACACCAAATCGAGAAACATAGACAAACGCTCAAATTTACACAAATCAACCCCTTGTTCCTCCCAGCATGTTCAACCATGGCACAACGGGCCCAATCTACAAGTTTGTTACCAGCGATGCGGTAGCGATGGGAACCAGAATTTCACCAGGCAGCATGTCCGCCGTCAATGCGGAGGTCGCTACCCGTCATGAAGCTGCTGGCGTCGCTGAGGAGGAAGAGGGCGGCGCCGCGATACTCCTTGGGCTCGCTGAATCGCTGGAGCATGTTCTCCGTGGGCCACTGCGCCTTTCGCTCTGGGTACTGTTCAAACAGGTTGAGGAGCATCTGGGTCGTGCAATATCCAGGCGAGAGTGTGTTGACACGAATGCCGTGCACACCCCATTCAGCGGCCAAGCTTCGAGCCATTTGCATGACACCAGCCTTGGAGGTGTTGTATAGTCTATGTTGACGAGAGTCAGACTCCATGAGCCATCAACTCCTGCACCATGAGGAAGGAGACTTACGATGCAAACATGCCACGGTTGGCGATGGTGCCGCTCATGCTGGCAATGAGGCAGATGCTTCCAGGCGTCCCAAACCGAACCATTATCCGAGCCGCGCCTTGGGCTGTCAGGAATGCGCCCTTGACGTTGATGCGAAGCATCCGGTCAACCTGCTCGGGGGAATACTCGAGGGCCGGACTCTCGTAGTTGATTCCGGCAGCGACAAGGCAGCCATCCAAGCGACCTTCCTTCGCTGCAACCTTCTCGAAGACTTCGCTCACCTGCGGCTCCTCGGTGACATCCACCCTGTGATATGTCAAGTGGGAGTTGAGCTCCTTCTTGGCACGTGCAGCAACGACAGCAAACTCGGACGTGGGATCCAAAGACGGATCAGGCAGGATGTCGATGCAGTGTACTGGTTTGGGCGTATCTCTCAGCAAAAATCCACCGCAAACCGAGATGGCATGCAACTTACCGACGGCGCCTGCTTCAATCAGTGCTTCAGCCTGAACCAGGCCCAATCCTCTTCCACCACCGCTGACGACGACAACCTTGTCCTTCATACTGAACTCGGGGAGCAAGTGAGACTGGGGGACGGGTCCGGCGGCGCCATTGAAGAGCTGCACCGGGGGGGCCTGGATAGAGGGCGCCATGTTTTGATAAGGAGCGGTAGCTAACGGGCTGCTGTTACGGTCAGAATGTCTAATGGCGACACGGTTCAGTCTGGCAAACAGCCCATGAGCAGACAAAAGCAAGACGTACTGTACACGTGGCAGCGACAATGGAGAGTAGAGCTCGGGGGCTTGGTGGTACGGAGCGAGATATGCTCAATGAATGTCGAGTAGCTACTCTGATGCCGACGAGCAATCTGACACAATGTGCTTGGACTATGGATAGAAGATGAGCTGCTCGAGGATGCGGATGCGATTTAGGCTTTATACTCTACGACAGCCACAGCTCAGCACAGCTGGCTCGGCTGCGGGGAAGGCTTGGTGGCGTGAGGAAACGGAGGCACCACTACGGCAAGCTCACGATACACACAAACAGCATCTCGATGGCGGGAACATTGAGTGTGGCAAGCCGCAGGTCATCACGAGGGCATCGAAGCACAATGGGGACGAGCGGGGAAGGGAGTGAACGATTGGCCTTGGGGGAGGTGTGGTAGCAGGGCAAGAGAATCGATGAAGGATCGAATCAAAGACGACCGCCGAGACGTGCAGCACAATACGACGTGAAGCGCGAGCAAAGCTAAGCTTCTACAAGAGCTCGGCAACTTGGACCGGGGAGCTCCTCCGGCCCCGGAAAGGTGGTGTGGCAGAGGTTGATGAGGGGTGAACATGGCAAACGGCGTGGGCGGACTTCAGGACGGAAAGTCTCCATCTCTTCCCAGGCTGGAAATGCGAGCTGAACAGACTGGAATTCATCCGGATACCGAGTGTGAATTGATGGGTGCTTTTTTTGGAGAAGCAATTTGCAGCTTGGGAGTGCCACGCTGAACTTCGGATTACCAGCGACGGTTAGCCGGCTTTTGGAATGGCCCCCTGGCGTTTTGTTTCCGAAGGGCATTTTGTGGAGGAGACCAGCCACTAGCCGCCGGCAAACGCCTCCTCATGCGATCCCCCCACAGAGAACAAGGTGATTTTGATGTCGAAGGCTTTGCTGTGCTGAAGGATGGATGCGGACCGAGAGTGCAAGGAGAGTCTCAGTAGCCATCTGGAGATGATGGGCAACGGAGTTGGAATGGTTGTCAAACATGATGCCATGACTTTGGAATAGGGTGGGAGCTTAGGACACTGAATTGCTATTGCGGGCAACGATCGCCTGGAGATGACATACACACTTGGAGCTTCAATTGCTACTCTGAATATCCGGGTTCTTCATTGGATAGACGCGCATTTGCATCTGTGCTTACCTATTCAGAGTTGCAGTAGTCCGTGGACAAAATGGTTGCCTGTGCACTCACGTGGACTCTGCCAACGTTCTATCGGAACGCAGCGCAAGACTTGACGGCTTCGTGACCGGAAGCCTGAATCAATCCTTCCATAAGACGGCAGCATTGAGCATGATGCCTTGTGTTGTTCAACCCTATAGCTCGAAGTGAGATGCGGCTCCACGGCGTGCAAGTTTCAGCCCATGTGTCTGAACCGCGAGGTGTGCTCTGGTAGAGTACCGCGGCGCTTACGGGAAGCAGATTTGGTGCTTGTAATCCATCGTCAGGGAAGAAGCCGAGGTGTGAGTGTGTGTGTAAGAAGCTTGAATGGCTCGATGGAGCTGGCGCTGAGCTGGGTTACCCAAATAGGCAACACGGAGCAGCTTGAGACTATTCCAGAGTATGGACCTCTGCATACCTACTATACGCATTATACGATATTTGATATGTCTATATATTTCTATTAAATTAATCAAACTTTCCGTCTGTACTACACTGAACTAGATGGTACAGCCTGCATCTCTGTTGCTGGCGAGATGACGGCATCCTTCTTGTCCTCGACCCCAAAGTCATTGTTCAATTCTTTCCGGAGCTCTATCTCCTTGGCTATGAAACTCACCAGGAATCCCAACGCAGCAAATGCGATCCCAACAAGCCAAACCGTCCGCATCGCTCCCGTAAAGACTTGAACCACCTCTGCGCGAAGTGCCGGGTCTTGGATGCTGTGCAGAAAGGCCCCCGTGGCATGCTGATACGCACTGTCTCCCGCCAAATCACCAGCAATCCCCGCGTCTGTAATCGTGGTGCTGGCGAGGCGGCGGCACTCGTTGTTGAAGACGGCGCTCGGGATGGTGACGCCCCAGATGCAGCCAAAGTAGCGAGCGAAGCTCCAGACGCCCGTGGCCGTGGCGACGTAGCTCTCGTCGAGGGGCGCCTGGACGGCGGGCAGGAGCACGCCGCTGAGCATGCCGCTGCCGAGGGCGTTGAGAAGCTGGATGCAGACCCAGGCGGCGTCGCTGGAGCGGGCGTCGAGGAGGCTGAAGAGGCCGAAGGAGACGGTTGTGACGGCGAAGCCGGCGAGGTGGAGGGGCTTGTAGCGGCCGGACTTGGAGAGCAGGACGCCTCCGAGGACGGCGAAGACGAGGCCGCCGGCGACGTTGGGGAGCGTGTAGATTCCCGAGCGCAGGGGCGAGAGGCCCCTGACTGCCTGGAAGTAGATGGGGAGGAAGTAGTAGACCCAGTAGGCGACGATGGCGTGGATGAAGGTCAGGGCGAGGGCGGCGGCCGAGGTGCGGTTCGAGACGACTTGGCGCGGGAAGGAGGGCTCTGGGCAGAGGCGCGGCGTCCACTCGAAGGCGGCGAAGAGGAGGATGCCGATGAGGCCGAGGACGAGGGGCACGACGATGTGGTAGGTGCTCCAGCTGTAGATGGTGCCGCCCCAGGTGAGTGCCATCAGGGCGGACACGATGGCGGCGACGAAGATGGCGTTGCCGGAGATGTCGATGCGTCGGAGGCGTGTGGACCAGGTCAGGTTGCGGTCATACTTGACGCGGAGGAAGATGAAGAGGATCCCGAAGGAGGCTGGAGTATGTGTTAGTTGAGAAGAAGCGGAAAGCCAGCGATGAAAACGAGAAGGGAGAAGAGGAGGCCTTACCAATGCCAATGGGCACGTTAATGTAGAAACACCACCGCCAGGATGCATGATCAGTGATGAGGCCACCCAGGAACGGGCCCAGCGTGGCTCCCACGACGGCGCCGATGCCCACAATGGCCATGTACTGCCCGCGCTCCCTCAGCGGAACAATGTCGGTCACGATGGTCTCCATCAGGAGGTTGATGCCTCCGCCGCCGAGCCCCTGAATGGTGCGGGCGGCGATGAGCATGCCCATTGAGGACGCGGCGCCGCTGAGCCCGCCCCCGAGCGTGAAGAGGGCGACAGAGCCGAGGAGGAGATGCCGGCGGCCAAAGATGTTGCTTGCCTGGCCGGCGAGCGGGAGGATGGCGACTTGCGCGAGGAGGTAGGCGTTGGGGACCCAGATGTAGGCGTCGCCGCCGCCGAGGGCGTTGGTTATGCTGGGGAGGGCGGACGTGATGATTGTTCCTTCGATGGCGGACATGAGGCCTGTGATGGCGAGGGCTGTGATGATGGCCCAGAAGCGCCATGTTTGGGGGCTTGTTGGTTGGGATTCGATTGTGTTGTCGTGTTGTGGTATGTCCGTGGAGATCCGGTTGGGATCTTCGTGTGTAGCAGGACTTATTGAGAGCCTGTCTGGGGGTGGCAGATTGCCCAGCTCGTGGATGTCGTCCATGATGCTCTTGGTCCAATTGTAGAGGTGAGTGTTCAAACCTGGGCAGGCATTGTGTATTGTAGCCGGAGTAAAGATTGTCTACTGTAGATATGTATATCTCAGGTAGGTATATATGAATATATATACCTGTCCTAGTAGATACCTACAGTACAGCCAAGACACTAATAGATATACGTAACCCTGCCTACTGCGTTCATAGCCGGAATATGAGTTACATGAAAGAACGGACCCTCATGGCGGCGTCTTTACCGAGATGATTCAATGTTTGAGCCATACCGCAGTCCCAATATTCTGGAAGAAATGCACCTGAAATCGTTGGTGCTCTTGGAACTGCCGTGGCATCCATGCAAGGAGTGGACCCGGGGGGTGGTGATTTGGTTCGGTGTGTGAGTCAACCGGTGTAACCGAATTGCCCTGTTGAATCCTACCAAATGCTTGCAGGGCGAATGACTTGGAGTCGCCGCATTTCCTGACATCAACGGTATCACGAGGCTGTAGACATGCTGCTCCTTTCATACACATACGTGCCCATGTAATAACACGATGGAGAGCTTTGACTTAGGTATCTAACAGCGCTATATGTATACCTAGTCTTTGCTCTTACTCTCTCCTTACAGTTCTCAGACCTCGCAGATTGCGTATCATCTCATGCAATCAACTTGCCATTGCCTTTCTTCCGGCTCACCCTCATACGAGCCGTGATTAAAATGGATTCACTACCATTGACGGTTGAACAAATCCTCGCCACTGGCATCATGGACCCAGAATTCGAGGCCGCCTGGAAAGCCATCGGCTCGCCCCCTGGAAACATCCCGAGCGACATTCCCACGTTCCAGAAAACCGTTGAGGCAACCCTTCCTATGGCTCAGAAGATGCTCGCAGCGAGCCGAACGCAGAACATTGTGGAGAGAGAACACGAAGTCCCAGTCGACGACACGTATTCATCCCGCACAATCGTCTGTCACTCCGCCACTCCCAGCACCACCCCATCTCCCATCGTGATCCTCGTCCACGGCGGCGGCCACTGCGTTGGATATCCAGAGATGGAGCTCACCACCGCGCGGGAACTGGTGCTGGCGCATAACGCGACTTGTGTATTACCGTCTTACCGTCTTGCGCCGGAGTACCCTTTTCCTACCGATGTCCACGATATATTCACAGTGGTGCAGTATATTGCACACAAGACGACGGAAAAAGATGAGAATGGCATTCTGCCTGTCAATGCTGACCCAAAAAGGGGGTTCGTTATCGGAGGTCTATCAGCAGGGGCAGCCATCAGCAACAACGTGGCACAGCTCGCTCGGGATCTGCCTCTAGAGCCTCCTCTGACCGGGCTGTTCTTAGCATGTGGAGTTTTCTTTGAGCCTGGTGGTGTTCCCAATCGTTATAAAGACTTCCATCTCTCTCTGGAACAGAACAAGTCTGCTCCAGTCTTCGATACGCCCTCTTTGATAGAATATTCGAACGCGTACAAAGGGGACAAGCCATCAACACTGAGCAATCCGGTTTCCGTCAGCCAACAGCCTCGCTCTGACGCCTCTGTAACTGAGTGTAACCACCTGCTGCCTGTCTATTTTCAGGTCGCTGGACTGGATCCTGCTCGGGACGACAGTCTTATCTACGAGCGCATGCTGCGGGAAGAGCGCGGTGTGCCGACGAGGATGGATGTTTATCGTGGGCTTCCTCATGGTTTCTGGACACAGTATCCGGGTCTGACAGCTTCTCGAAAACGAATGCGAGATGCTGTCGACGGCGTCGGGTGGTTGTTGGGGAAGAAATAACTGGTTGGCTCAAACGGTGGTTAAGTTGCCTTGCCTATGATTATGCTCTACAAGTGAAGGAGGCCTTGGACAGGGTGGCATCGTAATGAGAACGGAAAGGGTGCAGAATCCAAGTCCGAAAACGTTTCATTTCTACAGAGGTGCGATTCAAATTCAGATGTGATTCTTCAGAGGTTTAGTTTCGGAGCGTGCCATCGTCGACAACAGAGATTTGTCTGTCTTTTTAATTCAAGTATACTCTCATTGCTGAAGGAGTAAAGCAGGATTATAATCGACACAGGCCGTGTATCAGCTTGGTATAGAAGCTCGGCACCTTTGCTTGACTGCTCCCGGCACAGTGAGATATATCCTCCGACCACATCTCCCGAATACTACCATGTGTATAATGCACATAAGGACCTGGATCAAGCCAGGGTGGAGCATTGATATTTCTCACGTGTGCCTTCCAACTGATATCCAGCGGTGACCCTTCTGTCCCAAAGTCGTGCCAAGCCCGGACTGTCGCCTCTCGCTCATCGACGGAAATCTTGATGGCGATATCTGTAGGGCAGTGCAGACAGGAATCGAATATCCACTGGCCGGGTGATGCGTAAGCTAATGCTATACCATCCTCGAGCAGAGTATAATCTCTAAGCCAGATGGCGAGCTGCTGCTGTACATCGTGATTAGTAGGCATGTGTGCTAGCCGATGAAGAGACCATTCCTTGCAACTGCGAGACCTCGCGGCTCCGCTACGCATGTGCATGTGCGGGCAGACCGGAATATTTGAATGTGAATTGTCTGGGAAGAGTGGCAAAGCTATACTCGTATGATTGTTGATATTCCACTCTTCGTGTAGGATAAACCGTTTGTTGATGATCCTGGGCTCTACGGCATAGGACTCTGCAAGGGGCGGTATGAGTGATATGCCCGTTCGCGTATAAGGAGCCATCAGTGCCGCAAGGTATTGCTGATGTACGTTGCCCAGGCGAGACAGCTTGAGGGCAAACTGTATGTGGTAGTGCTGCATGGAATACCCTTCGACCTCGATTCCCCGAGAATACTCAACACTGCAAGGGACATCCCGATACCTTACCCTCCAGAAGGCCGCTGGCACATCTGATGTGTCGACAGGATGTAGCTTACAGCATTTGACACAGGCCCAGCGATTTGGTAGGGTGTAAGCCAGACCAACCCAGAATCCAATCTGATCTTCAAGGGAGAGTCGTGAGAATTCGGTATCCCAGTCTTGAGATACAAGGTGCCGAAGCGCTTTACAGGTGTGTGAGAGGAGAAATTTGTCATGTAAAGCTAGGTTATCAATAATAAGAAGGAGAATTTCTGGCGGAAGCTGGAGAATAGCGGCCTTGGGTTTCTTGAGCATGTAAAGGCGGCAGCCTTTGCCCAACAGTCGAAAGCAATGCATGTTGGAATGCGTAATGTCTAGGAAATGGTAGATGCAGTTTGCGACTTCTGAAGAAGGAATCAAAACCCCTCCTATACTTTCATGTGCTTTATGAAGGCTACGTAATTGTGCGCCAATGGCGTTTGCTAGTTAATTCAAAGAGTAGTGTTTGATCACTGACCAGATGACTAGAAACGCCGTGTGTGGCGTGCCAGCAGAGAAATCCAACGGATCTGCGGCAATGTGCTTGAAATAAAGTGGCTATTATGCAATAAGAGTGTCTATCTATCTATCTATCTAGAAATTAAAAACCCAATCAAGTAGTGACTGAGATCTATATCGAATATCTTAGCTTCCTACTTGCTCCTACATCAGGCTGCGTATCGAATCTCCAATCTTCAATTACACCTGTGAAGCCACCGAATCTGCGATGCTCGAGATTGTTGAGCACTGTCAGGTAGGTAGTGGCAACATCCATCTCCTTGCTAGAGCTTACCGAGAGACTTCTTCGCCGCTTTGACAAGTCTCAGGCAGCACCGCCCATGAAGGGAATGGTTTGCTGCGGGCATGTGATATTGGATGATGGGAGTATGCCTTGAAAGTATGCCTGAACGTGTTGAAAGTAACAGTTCGACCCTCCCTGGTTGATGACTGTATGCTGTAGTCGGGAGAAAAGTAATCCTGAGTTAGCTCAGACTCTTATTGCGGATGGTTTTGAGGATGAGATGCGAGAACAACTCACACCAACGGCTTCTTGCAGGAGAAGTATCGAGCCGGGAAATCGTGAAGATGTTGTACGCGCTCTACTCAAAGGCAAGACTGATTAGTAACATACTAGATGGTGAGGGAGCTTGGCAGAAACATACGAGTTCAATGGCGTTATAGGGTCAATGGTATTGCTCGTTATCAGGATCGGGAAAGACGTAGGTCTGTCTAGTCCAATCTTTTGGTCGTCTGTATAAAGAAAAAAGCTGATCAGATTATGTCCGTTACATATGTCCTTTTTCCCTCGCCTCTGAACATCCACGGAGGCGAATAGAAACAAAGAGACAGGACGAGAGAGATGCTCACCTTGAACCACCATGCTGTCAGGCAGTTGTGGTCGGAATGATCGGCATAAGATGGAGTCCACGAAGATGGGATAGACATCGCCGATGTACTTGCTCTTGGAGACCGTATACTCGGCATAGCTCTTGAACTCTTTGATGGAAGTAAGCTTGTTTCTCCGATATGAATCGGCGCATTGGATAACGTGGCCGGAATCGAACGTGGCGTCTTGCCCGTCAAACATGCCCACCAGAGCAGACGCGTTCCCACGCTCGAGCTGATGTAGGATGTCGGCCATGACTGGGAAGGACGCTGCTGGGACGTATAGAGAAGTAACGAAAAGGGCCTTGAGGTCTGAATATGTGACCAACGCCGGCAGGCCTCGACTCTGAGCGTTACTTATAGGGACAGGATGGTTCTGAAGTTGAAGGATGACCTTGTCCATTCTGGCTATAATGTTTGCTGGTGTAGGCCCCCAGAAGGAGCATTTTTCAGGACCTGCGGCATGGCAGAAGCTCGAGAATGTTCCCATGGCCTCGTCCATCTGAGCGACGTTGACACTCCAGGCGTTGTCATAGTACTGCTCTGCGTCCACAATCCCGTCAAGAATCATTCTCCCGATTCGGTCAGGAAACATGGAAGCAAAAGTGGCACCGACAACAGTGCCGTAGCTGATGCCATAGAGCCACAATTTGGCATCTGATGGTGCCTGGCCAGCCAACTCGGCCTCGGCCTCAATGAAAGTGAGTAAGTCGCGGGCGACTGCGGGTGTAGTCACATAAAAACCATGAGGCGATTCTTTCTTGACCGCATCGTTGCACCACTCTCCGTAGATGGAACTTGAGTAGTATTGTTCCTCAAACGATGCTGATGAGATGTTTGTCACGCCCGTGCGATGTAGTCGATTGAAGGCGGTTCTTGCTTCTGCATTGCCCGAGAAACAGTCGAGGCTCGGGCCGCTGTTGTTCACACCGCGAGGGTCATAGGAGACGATGTTGTACTGCTCTCCAAAGGCTAGGCTTGCGAGGGCCTGGTTGGAGAGGAGGAGGTCGATGCCAGAACCACCCGGACCGCCTAACGAACAGTCAGTCCAGTCACCTGAATTTCATATTCACTCAACTTTGCATGAGTAATCTAATCGAGGCCTTACCGGGATTGACTATGATACTTGGAGACTCGGCGGTGGCATTCTTTCCAGCGAGTTTCAGAAAGGCAATTGACGTGGTGCCAACACTCTTGTTTGAATAGTCCAAAGGAACCTCCAGTCTAGAGCATGTAAAGCCATCGAAACATGGTGTCCACGTCAGGTTGGCTGACGGTTTGATCTGCATGGATTGTTAATATGATGTAAAGCATGAAGATGTATCTTGGAAAAGTGCAAGACTCACGTCGTCAAATTTATAGACCATGCTTCTATCATTCCAGCCATGGGCTTTGCATCCCAAACTGGTGAAGAGGAAGAGTACGCTCAGAGGTGCTTTCATTGTATGGCTTGTAAGGAATGATAGGTGATGGGAGTGTCATAGTTGCAGCTGGCACAATGGAGATATCAGACAACTACTTATACCAGTTGATGACCCCCAGGAGACTTGTCCTGGCGCCCCGCTTGTACGAAGCATCCAATCGGTAGGTATCTTCTCCAACATGACCAGGCATCGTTGACATCGCCCCATCATCTCGACTATGTGCGTAGAGCGACGTGCTGGGTGGCGGTGCTTGTTGGCACCTGGCAGTTAGTCGACAGAGCTCTTCCTTCTCAGCCTCGTGTGACGATGTAGAGAGCCCATGAAGGATTTCACATGGAGTGACAGAATACGACGAGAGCTGAAGCCTGGGGTGCGGCACCCTTTTCCCTACAATTATGGTCCCTGAGTTCCATCTTTTCGGCCTGAAGGCCATCCCATCTCGCTGATGGAAGCAACTAAATCTGAATATATTTGCAGAACTTGAGGAAATTCCTGAAATATCTTGCAGTCGGGACGTTGGAACGGTGTTCTTACACATGCCGTGTAAACACTCCACTATCCGGACCCCTGACGAGCTCCTTCGCTCGCCCCGCCTGTACGAACTGGCCAATTAACAATCTGACAAGATACGCACTAGTCTCTATTACGATTCATGGATTCCTTCATCTCCTCGGCCTTGTTCCATTGTCGTCGTATACGAGATCCTCAGGGCAAGTAGCCACTAGCATACAGGTAGAGATCGGGTCTGTGAAGAGATCGCGGCCAGTCTAAGCCCCTGTATAAACACCCTGGTCAGTACACGTGCGGTGATGAGTACTTTGACCTCCAGCCTCGTATCATAATGCCCGCCCGTCCTTTTCTCACCAAAGCAGATCGCAGGAGATGCGGTAGATGGCTTCCCGCTACTGTACACACATACGATCGGACGAACAGACGACCCTCTGCTTGAAACGGCGCCTACCGCAATTATTGGTCAATTCAGAATTATCGTGATGAACGGGATGGCGAAAGAGGACACCAAGGCGGCCAATCAAGCCTGGAGAAAGAAGCCTCGGAAGTTTGCTCCAAAGTCGAGACTGGGCTGTAAGACTTGCAAGTGAGTCTAGACTCTGTGTTTTGCTACCTCTTTGCGGTCAACTGTGTAAAAAGACTCACAAGCTGACACTCGACCCCGATGCCACCTCCCAGGATAAGACGAATCAAATGCGATCTTTCTCAGCCTTCATGCTCGAAATGCCAGTCCACAGGTCGCATCTGTGACGGCTACGGTGATATGCCTCTCGAGACTGAATCGGGTCGTTCTCACAACGACGTGAAAAACGGAGCAGATGGCGACACCATAGGCGGTGCGAATCGTCCAGAAACTTGTTGTGCGAGACACCACGGTCTCATTTCGCAGAATCCCAGACCCTTTATGGTCTTACCGATGACCGGTTCAGGCCAAACAGAGGCAATGGGGTTCTTTGAGTATATTTCGATCAAGCATCTCAATGAATACCGCCCTAGTGATTCATGGCGGAGAAGCCTCATGTTCTTCTCCCAGACGGTACCATCCGTGCGGTACGCTGCTATCGCATTGGCATTGGCCAACCAAAACTACCTGCATCGCGGGTTTAGCGACCAATTGCACCAACCGCCATCCTCGAAAGACTGGCTGTCAGACAGCGTTGCCTTGTTTTACTATAACCGAGCCATCCAGCTTCTTCTCAAGCAGGAGAACGGAGACAGCGAGGATACAACAGCCATCACGCTCTTGGTCTGTTATCTCTTCATCTGCTTTGATCATCTGGCGGGCAACTACGCACAGGCAATGAAGCACCTACGCGGAGGTGTTGAGCTCTCACGAAACGCCCAAAAGGCGATACTAGACGGCAACAATGCATACGACGAGACCAAGACCTCAGGAACTCACGCACTCATCTGCCAGATCACGAGACAGATCCGTCGTCTTGACATGCAAGCCGTAACGTTTCTGGTTGACTGGACTCCCGCCGATATCAAAGACACAGCCGTATCCCAGCTTGCGCATCCCAATAGTGCATTTCAATCTCTTGACCAAGCCGCTGACCACCTACAGAGTCTCATCGCTCGAGTCATGAGTCTACGCAATAACCCGGGACAGCAAATGCTTCCTTTGTCAGTCAAGAATGCAGTTCTCGAACAGTTGGAAACGTGGTCGACTCTCTTCGAAAACATGCTGCAACAACATGGCAGTTCCTCTGATTCAGAGGAGACGGCATACCCGCTCATCACACTGCTACGCCTACAGTATACCATCGTATGGACTTATCTCAGTAGCTCAGGGCCTGGGAGGGAAATGGAATACGACAACTTCCTGACCCAGTTTCAGCAATGCGTGGCGTTGGCAGGCGACTTCGCGGCAGTGCATGAGCGATATTCGGGGTCGTTGAAGCCGACGTTCACGCCGGAGATTGGCATGATCCCAGTGCTTTACATCATCGGGGCCAAATGCCGGCATCCTGTTGTGCGGCGGGAGGCCTTGGGTCTTTTGAGGCGGCAACCGATCCGGGAGGCGGTTTGGGATAGCGTTGTTGTTGCCAGGGTAGTGGAGAGGATAATGGAGATTGAGGAGGTTGGGTTTGAGAAGTGGGAAATGATACAGAGTATGGAACAGGTTCCGGTGTGGCAGAGGGTTGAGACGCTGTCTTGGGCACATGTCGTCGTCGATGGACAGTCTGCGGGCAGAGTGGACATTAACTATACGTTCTGCGCGCGAGAGGGATCGCATATTGAGTCTTTCATGATGTAATAAGCTTGGGCTTGACAGCGTTCTATTGCCAGTGTATCAACGAAGTGGTATGTACCATCGTGCTCTGTCCAGACGTTTTGGTCAGGTCGACAAACAGGCTTTTCTTCCTATTCTCTTTCTTTGATATATACACGCTTAGAAATGTGTCAAAAAGAACAGAAACCTCTTTTGATGTAGTTATGCGCATGCTAGACTGCTCCTGTTTCATGTGGTTACAACAAACAGTCTGATCGACTTCGAATACTTGGACTGATGAAGGTTGTACAGATTGCTGACAGATGTCGTAATGCAGAGCAAGGCTGTAGATTCCATAAAACCAGTTGCTTCGCCTGCTGTGGCTCTGGAGAACCAAAGAGACGTGTCTCGGGAGGGTAAGTGGTATCGAATCTATGAGAGAAGCCCAGTCTAAGAGAGGACCATCTCGCCAGGGGAAGATGAAGCTGGTTACAACTGATTTGTTTTCCCGTCTGCCACCATGGTATAGAGCCTGGACCAATCAGGCTAAATCATTGTATACAATAAGCCTAGAGAAAACCTGAAATCTGTCCTCGTCCTTTGTCCGTTGTCTAATTATCCGTTATTTTCGAACGATGATACAGTATGAGTTTTGCCGAAATTTTGCTAAAGGTACTATCGACGGGGGACACAAGGGTTGAGTCTGTATAACGGCTCGAAACAGCAGCTGGTAGCAGGAATCCAGGCCCGCGTTTCATTTGGATTCATTTTCCCATATTCCCCTTGCAGAAGGATACGACAGTAGCATTGGAAACCGTAAATGACGGCAAAAAGCATGGTTCTGCTCAGATACTCCAAGCCAACCTATCGGGTCCTGGAGGCTATTTCCAACATCTCATAGCCTAACAGAAATAACGGAAGTCGGCATCTGTATCGCTCAAACTGACCAGACGAGCCCGCCATATCGAGGCAGAGTTACTCTGTGTTGCAAATCCAACTTATAAAGACAACAACCGCAAACTTTGTCTTGTCGCCATCAGATTGTTCGCCAAGCACCCTCCCCCCCCCCTATCTTAGTCCTTCTTGTTGTCCCAAAATGGCGCCCTCAGTTACACTGCCGTTGACCACGGCCATCCTGGCCATTGCCCGGCTCGTCGCCGCCCAGCAACCGGGTACCAGCACCCCCGAGGTCCATCCCAAGTTGACAACCTACAAGTGTACAAAGTCCGGGGGGTGCGTGGCCCAGGACACCTCGGTGGTCCTTGACTGGAACTACCGCTGGATGCACGACGCAAACTACAACTCGTGCACCGTCAACGGCGGCGTCAACACCACGCTCTGCCCTGACGAGGCGACCTGTGGCAAGAACTGCTTCATCGAGGGCGTCGACTACGCCGCCTCGGGCGTCACGACCTCGGGCAGCAGCCTCACCATGAACCAGTACATGCCCAGCAGCTCTGGCGGCTACAGCAGCGTCTCTCCTCGGCTGTATCTCCTGGACTCTGACGGTGAGTACGTGATGCTGAAGCTCAACGGCCAGGAGCTGAGCTTCGACGTCGACCTCTCTGCTCTGCCGTGTGGAGAGAACGGCTCGCTCTACCTGTCTCAGATGGACGAGAACGGGGGCGCCAACCAGTATAACACGGCCGGTGCCAACTACGGGAGCGGCTACTGCGATGCTCAGTGCCCCGTCCAGACATGGAGGAACGGCACCCTCAACACTAGCCACCAGGGCTTCTGCTGCAACGAGATGGATATCCTGGAGGGCAACTCGAGGGCGAATGCCTTGACCCCTCACTCTTGCACGGCCACGGCCTGCGACTCTGCCGGTTGCGGCTTCAACCCCTATGGCAGCGGCTACAAAAGGTGAGCCTGATGCCACTACTACCCCTTTCCTGGCGCTCTCGCGGTTTTCCATGCTGACATGGTTTTCCAGCTACTACGGCCCCGGAGATACCGTTGACACCTCCAAGACCTTCACCATCATCACCCAGTTCAACACGGACAACGGCTCGCCCTCGGGCAACCTTGTGAGCATCACCCGCAAGTACCAGCAAAACGGCGTCGACATCCCCAGCGCCCAGCCCGGCGGCGACACCATCTCGTCCTGCCCGTCCGCCTCAGCCTACGGCGGCCTCGCCACCATGGGCAAGGCCCTGAGCAGCGGCATGGTGCTCGTGTTCAGCATTTGGAACGACAACAGCCAGTACATGAACTGGCTCGACAGCGGCAACGCCGGCCCCTGCAGCAGCACCGAGGGCAACCCATCCAACATCCTGGCCAACAACCCCAACACGCACGTCGTCTTCTCCAACATCCGCTGGGGAGACATTGGGTCTACTACGAACTCGACTGCGCCCCCGCCCCCGCCTGCGTCCAGCACGACGTTTTCGACTACACGGAGGAGCTCGACGACTTCGAGCAGCCCGAGCTGCACGCAGACTCACTGGGGGCAGTGCGGTGGCATTGGGTACAGCGGGTGCAAGACGTGCACGTCGGGCACTACGTGCCAGTATAGCAACGACTGTTCGTATCCCCATGCCTGACGGGAGTGATTTTGAGATGCTAACCGCTAAAATACAGACTACTCGCAATGCCTTTAGAGCGTTGACTTGCCTCTGGTCTGTCCAGACGGGGGCACGATAGAATGCGGGCACGCAGGGAGCTCGTAGACATTGGGCTTAATATATAAGACATGCTATGTTGTATCTACATTAGCAAATGACAAACAAATGAAAAAGAACTTATCAAGCACTGTACCAAGGAAGCTCATTATGCGTCTGGCGGGTTCAAATGATCCGTGATAGGTTATGCCAGCTGATTGTTTGCCCGCAGGGTTGACACCACCAGGGGATAATGGCCACTTTCATCTGAATCAAGGACAGGAGCCGTTGATGATTTCCAGATATCCTATCTTCATCGCTAGTACTAATAACAAGTAAGCAAACAGCCAGCTACACTCGTACACACCGCTCATGAAAACATAAGACAAAGCTCAAGCCATGTCAAGCACCACCCCATCGTACACGTACATCTTCTACCAATCTGTCCAGATGCCGGCTACGTCAGCCTCCAACCCATTGCGATACAATGACGGATGTCGTATAGACCATGGCAACGGCTCCCACCACCATTGTCACTGCGTCCAAAGTCTTCTCCCACCTGCTCTCAGCAACGCCCTTGAAATGCAGGAATGCCGGATACATGTAGACCAATGGAATGCAGGCAAAAGATCCCGTCAGCGCCACAAACTTATCCAAATCACTTGCTCCCACCACCGCCACGCCGATGCATGCCACAATGGTCAAGGCCCGGAGGCCGTTCTTCTTCCACTTGATTGCCGCGCTCTTCTTACCAGTGGCGCGCTCTCCGAAAATCGACGTTTCCAATATGCGGATCGCGGGGAACAGCTGCACAGGCTCGCCAGCCAGTACGGCCAGCGAGTAGAGAAACTGGACTGCATTGACGAGAGGCGAGTCCTGGGGAAAATTGGAGATGATTTGAATCTTGGTGTGTTCTCCAAACGTCGCATAGCAGAGTGCGCCGACTGATGTGAAGATGGCCGTGATGAGGAGCATGACAAAGTAGAGGAGGCCCTTGAACTGATGAGGCTTCTTCATACTCGACTGAATTGGCAGGATCAGGCCAATGCCCTCAAACGTGAAGATCGCCGAGCCCAGAGTCAGGGGAAAATCGGAGGGGTTGAAGAGCTTGACGCTTGGCTCCATACCGTGCCTGACCAGGCTTCGAATGTCAAAATACCAGATGTATACGAGTCCAATGAGGATGAAGGCGTCCGCCACCAGAGCAACCGGACCCAGCTTGGAGATGTTGCGGATCCAGGCTAACGGAATGAGAGGGAGGAACTGAAGCGCAATTAGGCCCGACACCCCGAAATGACCAAGGCCGTTGGTGACAGCGTCGAGGAAGGAGAAGAGATTTTCAGCAGTGAAGATAATGCCTGAGCAGACGAAGCCCAGCTGAGAAATGGCAATGGAGGCGAGAATCAAGCTTCGAAACCGGGGTCCAACGACGGCCTCGCCAATGTCTCCATAGCCACCGCCGTACTTGTGGCGGCAGTCCAGAAGTAAGCGGAAACAGAAGCAATTGACCAGTGACACGGAGATGAGCGCCAGTGACGAAAAGAGGATACCTCCGTTGCGGAATGCCTTGGGCAGGAACAGGATGCCTGTGCCGATGAAAGCCTTGAGCAGCGTGAAGAAGGTCTTGACTGTGCTCGCGTCACCCTGGCGGGCAAGACGGCGGGAGCTTCTCCGGCGACCAGCACTCGGTCGCGCAAGCAGCGGACGCCGCTCGTCGGCGGCTTCTTCCGCCTCATCAGTGACGGCAGACTCGTCATCGTCGTCCGTATCGTCGAGCGCTTCGCCGGCAAAGCTGCCGTAGAGGTCGAGGAAGTCAACGAACGTGTTGGCCACAATCATGCCGCTCTGCTGCCTCTGTCGAGCTCGGCGCCGCAGGTGCTGCCGCCTGAAACCGCCGGGCTCGAGCTGCTCAGAGTGCGTCAACTCGCCTGCCGGACTCAGGTCGGGCGAGCGGCGGTGAGAGAAGGTATTGGATCGGCGGAGAGAGCCTGCTTTGGCCTTGATCTTGAACATGTCGCGATGGATGTCGCCGCCCTGAAGCTTGAGCGAGGACTCGAGCGTCTCGAGGGTCGGCGTTGCGTCGCTGCTCCCGTTATTCTCGTTGCCATTGCCATTGCCATTACTGTTGGAGCCTCCCAGCTCGGTCGCAGAGGCCGTCGCAGGAGTAGCAGAGGCACCGCGTTGGCTCGCCGAGGCAGAACCGACAATGGGCTCTACGGGCACCTCGACGGGCCCGTTGGCCAGGCTGACCTCTGGATCGGCCGAGTAGCCCTCGGGAAGATGACGGTCGAGGATGGCAGCCTGTCGATGCACGCTGTCGGCGCTGTTTGGGCTGCCAACCGTGCCGGCCAGATCCGGTTCAGACATGGCGGTTGATGGCGACTTTTGCGTTGTTTCACCGCTCCGCCCTGGGGAAGCACAGCGCCGGCGAGGAGGCCAATTGTGCTGGATCGGAGGCAGCTCTAGTGATGATTCAGACGGTGTGGCAGCGGTTGACTGTAGGGATCGTTAGCTGGTGAGCTGCTGAGCCATCCTAGAGCAGGTCGTGGACGGATTCAAGGCCGATTGAGGGGAGGAAAAGTTGACGATGCACAGAAGCAAGCAATGGAAGGAGGTGGAAGTGAGACGAGCTTCACTCGACGTTGGACGGGCGATCGGCATGCGGATCTCCGGATCGAGGCGCGACCCGGGCATCGGAGTACCGCCAGGTATCCGCTACTGGGCCGCCGCAGCACCGGTACGCCGTCGGTACCTCGTCCAGTATCGATAAGCTCCAGTGGGACAATAGCGGCTGCAGGCGGCTGGACCGCTGGAGCTGAGTGGCAAATCGGGCGTTTGCGGCGCTGTGATTCGTCGACGAGAATGCGGAGAAGTGCCTCTTGGGTAACGGGTGCCGTACAGTGTCGCGTACCCGCTACCCTGCAGGACCTGGACGAGAGCCCATGACTTCATGGTTCCTGAGAGCTGAGAAGCGATCTCGATCTGTTTGCGGCTTGGCCGAATATGTAATGGATTCAAATAATCGTGAAAAGAGAAGCAGTTTATGAGATTGAGCTAGAGGCTACCTCTGATGAAGGAAGCGCAGCGTAGCGTCACGCAGCTCCATCAAGTCCTCAACGTCCATCACTCTGGATAACTGATAAAGGGAGAGAAGGGCTTCCGGATCTGTATGACAGCAACTTGAAGATGCTGAACAGAGCTTTGTAGAGCTGGTCTTCTCACACTAATAAGAATGTGGGAGTACCACAGAATAAAGCAATCTTTGTATGCGAAGTAGTACCTGTAATTCGATCGTTCAGTGCTGATCGGTGCATCAACTTCAGAGATGGGGCCGATGTTTCCTTCCAGCTTCACATCTGGGCTTGAAATGATACGATCATTGAACGCACTCATACGAAAGGTTGCAATGAAATGGACAAGCCATAAAGAACTTCCAACGAACGTCCTTGTCATCTTGTCTTGTCTATATTCCTGGAGAATGTCTGCTCCTGGTGTCGCTGTGATCTTTATAAGAGTCTGTCCACCTTCAAGATACAATAATCTGTACCTCTAGGGAAGGAGGGGGTTCCAGTTTTGACTCAATCAATACACTCTGCTAACAACCGTGCGCTTGCTTCTATCAAGCCTGATGATTGGTACTGCATACCGTCGCCGGGTTCGATTCAGCAACTGTAATGCCACTCTGAAACGCTCCGTCCAGTCACCGTGGCCGTCGTTGCGGCCTAGTAGCTTAGAGAATCAATGGCCTTGTACTGTTTCAGGCTTCTTGCTCTCATTCTGTCTCCTGGTGATACCTACATGCTGCGATAGTTGGTGCCTTTTTACCCACCTTGCAGTGGTGTGTATTTGCGTACACATGGCGAGGTTTGTGCTTGCGTACTAATTATAACGATGAACTTCAGAGCTAGAACGAAATCATGAATATGACTTCCTTGCCTTGGTTACTGTAGGTACCTAATCGTGCATCATTGAGTACCTACATGGATTTGACCTACCATTCTGTTTATCATTAGAGTGATGCGTCCACATTTCAGGAAGTTCCACAACGCCCCTGGAAGAAGTGGTAGAGGAGTCTGCCGGATCATATGTCATTGCGCAACCCTTGCACGTATGGTAGGCCTGGCCAACCGCTGTTCTCCTTCCAACATGAAGATGGCATGAGGCATGCTTCCCGTGCCTCTCCTCTGTAATATTTCGGAACTCGACGTGCATACCTCGGCCTTTCAACTGGATCCAAATCATGACGAACAATCCACGCTGGGGGCTTAATCGTGGAGTGAGACATGGAAAAACCCATCAATGATGCCGTTTATGATCTGATCCATGTCGATGATCAGGATGAAGCCTACAGAGCTCATTGCAAAGTATATACCGGCGCGATAAGGTGAGCAGAGAATCAGGCGATGAAGACCTTGCATGTGTCATGGAAAGAGATATGCTCCCTTGAACCAAAATGCCTGGAATAGTGATGGAATGACCGAGAAGTCTGTGTGTTCATCATACAAGCGTGCCTGTAACTCTAGCCGATTGGCTGCGAATAGACGCGAACCTGGCTCGTCGAAAAGGATTCGATCAGCTTCCGTCGCTTATGAGCCGTGCTCCAGGGATCGCTAAACGAGACTATGCATCGACACATGCTCTTGGAAGCCGGCTAGTAGTACGATGCTTTGCGGCAAGCCAACTCTATATGTACATGTCCTCCGTATGCCAAGGTGCCTGCAGATGGATCTGGCAGGGGTTAGAGTATCATGCAAGGATTTTCTCCACAAGCCATCATCCATCCGGGAATAAGATATGCTGTTGTACCTGAGCAGGTGAACCTGCAGAATGGAAACAAGCTGCTTGTTCCTTTTCGAGTGCGACGCCTCTCGTCTCCATGCATCATCTGGGCTTTATTCCAAGCATAGAAACTTGTCATTCATGCTGGGAGTAGTGGAATGTTAGGATACGGGAAGAGAACCAAAGACGAAATAGCCAAGAAGCTCACCGGAAAGTCGAATCCCACAGACCGTTAGCATCAGAGGCGGGCCGATTCGGGTCCACGTGGAGGATCGGGATTGCGGGGTGATTTCTGTTCTATCTTCTCGTGCTTTGCTGAAGCCATTCCCACTTGCCCAATGAAGAAGATCGTAAGAGTCTGTCCTCCGTAACCCCCGATCACGATGTGCGCTGAGAAGATTGTTGACGCTGGTGTTCGTTCATCTGCTTGGCACCGGCAGAATGAGACGAGTGGATGCTTCGGGGATCAAAGACCCGAATATCGTCGAAAAAGAAACGTACAGGTCGGGGCCAAATGTGTATATATACGGCTTGATGTTCTGCGACAAGAAAGGGCGATGTAACACAGAGTACAGCCCGTTGACAACCCTTTCATCTAGTTTCCCAGCATTGCTGTCTGCCTTTTCTTACAACAATGAGGGCTCCGGTCTCTCTCATCGTTGTGGGAGCTCTTTCGTCTCCAGCTCTCTCAGCCGTCCTCTCTCCTCTCCAACTCCGGGCTGTCGCCGGCCAGGGCTGGTCCTTGCAATCATCAACCTGCCCTTCCGGAACCCAGTCGTGCGGCAACGGGTCCTGCTGCCCTTCAACCTCGTTTTGTCAAGCGACTGGAAATGGAGAAGTGACTGCCTGTTGCCCTACGAGTGAGTGTTTTCATAAAGATCAATGACGACGACCAATATCTAATATTGGCTTTCTGAAATAGCAAGCAACTGTAGAGGCAGTGTTGAAGGCGCGCCCACCTGTGCAAGCCCAGCATGGTCGTTGTGGACGGGCAGTTACGGGAACGGATTCTGCTGCGAGGTTGGTCTGACCGGAGCATTTGTGAATGGCGGATCTGTAGCTGGCATTTGCGTGACTTCTGTTCCTTCTGGCTACTCTACTGCGTCGCTGGTAAGCAAAGACTCTTGTCGCGATGACAGTTTTCAATTTCTAACTTTGTACTATAGGCAACCAAAGGAACGGGCAGCCCAGCCACTTCAGTTCCTGCGTCAAGCACAGCTCGGACAACCATCAGGTCAACTTCTACAAAGCCAACCACGTCCAGCGGGCCGACGGCGACTACAGTCCCGAGAGCAGTGTATGTGCATTCATTATACATCGCAGCCGGGAGTTATCTGTACTAACGCCGAGCTTCTGCTATTAGATTCGCGCATTACATGGTCGGCAGCATGACTCCAGATGAAGCAGTCAAAGACGTCAATGATGCAAAGGCAGTTGGCTTCGATGCTTTTGCGCTCAACACGCACGACATCACATCTTCATGGGCACTGAATGCACTGCAGTATCTGTTCGACGCGGCGGACCAGAACGGCTTCAAGCTGTTCATATCCTTTGACATGAGCTGGCGGACCATCACGCCGTCGCAGATCCCATCCTTTTTGCTCAACTACATTTCTCGACCGTCATACTACAAGATTTCTGGCCGGCCTTTTGTCAGCACATATGACGGTGGTTTCATTGCAAACTCCGACTGGGTCTCGGGCTTCCAGCAGCCTCTGATTTCCCAGGGCATCAACCCGTATTTTGTTCCCAGTTTTGGCGATTGGAGCGGCTGGCCGAACAACTTCTTTTCCAGCTATCCCTCTGCTGATGGCGTCTTTAGCTGGGAGTCGGCATGGCCTGACCCAGGTACCACCATCTCGAATGTGTCAGACGTGGTTGACCAGAACCTGGCTCAGCAGGCACGAGCAGCTCAGAAGGTATTCATGATGCGTGAGTAACCCATACTTCCCCATTACACCTGTTTTTAGCAATCATGGCCAGCTAATGAGGTCAACAGCTCTGTCTAGCTTTCAGTTCAAGTACCTCGGCCCAGGCCAAGACTGGTACCGCATTGGCGAGGTCAACCTGCCGCAACGCTTTGAACAAATCCTAGCACTGAAGCCCGATCTCGTGGAACTCATTACCTGGAACGATGCCGGCGAGGGCCACTATGTGGGCAACTTCTTTGCGGAACAAATCGCGGGCTCGCCAATTGGCGATTATGCCAACGGGTTCGACCACACTGGATGGCAGCAGCTGGTGACGCCCTTCATCAAGGCATACAAGAGCGGCACGGCCACCAGCGGCAGCCAGATCTTGCCTCCCGGCTCAGCGCCCGTTGGGTCATTGTGGTATCGTACGTTGCTTAAGAGCGCCAGCTGTTCGTCGACGATACAGAACTACCAACAGGGCCAGGATACGGTCAACTATGCTGTCCTACTGCCGTCGAATGGATACACCATCAGAGTGTACAGCAACAACCAGCTCATTGGCAGCTTTGCTGGCTCTGCTGGGCTCAACTATGGTGCTGTTCCTGGCTTGCGTGTTGGCGGTGGGCAGTATATCCAAGTCGTCAATAGTGCTGGCTCTGTGGTTGCCTCGGCCACGGGAACGAAGCAAGTAGCAGCGCAGAGTTCCAACTCGGTTTGCAACTGGAACTATGAGGTGGTTGGCCTTTCGTGATATATTCCTCCGCAGCAGGGCATTTTGCAGGGCAATATGTACATAGATGGATGAGAATATATCCTCATTCTCAGAACTGATGAACAAATCTATATTAACGTTCTCCTTTGCATAGTCATTGGTTTCTTAGCATCTTTCAGGTCAACTGTTTACGCCATACTCAATGGTTTTCGCGGTCCCAGAAGCATCACGCCTTTTTCTGGGCCCATCAGCCATATTGTGACAAACATTACTCCTACATATCGAAATATTTTGCGTGCCTGATCTTGCTCACCCATTCTTCAGTTACCATGTCTTGACTACAAAAGAATTTAGCCGTTTTCCGTAGTCTACAATGTTCTGACAGAAATCAGCACAGTAATTATCGCTGATCCTCTCAGCTGCTAGGTCGCGTTGAAAGCTGACCAGCGTTTCCCTTAGCTCATGATACAGCTCGAAAAGCGCGCGATAGCGGAGAGCTAGGAAGATAGAAGAGTTCAGCGTCAGAACTACTCTAGAACGAAAGGCCTGAAGTTGCTCACTATTTGTGGGATCTGTAGGTGGCCGTTGGAGAAGGGAGTGAATCTCCTGTTGGAGGGAGACTAGAGTCTCCCGACAATGGTCTCTTGGCAACTTTGAGGACTTGCCGACAGGGGAGAGAAGTGAACCTCGCAGCTGCCTGACGTGATCGTCTACCATGCTTCCTATGGCCTGAAGCAGGTCTTCAAATTTGTTGGACACTGGGGAGCCCGTGGTCCGTAAAGAGCTTTGCGAAAGATGAGAGTCTTGAGATGCATTGCGTAGGGGGCAGGCGGGGGAATGTCCTCGGCTGAAGCGATTTCTTCTAGGACTGTGTGGTGAGATAGGAACCTCGAGCCGTGGCGATGTCAATGATATAGTTGTTGCGGGAGACGGCGTTGGAGAGGCGAGTGATTCTTTACTGCTGTTGTTTCGAAGTGTCTCTCGGGAGGAGGGAGACTGATAAGGAGTACCATCATCAATGGTAGTTGTGCGTATCGAAATGCGAGGACGTGGGCGGAGTGCAGCAGGTTCCGGGGATGGAGTTTGTGGAGGAGCATCTTGGCCTCCAACAGCTGCGGACAAGGAAGTTTGGCTCACGGAAGCGTAATGTGAAAGTGTGATGGTGGAATGTGACGGCTTTGGAATATCCGGCACGAATAATACGCGAGGGCGGCGAGCCTCGAACTTGACAACTGGCGCTGCCGAGGTCAAAGCCGCTGAGACGAGAGCCGTCGTTGTCGGAATCGATGGAGAAGGGTTGCGACGGCATTTGCGAGCCAGTCTGTGGTAAGAAGACCTGAACGAATGAGCATCTCTATGGACACCCAGGAACTCGCGCGAGTCTGAGAATGAAGACACTGCACTCATCACGGCTCTATAACGTGCTCACAACAGCAACGGCCGTTTGTCGAAAGCGTGTGGAAGCTGCTTCTCAGCGAAAAGCGGGGTTCGAGGGGAGATGCTTCTCATATACATGCATGGAGGCTGCTGGGTTGATGTTCTTGCGTAGGTCTGCAGCACATTGTATGCAGCTCGACGTGGACGCTGCTGATTTGCTTCTTCCGGACGCATAGGATGGCGAGGAGAAGAGCCGCGCCCCTCCGTCGGGTGGGGGACAAGTGACGGAGCCTTGCTTGGAACTATATGAAAAGAAGAGACATGTCCTCAGGTGGAGGGCATCCAAGGTTTTCAGTGCTTAGGACTCCTCAGGCCTATAGCCACAGTGGAAGCTCATGGAGGCCAAAGGAGACAGCTCGAAAATCTTGGACTATGTGGCGAGATCCCTCAACGAGGAAGAGGACTTTCATTTCCTTCGTCTGGAGTTCCTCCATCGTCTCAATATCGTCGAGCTACAGATCCAGCTTGTGCAAATAAAGAGGCGTATCCAGAACGAGCATGTATCAGATGCTGAATCGCTGGAGAAACTCCGCGTTGGCCTGAAGCACTATGGTAAGGACATTCACCCGCCTCATGGAAGTGCTACGGATCCATCTACTGACACTGAATGGCTTAAGCAACGGCGATTCGCGACTATCAGTTCCTCAGAAACATGAAGAATGTGGAGAAGGCGAGCATTCCGCATCGCAAGCTTCTGCTACAAAAATACTTCGACGCCGAGCTGGACCTTGACGATCCATACGAGGCACATTACGCATACTGCCATGATGTAAACGCAAACATCGACCCCATTCGCGAGTCTCTGCTCAAGTACATCCCCGACAACTTGGCCTTCTCACGCTCAAAGTGCCTTCAGAAGGGCGATGGCGACTTGCCCGAGGGAAAGCCTCCCCGTTCAGTCTCACCATTTGTCGACCGCCTCGCCCGCTTCATCATCTCCTTCATCGGGCCCGTCTTTCTTGTTGCGCCCATGATCATCATGACGCTCAACCCGTCGCAGACGAAAAGCTTGGTGACGGTGTCTGTGGCCGTCATCATCTTCTCACTGCTTCTGTCGTTTGGCGTCCGCGTTTCTAATGTCGATACCCTGGTCTCTACCGCCACGTACGCTGCGGTGCTTGTGGTGTTTGTCGGCACTTCCACTGGCGGCTCTAATTCGTGAGAATCAAACAATATTAAAATCTTTTCTTTCAATTTGTACTAATCAGGTTTCTATTGGCTATCTTTGGTGCGCATCAAACGGTTTAAAGGACTGGTTCGAGGAAGCATGCACCCGGAGAGGGCGGGAGTTGGGTCTAAATGCGGCTGAATGGACTTGTTCTCCCCCACAAACGGTTGAAAATGACAGGGAGCATGCAAAGTGGCGGGCAAACGATGTCTTTACCAACCATAGAATGCAGATGTCATGTCAGATGCTCTATGCTGAAGGATGCTTCGGAGACGACTACCCAGTTCATCAAGTCACAGGGTCTTTACTCTCGCCGTGTGGCTTCGCGAAGGCGCGACAGCACTCAAGATGTGGGTTAGAATTCCCGCTGTTGGGACTGAGAGCGGTCACTCAAGGATAATCGTCTTCATCAGGTATCACCGAGCTGCAGGTGTGTCCCATGGACAGCTGAAATGCATGTCGAGCCGTGTGGGTTCTGCCTCCATGGCGTCAGGCTGCATCCTGGCTGCCCAATCCCGTCACATTCCTTCCAATCAATTCTTCCCTTAACAACCTTTACTCAACTCGAAATCTCACTCTCTGGTGGGCCTTTTGTAACAGTCAGGCGAATGAAGTTGCATCACCGGCATGAGCGTCTGTTGGCTACACCGGCTGAGGAGGTGATGGTAGAGGTCAATAGAGGAACTCCATGTGACCAACAGAGTTAGTAAGTTTTCGTATAAGATCACGGTCGCTTCTCAAAAACGAGGAAATGAGGCTATCACAGTCCACACATTTCCGCAAATGGCCACGGAGGTCAGAGTGAGGCTACACAAACATGCCAAGACGGCACCCGATACGCTGGAGGCTGGTTGTGTGTGGTGGTACTATCACTAAGCTGAGAGCCTCAGATGATATCACAGTTCGGGTGAACGCATCTGTGTATTACAACTACGCAGAAGCAATGGTGAATGAAGGCTGTGGCGTGTTCAATCATATGACAACAGTGAGAGAGCGAGCATGTTGTAGAGTCATGCCCGCGAGAGAAGGACAAAGGGGATAGACTGCGAGTATATATAGTCCGGAAATTGCATCTCCAGACAGTGACCTCAAGGACAACATTCACCGCAACTTCAAAACATTTTGACATTACAGACATCAAACACTTCACTCAATTATAATGGCACCTATTCCTGGCGTCAGCGGTGAGCAGAGCGAATTCGGCACTGCGAGCTATGAGCAATGGAGGCAACAATACGCCACATCCAGCCATGAAACTGACCACGACATGCATCCTGGCCATATCATTCGCGCCTTGAACACCAAGGATATCAAAGCCGTCATCGCGTACGCCAAGCAAAATGGCAAGGCGATAGCCATACGCAGTGGCGGCCATCAGTATAGCGGTGCTTCGTCTACAGGCCAATCTAACATTCAGTTGGACCTTCGAAACACTTTCAAGGTCCCAGGAGAGGATTTGTCCCTCATACACCAAGGCGATGAGACTCAAGTTCGGACCAGTGTCAGCTGGAGCTTGCTTGAGATTAATTCTTTCTTGGGCGCCAACCATCTATTCGTTCCGCACGGGCAGTGCCAGTCTGTCTGCATTGGTGGTCATGCTCAGACTGGAGGCTATGGCCAGCTGGGTCGTAGTTTTGGACTGATGGGAGACCACATTGTCAAACTTGAGTTTATCGATCACGACGGCGTCGAGAGAAAGATTGCCCCAGCAAGCCACCCCGAGGAGTTCTTCGCTTGGACTGGTGGTAGTCCTGGAAATTTGGGAGTCCTGACTCACATCACTCTCAAAGTCTACCGAGATGCAGACTATCAAGGATCTCGAGGTCTCAAGGGTCTTCACATCTACACGCCCGAGGCTCTTCAAAAGCTTCTACAGGTCTTGGCCGAGATGAACGATGACGAAGAGTTTCCTCGTAACTATGATCTGTGCATCACAGTAATCAGCGAGGACTATCCTCTTGATGGCATCTTTGACCTCAAACGACTTACCAAACAAAGGACCGGGCTTTGCAGACTTGACGGAGCTTCACTCTTGCCCCTGATTGTCATCTATGCACAGTGGGTGCCATTCAAGAGCACCGACAAACCGGATGAGACGTGGTTCGACAAGCTCAAAGACGGCGCCGTTGTCAATGATGACCGCGTCAGGCCCATGTCAGAACTGACAGCGGAATGGATCTTCCGCAAGGATCGTGAATACAATCTCCCCTATGTGAAGCGCACATATGCGACCACAGCCACGAACCTGAGCAAGAACGGCTGGGTAGACTGGACCGCTGGACGCATAGATGAGGTGGTCAAGTCTACGGGAAACTACATCGCTGCTCAAATACAGCCTTACGGTGGGAAGTATGCCCGTTTTAGGGTCAACGATGATGGACGAAGCGCATACAGCGTAAGTACTCACCAGTTTCATATGAATATTGCAACTGGCTGATGAATCAATTAGTGGCGGGATTCCACGATGGTCTTGGGTCTCGACAACTTCTACGTTCCTGGAAACGGCAATAAAGAAGACGCAGAGGCATGGGCAGCTGTCAATGAACACCAGGGCATTGGCATGAATAAATACTTCAGTACGCAAGATCGACGCGTTCTCTGGGGATCATGGGGCAGCTATAACCTTCACAGCGTTTGGCCATGCTACTATGAGACTGAGGCAAAGTACAAGAAGCTCCAGAGAGCTAGAAAGGCGGCTGATCCATATGGGGTCTTTACCCCCAACTCTTTTTCTGTCTTGCGCGCTGATTAGATACTGGGGCAAATCCGCGGCTGTTGTTGAACAGGAGAGTGGCTGGTGTACTATATTGGTCTAAATCTAGCGATGTAAATGTGATAATCATCAGTTTGATTTCAAGGAACAGTAATAAATTGAATTGAGGTAGCATCTCAATGCGGGTTTCCATAGTCTACTGGTTAATCTCTCATCGGGGCTTCTCGTGGCTGGTGCTACTCTTCAGTGATCCCAACGGAGACTTACATGCATGGGCCTCATAATATCAAAGCAATCTTGAATATGACTCTGGTATATTGCTAAAATGTGCTCTATAATCTGCCAAAGCTCTTGAAATCATAGTCTGGTCTTCTAAAACTGAAAGGATAAATAACGCCGCTCTAACAGAAGTTCTCAGACGCTGTCCAAAGCAAGGGTAATCAAACAATCCCGTCTCAAGGTCGACAGAAAGGGGCTTTCGGCTCGCAGACCATTCCTACTCCCCTTCGATCACCAGAGCATCATCGCATTGCCCAAATTGGGTCCAAGGATATCATCTCTCGTGAGATAGAATAAGGGACTCTTGCCAGGGGGGACTCGTGCCTGACCCCGCAGGGCGCAGAGCCGCTTTGCCTGGCGTGTGCACATTTCGTCCAACAAGTTCCGGACGGCATACGCATTGCTGAATCCTGGCTGGCCTCGCTGTCGGCCAAGTTGCATAACAGCTGCATGCATGTATGCTCCATCCAGCCTAGCCTCTGCCGCCATCTTTCCCTGGAACCTCTCGTCGATGAGGTCGAGGAGCATCCCGAGCATCTGGAAGTCGGTGAAATCTTCCAGGCGGACGACGTGAGGAATCCGAGCTCTCAATCCTGGGTTTTGCTCGAGAAGGGGCATCACCTTCTCTTCGCAGCCCGCAAAGATGATGAGCAACTCGCCCAGAAGCATGTCCATTGCTTCTTGGAGGATGTGGAGGATGAGTTGTCCACTCCTCCCAGCGTGACGTCCCACGAGCTGGTCCGCGTCGTCAACGAACAGAACGCCCCCTTTGTGGAGGCAACCCCTCTTGAGGGTGAAGTTGGCCGGGTCCTGCGTGTCGAAGTCCGGCTTGGGACTCATGTTGTTGATGGCGAGGAGCCTGGGCCGCGGGGCTGCCGGGTCGACGGGAGGCGGGCGGAACAGCCTCTCGACCTTTTTGTGCCCCATGCGCAGGAGCTGCGATCCCGTCACCTCTTTGTAGGTTTTGGAACCGACCATGCTGGTGAGTCGCATGTACTGGCCAAAGAGCTGCCCAGTGGTGGTTTTTCCTATTCCGACAGGATCAGTACAGTGTTATACTATATGAGCCAACCAGCAGCTGGAGACTTACCGGTCCCTGTGTTGCCCATGATGACCGTGTGTTCGCGCTGTTCTGATACAGTCGCTCCTTGTCTGGAAAGAAGACGATTTCTCTTGTCGATATCGTCCACGAGCTCCTTCATGGCGTCCACGCCCACCAGGGTTCTTATTTCCCAGTGGACCATGTCCTTGGGAGTTTCGAAACCAGGAATTCGGTCAGACATCTTAGCGGTTGAATGAAGTATATTGTTGGGGTAAAAGACTTATTTGGCTGTTTGCTAAGCTGTATAAGTCCGGGGAATGGAGGATGTCTGAATTGTAATGGTCCGGTAGTGGTTTCCTGGGGGGAAAATGCCCCTTTTATAGACTTCTGGAGAGGCATGCAAAGGAAGCTATACTAGGAGCGACTCGTCAGTATAGCCACAAGTTTTGAGGCGGCAGGAGAGTCTGAGGCGTACCAAGCGTCCAGGCCTGTTTCGTGAAGGTCTGCGTCGCTTAGCCATCATCAAATGGGTACCTTATGGGAAGCACGAGAGCCCCAGACGCCTAGCACTCCAGTCGGCTCAGAGCTTAAAGCGATAAAGTGAGCTTGACAGTCCCGGCCACAGCACAACAGGATGTTGACAAACGGAGTCTTACGCCCGCTTGGAGACTTTTGGGCTGGCCAGACCTTTCTACATCTGGGGGAGGGGCGTCGAGGCTACTTGGAGGCCCGGGCCGTTGTCTGATGTGCTTTGCCTGCCTTGTTGAACAATCTTGATTCCATCAAGTCAACTCTCTGTGCCATTTTCATGACATAAATGGTGACGTATCTGCGTCCCCATCAACGCTGTCTTGATGGTCTATCACCCCTCGAGCGTCTCTTCCAAAGTTTCGAAGATCTGGAGTCTGTCATCAGCTATGTTACCTACAATACTCGGAAAAAGGCAATGAGCCATTCATATATCACCGCAGAGCTCTTCTGGTGCTTGAGTTCTATATGTAGTATCATGATGAGCCACAGATCTCCTGAGTAAGGCTGCTGCATATATGAATCGCCTGTATAGTACATAACCCGGTGTCCAAAAGGGGCCTAATTTATGGCTAAGTATTAAGCTTATTTCAAGCCTTGATCTTGAAGGGCCTGAAACCTTGATTCAGCCACGGTATGGAGTTGGCTTCCGAGGACACTTTCAATTGGTGTGCACTTAGCGAGGTGATCGATTCACATTCAGATATATCCGGACGATCCGTGGGGAGAAATAGAAGCTGAATTGTACGGCTCTGGTATTGCCCGTGTCATACAAGGAGCCTTGTGCATGATAAACGCATACAACGCTAACGGACTCACAAGGTATGCTCGATATTCTTCTATGTGCTTACAGGACGCGTTCGTCGCAATGATCGGGGAGTAGCCTTGAAGCTCATCACTTGTAGATATGTACAGGCTTGAGGAAATGTACCATCTGAGCAGATCATGTGCTGCGATAAAGGTAGGTAATGAGACAGAAAGTGAAGGGTTTGCAAGCCATGATTGATAAAACACTATTGAAAAGCCATACACAGCAGAGTGGCGTCAAAACACATGTGGCAAACTATCTTGTATTCCATCAACTCTATCTCGGACCTGATCTCAGTACTCCGGATAGTCATCGTAGTAATCATCACAGTTACATGCATCATAGTCTGAATGTGGTGCGTGATGATACTGCGGGTAGACCGCTTGACCGTGGTTTTGAGCCAATCGATTCTGGACAGGGTTTTCATGATGCCATTCCACAGGACCATAACCTCGGCCTTGATGGAGATTGCCGCTCATCCGCTGTTGGCCGGTGGTCATGTTTGATGGCATTCCCGAGTGACTCGGGTGCATGGGGGGGTTGTTTGAGTTGATGTACCCATTTGCGTATGGGAACCCTCCTAAACCATCCGCTGCCTCATCTAAGCTGAGTCCCCGTGCATTGACTCGAGCACTGTGCCCTTGACGATTGAGATTCCCGTAGCGAGTCACTGGAACAGACTGGCCTCGGAACACAGGAGGTCGTGATGTCTGCGTTGGGTAATAGTTGCTCGGCACGGCTCCATACCCATCATCATACCCGTCACTCTCATACTTGGTATGTGGAGGTAGTTGAGAGGGTGATGGGGGAAACGCCTGAGGAAGTGTTTGAGGAAGTAATAGTTGGGCAGGGGCTGGAGAAACGGCAGCGTGGGTGGCGCGCGTAGCGCCGGGGAACGTCTGATTTCTCGCCAAAAGCGCGTTTCTGGGCTCTTCTTGAACTTCCTGCAGAGGCCAAGTCTGGGTCGAGGCATGTCTGTATATGTTTGCTGGTACAGCCGGAACGTAGCTGCTTCTTCGCGACGCAAGCCCATGGGGATCCTCCGCACAGCCGTCAATCTCGGTGTTCAGTGTATTGCCTCCCCGCGGTGACATTGGAGGTGTGTGTGGGTTGCTGATTGGATTTACAGCCTGTTGGTTGCTGTTCTCTTTCTGAGTCACCTGTAGTTGAGCCAAGCCCACGAGCAAGTTTGTCACCGCGGCCTCGACCTTCCCCTCTTGCACCATCTTTGCTAGAGATGACGAGGCTTCTCGGAGCCACGACTCCATATCTGGTTTCGTAGGCGAGGTGCTGCCGGGGCTAGACTCGCTCGGCTTTGCATCAGGAAGCTCTGTGGCTTTGGTGCCGGCGTCTATCTGATCCTTTTCAGTAGTACTTGAGACCGACTTGGCTGGTTCCGCATGTGTATCGGCCGATTGTGCTCCATCAGGAGTACCCGTCGTAGCTATTAAATGGTCAATATGAATACCTAACAAGGAAGAACATGCACGTGTCCGGAAGCGTACCAGATGTGAGAGCGTTGCCTCTCTTCTGCCAGAAACCCGTCATGATGTTCTTTGCGCCGCTTAAGACGCTGGGAGTAATCGAAACTGCTTGCAAGATTCAGCAAAGGTCATACGGCTAATGCAGGAACTCTGTCGAACAGGTCAACCTACCTTGAACTCGTTGAAGCTTATCAACCTCACCCGCCGGCAAGACCGTCAAATACGCCTTTGCACAAGCTGCAGCGACTGCAGCGGCATAGTCTTGCCATTCTTTGTTCTTGTGAGAGTCAGCGTAGTCGCAGATGCCTCGGATGACGATGCAGGGAAATTCGTTCATCAATCCGGCAGCCTCCATCTCGAGGCATAGGAGTTTCTTGTCAAATCTCTGATATAGATTATCCCGAAGGACTGCGTCCTTGATGACTTGGTTGCCGGATGCAATGAGACCGCAATGAATCATCATTTCTTCCACTCTCGCCTTTCTCTGAACCACCATACTTGGGTCGCAGTTAGAACAATCATCTCCCTGAACATGGCTATATCCCGACTGATACTCAACGTCCTGGAGTATTTCCGACTTCCAGAAGCTCTCTGGGACGTTCGGATTCCGTCTGAGATCCTCCAGGTAGCCGAGTATCTTTTTCCGTGAAGCCAACTTGTCAGCGTCAAACTTTCCCAGGGCTGTGAGCAAAGCCGTGGGCGGAGGAGCCAATGCACCAGTTCTCCTGAAGTTGCCGCCGTCTTCCGCCTTGCCCATATCCCACTGGACAACGCCCGGCTGTGCATCGATGGGACAGCTGATGACTACATCACCGAGGCGTGTTCTCTGGGGAAGCCCCCCGCCAATGCCCACCATCAAACCGACTTTGATGTTGGGAAAGGTTGACACCATTCGGGTGGCGACTGTTGCTGAGCTGGTGGTGCCGGATCTGCCCTTGGGTAGGCCGGCAATGACAACGTTGTGTTTGCCGATGCTTCCGAGAGTGTACGCATTGTAATCGCCTGATGGATTGGGGAGCTCTTCGTGTCTCTTCTCGAGCATGAACAATGCGGCCGCCTGCTCATTCGAAAGGGCGCAGACCCAGCCAATGGTGTAGTCTTCGTAAGTATACTGTGTAGAGGCCATTGTCCTTGGTCGTCTCTGTATGTGCAAAAGGACTTGTGTACTCACGGGATCGAGGATGACAAGTATGATCCCTTTTTCTCCATGAAGGGCAGGCCCCTTAGAGTTATCTTCTTGAAAGCCATTTATAAGCTGCAGGGCGATCCTGCTGCTGCATAATTTGGTAGCCAAAAGCTTGATGCCCGACGACCCAATCCTCGAATAGTATCTGTTAAGCCGCCCTATAGAGGGGCTTCACATGAATACGTGGACCAAGGGGAAAATAGTTTTCAGCCAGCCAGGCGGAGGAGGTTCTATGAGAGTGTCACAGACGGACACATGGCAGGTCCTGATATGCATGATACTACGGCACTATGCATAAGCCTGCCCAGGCGCGCCCAATCCTCTCCCACAGAATGGCCCAATGCATCGTATCGGTGATGAGCTGGATGATTCGCTGTCAGCTGCCAAAATATCTCAACGTGAGCCGCGTTTAGCACCGAGTGTATCCGTATCGTCTTGGTCTTTCAAATTTTTCTACTCAGGTCAGCCGGATATAGGTCTCCGACTCCCCGCATATGTATTGACAACGCGGCCTTCAAAAGCCTCCCTCGGTCAGTCCAGCCAGCCCCCATGCCGCAATCACCATGCCCGAGACACAGCGAAACACCGCCTTGCCATGCATTCTCTCCTTCCAGCAGACGTAGCCATCCACGAGGCCCAGATACGCGCCCATGACAGCCATGACACTGTCCACTGCGGCGAAGTTCTCGCGCCGGTAAAAGACGAACATGAGCATGCCGAGAACAGTGGTTCGCGCTGAGCAGAGCACCATGACGGGATGCGCAGCGGGCGATGCAGCGATTCGCTCAGGCAGGCCAAACTCGAGCATGGCGTTCTTTGGTGACCAGAATGGCCAGACACCGCCAAAGGTCGTGGCTGATGCGACCAAGAGCGGCATGATATGTCGTGGTGCAAAATGCTCAAACATGGTGCGCAATAGTCGGGCTGTTGTCGATGAGTGCTGTGAAGAAAGATGTCTGTGCTACCCAAGGGCGTGAGATGAGCAATACGAGAGAGGGCAGATGGATGGAGGAGAAGGGAGGATTTTGTAGCTGCAAGGGAGAAACGGGGTTGATGCTTGAGACAGATTGCAGCTTTCTAGGGTCTCAACAGTGACGGCCATGACGCCCATGAAGTACACACGGACTGACACGGCTGGACTGATCCTACGATGACGAAGCCAACAGCATGAGACAGAGAAAAGGTCGTGAGAAAGCGTGTTGGCGCTGCCACTGCAGGATCAGTCCAGCCGTATAAGTGACTTGGCACAGCGTCTCGATTGTGATTAGAGCCAACGCCTCTGTATCAGTTCCTCCGCCCTCCGATACACATCCTTGAGAGAACTATCTGACAACTGTTGCTTTTTATACTGAGAGTGAAAGAAGACTTGCTTTTACTCGCAATACTTGTGGGCTGCATGCGGTATGAAAAAGCCGGCGTTGAAGAATGGAGGCCGAGAGATCTGTAGGAGGGTGCCGGATATCCTTGTGTAGGTATGTGCTAAACTTAGGGTTAACCTGTAACCTTCGGGGAGATATCCGACAATACGCGCGTTGATGAGGAGGGGCGACTTGGTTTCAATAAGTTCCTGTACTCAGAAGCAGAAGTGAGTGAAAATGATGGATGTATTGACCATTCCTAGCATCTTTCATAGCCCATGATCATAGTCCTTTATGGAACAGGTCGTCCTTGCTTCGGAGAATCGCAGTATGTCTCGCAGACCTAGTTGATAACGACCCTCAGTACATCTACATTGCGCGACTTTATGACCATCAAAAAACCAATTCATTCATCAATATCAATACTCTCAAAGAAGACCATCCATCAAAATTACTAGTGATAACACTGTTCGCTACATGTACTCGGGCTCCAATGTATGCGTACCTAGTCATGGCAAGACATCGTTATCTCTACGGCATCCCGGGTTTAACAGCCTCAAGGGATGAATCCCGGCATGTGATGTGGGGAGCCGGGATGGCGTCAGCTTCGCGGCTTCAACCCAAGCACTCTCCCGTCTCCTGACTGCGAGCGCGTGTCCTCGCACTGCTTCGTTTGTGCAACTCTAATCTAGCATTGTCAGTCCCATACCAAAATCAGCTGCCACGATGCTAAAGTCTATCTGCACCAACTCGCTGCTCCTGTTGAGCGCGAGCCTCCTCCCCACCAGCGCCGCGTCTCAAGAGGCCCAGGTCCATCTCACCGCTCCATCAAAGCACCACCATCAAGTCGACCCGGCCATTCTCGCTGCTTTGGAGAAGCACTCGGACCCCGTTGATGCCTTTGTCTCGCTGCACCCCGAGGCTGCTGAGCAGCTTTCTCAACCGCGTCTCCTGCACGTAGTAGGAGAGCCGAGCGCCCAATGGATGACTGAGGGCGATAAGCTGCGCCTCAAGCGCCAGGGCAAGAAGTTTGTCGACATCACCGACCACGAAGACTTCTACAAGGAGCAGGTGCATGCGCTGGCTGGCGAAGCTCGTGAGTCTGAACGTCACCACGAACTGATGTGAAGTACTGCTGACCCGCCATCTAGATCTGCCCAAGCTGTCTCACCAGCGCCTTGTCAAGTCATTGCTGCCGCGCGTGTCGACGGAAAAGATGCACGATGTTCTTGAGCACATGACGGGCTACTATACCCGATACTTTGGCAGCGTCACTGGAGAGGAGAGCTCGCAGTGGCTGTACAACCACATTGCCGAGGTATGGCTTCCTCGTCAATCCTCTTCTCTCATGTTTGTACCTCATGTTAATCAGCCGATACCTCACTTTAGATCATCAAGAATGCGCCGTTCCACACTCACATCTCGCTCGAGTTCTTCACTCACTCCTTTCCCCAGTCCTCCATCATCGCTCGTTTTGAGCCCAAAGTGAGGAACTTCTCGCTGCCGCTGACCATTCTCGGCGCTCACCAAGACTCCATGAACTATCTCTTCCCGCTGCTCCCTGCTCCCGGCGCTGACGATGACTGCTCCGGCACGGTGAGCATTCTCGAAGCTTTTCGCGTCCTGGCGGAGAGCGGCTTCATTCCGAGCAACGGACCTGTCGAGTTCCACTGGTACGCTGCTGAGGAGGGCGGACTGTTGGGCAGCCAGGCAGTCGCGCGATATAAGAAGGAGTCTGGGGCTCGCATTGGCGCCATGATGGAGTTTGTAAGGCTTTGCCGATACTACAAGCCTCGATGAGTTGTGAGACTGGCTACTAAGACATTTGTCCAGGATATGACTGCCTTCGTCGCCAAAAATGCCACCGAATCCATTGGGTTCATTGAGACTGAAGCAGACGCGCCATTGACGAGCTGGGCTGCCGACTTGGCCAAGGAGTACATCTCCATCCCGGCCAACATCTACAGGCTGCCTAGGTGAGATTGAAGCTCTGACTTTTTTTCTCAAGACACTCCTTATTGACGAACAACAAGTGGCGCTGGCTCGGACTACATGTCGTACACTCAGCTCGGGTATCCTGCCGCTTTCGCATCGGAAGGTAATCCCACGGCGGGTGAAGCCGAGGCTGGAAATGGCGAGTTTGACCCTTATATCCATACGGAAAAGGACACAATGCATATTGACGACGAGACGGGCGTCTTTTCCCTCGAGGTAAGGCTCTCTGTGTGTTTTTTGTTATCTCGTGGAATCATGTTGTTAATCAGCTATAGCATATGGCTCGATTCTCCGAGCTTGCCATTGCCTATGTCATTGAGCAGGCTGGCTGGGATAACAAGTGGAGGTAAGGTAGGAAAATGCAGGGATACCGGAACATGGGCGCCCTTGTTAGCCGGTTTATCTTGATACGCAATACCTTTATCCAGTGAATCTTTCCTAATAAGACGCGTTAGATTTGACTATTTCTTCGCATCGTAGTCTGCCCGTGATGTGAATCGTTGATACCAGAGGTAGTACATTGATCGAGTGAGCGTCCCAGCCTTCGGAAAGGAGCACAAGCCTGCCATGATTGTTGTCTCAAGACCATTGAGAGATATGGCAAGTCCCCGACTGAGCAGAAAGCGGAGCTGAGAACTGCACTGTGTTGTTGTCTTGTCGGCTATTACAGCATGGTCCAGCTGGAGATATACCCTGTTGCGTATCACAAGCTGATCGGGATGGCAGTCTTGGGAACAATCCAGGCGCGTGAACCGTCAATCCCATGCCACAGCTCCGATGATTGGAGAATCCTCAGCCACGCCCGGCTTACAAGGCGTGATTAGCGCGCATGGAACGTTGAACGTCCTATGAAACCTCGAGACCTTCCTAATCCGTGGCTTAGACGACAGACCAATCCTCCCTCTTCGGTGTCACTCTATACTCTCCAAAACTCACTTATTGACACGTGAATGTCCCTTGGCGTTGCATTGGCCGGAAATTAACTCAGGAACTGAATAAAAGCCATGGACGCCCTCGTAGGACGTCGAGCGTCAGCCTCAACGTTGCCATCAAGCTCAGCAGTATTGTATCATGACAGCCAAAATGATGAAGGCCATGAGGCTCGGCTTTCTCGCTCTATCCATGGCCTGTGTATCGGCCGCCGCACCGTACACTGGCGGTGATACATCCGGCTGTGGAAAGACTCACTGGTTCAACGGCATCACACAGAACCGATCCATCCAGTCAAGCGGCATGGAACGCAGTTATTCAATCCACGTCCCGTCGAACTACTCCGAGAATCAACAATATCCGACCATTCTTGGCTTCCACGGATCCGACAGCATTGGCTTCTTCTTCGAGGTAGACACTGGGTTTGACAGTGAACAGTTTACTGGCGACAAGATCATGGTGTATCCAAACGGACTGGGCGGAGCCTGGGCTGGAGCAAACTATTCCGAGGCCACAGTCGAGCAGGACCTGCAGTTTGTCTGGGACATGCTGGTCGACTTAAGGCAGAACTATTGCATCGACAGCGCCCGGATCTACGCGACCGGCATGTCAATTGGCGGAGGATTTGTCGACACCATTGCCTGCAATGCGACGGTCGGCGGCGAGTTTGCGGCTTTTGCGCCTGCATCCGGGTCTTTCTATACCGACAATGACTCAAATTACGAGGCATGCGAGCCTGCTCGTGTGCCTGTGCCGATTCTCGAGTTTCACGGTGGCGCGGACACTGATGTGCCATACGACGGGGGCGAGGGCGAGGGTGGCATTGAGCCCTCTATTCCCAACTGGTAAGATTGTTTACCCACATGAATTATACGCTTCTGTGGAGGATCGTTGTTGATGTATGAGAAATTCTAGGCTCAGTCGATGGGCGCAACGCAACCAGTGTGATGAGCCCTACCAGCAGGAAGACCTGTTCGACAACGATGTTCATCATCTGAGCTGGACATGCGGCGGCCAGGAGGGCGTTATACAACACTACAAGACTGACGACCAGAGTATGAGCCACCATTTTTTATTACAATTTCTTGTGCAAGATTTATGTGACTGACAAACTGGGATGTAGAACATGATTGGGCTTCACCGGACATCAACTTTTCACAAATCGCTGCTGGAGACTTGCCAACTCACATCTCGGCGACTACTCTTGTAATAGACTTTTTCTCGAGATTCACTCGGCCAGCAAATTAGGAAAAGGCTCAAGGATTTGTCGGTTAATCTTCATCGACATTGGGGAGGATAATGAGCATTAGTCTAGCAGACAAGTAGTCGTCTAGGGCACGCTATAGAAGACTCTCAACCAGTTTCCTAACTTCCTCCTCCGTCAACCCCTTGACTCCCAAAAGCTCGTTATCCAAGCAATCCGAAAAGTCAACGCCGTATCCCTCTCCAAGAAAGGAGCTGAAGACAAAAGCCTGCAGAACCGACCAATCGGTATTTCCCTTTGCCACTTGATCCAGCGCAGAAAGACGCATTTCCTCAGTAGACTTGTGCGTAATCTCCCATTCTCGACCGTCCTTTTCTTTGGCGTACCGAATGAGTTGATTCTGGGTGACGACGGCATCGTGAATGTACACTGGGCGATTGGCCGTCTCAGGGAGGTGTTCGATAATTCCAACGACAGCTTTGCCAATGGTACCGAGGTTGGTCGCCGAGAAAGGGACGTCGCCGCCGTTGTAAATGATGGCTGTGCGCTCAGGAACGTTGACAATGAAGCCATGCAGACCCCAATCCAAGAAAGCGCCAGTGCACACGGCCGTGTAAGTAAAGGCGGGATTCTTAGTGGCCGCGGCCTTGAGATACTCAAGAGTGTTGACTTTGCCTTCAAAGACCGGCAGTTGGTTGCGTTTCTCGTTGAGGACGTCGCTGCCGAACTCCGAAGGGATGAATCTTGCCACGCCGGCAGCAATGGCGGCGTCAATGAGAGGATTTTGGTCACCGACGAATGTAGATGTTAGAGTTGAGATGACGACAGCATGGCCTTGAAGAGCCTTCTCGAGGGACTGGACCGAGGAGTAATCGACTTGGGCTATGGAGAGGTTGGGGCTCTTGGGAAGTTTCGAGGTGTTATTGCTGCCCTCTCGTGTGAGAGCCGTCACATGGTAGCCTGCAGCCAAGAGAGCTTTCACGATGGGGACGCCCAAGTCCCCAGTAGCTCCGGCCACGGCAACTCTCAAGGCCATTTTTGGCGTGTTTGTAGACTCGCCGCTTTGAGAAAGATTGAAGATGTTTCCAGTGATTTAGATGCGAGTATCGGAGGGTGGATGTTGGAGGATAGGGTGTTGGACTCTAATGGCCAGATAGTATGGGATATACCACTCTTTATATCTTTCAGGAAGATGAAAGTGCTTTCCCTTTGGCTATCACTGTCATTGTACGCTCATACGGCATCACTAGCTGGAAACTCCATGCAAGAGGCTCTTTCAGGCTCTATCGACGCGACTCTACTCGACGAATGACTATCTGATTGCTAATCCATATGGAACAAGGGGACAAGGCAGGTTGATTGCAGATATTCGTCAGATTGCCAACGCCCGAATCGTTTTGCAGATTATCAAGCAAGAGTGTGTTCTCACAGGCAAAGAATCTTGTCGAAAGTTGTAAACTCCACCGCAGTGGTGCCATCACCGCCCAATCTCGGTTCTGCGCCTACAATGGCTTGACTAATTGATGGCTGTATTTCCGCAGCTGATTGCTATGCCGTGTACTGGCACTCATCTCGAATAGTATTCCCATCAGACGTCTGTTACGGGCCTGACTAATTGTGGCCCATTCCCGTGTTCAATTGCCGCTTGATGCTGTTTATAGTCGGACTCGATGAATCGTTGATGGTGCAGGTGCCATGTCATGTCGTTCGGTAGCGTCTTACTACGTGGAGAGGTTGGTACTCGGATCCGAAGCGCTCACAGCCCTTCAACCGCTCATCGCCCGGATCCGATCGCTTACACTATGTAGCACTTGATTACTGATTACAGAATCTTGACCTTCGCATCCGGACCACTTGTGATCCTTTGCTGCTTGACCGTCAAACCACTACCGGCTACTTAGAGATCACGGAACAGTCCTGATTTCAACCTTTCCTATATAGAATTGACATTGAACGCATAAATAGTCATGTCTGCTGCGTGCTCCAGGGGCGGCATGTGCCTCCGGAGCTGCAGCTACTGACTGATACCGAAAGAAGTCAACAATGGCTGCTTCAATACCCAGCGTACAAACTGCAGCTCTCATCAAAGATCCTGGACCGAATGCACGAATTGAAATTCGCCATGATTATCCTGTTCCTCAGCCGGGCAGAAATGAAGTCTTGCTGAAGATGGAATGTTCCGGTATATGGTAAGTTACACTTGCTTGCCATTATCTGACCCTTGGGTCACGGCCCGGGACGGCGCCGTTATGCTCTAGCCGATGGCTGACTTCAACCAACCCTCCGGATGAACTCTAGCTATTCTGACATTTACGTTTACACGGGCAATAATCCTCATTACAATGAAGTCCCCTGCCACGAAGGCGTAGGTAAAGTCATACAGCTTGGTCCTGAGGTTGCAGATAGTACTCTGCTGGGTCAGAGGGTCGGGCTTGGATGGATCTACAGCGTATGCGGCCAATGCTACAACTGCACTGCTGGTCGCGATAATTGGTGCGTGAACCAAGCCAACACCGGTACCGACAAGCCAGGAACCATGCAGCAATACGTCGTCGCCAACGCGGATTACTTGATGCCAATCCCAGATGACTTGTCATCGGCTCATGCTGCGCCATTTCTCTGTGGCGGCGTCACCATGGCTGGGGCTCTGTCACTGTGTAATGATGCCCTCGCGGACGGCGATACTCTGGTCATCTCTGGTTCAGGAGGAGGCCTGGGACATTTGGGTTTACAGCTTGCTTCTAAGCTGAAGAATGAGAAGGCTTTGAGAATCATCGCCATAGACACAGGATCAGCAAAGAAAAGCTTCAGCCTCAGCCTGGGAGCAAATGCCTTCATTGACTTCAAGACAGAGGATGTGATCCAAAAGGTCATGGAGCTGACCAATGGGAAAGGCGCCGACGCTGCTATCGTTGTGCCAGCGGCAACAGAGGCCTTTGATCAGGCACTGAATTATCTCAAGTTTACTGGAACTATGGTCTGTGCTGGTATTACTCAGATGGATTATCGCCTTCCAATCTCCCCCACAGAGCTTGAGTACAGAGGTAAGTCAGAACTGGACTACACAGAGAAGCAAATGTCAGCTGTGACTGAATGCTGAGGGAATTGATTAGGACTGGTCATCAAAGGCTGTCATGTGGGAACTAAAAACCAGCTGAAACAGTTGCTCATCTCGGCAGCGAAGAAGGAAGTGGTCCCGCAGGTCGAAATCTCTGAGTTTGACAGAACGGGGGAGCTGTTTGAGAGGGTCAAGCGCGGCGATATAATCGGTCGCTTTGTGGTCCAGATTCCGCAATGAAGCTCTTGGGTCGAGTACCTAGGTAGTTCAAGTTGCTCTCTTACTACTAGATATGAGGTTGAGACTAATTCGTTCAGTCCTCCGTCAATGACCTGTGCTCGTGAATATAATGTGCGCTTACGACATTGACTTTTTCCGAGGCTGTGTTGGAAGAATCCTCCAGTGTATTTCATCACCGACTTTACGCTTCAACATGCGAGACCTCCGATACGCAGGCCATATCCATCATGGCGGCTATCGAGAGGCGTCTGTCATAATAAACGGCCGAGCATGTTCCCGCGTCTAATTACTTCATTCGGTATCGATAGAGATGCAGCTGTCATCGAACGCCACCAACAGTATCAACGAGCATTCCATGTGAAAGAGACAGTATAACCGCAAGAGACGAAGCTGTGCTAGTCGACTTGTCGGTTGCGTCATGCCAGGATCATGAACCAGCGCCATCAAAGACAACCGTCTACGTCACAGGAGGATAGCTATGAATCGTGATGCTATTCTTCGGAAGCGTTGGAAGCTTTTCGTTTACAGATCACCTGCAACAACACATATAAGGTCGCACACTTACCAAATTCTAACAAACCCTTTACTACTTATTGATTATCATCAATTGCAAGAAGCAAAACACAAATACAAACCATCATGTCTTCCACATCCGCACCAAAGTCGAGCCTCGCCTCGGACACGACGCCCAACCAGGGTGGCAACGACACCAAGCCGAAGATGTTCGACAAGGAGGGCGCTATTGGCCATCAATTCACAGGTATGACACGCAACGCATGATGTCCGCCCTTTCAGTGATAATTAGAAGATGGCTAACTTTACGCAGAGAAGGGCATGATGGGCGGAACAGCGCAGATGATGGGTGGTCCTTTTGACAAGGAGGGTATGATTGGCAAGCAGTTCACAGCGGAGGGTTCTATTGGCGGTACTGCTCAAAACATGATGGGTGGTCAGAAGCCTGCGTAAATGAGTATCCCATAGTAATTGTTCAGTGTCCAATCGAATACAAGTCAATTTCGACCTTAATATCTGGCCATGATAATTGATCAGTCAATTTCTGCTACTGTGCATTGATGGTTTGAGGCAGAGAGAGTTGACCATCTTGAGCGAGGTGAGCGAGGAAAAGTAATAAATTCTCAACAATTCATCTCAAAAACACATAATTTTCGAGCTTAACCACTTAGTAGGATTTGGTAAAGGATGTGTCTTCTCTTGCTGACGCTTCATGACGCGACTACCGTACGACTCCATCCATTTACACCTCTTCCGACTCTGATTGAGACTTCTTTGCGCCAAGGCGGACCACAGACTTCTATGATCATATAGGCGTTTGTAGTTACACGTACAGACGATGGATGAACCAACAAGATTGTAGCCGAGATAATGCTTTCGTCACCTTGACTTCGATGCATGTCTGGCGGCACCGTTGGATTTTCGGGATGCTCTGAGGCTCGATTCGGAGCCACAGCGCTGATTGCATGTGAGAGTTTTCTCCCACGAGGCTTTCACTTCGATGATTCCTTGACAAAAAGCCGATGAGACGTGGCGTGTATCTTGACATCACCTAGAGCGACCATCTCAGAGTAACAAGATGGCTTGGAGAGACGCACGCGAAGGAGTCTGGCTTGCGGTCTTGGACAGAGTGTTCGGTATTCATATATAGTTGCCTTCCAACCAGTTGCAATTTCTTGCTTCATCATGCAGTCAAGCATTGAGACCTGTAGGAGATATTTCACAATGGCAAACCAAGACGAGTATAGCGATATCCCCCAGGAAGTCCCTCCTGAGGATGACTATCTCCAAGACCCAGAGAACGTGGCTCGTGGACACAAGGCTACCCTGGCCAACCCGAGTACGTACGCTTGCCTGATTGTCTCATGATACTGACAGACTTCACAGAGGTGTCCGACGAAGCGAAACAGCATTCGCGCTCTGTTCTTGATAACCAGCTTCAAGAAGATGAGGCGACAGAGACTGCGAGGTCCAAGGGAACCGAGACTAAGCAAAAGGACCCCAGCAATGTGTAAGGCTCTATGTAACGACAATTCTCACTGGTGAGATACTAACTTCTGCCGTAGCGCTCGTGGTTTGAAGGCTACCCTTACAAATGAGAGCGTGTCGGAGGAAGCAAAGGAAAACGCTAAGCAGAAGCTTCGGGAGCTGCAGTAAGATGATGTATTTTATCGATCCGTCGTAGCAACATCTAGGACTTGAATGAACTACAGTCTCAAGTAATTGTGATACATGATCATGACTACATATTTAATGCCATTGCTGGGTTCGGGGCTGAAAGATGGTTTTACTAATGCTTATCCGAAGAGAAGTATTAAAATCGCAATAACTTAGTAACGCTCGATAAAGAGGTTGATCTAAGCAAGATATTCGTAGAGACGAGTTGAACACATATCCTGCCCTAGACAATCAATCGGACGTGAATTCTACCGCAAAGATCGAGAATGTGGTGGTCCGCTTTACGCAATATGCAAAGCCATGCTCCACGCTGTACACTCCTACCTACTACTAACACCGACATTGGTTGCCGATGGCGGCGAAGCTTTCCGATAACGAGCCATCACTATTCGGACCTTGGATCGACCAAGTCGATGGAATGAATCCTTAGGTATCGACCCGACCGCTGACGCATCGGACTAACGGCGATACAATCAACGTCATGCAGACATGATGTTAATTACGGTATACATCAATCTGACTTTGCGATGAATGCCTCGATCTGTCGCAATGATTTCTAGGAAATAGAACTCATCATACATCCTACCACAATCGAAAGCCACAACGGCCATGAAACGAGACATGCAGAATCTTTCACGTCAGTGGATGGAACGGGGCGCTCACTGTTGAATCATTACGAAGTGATGTCATGACTGTTCAGCTTCCTTACTTTCGACATCACATATATAACAACAGTAACATCCAGCCTCTTGAATATGCTTATATTGTAAACGAGTATTCATTTTTGTCATAAGACATATCAATTAAAAGTCAAGACTTCAACACCTGCAACATGTCGAAATTCGCTGCGAACCAGATTGATGACCAGGACACCAACGACACTCTTGGTGCAGACGTTCCCGAGGGACAGGTCCAAGACGATTCGTACACGACAGGTACTCAGAACGAGGCAATCCCTGTTCAGGGCGACGATGCTCCAGTCGAAGACCCAATCCAGGCATCAGCTGCGGACAGCGATGAGCAACTGGGTAAGTCTGTTCATTACAGGAATGCATCCTTTCGGTTTGAGCCACTACTAACATCAACTAGCACAAGATGACAGAGAAGCCATTGACAAGTCCAACATCATTGGCGAGAGAACTCGTGGTTCCAAACCGATGGGGTCGTATCAAGAGCCCAGCGATGAGCAGATGGGATTGACTGAATAAAACTTGAGAGGGATTGATTGAATAAAACTTGAGAATCTCAATGATAAAAACAATGTAATTGATTGAATTATCAGATGTATAATTATTAGATGCATAACTCTGCAATTTATGTCATGAAACATCGTACAATTGACCATACTGAAACATTTTCCATGACATGAGATCTTCAATTGGTGAACCTTGAACAAGATAACCAGCAGAAGCATACAGGATGTGTATTTATAATCTTAACATCGTTCGCTACCATATTCGAGAGTACAAATTTATACTCAATCAATTACCTGTCAACATATGTTTGACAAGCCACTTTATTTTAATGAGAGATATCAAAGCCATTGTCTATGTCCTGGCAAATTCCATGATCAAAATGCTTATCACCCCTCTCAAGATGTACTTCCCCTTTCCTGGCTGTCGCCAATGTTATCCCGCCAAAGTAGCTGATGAGGTACGCATTTGCAGTTTACGCCCACCTGTCTACACGGCAGCAGATGTGTTTCCTTCAGATGCAGTGCTGGGACGTGACTTGTGAACACCTGGGGTATGCACACGCGTGTCTCGATGGGCCCGGAACAACAATCCTTCAACAAAGATGTTTGCCAGTAAGAAAAAGCTAGGTATCCCCGTATATTAGTCTCAGTTGTCACTAAAGGGCGTGTAATTGACCTACAAGGCAAGAAAGTTGAATGCTACAACGGTCTTCTTCAGCCCGCATTTACCAAAAGTGGGAGCATGCGTCGTGCATCGACCGCCAGCCCAGTCTTGTGCCGAGAAGATGAAGGAAGTGAGCCAAAGATAGGATAGAATATGATTCGCAAGCCAAAGCTGGCCACCATAGGCATTGACGAGCGGCAAGACCATGCCAAAGGTCCAGACGCCCAGCGTAATGGTAGCCTAAGAGATGTGAGAACGTATCTTCAGTTTAGGTACAGAATGGAAGAGCTTACGATGACTTCTTGGTAGATGATATGAGCGTTGTTGCTGAGATTATACTTGACAAGGAAATAGGACAGTATGCCTGTAACTATGAGTGAAGACACCCATACTGCGAAATGATTGCCAAAGGCAAGAAGTCTTAGGGATCGTTGAAGCATCGTGCAATATCGCCCAAGCAAACAAGTGTGTCGATGCGATTTAACGATAAGATGTGACTGTGAATAATAGTAGGATGTGAAAGTTTTAATAGTATTGCCCTGCTTTTTCCCATTCTCAACAACTGCTATTATATATACGTGCCGAGCTGTAGTTGCACGGTTGCTTGGGTGCCAGACTGGTTATCGTCATCATTTTGCCTTCGCCTGCAGACGATGTATGACGCTGAGACATGAGCTCTGCCGTGTCATGTTGCTAGTGCATCACACCTTCAAGCACCAGACAATTTTGTCTGTTAGGCTTCATCTGATTTCTCACTCGTTCACAACATGATGCATGACGCCGTGATTTGGAATCGAGGTCGAGTCAACAACGTATCGCACACGTAATAGCCAGCGAGGCCATGCCAACAGAGGGCTTTGATCGCGACAGTCTGGCTGGATCATGACAACGTGTGCATCCAACCGATGCAGAGAGAAAGAAATCGTTTGCATTAGCCTTGCACAGGGTGCGCCTGGAGAAGCCGTTGCGCTGCTGCCATATCCTCAGTTGACGGCAGATTGGCAATCATCAGATATAGGACGTCCTTCGACAACGGTCAGCTATATTTCTCACATATTGGCTTTCGCAAAAGAGTGATTAAACAAACCTCATGCATAAACTTCTTGATACCGCGTATCAGAGCCCTTGGCCCAACCGTGCCCAAGAGGGTAGGTCCGCGCTGCTCTCTCTTCGCCTCCCGGCGTTCTGACCGATGCTCACGTCTAGCAGCCCTCTCATCACGTTTCGCCTGGCTTCTTTGACTCAATTTGCCAGTGACGGCGCCTCCTGTCAGCAAAGCAAGAAGGCTTCCACTGCTCGCCGGATGGTTGGGATCAGCGTAGCGTGAATGAAACCCTGGCTTCTCATTCAGCTGAGCCAGACGACTCTCCGGGTGCTCATTGGCCCACTGAGCTTGAGACCGCTTATCCATATATTCCATCGCAAAGTTCATCCCACGCTTCAAACCGTTTGGCTTCTTCCCAGCATCTTCAACCGCCTGCCTCCCTCCAGGCGTGTTAGCGAGCTTGTCCAGAGTCGGAAACACCAGCGGTGCCGACTCCGGCCACTCAAAGCTCGTTGTTCCATGCGAGGCTTGCATCTTATTGTTGAAACTGCTTGCTGCTCCGGTGCCTGGACCTGAAGCATGTTGCGTTGCTTGCTCCAGTGCCTCGTCAAAAGTGGCTTGTGTGACAACCTCACCGGCTCGGCTCGGCTTCCAAGTCAGGATGACGGCAATGAGGCCTAATGGACGAAAGAATTCGGCGTTCATCTTGTTCAAAAAGGTGTTTGTCTTTGAACGGCTGTGAGCCTGGAGACTGACTTGAGTGCCCACCTGTGCCGCGATGGAAACGGCAATGGTGATAGGCTCGGGGACATTCTGCACAGCGACGGCCGCGAGGTTGATGGCGTTGATCCACGGCGATGGGGCCGTTGCCATGTTCAGCTGTGTGATGAAGTCGTTGAACGTCGCCTCGTCAATGCCTACGTCTTGAAGCAGCGGCGCGTAGGCGTGGATGAAGCCGCGGGCACGCTCTCCCGGGCGGCGTTGCGGAAGGATCACAGGCATCGGCAATCCTTGCCGCTGAACCTGCTGGCTTGACAGCAAAGCATGACTTTGTATAAAACCTTCGGCCATTGCCTGAACGTCAAGGCTCTGCCCCGTGACAGTAGCGTAGTCCGGCGGTGGCTCAAGCTCTGATTGCGCGGCATCGAGCTGCCACGCTGCTTCATCCAGGTCTCGGGACGTCTCTTGGTCGACGCGCACGGGCTCATCGTTGTCGTCGCTGTCTGAAGCTCCGTCGCCTTCTCGTGCTTGTGAGATGTGCCGCCCTTCATCCCGATATGCTTCCGGCGCATTCACCGCTTGGGATTCATCAACAGCAGCCGCGGCCTGTGCTTTCTTCTTCTCCTGATGGTTGTGGTAACTCTCAGACGCGAGACCAATACCAGCGGCAACTCCCCCCACGATGCGGCCGACAATGCCCTTGCGTCTTCGACCGCCGGTGCTGCTTTGAGAGTGAGAACGAGAGTGAGAGCTCAATTGAGACGACGAAGCGTTTCCGTCGTTTTCATAGTGGTTCCCGTAGGCTCCGCCTGCTGAGTTTCCCGGTTGTAGATACCTAATTGCGCATTAGAGTCTGCCTCTGAACGGTAGAACTTGTTCTAGAGAGTATGGCTATCATACCGGCTGTGACTATCCTGGCCAGACATGGCTGACTCGATCTGTGGTCTCGGAAGGAGAGCCGAATATGTGTCAACTGTGTCCTCTGAAATTGAGACGATGGAGAATAAGCTGAGGATCTTATGGCTTCAACGGGGTCTCTTGCTTCTGGGTAAACGAAGGATCGTGTCCCCATTGCTGATGCCCTCTTCACAGCGAGTCGTGATCCTTCAGACGGGTCAAGCGGCAAATACAGCGGGGTAGCTTCCACCGAGCCGAAGCCATTTTGCTGGCGATGGGCGCCGGTGACGTGATGGTATCGAGTAAATACCAATAGGCTCGTTCAGCTCCCTTGCGCTAGAGATAGGATTCTCCAGGGACCAGAGTCCCTGAATCCTAGGTAAGGAATAGATGCAGATTTCGTAGGACTACGCATACGAAACTTCAAGCTGCTTCGGAGGGTTGCAGATATGAACTCAAGTCTTCGGGAAATCCCCGATGTGCCTGAGTCGTGACCTGCATTAACCTACATGGTGTGTATCCTGCCGAAAGGATGACGATAGGAGCTCCCTCTGCTCGAAGTGTCATCTAAGGCCAGTGTCATCAACATGTTTTCTAGACGTTCTAAGAAACATCTTCCGACCTGAGCCACACTGCAGGCCTAGCGAACAGTGTCTTGGAGAGACAGCTGTGGCCTGCCTCGTCGACATCTGGCATGTTGATAGACGACGATGAACCCGATCCATTTGTCTCAGACATGGCATCCATATGGTGTACCTGGTGTTCGTGCCGCACGTTCGGAATCATACCGAGGTGCTCACCATGTATGTCCAATTTCTCATGCAGGAGCTTCTTCACCCTCTGTACTGACTGTAAGCTCTGGGGCAGCTCATCAAGCGCTTCAAAGACAATATGACAAGAACTATCAAATGAGTCTTGCGCAATTTCGTCTCTCTCCAGGTAGACCAGTAAAACGTCAGCAGACAGCTGTAGCGACGCGAGGATATGGTGCGGATACGGATCCAAGCTGATCAACGAGGACAGCCTGCGGTTACGCTGTGTCCCGTCCTGGTTGAGAGCTACCTGGCACCTCAGTCCGAAGCTGAGCGTGCTGAAGATTGCATGAACAGATTCACGCCGAAGAGTGTCAAAGTTAGGGACGAGATTTAGCCTTTCGATTGAGACGGCGATACTACACAGAAGGAGTAGTCCCATGTGGTAGTGCAACTGCAAAAGGTCTTGAAACCGTTAGCTTTTAAGTGCTTGGACAAGAGAATAGCATGGTGACCGTCAGCTTACAATAACATAGTTGAGCATCCTTGCTGAGAAACAAGACATGATGCTCGCAGGCGGTCAGGAGTGGCTTAAAGGTTCTGTCGAAGCGCTCCAGGGCCTGGCTGATAAGCACTCTTAGTCTCGTAATGACAGACTCGTCGTAGCCATGGTTGATCGCTTCTCGCAGCGCACCGATTATTTTCCAGGTGTATCCTTTCCAGGTCGACGCTCGATGAACGATGTAAAGCGTAGATTGACTGGTTGGAACAAATCCATGCTGTCGCCACGGCTCTGTGCTCTCGTGGAATAGCTGAACCCGAGCCTTCATGAGGCGGAATATAGGCTCCTCTTCAAAGCCAAACACTCCGCTGCAGAGGATGGACGGACACCCTCTGGTCATGGCCGAAGAAGTGTCAAACACGACGCCGGCCCAGTACATCATGTTCTCGGCATGGATGAAGTCTTCGTTGACGGCGACGTGGGTGCCGGAACCTCGTCCGTCTCTTCGACCGACCGAGAGATTCGTCCCGGAGAATCTGAGATCTCGTCTCTTCACTCTCAGTCTGTGGACGTGACGGAGGGCCATGTCGACGCTGACCTCGCCAGCGCTGTGAGCGTTCTCTACATCCATCGAGACCGCCTCGCAAATTGGAGTAAGCCCAAAGAGATACAGAGCCAGAACTGTCTGGTAGCTCAACTTATCGAAGATGGAGAGCACTCTGGACTTGGCATTGTGCCAAAGCCGATCACCAAGCAGCCTGAGTTGCTTGCTATCGATTGCGCTGTCCGTCACCAGCGGCAGCCAGCGTAGGGAAAATGCGTGAACGGAAGCGATGAGTGCTAGGCGAACATCACGATCGCATCTTGGGCAGACATGGCGAGCTGAGGCATGACTGGTGTCGCCTTCACAAGTTGCCCAGTCCAGCGAGACAACCAGCTGAAGCATCGTCAAGCTAGACATCTATCTGCCCATTAGCATCTGTGTTTGCATTCAATTTGAACATGCCAGTAACATGCATGATGTCACCTCACATGATCAGGAACCACATATGGACTGCAATCAGGCCCAGTCCAAAGTGTGAGGACGGGCTCAAAGATGAGAGTGAAGACCTTCCAAAGCTGGTCGTGCAGGGCCACGGCCTCTGTTTGTCGTGATAGTTCGGCGTTCGGTGTCAGACTAGCAATGTCAGGAATGAATACTGATAAAGAGGCTAATTAATTGATGCCGTGAACATACTGCGAGCTTCTTGCATTTTCCGCCCCGATAGCTTGAATAAGACTGTCTTCAAGATGTCCTTCATCTCCAGCTGGTTCTGGATCACTCGTCACAGTCCCCGTAGCAGCAGCCGTCCGAGAGCGATTCGGAACCGAGCGACGATCAGAGCGACGGATCTTTGGCCTATCGCTCTGCCTGACAGCGGCAGTTGCATTCTTGCTTGCACGACTCTGAATCCACTAATGTCGATTATCAATAACGGTCAACCCCCTGTGCTGCGCAGCCGAGACCTCAAGCTTACCTCGTATGTGCAGGGCACAGCCCGCTTCGAACAGTTGGTGCACTGAACTCGCGCCGGAATGGCGTCAGGAATCCCTGAAGCTTGTCTTCTGGAAGCGCGGCCTTCGGAAACTGCGAGTTGCTGGTCCTGCAGCTGAGCAGCATCGCATGCGATGCGCGATTTGCGGCAGAGATCGCAGCTTGAGAACTGGCGTCTACGTGTGGACTCGGATCCGGTGCCTCGAACCATGATGGTGGTTGTGAGTTGACGCGCCTACGACTTACGAGCACCGGGGAGACGTGGTTACTAACTAGAATGGCGCAATCAATGGATAAATTTGGTAAGCCAAGTCATGGATGGTTAATACGATATAAGAGGGTTGATGGTTTAATTTAGCCGTAAGACTATCGAGACACAAAGGCCATTGATGCAGTCTAAACTCGGATCCGAGGCTGGCATCGTGATTTGTAAATGGTCCCGGCATCACTCAAGCCATCACATGTACTACTCTCAAGATATGTACTCATCATGGAATGTATGAAATGACGAGGAGGGATTATCTATATAAGACACGATGGCGTTGAATGACCATAGTTAAGACAACTGTTGCACAAGTCACTGCTTCGGCACCTAGCAATTACTTGTAAACATATATATACCTTATTTTTTCAATGTCTCTTCAAAACAATAGTCTACCCTTCGATGAGTGGCAATCCATCCGAATCAAGACAACAGCTACCAGCCTGTTTGCCCGCTACAATGGCACCGGCCCAGCTGTTCTATTGCTGCACGGATGTCCGCAGCATTCCGTACGCTGACCCTACACTTGTCCGCTTTTCAGAAAGATGAACCCTCATGATGGAGCTGGTCTAACTCATCGCAGTTGATGTGGCACAAAGTAGGTCCGCTACTTTCTTCAAAGTACACAGTCATCTGCCCAGATTTGCCCGGAATGGGCCAGTCGACGCTCAGCGAGTCCGGAAGATACACTTCCGCAGCAGCAGCTGAAGCCATCATCTCATTGCTCGATTTCCTGCAGATCGAGAAGGTGGCTGTATTTGGCTACGACAAAGGCGCATCAGTCGGATCCGTACTCGCCTGGAAGTACGCCAGTCGCGTTACCTCTCTGAGTGTTGGCGAGTATGCTCTCCCGGCCTTTGGACACGAGATCATCCAGAATCCAGAGCCGTCGAGGAATCTATATGGGCATTGGCATCTCGCCCTGTTCACCATCCCCGAGGCCGCCGAGTTTCTCATCCGCGGTCGTGAAAAGGAGTTTCTCAACTGGTACTTCTGGCATAGTTCGTATTCAGCAAGCGCTATTATATCGCTGGAGCATGTCGAGCGCTATGCAGCAGCGTTGGCAAAGCCGGGATATCTGCGTTCCATGACGGAGTTCCTCAATGGCAACATCTGGCGCGAAGTTGAATACTTCAAGCCGCTGAGAGACGACCCCATCCGACTCCCCCTGACGGTCCTTTGGGGAGAAGCCAGCCTGGTGCCTGAGGAAGTCAGTCAAGGTCTTTGGGGACCTACAGCAACCTCGGTCAGGACGGTAACTGTGCCAAAGGCAGGGCACTGGCTAGGTAAGCATCCGCCCATCTTTGTAGATAGTGTGATCTTAACAGTTTTACAGCGGACGAGAACCCCAAGTGGCTGGCAAACTTCATTGACCAGAATGTTGCCAGCTCCGCCGTTGAGCCGACCTCTGTCGACCTTGGCTACTTGGAAGATCGAGTCACGATGATGTAGAGTCGATCCATACCTACATGTAGTTTATTCTTTATGATAGATCCGGCGGCATCATGGCACTCTAGAGGTTAAGACAAGGGTAGTGTTTGAGTAACATTGGGATTGGAGCTTTCAGAACCGAAGGGCCAAGGCATACAGGCGAGCTGTGGTTCCTCAAGCAAAATAGATATTCCATGTACCTTTATCAGAGCATTATCTCTTTTGATGCTTGAATTCCTTAGTATCAAATGTTACCATATAGCAGGTTGCAGCCGTCAACAGAGGCATCTCATGGATGCCGTCGAATCCATCAGTGGGCATCTCATCCAGACGGCTACACGACGCCACAGATTATCTCGACAATCGTATCAAGGCTGCACTGCTTATGATGGCAACACTGTCAGTCTAGGATATGAAAATATAGTCATAAACTATGAAAGAAGCTCGTTATATCGTGAACACACACAATGCGCGCAACCAAGGCGAAACAACATTGATCCGATACCGGCACACCTGAGACAAGACGAAACGAGGCAGGCGGGAGCTGTCGATTAGCCGCGAGCTGAGAGAACCACCACCATCCTCAACTTCGACCATTCATCCCTCAGCGCACTCGATTCCAGGAAATCCTGCCCCTTCACCACAGGGAACACTCGCCTCCGCACATGCAGTCGCTGCTCAGGTTCAGCGCATCCCCGCCAACTCGCTGGCGCAGCTCGGCTGCCGACCGTCGCAGCTGGCCGCACAGCGACTGCGCAGCGCTCGCATACGCAACCTGCAGCCGCGCGTGAGCCTGCTTGGCTCCGCTGCCGCCCGTCGCGATGGCGGCGAGACACTGTCCATAGACAGCCTCGCGGTCCGTGTGGCTGAGATGTGCCATGTCCCTGGACCCGCGGAAACGAGGCAGCTCGCGGCTGCGCGCCCTGATGCCGTCCCGGATGCCGACGAGGCTGGCCGCGTCCTCGGCGCTGATGCGGCGATCGCCACAGATGGACGCCAGCACAGAGTTGGCTTCGCATGAGCGCGACGATGCCGCGCCGGGCTTGGAGTTGGAGCTGGAGCTGGAGTTGGAGTTGGAGGCGGAGCTGGAGCTGGAACTGGAGCTGGAACAGGCACACAGATCGCCGCCGGTGCGCTCAAACGTCGCACAGGCACTGCCGGCCACGCAGCCAATGTCGATGGCGCCGCGCGTGTCCCGCAGCACCACCGCCTCGAGGGCGTCGCACACAATGTCCATGCAGGCGGCCACACCCTCATATCCGGCCGTGGCCCCCACGGCAAAGTAGGCGTTGTCGGCACAGCCCAATCGCGTGTCGCTGCACAGATCGCCGGCATCGTGCCCAAGCGCAGAGGCAATATACAGCCACGAGGGCACCTGCTCCTCCCAATCGGCGCTGCTGCCGAGCTCATAGTGCATCAGGACGTCCCAATGGCAGGCGTAAACCCACGCGCGCAGCGTCAGGCCCCGGACAAGCCCCAGCGTCGACAGACATCCCGCGTGCCAGTCGAGGATGGTCGGCCACTGCACCGCCAACTCCATGGTGGCAACCGTCCAGCGGGCCAGGCTTGCATGGCGCGCAATGTCGCCGGCATACGCTGTGAAGTCGCTGTCTCGAACCTTTCCATGGTCCAGAGCGGCCAGATAGGCGCCCAGCACCGTCACCTCCAGGCCGTCGGTCAGCGTGTTGATGTGGTTGTTCATGAAGAAGTAGTGCAGCAGCACCGTCTCGACGGAGCCGCGGGCGCCCCTGGGCATCTCCTGGCTGGCTTTGCCGCTCTCCTTCTCAATCTGCCGGCGGCCAGGCCCGGCCAACCACAGTGCGTCGGCGAAGATCTCAGGCGTCGCGCCCGCCCACATGCCACGCTCATAAGCCAGGTCGATTTGCTCTCTGGTGGGCACGCGTGCGCGGACGACCTCTTCGGACTTGGGAGCCGCCTCGGAGGCTGCGGGTGGCGCATTCTTGGAGGCTTCAAGCTGCTGCTTTGTCGATGATCTGAGCTGTCGCGTCGAAACTGGGGGCAGCTTCTTCTGCGTCTTGGCCTGTTTCTTCGTCACGCCGGCCTGGCGCGTCAGGGTGGTTGGCTTCTGGTGTTGTTGCTTGCCCGGCGCCTTGAGCGCCTTGGCCTGTTCCTTCAGCGCCCCGATGGCGACCTCGATGGACAGGGATTGTGCCTGTCCGGACGACTCTAGCTTCCGATTGCCGCATGAGCACCAGTGCGCAATTGGACCAGCGTCGTCCTCGATCGGCCGGCTGCGCTTATACCCGCCGCTTACATGGCTCTTCTCCACCGGCTTCCCACGCAGCTCCCTCGCGGCGAGATCCAGAGCCCAGGCGGCCCAGCCGTTCTTCAGGACGTACAGTGAGAGCATGTCGCACATGTCCGCCCTCTGCGATTTGTCGACGCACGCCGGCTCACGCTCCACCGCTCCGTGGTGCACAACTCGTCCGGTGCCGTCGAGCCACCGCAGCATGACGGTGGCATCGCGGCTGGCGAGCTCGTCTCGCAGCTGTCGCAGGAACTTGCTTGGAAGAGGTCTCGGGAGGCCAGAGACGCAACCGACGCACTTCTGCGCGCCATTCCAGCAGATGCTCACCTTGCACGCCCGGCACAAGCTGATGTCCGACGTGTGAATGTCAAAGCTATCCCATGACTGGCTTTCTACCGGCCATGAGGCGTGGCTGTTATCCTCCAGCTTCGGCATTTTCCCCTCTCCCTCTCCTGCTTTGCGATATTGACTTGGAACCGATGGCCTCTGGGTAAAAGGGGTCCTGCGATGACTTGCCCCTTTCTTGCCTACGCCGTGATGCCTTGATTTACATACCTTCTCGTTAGGAAGAAAAGCAAAATTGGCCGCCTATATATCCTTTTTCTTCATCCCTGCTTGCCCTGGGCGGAGCGGGAACGGGCCCCCGCTGGATGGAACAGAGGCCCATGATAATCAGCTCACCGACCCGGGGTTACGGGTGCACCTTGATCACTCTTCCTCCTTCCATTGGCCGGGTAATGGCATCATCTCATGGTTCCCTTGGCTCGCTTGTCAACAATGTCCTCGTTTTACGTGATATATGCGGTTGGTCGACGGCTGTGGGGGTCCAAGGCCTGTCAACTGGATATCTCTTCCACGCGGAAGAGCTTGATTGGCCTCGGGGCATGTGTCAACCTGATTCCGGCTTCCTTCAAAGCCGTTGTCACCGTCCCCTAGTGCAGTGTGTGCATTTATCACTTTCTACTGCAGCAATGCAGTCATTGCGGAGGATCTGGTTGGCTTCTGGTCCGGAGCTACTTCATTAGGCGCATATTATTGACCTTTAGCCACCTGTATCAAACTTGACGTGTATTTATTTGCCTCAGGTGCCAGCTTCATTTGCCGTCTCGGATGCCTCGACGAGTAGTACTGGATCCTGTTGGCCGCCAGATGCTATAGCCGCCTCTTTCACCACCGGCGGCAGTCTCATCGCCCTCATCACAATGGTTCTCATCATGGAGAACGAAGTGCCTCGTCTCTGGCTCGCCTCAGCTGGCCTGGTCTTGTATCTTGGTGTCAGGACCATATATCGCCTTTATTTCCATCCGTTGTCTCATATCCCCGGACCAAAGCTGACAGCATGCTCACACCTATACGAGTTCTACTACAATATCATTCGCCCCGGCATGTTCCTCTTCGAGATCGAAAGGATGCATAAAAAATACGGTGAGGCACCTTTTGGCGACGTTCCTCAGACACGCGTCCTAACGAAACATGGACGAAATCAGGCCCCATTGTGCGGATCAATCCCCGAGAGGTTCATATCAGCGATCCAGACTTTTACGACGAGATCTACGCTTCCAGCTCTCGCAAGCGGGATAAGGATCCCAAGTATGTCCCTACTTATGCCTTGCCCGGCTGCATGGTGGCGGCTGTGAGCCACGAGCAGCACCGGTTTCGACGAGGCATCTTGAAGGACTTTTTCTCCAGACGTTCCGTCGCCGAGCTGTCGGATTCGGTCAACGAGCGGGTGCAGAAGCTCATGAGGCGCCTCGAGGCGGACCGGCTCAACGGGACAATCGTATCGCTTGACAACGCCTTTTCAGCGCTGACATCCGACATCATCACGGCGTACTGCTGCGGTAAGGACTGGGACTTTGTCGAGGACGAGAACTTTCGCGGTGACATACGCAATGCTGCTGAGAACGCCATTGAATTCACCCACATCTCGCGCTTCGTCCCGTGGCTCGTCTACGCGATGAGCGCGCTTTCGCCGCGCACCATGGCCTGGGTCATGCCTGGCAAGGCCAAGCTCTTCGAGTTCCTCGAGTCCTTCTTGGAGTACGGACAGATGGAGTCCCATGCGGACAAGCGAAAGACGATGGTGGCCACCTTGGCCGACCCAAGCATCCCCGAAAAGGAACGGGACTACTATCGACTCCGGGACGAGACGTTTGGCCTCCTTGCCGCTGGCACGGAGACGACTGGTCGGGTCTCAACCATTGCCGCGTTTTATCTGGCCAGCGACAGCAGAGTGCGGGAGAAATTGCAGGCGGAGCTGAAGCAGGCCATGCCGACGCTGGATGTCCGGCCAACATGGGTTGAGCTGGAACAACTGCCTTATCTGGTGAGTTGCAGTTCTTCACCCTCGGGACAACTGAACCAACATGCATATATGGGACCCAGTACGCTGATTCACTTACCGCCAGAATGCCTTTATCAACGAGTCATTGCGGCTGGGCTATGGTATCACCGCTCGACTCCCGCGAGTAGCACCGAACGAAGCTCTGCGGTATAAAGAATACGTGATCCCGCCAGGAGTGAGTTGATGAACAGTCTGATCCATTGCGCGCTCCCTCTCTCCCCCTCTTCTTCTCTGGATTCTCCCGTCTAACCCACATTTTCTTCCCGCGCGAAACCCAGACCCCTGTCAGCAGTTCCACATATTTCATCCATAACAATGCCTCCATCTTCCCCGACCCGGACACGTTCCGCCCCGAGAGGTGGATCGAAGCCGCGGAAAGAGGAGAGAACCTGAAGAAGTACCTTGTCACGTTCAATCGGGGAAGCAGAAGCTGCATTGGTATCAAGTATGTCACGCGTTCTTATCTTGTTACGTTTCCCTTTACGAGTCCATTCCCATGCGCTCCATATGGCAGCACGGCTCCGCCCTTATTACTGCTCAGAATAGTGCATGCAGCTGACTGACAGCACTAGCCTCGCATACCTGGAGCTGTTCCTCACGCTCGCACACTTCGCCCGTCGCTTCAACGTGGAGCTGCACGACACGGTGCTGGACGACATCCGCATTGTCCGGGACATGACCATGGGCGTGACCAGGCGCGGCGGCGTCAAGGTCTATGCCAAACTGTTGCCAGTCGAGGAGTAGGGCCATCTGTCTTCCTGTCTCTCTCTTTTGTTTGGCGGGACTCTGAAGGAATGCGCTTGTTGCAAGGCCAAGAGTCCGATCCCCTGACCTGGCATGCTTTGCTAGACCGCGCAGCCCCAAGGTGCAAGAGTAGAGCGTAATTTCGGCGCACAAACACAGCAGAGTCCCAAGACTTTGCAAAAGACAGGGGACAGTATTGGATATGCAGCTACAAATTTGTAATTGTGATTTGTTCTTGATTGCGCTGCGTGACGAGGCAGGCTGCCGGTTGGACCAAATTTCCTTTGGCTGCTGGGGGTCCAAGTCAGTGAGTGGTATTGTTTGCTAACAGAGACGGCACACACAACCAGCCCGTTTTGCTCCTCCAACCCCCTGGCATCATTAGCTAATCTGTTCCCAGTCTCCCGGTTTTCTGGTCGAACACCATCTGAAGGGACCAAGGAAGGGGAAGTAAGACAGTCGGGTGCCTCTCATTGGTTACCAAGAAAAAAATAAAGCCCGTCATCAAGACTTGTCTGGCGGTGTGAAATTAATTAGAAAGTGTGTGTCTGACATCCCAAAGCGGAGAGAGGGGGGGACAGGACGTATCAAAGTTCTCGTGCAGAGAGGCAGAGAGAGAGAGAGAGAAACAGCTGCCTTTCCTGCCTCTCGGGCTGGAGAACGACAGCCTCCCAGACTCATTTCATTTCATTTCTTCTCCCTTTCCATCCTGCCTTCCGATTCCCTTCATGCTCGCTCTTCCAGCTTCTTCGGACTTGCAGAAGCTTGCTTTGCCCGTGCTGACTCCACTAGCTGGCAGCTGAAATCATCAGAAGGGAGAGGGCCTCCTCCCCCCCTGTCTAGCGGCCTTTATGTGCTTTTCAGCTGTTTAAAACGGAGTGCCCCTTGTGGTGGTTTCGTTTCAGTTGCATTGTCGCAACGGTTTGAAACCCACCACCAACCAACAACACCAACAGCGTTATCCTCAACACCATCGTGAGCATCACGAGCACTGCCGTATCATTGTCTAAGTGACGATCACATCTCGCCTGCTTTGCCAACCCCGCCCCCGTCGTCCGCCTCTGTCGATCCAAGCACCCGTCACCAGCAAACCCACCTTGCAGAAACCGGCTCGCCAGCAGCACCAAATGGGGTCTTCCGGTAACCCGCCGGGTGAGAACTCGAAGCGCAATAGTACGCTTATGGATCTCAAGAACTTCCAGTTCACCTTTGACTGCTCCGATTTTATCGAGCCCGATGTATGTGCCTCTCCCGCGTCCCCAGATCCGTGGCTGCTGGCCATTGGCTACGGCCGAGCTCCATTTCCAAAGCTTTTCCCTGCTTTCTGTGCATACCTACTACATCAGCTTTTAACGTCCTACTTACTTACTCTTGCTTGTCATCGTGCAGTCAGCTTTTGAACGAAAGTGAGCAGATTCCGGCATGAACAACAACGCGCCAGCATTGTCGAAGCTCTCTAACCCATCCAACTTTCTGCCCCTATAGAGACGACACGATATCCTTGTCCGAGAGCGTGCTGGACTTTCCCCGAGAGTTTGGCCGCACGTATCACGCCTACCGAGCAGGATGTAGGCAAATCTCGATATCCACCTTGACCAGGCCTCAATGCTGACAGCTATATCTTCCTGTTCTGTCACCGCAGCATACGCCTTTCCCAACGATATCCCCGAGCAGGAGCGTCTGGCCTTCCAGGGGCCTATCATTAAAAGGCTCTTTGGAGACAGACTCTACTTTGCCCCCCTCTCGCAATCGAATCCTCCGCGGTTCATCCTCGACGTGGCCACCGGCGTCGGCGACTGGGCCATTGAGATGGGGGACATGTTTCCGACGTCCGAGGTCATCGGCACGGACCTTTCCCCTATCCAGCCCGCCATGGTGCCTCCAAACGTGAAGTTCTACGTCGATGACTCGTAAGTCGAACCCCCCCTTCCGTCCAAGAACTAGAGAGGCGGAGGACTTGGTGTTTACCCTGCGGCTAACCCTCCCTCTCCTTTTCTGAAGCAGGTCGGATGAATGGAACTTCACGGACAAGTTCGGCTACATACACACCCGCCTGACGGCCGGCTGCTGGAGCAACTTTGAGACAGAAGTGGCCAAGCAGGCCTTTGAAGCCCTGGAACCCGGCGGCTGGTTCGAGTCGCAGGAGGTCGAGGGTGTCTTCAGTTGCGACGACGGCACGCTGGACCCAGCCGGCCCGATGTGCACGTGGCTCAACGAGATGCGCGACGCCGCCGAGATCATGGAGCGCCCTGCCGTGCTGGGGTCGATACTCAAGGAGGTCTTTGAGCGCGTCGGCTTCGTCGACGTGCAGGATCGCATCTTCAAGATCCCGACCAACGAGTGGCCGCGAGACGAGCGCCTCAAGGAGATTGGGAGGCTGTGGGGGGAGAACTTTTCGCAAGGGCTGAATGGCTTTTCGATTCAGCTTATGAATCGGGTCTTTGGACGGAGTCCGGCGGAGATTGAGGTGAGTCCCGAATATTTATTTTCACATGTGGTAGATGCATGGGGGGTAGAGGGAGGGAGGCGTAGGACTCCTGGGGATAATTTACCCCCTGTCTCGGATTGGTTGTCGTACGGTTTGCTGACTTGTTTTTTTCCCCTCTTGGAAGCTCCAATTGGTGAAAATAAGGGAGGAGCTGTCTAATCCGCAGATTCACGCTTATATGCCTGTTTTTGTCGTATGGGGGAGGAAGCCGTATGTCGGGGAGCAGGTAAATACCCCTATGACGGAGTAGACATGGTCATTCTGCATATATACGAGCGTGTTACGGTTTAATTTTCCCGAAGACGGCATGGAATTTCTTAATTTTGAGAATGAATGGCAATATGTAATGAGATAGAGCGTTGAATAAGCAGGTAATACAGCGTGGTTTTAGTTCGGAGCAGGAATCAAAACAAAAAGAGGCGTTCAGTAGAGGCGTACGGCGATTACTATGCCCCTTAGGTATATATCATAACAACATGTAAGGACACAGAGCATAAGAAACTGACAAAAGATTGAGCAATTTAGAAGACGCAGAACGATTATGCTCGACAAGTCCAGATTATGTAGACTTGGCCTCAGCCGCCAAGATCCTCTCCACAACCTTCAAAAACCCCTTCTCCTTTGCATCTTTCAAAGCAGCCTGGCCCTCCTCGCCAGCAGCCCACAATCCATCAATCACTGCTCCAGCATCCAACAGCCTCTCGACAATCCCAGGGTAGCCCTCCTTGGCAACCCGCTGTACAGCAGCCTGACCTCTGTGACCGACAGCCCAGTCCGGGTTCACCTGTGCTCCAGCAGCTAAGAGCCGCTCCACAACTGCTACGTAGCCCTGGTCGGCAGCACGCTGCACCGCTGACTGGCCATTGTGGCCGGCAGCCCATTCGGGGTGTATCTCTGCTCCAGCCGCCAGGAGCCTGCTGACGACGCCCATGTGTTCTCTTGCAGCAGCAGCCTCTAGAGCAGTCATGCCGTAACCGCAGCTGTGCTTTGTGTTGACGTCGGCTCCAGCGGCTAGTAACTTGTCCAGTATAACGAGATCGCCGTTAATGGCAGCAGCCTGTAACGGGGTTGGCGAATCTATCCAGTATAAGAAGCCGTTGACGTCGGCTCCAGCTTTCACCAGGCTCTCGACAACTTGGAGGTGGCCATTCAGAACAGCGTCCTGTAAGGCAGTATTGCCCCTGTTGAAGGTAGGTCCCCTTGCGTTCACGTTCGCTCCAGCGGCCAACAGCCTTTCAACAACATCTTGATGTCCGTGTCTCGCGGCAGCCTGCAAAGCTGTGTGGCTCCAATGGGTAGCTGGCACTTCATTGACGTCGGCTCCAGCATCTAATAGCCTTTCGACGATGTCTAGGTAGCCCCCCTCAGCAGCGTTGTGCAAAGCAGTTCGACCTTGATTGATGGTTGGCCACATAGAATTTACATCTGCTCCAGCGGCTAGTAGCATCTCGACAATACCTGAATACCCCCTGGCAGCTGCAGCTTGTAATGCACTCTGACTGCGGTGATGCTCGGTTGGCTTTGCGTGAGTGTCTGCCCCAGCATCCAGAAGCATCCGAACAATGTTCAAATAGCCCTTTGCAGAGGCGATTTGCAATGCAGTTTCTTGAGAACCCCTGAGCTCTGTATTCACGTCGGCCCCGGCGTGCAAAAGCGTCTCGGCAGTCTCAGGATGGCCACCAGTTAAAGCAGCCTGCAATGCAGTTTCGCCATGTTGCTGAGCTGGTGCTGCATTGACGTCGGCTCCAGCATCCAAGAGCAACTTTGCCACGTCCAGGTGGCCTTTTCCAGCAGCAGCCTGCAGCGCGGTTCGACCGATGTCGTTGGCTGGTTCTGCGTTGACATCTGCCCCTGAGCTTAGGAGAAGTTTGACGATGTCCATGTGGCCATGCTCGGCAGCGATCTGCAACACAGTTTGGCCGCAATGTCCAGCTACCCTCAAGTTGACGTCGGCTCCAGCGGCTATTATCTTCCCAGCCATCTCGAACTGTCCTCTTTCAACCGCAGTATGCAAGACAGTCCCGCCAGTCTGGTTCGGCGAGACGGCATTGACATTTGCTCCGGCCTCCAGGAGTGCGTCAAAGACATCCATTCGATCCTCTAAAACTGCAAGTTGTAACGGAGAATGGTGAGAAAACTGACTGCCGTGTGCATTCACATCCACTCCGGCAGCCAGGAGATTCCGAATCTCATCAGTGGTGCCATGAAGTATGAACAGGCACAGTTCATCGGCCCCGTTCACACCCGCGGCTAACAGACCCTTGATGGCATCTAGATCGCCGCTCTTGGCTGCGGCCTTCCAATCACTTGAACCGTATGCGCCCGCAGCCAAGAGCTTTTCAACCACGTGAGGGTGGCCACGATGAGCGGCGACTCGTAACGCAGTTTCGCCATCTACACGAGCGTTTAACAGGTACTTGAAGAGATCTTGATCGCCATCCCTCACAGCGGCTTCCAAGAGGAAGTAGCTGTCAGCACCAGCGGCTAAGAGACTTTGAATCGAGGCGATGTTGCCGGTTTTCATGGCGGCTTGCAAAAGAACTTGACCATCGACCCCAGCGCCTCTTAGGCAGTGGATGGCTTCTTGGTTGCCAGCTATTATGGCGGACTGTGAAACAATCTGAGCATCCACACCAGAGCGTATGAGGTGCCTGATAGCTTCCCGATCGTTATTTTCGACGGCGGCTTGTATCGCGACCTGGCCGTCGCTAACTGTCAGAAGATGATCGATTAGGTCTTTCTTGCCACTATGAGCAGCAGCCAGTAACGCAGCCTGAACATCAGCTCCGGCAGTGATAAGCCTTTTGAGAACCTCAAGCTGATTGCCTTGTACTGCTATTTGACAAGCATGATCGATCTTGAGACCCAAGCTTTGAGTCTCCAGAATGATGTCGAGTAGTGTAATATCACCATGACTTGTTGCCTCAAGAAGCACTTGATTTCTGTCGTCAGTTGTTAACATAGAGGCCTGAACCAAAAGCTGTACGAGAGCGTAGTGGCCATATTTGCAGCTCCATATCAATAAAGCCGTGTTGCTCTCATCGGATTCTCCTTCGTCCCAGGGTCTCTTCGCGAGGTCGTGCCCATCTCGTATCATTTGTTCCCACAAGCTCCATGTTTTGGACTTGTCTCTTCCAAATCGTGTCGTATGAGACATCCAGTGGATGGCGGCATATGCCAGGAAAGGATGTCCCGCTTCTATGCTTTCGCGCGGATCACCCGCGTTGTCTCCTCGTGCCGTAGCCTCTACGGCAGTCGCAGCTTCTGAGCCTCCCCGAGTATCCAGATTGAACTTCCAAAGAGAGGAAAACGAGGCCGCCGCCTTCCATTGGGGCCGCAAAGCTGTGCCTGCCATTGCTATGGGAGGCATAGGTGGTAAGGGCTGCTGTCGTCGGGCAAGAGTCTTTTCAAAGTCGTTCAAGTTGAGATAGGTTACGCATATCTCGCCAACATAGTGATCGGCGTCTTCGATGTTGATGAGAAACTGGCTATGCCGCGCCTCCTGAGACTTTCCGATTAAGAACTGCTGAACGCTCTGGTGGACGAATTGCACAGTGTGTAACTCTTCATCGACTTCAACAAGGTTTTCACACCACGAGCTGATGTGTTTTATGCCATTGGGTCGTCGCTCTGGCTTCAAATACGGCTGTCCGATCTCGATGAAGATCACCTCGCTCAGCTGGTCCAGAGTCAGAGGCTCCTTTGCAGCGGCAACCCATCGAAAAATCTGTTTTGCAATATTGGCGTTTCTGCCAGAAATGATTCGGTCGAGTACCCGGTCGAACGTCTCTTCCAAGTTTTTGGGTAGATTATGAATGGCTCGCCGGATATCGTCATCACACCGTTGCAGGGCGAGTTCGTCAATCTGAAAGGACACCCAGAGAAACCTGAGTAAGTCAATATATGGCAGGCATCTCAACACTTGATGGTCACTCACATGCCATCAGCCCCTTCGGTCAGAGCAATTTTGATATCTTCAATCAGACTCAAATCTTCGACTATGAGCTCTTCGCTCTGCAGTTTATCCTGCACTATACCCTCAACGTATGTTGCAATATCAGCTTGCACTGATGGGCATGCCATGGAAATATGATTGCCTACGATAGTAAATGCATTTCGTATCTCTCGCGACACACTGTCACGTCCCGCGAGGAAAAGCTTGGTGTTTGGTTTAGTTGCCAGGAGTGACGAGAGGGCTCCGAGAAGGTCACCTCGATCTTGCTTGCTGCACTCATCTATCCCGTCTATGGCGATATAGAATGCCTTGAAGGATGCCACTGTTCTTCGTAGTAGTTCGAGAAGGTCTTGCAGTCCAGAAGATAGGCTGAGTCTCATCCGTTCCAATAAGGATTCGATCTCTCTGGAGGGCCTCGACGCATGGAGTGCTTGTTGAATAATCGACTTGAGGATCGTTTCAGCGTTCAAAGATTGCTGGTCATCAAATTGTATGAAGAAGAAAGAGACGAGCATGTCTGGTCTCCGCTTGTCCGTCAAGAGTTTATCAATCAAACTCGCCCTAGAGCATGCTGTTAGAATCCACCCATAGATCAACACAAGCTTGCATCGGACAACTAACGTGAGAATTGTCTTGCCAGAGCCAACTGTAGGCACAGTCAGAAAAGATGTTTCCTCGGTTGCAGCGTGAAGGCGACTTACTCTTTCCGGAGCACCAGAGCAATGGGGATTCAGAGTCATTGATCCATCGATCAAACTCACGTGTTTTGAACAGCCAATCCAATGTGCCATTATATCGCTTTCGACGGCTTTGTTTGAGAGGGGTCACGTAGTCATGGGTCGATAAGAAGTCGAGCAGCTGCTGCCTTCGCTCCATAGCTCTCCTCATGTCGACTTCCGACTGTAACCTAGCCATCAAGGCCGACCTGTCATTGTCTTGTGCGAACATTCTTTTTAGCTTCTGGCTCTTGGAAGATTTCTTCTGCGCTATTGTCTGTAGCTGCCGATCCTGATGATGTGCCTTTGCTTCAGCGAGAGCAATCTCTTTGTTGACGCCTGTGCTGTATTTTTCCATATCGCGTGCATGCTGCTCAAAATCTTTCTGTAATGGACTCCATAGATAATTCGTGACGTGCCTTGGCCCTTTGTCCTGTTAGAATGGTTGCTTGGGTTGGGGAGCTTCTCATACCTACCTATATAACGATTAGAACGGAATTGTTAGTTAACTGGCAACTATCATCGATACATGCTCGTCATGACATACATTGGCGTTGAGAAGTCTGTACAACACGCTTGCAATAGCGAAGAAAAGACGCATAGAACTTGCAAAGAGCTTTCTGAAGTTGAGTTGATGACGAACAGTGAACCTGGTACTCTGTACGGCGTGGGAAAAGACGGCCAAGTTCCATGAAGCTCTTCGATACCCTTTCATAGTATGACTTTCTTCCGATGACGATCTAACGCTGTATAATTAATATCATTAATGAAAAGAATATGGACAGTGCGAGTGACTTGCAAGCATTGTCAACCTTACACTTCCCCATATAAAGGAAGCAAGATCATTGTGTGCCGGGCCCAGTGTTTCAATGACGGCGGAAAAGTCTCTGACGGACTGGAGGAGAGAATAAAGTCTACCGGCAACGCCAAGTCCCTTTCTGTCCCTGTTGAGTAAGTCGAGCTCAGCTGTGAATACAAGTACGGCATCTGCATCTGGTACATTCTTGGCGTTTCTCAAGTCGCAACGTTGTTCAGGGGTAAGGACGGTCTGGAACTCAAAAAGTGCATCACGCAACGCTTCTGTCCCGTTAGGCTCCATGATGAGAACATCGGAGGTGAATGGGGATGAGTTCCTGCTGGTGCGTGCCGGTTCAACATTTACTTGAAGGAGACGGCCCTGACCACTAGGCTCTGTATTACTCCAGTGTTAATATCATGCGGTAATTGGGAAAAGACTTCATCTTACTAGTGATAGGAGTAGGGAGCTCAACATCGTCAGTTGAAGCATACCGTTCCAACATGGCTTTGACCACGGCTGCCGCCGTTGCCGCTGCAAAGGGCTGCCAGATCTTATTTTTGTGACTATCGGCATAGTCACAAATGCCCTTGACGACAATACAGGGTGCCTCGTCCCAGAGGCCAGCGCCTTCCATCTCAAAAGCGATGATGTTGTGTTGTTTGGCGATCTGGTCCCGGTGAACTCCGGACTTCATGACTGTATCTGCTGACGCGATGCGCCCAATGTAGATTTCTGGACACTGCGCCTCCTCCACCTCGAGGCATCGCTTGGCTTCGAGTCGCTGTCGAGAGACGAGTTGTTCCTCATCGCATCCCGCTTCTGCACATGATGATCGTGCAGCTTGGTCGCAGAACGTTTCAGGTCCGTCACAACATGGTTGATTCTGATGCCTATGACGATAGACTGCCACGAAAAGTTCATCTTCAGTGAACCCCGGGTATCGGTAGCGTCGCCTGTAACGCCTCACCTCTGCCATCCCTTGTAGAACTCTCAAGTGTTTGGCGGTGCTCTTCCGTAGGTCCTCCATCCCCATCTCGGATTTGTAGTAGGCAAGCAGGGTGCGGATGTCCTTGTTTGGCATATTTTGGGTGGCATCAACGGTGCCTTTAGGAACAAAGTCGCCGGGGTATTGTCTGCCAAAGCCATACTGAACGATGGCCTCGCCGATTACCACGTCTCCAAGCAGCGCTTCTTGTGACCCGATGAATGGAACTCCGCCGCAGACCCCAACGAGAAAGGCGACTTTCAGGCTCGAATAGCTGGTCCTCAGGCTAGCTGCCGAGCCAGCAACTGCAGCTTTGCCCATGTTTGGTAGAAGCATGAGGACGACGTTGTGCATGCCAATCCGCCCGTTGCGGTACGTGTTGGCGTCCCCAGAGGTTCGTCCGTACTGCCTACCATCCTCGTCCCAGAACTCGTCAACCAGAAGCGTGGCAGCATCATACTCGAGCGGTAAAGCACAGATGATCGCAATCTCGAAGTCCTTTCGATGTGATGGCCGACGATAAGCAGCTTCAGTGTCAGCCGATGAAGGACTAGACGAAGAGAAGGACATCTTGGCGATGGCGGGCAGTGGCGAGCGCTTCACGAGGGCCTCGCTCTCTCAGTGACGAAGAGCGACGTCGAATCAACTGTTGCTCTGCATGGCAAGAGCATTGGACAAGTTCGATCCAGGGCACCAAAATGCTCGCATTAGGTTCTGAGGCGCTTGTGCGGATTGTATGGTGTCAGACAAGTCAATCAGACACATTTCGCGGCAATAAAGACGACTCCAAGAGACACAGGGCGATGGTTGGGAAGAATCAAGATGTTCCAGCATTCATGTTCTGCGACGGATTCAGCCTCAGTTGTCATGGGTGCCTGATTGGTACCTACCTGGTAGTTGGGTGGTTGGTCGAATCATGCAGGCCTTCTAAGGCCGCAGATGCAGTTGACCGATCATGTGCTCGTCCGGGGACCTCTTGAAATATACGTGATGGACTGGGAATGCAAGCTGTTAGTGAGAGTGAAAAAAAAAAAAAAAACAGTGATGAACATAGGAGCAGGGCCTTTATATACTCTGTAATAAAAGGAAGCTTACGAGTAGGTCAAGACTGGTGTAATATTGTGAGACTGGGTAATTGGATAACAGTGTCTCTTCTGATTTGCGTTCACATAATAGGTACCTTACCTGTTACCTAGGTACCTACATGTGAATTGCCCCGTTAGCCGGCCTCTCAAGTGTGTACACTTTCACCATTCGTACCTTACCTTAAGCTTCCAGCTTAATAGGTACCTACCTACCCAGTGATCACCATCCAACAAGAATGCAAGCAAACAAGCGGATGCTCAAGCACTCTACCGCAAGTGTAATCCTTCATCGGCCAGGAGTAGACGAGCTTAACTTGTCCCAAGTCTGCGAAAGGCCTCGTCGATATAGAAGCATTTCTTGATCGAGTTGCTGTTCGACCATTTGTTCCATGGGTATACTGTACTAGGGGGGTCTTGAAGTCGACCACTTCCCGTGGTGAGCACAGCTAACACGGGGGGGTCGTTGATTAGGAAAATGCGCCTTTGATTCGGAAAAGATTTCGATACCTGGCCTTGCATACTAAGTTATATGGCAGCTGAGGTAGCGATTTTAGCGCGGGGTTACTATCGGACTAAACAGCTTATGCATTAAAAAGAGAGTACATGCACTTGCGTGCGCCTTGCACTGAAAGACAGGTACTAAATTTTTTCCGAATCAACGGCACATTTTCCTAATCAACGACCCCCCCGTGTTAGCTGTGCTCACCACGGGAAGTGGTCGACTTCAAGACCCCCCTAGTACCGGTTTTCCTTATTGCTCCCTCCAATTACTAGGTAGCCGCTGCCTCATCTCGCAGGTACATGACGTACCAGAGAAGACTCTCATTTCACGGGCGTATACGCCATAACTGGTAGGGGGGGGTATCGATTTCAACTACTTTCATGCTGACTGCCTCTGATAGATCATATCCCCCTATTCATGAACGCAACTATTAGTCCCTCTTGTAACACAAGCTTGTTTACCTTACCTAGGTATCTGGCAGTACATGTACCTTAGGTACCTTATCCTGTTCCATTTCAAGACCTTCAGAAGTGCAGGTGGAGCCAACAGGTGTGTCATAGAGGGCAGCTACTGACCGCCTACCGCAATAGGAAACAGTGCCCCTCCCCCGCCCGAAGATCGGAGTACGGCAGAATTCTTTTCATACCCGAGCTCGTAGGATATGATTCATACGACTGACCTTTCTCAACACCATTCACGTGGTAGACACGACACCTTTCAGGATACCAGCTTGGACTGCTATCCAGGACACATTTCCTACAAGGCAACTTCTCACGCAGTCTAGATCTCACCATTCTGCTGCGGCAATGGGGCTTCCGGATCCCACCGTCGACCTTCACTGGAGCAGCTATATCGGCGCCATCCACGAGATCTTCCACAAAAATGCCCTGAAGCATCCCGATGCGCCGTGCGTCACAGAGACGGCCTCCTCCACGACTCCCGAGAGGAGATTCAGCTACAAGCAGATTTATGAGGCGTCCAACATCTTGGCCAACCAGCTCCGGGAGGCTGGCATCGAGAATGGCGATGTCGTCATGATCTTCGCCTACCGTTCCGTCGAACTCATCATCGCCTTCATGGGAACCCTTGCTGCCGGTGCTACCATTACCGTCCTGGACCCCGCGTACCCCCCGGCAAGACAGCAGATCTACCTCGAAGTCTCACAGCCAAAGGCCCTGATCACAATCGGCAGAGCTAGGGACGAGAATGGCACTTTTGCGCCGCGTGTCCAGAAGTACATTGACGAGGAGCTTTCTCTCAAGATCCGGGTGCCCGAGCTACGGATGAGTGATGATGGCCACCTTACCGGCGGTGAGGTTGACGGCAAGGAAGTCTTCACCAACACCGAAAGCAAGGCATCGGCGCCTCCAGATGTTCTCGTGGGACCGGACTCAACAAGTATCCTGAGCTTTACCAGTGGCACCACATCCACACCCAAGTACGAGATGCAGCAATTCGTCGAGTTCGCACATTAGCTGACTGCTTGCAGGGGCGTGTTGGGCAGACATTACAGCTTAGCCAAGTACTATCCATGGATGGCCCGAACCTTCAACTGGACCTCGGAGACCAAGTTTGCTTGTCTCAGGTACCTTGAACCCTACATGTTGAAGATGATACCCGTCATACCCCTGCTAACCGAATGATAGTGGTATAAGCCATGATCCTATCCAGCGAGACATCTTCACCCCAATCTTCATGGGCGGGGAGCTGATCATCCCTGCTCGCGAGAACATTGCCCACGAAAAGTTGGCTGAATGGTTCCGCGATCACAAGCCCAATGCGGTCCATTTGACCCCCGCGATGGGTCAAATCCTGGTGGGAGGTGCCAAGGCAGAGTTTCCCTCATTGAAGTGGGTTCTCTACGTTGGTGACATTCTGACCAAGAAGGATTGCGCTGCGCTCCGCAAGCTGGCTCCTAACGCGGACATCTGCGCTGCGTATGGTACCACCGAGACGAGCCGCAGTGTATCATATTACCACATCAAGAACCACGCCGAGGATCCGAACGCATTGGATCAGTTTGGCGATATTGTTCCTGCCGGAAGGGGTATCGAGAACGTCCAGCTTCTCGTAGTCAACCGGGAGGATCCAACCAAGCTTTGCGGCGTCGGCGAGGTCGGTGAGATTTACCTGAGATCAGCAGGCTTGGCCGAGATAAGTTTCCCTTTATTCTGTATGACAGGGCCCTGCTAACTTGTGACTTCACGGATATCTGAATGACCCGGAGAAGACCAAGGAAAAGTTCATTGATAACTGGTTCGTCGACAACCAGAAGTGGGTTGAGGCTGATAACCAGGTCGCCGACCTCGCCAAGGAGCCCTGGAGAAAGTATTACAAGGGCCCCCGAGACAGAATCTATAGAACCGGCGACTTGGGCTATTTCCTGGATGACTCCGGTAACTGCGCAATCACGGGCAGAGCTGATGATCAAGTCAAGGTCCGCGGCTTCCGCATTGAGCTCAATGAGATCGATAGCAACCTGAGAGGACACAATCTGGTCCGCGAGTGCAAGACGCTGCTTCGAAGAGATCGAAACGAAGAACCAACATTGGTCAGCTATATCGTGCCTGAAGAACAAGAGTGGCTCAAGTGGCTGGCAGAACGCGGCCTGGAAGACACGGAGGAGCAGGGTACCGAGATTGGACCGGTCACCGTGTACTCCAAGCGCTTCCGGCCAATGCAAGCGGAGATTCGAGATCACCTCAAGTCTCGATTGCCAGTTCACGCCGTCCCGACTTACTTCATCTTCCTGAAGAAGATGCCTCTGAACCCCAACGGCAAGATCGACAGCCCAAACCTGCCCTTCCCAGATGCGGCCCTGATATCAGAGGAGGCTTCAGAGGAGGATCTGAAGATATGGGAGTCTCTCAGCAGCACCGAGAAGGAGCTGGCAGAGCAGTGGGCAACACTGGTCAATGGCCTGAACGCCAAGACCCTGAGGCCCGAGTCTGACTTCTTCGAAAGTGGTGGCCACAGTCTGCTGGCCCAGCAGCTTCTTCTCAACATCCGCAAGAACATGGGCGCCAACGTGACCATCAGCTCACTGTACTCCAACTCTTCCCTCCGGGCTCTCAGCACCCAGATTGGCCGCCAGCGTGAGGGCAAGTCCGATTCGGGCGCGGCCGAGGAAGGCGAGGCGGCATATGCCCAGGCACTGGACAAGCTGATTGGTAGCCTTGATGCCAAGTATCAGACCGCGGATCCTACAGCGCTTTCACCATCAGGCAAGACGACCGTTTTTGTTACCGGCGCCACCGGCTTCCTGGGCTCTTTCATTGTCAAGGACTTGCTCGAGCGCGAGAACGTACACGTCATTGCCCATGTCCGTGGAACAAAGGGCGTCGCAGCCGCCCTTGAGCGGCTCCAGAACTCACTCCGCGGATACAGCGTATGGCAGGATGCTTGGGCCCCTAGGCTCAGTGCAGTCATCGGTGACCTCGCACAGCCGCGCCTTGGACTTGACGATGAGACATGGAAGACACTCTGCGACACCGTCGATGTGGTAATTCACAACGGTGCCCTCGTCCACTGGGTGAAGCAATACAAGCATCTCGAGCGCAGCAATGTTCTGTCAACAATCGATGCTCTGCGGCTTTGCAACCAAGGCAAGCCCAAGCTGTTCTCATTTGTCAGCTCAACAAGTGTCCTGGACACTGATTACTACATCAAGCTGTCACAAGAGCAGACCAGCACTGGACGAGGCGCTGTCATGGAAGCAGACGACTTGATGGGCAGTCGTACCGGTCTCGGCACTGGATACGGCCAGACCAAGTGGGTAAGTAGTCATCTCAAGACCTTTTATGCGTTTGAGTGACACCCGATCTAACGGACTACAGGTATCTGAACAGCTTGTCCGCGAGGCCGGCAGACGCGGCCTCCTTGGATCCGTCGTCCGCCCTGGCTATATCCTCGGAGACGCCTCCACCGGTGTCTGCAACACCGACGACTTCCTCATCCGCATGCTCAAGGGCTGCATCCAGCTATCCAGCCGTCCGCACATCATCAACACAGTCAACGCTGTGCCTGTAGGCCACGTCTCAACCGTCGTCGTCGCAGCCAGCTTGAACCCCGTCCCGGCCGAAACCGCAAACAGCAGCGGCGACGTCGGTGTGCACGTCGTCCACGTCACCGCCCATCCTCGCCTGCGCATGAACGAGTACCTCTCCATCCTGAGCTACTACGGCTACGACGTTCCCGAGGTGGACTACGACCACTGGAAGGCCCAGCTCGAGACCTTTGTCTCGGCAGGCCCTATCCAGAAGGACGAGGAGCAGAGCGCTCTGATGCCTCTCTTCCACATGGCGACGAATAACCTCCCCGCAACCACGCGTGCACCAGAGCTGGATGATCGCAATGCTGTCGCTGTCCTCAAGGCCGATGCAGACCGGTGGACTGGTGTCGATGAGAGTGCCGGAGAGGGCATTAGCAGGGAAACTGTTGGCCGCTTCTTGAGGTACCTCGCTGAAATCAAGTTCGTGCCTTGGCCGACTAGCCGGGGTAGGGAGCTGCCGGCTATCAAGGCTGGTGTTGTTGAGGCGCAGGCGAGATGGGGTGTTGGAGGACGCGGTGGTGCGGCGTAAGGAAAGGCAACAGGGAAGAAAGTTTAGGTCTAGATGGTGAAAATGTAAAACTCTAGGGTGCTGGATAGCCACTCTCATTGAATGATTGCACATTCTGACCTGGCTACAGCTCAACTGTCGTACAACTCTTCTGTATGCTGGGACAAGTTCGTATCCTGAATAAGCGGCCTCGAGTGAAACAGTTGATCATGCTTGCCCGACTTCCAATTCCAGGAGAATCTCTAGATGCCGTATTCTCATATATTCGACGCCTGGCGCTCCCCTGTTGTTCATATGTTGAAAGATAACGGACGCTACCTGGTTAGGGGGGGTCCAAAGACTCCCAGCTCTTCAAAGGTCCTTTGCACGCTGTACTACCCGTAATGGTGCTGAAGAAAAGCATTAACTTCAGTTTCAAATGTCATGATATCCGCTTGTAACAACGCGGGGTCGTCATCTTGTCCAATGCCAGCCAGGGAAAGGGTGTGTGCGTAATGTGGAGTGAGAGGGTTGCCCTGATTCAACACCTGGCTCTTCTCATCATCCGAACACCAGTCGTAAGGCTCGTTCTCTAGAATAATCTGCGTGATAGGATCAAACGCCAGGTCTTTGAGCAGCAGATGTCGATATATACAGCTACCTTCAGACTTGTACAAATCTGCCTTCGTCTCCGTAAAGGGAACAGCGTTGTATGTCAGACTAGAGTGCGAGTGTTTCTGGGCCACCTCGCTCCACATGGGGATGATCCGGGCCTGGCATGTCATGGTGTTTTCAAAGCTTCTCCAGACCATGCTGGCCCGACGGTCCTCATGCATGTACCGAAAGATGTAAGCGCTGCTATCGTGTTCGTCAAGGTAGGTTCCCCAAAGCTCGAAAACTTCCAGTTGGGGAAGCGACAGAGCCGTTTTGGCTGCAAGAAGTACCAGCGATCCAAATTCCATACTGCTCGTTTGTGAGCTTGACAGAGAGCAACGCAGAATGATGCGTTTCAGGGAGCTTTCAACCGTCTCGGGTGATTCCCCTAGCTCTATGATAGACTGAAGAAAGGCACCTGCATCCATCTGCCAGGGTGGGCAGAGTTGCTCCAGTCTTTGAGAGACCTTTGCCATCTTCCGAAGCAGGTTGGCTTGAGCATGCAGAGATAAGCCGGGCCCTCCATTCCCGTGTGTAGGATTGCGCTCTTTTCTTGGAATGTCCCACTGCGTGAAGGAAAATTGGCGCAACGTCTTTGGCAGCGAGGGCAGTAAACGTGATTGGAAGCCTGAGGAAAGGGCGTCAGTTTCATCAGACAGTCTTTGCAAAGTGTGGCTGCACATTACATAGGTACCTTGATCAAAAGTAAGTTGATGACGAGGCTTCAGGCAAAGAGTCCTTTCAAAGCAGAACCATTCCAATGCCACAAAGCTTCTAGCCAGTAGGCAGGACAGCGATCCTACGTGAATTTCCCTGCGAAACTGTCTGCGCATTACTAGCCCTTTGACCATCGGCACAGCAGGAAGGGACCTGTGTTGACTGATGAAGCGACCTCGCTTGCCTCTTCGTACCAAACGGAGCGGAGTTCCATGCAGCCTTTTGAAATGCCCGTTGTGCCACGGCATAGAGTCGCCGCGATGAACACCTTGGATAAACGGATGAGCAGTATTTGCCTGGTGGAACTCAACCATGCCGGGTGAGAGACCGAGATCTTCTGCGTAGTGAAATGGGTAATTGTCCTTCATTTCGCATCGACTGAACCAATGCGCTGTATCACTGGGTGAAGAAACGGACAACATCAGAACCAGTCCCTGTGCTCCATGCCTCGCAGGGACCCAGAGCTTGAGAGTCCCCAACAGAGACAGAATACAGTCCGTGAATATACCGTTGTTCCTGCGAAGATTGATCAGTATCTGGAAAGTTCTAGTATTACCTCGAGTAGGGGATATGAGACCAACGTACAAATTCTGTGTCACAACATCCTCCGGGTAATTACAATCGGGACAATTGTATGTTGAGAGTTTGATTCGAAGCCAGAGTTTTCGAATATACCCCAAACGACTGTCGCGCCGCCTGATGATTGTGTCAAATCTGGCAAGAGAGTCAGGATCAAGAACAAGACGTCGAAATGTGCAAGTCTCAAAGAAGACCTGCCATTCCCTGCACACAGTAGCGAACGGAGCCAGCTTTGGGGAGGCCAGGCCGTCGTATTGCCTGCCAGAGAACGGTGAGCCCACAAAGTTCAGGATCTTTTGGCGCAGTTCAACCGGCAATCTGGTCCAAGAAGCGGCTTTGTCCATAGAAGATGGCGAGTCGACCTCCGGGGAATCGGTGGTCATATCCATGGCCATAGGGAACATGATATGGAGCGAATGGCTCTGCATTGACCGCTTGAGTTGATGAGTACTGAAGGACTAGGATGAAGAGATCCTTTTTGAAGATGCGGGTTGTAGAGGAAAGTAAAAGATGACTCATTGCTGCATGGAGGCTCAGGGGGGTTGGCTGCACGTAACTGGAAATGACATACCTGAGGCGCCTGTGGGCGTCAACTTCCTCATATTCACCTCCCCCTCAGACTTTTGGTTGGTCGTAAAGGTTCGTGAAGTTGTTGCAAAGCCATACTTTCTTCTATACTTACCTACCACATATTATATAACTTGGTGTTGCTATTAGGAGGGCTTGCTGTAGGGTTAGAAGTTGTAGTAGAGGTGAGGTACCTAGGAACGCTAGTAATCTATAGGTAGGTAAGCAAAGTGTGTTTGAATCCCTAAAGCTGAGCCTCTCGACTTGTAATAGGACTCTTTGCCAGAGATGATCTTCTCTCGACGTCTATCTGGAAATCGGTTGGCAAAGGAGAGAAGTAATCAGCGACGTGATCACTGACAAAGAAAGTCCATTTAGCAAGTAGAACCCGCTTTCATAAGTGTCAGGGGGCTACTTCCGTCTCTATTCCAAAGGCTCTTGTTTTTCTCCTATTACGAGAGTACCTCAGCCAGGAGATCTATTTCCTAGAAATTGTGATTTCGGAGAACATGCCAGCTGACATAGGGCCTGATGTCTCGGTTTCTCACGGGGTTTTCACACGTCATGTTATTCCCAAAGCAGGCTTTCAAACTGTTCCAAACAACTACCAGTACTTTGTCGCAGCCGCGGGCATTTATGTCTCCCAGTTGTGCAACATGATCAACATCCGCAACAATACCTACCTAGCCAGTGCAAAATGCTGGAGTACGCAGTCTGCGTCCAGCGCGGCGGTCTTGACGGCCGCAATGTCCTCGGCAATCCTTCGCTGGTTTTGCACATCAATGTCATAGAACGGTCAAACGGACTACTTGTTACGCCTGTATCCGAACAACAGACGAAGAACCCAGTATTGACATGACCTTCTTCACCCCTGGTGGTGGCGCAAGGTTTTCGCGTCATTGAGCTCGTACCCGAAAAACAAAAACTCTTGTAACTGAGTTGATACCGCGCTCACGATGGAGACATCCATTTGGTAATCTTTCCGATGATACGGCATAAACTTCATCACACAAGTGAAGGGCTGGCCACTCAGTACAGTCAGAGACGGTTTTACAGATCGGCGTCAAAGCATCCATCTTCATGATATCAAGTCTAAGAGGCTCTGCTATTCTACAGTGGTACTATTTAGAAGCTGTCATGTTATACCAGCACGTTACACGGGCTGATAAGGTTGACTTTGACCTTGAAGTCAAACTACCACAAGAATCAGGCGCAGGCTTGCCACGCACAAGCAACAGGACACAATGAGAAAGTGGGGGAGAAAACACATGCTGTGGCCCGGGAAGAGAATGCTGGAACATGGCGAGCCATTGCGCTGACACTCTAGATCGAATGCGCTGACACTCTAGATCGAATTCAACAGCGCTCTGCACTGCTCAGACATGGGCCTCTGACTATTCAGCGAGATATCTTGACCGTCCCCCCCTATTCAACAGGTCTAATATAACAATTGTCTTGTCGATTCACCGTGTTCACGAAACTACGTGGTACATAGCTACTCTGAATTCGTCCAGGTAGACCTTTGAGTGCCATTTACTCCTTCTTCCACTGATAGCTGGCAACGCCATCAGTGTTTGCTGTGTCTTTCTTCCACTGGTAGCTGGCGACAGCGTCAGTGCTGGCAGTATCTCTCTTCTCCTTCTTCCATTGGTAGCTAGCGACACCATCAGTGCTCTCGGTATCCTTCTTCCACTGGTAGCTGGCAACGCCGTCAGTGTTGGCAGTATCCTTCTTCCACTGGTAACTCGCAACGCCATCAGTATTGGCGGTATCTCGCTTCCACTGATAACTGGCAACGCCATCGGTATTCTCCGTGTCCTTCTTCCATTGGTAGCTCGCAACTGTGTCAGAGTCCTAGCACGACTTATAAGTAATTGGCGGTTTAGAGCACGGGAAGCCTAAAAAAAAAGAGAAGCGTACGGGGACAGGAGCAGCAGCCACTGAAACTGCGAATGCGATGCAGCTGAGAAGGACAGAAGACTTCATCTTGGTTTGTGTATTGTTGATGAAACAGCAAAGATTCGACGGTAGAATGGCTTGTACGGAACACAAAGAGGTGGAAACGCGGAGGGTGGCATCGGCCTTCCTTTAACGTCCGTGGATCTTACTATACCTTTACGTTTGCATGTCCTACATAACCACCAGATTCAGTAGCTTGTGGAAATCTCACGGCGGATCTTGAAGAGGCTTGGGGGTAAGAGTAACTAAGCTTGCCAACAAGGACCTTGCAATTTGTAGAAGGTGTCCCGTCTTGCCAAGGTCAAAAGCCCGGAATCCGGGGGCTTACCCACACAAGCTGCTGATATTCTCCAATTGGAAGGTGAGAGAGATATGTATGCCAAGCGTCAACTTGTATGACCATCTGTATATAGTACTATCTAAGAATCCCATCGAAGCTACATGCATGATAACGCAATCGCAGTGAGAGTCGACACAATGTACCACTGAGTATGCATACCTGATAGCAAACGTGAACGAGGAACTAACCCGTAGATCCACACTGCTGGATCTTTTGTCAACCAGAAGTACCTGGCTCTCAGAGACAGCGTAGTTCAAATCTACAGCTTTAGACGGAATTTGCAGGAACTTGCACCTCTCACTCCAATCTCTCGCAAGTTCACCGAGATGGAAACACACAGAGACCGAGATGAGAGCTCTATCGAAGAGTCTGATCCCTTCTTAGGTGTCTCAATATTCTCATCAAAGAAAGGGTCACAAAATCGAGGATGGAGGCGTGACGTACTCTTATACTCTCTCATCCTACTGCTTGGGATATCCCTAGGTTCTCATATCTTGATGTACCTCTACATCCACAGAGCTTCGTACCTTGACGCCTTATGCGTACAGCACACGCAACAGAACCGTGAGTCAAGCTCTCATTACGCTCTTTTGCATTCATATAGTTAACAAATTTCTAGCCACGCCCATTGATATCCCAATCCACTATCACTCTGTTCTTTATGATGGCACGTTCCTCGCGAACTCAACCTCCGTCTTCCGTCTCCCACCTTCACCAGAAGTCGATGCAGCATGGGAAGGCCTCGGCACGACGTCAAAGCCTCTTGTCCTGTCTAGAGCTCAAGCAGTCCGCGCTGGCATCAGTCCAGACCATCTCAAGACCCCGTCCGGCGACTTTCCGGTATTGTTTGAGTTCAACCACCATCTTCACTGCCTCAACATGATCCGCAAGGCAGTCTTCTTCAACTACGACTACTACTCCAGTCCGGATTCCCCAGGGCACCACCTTGGCAAGGACACCGAGACCATCTCCAAACACGTAACGCACTGCATCGACATGCTTCGGCAAGTCCTCCAGTGCAAGCCCGACTTGGGGGTATTTGGGCAGTACTGGGTAAAGGACCCGGCTCAGGGAGTGGAAGGATCTTTTGTGGACTTCAACACGAACCACAAGTGTATCGACTGGGAGCCAGTCAGAGAGTGGGTTCAGACACATCAGACGCTCGATGACTTGGTTGTCGAACTGCAAGAGGGTGATAAGATTCTTGATATTGCGCCGTAGGAGCGGCCCTTGGGACAAGCAGCAATTCGTACAAGGATATGAGACGAATGATGTAATATAAAATCATGTACTACTGCAGGCAGATGCTGTAAGATGATGCAAGGTTGCGGGTTTGGATCAAGATTGGGAACTGATAATAGTAACAAACACACCTCAAGTTGACGGATTTACTGCTTGGTTTGCCTCATAGAGGCTTCGTGCTTGAAGCGCACTTTTGCTAGTCTCAACATAGACCCATCACTTCTGGAGGAATGATAGCCGCTCTGTCAGCAAGACGTACATACAAGAATGCTACGATATGCCAAAGCTATATAGATACGACATATTAACACAAGGCTCTACCCGGCACTAATGCAGGCTTGGAACTCCTTCACGTTTGCCGGGACTTTTGTATCTGCAGGACAAATGACCCCCGTGTAAGCCAAAGATTTGCCCCCCTCAGTGGGTGTTTACAACCAGCTTCCTTTCTTAGCCGAAGCTGCAGCTGATGATGCGCTTGCTACCAGGATCACATACATAGTAATATTTCCGACGGGCTTTGCAATTAGTTACCTTGAGAGAAGAAGAGAGTTAAGGTTATGATGCTAAAGATCTCTTTGAGCTTTTCCAATCTCCAGATGAAGCGACATCATGTCTCGGCGAAGTTCTGGTTCAGAGGATGAAGACACGTTGTTGGGCTCGAAGAGCGAGGGTCTCCCTCTCCAGCGCATGGAGAAGAGGAGAGCAACCCACCACTTGGTACAGTTAACGCTTGTCGCTCTACTGAGTTCGGTGATTTCCCTTACAGTGAGCCTCGTTGTATGGAAGGCCGTGCAGCCTAAGGCTGGTATAAGGGAAGACGTAAAACTTCTTCCCGGGCTGGAGATTCCTCCCCGTAAGAGCAGACATCTTACCAAAAACACTATGTGTCTCTGCTGATGGGCAGTTCCAGTTGGCCCAATACACAAGGCGTTCATGCCCGAAAGGATTTATGATGACCCACGAACGGAAAATGGTCATGCGGCGTGGATGAACCTATTCCCAAGTATGCGCCGCAGCTTTCCTACTCTCATAAGCCAGTATACTCGTACTGATGTGAATACATAGAGGGAAAAGGATATGTCTCGATAAAGAACATTGAGGCTGCAGGACCGGTTCCCGACTATGTCCGAGGCACCAGCACAGATGGCACCGGACGGTTTTCTGTCGCAGTATTTCATCAACTGCATTGTCTGGTATGTTCCTTTCATCTGCTTTAAGGTTCCCTCTGTAGTGTTTCTCAAGGAAGTAAACTCATCTCCTTCGCAGTATCTACTCCAGTCCGACCTCTTCGAGGCGTTGGAAGCCAACATCACCGAGCCGCACTCCCACACACTCCACTGCTTAGACTATCTCAGAGAGAGTATCATATGCGCATCAGACTCCACGCTGGAGCCCTTTAAACCGAGCTTTGACACTGCGGCGCCCAGGAAGGGGGTGGATGGATATGGGACGCCGCATCAGTGTCGAGACTTTGGAAAGTTGCGAAATTGGGCTGAGCGGTTTCGATATAACGACAACCAGGGTTTCGAGACCTACGAGGGGTAAAGCACAGGGACTTGTAGAGAAGAAGGATCAGGAGGTTTAGAGTGGTTACATTTCGCTATGAGAACAAGGCGCTGGCTGCTGATCACTCGCGGTTTCTTCGACAGAAGCTCGACGAAAATACAATTACCAACTAGAGGAAGATAGTGATGCTTCCATATCCTCCCCCTTGCGGCATGTTGGTATCGGGATCATACACTCAATGTAGCCTTTGAGTCTCGGCTGGACGCCAAGTTTAACGGAAAGACCCTTATGCTAGCATATACTAGTAGAAATGCAAGAAGTCTCTTTGGTTGTTGGTTAAGCTAATAATCCATGCCGAAGCTGCAGTTCTATTGGTAGCCTACCGTCTCGCTTGGGGAAGCTCCATCTACATGACCAGTTCCGCATAAGGCTGGCCGAGATCGATCTCTCGGGCTTCATGAGCCGAATCCTACCCAAGACGACCCATTCGATGTACCAACGGGGAGTTCATCGAGTTACCCAACAGGAGAAAGGCATGACTCTAGACAGCAAGGCCTCTCTGATTGGCTGCCTAGTCTTGGGGGTTGTGTTGGTTGCTATCGACCAATTCACCCCCCTGGTTTGCCCATCCCAGCACCTCAACCCTACAATATCTTCAAGGCTCCCCACCATATCCTCAAGGCTCATCAAGTCATCAACCCTCTTCCCCCTTCTCAAGTTCTCACTCTCTACTCACAGCTCTACCCAAGCTCATGAGGCGATTGGCCTCGCCATACCAAGCACATACGACCATAGGTAGTGGAGAATTCGGGGTCCCGTCTGCTCCCCCATAGACAAGCCACTAACCGGCAGATTAGTAGTCAGGTGGGTGACCACTGGCGAACACCGGCTGTTGTATGTTTCTTCTTTTTGCTTTTGCTTTTTGATGTATCGTACGTAGATGGTTGGTGTCCTCTTCTTCTTGTTATCCAAGGCGTGAAGTGCCAAGTCGCTTGGTACCATTGTGAGCATATATGGATTGCCGTTGTCACCCCGGATGAATTGACAACCACACCAAACTTGTCAGCTAAGAGAAGAAGCCTTCTGAATGGAGGCAATAGTACGAGAGATTTGTTTGTTCCAGTCTCTCAATTCGGTAGAAAGGTAAGAGCGAGTTCGCGGGCAGTTAATGCCATTCAGCAGGTTCCAAAATCCACCAGTTGATCGTGCTTCAAGATGAGTATACATATCGACATACGGAAGAAGTTTAATGGATAAGGGGAAAATCAGAGATCTAAAAGAGAATCGTAGAAGTAGTTTGAAGGAGTCTTCGATGGAGTAACTCTAGGTAAATTACAAAGGTGTTGATGGCCGCGTAAAAGTAAATCACGACAAGAGAACTGTATCGAGTGGTAATGAGATACTATACATATATAATCTATGTGAGTAATAACGGAGGCCAGGGTAGAATTGATTCATTACGGACTCAGTTACAGTATATACATCACTGCACTATGATCAAATTACAAGCAGCATCTGGTAAGGCAGGTCGTGTTATACAGCTCAGGCTCCACGATAGCTTCTGAACTGTGGGCGATTACTTGAACCTTCTTATGATGATTATTCAGAAAAGTGATCATCAAAGACTATCGATGCCTTATATAACATTGAGAAGACTTGCCACATGCTGACGGACTGGATGGTTGCTGAAGCAGAACAGCACCAAGGCACATTCGCAGTGGATATTAGGTATCATGAGCTTAGTACTAGGTTTTTGATAGTATATTTGAGCAGCAATAAAAGGCCACTTCCATTCACATCTGTATGCAGCTCAAGGTTGAGTTGCCGATGCTCGGCAAAAGCATGCATCTACATCCTCTCACGAGATTGGGTGTTATCCAGATAGGCTGCGATTGGGCAAACCCCCAAGCATTGGGCAGATTCTGGATGCCAGTTGGCTCAATACATACATAGCCCTGCGAGTCCCCAATCAAATCCCAGCGGCATCCCACGGTAATCCTTCTTGAGCCTCCAATATTCACCCAAAACGGCAATGCGTTTCCAAATCACGCGATAAGCTTCACTCTTCAGTCAAATCTTCGACATCCACCAGCATCACAAAGTCAGCCCAATCTAAATACAATATGTATGGTAGGCGCACAGCGAGACCGCCTATGTGAGTCGACTCGACGATTGTCCCAATAGGAAGAATAGGGTAAAAGCAAAGCGCAGTCGATAGCGTCGGCCAGTTGACCGCTTCGCATGCATGCCAAGGCGAGCTGAACGAGAGCTGGCTGTGACGATGTGGCTCAGAGCTGGTGAGGTTTGCCGTACTGCTGTGTTTGGATTCGGCCCAACCATGTATACATATGAAAAGAGATGATGTTGGGAGGAGTTACGCCTGCAAGTGGGTGCTTATAAGAAGACACTGAGGTCCGGCGAGAGATATAGGACGAGCATGGTATGGATCCTCGAGAAGACTAGAAAGCCCGTCGACTTGACCATAGTATCAGTGTATCCTCAACACTTCAAAATCAACTCCAAGCCCCATCGAAAGACAATGGTACCACACTTAGCCACGAGAATCTCCCTGCACTCTCTGTCCCTCATCCTCCTCCTCTCACCAACCTCCATCGCCGCCACAAACCTCATCCCACATAAACCTCCCGCCCGCCTCCTCGCCCGAGCACCCCCGACATCTTCCTTCCAAGACTTTTCCGCCATCGTCGTCGCCGCCCAATGCCGCCCCGGAGAGTTCACCTGCAACGCCGGCTGCATGCCCCAGCGCGCCGAGTGCTGCCCCGACGGCCTCGGATACTGCAAGCAGGGCTATGCCTGCGTCGTCGACGGCTGCTGCCCCATCGGACACACCTGCGGCGACGAAATCACCTGCGACTTGGGCGAGGTGCCCTGCGGCGAGAAGTTGTGCATGCCTGAGGGGGCAGTGTGTTGTCCAGATGGGGGCTATTGTCATGCTGGGGAGGAGTGTTTTCAGAACGGGTTCAAGCAGTATTGTCAAAAGGCCGATGGGAATGGAAGCACGACGACTGGAAGAACCAGTACTAGTAACATTGCTGAGACGACGACGACGACGACGACGACGGTGCGAGGCCAGAGCACGGCTTCGTCTCTGGCCCTGAGCACCAATACGAATGCTGAGGAAACTTTTGCTTCAACGACTGCAGAGACACAGACAGTGGCGCCGACCTCATCTTCCACGTTACCGCAGGATACCTCTTCCGAGTCTGTCACCAGCACAACTTCGACGCCAGCAGTGATTTCATCGCCCCCCTTTCGCCCAGAAGAGTCATCAAGTTCGTCACCTGCAACGACGACCACTTCATTTACTTCGCTCTCTTCTTCTTCTTCTTCAGCAGCCGGATCAGCAACGACGACTTCAACTAGCGAAGGCAACGCCATAGCCGAGAATGGGGTGTTGGGGGCAGCATTGGCATTAGTTGCTGTATATATGATGGCACTCCTTTGAGATACGCGTCAAGGAGGAAACTGTACCAGTCTGATAGACAGATATGCAATCCGACTACATCCAAAGAAACTGTTGAAATAACGTCAAAGATATCACAGGGTATCGTGGAGACAAAAGAAGCGCAAAGTGGTATTCCGTACTATCGTTCCCGAATGTGTCCAAAATAAAGGCAGTACAAAAGAAAATACCGTTTGGGGTATCTATATACACAAGAAGCAGGAAAAGAGAAGGACACAATACATGAAGAGAAAAATTAGGAGGACCCAGTAGGCCTTGTCGTAGAATGCACCCAAACTCTTTCAACATAAATACCAACCCGAGTTTCCTTTGTATCTTGCCCATAACCGTTTTCCAGAGAATGGCGGCCCATCGTGGCGACGGTTTCTTTTCTTCTCTGATCCTCCCCTACCGGAAGAGCCTCTCAACTCTCTTAATCGCCCGGCATCAGGACGCCAGACGGAGTTCCGGCGTCACAAACACTTTCAAACGCATCTAATACTCTGACTTTTCTGGGTGTGCTGAAAGCTCATTCACAAAGCCGTGGTGTTGGCCGGCGCTGCTTGTAGAGCCAGAACTCAGCCGAAGCGGGTTGACGAGGGACGGGCTTGGCTGGCCTTGAGACCACCGGGGATCGGATGAAGAAGCCGAGGGCGGGCGATATCCCGGGCTAGGAAGTGGTGAACCATAGAGACCTTGACCTTGACCTTGAACTTGGCCCTGACCTTGCGCCGGCTGAGCAAACTGGGCCGGGTAATCGCCCGGCAGTTCCATGATGACCATCTGCTCCTTGGGAGGAATCGGCGGTGGCGCATATAGCCCCTGCTGTGGCGTGGAGGAGTACATTGACTGACGAGGGTCGTACAGCTGCGGGGTTTGCGGCTGCTGAGGAGAGGGATATGCGTAGTGAGGATAAGCTGGGGAGTAGCTGGGCGGCATCTGGGCGGCGGCGCTCTTCTGTCCTTGCACCCCATAGTTGACGGAAGGCTGTCTGCTATGAGGAGAAATTCCCGCCGCGACGGCGGGTGTGGTGGAGCGGTCGTTGGGGTTGACCGTCTTGAGCTTGCCGTCCTCCATCATGGCCTTGAGCACGCCGGCGTCGAGCAGCTCGGCCTTTTTGATGATGCGCTGGACCATCTCCCGGTTGGCGGCCTTGAGCTGCGCCTTGACGAAGCTGACCATGGTGATGTTGGCCTTGACCTCGATGTCCTCGCGCAGGTACAGGCCGTCGGAGGGGGCGCCGAGGGCCTCGAGGCCAATCTCGCGATGCTCGGGCGGCTCGACGCCGGGCTGGTTGCCGCAGATGCGGTACGTGTTGCGCAGGTCAATGTTCATGGGCGCGTAGATGTGCGTCTGCAGGCCCCAGGGCATGTCGTGGAAGCAGCCGTTGAACTTGATCTTGCCGGAGCCCAGCTTGCCCGTGCCGGGCAGGAACTGGATGCGCTCCTCGATCTCGTACCAGGTGCTGTAGAACTCGTCGGCGGCGGCATTGCGAGGCGCGGAGATTGGCTTGTGGCCGAGGACGAGCGGGTTGAGGGTGATGACTTCGCTGTGGGAGTGGAGGATGTCGATGGCGAGCTGTCGAGGGATGAAGCCCGGGATGGGCGTGACGAGGGTGAAGGCCTCTTTCTTACGAAGCATTTGGCTCATTGGTTGAGTTGAGACTCTGGGTTTCCGAAGAGAAATGTTGCGACAGATACAAAACAAAACGGAGAGAGGAGGGGGTGAGACGTAGATAGACAAGAGAAGTACTAGTAGAAGCGGCCGTGAGAGGGCGAAGAAGAACTGGTCCGGATCCAAGGTAGCTCGAACTTCAATGGGGATTCATTGACACGATTACTCCTAGCAGACAATTGACTGGATTCAGCCCCGCAGCCCAGCCCTGTGGCGTGGGTGTAAAGGATCGATTACTTTATTTAGCGGAGGGTCTGTAAGAGTTGTCAAGCATCAGGTTGAAGATCGGTTGGCTGGCCTCGACAGGCGAGTTGGTCGTTGGTAGGACGAGAGCGGACTCGGTCTGCTCAACCCTGGCTCCTGTATAACGCGGAACAAACAGAAACAGAGAGACAGTGATAATCGAGTGCGATCCGAGCAGAGAACGAGAGAAAAGAGACTTTATCAAACCCTGAACGAGGCCAGATCGAAGCTCAGCCCTCCCCGTGAGGCACAACCATACCTATGAAATACCTGAACCGCTCCGTGCTCCCCATTCCAGACCCTTGTCAGCAACTGCTTGATTTGGCGTCGAGGGCCACCGGCTTTTCCTAGAGCCGCATGGCTGGCTCGCAGCTAAGCAGCGATAGTAAGCACTGACGAGGCTTTTCAGCTTCCCGTCAGCAATCTGGATGGCACGCCACCAACGTTAGCGAGCTGCTTCGCCCCCCTTTCCACTTTTGGTGGTAAGAGGTTGGTTGCTGGCTACACGGGTTGAGAGGGGGTACACTTCGTACAACAGCTTTTTACAGGGCTTGTAGTTGGTTGAGTCAACAATAGGTACCTACAGAGGCAGGGTTAAGTCGGTATCGAAGTGCCGTTGGAGCCAACGCTGGCAATCCAATCTCTTTCTCACTTCCGTCCCGCTGATGATAAAAGACAACTGACCGTCAGATGCTACCCTTTGAAACAATCAATCTTCCCCACGTTGAAGAATCAAGTAAGTATTACTATCTATTAATCCTCCCCAATACAGGCCTTCTGTCTGTGCTGCCATCCGCGCATCTTCCCGCTTGTGCGGCTTGCGGCTCAGCCCCGGATGGATGAATGCTAGAAGGTCGATGATGCGCAAGTATGACCTTGACGTCAGACTGTGCTACGACAAGCTGCACCTCGAGCTTGAGAGCTCTTCGGATAACGTCGTAGGATCAGTCGATTGCGCGTTCAGTGTACTTGCAGCTGCCGTCCTGCTGTTATGGCGCGGGTATCGCTCGCGTACCGCCATCCGGACCGCACGTCAATTTTGTGTCAGTTGATTAGCGTAGCATTGCAGAACTTGCAAACAGATGAAACCTCCTCAGTCTGTGCGTTCAAACGAGACAATGGACCATGGTGGTATAGTATTCTCTTGTGCAGCAGGGAGACTGGACTTCTACATAAGGTAAGACTACCTCGTGCCAGCATCGACAGCTGCTCCCAGGGGAACCCTCAACCTGAGCCGTGTCCACTCCGTGAAGCTTAGCTGTCTGTAGCTCAGAACATCAGCGGGTAGGAATACTTCCGGATACCTGAAATAGATCTGGCGGTGGGGTCCCGCGGTGTCTTTCTCTCCAGTCTCCCGCAGAGATGCCCCCTTGCTTGTGCTTGTGGTAAGGTAGCTTTTTTGCCTCTTCCAGTCGAACCGAACCTTGGGCCCAGTTTCAGATTCCAGTGCAGAGAGACGCGGAATGGGCAGAGATGGCTTGCCAGTTCTTCCGTGGTCGTCGTCGTCGTCGTCATCACCGCCTGGAGCGTCTTGGAGCCTTGACGGAGCTTGAATCTGCAGTTATTATAGCCATCTCCAAGCATTGTTTCTGAATAGCTTCTTGCTCGTGCTACCACAACACTTGGTACAACTTCCATCTCATCTCATCTGACCTCAATCATGGCCAAACTAGCTGCCATTGGCACGCTGTCGCTGGCTGCTATCCAGGCAGCCCACGCTCTGGTTGTACCCGAGACAGCCGTGCCAAATCAGGCGCCGCTGGGTGCAACTGACGAGGTCACGGCCCTGATCAAGGGCGATGCCATGGGCCCGCACCACCTGGACGACGACATTGCGTCGGCCGAGAGCTTTTTCAACGCCGTCTCGTCCATCCGCGGCCACATCCACGACGACTTCAGCCAGGCCGTGGCCGACCTGATCGGGCTGGGCTACACCGGCGACCTTGGCACGGGCAGCTCTGCCGCCGACGACGACGACGGGCACCACCACAAGGATCACCACCACCATCCCAAGCACCCGCACGGCGGCGACAGCAGCTACACCATCTACGAGCTCATCTCCAAGAGCAAGTACACCACCAAGTTCGCCAAACTGGTCGACGAGCACCCGCACGTCGTCGACGTGCTCAACAGTACAAAGGCCAACTACACGCTCTTCGTGCCCATCGACAAGGCCTTTGAGGACATCCCGGAGGACCACAAGAAGCCCAGCAAGGAGTTTATCGAAAGCGCCCTGCTCTACCACGTCGGGCTCGGCGAGTATCCCGCCCGCAGGATCCTGCACTCGTACACGCTGCCCACGGCCCTTGACGAGGATCTGCTCGGCGGTGAGCCCCAGCGTCTCCGTGCCTCCGTCGGGCTTGGTGGAGTCAAGCTCAACTTTTACAGCAAAGTCGTTGCCGCTGACATTGTGAGTGGACTCCTGTTCCCCCCCACGCTGAACAAGCCCGGCTATTAATAGCCAACCTACCCTTCTTCCGTGCCGTGCTTCGTACTCGTAAAGACCGTCAACTGCTTTGTTTGTGTGCAAAAGAGATTATTCAAAAGATCGACTGGCTGACTCCGTTCATTTGGTCTGTTCCCGACTCTTATAGGCAGCTAAGAACGGCATCATCCACGCTGTCAATCACATCCTGGTTCCGCCCCCATACGTCGGCCGCATCATCACGCTCTTCCCCGACCGCTTCTCGACGCTGCTGCTTGCGTACGAGAAGACGGACTTTGTCAAGTTCATCCACGGCGTCAATCTCAAGGGCAGCACCGTCTTTGTTCCCACCAATGAGGCCTTCCACTGGCTGGGCCCCAGGGCAAACGCCTTCCTCTTCAACACTGACAGGGGTCGCGAGTACTTGAAGGCCATTCTCAAGTACAACATTGCGCCCAACGCGACGCTCTACACTGATGCGTTCTACGATGAGACGGACAGCAAGCAGCAGCAGAACGCGCCAGTCCATGAGAGCAGGACCGAGCACTACGACTTGCCCACGCTGCTGGGCGAGGCTCACATCAGTGTGGACATTTCCCGCATTTTCGGCTTTGCCTCGATCAAGGTGAACGGCTTTACGCGGGTTGTCGTCCCCAATGGCGTGGCCAAGAACGGCGTCATCCAGGTCGTGAACCGAGTGCCTCTGCCTCCTCACAAGGGCCATGGCGGCCATCAGTCAGAGAATGATGGCGGAATCGAAGTCGAGGACCTCATCAGCAGACTGGAGGACTGGGTCTGATGGTCCAGAAAGTGCAATGATACTGGACGCGGCGGCATTCTGGTGCTGCCTGGAGTAGATGACGAACACACGACAAGGATGATCTCAACGCGATAGTATGTATATTGGATGACACCTTGAGTCATCTCGGCTCTCCACTGTAAGATTCTATGACTTGTAACGCTGCATGAAGCGACACAGCTTGATGGATCAAACACCACAAACATCATGACTATGATGACTTCACTCGTTGAATATTCACATGCTAGGTAGCTCTAGCTTCACACTCCGCTCAATGGAACCCATTTGACAACTTGATAGCCCTCGTGATGATGTGAGTGCGAGAACGCAAGTAAGCGCCTCACTTGAAGACAGTAAAACCGACACTTTCTTGAATTACATTACAAGCTTTTATCAGCCCATGACCCTTTGAAGCAAATCGATATCAATCCACTCCCTCTGGCAAATAAGCGACCCTTCCAACTCCCAGCGGAGCTCATCCCGTCATCTCAAGGGCTAGAGTGAAGCCACTTCTCTTTATGTTTCTCTACAAACTCCTTCCACGTCGTCGGCTTCTCTTCCAACAACGCCAAACTAGCCCCCAGACTCTCGCCAGCATAATACCCTGGGCCTTCCAGCAACTTCATGTTCTCCAGCAGCTCTTGCGCTGCCGCCGGCGACAGGAACGACTTGAACTTGTCGTCTGGGATCTGCACGGCGTGCGCAGGCTTGCCCATGACCTCGGCAAACTCCGAGATGAGCCGGTGAATGGTGTAGTAGTCTGTCGCCGCGAGGATGCGGTTCCCGGTCTGCAACGGGAAGTTTTTAATAGCAGCCTTGACAAATTTGCCTGTCATACAATGTCAACAAAGAACCCAAGTCATGGGACAGAAGTTCCGAAAAGAGAGGGGGAGAGAGAGAGAGAGAGAGATAGAAAGAGAAAGTATCATACCCATATCCTCAGCGGCAGCAAACAACGGCGCCTCCGCCTTATCCGGGTCGACCGGCAAAGCCAGCGTATACCCAGCCGGCTCCGACGGCGGATTCGGGCGAATCATGGTCGTGAAGCCGCTCATGAACATGCCCGGCAGGACAAACGTGCCCTTGACGCCGCTGGTGGCCCGAATGTACTCCTCGATGCGGGCCTTGCCGTCAAAGTGCGAGATGTTGGGCAGCCGGCCGCCGCTGGCCTTTGTGGCGTCGATGAGGGACGAGAAGATGATGTGCTCGACGCCGGCGGCCTTGCTGGCGTCGACGACGGCCTTGCCCTGCGAGATCTCGGTGGCGGCGGACATGCTCTCCCAGAAGTTGGTGACGAGGAAGACGGTGTGGGCGTCTTTGACGGCGGGGGCGACGGAGGAGGACGAGGACATGTCTGCCTTGACATATGGTAAAGAAAGAAGAAACCAAGTGTCAGGTAGAGCTGGAGCTGATATATAGGATATGGCCATTGCTTTTTGTGGGATGGAGGGCGGGCTATGCGTACCGAGACGAGCTCGACGCCCTTGGAGGCGAGCTTCTGGGCGGCTGGCTTGTTCACATCGCGAGTGACGGCCCGGACTTTGAATTCTCGGGAGAGGCTCTTGTCTGTGAGGATGGCTTCGACGACGGAGCCGCCTTGATTGCCCGTTGCGCCGAAGACGGTGATGATCTTGGACATGATTTTCGATTTGCTGTTTACAGGGGCTAAATGAATTCCTACGGAAGCTCAAGAGTGAAGATTGTCGAAGAACTGGCATCGGATTCCTCTATGAGATATACGCGGAACTGCATGAAGCGTCATGACGTAGGAAGCTCAAAGCTCAATGAGGAGTACAGCAGTTAGCTCCGCAGAAATGGCAATGAGAAGCGCTGAAGGATTCTTCCAGTACCAGTTCTTCAAGAGCGGATGAATAGACACGAACATTATCCAGAGCACCTCATAGGCCGGATGGGAGAGCTGGTAGGGCTCCCCTAGCTCCCGATTTATGGAATCGATGGCTTTGTGGTGGTGTGTGATGTAATAGTCGAGATTAGTTCGACACCTCTCCAGAGTCTACTATGGATGCTTGATGCTTTCAATCTAGTGGCATTCAGCTTTGCGCCGAGCTGAGCTTGAAGACATTAAGGAATCGAGCGTGGGCAATGGGGCCCTGAGCACGAGGCAGATGCTGTGGCATTCCACCGTAAATCGTTGTACAACTTGTACAGAAGCTGCTGCTCATACTGCAAGTGTATGAGCGACCATCAAACAGCTGAGACGTAACAAGTAGTGATACAGATTGGCAATCTCTTACACGGTCACTATAAAGTCATGGAAGGCCTCCGATGCGTGCTTCAAATCCTCAAAAAAAGCCCACTGAGCGACATTGTCAAGCCAGCGAACATCCATCATCATCTTCTCAGCATAACCCCGAATCACCTCTTGCGTAGCCAGCACATCTTTCTCGCCCGCCATGATGATTCGTTCAATGGGCGTTTCCATATACTCCAGATCAATCCCATTCAACGAGAACCCGCCCTCGACATCTCCCGTAAAAGCATCGCAGGCTTTCGCAAACGCCTCCGGCTCTTGTCCAAGCAAACTCAGCCGAACCGCCGCCACTGCGAGGGGATTCTTCTTCCTCGTATGCTCAGACGTGGTCTCGAGGATCACATCATCGACTACCGCTTCCATTCCCGAATTGCGGGCGAGCTCGCTCAGCTGCTGCCAAACCTTTCGATGGGCCTCGGGGAGAGGGAACGGCGGCGGACTGATGAGCGCAAGCTGCTGCACCATGCCGGGGTTGTCGAGCATGAACTTGAGCGCAATGATGCAGCCAAAGGAGTTTGCTATGAGCACCGCAGGGTTGGATTTGGTGATTCCAGCGTGTGAAAACACGCCTGCAAGGTCCGCCGCCAGCGAGTCCACGCTCACGACGCTCAACGGATGGGTAGGGCTGAGCCCATGGCCCTCAAAGTCAAACAGATGCACTGTCATGTGTTTGTCGAGTCCAAGCTGAGAGATTACGGGCAAGAAATACTCTGCCGTTCCGCCTAGGCCGTGGACAAAGATGATGTTGTCTTGTCCGGAGCCGAGCCTCTTGTAATGCAGCGGCTTGCCATTGATGTTGGTCAGTCCTGCTGTGCCGCTGAGGGAGCGCGTCGCGTTGGAGAGGCCAAAGGCAGACTGAGAAGCAAGGCGCTCGCGGGTGGCGTTCACAGTAGTGATTTTGTTGTTTAATGTGCCAATGCCAGGAATGGTGATGGTGATCTCGTCGCCTTCTTGTAAGAATAGGGGCGGGTTTCGTCCAATGCCAACCCCAGCTGGCTACAAAGCAACGTGTTAGTGAATACAGAGAACGAGCTGGAGGAGCAGGATGAACCAACCGTTCCGGAGGCAATCACATCGCCTGGCAGCAGTGTCTGTCCTTCTGAAAGCGTGCTGATCAAAGTAGGGATATCAAAGATGAGCTCGTCAGTGGTTGCATCCTGGCGTAGCTCGCCATTGACATGCGTTTGAACGCGCAGCACCGCAGGAAGGTCTTCCTTGGGAACCGCGACAGGCCCCTGGGTATATATCAGCACACATAACCAAGCGTCTGAGACACTTTTTTATTCCTACCATGGGGCAGAATGTATCTGCCGATTTGCCAATGTAAAACTGCTTGTGGTCTCGCTGTCTCTCTCGCGCCGTCACATCATTGATAATCGTGTATCCCCAGACATGCTCCATGGCCTTTTCCTTGGGAATCCGAAACCCAGCCTTGCCCACAATGACGCCAATCTCGCCCTCATAGTCGACCGTCTTTGAAAACTCCGGATGCAAGTAAATGGCCTCGCCGTCGGCAATGATGCTCGTCGCGCGCTTTGTGAAGATGACGGGATGGCTCGGCCTGTCAACCTTGTCCGAGCTGTCGAACCCCGAGGCGTTAAACTCCTTTGCGTGCTCCATGTAATTCTTCCCCACAGCCAGTACATCGCGACCTGCAAGGGGCGGCAGGATCTTGACGGATGCGAGGGGTAGAGCCGAACCTGAGGGGACTATCTGCGAAGGACCAGCTTCGATGACCTGGTAGAGATCCTTGAGGGGGTAGCCGGAGAGCAGTCTGAGGGGTTGGATCGTGCCAACCGTTGCGTCCAAGTGGCCGATTTGGCTGATGCCGGTTTCGGGACGAGTGAAGGCGGCATAGTTGGTTAGACGTTGAGGCGAACTCATTGCGGCATTTGTGATGCTCAGTACGATTTCATGGAATTCCCAGGTAACAAAGAGAGAATCATATAGCCGGCTTACGGAGAAGACCAAGTACTACCAGACGCCGGAATTGTCGAATTCATCAAGCAGCCAAAATCTTTTGTCGACAGTGTGCAGAATGGAGAATCATTCGAAGACGAGAGCACTCACTCAATTTGAGGCTGGACGTAGCGGGCGGACCTCTTCTGCCGGTAGCGTGCGGAGAAGGTGAGCGTCAGACGATGCAAACATGACCTATTGGTAACAAACCTCATCGTGAGGACCGCACAATCATGTCTATCGCCTGGGCTGAATCCTGTTCTCGCGGATCAATATTTTATCAAGTCGAATTTCAGATCATTCTTTGGTATCAACCAGTTCTACGTCGATATAGTCTGACGAAATACCGCCATTTCGCAGGGTAAGGTTGGAGCAAGAAGCCACAGCACATTGAGTAGACTTATAGCACAATGTGGGATCATTTTGTGCCCAGTTCAAGGTGTTTCTACGTCGTGGCTCTTCAGCCATTAGAAAGATGCAAATTTCCCTGATATGCAGTGGTTCGCTTCAGTTCACTTTATACCTTACAGTTCGAAAGCAAATATAGCACAAGAATTGCCTGGATACAGAAGAAGACACAGCTCAGAAGCATGCAACTATATAGACGGCCGAGTATATAGGTAGAGTCAGTCCAGTCGTGTTCTCGTATTATTTCTAGCGCTCTAGCAGTTGAGCAACTCCGACGAGTCCCACCAACGACAAACAGTTTCAACGGCAACCAACACGCAAGGCTCATTGGCCCCAAAATGATGCAAGTGCTACATATATCTCCATCTAATGATACCTGCCACCCAAAGCCCAAGAGTAACACTGAAATCGTGTGAGTCCTCGTGCAATTCGTAATCGCTCTCTGCTTAGAAATCCGCTGCCCCTCCTCCGACCCTCCATGTATTATTGCATGATCCCCCCTCCCAAGTCGCCATGAGGCTGTGGATGAGGAAAGAGAGATGCCATAGAAGGATACTACCTTGTAGACTATATAAATCCAAGGGCTTGACTACTACAAGATTCCCCAACAAGGGTGACATACATCCGTCACATGTAAACAATTAGGTACTCATCACCACCACCACCACCACCATCACCACCATGGCGCCCATCCGAACCGCCATCATCGGCCTCTCAGGCAACGCCATCACATCCTGGGCCAGCGCCGCCCACCTCCCGTACCTCCTGTCCGCCCGCGGCCGCGAAAAGTACCAAATCGTAGCCCTCTGCAACAGCAGCGTCGAGGCGGCCAAGCGCGCCATCGAGGTCTTCAAGCTGCCCCCCGAGACAAAGGCCTACGGCGACCCCCAGTCCGTGGCCGACGACAAGGACATTGACCTCGTCGTCGTCAGCACCCGCGTCGACGTCCACCACTCGTCCGCCCTGCCCAGCGTAAAGGCCGGCAAGGACGTCTTTGTCGAGTGGCCGCTGGCCCAGGACGTGGCCCATGCCAAGGAGCTGGTGGACGCGGCGAGGGCGGCCGGTGGGCGGACGCTTGTCGGCCATCAGGGGCGGGAGGCGCCTCCGGTTGTCAAGGTCCGTCAGTTGATTGAGCAGGGAACCATTGGCAAGATTCTCAGCAGCGAGGTCAGAGCGTATGGCGGAGCTGTGGATCGAGAGTCGTTGAGGCCGGGCCTCAAGTACTTTCTGGAGAAGAAGGTCGGCGGGAACATTGTGACGATTGGTGTCGGACATTGTAAGTTGTCTAGCAGCTCGACCACACGTATACCCAGCGAGTGTGTTCCTATACTAAACTGTCTGCAGTGTTTGATCAAATCCAGCATGTCATTGGCGATCTCCAGAACATCCAGCCCCATCTCCAGCTCCAGCGGCCCAATGTTCTCCTCCGCGACTCCGCCACCAAGGAGGTCGTCGAGGTAGTCAAGTCCGACGTCCCGGACCTCATCATCTTCAATGGCAACCTCGCCGAGTCTCAGAAAGCCGTCGAGGGCGCCAACGTGCTCTTCCGCTTCCGTCGAGGCCAGGCGTTCCCCGGCGAGCCCGGCCTCACATGGGCCATCAACGGCGAGAAGGGCGAGATCCGCCTCCAGGCATTCTCCGGAGCTACTCTGCACGCCAATTCATACGACGCTCCCGTGACAATCGAGGTGCACGATTTTGCCACAGATAAGGTAGAAAAGGTTGATTGGAGCTGGCAGGAGTGGCAGGAGGCGCTGCCGGTCGTAGGGCGAAGCATTGCGGTATTGTATGACAAGTTTGCGGACGGGCCGTTTGAGGGCCAGCCTACGTTTGAGACGGCTCTGGTTAGGCATGAGCAACTAGAGACTATTCTTGCTGGATGGGATCCGAAATAATCAACTGACAGAGGCAACCTGGGAAGAAAATTGAGCAGTCGAGTCTCATAATCTCATAAACATGGCCATCATTGTCTCATCCGCTGCTGCTTATTTGTTGGTGATGAAGCCCTCCAGGTCCGGACACGCCTGTAGAACACTGGCCAGTTCATCGTCCGATAGTCCGGTGCCATTGCGGATCGTCTTTGACGTTTTCTGCTTTTGCTTGTTTTTCCTGGGCGTTGTCCATTGGATACTGCATACTTCGTCGCCACTAAGTTGGGGGAGGTGATTCAGTGTGAAGTCGCCCTTGAGAGGGCCTGTACTTCCATCATCAAGCAGGCCCTTTTTGAACAGATCGGATATCTCCTTATCCTCAACAGTACAAGACTGTTCATCAAATCTCTTTCTTCTCTCGTCGATGTTGAATGAGCCTTCGAGATACTCTTCGTCTTGTAGTTCTTGCTCGGGGTGGTTGACTGCAGACTTGCTGGTCGTCCGGTTATGAGCTGTGCTTGGCTGTGCCGCCGTTGTTCTCTGCATGTCGGCCATCATGGGGGACTCTTGGTTGCTAGAGATTGTTTCGTTTATGGCAGGGTTATTCCTTGATTCAGGCATTTCGGAGGACGGAGGCAAACGCAGTGTCTTGACGAAGGCAATATGTGCCTCTTGCTTGATCATCATTGCCGTTCTTATTTAAGACGGACAACATTCACTGCGAAGCCATGGTCACATACCATGCATTCACTCGGCTGTGAGTCACAGGCAATATACAACCACTGGATGTGTCACGCCGTATCTTTAACCTGAGTACATGTAGAACGGCGAATGAGATACCGTGTATTACCACCTATTGCAGGGTACATGTGATTTGGGCAGCACAAAAGCTTACATGTAGCGCTCTATATTTCTGAGTCATCCCTTATACGGTAATGCCAGGCAGCTCATCTCATCCTGATTCATGGTGGAAATGGCACTTGTTTGTAGACACCTTTCTCCTCCTCTTTACACTACCTACCTATACCTTACGGATATACATCTCCAATCGAGTCAAGTGCATCATCAAACGCCGCCCGGAGACTCGCCCGACAGGAACAAACCCTCCTGCCGGGTTCTTCTAGAACACAAACCACCAGGGTGACCAGGCGTATCTGATGTAATGGCAAGAATAGGTACCTACAGTAGACGCGAACCAGCGCCATCGATTTAGGACGACACGTTGTGAGACATCATGAGACAATTCCCGCAGGCGACGTCATGCGAAGGTGTCGGAACGGGCGGCCTTGGCATTCGAGGACAGTATCGCGCAGCACCCTCGCCCGGAGCAGAATCGACGGCATCTAGATCTTGGGGCTGGAGAAGCTGCTAGTAGGAGGTGGTAGCATGTCGGAGCATCTGGTTCGGAGCTCACGCCGAGAGCGATACTCGGCTGTACGGGGTCTTGGGGACGTGGGGTACGGCATCTTGGAGTACCTGTACTGCTGAGAATAAGGAAGTAAAGAGCCGGAGAACAGAAGCCTGACGGGTGCCCGATGGATATGATGTGAGCTTCATGTTGTTTGTGCGCGCAAATAGATGACCTGCAGACACTCTTGTCAATCAGTTCATTCTGACCGCTTTGGCATGTGAAAGGCGATGTGTCGCCAGCATCTGCAATGCAGCACGTGGACAAGCAGCGGAATATGGGGGTGATGGGGGCTTATGGGGGGACGTGGAGGCATTTTCTGGGGGGATGTTGGGCGTCCATGTGCCCTGTAATCTGGAAGTTGGTGGCATTGAATGGACAACCCGATTACCCCCAGATACTCTCACTCAACCCAACGCCCAAGTAGAATATGAGCAAAGGCCATCGGCTTCAAGGCTCCGGCTGTCCACACCAGTGGCTTCCTCGGGCATCCATCCGCCTGTGGCCCAACTACCGACAGGTCCCAGGTACGGCAACGTCAGGTCCCCGTCATGTACTCAACGGTAGCGGGCCAGCGTGACCCCAACAGGCCGCTAGTGCCAATTGTCCCCACTGGCAATGCCATCAGCGGTCAGATGCTCCAACCAGAAGCTGCAACCCCAGATTATGCGGCCAGCCTTAATATTCATTCATCTGAGGAAACATCCCCCTGCCTCCGGTCGTCTTCCTCTCCCTACTAGCAACAGCTCTTTCACTGATCTCGGTCCTTGTTCCGAAGATCAAGACGCAATCCTCTACATTTTTCTCTTCCTCTCTTCTTTTCCTAGCTCTTTCATCGAAATCGACGCCTCCAGACAGCAGGAATGGGACTGAGGCTGTGCCCAACCCTCCTCCTACGGCCTACCTGAAGATCGTAAAGAATCCGCGGATGCTTCGCTGCACCCGCGGTCATGGCCGACTTCCTCCTCCGTCCTCCTACGATACTCCCGATACAAGGCAGCAATTCCTCCACGCAATTCCCAAAGCGGCCGAAGCACGTCTCGACAGCCTCGCAGCCCGCTGACCAGACCCTCGTGCACACCGTCGCCCAAAAGGTCAAGGAAGCGGCGAGTCTCTGGCGATCCTGGAAAGATGGCGTAAGCGTCGAAGACCGCGAGAAGGCGAGGCTTCTCGAAGAAAGGAAGAACCTTCTCTACCTACGCATGAAGAGTGTATGTGTATCCCGGACCCGGCGTGGTAACTTGACCACAGAGAGAACATTCAGCTAACCGGAGCATGGCATCGCCGTCGTAGGCCGAGACATTGAAACAATGGCAAGCAGCGGCGCAGGAACTCGACGCCCTCGAAGGCAACGACGACTGGAAACTGGACGATGAAAGCGGCGACTACAACCCCAAGCTCATTGAGGAGCGGCTTCAGGCCCTCAACGAGGCCAGAGAGAGTCGCGACATCCGCACCATGATGCACCTCATCCGAACCTCCCTGTCGCGCGATCTCGGCGGCATGGGCAACGTCGATCTCTACCGGCACTCGTACCTCGGCACAAAGTCATTGATCGAGCGCTATGTCGAAGCGACAATCGAAACCATCGATGCCGCCATTGTCCACAGCGCCTCGGACAAGGGCATTGCCTACAGAGACTTGCTCGAGGGCATGCTGCTTGCACGTCAGAGCTTCGGACGAAGCGCTCTGCTTCTGTCCGGCGGTGGCACATTTGGCATGGCACATGTAGGCGTCCTCAAAGCCTTGTTCGAGGCCCAGCTGTTACCTCGAATCATATCAGGCGCTAGCGCTGGGAGCATTGTCTGCGCTGTTATGTGCACGCGCACGGATGAGGAGATCCCGCAGCTACTCAAAGAGTTTCCCTACGGAGACTTGGCCGTCTTTGAAGCGCAAGACAGCCAAGACGGCCTGCTCGATCACTTTCGCCGCCTGCTAACAGAAGGCTCCTGGTCCGATATTGCCCATCTGAGGAGGGTCATGAGGTCCATGATGGGCGACATCACCTTTCAGGAGGCCTACAACCGTACTCGTCGTATCCTCAACATTTGCGTCTCCTCCGCGTCCGTCTATGAGCTGCCACGGCTGCTCAACTACGTCACCTCGCCCAACGTCATGATATGGTCTGCTGTGGCAGCATCTTGCTCGGTCCCTCTCATCTTTGGCTCGTCCCCTCTGTTGGTCAAAGATCCGGTTACCGGAGAGCACCGTCAGTGGAACCCGTCGCCTCAGAGATTCATCGACGGCTCGGTGGACAACGACCTGCCCATGACGCGCCTTGCGGAAATGTTCAACGTCAACCATTTTATCGTCTCCCAGGTGAACCCCCACGTCACTCCCTTTCTGTCCAAAGACGATCACTTGTCGCCTGAAAACCAACGCGCGCGCAAGAGTGCCAACAACGGTGACGACATGGACTGGCTGTACACCTGCACATCGCTGGCCAGAGATGAGGCGCTCCACAGACTGCAGTTTATGGCAGAAATGGGCTTCTTTCCTAACATGATGACCAAGTTTCGAAGCATCCTCAGCCAAAAGTACTCGGGCAACATCAACATCTTACCAGATCTGTCGCTTGACAACCTCCCTGTGCTTCTCCGCAACCCCACCGTGGACTTTATGCTCAAGTGCTGCTTGGTTGGAGAGAGAGCAACGTGGCCGAAGCTGTCTAGGATACGCGACAGCTGTGCGATAGAGTTGGCGCTGGATCGCGCAGTGCATCGACTCCGGACAAGAGTCGTCTTCTCTGAAAGCCAGAGCAATCTCAGGAGTATCACTTCGCATAAGAGCAGTCTACGACTCAATCCTCACGGCCAGACGGCTGCTCAGCAGCACCTCGGTGTGTTGGGTGCCAGTCAGGGTCAGAAGCGCCAGCGGCGACGTTCGGGCGGCAGCCTTCTCATGTTGCCTGGCACGGGCCTAGCCCTGGACAGGGAGTTAACAGATGAGGATTCCGCAGAGGAAGAGCGCCTAGAAATCGCCTCGAGACGACCTGGATTCGCATCCTCGACTTCTCTTCGCAAGCCGCAGCTGAAGAGGTCAAGCATGAGTCAAACGCATGTGCCCCAGCTGTCTAGTCAGGCTCAGCAAATGCCCGCCTTCAACTTCTCCAAGCCTTTGACGCCCCCGTCGAGTGTCTCCGGCGAGGCGGACGCGACTGACGCAACCAGGACAAGCAACTCAGAGGCAACACTGCCAGCTGCATCAGTCAGTGACAAGGCTGCTCGCGTTCTACCGACGCTGGGCCATGTCATATCGCCCGTCGACGAAGTAGAGACGAGCGAACCGAATCACACAAGCGAAACAGAGGTGGACCAAGGAACCGACGAGAGCGACCCTGATGACAGCCGGTCTATTCTTGCCGAGGACACTGCGAAACCAGCAGATCATGGCGCACTTCGGCCTGCCATTCATGTCACTGGTGGCTCTTGGTGATGATGTTGCATACGACCTACACACCATCAGGTAGTTTAGGCCAGACGCCGCATAGAGGGGATGCAGATCACGCTGCAACGGAATTTGAGCATAGAATGGCGTTATGACATGCTTTGTCTGTTGGATGTTTTCTTTTTCGTTATCGCTGTTGGTGGAAAGCGGGCTGATTTGGGGTTTGCACATCAGTGGCGGCACTTTTTGTTACCTACCTATAGAGGCAGACTTGGACATCTGAGCTGCGAGATTGCTCGTGCGATGCAGTCGTGTGCCAGCATATATGGCTTGGGAGTTGGACGCAGTACATTATTCACTAGGACGGGAAATTTCGCATTCATGATTGAAAATAAAGGTCCTTGAATCATTCTATATGAGGTGTGCTGTTTGTAGGGAACCATGCTGCGAGTTGATTTCTCTTGGTGCTGTGACAGTATTCATATATCGCGATAGCTGTTCGATATTGCATCTTCGGCCGCGTGGCCTAATGGCTAAGGCGCTAGATTTCGGTTGGTAAACGCCACCTCTAGAGATTCCAGGTTCGACTCCTGGCGTGGTCGCTTTTTTTGCCCTTTTCCTCGAAAATTCAAGGAGAATTGACCTTCTTTTTTGCATCTGTGTCCTCTATCGAGACATCCAGTACTAGCAAATACTAAGCAGTTACTGTGAGGATGTCATGTATCATCTTTTGCGGATAAGAGGTCAGGTATGTAATGTATGTAGCATGGCTAAGAGGGGCATGATGGCAAAGAATGTCAAGTGCGGATCTCGGGCTGTCGGCAATCGTGTGCGACCTCAGGATCTCGGTGTCAGCACAGCTGGAACTTTTTGGGTATCTGGGTTAGTAGGGTGTTTTTGTGTGTGTGTGTGTTGAGTTTATTCTTTCGTGCCAATTGTGGCGGCTGAGGAGCTGATTGAGCCACGTATGATGCGTGGTTATATGCCTAGGTAGTGACTATGGGGTGATTTTGGGGAGAGCTGATTTATTAGCTGGCTGATTCGTTTTTGAGAATAAGCTTGCTGGTTGGGAAGATGGTGGTTGGTCTAGCTGATGGTAAATGTTGAATCTTTGTGATATGTGTAGACTGATCTGACACATTAACTTTGGAGGCGATTGGGATACCTTGATGGCTGCAGCAATGTACGTGTCCAAGGCCAATACTACCTATAGCAGTGTTGCACGATCACAAACTGCCTGCATGAAGACACCAACAACTTGAAGCCACCGTCCATCCCAGTAAGACAACTCAACCAAGAAGCTCGGCGCGGAAGATAGACAGGCAGAGCTTACCAATCAACAAAGAAAAGGGCTCATCCAACCTTTTCCCCTTCCGAAGCCGCGAGCCGCCGCCCTGATTTTGTTACTGGTATCTCGGCTCCTCAACAAAGGAGAGCAAGCGGCATGCCGGCCCATCGGCCGTGATCTGGCGGCTTCACATGGTGCCGCCGACCACCCGCAACCCGCCCCACCGGATTTCCATGGTCAATATGTGAGGTGCTGTTTTTTTCTATGCCCCCTCTCTCACCTTGTTCGAGCCCTGGCTGGCGGGAGCTACAAGCATAGTTCGCAGCTGTTGTTGCCCCCCCCATTGCGTCAGCGAGACTCGGATTGCAAAATGCGCAGGGCGGGCCAATGAGGCGGCGGGCTCAGCACGCAATCGCGGCGCGCCTTGCCGCTTTGAGGGAGCTGGGATTGGGGGGGGAGGGGAGGAGGAGGCGCACTGGATTGCGCTGATCGTGGGGTTTTCTCTTGACTGGTTGTGTTTGAGCGAATTGAAATTATTATTCTGGAGCACCAGAAGGAGATGTAATAGAAGGGAGAAGCAGGTATCTAGAGGATATCAAGAAGTAAACATGGTGGTCGACGTGGCCGTGGTGAGCATTAGAGACAAAGAAGGTTGAGGCTTGGAGGGGTCATTGATATTGAGATGTTGGTGTTGAGTTCAAGCTGCTCCTTGTTACTACTAGCTCCGTAAGCAAGGACGGGTTTCCTGGAAGGAGGGGCAGAAGGTGATCCATGAGATGATTGATGGAGGGGGAGGGGCTGGACGGGGTGGATGGTGGAGGGGATGGAGGGACGGATGGCGAGAGATTGGGTCATTTGTTGCGCGTATGGGCAATGGAGGGAAAGCATGTCATTCATGTCGACCTTGCTATATAAGGAGGCGTGGAGCTTGTCACCTCAGCCTCTTCCATCTCTTGCTTCTCTCTTCCTCTTCTTCTTCTCTTCTTTTTCTTCACAATCATAATACCACACACAGCTCACCTCACCTCACCTCACTCCAACCTCGTCGTCACAACCACAACCACCACAATCCAACATGTCTGAGCCCGCCCCCCTCCGCCTCGGCTCCGTCGCCCCCAACTTCAAGGCCGAGACGACCCAGGGCCCCATTGACTTCCACGAGTTCATCGGCAACAACTGGGTCGTCTTCTTCTCCCACCCGGAGGACTTCACCCCCGTGTGCACCACCGAGCTGGGCGCCTTTGCCAAGCTGCAGCCCGAGTTCGAGAAGCGCGGCGTCAAGCTCATCGGCCTGTCCGCCAACACGGTCGACTCGCACAAGGGCTGGATCGAGGACATCAAGGACGTCACCGGCGGCCACGTCACCTTTCCCATCATTGGTGACAAGGACCGCCAGATTTCCCTGCTCTACGACATGTAAGCCTGTTTTGATTTCATTCTAATACCTCTCCATGCAACTCGCAATTTTCACGCAAAATCTCTCTATCCGTCTTCTGCTGGGTGTTCACCAGCTAAACATTGCCCAAATACAAACAGGATCGACCGCCAGGACGCCACCAACGTCGACGAAAAGGGCATCGCCTTCACCATCCGCTCCGTCTTCTTCATCGACCCCAACAAGAAGATCCGCACCATCCTGTCCTACCCGGCCTCCACCGGCCGCAACGCCGACGAGGTCCTGCGCATCATCGACTCCCTCCAGACCGGCGACAAGTACCGCGTCACCACCCCGATCAACTGGCAGCCCGGTGACGACGTCATCGTCGCCCCCGTCATCAAGGACGAGGAGGCCAAGAAGCTCTTCCCCAACTTCCGCGCCGTCAAGCCCTACCTGCGCTTCACCCCTCTGCCCGAGGTTTCTTAGATTTGGGGTGATGTTGTAAGAGATTTCAGATGTGTATATAAGGAAGAAGGAGAGGCAAAAAGCAATGGCTTTGTACAGCACTTTTGGCAGGTTGGACATGGGAGAGCGTGGGAAAGGCAACATTGCGGCATGGCGCTCAGGTCTTGGTAGACTGAGCTATGTCAGATGTTGTTTGCCCCGTGCCACGAATGATAGATGACCGTGGCATTCCATTACAGCCTGGGCAGGGTCTGGGCAGGGCAATGAGACGTCAAATAGTAAAAGATACCAATTTTTTTCAACGCAATTCTAAATGTCTCTCTAGCATTCGAAGTGAATATTGCATGTGAGTAGGTAGAGCTAGCGATGGCTCAGATGATTCCGCCGTCAAGTTGGAGCTGGACGTTGCAACTTGTCCAATCAGATACTAACACAGAAGCTTGTTCTTGAAAGGGTCGCTATACAAGGATACTGTATCGACTTTTCACATCTTGCAGATTATCTACAATCACTGACAAGTTTTGGATGCCATGGCTTCCTGATCATCTTAGGTACCCTGGAGCTTACAAGTCAATGTGGTGATTACATAATCACATGATACTCTCAGTCACATTGACAAGCCTCATGTTGTCTGCCTGTATCCGCCATCTGATAAGCATCATCTCTATAATCATCATGTCTCCAGCAGCTCTTCTATGCTGGACTCAACGTCAGCTACCATGAAGACCTGGTCACACCCAATGGTCGACGACGCATGGCCACAAAACCATTCAACCTAATGTTTCAGCCCCGGCTAGCCAACCTGTCTAAGTACTGCGGAAGCCACATCAATGTACTCGTATGCAGGTCGACTCGCCAACACGAATCATGGCGGTGCAGAGAAAGTGTCCAGGGTCCTGTATCTTGACTTGTAATAAGAAGTTAATCCGGATGATCCGGTGAGGAGAAGCAAAAGGGCAGAAAGGGACCTTGATGGAATAAGAAGAATGGCTTCATGTTATAGAGGGATCGGCATTGATGCATCGGCAGGTAATAACGGAACACGGACGCTCCGAATCAACTGCCGGACGGCACGAGCCTCATGCTGGACTGCATTTGCCAGGAGATGATCAAGTGTATCCATTTCTTCTCCGTGGGCTGCTGAGGCTCTCTTGTCGTTGTTTCCCAAGGTACTTGCATGCACTGTGTGTCATTGTGTCGTCGAATCAACCTTTTCCTTCTTCTTATATACCGTGTAAATCAGCATGCCAGATAATAAGGGGGAGGCCAAACTGACGTCTTCCACTGTCGTGATTTATTTAGACAATGGCCCGATTGTTTCAAGATAAAGTCAAGTGGGCTTAGCCCGGAAGCATCTCCATTCCATCCCACGTGCTAATATATCCAGCTGGACGCATGCAGCGAATACCCTCGAGCTGAGGCTTGGCAGCGGTGGTAGAAAATGAGTAGGTAATCTAGGTAGATGATGAGCCACAGAGGGAGCAGGAACAGGCTCAGCTGTAGGCTCTCGAGGAGGTACGGGGGGGTGATGATCTGTGGTATTTGAAGCTGTCTGTGGGAAAGTGAGCGCGTGAGGGCTTCGAGAAAAGCAGCATGGAAGAATGTGGAGCTGACAGGGAGACAAAGGCCTCCCATCACATCACATCACTCCCCAAGAAGAATTGACGCATTTTACGGGGTCGAAATTGCAAGCGCTACCACGTATTACTACGTGTCCCGAGAGATGAATGGTTCGTTCCACTTTATGCCTCCGAGATGATAATAGTAGATAGCAAAGCAGCTCCGCGGTTATCGCCAAGGACCGTGGTCTCCTGTAGACCTGCAAAGGCACACACACACACTCGAGATACCGCTACTCCAAGTCAGTCGTAGTTCAACCGGCGCGAGGACCCCTATTAAGCCAAAGGCTGCGGCCAGAGCCACCGCCAACAAAATGCTACTATACTTTATTTTGACACTCCTACATGTTAATGTCCGGATCTTTCAGGGAGGGGAGGGAGAAGAAGATTGAGGCAAATGCGGACCAGTTGCTACTACATACTACATGTACCTAGTACTAGTCATGCTGGGCTGTTGAGTGGAAGCTTGTTGTTATTATTAGCGGGACAAGCCATCACTGGAAGCGTCAACAAGAGAGCTGTTGGTGGCAATTGATGTGTTTTTTGACGGTTTGGCGGTGGCTTTACGCCTTGTTCCAATTGTTCCAATTGTTGCTTTGTTTGCGTTGTTGTCTCTCTTGTTTTCGCACAGATGCCGATCAGACGAGTGGGTGACGGCATGTAATAGGTAGTACCCATGTGTTATCGCGGATTCAAGAAGTTGTTGCCCAAAAAGGAAGTTCTGGTGACATTGTGTTGGTTGAACTCCGATGAAGAGCGGCTTGTCGATTCTCTTGTTCTTTTTATAAATCTTCCATCTTGAATTGTGTTCTGTCTTCCTTGTCATCTGCCGCGTGGCAAAGTAGGAAAATGGACACAAAGAAGGGGAGCGAGATGCGGTGCACATGTACCTGAACCTACCTAAGGGTAATTCCATAATACATGTACCTACCTACATGTACCTTTCAGCGCCATCTCCTTTTCCATGGAGGACTTGAGCCTGAAGTTCATGCGAACTGCCCTCTGCAAAACTCCACGATGGAAGCACACGCGCCAACAACGATCGAGGCAAGATCCCTTACTCTTAATCTGTCCCTCCCTTTTCTTCTTCTTTGCCACACACCGGCATCCATGATTCGCATGCAGGTACACGTCCATCCATACGAGTGCAGTATTACATGCGCAGCGAACACGGAGTGCAAAACTCCGAGATGCCTTGAGGGGGGGACGAGGGTCTGGCGCTAACCGGTAGCACTTGAGGACTCCCTGCAGTTCTTCGTACAGATACTTCAATCAATTGTACCTACTCTTGCACTGCCTTATCGTGGCCATTCACAGACTCCAGCCTGCTAGTTCTCGTCTCTCTGTCCTCTCCTTCATTCATCCTTGATCCTGTACTACCTACCTACCTACTCTAAAATACCCGCCTTCTCAACGTGGCTGCAAACATCCCCCATTTCTCTCACGATACTTTACTGATACTCCATCTCTCCTTCATTCAATCAAATCCCTCCAAACTCCTTTTTTTTTTTTCCATCTCCCCCAACTGCTCCAACGCTCCAACCGCTAAAGCCCCCCTATCCAGCCTATCAGAGCCCGCTCATCCCCTCTGCCAGCAGCAGCCCGTAGCGAGTCCCAGCGCCTGTAGCGGTACCAGCACAGCGCCTGTAGTTCTTCAATCGACAACTAACCTAAGCCCACATTGAACCACCCCCCCCCTTCTTCGCGTCTGTGCGCATAGACGGTTATTTTCTTTTCCTGGGCTGTTGCTCGAACCTCTTTTCCAGCCCACATCGTCAGCTCCATATCGCGCCAGCCAGACGGGCAGCGCAGCATCAACCAGCAACGAGTGCGACGTTGGCCCTGCAGACAGACGTCCGGCCGCCGTCTTTGAATGGTACGTCATGCGACTTCATCTCGCCCGGCTCGCCGTCGGCCAAGCCTCTTGCAGTTCAGCTTCATCTTGTCTTCCCCTTGGACACACGCAACCGTCCGGCCGCCCTCGAAGCCAGATCATCGCGCAACCTCTTGACCACATTTCCACCCGCTTGCCCGGCTGCTCCACGCTGCTCCTCGCTCGACGCTCGCTCGGCCCCCCGGATCGCCTTCCGGGCTCCTGAAAATCGTGCTGGCTGCGCTGCCGGGTCCGACGAGATACGGGCGAGGCTGTGGCGAGCGCCCGTCGCTTTCGCATCCGATCTCTCGACTTTGGCCACGGGTGCGGTCAGGAAAATCTCCCCCCCCTGCCGGCCGGCTGCTCTTCCTAGGTCCCAAGCGAGTGGTCCTCTTCCCATGCTTGTGCCTTGGCCGAGAACGGGTTGATCAATCTGACAAGCGTCCTCGCAAGGAAATCATCATTCTGCTCTTCCCTCCTTCTCACATCCCATCTCCTTCTCTAACCCCCTCCCCCCCTCTCTCTCTCTCTCGCTGTCGTGGTCCGAGTCTTGACCATTACGCGCCCGCCCCCTTTCCTACTCCGTCGCCTGCCCTGCGCCATCTCTACGGCATCATCTCCTCTGCTTTGCGCGCCGAGACGCATTGGCCGCTGCCATGGCCGACTTCGCACCGCTGACAGGTTTGCAGAGCCCATCACCGAACGGCTTCTACTCTTATCCCGACTCTGGGGCCAATGACCCCCGCCTGCAGACCAACAAATACAGCAGCAATACCGACAGCGCATACCGAGCAGCTGGGTACAACGCCTCTGCCAGACTCCCCCGAAAGCCGTCCCTCCAAGCGTTCCAGAGCCACGCGAGCTCATCATCTGGCGTTGGCCTTCCACCTCACCCCAAGAAAGCACGAGCGGCGTCCGTATCCAGGCTTCAGCACCAGCATGGGAGACAGCTGAGCCTGCAGGACAGCCTTGAGAAACCATTGCCGGAGCCGCCCGCCGAGACAAGCGCACCAACGCCCCCGTCGGTCACCCTCCCCACCTTCGACAGCCTTTCGCAGAGCATTGGCACCGGAGAACCGCCCCAAGGCCGCTTCCTCGAGTCTCGCCTGGATAACCGGATAAGCCCCGCGGACTTGACGAGCCCCGTCGCCCCCCAGCAGATGTACGGCGCTTCGGGACAGGACAACTTTTACACGCAAGAGATGAACGCCAACATGGCTGGCTTGAGCGCGGCGAGATACGCTGGCGGCGCTGACGAATATCGAGATGGCCACAGAGAGGGGCTGACGCCGAGGAGCAATGGCTCTGTATCGGCAGGCATGTCGCCCGCGATTGCGCAGGGCCAGATGCAGGCGCAGGCGCAGTCTCAGCAAGCTCACGGACAGTCTTCTACGCCGGTCGGCGGTCCCTCCCAGGGGTCCTCGGCCCATCTATCGGGATTGATGTGCAACGTACATCGAACCACGGGCCAGGAGCCTCCGCCACTGGTTGGAGCCACGACGACGATCCTCGGCGACAGCTTGTACGTTTTCGGTGGCCGTATCCTCTCTCGAAGCCGGCCCGCGCCGCTGACCTCGGATCTCTACGAGCTGGACCTCATACGACGCCACTGGACGAAGCTCGAGGTCACGGGCGACATCCCACCGCCGCGTTACTTCCATTCCATGTGCGCGCTTGGGGGGACCAAGATGGTGTGCTATGGAGGAATGTCCCCGGCGCCTAACCAGCCCATGGGGGCCGACCAGCAGCAGCCCGAGGTGACTGTCATGTCCGACATCCACATCTACGACGTGCCGACCAAGAGGTGGTCCTACGTCCAGGCGCAGGAGACGCCGCAAGGTCGGTATGCCCACTGCGCATGCATCCTCTCCTCGTCTGCCACGTTCTCCTCAAAGGATGCTCCTCTCTCGGCTCTCCAGCACAATCCGTCCAACGGCAACCCTAATGAGGGCCGCATCGGCATCAACATTGACGGCACAGGGGGCGCTCAATTGGTCATTGTTGGAGGCCAGGATGGCGCAAACCACTACATCGAACAGATTAGCGTCTTCAACCTCCGGAGCCTCAAGTGGACGACGACCCAGCCGCTGGGCAAGAGCTGCGGCGCCTACAGGAGCGTTGCTGCAGCGCTGCCTCCGGCTGTCAGCGCAAGAATCGGAATGCATGCCCAAAACAGCCAACAGCGCAACGACAGCACCGCTGGCCAGGAGTCCGGATCGTCCATGCTCATCTACTCCAACTACAACTTCTTGGATGTCAAGCTGGAGCTCCAGATCCGATCGCCCGACGGAACCCTGACGGAGCGGCCCATGTCCGGGACGTACTCTCCACCCGGTCTTCGGTTCCCCAATGGCGGCATCATCGACACTCACTTTGTGGTTAGCGGAACCTATCTCACGTCCTCGAAGCAAGAATACGCGCTGTGGGCTTTGGATCTTCGATCACTTACCTGGAGCCGCATCGACGCGGGGGGCAGCGTGTTCAGCCAAGGCAGCTGGAACAGGGGCGTGTTGTGGAATCGGCGGAATACGTTTGTCATTCTCGGCAACAGGAAGAGGAGCCTGGTGGACGACTACAACCACCGGCGCATCAACTTCTCCAACGTTTGCATGGTGGAGCTGGAGGCCTTTGGCTTCTACGACAACCCGCGCAAGGTGGACCCCATGTCCGGCTTCGTCTCTGCCAGCAGCCCCTATTCTGGTCTGAGCCTGAGTCTTGCGCGCAAGGCTGGCTCTACTGCTGGCGGCCGCTTCCACTCCCGGGCAAGCGAAGACCTGGGCGAAAAGGTCCTGGCATTCCGGGAGCTTGCCGACATGGACATCCTGTGCATCGGCGGCGAGCGGATACCGGTCAACTCACGGATCGTGGCGCGGCGATGGGGCCCGTACTTTGTCCAGCTGCTACGAGAAGGGACGGCAACACAGGATGGCAGCGACGCCGTGACCTTGCGGTCCGGCCTGTCCAGCAATCCGCTGCGGACGTCAGCATTGACCATTACGCCGAATCGAAACTTTGACGACACGGCGACGCTGGTGAGCAGCACGGGGGGCTCCGTAGCAGGCTCCTTCTCGGGGCCGTCTGGTCTCTCCGGCCCGATCCACCACGGAGGCACCGGCGCGGCAAACGGAGGAGACGAGGCAATCGCAGCCGCCAACAGCGCCCCGACGCCTCGCAGCCTGATGCCCAACTCGAGGCCGCGATGCCTCTACCTACCGCACACGTACCTGACGATCCAGGCCCTGCTGCACTTCTTGTACACGAGCTCCCTACCCTCGCCCACCTCTGCGCTGTGCACGCCGCAGATCCTCTGCTCTCTGCTACAGATTGCGCGGCCATATCGAATCGACGGCCTCTTGGAAGCCGTCGTCGAGCGTCTGCATGCCCTCCTCGACAGTAGAAACGCCGCGGCGGTGTTCAATGCGACGGCCATGGCCGCTGGCGGAGGACGCGGCATCGACGGCTCTCTGAATCCCAATTTCTTCGTCGGCAGCCTGGACCCCATCGGGTCTCCCGTCTCCACGTCGGACTTTTCCCTCAGCGGCACGACCGCCAAGGACTCCATGTCGGACCTGGCTTCGCGCGCGGGCAGCCTGAGCGTCTCGGGCCTCCAGCAGCATCCGGGGCGGTCATCCAGCGGCGACGTCTCTGCGTCGACGAGCACGAGCGGATCCGAATGGGGCTCGGAGATGGGCGACACCGAGCGGGATGCCGTCATCTGGAACGGAGAGCTCAGCAGCGTCATTGGGCTGCAGAAGAGGGGCCTGCGAGGGCTCATGGAGGGCCGGAGGATGCGGGAGCGGACAGGGACGGGGACTGGGGGCGCGGCAGGCATGGGAGCTGCCAACATTGCAGGGTATGGAGGTCAAGGCGGCGGCGGTGGCGGCGGGCAGCAGCGCGTAGGGCTGGGAATTGCTGGGCCGGGAGTGATTTAGATGAAATGATGGCGTGTGAAGTCGGGAGAGAGAGAAAGTGAGGAGAGGGGGGAAGGTTATAGCTGGATAAACTCTGATGTTGATATCATGAGCGATTTGTAATCATCTGTGTAGATATATATACTAGTCTTTTCTGACGGAGGAAATGCGATCTGTTTATATCATCCTTGCCTGTTGTTTTCTGTCCATTGTTTAGATTCGGACAGGTTGTCTAGGGCACATACACACACATATATATATATTACATGAATGAGGCAATGGAGCGTTATTGGAAGGGTCTGCGCCTATAAGATGGCTTATTGAGAGGGAGTTACCCTTGTATATCTCATGATTGGGAACTGTGATGGCGACCTACTGACTGATCTTTTGGTTAAGGCCTGTGGGTGTAGTAGATTAATACAGTAAAGTATATATATATATATACCAACCAAGTCATAACGTCTATGCCAACTTAATCATATCATCTCTTCGTTCTTCAGCAGTAGATATGCACGACATCAACGCTACACGAGGAACGCTAGACAAACTGCCCTCAATAAACAAAAGTCAAGTAAGGAGGCAAAAGGAACCATCATCGCTGAATCAATCAACGCAACCCGCCATCTACAGCTTCACCCTCCCCCCCTCAAGCTCCCTCCAATCCTTCTCTCTAAACGGAACATATGAATCGCCCCTCAGCCAGTATACATCAGTCTCGCCTTCTTCGCTACTGCCTTCTCCCCCAGAAGCCTTGGTTCTCGGCTTCACCCCTTGAGCCCGCAGACTCTGCTTCTGCTGCTTGTTCGTCCCCGTAGTTTGACTCCCCACACCAACGTCCTTGACAAGTCGCAAGAACAAGGGGCGAGCATACCGCGGCAGCGAGGCATTCACGTGGGCAGCCAGGCTCCGCAGCGTAGCCTCGTCGGGGACGGGAGGATCGAGACAGACGGCGGCGCAGCCCGCGCGGCCGTCGTGGTGCGGCAGCTCAACGCCGTAGACGTTGGCCTCGCGGACCGCCGGGTGCAGGCCCATGGCCTGGCTGACCTCGGCCGTCGACACGTTCTCCGACTTCCAGCGGAACGTGTCGCCGATGCGGTCGCTGAAGTAGGTCAAGCCGTCGGCGTCGCGGCGCAGCACGTCGCCGGACCGGAACCAGGCGTCGCCGGGGCGGAAGACGCCGCGCAGGATCTTGGCGTCCGAGGCGCCCGGGTTGTTGAAGTAGCCCTGGAAGCGCTGGCCAATGTCGTCGGCCGGCAGGCGGTACAGCATCTCGCCGGGCTGGCCCGGCTTGACGCGCCGGCAGAAGCCCGTGACGGGGTCGCGCCAGGGCGAGTCCGTCGCCCAGTCCACCTCGACCAGCGCCGACGAGCTGCCCGACAGCAGCAAGTGCAGCCAGCCGGAGCGCCCGATGGCGCCGCGGGCATAGTCGTTGCTGGACACGTTCCACGCGGCGCCGGGCGATTCGGTAGCGGCGTAGAATTCGGCAATGGTCTCGATGCCGAACCGCTCCTTGACGCGGTCCCAGATGTCCGGCCGGAGACCGTTGCCAAAGGCCAAGCGCACGTGGTGCTTGCGGTCGAGGTTTTCACCAGTGACGGGGTCCAGCTGCGGCGGCGCCGCCAGCAGGTACCGCAGCGTCTCGCCGACGTACTGGATCGACGTGGCCTTGGAGGCGCGGCACTCGTCCCAGAAGCGCTTCGTCGAGAACTTGCGGCCCAGTGCTTGCGTCGAGCCGGACAGCAAGGTTGCGCAGACGGATAGGAGAGCGGCGGAGGAATGATATAGTGGCATGCACTGAATGACTTTGTTAGCCGGAAAGATTTACGCTTGCTAGTAGAACCGACAATAAGGCAATCTGATGAGAAAGTAAGGAGAAAGGGGGGGGAAGGAGGGGCTTACCGTGTACATGATGTCGCTATCACCACGGTTTAGCAGAGTCGCAGCCATGGTCCCTCCGTATATACATTTCGCCCATGAAACGACAGCCGGCTTCGGCAAGCCCGTCGTACCTGAGGTGTATATAAGCATCGCCATGCTAGCCATGGTCCCGTCCGACCGGTCTGTATTGAAAGCCCGTTCTGGAGCCGTCGCCAGGGCTTCGGCCTCTACCTCGGGCGTAAAGACGACAAACTCGACATTGGGCAAGCTCTGCTTGACGCTCTCATCCTCAAAATTCGAAGCCACAGCAGGGTCAATGAGACAGAGCCTCGTGGTCGCCGCCTTGATGCAGTGAGCCAGGGGCTTCCCAGTGAGATTGTAGTTGATAAAGGCTGGCTTCGCGCCAATCGACCACAGCGCAAACCACACAAAGATAAAGGTGTCCGAGTTTTCAAAATCCATTGCAACAATCTCCTGCGGCTTCACGCCGAACCTCTTCCTGATCCAGTGGCCATACCGGAGAACCCTGTCATAAGTCTGGGCGTAGGTGTATGTCTTGCCCTCGAAGATGAGAAACGGCTTGTTGGCCAGGCGGCGGCTCAGGGCTGCCGATTCCAGGGCGTAGAAGAGGTTGATTGTGTCATGGTTAAGGCCATGCCGCACGCGGAGAGATGCTTTGACGAGGCTCTTGACGAGCGCTAGGTCGTACCAGAAGCTGCTTTTGGCGTTGAGATAGGCCAGGGAGGCGGCCGCCGCGGGAATGAGGATGGGGAGCGGGACTGGCATGGCGTTAGTTATTTCTTTTTTCTTTTCATAGAACGGAGTATTTTGTGACGGGATAGGTCAGTTTTATCTACCTGGCATTGCTTCCTCTCCTTAAGAGACACCTTTTGCTGCTGAAGATAAAGCAAGACGGACTCCACCATGAGACTGCTGTTGGTCCTGTCTCCTCGGATGAAAGCACAGATCAACCACCCCTCAATTTTTCGTTAGTATCTCCCAAAGGGTGACCCTCTTTATTTTCTCTGCGACTCTATCATTCATTAGACGAATTAGATCTCATGCTCTGCATCCAGAAATGGATAACCGCCGATTGGGGTGTGGTTGAAGAGGAGCCTCGGCTTTCAGGCAATTCGGTCTTCTTGACGACGTCTTCTCTCCTTTTCCCCCTCTCGACACTTGATTTTCTTTTTTTTTTTTCTCCTTTCCCTTTTTGTTGGGCCGTTGGATGTCGAAAATCGAGGTATACGGATGTACCTCTCGGGATATGGGCGACTCAGGTAACGCAATAACACGAACGCAGACGCAAAATCGCACGGGGAAAAAAAGATAATGTGACTTTGCAAATACAAAGCAAACAGAATGCCACACCTCAAACTGAGCAACAGGAAAACAGACAAGACAAAGCCAGCACAGGGTAAAGGGACAGGAAGAGGAAGGGAGGAGAAAGCTAAAGTGAAACCCTGAGTCAAAAGGGAAAATCAAGGTGACTGCTTTTTCTCTATCCAGACCCTGCCTTGCCCTCCATTTTGTTGGCCACAGCGAGGGTGGACAGGCGGCGGTGGAAACGGCGTCATGCATATTGCATGCGTACTTGTAGCATGCGTGCACGAAAGGGACCGGCCTTTAGTTAGGGTCTCCGGCCGGGGACTTTGGGGACCATGTAGGAGAGGGGAAGCGTGGTTAGGCTTGCGAGGGGGTTGATGCTCTGTTTCTTTGCCTTGTCCGTGATTCGGTGTTGGCTATGATGCTTGAGCGCTGCAAATGGTGATGGAGGCGGCATCATCTCCGACAAACACCCATCTCCAGGGCTCTGTCTGTCTTGTCTGCCCATCCGATCATTTCTGTTCACCACTGTTCAAGCAGGCACTCTGTGTCAGTTGGAGCCGATATGCCAACGAGTATTACATGGGTGGGCTTGACGTACTTTGGAATCATCCACATTCGTTGGCATGCCGTTGCCCCCTTGCTCTGGACAGAGCAGCACTCCGGACCGGATACGATACCCCGAGCCTCCGCCCGCGGACTGGCCCGTCAAATCCGCTACCCCCCTTGAAGCGGCTGAAGCGCGGGGAAGCACATCATCATCTCATCATTTCAACTGATCCAGATCCGCGCGTTGCCTCCCTTTGTGGTAAGTTGATGGAGGAGATGCCTCGGCTCCTTTCGAGCTCCCTATCCTGGGAAAGGCCTACCGTTTCTCCAGATTGCCGTGCGGGGTTCGTCCGCAGTGGACCGTACAGGGGTCCAGCTGGTGAGCGGAAATACTGAACGCTGCAGGCCTAGGTTCAAGCGAAAGGGATGATGCTGGTGCTGGATCATAATCGTGTCTATCCGGTTGATGAACTTTGGCGGTCGTTGGACGTTTGATGCGCCAATTTGGATCTAGCGAGCAAAGGCGATGGCTGACAATGCCGTGTGTGTGTATGTGTGTGCGTGTATGTGGCTTGCTTGATGTGTGGATTGCATCGTAAGTACGAACGGATCTTGGCCAATACCTTATACAGTGCGTCCCGATCCTTTGGAGCATGTGCTTTTGGCCAACTTGGAGATGCTAGCCTTCATATGCTGTGCAATGGAACCATCGCGTGGCCGCTTACACTATGCTCAGTATCATAGCCTGCCTTTGTGCTCCAGATGGTTTCTTGCTGGCTGCCTTTGCTCTCCTTTCCTGTCCCTCTCTTTCGTTCTATCATATTCGAGCTCAGAGATCCTTTGAAGTGAAAGAACAACGGCCTTGCCATTCGACATGTGTGGCATTTCAAACAAGTCATTCCCGGAATTCGCATTCGCTGTCATATCTCGCCGACAGCCTACCCAGAAACGGGTACCCGCAAGTATCGCGCAGCCTCGTATCGTGGCCATGCATCGTTCTGAGCAGGCAAAAAAAAGGCAGCAGCACCATTGGCTATCTCCAAGCGAAGAGGCGTGATGTCAATGTCCAATATGATACCAAATGCCAGCCAATTGCTCTGAATCAGCAGCTGCGCTACTTCAACTTCGAGAGCGGCATCTGTCAAAGATCGCGATCCCCGTTATAAGTCAGAATTGGATTGAGCCTCGGTTGCCGTACAGTGCTCGGAGCCGCGTTGAGACACTCTCCAGCCAAGGGTTATTGAGTTCCGACGTCGCAGCCTGGTGTCACTTCATGTTACTCCGTACAATGTGATCTATCAACGTCTTGATGTCCTTGTCCGAGAGATAGAATGAAGGGATAGTCAGTGTAGCAAGCGAAACCAGCAGAAAATGTAGCCACGAATAAATAGACAGTAAACCATGTCGCATATCCATATGTGGTGTCTTGTGGCACTGATAGGGCGCCAGGAGATGACTGGTCATAACAACCAGCACCTCATCGTGGCAGTCTCTTCCCAGTTTCGCCATCCATCAGGCCGAGTATGTATATGCGGCATACACAGAGAGAGGCGTTCTCCCAGAAATTTGGTCCGAGGATCGCCGACATGAGCAGGCCTGGGACGAGCGCAACCGCGTCTCCGGGCTCTGCTGTGCCCAGAACAAGCCCAATCGCGTCATCGTCTGTGACGACTGCACATTCTACCGGCACGTGGCAAGAAATTTGAGCTGAGACCTTGATCCAGAGTCTTTAGTCAGTGCGAGGTATGCCTCCAGTGTTGTCGCAGATGACTATGAGGGTGTAAGTGTCTGTTGCAATGTCTTGGACGAGTCTGTCATTCTCATGATAGCTTTCAACCAAGGCCTGAACGACAACTTAAGATCCAAGAGCTCCCCTGAATCCATCAAATCTGTGATACCGTGAGAGTGTGTCACGCGAGGCGCACCAGGTACACGAACCTTCCTCTTCATTTGGCACCAAATCAGCCCAGCTGACAAAGACTTCAACAGCCGCAGAGATATCTCTCGGCAGTACTTTGAAGTTTCACACATTGTTCGCTTGTATCTCAGCGCTGTTGCATACAAACCTCATGTCCATCGCTGAGTGTGGGCGGCTTTACACCGACAGCGGCTGTCCCACCTGTCGTACTCGGTCGACTGCGGCCCTTGTACCTCGATCCGAAGCGCAGTCTCTGCGAGCTGCAATCTCGGACTCGACTTTCGACTTGCAGTAAATGGTTCCCTTGTAACGGTAGCACGCTGATCGGCTGGCATTTGAGAAACATCACCCCAGTCTATCGCTCACGAGGGTAACCTTGCTCGCCGTTGTCTGGGGGGAGGTGATGAAGGAACTCTATGCAAGAGCCGATTGTGAAACATGTCACAATAGCGGTTGCGTAGAATCGGCTCAGCGGCTCCGAACGACTGAGAGAGGAAATAGTGATGTCCAGCTCCCGGAATGTTCTCAATGACGCAAAGACCAGATCCCCTGAAGCTGAGCACTCCCGTTTACCCCCCTCTCACAGGGTCCAAGAGGCTTCTCCTACCGATCGCCTTGTTTGCAGTCCTGCCATCTTCTCTCTTGTCAGCCAGTGGGATATTCAGGTGGGCTTGAGATCGCGTTGTAGAGTGTGATGGTCGGGTCGTCCGAGTCCTTCATCTGTAAGCCCATCAAGGCCAACAGGCATCTCTACATGCGCTCCTTGTCGTCGATAATCCAAGTGCAACGTCTTCCCAGCTCCCAATGGCCTATTTGCTCACCTCGTCTTCTGCCCCAGCCACAACAAGGCCTCCACGCCTTACACATAAATGTCTCGCGTAAGTGCCACATAGGCGCTACGCTCGGCTGTATATGTCTGATTGATGCGGATTCCATCGATCCAAAAGTGAGATCACCCGTGCTCCTCAGTCACCGCAGGGCATCCATGCAGTTCTGCGTGATACCCAGTGTAGCGCCATTGCATCAGGAGGGGGCATGACGGATGCGGTGCGTCCCATGAGGAGCAGAGTGCTGTGAATATCGGACTGTAAGTATCGGGCTGTAAGTATCGGACTGTGAATATCGAACTGTAATCCCGCGCAATCTATCACAGAGTCTGCATCTCAGAAAACAAGCTAGCTGAGGTGCACCCTCAAGTCAAGTACAGTCTAGCATGACAGAAAAGATCACCCGTGAAGAAACCGATCTCTCGTTACTCAATCCTCCCCAGAGCCACGGGCGATTTGGCCTGCAGAATATGGTAGGGTCGGTTGACTTTGTAGGCTCTTCGTCACAGTCTGCGCCAGCGAATGACATGCGAACCGCCTGTCGTTACTCTGGGAGAATGGCCACCGGTCTATCGAATTCTGCCACGCCCGCGTACCTTTTGTTCACATCTCACATCGCAGCTCCAGCTTCACATCACAGCCTGGCACTGGAATCAAATAGTGGCCACGCCTCGGGCTTCGCCACTGTTCACAGTCGACATGGTATCGAAGTGGTTTGATATCCCCAAAGTCGACTGGCAGAGACTTAGGCCACAAACTCTCTTAACACCATGTTGCCGAGCGTGGAGCCCAGCAGTTGGTTGCCGCTTCATTTGGGCTCCGCCACAGCCAGCCCCGTCTTCCGCGCGAAAGAGTCTTTCCATAGCAGCACCAAGTGTCAGTCCAGTTGATACTATCCCGAGTATGAGGGACGTGGGCGGCACGAAATTGCCGTTCCTGAGAGATCGGCACCAATCGCAGGCTAGCAAGGCTCAATAGTCTCGTCCGCCCCAGCTATTATCGTCGCGTTATTTGGACGCTATTCTGCCAGCTGAACAGCAAGTGCAAGAACTTGTAGCAAAAACGCACCATGAGCTGTGCCGGCTCTCGGGGTAACACATTTAAAAGCCATGGGCTTGGCGCTGGAGATGGCTGACGAGAAGATCAAGTCCACGGCGCTGGACCAGGTCAAGGCACAATGGCGGCTCAGAACAAGTTCACAACCTGTACCTTTGTCCTGAAGAAGTGCGATTTCTCTAGCCCTTCGCTTGCACCAAGTGAGTCGTCACCCAGTGGGTGAGTGTGACCGAGGCCAGGCCAGTCTGCTAACCCGCCCATCAGCATGTGTAAAGAACTTTTGCCAGGGAGAGCCATATGGCTTTGGCTCTTGCACAGCGGACTTCACGGGCATACCTGCAGAGTGCTGCTCGCAGAGCACAGTTGGTGATGTAGCACAATGCATGGCCAACTTTCAGCAGCAGCAGGGATACGGCATCTTTGGCGACGCTTGTCTTTCCGTGGAGCGGTTTGTGACCGAGTGCGAGAACGCCAACTCCGGGTTTGATACGGCAACTTTCGAGCAGCAGGCCAGTTGTCTCTGCTACGACAGCAACAACAACTATGCTCCAGACGCCTGGGATAATGCGGTGGCCACCTGCGTCAGCACGGGAGAGAGTGCTCATCCAACCATCTGGAGGGCCTTGCAGAGAAACTCGGAAGTAGTTGGCCTGTGTACCAAGTTTGCTGGTGCTGCAGCCACAACCGGTCCCGCGACAACCGGCCCCGTCCCGACTGATTCGGCGAGATTTACCACTACCGAAGATGTTTCTCCGGAAACATCAGCAGCTGACATGGCGACTCCAACCGAGACGGGCTCGACAGCGGCTAGAAGCACGGATTCAAGCGACCAGACTTCAGTGGCATCAAGTGTAACACGCAGCGCAGCCGCGACGACCACGACAAGCAGCTCGTCCGCCGCTCGAATTGGACAGGTGAGTCAAAGGCTGATATCAATCCCTCCGAGACTGGTTGAATAATTGCTAATACCGATGGCTGAAGACGAGCTACATCCAGTTGAAGTGGGCAGCTGTAGGCCTCGGGCTCGTGTTGCCTTGTTTCATCATGACGCTATGACTGGCAAGATATTGATTGTGAGATGCGTAATCTGAATTGAATTGGCGTTTTTGAATGTTTTGTTGTTTTCTGATTGGTTTCCATGTCGCCTCCGAACCGTATCAGACTGTGGCTTGCCAGATGTCTCGTAGCGGCTTGTTAGCAGTCAAGTGCCTGAGTGGAGACGGTCTCTGATCTGATGTTTAGCAACCCTTGGCCAATTCCAGCAGCAGTCTGATCGCAGTGACGGTGGAAAGGAAAGGGAAAAGAAAAACAAAGAAATGGCTGGAGAACAAGTAGAACCTGGTGATGTAAAGAGGAACAAGTTCATCTGGTGGTTCCGTCATTGCAGGGAAGGAAGCTGTGGCAGCAGTGAGTGGCCTTCACGTGACTGCGCGGTACCTTCCTTACTAGTGAATTGGACTTGTAGTACCTGGATTGATGCGTTCATGCCACTTCGCCCAGATTGGCTGCATCGAGTATCGTCACGAACCTCGAGAACCACGTCGACGGCACTTGATCCAGCTCGCAACCATGGCGTCCGGGGAAGTCGAGCAGCCGCAGGCATCCGGCAGCTCGGCGCCTGTCGGCTCTGACTCTGCCTCTCCAGCGCCGGCGTTGCCTCCTCCCGAGAAGCCGTCGGCCGTCAGACAGCGGTCATACGTCGTGCTGTCCTTCTGGCTGGTGGTGCTTCTGCTCGGGCTGCCCATCTGGTGGAAGACGACGGCCATCTACCGCGCTGAGCTGCCTCTGGACAGCATGCTGAAGTGGGCGGATGGCAAGGTATGAATTGAAGTCTTAAGCGATCCTCCGTCGCTCATGGCTAACGCTGGATGGCTCCCAGGCCTGTCGACCCGTCTTCCCCCTCCAGATCTCGATACAGGCGGACGCTCTCCAGGAGCAAGAGGCGCACAATCTTATCCGACTGACGCAGCATGCATTGGACGATCTCAACGACTTCTCCGGCCACCATTTGCGCCTGCAACTCGCGCCGCGCAATGCGCCTCTCCCGAAAGACGACTTCCGAACAGCCTTGACGATCCGGCTCCAACCGGGCACGGGCACCTCGGCGTCGCTCAACCAAGAGTCCGCCGTTCTCGACATCACCTACCCTCCCAATTACGTTCCGTCTCTCACGTCGCCATCGTCTCCCCTCGCATCCTACATCACCAATGAGCTCCGAGCCACCTTTGCCGAGGAACAGTCCATCATATCATACCTTCTCTCCACGTCGTCCATGTCCACCGGCGTGCGCCCTCAAGGCCTGAGCGCCGAGGCTGCCGAGGCCCTTTCGAAGCGAACGACGCGATCTTTGCGATACGCTCCGACATACCACCTTACCTTTTCGCTCTTCACGGCCAACGGCGTGCCTAACACGTGGGATATCGAGGCCGCGTTGGATGAATACATCAGGCCTATGCTGGAGGTCCTGCGCCCCATTCACAACTTCACCATTGACACACAAGTCCAGCTGTACGCGGTCCCCGGCGTGCAGTCCCAGGTGCTTAGCAAGGAACACCTCTCGTCGTTTATCAATGCTGCTGAGTGGCCGCTGTCGCCATCTATTGGCAAGGCGCCAACGGTCAACTTTGTCATCTATGTCGGAAACCAGACGGTTGCGCTCGATGCCGAGACGGAAACGTCCCAGTCTTGGATGATACCGCAATGGGGCACCGTGTACCTGCTCTCCCACCCGGACACGGTCAGCCATGTATCGGTCGAGGAGCTGAAACAGCCCATGCTTACGTTTGGCGGCCACTTGCTCTCCCTGCTGGGCACTCCTCAGTCCGGATCTCTGCCTTTGCGACTCTCGACCTTGGGTCGCATCCGATCTACTGACCTGTTGCTCCGTGCATCGTCTACTCTGGGATCCCTTGCGAGACTGTCTCTTGCGCTGCCCTCCATCTCGATCCCTCGGAGCGTCGCAGACGGTGTCTCCAAGACGATGCATCACCTGGAGCTGGCTTGCGCCGATCTTGGCGGACCCGAAGGACTGATGCATGCGAGAATTGCCGAGGAAGAGGCAGAGAGGGCTTTCTTTGAGAAGAGCATGGTGGGACAGCTGTATTTCCCGGACGAGCACAAGATTGCCGTCTACCTGCCGTTGCTTGGGCCGGTGTTTGTGCCGCTGATACTGGGGCTCATCAATGAGATCAAGAAGCTCGTCAAGGAGGCGAAGCAGAAGGCGCTGGATGCTAGAAGCAAGAAACATCAGTAGCAAGCTTGTCTAGATTTGTTTTTTGGTTATACAATAATAGAAAGATACCCACGGTTGCCCTTCTATTTCTCTCTTGATACATTGAGTTTGTCTGAATGTCATGTTATCTTGCTTGAATAACTGCTGAGCGGAAGTGACGTGACAGCCAAGCTACTACCTACCTAAGGTACCTACTTAAGATGGAGCGAATAGAAGCTTCCGGATGATTAATTGGAGCTCCCTCAGTCTCTTCAGCAACCTCCCAAAATCTCCCATTTCCACCAACAGAGGCCGACGAGCCATTACAATACTGTCAGCAAAAACAAGTGTTGCAATCTTTCCATCGTCGGCCTCAAAATGCGAAAAAGAAGAAGATGCTGCCCCAGCCATCCTTCACGCTAACCATCCCCAGCGTCCACGACGGCACGCCACTCGAGTGCCGAATCTATCACCCAGCCTCGTTTTCGCGCAGCTCGCCAGCCGCGCCTTGGAAGCGACACGCGGCTATTTTTGCGCATCCGTATGCTCCGTTGGGCGGGAGTTTTGACGATGGGATAGTGGACATTGTGGCGGCTCAGCTGTTGCGCAAGGGATATCTGCTGGGGACGTTCAATTTCAGGTGCGTCTGCATGCGGCGGAATCTGGCATGAGGATGGACGTGTTGGCTAACAATGGAACGCATCGATATGGGTGCAGAGGCGCTGGGCAATCTGGCGGGAGGACGTCGTGGACGGCAAGGCCGGAGCGCGACGACTACATCAGCTTCGTCGGCTTCATGGTGCATTATGTCCACGGTCTGGTGTCGTCTGGTGACGCTGATCAGCAACCTCCCGTCCTGCTGATGGCGGGCTACTCTTACGGAGCCATGATCACGACGCAACTGCCGCCTCTCAAGGACCTTCTGGAGTTCTTTTTCTCTCCGGGCAGCGGACTCCATGCCGCTCAGATACGCCTGAGGGCCGAGGGCTGGGCCGAGAAGCAGAGAAGGCACATCTTGCGGGAAGCTCAGAGCCAACACACGACCCCCGACAGCACAAGCGATTCAGCGAGCCCCAGCCGTCTGGTCCCTGCAAACGGCAGGCTCTCGCCCATCAGCGGCTTCACCATGCCCCGGCCGGCGTACTTGCTCGTCTCTCCGCTACAGGGCCTCGTCACGCACCTGGCCACCATGTCCCTCATGCCGTCGATACTCGCAAGGCGGAGGCCTCCACAGCAAGATCCCAGTGCCGAGGCCAAGCTGGTGCAGAACCCTACGTTGGCCGTCTTTGGAGATTGCGATATATTTGTCCCCGTGGGCAAGCTGCGTGCTTGGGTGGCGCGGCTAAGTTCGCAACCAGCGTCTCATTTTCGCGGACATGAGATTCCGTCGGCGGGTCATTTCTGGGCCGAGGAGGGAGTGCTGCATGCAATGCTGGACTTGGTTTGTGATTTTACTTATACTCTTTACGACGGCAATTAGAGTGGTAGGCGTTTTGATTCGCTTGATTGATACCTTTACGAACGCAGCTATTATATGCGTATATCTTTGCCTATTGGCATGGTGCAATACTATCCATTTCCTCATTCTAGCTTGTTTTTGTTTTTAAACATATCCTCTCAAAAGCTGAAGAACCCCCCCCCCCCCCCCCCCCCCAACCAGTTGACGATTCAGCCATTATTTCAAGTCCCCAGCTGTGAGAGTCTGAGGATTCGGCTCATCGAACGAGAGCTCACGAACAACCTGGCCCACCAACTCATCATCCATCTGCATAAAGGACACACGGCCCTTGACGAACCAAAAGGCAACAGCAGCAACCAGCATAACGCCAAAAACAGCAATGGCGTAGTTCATGTCGCTGGGGGCAGGGCTGGGCGCGCCAGGGAAGAGGAAGAAGACGGTTGTGATGGCGCAGTAAACGATGGAAACGACGTTGAGGGGCGTGCCCAAGCGACCCAGGCGGAACTCTCCGGGAGGCAGCTTATCCCGGCCGACGAGGAGAAGGACGATGATGGGCATGGCGTAGGAGACGGTCAGGGCGATGGTGCTGACGCTGAGAATGGCCTCGAGCACCGTGTTTGCGAATAGATACAGGACGCCCACCAGGCTGATGAGGAATGCCTGCAGCCACAACGCGCGACCGGGAACCTGCCATGTGGGATCAACGTAGGAAAAGTACGCGGCAAAGGGGATACCGCCATCGCGGGCGAAGCTCCACGTCAGGCGGGAGGATGAAGTCAAGACGCTGACTCCCTGGCCCATTCCGTTGAAGATGAAGAGGGCGACCAGCGTGGCGGCGCCATTGAGCCCGACAGTCTCCTGCAGCAGTTCGACGAACGGCAAACCCGTGGGAGGGTCCAGGACGTTGTCGAGGTTTTGGATGGTGAAGAGGCAGATGACCATGAAGATGAAGCCGGAGATGGCACCGCAGATGACGGACAAATACATGGTCTTTGGCCCGTTGCGACGGGGTGCGGGAATCTCTTCGACCATGTGGATGACGGAGTCGAATGCCGTGAGCCCGTACGCGCCCTGGACGAGGCCCATGAACCAGGTGACGCCGTCGGGCCAGCCCGTCTGGTTGATCCAGGTGCCGAAGACGAATTTGGCCGACTGGAACTTGAGGTCGTGCTTGACGCCGACGGAGATGAGCAGCGCCAGGCCGATGATGAAGAACAGGCCGACGTACCACACGCCGACAAAGTTGTTGAACCACGGCAGGAAGCGGTCGTTGCGGCAGCCGACGTGGTTGATGGCCGTGAAGAAGACGGTGATGCCGACGTAGACGAGGAACTGCACCCAGCCTTTGCTCGCGCCGTCCCACTCGGGGTCGAACATGACCTTCATGCCGAGCAGGAACTCGGTCATGAAGGCGTTTTGCGACGCCGTCAGCGTCCACCACCCGAACGTGTTGATCCACGCGCACATGTAGGCCGTGAAGCGCCCCAGGGGCGTTTGGCTGAGCTGCGAGATCCAAAAGGCCTGCCCCAGCGCGGTGGGCATGCTGCTGCAGAGCTCGCCCATGGACACGGCGACGCAGATGTTGCACAGGGTGACGACGGCGAGGCCCCAGAGGACGGCGATGGGCCCGCCGTTGGTCAGGCCGCTGGACAGGCCCTGTGCCTCGGTCGAGTAGGTGCCCAGAACGCAGAAGGCGAGGGCGAGCATGCTCCAGATGTCGAACTTGCGGGTCAGGGCCTGGGAGTGGCCGAGGGCGGCGAGGTCGACGGCATCGCGGGTGGCTTGGTCGACGGTGTCTAGGTCGTCTTGGTTGTCGATGAACTTGGTGATGTTGGGGGATTTCTTGCTGCTGCTCGCCATAATTGTTTCTTCTTGTCCGTTGTCTTTGCCTCTTTTTGATATTGCTTTGTGGCGGTGCGAGGCAAAGGCTGCGAAGTGAGGAGCAGATAGCGAGACAGCATTCCCAGTTTGTGAGCGTCGAGGTTCTCGGCAGATGTCTCAGGATATATAATCACGCCAATCAAGAGAGATTGCAGGTCTGCGTATGATAGGGGGAGGGCGGGAAGAGGAGAAGCAAGAGACACAGATATCCGGATGGTCGGGCGCGCCAGGGAGTTTATGTGGTGGTGGTATATATCCCTGCCTCGGCCCTTTCTCCTCACCTTGCCCATTGAATGTGACTTGCACAGATTTACCAAGTACATGCACGCACGCTATTGCAGCTCGTTTTCACCAGCTGTCGTTACGCAGGGTCTGCAACCTCCTCCTCATCGTCTTTCGCAACCCCTGCAGACTAGACGTTGCTTATCTCCTTCGACAGCCTCCCCCATCAACGACCCCCCCTCCCGGATCGCAGGCACAAGGCTTTCAATGCGTGTGGCACACCTCGCCGATGAATCTAGGCTCCTTATCGCCTAGAAGACAAAAAGGAGGGGAGGCAAGGACAGTTGAAAAAAAGAACTCACAAGCCAACTTGCTACAGCCTAGTAGTACTTCGTTCCCAAAGTATCACCGAAGACTTGCAAACCTGGTCGAGAAAGAGAGGATGATGATAACGACGGGGTCCTTGCTTTGATAGGGAGCGCCGCTGATAACGCAGAATGGGGGGCCTCTCGTTCCGCTTTCCTGAGGGCGCCATGCTTGTGAACGGGGGGGTTCGCTAAGATACGGCTAGGCCAGGGTTACCCCGGACTTCCCCAGATTTCTGCTGCTCTTCTTCTCAAGCCCAAAGCCTCGAGCCCATTCGTCCTTCTCTTGCTGATTTGTATTAGATCAAAAGCCGGTGTTATGGATCGGCACATTTATGGGGGAAACCTTGGAACTGCTAGAAAGTCCACCACCCCCCCTCTTTTACTGTTGTTTGACGGCTTGTTGATTTAGTGTCTTTCGCTGGTTTATGCCTGTTAACAGTCTAGTGTCGTGCTCTTCCCGTTGTGACTCGGGAAGGTTTCGACTCTGTAACGCCTCGGAGTTGTCGCCCTCTCCCGGCCGAGTTGTGTCTACGTTGGTTCATGATACGGACATCAGTCGCATATAGCTAACAAGGATCCAGGCCCAAGGCTGTGCCCTCACCTAAAAGAGGCCGCTGGATTGTTTGTCTAATACATACTGCAACATTATCTGTTGAGATCTAGATCACTCTAATAGAATTGTCTCAACCTTGTGCCGATATCATAGGATCATGGCCGATGTTCGGATTGGGAAAGTCGGCGAGAAAGCCCCAAGGGTAAGACGGGCTCTAGATTGGAAAAGCATACCTACTGTTCATAAGACGGCCGAAAATCTTAGTCCATTTCTCGTGACTAACAGCTTTAATTCAGTACGCACAAGGCGTTTACTGATACATAGATAGGGCAGATAGAGAGATTGATAGAAAAAAGACCTTTGGGATCTTCCTCATCTGGGCATGGTGTAGATACCGGGTGGGCGTCAAGGGCGCTGAGTCCGTTGATTTGCTGACGGCTTCGCCTAGGCTTCCGCTTCGATCTGCGGGCCCACAGACGGTGGACTTGGGTTGTCATTGTGCATGCGGGGGAAAGAAACGAAGATTATCGGGCTTCGTGATGACGATGGCCATTTCTTTGGGGGGGTTTGTCGTTCTTCATTTGCAGTGGTTTGTTTGTTTGTTTGTCGTCATGGTGGCGATGGTGCGCTGAGGGAGGCTCTCTCAGGGTGGTGGCGGCTTGGCGGTCATAGAGCTCATGGCGTCCAAGATGTCTTTGAACCAGCTGAATCTGGCCGAGACCGATGCGGCTTGAAGGTCGATGCACAAGAGACCTTCGTAGGAATCAATCTCTACTTGCACAAGGTAAATTGGCCTTCTATGAATAAGGAGCTGCTGGGTAGTCTGTGAAAGGTTGAAACGGTTGGCAGGTAAGTTGGACCAAATGTCAACAATCATTGGATAACCAATTGAAGGCACTTCGCTGGCTTACAAATAAATATGGTCAGCGTCCTGCAATCCGGACAATCGTGGATTGATGCCGTGCTGATCAATTTTGACGGCTTCCGTAACTCAACATGTCTCCAAAGCAGACGTCTGAGTAACGGAGACGGGTCGCAATAGCAGCCATGCAATTCAGAAGAAATTGTAGGGTAGGTGCCCAATAGTCGGCAGAGGTACGTACCAGTCACTATAAGGCACCTATCTTATGCCGTAACGAACCATCAGTGCCTGGCTTCAAGACGATCGTACAAATGTGAGTCAATTCGATGGCAAGAGCCGCAAAGACCAAGGTTCTGGGCTGGGCGCTGACCGTGTATGGCCAATAGCCAGCCTCTTTCGCAGGGCGAGCGAGACACAGCCAGAGCTACGTGTTCCTTCACTGCCGCCTCAGAAGGAGCGCCGAATCGCCACAGTCTTCACCGAAAATGCCATTTCGCACTCACAGAGCTCTCCCTTGCTTCAACCCTCGTAATGTTACGCACGCCTCGAAACATTTTGGTAAGCCATCGTTGAGACATGATTGCCACCTAAAATAGATGAATGACGTGATGCTCAGGCGACCTGGAAATCTCGAGAGCATGGGACCTCGATCGAGCGGATGCTGCTATAATTACACGCGCTCTCAGTTCTACAGTCCAGGAAGTACGAGGTACAGTACATGCAAAAAGAGAGAGAAAGAGAGAGAGACAGCCAACACTGGGCAGGACCAACAGCAGGGTTACGCGCCTTTTTGTAGTTGTTGGTCCTTGACGCCTGTTTTCCAGGCATAGCCCAACAGGCGCATTAGATGAAACGCGCATTTCTTCGCCCCACGAGATCAGGCTTGAAACGACTGCTGTCATTGCTGCTACCCCCAGAGGCCCTGCAAGCCCACCATGGCCGCTCTCCGCAGCCGGCCTTTTTGAAGCTCATCGGCATCTGCAGTGTTATTATGGGCTCGATACCCGCATGTTCATGCAAATCTCGGCCTTCAGACGGTCTCGCAGCGACCGGCCGGAAGAGGTACCGTCGCACCGGATTCTGGGCGGCAAGGTACAAGCGGAACATCCGCCGCGGCCGGGCCAATGAGACCAGCGCGGTAAGATCCTAGCGCGGCGCTTCTTGGGGACCCCCGGCCGCCAGAAATAGACTGCGCTAGGCTGCTTATGGGGTAGTACCGGTTGGGTCTTTCCAGACGCGCGCTTGAAGCCGCTCAATGGACCAATCGCGCTTCATCCGCTTGTGGAACCGATTCCGCTAGTACGGAAAGGGGACGGTTACCCATGTACTTCGACCTTCGTACCTTTGATGAATATGGCCATCCCTTGCCAGCCTCCATCGCCAAACGTACAACTTACATAGAAACCGCGCAAAGATCCATCATCTTTCCCTTCAAGCAGAGCAGCGCGGCAAAAAAGAACAAGAGCCCCTGTAGCCCCACGCGTCTGCCATGTGCAGGAGCCGGGGTCATCCTTGCGAACAAAATAGCTGTCTCGCCCTGGGGCGGGAGAAGCGCATTTTGTTCCGGGCGGTTTTAACCCTTCTTCCACCCCACGGTGGTGATCTTCCCGCCGCAAAGAAGAATGCAATGCAATGCAACGATCCCGCCAATTTCCCGTTGGCGCCGTTGTTTATGGATTTCTCCAGGGTTGGGAGATTGCAGATGGAGACTTCTTTGCTGCTCTTGATGTCATTGTTGGGCTAGGCTCTGGGGTTGTGGATGGGGGTTACCGCCTGAGCCTTGTCGTCTGCTGGAGGTGACATCGTGGGCATGCCGTTATGCTTTGCTGCAAGGCAGTGCCTTTTTCGATACGACGTCGAGAATAACAAGCATGAAACAATCTCAAGGGCCATGTCTGCGCTTGTGCCCTGTTCGTCCATCTTAACGCTCGTAGCCGCCATAGAGACTATAACGAGCGCGCTTCCTCGGACTGACCCGTTGTTTCCCTTGCCCCCCCCCCCCCCCCCCCCCCCCCTTTTCCCAACGCCCGCCAGGCGGATTCGCCTCTGACATATGCAATCTCTCTTTCTCTTCCCTAAACCGTAGAGTAGCCCCAGGCAAGATGCCAGCCTCGCCAGACGAGATAGCCGCCTTTGCCCAAACGGGAGCCCCTGTCTAACCGCCCGTGGCCCATATGCGCACCGCTGGGCCTGCTCGACCAATATCAGCGAGCCATTCTCGGCAGACTGAGCTCTTCAGATACACGCGCTTCGTTTCACATGTCCCATCCGGCCTAGATCTTCCCTTGTTTCATCCCGACAGCCGCCCACAAGGGGTGGTGGGCCCTCGTCAAGTATGTACAGTAGTATTAGGATTGTGCTCTACGTCTTGATCCTCTGGCCCAGAGATGACTGCATCGCCAGAGCTTAAAACAAGGCCCATGTCCTCCGGGAGCCTGCTTCTTGTCTCCCTTGATTCCCCAGAAGCCCTTGTTTTGTCCTCTTTTTTTTCTTATTATTTGTTTTTCTTTTTTTTCCCCTCCCTGTCTCTGTCTGTGTGTTTTGCGTCAACTCAAGTTTCATTCGACTGGTTTCGGATTCTTGTTTCTTTCGCAACCCTATTGCTGTTCGCTATCCTATTCTCGCGTGTTATTCCTCTACGCCTCTCTTTTTCACTTTTCACAAATTCATCGAGTTTGTGGAGATCGTCCGTCATCAACATTCTTTGGGGACGTTTTCGAAGGCCCCCCCCTGCAGACAACTCGATCACCCCCCCTCCTCCTACAAGGAACCCAAGACCCTCACGGCAGACCGTTCTGCAGGCCACTTCGGTCAAGACCGCGAGGACCATCGGCCAGTCATATCGACCTTAATCAATAATTTGTTTCATTACTTGGCAACGTGGTTACCGAGCCGGTCTCGTATCACCTCATCCAAGCATCCATCAGCATCGGGCGACAACTTCTTCTTCCTTCTTCTTCCCCAAGACAACTCACCTCTTGTCTTTGGCCATATCATCCGACGTTACTCCACCTGTGGCAATTTATTCTTCTTCTTACTCTTTCTCTTTTCCTCCCTCGCTTCCTTTCCATCTTCTGCTCGTATCGAGTGGTCAAACCCAACACGAACTCGACAAAACTCCCTCCTACCACCACCCCCCTTGATGATGGCGAGACACACCAGGAACTCCAGCGAGCAGGGCTACAGTGGCCTCCAGACCGGCCTGGCGCCGTCTCCCATGTACGCCCCGTCCCGCATGCTCCCGGGAAACTACTACGACGTGCCCTCGTCCTCGTCCTCGTCCGCCATGCCGATTCCCCCGCCGCTCGCTACTCAACACCCTTCTCAGCAACAAGCCTACGGCCCGTACTCGACCAGCGCTCCGTCGCCTACTCTGCCCATGCCCCCTTCCATGGCCCAGCCGTCCCAGCACCGGCCCAGCTCGGGCGCCTGGAACCCGCAGGACGACCAGCAGCTGCTCCAGGCGCGCATGCAGGGCCTCAACTGGAACCAGATCAGGGACCAGTACTTCCAGTCCAAGACGCCCAACGCCTGCCGGAAGCGCCACGAGCGGCTGATGGAGCGCCGGGGCGCCGACGACTGGGACGCCCGCAAGATGCAGACGCTGGCCAAGGAGTACATGAGCATGCGCAAGGAGATCTGGAGCGGCCTGGCTGCTCGAACCGGAGAGAAGTGGAGCGTTGTCGAGGCAAAGGTAAGCTAAGCCACCCTTCTATAACCCCCTTCCTCTCCCTTCCCCCCCCCTTTCCCCCCCTCTTGTTGATGGGCCATATGCATGACAACTGTCTAACATTGTGTTCGTCTCCGTTTCTTCAAACTTCTAGTGCATGTCCAACGGCCTCAAGAACCTCCAGAGCGCCGCTCGCGCAGCCTCGCGCCGTGACCGTCTCGAGACGGGAGCTTCACTCACAGGGTATGACGACGATAGCGGCATTTCCGGCATCGGCCTGACCCCCGTTGATGAACTAGACGCGTCCTACAGTAGCCCTGCTACAAGCTCCTCCGGCGCACACTCCTTTTCCAGCTCCGCCAGCTACCACCAGCAGCAGCAGCACCAAAGCCAACACCATCATCACCAGCAGCAGCAGCAGCATCTACAGCCCCCTCACTCTCACTCCCACCTCCACCCTCATTCCCAGCACCACCATAGCTCCTACGGCATGGCTGCTGCTCCCGTGTACTACGGCGGTGGCGGTAGCGGCGGCCACGGATACTCGTCGAGCGTCAGTTCAACGGCCAGCATGAGCCACGGCTACGTGTCCCGCGGCGGCACCGGCACGAGCCAGGACAGCAGCCCTTACTTGGATAGCCAGCGGCTGTCGACCGACATGGGCATCGAGTCTCTCGTTCACCGTCCCAACGGGGGCAAATTCTAATCTCTCTCTCTCTCTCTCTCTCTCTCTCTCTCTCTCTCTCTCTCTCCCTCTCCCTCTCTCTTTCTTGTTTGACAAGCCTTTCGTTATAATCACGGCGTTTCTCTTGGTTGTTTTGTTGCGTTACTATCTACTCTCTTACCCCCCTTCCCCCTATCAAAACCCTGTGTCAGAGTGGCACCTCATACTCATGTATGAGCTATGCCTTTCATTCCTTTTGCTGGCCTCTTATGTGGAAGCATCTCGGGGGTTTTCCTGTTGCATTCGGAGTATTGGCGTTCACTGGCGTTCTGTTTTCTTTTACACCTCCTAATCCCCATCCCTACCAGAACCCCGAGAAAAAGAATGAAGTTTAAAGGGGTAAAAAGAACAGATAGGGAAAAAGAATCCCGGCACAGATTTCCTTGTCATTTTTTTTTCGTTCTTTCTTCAGTCATCTGATAGATGCGGACGGGATATACAGATTGTGTTTATTTGTTGCACCCACGAAGAAAAGGGGAAGGATCTGGAAGCGATCTTCAAACGATGTATAATAGTTGATAAGATGCATCTTAGATATGCATGGGACTCTGGTGGAACAGAATTATAAATCTTGTTTCCTTGATTTGCTTTGGACTTTTTGCTCGTCATCCGCAAGGATTGCCGTACCCAAAACCATCTATCTAATTGTACAAACAGCGGCTGCGTGGGAAGCTCTACTGTACATGCGCCGCCTAGGCACTACATCAAACACATGCATATCTCCCCTCTCACTCGTATAGAGACATGAAGAAGCTATTGCTACATGAGAGTGGGAAATCCCCACCGTCTTGATTGTATCATCATTTTGCTTGGCTTGCTGTCGGGGCAGACATGCTCGCCATCTCATCCAATTCCTCCTCCTCCCACTCTCCATCCTCGTCCTCTCCAAAGACGCTCCTCCAGGCTCGACTCCACATGCCCTTCTTGTGCAGCAGTGCGAGAATCATGACGCCGGGCAGATGCCAAACGCTGGCCCAGAAGAGGCCCCGTGCGCTCCCTTTGTGCCCTTCGTACTTCCAGAAGCGGACAGCCTCACGGGCCAGCCAGAGGTTGATGGGCAGACTGGTCACGGCAAAGGACCAGTCCGTCACGCCGGCGGCACAAAGGCCAAAGCACAGGGGGAAGAAGGCGAGACTGTATCTCAAAGCGACACGCGCGTTTCGGGCCGGATTCGTCCACGCGAGCATGCGCAGGCCTGCGGCTTTGTATTCCTCGCGGATGGGCCAGCTCAAAGCCATGAAATGGGGAAACTGCCAGGCAAAAAGAAGACCGGCGAGCAGCCAGCCACCAATGGACGATCCGTCACTGGCCAGAAGCAGCTCTCTCCAGGATCCGTCCTTTGTTGCAGCTTCGCCTGCTGCGGCAGCCCAGCCCATCAATGGCGGGATCCCGCCAACGACTGCGCCGACCCAGGTGTTGAACACAGTCACAGCTTTCAAAGGCGTGTAGATGCCGGCGTAAAGAACAATGTTTGAAAGACCCAGGAATGAGACGGTGGGGTTGACGCCGAAATAAAGGGCTGCAGCACCGCCGACCCCACAGAGCATGGCAAACAATGCCGCTGCTCGGTTCGAAACCAGACCCCTGACCAACGGCCTATTCCTTGTTCTCGACATCTTGGCATCGGTTGAAGGCTCGTAGAGCATGTTCAGCGTATTTGCGCTCGCAGAGCACAGCGCAGTTCCCGTGGTCAGGAAGAAGAGCGTCAATGGGCTCAGGCTAGGCGTCTCGGTCATTGTCGGCGTCAGCATCTCGGGCACCGGATACAGCGCGTACGGCGCCATGGCCGACAAGACGACGAGGACCGTCAGGCGGGGCTTTGAGAGGGACAGGAAGGTGGAAATCGTTCGGCGGAGGGAGTCTTTGGGCTGCGACGCCGCGGCTGAGGTGAGGAGGGAGGAGGCATCGGGAGGCAGAGGAGCTTCGGAGGACGTAGATTGGGCGAGGGCTTGCTTGCGGGCTTGTCGTCGGCGGTGAGGAGCGAGGTCTTCGAGCGATTGAGGCGTCTGCGACGTGAAGTTTGGTGGCGGGGTTGTCGGGGTTGAATTTGAGGGCGAGGTTGAGGATGAGGTTGAGGTTGCCCGGGAATTGCGCCTTGGAACGACAGAGTCAAGGCAGCTGGATCGGGCCAGCAGTCGGTTCTGGAGGAAGAAGACGGCGCCCAGCGGCGCATTGGCGCTCCGAGGCGCTTTCAGGCCGGGGCTGGTGGAAAGCCATCGCTGTGATGCTGCAGCCGGCAACGAGGCTGATGGCGATGCCGCAGCTCGGATGCCGCGCCTGGACAGCAGCTGAAGCTCCGGCGCAAGAGCCAAGATCAATGGTGACCGCATAATCGCCGACTATCAGAGCGCATGGCGTCTCATGCAGGCCTCAGTCCATTTCCCGGCGGTTTCCTCGTTCTTCTGGCTTGCGGCTTCGGCGATGGCGGGCTATTTTCAAGCGCTGATCGGCTGATAGGTCTGGAGTTTTGGTGTTTTACTGCTTTCGGCTATCGGCGGACACACGTGCTGCATCATGTGACTCACCTCGTCGCTCTCCCGAGGCAAGTGGTTGACCCATTACTCCTTCTACGATGCCTCGCTGGGGATCTGAGGAACAGATTTGAGCCTCAAATGCAAATAAAAGAATCCTGATGTCTCCCAAAAACATCTCAAGGACGATGCGAGCGTGATCATACCAGGTACCGATGGGTGAAGTTTCATCGTACAAGTACCTACCAGGTGACAGCGACTCCTCTGGACCGTTCAAACACTACTCAGGTAGTAAGTACCTAGTATCTGGCAGTTGTCCTGATGTCCTCAGGCGGCCGCATCACTTTGCTTGGTCTTTATGGAGGGCATTTGTCTCGTGTCGACAAGTGACTGCCTCCTGTTCCAGATGCTACTTGGAAAGTCGTTGCTTATTGATCAAATGTGTTTGTTGGGTGGTATTACATCAGACGATACGCGAATGCTGCGACAGTCTTTCGACTGGTGAAATAAGTAAGCGGTTCCATGGAAGACGCACAAGAATCAATACTGACCTGAAGCAAAAGGCATTGCTTCCATGCTTGTATAGAATAGGCATGGGCATCAGATAGTCAGAGCTTCTTTGACTGTTGCTTATGAGAGAACCTCCGAATGCGGCATCAAAGACGGTGTTCCAGAAATTCCAGAGCATCAGTGCGCCTGCAAAGAACCAACTTCTACCGGACATGTTGCTGGTTGGATGGGGCCGTTGTCGAACCAACAACTTGAAACAGTCGAACCAAAGGGACCTGTGACGAAAAAAAGGCGATCTGGGAGACAACAGAGACTCGTCAAAGGCAGACAAATGACGCGATTGCTTTCTTCCAGAGGCCACGATACCTGGATATCGGTAGAGCACCAAGCACCTCTCCAGCAGCACAACTGACAGCTTCCTGAGCCTCTAAACTATTGGCCACGCCGTTGACGAGATGACGAAAGAACTGCAAGCTCTCGAGTGTGAGTCTTTGTTCGGGCGTACCCTAAGTCAGGATAGGAGTCGACGTTGTCATCACCCCATAACCCTCACAGGATCAAACAACTTGTCGACGTGCTTTTTCTATTTCGGAGTGCTCAAGCGACAAAGGAGTCCTGAAACAAGCTTCACAATCGCAACGCCATTGCGACAAAGACGTTGATACACAGCCCCAAGAATATCCCTCTATGATGCTGCTGTTCCTGATATACCTTGAACCATATATAATGTCAACTCCAGGCTAATGCCTCTGGTTCCGCGAGATCACCTTTGACGAGTTCTGATCTTTTGCTTCTTCATGCCCATACACGATTCTCTCTCAGACCCCAATGAACACTGCCTGTTATTCCTATACCCTCATTGCGACATTGCCAACGTGAATCGCAATCACCTTTTCCACGACTTGAGCACCCCAAGAGTATCCGCTACCTCCACGCGTATGCAATCACCATCTTGGACGCTCACACGACATGGACCCAAAACTTGGCACCGGAGAGGCTCTTCTCGGTAGCTCTGGTGGCCTCTCAGTCGTCACTGACGAAGAAGCCCAGCGGCGAGTTGATATCGCCGTTTCTCCAAACGACAAGAAGTGGATTGACGTACATCAGGCATTTCATCATCTCCTCACAGTTGGCAAAATGACGATCGGGCAAATCCTTTCTGCATTCTTTACGCCGCACGAGACTCGCCTGTTCATGCTATCCGAGTCGGCCATCTTGAAAGCTATACAACAGGACAACACCTGCCGATTCCACCGAATCTTGCAAAGCCGGTTCCAAGGCGTTGCTTCGGACATCCCGACCAAGCTGACGATGCTGTATTTTGGACTGCCTGTTGAGCCAGAAGTTCTCTCATTGACCGAGTCGAAGTCTGACATAGAAGTTCAGAAGCCAGAGTTGCCACGGAGGGATGTTGATCCGCCTTTGCATTTTCTGACCGCGCATGAAGAGCGGAATTGGGGGGAGGAGACGCTACTGGGTAAGTTGATGGTTGAATCCGTTCTGAGAGACTCGCCTAGTAACAAATTCTAGGTCAACATAACCCGTCATATCCTGTGAGACAACTCCAGCGGTTCTCGAAGGGACGCTCAGTCCTTAGGGAAGGGCAGCTAGGAGATGGTCAGCCGATTGTACACCTCAGAGGAGGTGGAAGAGATGACGACAGCGACTGGGCTGATGACAACTTCAGCGGTCTAAGCTCCAACGAAAGTGATGGAGATGACGATGAAGACGTCCGCGATGCAGTTTCCACACTGAAGTACCAGCCTGAACGGATTGGACTTGGCGACAACGCAGGATCTGAAGACGTCAATATGCAAGAGACGGGCAGTGGTGAAGACATCTCCTCAGACAACAAAACGGCCCCTCAAAGCGGACGCTGGATCAACCTCTATGGATATCAGGGACGGGTGCCCTTCATCCCAGGAGACCGGCAGACGTACGAGGATGCCATCAGAAGATTGCTTTCTCTGGGGCCTCAAGATTGTGCAAAGTTCTCGATCGTGCATTTCGACGAAAAGGCGAACACCATCGACACGATCCATGACACCATCCCTCTGAAGCGCGATAGCACAACACTGCATTTTATCTCCGAGAAAGCCTCCAGAGGAAGAAAGCCACCTCCAAGCAGTCGCTACGCGTTCTTCATCAAACTTGAACAGGAGGCAGTCCCCGGCCATTGGCATCCCAGCGAGGAGCAGCTCAACACCACTGTCTCTTGTGTTCTGTACACTCCTGAAGGGGAACGTTTCCAATCAACAGGTGCTCCCGCTTCGTGTTGCTATTTGACTTTTCCGAAGTTTCAGGGCTCTCGGCCATCTCAGGAAGCAGTACGTGAATGGGGTGCTGACCAGTGCAACGAGTACTTGAGAACCGCCTTCCAGGTTCTGCTGGGCCAACCAAAGAACATCTTTCACCATGCATTCTTTCAGCTTGGTCAATGCGACTCTGACTTTGTCACTGCACTTCCCAGCTATGGGCTCTGTGCAATCAGCTCTTCCGATGTTTTGTCGCTGATGCCCGCTGGCGATGGGACGCTCTCCAGCTTGAGATGCAACAAGCTTGGCGATGGTGAGATTGCCTTTGTGCTGCCTGGTTTTGGTTTCACCAGCAGCGTACCGGTTGACGGGAGCGGTAAAGATGCTGTCACCAACCTGCTGTCGTTTATTCGACAAATGATCTCTTCCGCCTTCGGCGACAGCGTCAAGCACCTCAAATACGTGCGCTTGCTCGATGGTCGCGCAACACTGGGCCACCAGATCAACATGAACCAGGAATATTATTCCATCCGAATGTCTGACGATCTGCCTCAAAAATCCGAGATCAGCCTCGCTTCAGCATTGTCCAAGTTTGTCGCTGCAGGCAACCCCTTTGTTCTTTTGCATCCAGAGTGGGAGCAGGACCAGAGCTTCCTTTCTACAACGGGAGACGACGGAGCCGAGCATCGTGTGCGCATGCCTCCCTTGTCTTCATCTCTTGATGATCTGCGGCGTTCTGTGACTGATCTACTGCCTCTTGCTGGGCTTGATCACAAATGTCGCGAGCCGCTGCATGCTGGTGACGCCTTCATCAGCATCCAACCCAAGCTCGACTATGAGCCTGCAAATGCCAAGTTTGACGCGCCCTGTTTCTTCATTGGCTCAGAAGCTACAAATGAACAATGGTTTAGCATTCGCGCGAGGATAGCCACTTCAGTGGCCAACATCAAGATTCACGACTCACAGACAATCGACTGGCGGGCTCAGGTCGACGCGACATGTGTCTGGGGCCCACGATATGGTTCCATCGCTGGCGTCAAATCTGCGGCCGAAAATACGGCGAAGGAGACGGCAAACAGGGAGGCTCCTGTCCAGGAGAATGCCAATGAACTGCTTGAAAACCCAGTACGAAATACGGGCGTCAGTTCGGCCACTTCAGGAGGCCCGCAGCCTTCTCGTGGAGACGAACGGCCCACGAGAATCACCCAGGCCGACCCAACTACACGTCCTCGGAGTTCTGAAGCCGCAGCGGGTACCAGCAGGTTGCGGCAAATGGCGTGGGCCGCGCAGCCCAGCATTTTCGACAACGACGGACGGCCACGGCTGGCCAACTCTGGCATTCAGCTTCCGACATATGCGCCCCCTATTGAACACATGCTCCGTATTGGCCCCAGGATGCCGATGATATCGAAGGCTATCCTGACGCCCACTGAGCAAGGGGAGCTGCAGCGCATCGCCTGGGATCTGCGTGGCCTGTGCCTGAAGCGCACCATGAGATGCCCCTACGACGGTTGCCGATTCGCCTACCGAACTGACAACCAGCAAGCCGTGGTCAAACATATGGAAGCTTCCCACACCGGCAGAAAGTGTATGTGGTGCAACGATGTCATGCCGGGTCATTGGAACGCAGGAAAGGTTCACCGTCATATGAGGGAGAAGCATAGGGATATGCTCATGGAGGCACTCGGTGTGAACAAGGCCACGATTCGGCGATTTGACGGCCAAGGAACCATCTCCATACCCCTGAAAAAGGTGAAGATGTGTGGGAAAGCTTCGCCAACGAAGCCGGCATCTGATGCAATGGATGTCGAAGGGTTCAAAAACACGACCACCCAGGCAGACTGGAATCGGAACGCAGCTCATATGGCTGCGTGTTGTGGAGAGAAGAGCGCCTCGTCTCTCCTGGAAAAGGCCGAGGTTGCTGCGTACCGCCAGCAACAGAGAGACCTTCGAATGCAGATCGCTGAAGCCGGCTTCGGCCCCATTGAGGGGGAGCATGGTCCGGAAGACATGGACCTCGATGATGCTCATGGGCTACCCAAACAACCAAAGCCTACGGAAAGTCCCGAGGAGGGAGGGCGAGTTCGTCCTACGGCGGACCAGCTGGAGGATGAGTTCAGCAGGTCATCGAGGGCAGAAATAGGAGCTGCGGGTGATGGTCTCAAAGCGCCCTTGATTACTGATTCTGGTCCGAATGCCCCTGGCTATGACCAGAGGACTCTCCGGGATATCCTCCTCAAGCAGATGCCCAGAAGCCCATTGGATGACCACACGACGTCTGCGTACAACGTCCCCAATATCGACACCCCTGATCGGCCCTCGAGCCGATCATCAAGCCCAGATCCATTGGCAAAAAAGGGTGAGAAGAACAACAACGAGCCTCAGATCCAGCAAGAGACTCAACACTTTGAACTCGAAGATGAGTCTGTAGATTCAGACTCTGGTCCGGATGGTGGATCTGAGTTCGAAGAAGAAGACGGACCAGTTGAACGTGAGTCGGACGAAGAATCAAACAGCGACCTCCAAGGCAATCCTTCAAGCGCAAAACGCCGCAAGCCAAGAGGCAGACAGCGAGGAAGGCAGGGCGACCGCGACTACAAGTACGAAGCCGATGAAGACGACGAAGAAGATAGCGAGAGTGACCTGGATGGACAGCGAACCAGGCCGCCTCGACGTGATCCATCCCCGAACTGGCACAGGGTGCTTGGACCCGATGACCCTGAATTCGAGCCGACTGATGAGTATTACTGCTCAAAATGCTTCCGCAAGGCTCCCAAGAAGCACAATAGGGACAGGTCGCCACTGGGAAGGGCCAAGGAAATCGAGGTAAGCCGTCTCCCAGCAAAGAAACTGTTCCCGAGCTCTACAAGAACTGACAGAAATTCCTTCTTCTATAGCTTCACTACGATTCCGCCCGCTGCTGCGGAATCCGCCGTGGCATAGGAACGGTCAAACGCCTCCCCAACCGCAGCGGCTGGATCCCCGCCGCCATCATGCCCAAGCCCCTGAGCAACCTCCGCAAGCAGTTCCTCCGGCGATACCCATCCTACGCTCGCACCCTGTACCCCCTCAACGCGACCAACGCCAACGGCACCTACTGGCGCTCCGACCCCAACAACGACGACAACCAAGGCTGGTGGTCCATCCCCTGGCCGCCGTTCAGGGGCCCCTCTCCTCTGCCCAACGGCTGGGTTGCCCCCGATGTCGCGGATGCTCCTGTCGCTGGGAAGGCCCGTTCGCAGTTCCAGCTGAAGCCAGTGGCGGATCCGACGTATCGCGAGGGAAAGGGCAATGCCTTGGACTCTGATGACGAAGACGACGATGAGGTTGAGTCGGACAGGGACACGAATGGAAAGAGGAAGAGGAAGAGCAGGCCTTCCTCTGCCCTGACAAGCAAAAAGACTGCCCCCACACTTCCTAAAAAAGCCCAGAAGCCTGCCCTCAAGAAGGTGGACAAGATGAGTCCTCAGAGGCCATTGAAGAGGAGGAAGACGCCCATTCTGCAGAAAATCCTGAAAGCGAACACTGCGGCATCGAAAAAGGTGATCAAGAAGACGAAGAAGAAGGACACGGAAAAGGTGGCGGCGGTGAGACGATCGATGAGGAAACGCCAAAAGACGGGATAGATATGCTGCGCTGGTCGCAGATTTTGTGTTCTGGATTGGTTTGTTTGGTGCTTTGTCGGTGTTGTGGTAGAGTCGTTACTTGCGTTGGAAAGTGTTTCGTATTGGAAAAGATTGTTGTTTGTTTTGTGGTTCGTTGGATCGATAGAAATATCTCTTTGGAATTCTACTTGCATCGTTTTGGATTATATGAACAGATGGACATCCTTTGTTGTGTGCTGTTACTGCGTCTAATATATATGTATTTGTACGTTTCTGCACCTCCCTGTACGCCCAAAGCCGCAACGCATGGATCCATATATCCCTTTGGAAATGCAATCAACAAATTGCCTCATAAACACATGCCCATATACACTGGTTCCGCGTCGTGAGTTGAATGACAACTCCTCGCAATGCTTTTCACGCCATGGCAAACGAAACCAGAAAGAGGATGAAAAAAAAGGCCACAAAGGTACACACATCACAGGCTCTCAATGGCCCTGAGCAACACGTCCACCCCCTGGGCCCCCACGTCCCCCTTGTCCCCGAGCAGCGAACCGACGTCGCTAAGAATGCCCAGCGGAATGTAGCACCCCGTCTTGGCCTTGTCGAGGCTGTCCTTGAGCCGGCTGGTGTGCTCCCATTCCTTTGCGGCAATCTCAGCTCTCTTAATGACGCGGTCCGAGATGCCGCACATGGCGGCGCAGTGCATGCCGAAACTGCCCTCGGCGACGCCATCCTCCAGCTTGTACAGGAAGGTGATGCGGCGCTGTGCGTCGTCGACGTGGATCTGCATGCGGCGAGCGCGAATCTCGGGATGGTTCTCAAACTCGGTGGCGAGGGAGTGGTAGTGCGTTGCGAAGAAGCCGATGCAGCCGATGTGGGTTGCTACATGATGCAGGACGGCTTGTGCGACAGCGACACCATCGTATGAGCTCGTTCCTCGACCCAGTTCGTCGAGGATGACGAGTGAGCGGGGAGTGGCCTCGGCGAGAATCTTCTTGGTCTCGGAGAGTTCCACGAAGAAGGTGGATTGCGCGGCAAAGATGTTGTCGTTGGCTCCCAAACGGGACATGATGCGGTCCACGGGGGTAAGGCGAGCTGACCTGGCCGGAACGAAGCAGCCAACCTGGGCCATGATGACGGCAATGCACGACTATGACAATGTTAGGTTCAGAGATGAGAACAAGGGGGCATCCTTGGGGGAAATGGAGGTGAAAAAGCTTACCATTCGCAGGACCGTCGACTTGCCGGCTGCGTTGGCACCGGTCAGAAGGTTAATCTTGGCCTGGTCACCACCGAGCTTGATGTCGTTGGGAATAAAGTCATCAACCGTGTTAATCATGCAGGGATGTCTCAGCTCCTCGAACTCCAAGACGCTGCGCTCCTCCTCGACAAACTGCGGCCTGCAGCTGGGCTCTCCAAGCGACATGGATGCCTTGGCAAGGCTGACCAGACAGTCCAGCTGGGCAATGATTTTGATGGCTTTCAACCACGTCTCGTAGTCCACGTCAAACTTCTTGCAGAAGCGCGACGCGACTTCCCGGATGAGCTGCGAGTGAGTCTCCTCGGCTTCTTGGAGCTCTCGGACAAGAGTGGTGAGCTCGGTAAAGTACCAGCGCTTGACGTCCTTGGTCGCAGACATTTGACGCCAGCTGGAAGGGATCTTGACACTCTTGGGCGCTTCGATTTGGTAAATTTCTTTGCCGATATCGGTAAACTTGAGGGTTTTGCACTTGAGCTCCGTCTTCTTTTCAGCCAGCAGATCGTCCAACTGACTCTTGATCTCTTCGATTCGAGCCACACTGGCGTCAAAGTCTTCATCTACGCCGCTTTCTGGAATCATCAGCTTCTCCTCCTTGGCTCTCCGTCGATCGAATGCCGTGCTCCAGTAAGCCAGCGGCTCCTCGAGGTTGGGCATGGATGAGATCAGCCGATCAAGCAGGCCATTCCCACCCTTGAAGGCACCAACAAGAGTCATTGTGTACTCGATTTGCTCGAAGCCCTCAAGGACGCGGACAAAGTCCTCAGGTTTGCAGGCACCGGCGTGGATGCGCGAAATGAGTCGCTCGAGATCCGGCATCTTGACGAGCTGGGAGGCAAACTGCTCGCGAACAGAAGGATCGTCATTCAGCAGCTCGACGGCGTCCAGACGCTCGTTGATACGGGCAATGTCACACAGCGGGTGAGCAACCCACTGGCGAAACAGACGCTTGCCAAAGGGAGTGATGCACTTATTAAGTAGACCAAACAGGGTGCCATCAGTGTTGCCATTAACAGTGTTTGAGAACAGCTCCAGATTGGTCAGAGTCTGGCCATCCAAAACAAGGGTGCCGTTCTTTTGGATGGGTTTGTACACCTCAAAGTTGCCCTGAGATAATAGAGGGGCTTCCAGCTTGAGGAATCGGAGATAGGAGACAAGCCCACCAATGGCAGACATGACGAGATCGTTGTCTTTGAGTTCCTGGAGGGCTTCTGGCCAGACTTCTTCTTCTTCGCCTTCCGCTTTGAGAAAGTACTTGCCACAGGAGAGCTCTCGTCTAGAGGTGTCGGCATCCCAGAATTCTGTGCCTGGTTTCAGATGAGTCCAGATGGTGGTAGGGCTCGTGTTATTCTTGAGGATGCGAAGAGACTTTGTGGACAGGCCGGACTTTTCGAGTAGAAGCTCGCGAGGGCCAATCTGAGCAATCAATGTTTCAAACTTGGTCCGATCAACATCGTCCACGAAGCCAGAGAGAAAGAATTTGCCAGTGGCAGTATCGGTGAAGGCGATGCCAAAGGCTGGCAAGTCATCCACCACGGATTCCTTGATGGCGACGCAGTAAGCGGCCATGTCGTCCTGAAGCATGCTGCCATCAACCAGGGTTCCAGCCGTCAGGATGCAGCCCAGCTTTCGAGAGATGACCTTGTCAGCCTTTTTGCCGCTCTTGTCTTGCCGTTCTCGCATCTCCTTGCCCAGGTTGGTCTCCATCTGCTCTACACGGGCCACCTTGTACTGCTTGGCGATGAACTGGTTGACCCAATGGTCAAGGGAACCCTCAGGAACACCGACCATGCGCATGTTGACTCGATCCGTCATCTTGAAGTCAAACTCCTGGTGGCCAATGGTTGCGTCTTTTTCGTAAAGCTCGTAGAACTTGCCCTTTTTGAAGAAGACGATTGTGTCCCAGAGGTCTTGCTTAATCTCCCAGTACTGCTTCTCAAAGGGGGAAAACTTGGCCCAGGCGCCTGGCGGAATGAAGATGGTACGGGGGTCATAATCCGGATCCGTGGGCGGACGCTTCTCCTTGTCTCGAATATTAGCGAGCCAAGGATAACGCTCGTCCGGCTCCTTCATGTACGCCTTTTCCTTCACCTTGGGATCTTTGGTCACGACTCGATCCGCCGGTGTGACGACGGGCTGCTTTTCGGTAGAGTCTGGATCGTAGGACCATTGCTTCGCTGTGGAGGTGGCGGGAAGGTCATCTAGATCCATATCGTCGAGAGTCGTCGTGATTTGCACCGTATCTTCTTTGGCGGAGGGCAAAAGATTGGTGCGTTTGCGCGCCGACGAGGGTTTTGACGGGCGCTTCCTCTTTTTGGATCGAGCAGTCTCTCCGTCAGATTCATCTGATACAACAAAGTCGTCCATGTCATCTGCAGACCGAATGTCAGCTTCTTGGTGTGTTTTAGCATTGCAAGAGGGGCATGACAGTACGAACCCTCTTCCTCTTGCCCAGCCGTCTCGCTTCCACCGTATTCATCTTCGTCTTCGACAACATTGTTGCGGGCCCTACCACGCCGCCGAGCCTGCGAAGCCGCTCCGTAGGCGAAGGGTTCATCCTCATCCGAGGACTCGGCATAGTTGATGGCCCTTTTCCCCTGCACAAGTTGGTCAGCGGCGGAGTGACTGGAGAGCTTTCGGCAAGAGAACGCAAACCTTTCTAACTGGGCTGCTGGGCGCCATGTCGCTATCCGAGGCCTTGATAGACCTGCTCGTGGTCCGCTTGGCGGTCGACTCCATGTTCTCCTGCGAGCTCGGGGGCTCTGGCGCATCGCTGGAGGGCAGCGGGGTGGAGAGCTTTGTGGAGGGCTTCGCCTTGGGCAGAGAGTTGGCCTTTGTCTCTTTGAGAGGGGAGGAGTGCTGGTGATCGGACGAGACCTTTTCGCGGGGTGCGGAGGGCGCCGGGACGGGCGACGACTTTTGGAAGAAGGACATGATGGATTTCTGCTTGGTCGAGGAGGCGGCTGCCGCAGCTGGCCGGGCGGCCTTTGCTGGCGTGCGAGCAGCGGCCGCTGCCTTGTCACTGGGCATCGTGATTCAGCGCAGGCCGAGCACGGCGATGGAACAGCGATCGAAACGGAGGAGGAAAAGAAGTGCTGCGCAAGAGAGGCAGCAAGATGGGCAGCTATTTCGAAATGGACGAGAAACCAGACGAGTATCAATGGAAGAAGCAACGTTCAAACGAGGAACCGCTAAAGAAGTGATAACCCAGCAGCCAAACGGCGAGCTGAGGACTCAACAAGACGACATGGGGTTATTATCGAGAGCACACGGAAGACCGAGAGAGTGCGGACATGGACCCTTGCAAGAGGAGAGAAGAGAAGAGACGCAGATGCACCGCGTCGCGATCGCGTCTGAGCTCGACAATTGCTGCCGATTGGCCTTATCTCGCGTAAAGTGGCGCCAGATACCCAGGCGTACTGTATATATTAGGTACACACTGTATCCGTTGAAGCAGGTACAGTACGTGCTCTGTGCAGGAGAGGCCACTTGAAGACAGGTACCGCTTTTTCTTTTGAAGTCGCTTCGATATTTGATCATTTAACAAGCCTCTCTTGTATCAAGAATGGCAATGGTATTAATCACTTGAAATATGTGCCCTGGACGCTGTTGAGAGTATCAAGAGCCTCTCTACGGAGACATGTCGAATATGCCCCTCAGCTCCAAGCTTACCTGCCCGCCATCTTGCTCGATATCCATCGCACAAACTTGCCCACAAACAACATGCACCAAAACAAATAATACCGCCAGCCAGTGCTATGCGCCGTCTTGATGACTCGTCTCGACCGCTTCAGGCTCTGAGCCGCTCTCGGCACGCTGACGCTATCATATGAGTTGACGGCTTCCTCCAGGCTTCGGTGCTTGCACAGCTGCTTCGCCAGTTCCCATCCATCCGCCAGTGCCAGATTGGCCCCAATCCCTGCAAATGGGCTGAGCGCGTGGTTGCTGTCGCCAATAAAGATGGCGGGTACAGCCTGGATCTCGCTGTGACGAAACGGCGTCTTGTCTCGCGAGTTCAAGAGCAGCACTGTCCTGGGATCTGTTCGCTTGACAATGCTGGCAAAGGGCTCGGCAATGTGCGACGCCAGCTCAAGACTCTCGTCAATCACAGCCTGGGCTTGGTCGAGCGAGCCACGATCCAGACTGGGCACCTTGTCCTCCCTCTGGCCAACAGTCCACAGGATTCTATGCTTGTCGATGGGAGAAACAAAGGCAGACACGCCGGTGCGGGAGACGACAAAGCCCCAGTCCTCACTCAGCTGCGGCGGCAAAGACTCTTCAAACATCGCCACTCCTCCTCTGAGAACTGCGCCGTTGTAGCACAGGGTATCGTCTGGGCGAAGGCTTTGTCGAAGCTTGCTGCTTGCCCCATCAGCAGCTATGAGGATGTCGCAGTCCTGTTCGCTCACGGCGCCATCTGCGCTCATCACTTGGACCCTTAGACGAGCATCAGAGAGTTTCGTTGCAGAAACGCATTGTGACTCCCAGTGGACGACACATTGATCGCTGAGATGGATCGAGTTGTGGAGGACTTGGCGGACATCTTCTCGAGCAATCCGGACGCTGGATGATGGGATCCCGGGGGTGGGCTTCCTCCTGAAAGCAACCTGCTCCGTCCACTTGGGGTCCCATATCTTGAAAGCCCCAGCACCATCAAGTCCTGAGGCAGCTTGTCCCAGGATTTTGTCAAGCAGTCCGAGCTTCTTCAACGCGACGAGGCCCCCGGTGTTGTCATATCCCGTTAGAGATAGATTGTACGTCTCTCTCTGGGCAGCGAATTCTTGCGCATCACGCTCGTATATGATGATGTTTGGCGGCCCGAGCTTCGGATCCCATAGTTTCTGAAGGCCGACAACAAAAGCAGAGCCTGCTAGGCCTGCCCCCGCGACAACGATTGTCTTGTTCTCAAGAAACTGGCCAGGGAAGTCTTTGCCGTCGCCATTGGCCATTGTGCGAGGTGAATCTTTGAAGTTGTAGAGACCATCCTTGAGGAAAACGAGGGATATTGGGGGCTCAGGCATCTATAAGGGTGTGCAGGCACCATCACGAACCGAGACATGTCTCGGACATCTCACTGCTGATGTTCCTTAACCTTGTATCACAGCCCTACGTAATGTGGACGCCACAACACAGAGCCATGTTGAACACAGACCAGCATGAGGCTTAACATGTCACCGAATCAGATCATTCTGCTGCAAGCCGGTCTGAGCCGCCCTTGTATCCGATTGGGCGATCTCATCTGCCTACACGAATTACCCTTCTCAGCAGGGACTTGTCAGACTTCGAGACAAGAGATAATGCCTGTTGAGGCTCTTGAACACAATGGACTGCCAAGGATTCAGCGAGTGAGTGCTGAGATGGCAGACTCTCATGTGTTGTTGTTAGCTCGTCTCGGTTGTCGCTGGTTTCCGCATGCGGTAATTCGTAAGAGTAGAGTCGAGTTTCCTTCCCCCTTGGGTGATGCATGTCCGAGGTCAAACGTGCATCTGACTTGAAAAGCTTCTCCGTCGTCTTTCAAGAATACGAACAAGAGCAATAATCATGTTTTGCCTATCGAAATCTTGCGATTGTCATTTCCCATAAGTAGGTAGGTACATGTATGTAATTGAAACCGTCTAGGTAATTTGCCCAGCGCGCAGCCGGCTACAAGTACCTAGTATTGGCATATGATTGCGGGCAGTTTCATGATTGATTGATGAATAAATGGCTTCTCCAGCCATCAAGAACAGAACATTCTTTTCGAGTAAAAATCAAGTCAAGATCAAGACGTATCCATCCTTTTAGAAGGCTCGTGTCCCTCACGTCATTTCAAACTTGATCTTATAGAAACATCTTGACGGCCAAATTCACACCCGTCTTCATGTGCAACAAGACCCAAAATGGACACCCGCACCCCGCCATCGCACAGGGTCTCTGCCCCTCCAACTCTTTTTCAACCAGCCTCGAATGATATGAAATTTCTTCCTCGCCATTCGTCGACTATCCAACTCCCATCCTTCAAGCGCAAGCATTCAGTCTTTTTCTCCTGGCCAAAGAGTGGAAGAAGCGACCATGGCCGAACTCTCTTCAGCCCCCGTGCTGTCCACGCCAGACGACCACCTCTTCGAAGCCGCCGCGCAAGCCGAGACCAAATCAACCCTCTCCCACGATGCGCTCCGAACCACATACGAGATCCCGCGCACGGCGGCCGAGATCCGACAAGGCGGCTGGACGAGAGTCGCGCTCCAGTTCCCAGACCACATGCTCGTCGACGCCCCGAGAGTAGTCGAAGAGCTGAGGCAGGAACTGGAAACCACGAGCGCGGGCGACAGCACAGACGAGACCCCCAAGAGGAGCTGGAGGATATGCATCCTGGCGGACACGAGCTACAGCGCCTGCTGCGTCGATGAGATTGCGGCCGAGCACGCGAATGCGGACGTCGTGGTGCACTATGGGCGGACATGTCTGAGCCCGACGAGCCGATTGCCCGTCATTTACGTGTACACGTCGCAAGAGCTGGATCACGAGGCCGTCGTTGCGCAGTTCACAAAGGAGTTTGGCGACAAGGACACAAAGGTCGTCATCATGGCAGACCTGACATACCAAAACCACGTGGAGCCGATATCAAACGCCCTCAGAGAACAAGGATACAGCAAGATCGTCGCGACAGAAGTCATCAGAGATCCCGCGGGCGTAATACCAAACAGGAGAATAGCGGGCGACCCCATAGACGAAGAGCTGCTCAAGTCGCATTCCCTGTTCCACATCTCCGACCCTCCCGCCTCTCTCCTCCTCGCCCTCCAGTCCCGCTTCGCCTCTCTACACGTCCTCTCCGTACCGTCACCTTCATCTCCCACCCTCGACAACCCGACGTTCCGAACAGCGGGGCTCTTGCGCCGGCGCTTCGCTCGCGTTCTCACCCTCGCCTCGGCGGGTGTCGTTGGCATTCTCGTCAACACGCTCTCGGTATCCAACTACCTCTCGTCGATCGACTTGCTGCGGAAGAAGATTGCGGAGGCTGGTAAGAAGAGCTACACGGTCGTTGTAGGCAAGCTGAACCCGGCCAAGCTGGCCAATTTCGCCGAGATTGAGGGCTGGGTCGTCGTCGGGTGCTGGGAAAGCGGGCTGATTGAGGAGGATGCCGGCTACTGGCGCCCCGTCATCACGCCCTTTGAGATGGAGGTGGCCTTGATGGGCGAGGAAGTAAGAGTATGGGGCGGGGAATGGTGGGGAGGCATCGAGAAGCTGAAGCTGGAAGACGGAGTTCCGAAGAAGGAGGAGGAGGAGGAGGAGGCCAACAAAGACACGCAGGAGAGAAATGCGACAGCAGAAGATGGTGCCGAGGAGGATGTAGACGAAGACGAGTCCCTGCCGCCAGTGTTCGACCTAAGGACGGGCAAGCTCGTCAGCCACAGCAGGCCCATGCAGCTTGCAACCAGAAGCGCATCCCAGACGCAAAAGGTCAACGGCGAAGACGGGCCGCGGACATCCGATGCGCTGGTCAAGAGGGCAGCGGGTGAACTGGCGACCATCAACGGCGTGGCCAGCCCCGGCGCGGAGTATCTCCGATCTCAGAGGACATGGCAGGGACTCGGCAGCGACTTCAACGAAGAGGCCAGCACGGCGATAGAGGAGGGGCGGAGTGGCATTGCGAGAGGGTACCATGTGGGTGAGGAGAGGGCAAGGCACTGATGCTGTTGTTTGAATACCCGGCTTGACGGCAGCTGTGTGGAAAATTGCATTATGATCATTGGCAGCGAGATACCATCATGGGCTTCCACTGGCTGGCCCCCCCGTTGTATACCTTAGGTACAAAGCGTAAATACAGAGCTCATGAATAACCGCCCCTTCATACCAGCTTGGTGGTAAACTACCAATCAAGCTGCCCACCGTATATCGTCAACATTTAGCCATATAGAAAGCCATAAATCCTTGAAAGCAATCATGCCTCTCTTTCAATCATAAGTCATCAGTTACCGCGCCTGACTTGCCCTGCTCCAAACCCATGAATGTCAATCGTTACACACAGACATTTGTTGTCTAATCCCCCCCTTTTTTTCCTCCGTCAGGCCGGCGCTTCTTCCACCACTGGAGCCGCTTCACCCCTTGAGCCCAAAAGCCTCATCATACGTGATACCCGCGGTCATACCCCGAATGGTGGCTCCTCGACCCGGAATGGCTCCGGCGATGACTGTGCCTGCCGCCATGACTATGCGAGCTCCTCCTCACCTCGCGCACGACATACTTGTCCCTGTGATGATGATGCACATCGCTATCGCCATGCGCAAACGCCGCCAGCGCCGTCACCGCAAAAAACACGGTGTTCATAATGGCAAACGCCCACGACGCCTTGAGCATGGCGCACGGCTTGTCCACCGACCACCTGAACCCGGGAATGCCCACATCGTGAATCCTGTAGTACCAGACCTCCCGCGACGACGACGGGTCCGAGCAGTCGGTCCACTGGATGGCGCGCAGGAAATAAATGCCCGCGATGAGCGCGCCGAGGAAGCACAGGTCGACGAAGCTGACGAAGAGGGCGTTGTGCGACGAGCGGCTGTAGGCGACGAGCGTGAAGAGGCACCACGCGAGGGCCAGGACGGTGACGATGAAGAGGACGAGGATGGCGTCGGGGGTGAGGACGTTTGCGTCGTTGAACTTGGCGACGAACCAGCTGAGCATGCCCACGGGGGGGATCTGGATACCAAAAGAGAGAGAGAGAGAGAAAATGTCAGTGATGATGGGATTTTGTTAAGGGATGTAAGGGCCGAGTGAGGCTTACCAGCGTGACGATCTGGCAGAGCCGAGTGCAGATGAAGACGAGTGCGAACAACATGCTGGGCAGTATGTATGTCGCAGAAGCGACGGACGGCGATTGCGACGACGTGCAATGAGCGAGATTGGATCGGATATACAGCTGAGCTTTTTGTTCAATTAAAGAGCGTCGAAGGAGCACGACAGCCCTTTTGCACCGCTGCAACAAAGGCGACAGATGACGAAAGGGAAAAGAAGAAGCAGAAGAAGAAGAAAGCGAAATTTCGAAAAAGATGCGGTGATGCGCCCTCTACGCCGCTTTTTAATGTACGTCGGCCGTGCTTTGGGCCCGTTGCCTTGCTTTTTCAGCTGGTTTAATACGAGCCTATCGGTGCGTAGGTTACGTCTTGTGCACAGGGCCAGGGGGACTTTTTGTTTTCTCCCGTCCCCCCTTGTTCAGAGCTATTACCTAGCTCAGTATATGAGGTGGTTGGGAAGCTTGCTTTTGGGCAACCAGATTCTGAATACCAGGTTGGGTGTGTGGGAGATCTACCTAAGAAGGATTGAAGATGCCTCAACAAGATACTAGACACGGCTCTCTTGGAGAGGGATTTTTCTAGGAATCTGGACACGATTATTGGCGATTTGAAGCTGGAAAAAGATGACTATTTCGCGGCTAGAAACAAGTAGAAGAGATGGATGGCTACACGAATGCACAAGGTATTACCTACCTAAGTATGTACATGCATCTGGATCGAAGCTTCGTCGACAAAAAGACAAAGAAAGAAAGAAACTCAACTGAGCACTTTCATCTGATGGCTGTGTGGAGCCCGCAATCGTGGCTGGACCCGACCCAACTGGCCAGAAGCTGCACCGCTGCCAGGGGAAAAAGACACGGACGGAAACGTGGGATTCCAAAAGTGGCTGGCAATCACACCGCAGGAGAAAAGCCATGCGATGCGACCAACTCCAGCCACTCGATAAGCGGAGGCTGATATTACTAGTAATGACAGCGGGGGGAAAGGCTTACTGCATAGAAGGGTACCTGAAGTGCGGGAAAGGCGTCGCTGTTGGTACTGTAGTGGATTGGACGCCTTTGTTGCGGGAGCGGTATGTGATGCTGTGCGTCTTTGATGAAGCTCATAAAAGTTGCATTCCCTTCAGGCTTGCGCTTTTCATTTTCCAGTAATTTTTACGAATACTTCAGCGTTAATACCTAGCTACTGCATTAATTGCAAAATGACATTCATGTGTTTAAAGCACACCGCCTACATCAGCTCATTCTTCGACCATCTTGGGCAGCATTCGTAAGGTATCTACCTGTACTTTGTACCTTACTTGACCACGCCTCTGCCACGTGTTTGGCTGTCGACGCCAGTCACCTCACACGAGCCCCAGCCCTCCAGATGTATCAAATACCTATACCCACACCTGGAAAGCATCGAGACGCATTTGTCACTGCTATGGCGCAGCGCTTTGTCGTCGTAATTGTACGCGAATTCCTTTGTCCATGGCCTCAACCGAGTCCCCATTGCTCCACTTCGGGATCGAGAGACATTGTGGGGTCGGCACTCAGGCCTCGAAGCGGCATCTGCACGGACGTTTATTGACTGTGTTTGTAATGCAGTAGCAAAGTAGGTAGATGACAGCAGGGAGAGCAAGATGCAAATGGTGGCTTGACTGTAGTAGCCACTGTCACAGAGGGATAAAACACAATGTGGCACCATAGTAGAAGAAGAAGTTTTATTCCATACTGTTGTCATTAGACTCCGAAATTCTCAAAAAGCACCGACGTCTTATGATAAGCGTTTTAAGAAGACAAAAAAGAAACCGCACAAGGTGTAATAGGGTATCATCGTTCCAATCCAAAGTCTCAACGTGTCGTCGCATCGCATCACATCACTTCAAGCTCGTTCCTGCACAACCCACCCTTCCTCCTCAGCTCCTCTTTCTCATCTTGTCTAATCTCCCGTTCCCAGATCAAACGTTCGAGGGCGTAGTCTTGTCAGCCCGCGCGTGGCCCCTCAGGGTGGTCAAGCCCTCAAGAACCGTCAGTCCCAAGAAGCCCGCCCAGATGAAGAAGCCGAAAGCGACAGCGGCCTGCGAGCACTGGCAGAAAGTGATGCCGTGGCACTCTGGCACGCCGATGAAGGCGGCCATGGCAATCGAGCCCGAGAACCAGAAGATGGTCGTAATGACGAGCAGGACAAACGCAACGAGGGCATGGTAGAAGCGAGCCGCGTAGAGAGGCGTAAGGGCTAGCCAGGCGAGAATCAAGAAGCTCCAGACAGAGTTGAAGAGCATAAACGCAAAGGAAGCAGGCGACGAGAAGCCATAGCCAGAGGTGGCATCAACAACTACGAGGAGGCGTGTTAGTCTAGGTATGCAAGGAGAGAGTGGTTGATATGCGCAGTGTACTTACGGTAACCTGTGAGGCCAAGCTCAATAATAACCAGGATCGCCAGGACGATGTGAATGATAGTAATCATTCCGAGAGCCATGTTGGGCAGAGTGTTGTCGGCAAACAGCCTCTTCTTGGCTTTTAGGTAGAATGTGTTTCTTGTCTTGTGAATTGCTAATAGCTGATACAAGAATCACCGTCGCGAAGAGCTGGATTATTCGCGGAAAGTCGATTCTCAGCTGCGGGAGGAGAGAGAAGAGCTCTATTAATACTCGAAGCTGAAAAGCTACCAACAGCTCTCGATAAGCGGGTGGCGTCGAATTGGATGCTTATGGCTGCGGACCAGGCAACTAGTCACTGTGAGGGTGTGTCGGCTAAGATGGCGTGTGGTGACGGTCCAGTCAGTGAAGAGCCCTTTTGGTGGTGGAAGGGGTCGGTTTCGGGCTAATTGGGCGTGAATGCGTTGAAACTGCCTTGCGAGCGGTTGAGTGGTGTTTCGTCTGCTGGTGGTTGGAGGCGGATGAGGATGCGTGAGAGGTCAGATATATGCAGCGGCGGTGGAGGAAGATGAAGAGTTTGAGAATGAAGAGAAAAACAGAGGCAAAGAAAAGTTTAAGACACGAGAGGGTTTTGGCTTCTATTTAACAAGCTCAACTGGTGATTCACGCACAGCAACCGCTGCCGACAAAGCAAGTATTACTATTACAGCCAAGTACTGTAGACCAGACACAACCCTCCTCAGCAGGAAGCGCGCATGATGTCATGCGATGTGGCTTGTCGCTACGTCACAAACAGGGCAGCATTAGCGGGAGACCCAGCAAGAACCAACGGATCACGACTGCTTAAGCGCCAGCTCCCGTGTTTCACGATGCCGCGCTCAAGTACCCCGCAGGTATCGAGTTAAGTATTGTCAAGCTCTCCCAGTCTTCAGCTCCACCAGCAGCTAGCAGCAAAAGCTGGCAGATGATCAAACAGTACAGCTTGAGACTGCGCACTGATGATGAAAGCAGACAAGGCCGCGAACCGAGTCGCCTTGCTGCTGCCGCGATCAGGGCAGCTTCTTCTCGGCAGTGGGGGGAGAAGATGGCATGATGCCTCTATTTACACGCCGAGCCTTGATTGGGTGACAAGTGGCTGGGCTATGCAGCCTACGTGCCGATGACGGCGCGGAGTGGCTGAAGTTAGCCTTTATCCAACAAAGATGGGAGAGGTTGATGAGAACCTCCAACAGAAGCGAATCTTTACAGAGAAGTGAGCTTGGCCTGTCGGGGGCTGAATGGCTGTACGTATGTTGTACGTGTAACAGAACTCTGACGGTTGATTACCCTGTTGCTGCTATTTTGAGGATTGACAAGGCTCTCCGCGCTTCACATCCCTCTCGTCGAATCAAAGACTTGCCTATTCTCGTTGATTGGCTAGTCTGATATCAAATTTGGCACATCTGCTTGCTGCTGATTTTTGCATTGACAAGGGCCAGCGTATTCGGACCTGCTGAGATGTCATAGGCCAGGGGATATTAACAGCCACACAGGCACAAGCCACAAAACGAACAAGACTGCTCAGCTGCCATGGAAGGAGCGCACCGTCTTACACCCACTTGCCCTCGCTTTGCTGCCCACGAACGAGTTAGTGCCAGAAGCTTCTCGACATCGTCTTTTCCCACAGAATCGCAACACAACCAGCAAAAAGGGAACAAAAACAAAGACAAAACAAGACAATCTTCTCGAGATGCATGCGAAAATGCAAAAATAAAAGAAACTCGATCCAGCCAGGGCTCGAACCTGGAACCTCTGCCACCGGAAAGCAACGCGCTACCATTGCGCCACTAGACCGTTTGATTGCATTTGATGATTTTGCCGCGATGCAAATCGACTCATGAAGATACGGTACTGACAATGTTCAAACAGATCCATTTGCGGAGCTTGAAGCGCTTGTCAGGTGTAAGTCATCATCTTGGTGAGCAACCCTCGATTGTAGATGTGCTCCTCGTCACAGCCAAGGTGTCGTCGCTCCAGCCGAGTAACGAGACACACCAATGGGAGACATGGCATCTTATACGCTCATGAAAGGACTGGCCATTAATCTTCATTATTCTGCAGTATACAAAGCAACTCAACTCGGAGAATCAACATATCCCCGAATCCGTCAGCCCGCAACTCATCAAGCAGATGAACAGCAGATACCTCTGCTGCGCTGGTTCGGATTAAATGCATCCTGGCTTCTCCTACCCCGATCATGGATATTCTGCCCGCCGATACCCAGTCAATGGGGGTCATCTTATGGGCGGCCGACCCCGGCCGCCTACGGGCTTCGACAAGTCCGCCCAAACTCCGCGACTGGGGCTCCGGGGCCAAGTCCGAGCATCACGGCGGCCATCCTTTGGCTTGACCGTCATGCTCTGAACCATACATTGTACATCTCTTTCTGAGAAACTTCGGCTCTTGTGCTTTTGAGTTCAGCTTCCCGGGGATACTGCGCATCGTCGGTTATCGGGTAAGGGAGTTATGGCTCCAACTCAGCAGTCCCCTGAGAGCAGCGAAGCCCCCACACCTCCGCGGGCGGACAACGTTTGTCTATCTTGCCGCCGCAAGAAGAAGAAATGCGACAAGTCGCTGCCCGGATGCCTGCAATGTAAGAGGTAAGTGATTGGGGAGCTTTCAACCTCTTTTATTGGGTTTCTTGGTAGTGCCCTGGCTCACAGCGCCAGACTGCATCTCCAGTGTATATACGAAGATGCCGAGAGCGTGCCGGTGATAGAAGAGTTCCGCCAGCTGAGGAAGAGACTCAAGCTGTTTGAGGAAATGCTCGTTCCTGGCACTTCCAAGGTGTCCAATCTAAGTACTCGTCCAGCTGTGGCACCTCCCGACACGGCAAGTGAACGAAGCGTGACTGGTTGTGAAGCGGATCTCATTTCTCGACTCGAGGCTCTTGCCTCTAAGCTGAATGTGGGCGAAGAGGTTCATCAACTGCTTCAGTCGCACCCGGGAGAGATTTACGGGGCGTCGCAGATTTACTTTGACAATATCCACAAATGGATGCCCATCATGTCACAAAAGCTCTTCTATCGAAGGTTGACCGAGTTTAGCAAAACCAAGCGTCCGGACTTTGCCCTCCTCTTGCTGAGCATTGTCCTATGTATCCACTGCCCTGCGAGTGGCACAACGCAAGAGCCACTGTACAGGGCAGTCCGTTCGACATTCTGGAGCTTGAACGCAACTATAGATGCATCACTCGAAATGGTCCAGTCGGGGGTCATACTCTCCTGCTACGAGTACGGGTGCGGCATGTACAGAGAATGCTACAAGACCGTTGGTGTGTGCGTGCGGATTGGCCAGTTGATGGGCTTGCAGGACGAGAAGCCACCATCAGAAGAGCTTCAGTATTACAGCGACGAGTGGATACGAGTGGCGGAGAGATGCAATCTCTGGTGGGCATTGGTCATCCGTGACAGGTTCGGACATTCTCCTCTGCAAGTCTGGCGGCTGGTAATACTAACAAAGTGCCCGCAGGTCAACCTTGCTGCATGATACAACCTTGGCTACGCCGTTTGCAAGTGGCCGTGATGCAATGCCGGAGCACCTTCCCTTTGAGGCTTTCGACGTTGATCCCCCGTTTTCTCGTCTTGGTGACGGTGTCGTTACCCGTGATACGGCGCCGGGCATCTTTGGCTACCAAGCAAAGGCGTGGCGGTTGTTCGACAAGACCGTGGCATTTCGCCGGCGTCTGGCAGAGGGTGAGGCACCAGAGCTCCTGGGACAAGATCGTATGCAGATAGATACGCAACTTCAGAGCCTGATGCGAGCCCTCGTCGATCTGTCTGGCGGGGCCACCTGTGGATATTGCGAACCATCTGCTACTGTGCTCGTGTAAGTGCCTCATGGCCATAAGTTCTATCACCGGGGGCTGGCAAAACTAAACCTGTTTCTTTGCAGCTCTCTTCTCTTATTGCATAAATTCCACCCGTCTATCCCGGTGAATACTGCGAGCGAAGACGGACTCGAAGGCGTTCCGCCACATTGTTTCGTCGCATCGTCAATGGCCGTCAAGACAATTGTCCGCATGGTTGTTGACATTGCACACACAATCAACAACCACTACCGAAAGATTAACATTGTCTCGTTCCCTCCAACGTACTGCCATGTCATCTACCGGGCCACGATGGAGCTGATATCTCTTCGCAACGCCATGGACGAGGAGGAATGGAGCGGTGCCCTGGAAACGCTGCGAGAGGCCACCTGGAACTATGGCAGAAGATGGCAGGCTGCAGGCAAGTCTTGGTGTACCCTGTAACATGAGACCAAGAGTGACTTGCTAACATGATGGAACTTGCTCTTGACAGCCAAGTATCTGCAGACTGTGGACAGCGTCCTTCTGGACGTCTTGCCGAGTTCACCGTCTACTTTTAATCATTTCCAGCCTATCGAGAATGATCCTTGCGTAGTCGCGTTACTGGCTAGATAATCAGTCTGAATTTCGTTGAACTTTGTAACTGTAGATGAATCAATTTGACAAGGGGGAAAGTTCAGAGAACTATAACACGGGGGTTGATACAGTACAAGACATGTCACACCAACTTGACCAAGGCAACAGAAACCCAATGCCAGGCATACGCAACTCTTTGACGAGCAATCTCCTCAATCAGTGTAACACTCGATCCTGTCTTCCGTATAACTCGTAGCCCCGTCTTCTCCGCCAAACAGCCCCCCGGCCCGGACTTATGAGTCCACAAGCCAGGGCCGTCGATTCCAAACCTGGTGAAAGGGGCGGCCGCTGTCGGCCGCGGTTTGCTGGAGCAAGGGGGGCGGGGCCTCAACGACGACACTCCGCATGGAACGAGGTGACGAAGGGATTCAAAATGGCTGAACGCGGTCATGATGGAGTTTATTGATTATTGAGCAGTACTCGATGGTTGTCAGGAGTCAACGTCCCGTGGGGGTGCCTATCCAGTCGAGCCTCTGTCTATATAAGTCCTCATAGTCTTCCTCCAACCCAGACAACCAAACACACATCTCAACCCATACGGGCCACAAACCACCACCATACAACCTCCCTTACCCTCAACATCAACCAAAATGGTCACCGTCGCCATCGCGGGAGGAGGCTCCGCCCTCGCCTCCAACATCATCGCCGCCATCCTCGCCACGAAGAAACACACCCTCGTCATCCTCACCCGCTCCCCGCGCCCCGACCTCGAAGCCCAAGGCGCCATCGTCAAGCCCGTGGACTACGCCTCCCACGCACAGCTCGTCCAAGCCCTACAGGGCGTCGACACCGTCTACAGCTGCATCTGGGCGTACGGCCCCGCGATCCAGACGGTGCAGCTCGCGCTCCTGGACGCCGCCAAGGAGGCCCAGGTGCGGCGCTTCGTGCCCTCGGAGTGGTCCGTCCCCGCGTACGACGCCGTGGCGTACTACAAGCCCAAGGAGGCCGTGTGGGAGGCCGTCAAGAAGTCTGGGCTGGAGCACACGCGCTTCATCACGGGCATCTGGATGAATGTCTGGGGTGTCGGGGCGCCGCGCGACGAGGAGGGTGCGCGGGCGGGATACGCCGGCCCGGCGTTTCTCGCGGACATCAAGGCTGGCAGCATCACCATCCCCGGGGACGGTACGGGCAAGATCAGCACGACGCACATGGTGGACGTCGGCAGGTATGCTGCCGCGGCATTGGACTTTGACAAGTGGGAGCCGGACAGCGTGGTTGTCGGGGATGAGTTTACGGTCAATGAGCTCGCGGACAAGATTGAGCGGGTGACGGGCAGGACGCTGACGCGGGATTACATCTCGCTGGAGGCCATCAATGCGGTTCTTGCGGGGGGGCCGGATCCGGGGACGCAGATGATTCATGAGTTTTTCAAGTCCATTGCTGAGGGGGGTCATGCGCTGACGCCGAATGTGAATCAGAGGGTGCCGGAGGTTGAGCCCATCAAGGTGGAGGAGTTTTTGAAGAAGCATTGGGCTCCGTGAGGGCTGGATGTACTCTAGCCATCGCATTAATTAGATCGTAGCTTTGCTTTATACATTAAATGCTTGTTGTGAGCTGCAAGAAGGGTACTTTTTATTTGATCTACAGTGAAGAAAAAAACTCAGGGGTAACAAAATTTCTATCCAACTGTCCGCCTGACTATGTCAATAATACTCCAAGGCCATTACCTCCCCAACCACCAACGAATCATTATCCAACCCCCAACTTACACGGTCAAGCAAGACTTAAAGACCTGCGCATCCTTTTGAAACACAGCCTTCTGATTCGGCCTATCCCCCGCCCCCCCAAAGCCCGCAAAGCCATCAAGCTCAACACCAACATCCAACTCGAGCGACACCTCAGCCGTGTTGTTCCCGCAAGCCAACATGCCCATGGTGCTCGCCGAGCCCTCAAACTTGGCGCTCAGCACAGGCGCCTGCAGGGCGAGCCCCCCGACGACGCCCTTGCCCAGGAAGCTGGCGACGAGCTCCAGCGACACCACGGGGCCGACCTTTGCAGCAACAGACACGGACCCCGTGACGCCGAGCTTGGTCGTCTGAACATTAGGCTGTATATCTGCCGTCTGGCCGAGCGTGAAGCCCGAGCCGTCCGGCAGGCTCGCCGACACGCCCAGCGAGGCCGTGGCCGACGCGCTGACGGCCGAGACGGAGGCGTCGGCGGCAATGTTGAGCTGCGGGCCAAAGTCGACCAGGTCCGCGATGGAGAAGCCGGCCAGCGGCACCGTCGCAATGGGCACGCTGAAGGACAGCGGATCCGTGAGGGTGCCCGACGCCGTCAGGCTGACGTCCATGTCGGCGCCGAAGCTGTTGTGCGTGCGCACCGACGCGGAGAAGCCGCTGCTCAGCGACAGGGTAATGTCCGCGTCGGCGGTGCCGTGCGTCTTGCAGCTGTCGCAGTTGAGCGCGACGCTGATGCCGTCGACGTCCGTGTTGAAGATGGGGCCCGAGAAGTCGTGCCCGATGTCAATCGTCACGTCCTTGCTCACTCCCCTCCTCTTAACTGCCTGAGCATCGCTGCCAGTGGCATCCACGGGGACGCCCGCGATCCGGATGCTCGCGTCCTCGACAAAGTCCTTCCACTTGGTCAGCGACGCGGCCATGAGCGCCGTCTGGGCCACGGCGTCGTAGCTGATGGACTCGACGGAAAAGGGCTGCCGGCCCTTTGTGCCCGCGCAGGCCTGGCCCTCGGCGACGTAGATCATGGTGTTGGCCGCGTCGGCGTTGACCCATTTCCATGCCTCCTGCGCGGCCTGCAGCGACTCGGCGCTGCCGAACTTGATGGTGATGTCCTCGGTGGCGCAGTCGACGGACTCGACGACGTCTTGCATGTTGATGGCCGTCAGCAGGCGGAAGCCGCTCGCGGCCTGGAGCGTCATGTTGGCGACGATGCCTGTATGAAGATTGTTTAGAAAGATCTCAGGCTCATGAGGGTGATGTGGGAGATGTAAAAAGGGGAGGGGGAGGGGGATATCACGTACCTTGGTCTTGGTGCGACCAGATGTAGCTCTCCTCCGTCTTCAGAGACAGATTCGAGCCATCGTTGTCCGCAGGCGTATCAGGCGTCAAGAGAAACTTGTTTGCCACCGCGGGAGCCACGACATCGACTCGCTTTGCAAGAACCGGGCTTGCAGAGGCGTAGTTGGCGAGGGCCAGCAAAAGCCCAGCCGAAGCAGCACTCTTGACAAACATGATGAAGCTTGTATGCAACAGGCAGATGATATACTATCAACGAGTGAACAAAACAAACAAACAGCTGCTCCAGGCGAACTGCAAACGAGTGTATAAAACTTTCAAAAGAAGAGAGCGAAAGACTAAGAGTTTTGCTGCGGGCGAGTGAGCGAAGGAGTGCTTGCTTGGACGAGTCCTTAACCATGACCAGCGAGGCCATCGTTCAGACTAATATACATCATCTCCAGCCCCGAGAGCGACATGCCATCCATGTCCTCCCCCCTCCCTCCCAACTCAAAGTGACCCCATCCCCAAAACGACTTGACAGTTTCAATGGAGAAACGCCGAGGAGCAAGGGCAATGTCACCAGCATCACACCCTTCACTAAGCGTCTCCCACACTGCTACCATCACGGCTTGCTTGCTGCTGCTAGTACTAGTACTCCATGCCACTTATCATAAAGGAGGAAAGAAAAGAAGAATAGAGAAAAGAGAATGCCTTGAGAGCTCTCGGCTCCTCTGTCAGCATCCCTGACTGAAACACCACCTGCCTTGTCCGGAGCCGTCCATCCGAAACCCAGCGCGCAGACAAAGGGGCAACACCCCCAAACCCTCGAACCCTAACCCCCCCCGGTCTTGTCGCTTTCACAACAACACAGGTCATGAATCCGTAGTAGCATCGTCCCGTACTCTGGACTGAATCGTGTGGTTCCATGTTATCCCTTCACAACTGAGTAGTAATTCATCTGCCTCCTTCGATTCAAAGACTGCCCACACAACGACCCCTGTCAGCGCACAGTCAGTCAGTCTGCTCCCGGGCATCGCCGTCATACAAATACTACTACAAAGACTATCGCACTTACAAACAACAACAACAAAAAGCCTCCGCACTAGCGTTTCGCCATCTGGACATTTTTGTTTCCTCTCGTCTAAGCTTAAACAGTCAGGTTGCAGATTCTCAGGCCATCGTCTCTGTCTTTCTCAGAAGGCGCATCGGCATTGCGCGCATTGATTACTAGGTAGGTATCTTGAGCCCATGCCAACAAGTGGGGTGTTAAGAAAGCAGATGCTGGGACTTGAGCTTCAACTGGCTCTTCGGGCAAGGCGAGCCGGACGATCATTGAGGCTATACATGGATATCCACACACACACATATACTGCATGCATGTCAACTCTGAGGTTAATAATACCTTCTTCATTCATCATATCTGCTCCATCTCCTTCGTTATTGTCCGTCTAGTATATCCTTGCTATTCTGCTGCCTCAAAGATAGCCTTCATTCACCTTACAGAGCCCCCCTGGCATTATCCGCAAAAAGTTGCACTCTACACACAGACATGCCAAAACGGGACCGCACGATTCGAATGACGCACTCCAACAAACAGCTCTTGTAACCAACAAAACACACACAAAAGAAAAATGTGTACAAAACCGGCCAAGACACGATTCTACAGAGTGTACAAAACGCCGCACAAACAACCCCGTCACTAATTAACCCCCCACCCCTTCTCAGCCCAAAAATGATGCCATGTGGGAAAATATGAAGCAAAACAAACCCCCCCTGTCCCTGCTCTAGGCTGACTTGCATGTGCCTGAATGGTCTCACATATTATTATTAGTATTATTTTCTCTTCTTCTTCTTGCCCGGTTTGTATGCCGGCTGTCGGCCCCGCTGGGGCATTAGATGCTAGTAATCATCCGGCGCCGAGGCATTCCGGGATGAAGCATTTGGCAAAGGACGTATGATTGATTCAATTGTATCATGGCGCAGTCTTGTTCTTCGAGATAGTAACCAGGGTCAGGATAAGGCTTGATTGGGTGCTGACAACAAGCGTGCAAGTCTTCTCGCGCGTGTAAGTTGCTGTAAACGTTCAAACACTGGCTTCGACAGGAAAATACAACGTTTGGACAGCCCATGATATTCAAGAATAAAGGACGAGGCTCAATCGAGACGGTATTATTCTCAAGATAATTATCTGAACTGGAAAAAAAAATGGAAAACATCAAGCTTGTGCAGGGCGAGTCCGTCCTGACTCGACTGGTCACCGACAACAGAGGTGATTTGCACTATTACTACCACCAAGCAGGAAGGTGGTAAGGCTGAAGGACATTCATCAGCAATCATCTCTGCATGATGAGCGACTTCATCACCTTTGCGTCGACTGGGAAAAGATAACGAGCCTCTCCACGCGAGCACAGATGCGGAGCTTTGATGGAGCGTCAAAACCATGGAACTGCCGATTCTAGAAAGTCTGTACCTTGGGAACTGCACATGGGACTTTGGTATTCATAGATATTCCGGACAAAGCCTTGACCATCTAATTTGGGTAGAGGCAGTCATGACATCTTTCCTGAAATATTTGCTTGGCTTCATCCCTTCCCCTGAGCCTCTAAGCTCCACTACATCGAACGGAATACGCACCTTGATGAGCTTATCGGAACAGCGTCTCATAATCACATCAATCGATCCTTTAGACGCAGAATAATAGTACTTTTTCTAACACAATCATCGACACAGGGTTATAGTGTATGCAGACAGCGATTCCAACTTTTTCTTCTTTTCTTTATCACCCCATTCAGCTGCTCTCGGCCTTGAGATCCTCCTCCACCTGGCTCTTGACAACCTCGCGCACCTTTTCCCATGAGTTGTCCACAAGCGTCACCCGCCTCTCCTGCGTCAGCAGAGCCTTGAACTCATCGGGCAGAACCTGCTCCTCAAAGTTGAACCCGGGCTCCTCGCCCAGCGCCTGCGTGACGACGCCCGAGAACTTGGCCGGGTGCGCCGTCGACAGCGAGATGTGGTGCGTCTGCGGTCCCGCGCGGGCAATCGACCTCTCCGAAGCCGTCACGCCGACCGCCGAGTGCGGATCCAGGACGTATTTGGTTGACTTGTACCACTTCTTGATCGTCTCCACCGTCTCCGCGTCGCTCACGCGCTCGCTCTCGAATGCTTTCCGGCCGTTTTCCAGAATCTCGTCGTGCACCGGTCCGAAGCCGCCCGTCGTCTTCAAGGCCTTGTACCAGGCGCTGACCTCTTGTCCGGCCTGCTTCCTGTTGAACTCTTCATCCATGCCAACAGTTGCGGCAAAGTCTGAGCGCGCAGTTAGCTTCTGTCAACAAACTCGGACAAACACAGAGGGAGAGAGAGACTTACCTCTCGCCAGGAACCACATGAGTCTCTCAAAGTTGCTGGAAACCAAAATGTCCATGGCCGGGCTCATCGTTTCCTTGCAGTTCTCGGCCTTGGAGCCGTTCTCGTCCTGGGCGGAGCTCTTCTCATACCGGCCCGTCATCCAGAATCGGTGCAAGATGTCGTTCCTGGGCCGAGAAATTAGTACATCGCATCGTCTCTCATTCAAGTTGCCGTCACCCAAACACTGGGCGGCTATGACTTATAAAGTCCAGACAACCGTAAAGACTCACTCATTCGTCGCCACTGTGAAACTGTGTCAGGAACGATGCCAGATAATGGTAGCACGGCAAAGAAAAAAGCTTACCGACTAGCTTGGCCACGGGGAGACCCATCTGCTTGGCAAAATAGCCCGCCAGGATGTTGCCAAAGTTGCCCGTGGGCGTCACGAATCGGACCTTGTCGCCGACTTGGAAAGAAGACGACTTCTTGGCGAGAGAGAAGTAGGAGTGAAAGTAGTAGACGATCTGGGCGAGGATTCGTGAAAAGTTGATCGAGTTGACGGCACCCAGCTGCAGCGTCTCGTTGGCGTCGGGATCGCTAAACAGCGCCTTGACAATGTCCTGTTGCAGTGGTCAGTCGCCAGTCCAGAGGCAGATGCATGCTTGGACCTACTTGGCAGTCGTCAAAGGTTCCCCCGATGGCCAGGTTGTGGACATTGGCATCCTGGCAGGTCGTCATCTGCGCCTCCTGGATGGGGCTGATGCGGCCCTTGGGGTGCAGGATGAAGACGGAGACATCCTGTTTGCCCTTCAAGCCGTAGATGGCAGCAGATCCCGTCTGCAGTTGTTAGTCTTCGATGTCGTCAAGCGGGTTGCATTCGAGGGAGCAAGCCTACATCACCACTTGTTGCGCCCACGACCGTCAAATGATGCCTGTCTGTTGGCTGGTCAGCGTCTCGGGCTCCGTGTCAAATTCGATGAGAATCCCCTTTGAGATGATGGCCTACCCTTTCCTTGCTTGCCCTGATTCTTTCGCACGAGAAAGTACTCAAAGAGGTTTCCCAGAAACTGCAGAGCGCCTGGTGACATGTCAGCTCAATGATGTCACCGCACGCCGAGCGCAAAACCCACAGTCTTTGAAGGAATAGCTCGGGCCGTGAAACAGTTCGAGCAGGTATAAGTTGTCTTTCAGGTGAACGAGAGGCGCGACCTCTTCGGAGCGGAACGTCGAGTAGCTGCGGTCGATGATGGCCTTGAGATCGTCGGCAGGGATCTCGGACCGCGAAATGTAGAGGCTGAGGATCTCGAAGGCGAGCTCGGCGTACGAGAGGTCTTTCCAGTTGCGCTGCCGTCGGTGTTAGCCATTGACTCGCGCGGACAGGATGAATCGAATCGCAGCCATGAGCGCGACGCAGGAGAAGATGCATTGATGCGTCCGTACCCAGTTCTCTGCGGCGGGAATCTGATGCGGCAGGAAGAGACCCCCGTCGGCGGCGAGGCCCTTGAGGACAACGGTTTCGAACGAGAGCTGGAGAGCCGGTCAGCAGAGAGCGCCGCAGAAGCTGTTCGGGGCCAACAAACATCGTAGTCGCCGCCCCTGGTAGACAGGTAGACTTGCGACTCGGTGTGAGTCTTTTCGGGAGCGCCGTTGGCCATGTTGTCGTCGATGCAGCGAGTGCAGTTGCTTGTTGTCGTGCTCTGTCTTTGACTCTTTGTCTTGAACTCTTGCAGTTGCCCCTCCGATCTTTGGTGGGCTGGTCTTGGTGTCAGCCGCCGGAGGATCAATCGGCCGGCCGAAACCGGAATGCACTGAATTGGCAGTCAGAAGCTGTTGATTGTTGCGCTATAAACGCCCAAAACTTGGAAATCCCCTAAATCTTTAATGAAGCGTGAGTAACAGTAACATGAGCTGGGTATACAGAGGATAAGGTAAGGCATCAATTGAAGAGACGACTCATCATTGCTGCTCCTGGTTACCTATTCAGCTGGAGTGCAGCATTGCCGACTCTCGACAACGGCCTTCATTCTCCGTCATATACTCGATGCGTCATTCCATGTCAGTGTTCTCCTCGAGCCCATACATCTGCCAAACATGACTCAATTCTGCTGAAATCGCACTCGCCACCGCAAACCCGCCTCCAATCCTCCCTATCAGCTTCATGACGCAATCCCGCTGCCACTGCGTCCTGGACCTGGCACCTGCAATTCTCAAGGGAAACAAGAACAGCAGCGGCGAGAGGTCGGTTTGATCGAGAGCGATGTCAGAGAGCCTCAGAATGGTGTTTGTGTGAGTTTGAATGGTTTGCTGATCCAATGTCGGCGGTAAGAGGCCCATTCGATGCCAGTGAATCATTTCGTAGTCGAATATCCCGGACAGGTAGATGCTGATGGCGGCAAAGAATATTCTCGAGAGCAGCATGCTCGCATCTTCACTATCCAGCCAAGGGGTCTGTATTTTGGAATTGCCTTGCGCATATGCCACATGCCAGCTATCGAGGGCCTCTCGAAGAGTGAGAGCGTCCGAGCAGATGGACTGGGCTTCCACGACTGAATCCTCATCTGGGCAGCTCTCGTGCCCATCAATGAATGCTGCCGTTCTATACACAAGGAAGCACATGGTCAGTGTCACAAAGTCATATGCCACGAGATAGTTCGCATAGTCACCGAACTCGTAAGTTGGACACCATGACCATAATGTCGAGTTACTTCAAATAAGCCAAGGAACAGTGTTGTCCACAGCACCGTGTCATGCCGGCCATCGTCCCCCATCTTCGTTATCATGCCATTGATCGTATCACGCAGCCCTATGATGGAATTCGAGTAACACTCGAGCGCAGTCGCCAAGCATTCCGTTTGATGTGGTGTATCCGGCGCATCGAGCTTGACAGCCTGTATCGCACCAAGGGACAACATGGCATCCATGAGATACGAGCACGAGTGCAGCCCCGAAAGCTGCTTGACTTGCCCTACCAGTGAATTCTTCTTCCCGGTGAAGTTGTTCCGCCTAGCAAAAACGTCAAAGTAGTAAAGAAACGACAGCTTGTCATCTGTAAGCCGTGACAGAGGAGGAACAGCGGCTCTCCGATCCGTTGAGGTTCGTTTCTGCCTTGTTGGCTTGGAGGAGCTGAATGTGGCGGGAGTCATTTGCTCGCCTCGTTCCATCAAGATGATTTGTGAACTGCCTCTCAGAGCGGATGTGAATGCGCAGGCAACCTGCCGGCGCTGGCAATTCGTGCAGGGCAGTTTGCCAGAACACTGGCATCGCGTCCGTTAGCATACCTGTAGGTACACGCCGCAACGAGCTATAGCCAGATACATCTATGGATGTAGGTAGTTGTGGCATTCAGAATGACCTGTGCAAACTCATCTCACCTTGAGATGGCTGGTGGAACATGCTTGACAGCGGGACCGCTTCTTGCGTCCGTCAAAGGGCCCAATCAACATGCTACCAGAGGATGAATATGACTTGAGCGTATAGAGGAGCTAAGATTTGTTGCTATTTTGCTGATGATATGACGACTTGATAATGAACGCTGCGTGGTTAATAAGAGGTAGGAAGCAAGCTGTGTTGGCTGTGTGGCTGCCTTTAGAGAAGTGTAAGGTATGTAGTTTGACAAGGAGCAGGCTACTAATTGGCTTGGTGCGATGAGAAGCGATTAGAATTGGAATGAAATATGATAGTAAAGCGGTTTTCTCGATGGAAAGTTCTGTTTATGACATCCGGTTGTTTGTCCCAGACAGGGGAATCAGGCACTCGGATGCGGGCGTGTAAACGAACGATGGAATCAATCATTCAGCCCCCCCCTAAAAGCCCCCTACTCCTTTAGGTGCCTACTACTAGTAAGTTTGCACGCAGTAGCACCACATTACCTTACACCTTACCTGCCTAACCAACCCCTACAAAGGAGACATTGCGACTTGGAAACACCAAAGCAGCGCGTTCAAGATACATGGATCGCCGACCTTGACAAAGATTATACGTCTACAAAATGCCTCTCCAGCCACCGCCGACCGACAAGCGCTTCGCATCAGCCGAAGAAGCCTTCAAAGCCCTCCAAGCCCACGCGCGAGACCAAGGCTACGCCGTAGTGAAGACGCGGCCATCAGACTACAAGGACGGCAAGCCGCGTCGCTACGACATCGCGTGCGTATGCGGAAACGGCAAATACAAGTCCGGGGCTGCTGGACTTCGCAAATCGGGCACGAAGCGCACCGGATGCCCCTTCAAGATGAAGATTGTCCGGCGAAAGGACGCAGACGACCTCTGGGTGCCCGGGATCCTCTGTGGCAGCCACAATCACGATGCCAACTCAGCAATCAATTTTCCAGAGCACCGCCGCGGCGCCCTGACTGTCGAACAAACAAACGTCCTCAGAGCCCTTTTGGGACATTCGAAGCTCACAATCAAGACGATTGGCGAGATTATCAAGCTTCAGTTTCCCGACATTCTTCTTACAGAAAAGGACATTTCAAATCTACGCCAGGCCTTTAATCGGATGAGCAATGCCTCTAGTTCTAGGACTGTAGATGGCCCCAATCAATAGGAATTTCTGTGCATTACAATCACCAGGGAGTCAATGTTGGCCCATCGTTACCAGCTGATGTCATTACGATGCTTGCCCCTCAAGTCATCCTTCACTTCAAGGCAGAAGCTTCAGAGATAAGCCCGCAGAGGACGATGCCTTATGTATGTATATACATGCATGTAGACTGCAGGTGAATTGATGAGAGAAAAGACTGCCAGTCTATGAGCCAGCTTATCGCAACATCACACGTTAATCAAGTCGGTGCACGGAAATGATTCGTTGATCGAGTGCAGGTGCGTCTGCAGCCAAAAGCGAGCCTATGAGCCAGCCACCCTGCTGCAAGACTCTGCAGTTGGACTCTACCTACATACACAGCTACAGAATCTGTACTCCGAATGGGGCTATGATCAAATAAACATCTACATCCTCATGTGGAGATGTTGAGGTATTGAGTGTTGTGCTCCTAGAAGCTCATTTCTTTGGAGCATTTGAACTCTTGCAAAAAACCACCTGAAGATGTAGTAGGTAGTAGGTAGAACAGAGGGCGTCATCGCTAGAGAAATCATTCATACAGCGTTCCAAGCTTGTCTGTGCACACGCACACAAAAGGCAGAAAATCACACCTTGCGCTACCCCACCTTTGCCGAGCGGGCATCACGTGGCTGCCTCTGATCAATGCCTTTGCTCTCTCGTTTGGTAAACAAGGAAAAAGCGAACACGGAATCGCGTCGCTCTCACCACTCACTCACTCACTCACTTTATCAGCTCAGTCAGTTCATCAAGTCGTCAGTCTCTGCACATTTTAGAAGTGGTCTGCTGTCGTGCTGTTCATCTGTCTGGTCTGTCCGTCTGTCTGCCCGTTCGTCCGTCTGTCCGTCCAGCTCTCTGCTTGTCCATCTTCGCCTCCTTCTTCTGTCGCCATATCAAACGCTGCAACTATTCGTCTGTGTCATCTCCTCCAGCCTCTCTGGCAAATCTTTCTTCTTGATTTCCAGTCTCTCTCTCTCTCCCTCTCTCTCTCTCGTTCGTGTCAGTTCTGCTCGCGCCATGGCCTCCCTCATCGGACAGACGTTCCACTCGTTCGAAGAGGCCTACGACGCCATCCAGCGGGCCGAGTACTCGCATGGCTTCATCACCATCAAGGAGCGAGTCAACCGCCGCAACGGCGTCGTGGTGCGCGGCGAGGTGCGCTGCCGGCACAGCGGCATCTACCGCCAGTACCACCTGAGCCGCAACAAGTACATCACGTCGACGCGCAAGACGGACTGCCCCTTCTTCTTCATCGTCGCCCGCCGCACCCGCATGGCCGACTACATCATCTCGGCGCGCTCCAGCCAGCACAACCACGAGCCCGCCAGCATGGAGGACCTGCAGAACAAGGTGCCCCGGCCCTTTGGCATCCAGGACCTCTTCCAGCTGGTGGAATCGCGCCTCCAGGCCGACGGGGCGTCGACGAGCAGCGTCGCGCGCGACATCTGCACCGAGCGCCCCTCGGTCAACATCACCGAGGCTGACATCTTCTTTATCCAACGTAAACTGCGCGAAGGCCAATTCTATGCGTCCACTGAGGCCTTTATCAATAACAATAAGCCCAAGAAGAACTGAACTGAAGCAAGCCTGCAGAAACAATAACAAAAAAAAGGTGGAAGCAAAAAAAGGCATTGATATAACCGTCTGACTGAGTTTGATTTGATCTGATATGACTGGGCCTGATTTCCTGCAAACATACCTACATTCCTACCTACACACACACACACACACACACACACACACACACACACACACACACACACACACACACACACACACACACACACACACACATACACCACATATACCCCCTTTCAGTGGGAGGAAATTTTTCTGCTTTGGATGGATTGCAAGGCAGACAGACCATGTCCGTTGAATAGCGTGTGTGTGCGCATAATGCTCGCCCTTCCCGCCGATGGAGTACAAACATCATCCCGGACCGGGTACGAAACCAACCGCCCGCATATTATACACACATCCTGCTCGACTCCATCATACTAGTGCGGATCTATCCTCGACATCGTCATCATCAACACCAGGATGCCTTACCCAAAACGGAAGTCATGTCGCGACGCCGTTGCGCTTTGCGTCGCGGCCGCAGCTCAGCCTCATCGGCGGCAAAAAGGGGCGGAAACACTGCCATTGGCTCTTTCGGGGATATAGGGGGGGGGGGGGGGTTGGTCTGCGAATCCAGCCGCAAATGTAGCGTCCCACAATGGGGTTCCTCCCATCAGCCTCGGACAGCTTCGTCACAGGCCTTTGCGGTATCGTGTACTATCTGGGAATGGACTCTCCTTCAGGCTTGGACTGCTGTGAGTGAGACACTCTCACAATATGGAAAGAGGGCTTGATATGGGCTCATAACCGACCAGAGGTCGCCCTCTCCTACCTTATACTAACACAGAACATCTGTCAATACAACTCTCTTAACTCACTTCCAACTCTGTCTTCTCGTTCTATATATCGTATCTCAACCCGACCAGGCCGTCTCTACCACGAAATACTGACAACCATGCGCTTCGTCACATACTTGTCCCTACTGCTCTCCGCCTGCAGAGCGATCCTGGTTCCCGGCCCAACAGGTCCCTACGCCGTCGCCCTGAAAGAGCAGCCCCTGACAGACACCAGCCGGCCCGACCCCCTCGACCCAACCGACAAATCCAAGTCTCGCCGCCTGCTGTTCTCGCTGTATCTCCCCGTCGATGCATCCCGGCGATTGTGCCCAGCGGTGACGGTGCCCTACATGACGCCCCCCCCCCCGTGGCAGCCTCGTACGGGCACCAAGCGATTCTAGTCGGCTTGCCGGACACGCTGTACTATCCTTTCGAGATGGAGTTTTGCAACCTCGAGGAGTTTTCTCCTTGCGATCAGGCGTCTAACAAGAAGAACGAGTATCCTCTGGTTCTATTTGATCCTGGCTTTGGAGAGTCTAGACTCATCTATGGTGCCATGGCTCGGTCTTTGGCAAGCCATGGATATGTCGTTGTTACCGTGGACCATCCGTTTGACGCACCTGCTGTACAATTCCCCGATGGATCTATCATTCAGGGTGTCGACCTTGACGATTCCAACATTGAGGTTCTCCAGAAGGTCCTCAAGGCACTACTAAAACTCCAGAAACAACTAAACACAAGTCAAGTTTCCTGACAGTGAACCACAGGTCCGCACCGACGACATCACCTTCATCATCAACCAACTCACCAACTCAACCATCACAAAGCCCCTCCTTGCCGACTTCCCCGGCACAATCAACGCATCGCACCTCGCCATCTGGGGCCACTCCTTCGGCGGCTGCACCGCCGCATCTGTCCTCCATTCCGACAACCGTGTCCTCGGCGGCCTCGACCTCGACGGCATGCTCATCAACCCCGTCCTCAGCACCGGCATATCCAAGCCCTTTATCCTCGCCGGCCGCAAGGGCCACAGCACCGAGGATCCGTCATGGAATGAGTTCTGGCCGCGGGTGAAGGGCGGGGATGGCATGGAGATTGGCGTTGCGGATACGCTGCATGGGGCGTTTAAGGATGACTTGATGCTGTTGAGTGTGCTTGATTTGCCGGCGAGTGCAAAGGAGGCCGTGAGGGGGGTGTTGGGGGGTATTGATCCGCGTCGGCTGGATAGGGACTTGAATGGTATCTTGACGGCCTTTTTTGACTTTTTGTTTCATGGGAGGAGGCAAGCTCTGAAGGCTCTTCCTTGTGAGTTTAAGAATGTTACCGTTGTCCGGAGCAGCTTCTGATTCGCAGGGTCGAGTGAGGTGTTTCAGGGGTAGTCTGTGGATATCTAGACTTATACTAACTCCTCTACCTACTCTCCTCCTCTTATACGTCGCTTAGACATACGCCGTCATCATCAATCCCAATCATACACTCGTTCAATATCTATGTACCCAATATCAACACCCCAGCTCCTCAACATCATACTATACCTACACATGCTAATACTACAACTTACAAGCCAAGCCCAAAGCAATTGGCATAATACGTCACCGTAGCAGTCCAGTCCGAAAACATGCCTGCAACACCAACCTGCCTCGCCAGCACATCCACCAGCGTGTATATGTCCCCATCCCTCTGGACGACGTCCTGGATCGAGCCGTAGAAGTAATCCCCCAGGGCATGAACCTCCGCAATCGGGCCCGACCGCTCAAGGCTCCACGTCAAGATCTTGAGCCCCAGCTGCTTGGCCCTCTCCGCATACTCGCTGGGCACAATCTTGCCGTCCCGCGCCGTGACGAGGTACGGCAGCGGCGGCGCAACGTACTGCACGCCGTCCTCCTTGTAGCGCGTGAGATTGGCCAGCGCGGCGTCCATGCCGAAGAGGTCGGCGGTGGCGTCGAGGAACATGGCCTGCCGCGCAAACTGCGGCTCGTGCGCCAGCCAGTAGAGGATGTCGTCGTAGAGGAAGCTCTGGACGTAGACGCGCGACGGCGGGATGCCGGCCTCCCTGAAGGTGTCGATGAACTGCTGCGCGTACCGCTGCTGCGTGTAGTTGCCGCCGCGGAACGGCATCGGCACCTGCGGCGTCTTGAGCTCGGGCGTGAACTGCAGGCCCAGGGCGCGCGTCATGGCGATGTGCTCCTTGAGCGACATGGTCGTGCCGCAGGTGTTGTACAGGTCCGTCCGCCAGGGGAGGATGCCGCCCAGGTAGTCGGCGGGCGTGGCCGCGCTGGCGTTGAAGCTGTCCATCTTGCTGCACAGCGACTTGAACTCGGCGAGCGTCAAGTCGCTGGTGCAGCAGGTGGCCGACGCGGGCCGCCCGTTTGATGCAGGGACAAAGGGCTGCGTGCACTTGGCGTTGAGCTCGGGCACGGCGACGACGTTTGTCGTCGTGTGCAGGTCGCACTGGCTGTGGCGGCAGACCAGCTCCAGGTCGCTGGTGAAGGCGACGTCGCACTCGAGGATGCCGGCGCCCATGCGCGCGCCCGCCAGGTTGGCCTCGCGCGAGTGCTCGGGGAACTGCAGCGGCGCGCCGCCGCGGTGCGCAATCGAGAAGCTCGACGGCCGCATCTTGAGCTCCCGGCACGAGTCCAGCTTCGCCTTGAGCGGGCCGTCGCTCATGTTGTCGACCAGGTAGTACGGCCGCGGGCCCAGCTCGATCTGCGTCATGGGCTTGAGGCCGTCGGTCGAGCACGGCTTGGGCGTGGGCTTGGCCGCGACGTGGCCGATGGCGGCGAGGCTGACGGCCGCGGCGAGAGGCGTGAAGAGCATTATCGTGATGAGCCTCCCTGAGATGAGAACTGAAGGAGTGGCTGGATGGGAGGATCCGAGGAGACTGGCCTGCTGCTGCTGCTGTTACTCCTTCTGTTGGTGCTGCTCCCAGACGCTCACGAACCTCTCGCTCCAGCCACCAGGAAGATTCATCGCCATTATATATCCCGACCACCACAGCTAGACAGTCCATCAACCCACTTCCCCCGAGCAGCGCGGCAATCCATCTCTCTCTCTCTATCCATTCGCATCCCCAGACGAGCGGATACGATGACAGTGCATCCCGCCATGCATCCGTCGCCGCCCAGCATCAGCAAGCAGCCAAGCCCACCAGAGCCCCCAAGCAGCATCACTGATCCTTTTCCTTCCCCCCTTTCGGGCAAGGCCAGAGAGACACGAGGTCGCAGCACTACCACCAAAGCCCCCAATCCGCCACCTCGCAATCAAAACGGATCAACAGCCCTTCGTCAAGGGGCTCTGATGCAGAGTCCGGGGGGGGCTTCTTCCAGCCAGGCGACGAATCAACCGGTAACATCTTAGGTAGTATACTATGTATGACAATAGGAGGGGGGGGGGGGGGGGGGACCGCAGCAGACTGGTGTGCCTGAGGCTTACGGAAGTGCGACTCTGTGTGGTTGCGCTCTGCCATTGTGTGTCCCTACCCGGACAAGGTAGGTAGATAGAACGTGGTTGATCCCAGATTGATACGCTGCTCTCCCGCTTTCTGAGAGTTGTGTCGTCCCTGTGTGTTCTGTTGCTTGATGTACGGTAGCATTATGATCCCGCCTGGCTGACTCGAGGATACATGCATCAACTGCCACCCTCCGATGACTGTCTGTGCTCCCTGAGCCGTACGAATGGGATACAACTTAGGCGTATCATCGCCGCCATCAATTGGTCGCCCGACACGGCTATACGGCTGTTGAATCGTCCGGTTTCTGTCATTTTTCGCTGTTCCTGTCTTCAGTATTGCTGCCTCAACCAGGCTGCTGCACCGACATCCTCGCTGCAACAGAGCCCAGGCAGGATACGAAGAGGGGAAAGATAGCGACATGCCACTTGGTCCCGGCCAGGGTTGCACTGCGTGTGTCCCGCCTCCTCCTGCAGGGCGCAGCGGTTCGTTGGCGATGCTAATTCCAGTATGAAGTGCGGAGACGTTTGTGATTGAGAGCTCGAAGAGATGCGCTTTGATGGTGCAGAGGAAGAGCTGACAGGATTGCGGAGGCGTGGATTCAGATGCCAGACAACTGATCAGAAAAAGCAAGACAAAAATGACTCTCGGCAATTGTCTCTCCCGCGAACCGGGCTCTCCCTCAGCTGCACTGTATTCAGATACAAGCTAATCATTCGTCACGTTTTTTTTGCATGTCACTGCCATTCTTTGCATCCTTGTTCTCCCAGGGACTCTCGCCTGGACAAGTCACTGATACAGAAATGACCACCGAGGTCTTCACCTCACTTATGACTTGAAGCTACCTACTCCGGGCTGCTTCATTCTTAACACCAAGCTTAATTGCCACTTCGCTGGATGTGGCGTATCCTTGATTTCGTTCTCAGCGTTCCATTGAAGCATGAGGCACTCTGTTAGCCAACTCCCAACCCGAGATGCTTCACATCGTGGGATATATCGCGGCCACGTGGGAGACCTTATGGCTGCAATGCTGTAGTTGAAACCGGAGCGTTGCATTTGCCATCTCCTGGATAAGCCGTATGCAATACACGCACGTGGCCAAGCCATCGAGTAGAACAAACTACCGTGTGTCTGCGTACAACCATCATGACCAGGAACAAGGGCGACACAGCAAGAGAGTAACAGGCATAGCCTCGCCGACAAAGCTGTCCGGAATTCTGCAGTCCCCTCACGCAGCATACTACCGTCAGTGAATCTTGGCCCCCCAAAACCTTACAGTTCGTCTTTTGACTCCCCTTCGTCAACCTCGCGCAAGGCCAAGATGCCATCGACAGTCGCCCTCAGATGCTCAAACAGCGGAGCGTCCTCGCCCAACCCCCAGGCAAACACTCCGCCAAGCTCCAGCTGTCCGACAAGCCATGCAATCCTGGCCCCGATCGTGTCCGGCGTGTCGTACGACCACCACCTCTTTTCCTCCGCGTCCCAGTATCCGTAGCTTCCGTCGTAGTCATAGAAGCCGTGGGCCTGAGCCCTCGTGAAAGATTCATTCAACTCGACAGGGACTTCGTCATGCCAGCTGAAGGCGCCCGTCCTGCCTAGGTCCGCTCCGCTGGTAGGATCCTCCAGCAGCTGGGTACGACATCCCAACGGCTGCTGAGCGTCGCACTTTTCTGTCATGAACCACTTGGCGTAATAGCCCAGTCCGAGATTCAGTTTGTGTGGAGGTGCGCCGCGGTCCATATATCGCCTTATTGCTGCCTCCGACTCGTCAATTCCGCTATGGTGCTTAACGTAGCTGTCACGCCGGTTCATCATGTCGTATGTCATCAAATTGATGAAATCAACGTGTTCCACAATGGAGGGAACAGTCGAGTTTGTAAAGGCCATCAGGTCTCGTTCCAGAGCCGGCACCGCAACCGACAGTAGCTTGTCATCTCCCAGCGCTGATCGAAGCTCGGCAACGAGGAGAGGGAATGCTTCGATCTCCCATTTACGCTGGGAATTGGGTATGAGCTTGTAGTCGTCACGGTTTCCACTGTTGGCCGCCCGTCAGTCAAACCGAATACCAGCATACCGATGTCTCTCCCTTATACACGCACCCTGGATATTCCCAGTCAATATCGACCCCATCAGCTCCTGTGAGGTCGACCATGGCTTTGACCTGGCCAGCCCACCGCCTTCTTGAAGTCGCATCGCGTGCAGCAGCTTCGAATCCTTGACTATCTCCCCAACCTCCAATGGCCACCATGATCTTGGTAGCGGGCTTGAACTGCTTTCGAACTTCACTCACTGTTGCAAACAGGGGGAATTCAGTTGGAGTCTCGTCCACATTGAACACATCGGACCGCATGAATGCCAGAATCACATGGGTTATTGGATCAATGAGGTGGTCTTCTGATGGCATCACAACGTGTTGTCTGCTCAGGCATTAGACTTGATCGTCACCTGCAGACAAACAGAGCACCTCACCCCGTGAGATACATGATGCATCGAGCAGCTTCATGCGACGCCGCAAGAGAGGCAATAACCAAGGCCAGCCACAGGGTCACATATCTGATTATTGTCTGCATGTTCGAAACCTTGAATTATGCGAACAGATCAGATTGAATTCGCCATTAAACACCCGTTTGTATTCTCTGACAGGAAAAGGTGAACAGTTTAACTGTACCTGTCTGAAAGTCAAGGCATGGAATGACGGCGCACAGTACGCGCACAGTGTCTGTCACAATCGATACGGCTACCTATCTAATCTAGAGCTTCTTTTTTCTTCCTCTTTTGTTTCGCGAAGAAAGCTGAACCAACCCACCATCACATCGCATCACATCAGCTGAGACGCAAAGCGCAACCGGAATTTCCTCTCTTTCATCCCTCAGCACGCACAATGCCAGCATTCTTGTGCTGAGACTCAGTATCCCTACCACGGCGACATTATTCCTCTTCTTCTCGACGACAGGCTTGCAAGTGAATCGCTTCAAGCTCGACCACCTCCATCCATAGCAGCCATGTTCGAAAACACCTGCACACTGCCGCTGCATGCGGACATCTTCACCACGGCGCTGCATCCAACAGAGCCTCTGTTGACTGTCGGTTTGGCCAATGGCCTCGTCGAAACGTTTCGACTGCCCGCCAGCAGCTCGTCTGACGATGGCGCCGATGGAGACTCGAGCGTGATGAGCGATGGGCGCTCAACCATCAGCTCTGTCTGGCGCACCAAGAGACACAAGGGAAGCTGTCGCTGCCTGGCAAACTCCCACGATGGAAAATGTAGGTCTTGTCTACTCTTGGAGCGGCGTTCATCGCCTCGCAAGCTTCACAATGCTGACAGACCCTCTCAGACCAGTACTCTGCCGGCACGGACGCGCTCATCAAGCACTACGACACTGCAACTGGCAAAGTGATTTCCAAGTTTGGCATCCCGACCAATACCTCCAAGCCAGATGGCCCGTCATTGCTACACGTGCTGAACCCGATGAGCCTCCTCCTGGCCACCGATACCGGCGCTCTACACATCATTGACCTGCGCGACGGTGCGCCAGGCAAGAAGCCCGCGCAAACGCATTACCCCCATTCCGACTATGTGTCGTCCATCACGCCCCTGCCGCCGTCCGAGGAGAGCACCAGCGGCTTCCCCAAGCAATGGGTCAGCACGGGCGGAACCACTCTGGCTGTCACAGATGTTCGACGAGGAGTGCTGGTACGAAGCGAGGATCAGGAGGACGAGCTTCTCAGCTCTTGCTTCGTGCCGGGTCTGGGTCCGAAGAAGAATAGGAACAACGGCGTCATGGTCGTCGGGTCTGGTTCCGGCGTGCTGACCATGTGGGACAAAGGAGCTTGGGACGACCAGCAAGAGCGCATCATTGTCGATCCTGTCAAGGGTGGCGGCGAGAGCATCGATGCCGTTGTCATGGTGCCCAAGGAGCTGGGAGTGGGAAAGAAGGTGGTTTGTGGCGTCGGCGACGGCTCTCTGAGAATCGTCGATCTCGTACGAAGAGAGGTGGACACGACGCTCAACCTGAGGCACGACGACGTGGAGGGCGTGGTTTCGCTGGGATTCGACTCGGAGAATCGTCTGATTAGCGCGGGCGGCCGTACAGTCAAAATCTGGGAGGAGCTGTCGGAGCTTCAGGGCGGCGACACCAATAGTGAGGGTGAGGACGATGAAGAGGACGACTCGGACTCGGACGAGAAGCCAAACGGCAAGCGGCCCATGCTCGACAGCGACAGTGACGACGACAGCGATGACGGCGTGGAGGAGATGAAGCAGCGGGCTAAGCGACGACGCGAGATGCAGCAACAGAAGCTGGGCCCCATGGGCGCTCATGGCATCTTGGGCTTTGATGGACTGGACTAGGGGCGGCATCGAGGCATTAGCACGACACGTTGCCCTTGAATTGGGTTGAGGCACTGGGAGAAATAGGTCTGTGATACCTTTGATTTGTGATACCTGAGAAGGCTTGGGAAGCGAGCTCCAGAGCCCACTCACTGTACAATAATAGCATTGCATAACTAGGTGTAGGCATACTCAACGAAAATATAATTGCTGGGCCCAACACGGCCTGTCTCTTATTTCCCATTTTCGCGCTCCTCTATATCGAGTTGGGGGCACGAATCAACGCCGCTACAGGTCGTCGGGGTGCCCATGATCCGGTTGTCCATCTTCGATTCGCATCCTTCGTTCCATCATGTGATGCCCTTCCATCGGATGGACAAGTGTGTGAACCTATGCGGCGCTTCTATTCACGGCATCTAGTACCTTTGTGAATGCGCAAAGGCGCGATCAAGCTGCCAGGCGGACAAGGCTAAACCGCTTGAGTGCGGACTTCTCGAAATGAGGGCAGTATGAGGGCCATTGTGTTAACCTCTCAACAGGCGAAATAGATGCCATTGCTATGGCGAACTGGGGTAAAAGGAAGGAAAAGAACGCCGAGCACCCTTTTTTCTTCAGACTCCCGGCAGATGGATAAAGCTCCATTGCCCAGCGCCGCCCTTTGCGGGTTTCAACACCGCAGCATCGACGTCTGCGTCTGCGCTACCAGTAGCCACTCTCAAGGCAGCCTCGGCCTCGCCGTCCGGAGCGACGCCGGCCTCGGCAGAGAACCGCCGGACACGACTCTCGGTGAGCTTCCTGTCGTACAGAATGACGGCCGGCAAGCTCCTTTCGTGCTCGCTCTTATCGTGTTCACCCCCATCGCCCTGTTCCCCGTCCGACCTCTGCGACCCGCTGCTCCTCCCGCGACCGTCGTCCTGCTGCTGCTGCTGCTGCTTCTTCCACGGGGGAAACAGCTCGCCCGGCTCGCCGCTATACGTCGTCGGGACGCACACGTGGGGGATCCTCATCTTGACGCTGATGCGCCTGGCCAGGGCGACGGCGCGGGGCCCGCCGACGCTGATGACGGAGTCGCGGTCGGACAGGACGGAAGGCCCCGGGTACGTGTCCGGGGTGAGGAAGCAGACGTCGAGGTTGGGCAGCAGGGAGCGGATGCGGTCGGCGAGGTGGATGCGCGACGGGCTGCAGACGATGAGCGGGAAGGAGAGGGAGAGCTTGTTGAGCTCCGAGGGCAGGCTGGCGATGGCGTCGTTGCCGAAGACGATCCTGGGGGGGTCGGGCTTCTTGTGGTGGCCGTGGTGGTGGTCGACGTTTGTGGACTGGGAGCGGCGCGAGGAGAGGCGGCCCTTGGAGGAGCGGGCGTAGGGGCGCGAGCGGGAGCGACGATGGGACGAGGTGGACGAGTGAGGAGGAGACTGGAGGTTGTTCGTGTGGGGAGGAGGGCTGCCGGCCTGGGAGTTGGGAGGGGATGGCGGCATGGCTATTTTTGGGTATGTCGATGCCCTCATTCAAAGAGCGAGGATATAAAGAGAGTTGAAGGCTCAATGAAATCGGAGATCGAGATCGAGATCGAAGAAGGGGGGGAGGAGGGTCAAGGGGGGGGAGACGTTGTGGGAACAAATCGAAGATGCGTTCCTGGCTATTACCAAGGGTGGTGTGTATTGTATGTTGTATGTATGGAGAAAATGTGCTGCCAACAAAAGGAACGGTCCTCTTTTTCCCTGAACCAGTTTCCCCTTCTGGGTAATTTTCCTGCTTTAAGAACGTTTTCAAACATAACGCCACCCTACTTAAATTTTCTGACGGCAAAAAAGAAAAAGAGAAACAGAGAGGGAAAAAAAAAAAAGGCGGGAAGGCAAAAGGGAAATTTGGGTGGCGAGCCAGCATGGGATTCTTGACAATCCCATTACCTTGGGGGACCCCCCCTTGTTCTATCTTAGAGACTACCTACCTATCTAACGGAAAGCCAATCTGGGGTGGGTTCTGGTTGCATGTGTGGCGTCTGCTTTTTTTTACTTGCCCTTATAGGCGGATTGTGAGCGGAGAGGCTTGGCAGCCATCTACCTAGGCGATGCAAAAGGGGACCCTTTTCTGTATGAGACGCAACTTGGGTATGTGGGAGTCACAGAGGGGAGAGGGTTATCAGATGTTCTAGAAACTCGGGATGTGGCCGGGAGGTTGTTGGGCAGTTGCTGGATTGGCTGGCATGTTCTGTTTTGCTTCCCTCTATTGTGTGCTCTTTGTCAGTTGTTTCGCCTGCCGGAGGGTGTTGCCCGGCTTACTGGGGGCGAATAAGGGGTGTAGCGTGCTGTAGCAGAGAGATATGTTGAATGAAACGGTTGGGAAATAGTGCTAAAGCAAAGGAAAAGGGGAGAGCCGACGAATGGGTTGCTTAGAGCAGGGCGCTGGTGCGCGGGAGTGGCAAAAGTTGAGCGGCTTTTGCTTTGGATGGCCGTTGAGCTGCTACTAGGGCTGTAAGGTAAGGTAGTATGGCACTCCCGTCGTTTCTTGGACTTGACCTACTCTCTAGTGCTAAATCCAGTTATTGTTACATATTCCCGTGGGTGATTTATATTATACTGAACCATTTTGAATTACCTTGCCTAGCACCTGTAGCTGGGTAGGTAGGTAGTCCGTGCCTTGAGGATATCCATCATGCTTCTCTTCCTCTATACGTACCTTAACTGGGTACCTAAGGTATCATCGTCCCGTGCCCAAGGCTACATGTAATCGGCCGGTTGCGTCATTGCCAAGGTACATGTACGGGCATGTAGCTGCCCAGGCTCAGCCAGGTAGATATCCAAAACAGCCCTAGGATTCAGGTTTACCTTACCGGCTGGCATTGGTGGTACATGTGGTGCCTGGATGTTCTATTACTGATGCCTCCAAGACACCTCACTCCGACAGACCTCCACACAGGTACCTAGGTAACTTACAGAAACGGCTCTCAAGCACCTGCACTGACAGGAGCAAGACTCGATTAGATGCTTACAGTGATGATGCTGTTATTTGACAAGGAATATCACCCTTCTGATTGGGATTTGATCTGAGTCTGCTGTGTTTCGATGGTATAAGCAGCCTGTATCTCTTGGCATGTGGTAGTACATGTCAAGTCGTACCATTGACTGCTCCTCACTGCCTGCCATCACCCCACCTCGCGATTCGCTCATCCTGTATTAGCCGCGGTCACCTTCAACAACCACCTTTTAATAATACTCTCCATCTCCATCAAACTCCCACACTCAACGCCACTCAATACAGGTAGCCTCTCATCATGGCGCCATCAAGTAGCAGCGCGCCTTCGCTGCTTCTGCTGCCCGCGCCGCCGCTCCCCCTTGATCCTCACTCGCTGGCCGCTGCCTATCGACCGCCTCTCACGGCCGTCTTCAAGCGCCTCACCGCGGGCATCAACATCAACGGCAGCGGCAGCAGCAGCAACAGCGACGGCGACCACAGTCACAGCGGCCACGTCCTCGTCATTGCCATCACATGTCCTCTCCTCACCGGTCTCTCACCGAGGCACAAATCCCTCAACTGGAAGGCCGCCCAGTCTCTCCTCGCCCGCGTCTACACACTCGCAGCGGTCATCTGCGACGAGCTGGACATTGACACATCAGGAGAGCTGGGCGCTCACAGCCTCGATCCCCGCATTGTCTTGGTCGACCACGAGCGCCACAGGACGTATCAGCGCAACCATGACGGGGAGTACGAGGCAAACTGCACGCCCGTCCTGGATCTTGCTGCCTTTGCCTCGACGGTGCACCCCTGGAGGACCGTCTTCCACCCAAGCACCGAGGCCGGCTACGAGCTACTGAGCGCCTTCTTGCAATATTCAGAGGGGAAACAGATTCTCTTACAGAATCAACTGGTAGCCGTGGAAGGCGGCATCGCCATGTCCACCAGCAACACGCCCCCCGTCGTTCAGGAGGATTTCGTCCAGGGCCGTGACGTTGTCTGTCTAGGGGGCACATTCGACCACCTTCACCCGGGACACAAGCTTCTCCTCCACGCCACCGCACTACTCTTGCGCATTCCGGAGAAGGATGCCGGCACGCAAGGCGTCCTCATCGTCGGTATTTCGGGGGACGAGCTGTTGAGGAACAAAAAGTACGCAGAGGTGCTACAGCCGTGGGGTGTGCGCGCCGCCAAGGTCCTGCAGTTTCTCTCCACCATCTTCAACTCGGCCTCCTCTTCCAACACGGGCTCCTCCCCGCCCACGTCCACCTATTCTCCTGACGAGCTTCATGCTACATTCCGCGACGGCACGGTGCTGGTCCGGTGCGTCAACATCCACGACCCCTTTGGCCCGACAATCTCCGAGGAGGCTGTGGATGCCATTGTGGTGTCTGGGGAGACGCGCAGCGGCGGCGAGGCCATCAACGACAAGAGAGTCGAAAGAGGGTGGAAGCCACTGGACGTGTTTGAGATTGATGTGCTCGACTCGCACGAGGCCGGCGAGGACGGCGGCGGAGCGCAGATCAATGGGTTTGCCTCGAAGATTAGCAGCACCGCAATCCGGCAGCGGATCGTTCAAGGCCGAGGGCCAGATCCAGTCGCCGTGCCATCGCAGTAGGTGCTATATAGTAGGCTCATGTTACACGGGTCTGTCTTTTCTGTGTGTGATGCATTCGGCTGAGCGTTGAATTGTTGGAGTGAAATATGGCTCGTAGTTAGGCTATTGATCTTCCGCATGGTCCAGCGTTTACTCACGCAGCCTGTGTATTCCGTTCTTGCGACCTAGCCAGCGATGCCACTGAGCTACTTTCCTGTACTATTATTACTTCCTGAAAGAGATCACAAATACTCTCTTAAATAAGTTGTTGTATGAATGCTCGTCTTTGACCTCTCAACTACAGGGTAGATAGGCTGCACCTGTGCTTGAATCACGGAAGGGACGAGTCCACCCTACATCGTGGCTGCCGTCTATTGACAACATACCCCGAACTGCTTCGTCATCTCCCTCTTCTCTTTCTCATTTCTATTCTTCCTCATCTCCACCTTCGCCTTCTTTTCCTTCATCCTTATCTCCGCCGGCTTGCCACTATTATCAGGTAACAACCAGCAGGGCTGCTTCGGAAACTCGGATTGTTAATGCCATGTTTGGCATCATTACCCATCAGCAGCATCGTCACGCCTTCGTCAGCCGCAAATCTACAGTCTCAGAAAACGAACCTCGGACATTGCCATCTGATCCTCCTTCACCAGCGCCTTCATCGGAGCTCACCGACTGCTCGTCAGCTGTCCACACGGAGCAGCCCTATCTCGTGCCCGTCGCTGATCTCATCAGCCAGAGAGCCTTTGCCCCTAGCCATGCGCTAGGTACCTAGGTATGGACAATCGACCGAGCCATTGGCCTGAGATAGATAACAAGCCATCAACGCCTGGCTGTCTTATCGCAGACAACATGCTAGTATCAGCTACGATGCCTCAGCCCATGCAGACGAACCCCCATGCTCCCGCGCCCAGGCCCCGCAGATGATGCCGGAACGAGGCAGGACTTGAGCCTGAACATGCGTTGTCCCCCACAAGACGAGGATTTGTCCGGGGGAATCGAAGCGCAAGCCAACAAATGATGTCGACTCTGCCCCGGAAAGGTTGAATCATGGCCAATGGTAATCCTGCCCTGATCAAGCAGTGTTGCAGCACATCTGACCGAGTCGGGCTGCCTTGGTCGATGAGGCTAGAAGACGCATCAACTGGGCAAAGCATGAGGAGAGACCCCGACATGATAGCCGGCATCGCTGTGCAAGTTCTCCACATGGGTTGCCGATCCAAGCGTCATGCTCCCGAGCCGGTTGTGTACCCGTTGCGAGGCTGCCATCAGCAAATGGCTGGATCAATGTCAATGGTTGTCACTCTACCATTCTCAAATCATATCGGACAAGCCCAGCGACCTCTGGTCGGGCTCCCCAAAGAGGCTTTGCCTATGCGCCATCACGGAAAGCTAGCTAATTGACATTGGCATTGTTTCCATGCAACCATCTCCAACTAACCACTTACAATACGGCAAAGATAAGCAACGAACAAGGGCCTACAGCCCGGTCCGTCCACACTATCAGCCAACCATTGCTGAAGGTATCAGTTATTGATTGTATTACCGCGCTCTTTGCTTATCGTTCCCGAAAAGCGGAAAGATTACTTTGAAGAACCGGGGAAAAAATCTTCATATCGCCTCAGGTGATTGCTTCAGGGCCAATTGATAAAAGAATCACATTCCTAACATCCACTAGCATAGCATTTGACCTAATAAATGTCTTCTTGCTCTGCTTTCTATCCTACACGAGACTCTGTTTCGAGCCATATCCAAAGTCCGGCTTCTTGAGCTCTCCTCTCGACTGGCTGCTCAAATGTTTTCAACAGCATAAAGGCTGATCGAGCAACAACCGAGGCTTCAGCAGGTTTGCCACCAACAACCGCCAGGTTACACCCGCTATCACCTGATTGCTGCCTCTTTCTTCTCGCTGGTACATCACCGCGACTCAACATGGACGAAGGCACTGGGCCTACGACAATCACCCCCGAGACCGCCCCCCGGTGGTCTCTAAGCCGCCGTCTTCGGTCCCTCCGCCGAGCTTTTACAACCCGCGAAGGTCTCCTCGGCGACTACGACTATGGCGTCCTCTTCCGCCCGAATCTACCGTTCATGTCCAAGGGCTCAAGGGCCGGAAGGAGCCCGTTCTTTGGCCTCAATGACCACATGCCGGTCTTCTTGGGCCTGCTGCTGGGGCTACAACATGCGCTGGCCATGCTGGCGGGCATCATCACGCCGCCCTTGATTCTCTCGGGTTCGGGCGGCGCCAATCTATCGGCCGAGCACCAACAGTATCTTGTCTCGACGGCCTTGATCGTGTCGGGTATCTTGTCTAGTATCCAGATTACAAGGTTTCACATCTACAAGACTCCGTAAGTTGTAACCCAGAAACTAGCACATGCTGCTGCATGGGGATGCTGAACGATGAGACAGTTACTACCTTGGGACCGGCCTTATATCTGTCGTGGGCATCAGCTTCAGCATCATTCCCGTTGCCCAGGGCGCGCTCAGCCAGATGTACGCCAACGGCTTCTGCCCCTCGGACGCTGCCGGCAACCCCCTGAGCTGCCCGCGTGGATACGGTGCGCTGCTGGGAACCTGCGCGGTCTGCGCCTTGCTCGAGATCCTGCTGTCCTTCATCCCGCCACGCATCTTGCTCCGGATGTTTCCGCCCATCGTCACCGGCCCAACGGTCATGCTCATCGGCATCAACCTCATCAAGAGCGGCTTCCAGGACTGGATGGGAGGAAGCGGCTGTACGTCGCAGGCCCTGTGTCCCAGCCCTACGGCACCCCATGCTCTCCCTTGGGGCTCCGCCGAGTTTCTCGGCTTGGGCTTCAGCGTCTTCGTCACAATCATCCTGTGCGAGCGCTTTGGGTCACCCATCATGAAGTCGACGTCTGTCATCATTGGTCTGCTGGTGGGCTGCATCATTGCCGCCGCCTGCGGCTACTTTGACAGGTCCGGCATCGATTCCGCCCCCGTCGCCTCCTTCATCTGGGTTCACACGTTCCCCCTTTCCGTCTACGGCCCGCTGGTGCTCCCGGTGCTCGCCGTCTTCATCGTCTGCCTCACCGAGTCCATCGGCGACATCACGGCCACGTGCGACGTCTCCCACCTCGAGGTCGAGGGCATGATATACGAGTCCCGCATCCAGGGCGGCGTCCTGGCCGACGGCCTCAACGGCTGCCTGGCCGCGCTCATGACCATGACGCCCATGAGCACCTTTGCCCAGAACAACGGCGTCATCGCCCTGACGCGCTGCGCCAACCGCAAGGCCGGCTACGCCTGCTGCCTCTTCCTCCTCATCATGGGCGTCTTTGCCAAGTTCGCCGCCGCCCTCGTCGCCATCCCGGCCTCGGTCCTCGGCGGCATGACCACCTTCCTCTTCTGCTCCGTCGCCGTCTCCGGCATCGCCATCATCTCCCGCGGCGTGCCCTTTACCCGCCGCAACCGCTTCATCCTCACCGCCGGCCTGGCCCTCGGCTACGGCGCCACCCTCGTCCCCAACTACTTCAGCACCGTCTTTACCTATGCGGGCGGCAACAAGGCGCTCACGGGGTTCCTCGACGCCATTGTTCTCGTCATGGAGACGGGGTTTGCCGTGACGGCGGCGGCGTGCATGATTTTGAACCTGGTGATTGAAGAGGAGATGGAGGATGAGATTGTTGCCGAGGGCGACGACGTTGATGATGATGATGGTGTCGGTATCATTGTTAGCAGCACGGGGGCGTTTCCTGTCAAAAAGTACGAGCAAAATAATGATAGCGATGAGGGCGGCGGTGGTGGTGGTGTGGGAGGAGAAGGTAGTTCAGCTTCTGCGAGGGGAGAGAAGCAGGCTTAATCGCAATGGGGGGGCGCGCTGCTTTGTACGAATGATGAATGAGAAAATGAGAAAGATACGATTAGCAAGTGAAGAAATCAAGGGAAAGCCCCCCTCGATACGTTGGATAATTGCTTGCCATTCAAAGCACAGATACCCAGATTTGACATCGACATCATACAGTCTACAATATGCTTATGCTCATTCAAAAGGCACACAAGTAACATTAAAGTCTTTGGTCAACTCAAAAAGTAGCATTCGCGCCAACCATGCTAGGGTATGTCTTCCGTCTCCCTCTGCAAAAGAAATCCTTTTCCGTCTCCTAATATGTCCCTTGTCCTCCCTCGAAGCCCCCTTTCAGATAACGGCCAAGAAGAAGAAGGAAAAGACATAACAAAAAAGAAGATTTGAAAACAAAGCCCCCCCGATCCCCACCCCTTGACAGGAATCTGCGCCGCGCTCCGCCTCTGCCGTTTCTTTTCATTCGCGTCCCGTCCCATTCTCGCCCCTTGCCTTTTGTTCTTCAACGGTCCAGAAATACTCCTTCATCGAATGATTGAGCCGATAAAGATCCACAATCTAACGAACAAAAGTGACAGAAATCGAAGTAGCAAAAATAGAAAAGAACAAGATGGCAAAGACTCGAACGAAAATCCTTATCGTCCGCCATGAAGCACCAGGTGAAGAGTGAAGAGACCAAAGCAAGGCCTCGAATGATGAATGCAGGCACAACGGATCCTCGTAGTACCCGCCCCCCCTTTTTTGTATCCAACACCATCTGGTCACCTGCCATTAACTGTTATTGGACGGAGAAAATGTGTGAACATCTCTCGTCGTCCACACCGGCTCTGAGTTTAGTTTCTTTGGTCGATAACATGTTTATGCCCTGGGAGTAAAGTCCCTGGCTTTTCGTGCCAGCACTCGAACATTGTCCACGAAGCCCTCCACCAACTCTTGATATCTGTGGGGGGCACCGCTCATGGCTCTTCGTCCTTGGTCGAGGAGTGCTTGATGATTTAGCTCGATCTCGAGCTCGTGTTCCTTATCCAGGCGTTGGGTGTTCTATACATTTGGGTCAGCTTTGCGGACGACAAGATATGAGGAAGACGAAGTGGGGGAGGGACAGAAACTTACCCCGGGGCCATTGACGGCATGGGCGACCTGGGTGAGGTCGATCTGGTAATGACCCTGCTTGTAGCTCAAGCGGTCTTTGTTACGGTCCGGCTGCCGATCCGCCTTGTTTGACGCCGCCTGCTCGAGCTCCTCGACGGAGCCATCCCAGTTCATCTCGAGGTTGATGCTGATACGGCAGTCGAACGGAGACATGGGCAAGTGGAGGTCAATGTCTGCGACGCGCGCCTTGATGATTTTGTTCAAGATCTGGTTGGTCTTTTGGTCGTACGTGACTCGCACTCGGATGTTGCGGCTGCGAGAACCCAGGCGGGCCCGCATACATCCGGGCAGATGCCCGTGCAGCTCTGTCGGCAGCTCGTAGAAGCGATCAATCTCGCGTCGGTGCTTGTATATGACTTGAACTCGCTTGGTGGGAGCGCCGTTGGGGTTTCGGGGGTCGGTTTGTAGGACGATTTCGTTGAGGAACTGGTTGTAAAATTTGTGCTGGGCCTGCAGGAAGTTAGTTTGAACATTACGGGGAGAAGGTGAATAGTCCTCTTCAGTCACACATACCTCTGTCATACTACTCTTGAAGGCGACCCGGCCATTTTCATCGAGGATGCACTCTGTGGCGACAAACCGGTCCACGCGCTGGTTGGTGTCCTTGTCGATGAGCGTCCCCAGCTTGGCCTCAATCTCGAATTGTATCCCCCTGCTTGTGATCTCCTGCATGTCTTGGTTGTTGATGGCGTGGATAAAGAGGAAGTCAGCCACGTTCTTGGACAGCTCCTCAATGGGTTTAACACCGGTGATGCTGGCCTCCCAAGGACCCAATATGTCCTGGGGATCGGGCTCGGAGGTGGCAGGCGGTTGGCTGACGCTGGCGTGCTGATTTCTCTTTGTCTCTGGCGACGTCTGGCGGCTAGCGGCGGCATCGTGCTTGCCGTTGATATGGGAATGGAGTCGCTTTTGGAGAACAAAGTTGGCGTTGGTCGGCAGTTTCTTCCCCAGAGTGTGGACGCTCTGGGCCCAGATTGGCGGCTGGAGGTACCTTGTCCGCCTTTTCCTGGGCGGGACAGGAGACGACGACTTTTGGATGCGTTCCTCGTAGCCACCGTTGACCTCGCCGGGAGGCGGCTTGGCCTCTTTGTTTTCCAGTTCGCTGGGGCTCATGTTTAGATCCTCCAGCTTTCGCTTCGCGGGCGTGACCGCTCGGTCTGAATCGATCGCCATGGAGTGGGCGCTGAGCGAAGATCTTGCAGGTCGGTCCGTCGGGGCCGGGGTGGCGTCGGAAACGCTAGGGATGGAGCCGAGCGTGGTCTTGGGACTGACTGACAGACTCTGCTCCCGCTCGGCTTGGGATCGTGGACGCTGGGCGGGTTCCGCGACGGGCGAGCCGTGGGCGGACTGCGAGGATGGGAGATGGGCAGGGGGTGCCGGAGGCGGTGCGGGTTTTGGCGATGGCCTCTCTTGAGACTGTGGCGGGACGTGAGCAGGCGGGACGGGAGGCTGCGGTGTCGGGGTTTGAGCCGGAGGCTCGGGGTGGCTCGAGACCTGCGCGTGAGACGGTTCGGGTTCAGGTTCGGGTTGAGGTTGAGGTTGAGCTTGGGGTTGAGACTGAGCCGGTGCCTGTACCGGAGCCTGTGCCTGAGGCTGCCGGGGGTGCGGCTGTGGCTGTTGTGCCTGTGCCTGGGCCTCAGCCTCGGCCTGCGACTGCAATTGTGCCTGCGACGGTGGAGATGACTGCGGTGTCGGTGCCTGGTCCCGCGGGTGCGACTGCAATTGAGGTGATTGCGCGAGATGCGGCTGCGGCAGCGGTTGAGGCTGAGGTTGAGGTTGAGGCTGGGGTTGATGTTGATGTTGAGGTTCCAGAGTGTGTGCGGTATGAGGATGCGGGAGCGTGTGTGCTGGCGCAGGTGCAGGTGCAGGTGCTGGTGCAGGCGCTGGAGCATGTGCTGGCGCTGGTTGGCTCGCCAGCGAAGACACCGACATGCGCTGCTGGAACGGGCTCGGGGGCTGCTGGCCAAAGGCTCCAGGCGTTGGGGGCTGGCGCAGGGCGCTGGGAGGCCCCAAAGGGGTTGGCGGCTGCGAGCTGGACGGGTGGCGGCCGTAGTCGGCAAGTGGAGGCGCTGCAGGGCCTGGGCTGCCCTGTGCGTAGGCCCCGTAGTGCTGCTGGGCCACTGTCGGGGAGCGCTGCTGCTGGTGGTACGCCTGGAAGGACGCGCTGGTGCTGGGCCTCGAAGAGGATGATTGAGGTGCGGCGTGCTGCTGCTGCTGCTGCTGCAGTTGTTGCTGCTGCATCATCTGTTGTTGATGTTGATGCTGCTGCTGGAGCTGCTGCTGTTGCAATTGATGCTGCTGCTGGTAGTGCTGGTGCTGTTGTTGCTGCTGCAGCATCTGTTGTTGTTGCTGTTGCTGTTGCTGTTGTTGCTGTTGTTGTTGTTGCTGCTGCTGCTGCTGCAGCATGTACGCCGGCGGAGGAGGAGCATGTACTGGGCTCTGCACATAGCTCTCTCGTCTCATGTCTCTTGGGTCTCTCATGTCTCTCATGTCTCTCATATCTCTTGGGTCTCTTGGGTCTCGCAGGTCTCTCGGATCTCTTGAATCTCTCGGATCTCTTGGATCTCTTGGATCCCGCGGGTCTCTTTGGTCTCGCGGATCCTGGTATTGGCTCGGATACTGTCGCTGGATCGGGCTGCTCATGTCTGGAGGCTGCGTAGGAAACGGGTAACCCGCAGAGCCTCCGGGCGTCGAGGCTGACGTCGGCGAAGGCCGGTAGGGCGAGGCTAGGACGGGCCCAGAGTTTGATCTCGAGCTGCCGGGCGAGCGGGGGTCGTGATAAAGACTCGGCGGTTGCAGCGGTGGCGGCGGCACGGCAGATGGCCGTCCTGGGTACGGACCAGGCGTCTGATAAGGCGACTGCACTGGGTAGGCATTGGACGGACGATGCTGCTGCTGCTGCTGCGGCGGCGGCGGCGGCGGTTGCGGTTGCGGTTGCTGTTGCTGGAATTGCGGCGGCTGCTGCTGCTGCTGCTGCTGGATCTGCTGCGGCGAGTAGTGCTGAGGGTGAGGATGCGCCTGCGCCTGCGGCTGAGGAGGTCGCTGGGGCTGCTGGTGCGGATGCTGATATTCGTGCATCATCGCAGGCTTGCTTGGTGATGCCTGAGGCGGCTGCTGCGAGTACTCGCGAGGCCCAGGTCCATATTGAGCCGTGGGACTAGGACGAGGCTGGTGGTGCGGATGCTGGTGCTGCTGGTGTTGCTGGTGCGGCTGGTAGTGAGGAGGAGGAGGAGGAGGAGGAGCCGGCGGCGGCTTCGAGGGCGCGCGGTCGCCATTGTCGGACGTGTTCAGAACCGAGCGGAGATCCATGGCTGCTGGGACCTCGTCACACGGGCGTGTGGCCTCTTGCGCGAGACGATGGATCGGGCGGCGAGCCTCGAGCTGTCCAGCATGCGGCGCGGCGCTGTGGTGCGCCTGGGTCAGCGGCGGCTACGACTCGCCGACGCCGTTGGGCCTTGCTTCGGTCTGTGACGTTTAGATGGCGGTCGCGGGCGCAGAGGATGCAGGGCCGTCCGAGGCGCAAAGGCACATCCTCGAGCTTACACGCACCGGACGGAAGGCTCGAGGCTGAACAGGCGAAAGGCTGAGGCGTCGCGATTGCGTCCTTGGTGGCGGGGCCGGGCAGCGCAGGCGCGCAACAAGCACAGCAGCAAGGTCAGCTCAGCCGGGGCGGGTTTCCGGCTCTGGTCCTGCCTGGCCTTGGGGACGGGTGCGCGTCGAGATGCAGAGGTGCGAGAGGCGAAGGGTAGAGGCGACGGACAGAGGCGGCAGATGCAGCTGCTACGGCGCGGTGGACTGAATCCGAAGTATCATGGACAGGGCCCGGTCTGTTGCTCGCGCAGGGATTTGATGATTGATGGCAGTCTGGACGGATGCGCCGCCTTGGTACTAAGGACACACTCGATCTTTTTTTTTTTTTTTCTCCTCTCACTTCGTCTCCCAGCAGGTGAGCAGGCGCTATCCAGAGACCGACGGACAGTGGCGTCAAGTGGTTCTGGCGGGTAGTCGAGTCACCGATAGGCTCGACTTTTTAGTGCTCGAACTCTGGACTCGGTGCTGGATCTGCGCTCATCAGCAGCTGGAGGACCCAAACCTGAAGTTGTCTGGTGCGAGCCCAACAGGTCAATGACGGGACGTGATGACGGAGGCTCGAGCGAGCATCGTTGCAGGACAATGCCAATGGGCCGCAATCCTCCTTTAAAGCAGCAGAAAATTTGCTGTCTTCCGCCCCCTCCCATCCCAGCTGTCGGTCGTCTCCTGGTCCTGCTGCCTCCTTGCGTTGCTGCCGTCCGTCTGGCTGCAGTGACGGCCATGCATGCGAAACCTGAGGTTCCGGCCTGCTGCCCAGCCGCGAGGCCACTGAGCGGCAGCTGGGTGGAGAAGGTACCCCGACGCTGCATCAGCCGCACGCGGGCAACGCTTGTACCTCTGCCAGCTCTGCCAGCTTTGGGCCGATACCAGGTAGAGGTAGTAGTATTACTAAGGACAATGGGACGCGAGCCTATCCCAGAGAGCTGACTGGCAGAGCAAAGGTCTTATATAAGCGATTCATGCAGGGCATCGTCATGGTCGACAGAATAAGCGAAGCAATTGATTGATTACTCCATCATGCTGCACTGAAAGGTGCTGGCCATCCTCACTAATTTTCGTGCGTAGAATAACTCGATCGTCAAGACTCAAACGCTATATCCCTTATCTAGAGATCAATCCAGGTGTCGCCGTTGTATATACAGTTAGGTAATATTTGCTGTATCGTAGGCTGTGATTCCAGATACTAGGTACGTGGTATTTATCATTATTTTGTCACCCTCTCACTAGCCTAGAGAACTCTCACCCCACCAGATTCTGGTGGCCCGTGCCCCACGCCCAGCTAGGTATGTACAAAGGTACTTACAAGGCAGGGCAGGCAGAGCTGTGCCTGACGTGGACAAGGAACCTCAGTGCTCTTTTGTCCACACCACAAGCATCCGCTCCGAATCAACCAAACAAAACACCACAACTCGACAACCACAGCCACAACAGCCTTTGCTCTGCTCCGCGCTGCTGCAGCTGCTCTGTCTCGTTATTCTTCCGCTAATTGTTCCTCTGGGAATGCTGACACCATCCGCGGCTGCCCTCTAATCGTCATCGCCGCCACCAGCATTCACAGCTTTCTCTTCCCTTCCACGCCGAATCCGCCCCTCGATCCCGCTCGTGCACCGCATCCCGGCCCAGCCATCTCGACAACATGCCTGGCTTGGTGTCGGCGACGGGCGTGCTCGCCTTCCTGGCCGACGAGGAGCCCGAGCTCCGCGTCTTCGCCCTGCAGACGCTCAACGACGACATCGACACCGTCTGGACCGAGGTCGCCGGCAGCTTGAGCCAGATGTATGTTTCTGCGCAAATCCGTTTGACGGGGGCATCGAAGCTCTCTGACTAACCTTGTGTGCTTTGCAGCGAGGCCCTCTATGAGGACGAGTCGTTTCCCGAACGTCAGCTGGCTGCCCTTGTGCTCGCCAAGGTCTACTACCACCTGCAGGCCTACAACGACAGCATGGTCTTTGCCCTCGCGGCGGGGGACCTGTTCAAGATCGACTCCCCTGGCGAATTTGAGGAGACCATCATCTCCAAGTGCGTCGACCAGTACATCGCGACTACAGCTGCCAAAAACGCCGCTCCCAAGGCGGCCAAGACGTCCGACCTGCCAGAGCTGTCGACCACCTTTGCCACCTCCACCGATGGCGCCGTCATGTCTCCCACGACGCCCTTCTCTCACACCACTCTGCCGCCCAAGTCTCTGCTCTCGCGCGCCTCCATCGACAACACCATACTCGATGCCACCTTCCAGCCCGTGACGAAGCAGGGTCGCTCGGGATCCATCACCCAGCTGCCCAACAACGCGGCCGAGGCCTCCTTGCAGAGGATCATTGATCGCCTGTTCGAGAGCTGTCTAGCCCAAGGCCGATACAGACAAGTCGTCGGCATCGCCGTCGAGGCTCGGAATCTTGACATCCTCCGACGAGTCATCAAGCGCGCCAGCGAAGATGAGAAGCTGTCCAAGGTCAAGGGCGCCGAGGGGCAGCCGGGACCCGCCGAGGAGCTCATGGAGTACATTCTGGGCATCTGCATGGACATTGTCCAGGAGAGGGCCTTCCGAACCGAGATTCTGCGGCTGATCCTGGACCTCTTGAGCGAGATTCCTAACCCCGACTACTTCGCCATTGCCAGATGCGTCGTCTATCTCAACACAGACGAGGAGGCGTCCCGGATGCTGCGCAACCTCGTGTCCAGGGGCGATCGCACTTCCACGGCTAACGCATACCAGATCGCCTTTGACCTCTATGACAACGGCACTCAGGAATTCTTGGGCAAGGTCCTGTCCTCTCTTCCGTCCGGGGAGCCACCCAAGAAGAAGGAGGCCGAAGGCGCCGATAAGCCCGAAGAGAGCGAATCGCTGCTGGAGAACCAACAGGCTGCGCCCGAAGAAGAGCTCCCAGAAGACGTGGCCAAGGTCTACCGCAACATCCGATCCATCCTCGACGGCTCCAAGACCATCCGCCTGAACCTCGAGTTCCTCTTCCGCAACAATCACACCGATCTGAGCATCCTCAACAAGGTGCGCGACAGCCTCGAGGGCCGTAACTCTATCTTCCACACTGCCGTGACCTTCTGCAATGCCTTCATGAACCAGGGCACCACAAACGACAAGTTCTTCCGCGACAACCTCGAGTGGCTCGGAAAGGCCGTCAACTGGTCCAAGTTCACCGCCACCGCTGCCCTCGGCGTCATCCACCGCGGCAATCTGTCACAGTCACGAAAGCTCCTCGAGCCATACCTGCCCAAGCAAGGCGGCCTTAGTAATGGTTCCATCTTTAGCCAGGGCGGAGCCTTGTACGCCTATGGCCTCATCCACGCCAACCACGGTGCCGGCGCTCTGGAATACCTCAAGATGCAGTTTGGCCAGGCTGAGGAAGAGGTTGTTCAGCACGGTGGTGCTCTTGGCCTGGGTATTGCGGGTATGGGTACTGGGGACAACGAGATCTTCGAGAAGCTCAAGGATGTCCTCTTCCAAGACTCTGCTCTCAATGGTGAGGCGGTCGGATTGGCCATGGGCCTCATCATGCTGGGCACTGGCAACGTCAAGGCCCTCGAGGACATGATTACGTACGCCCACGAGACGACCCACGAGAAGATTGTCCGCGGCGTGGCCCTTGGCATGGCCCTCATCATGTACGGCCGCCAAGAGGGCGCCGATGTGCTGATCGAGGGCTTGCTCAACGACCCGGATCCCACACTGCGCTACGGTGGTATCATGACCGTTGCCCTGGCCTACTGCGGTACCGGCAGCAACAAGGCCATTCGCAAGCTGCTCCACACCGCCGTAAGCGATGTCAATGACGACGTTCGCCGAATCGCCGTCATGAGTCTGGGCTTCATTCTCTTCCGCAAGCCCGGCAGCGTCCCCCGCATGGTCGAGCTGCTGTCCGAGTCGTACAACCCCCACGTCCGATACGGGTCTGCCATGGCCCTGGGTATCTCGTGTGCCGGCACTGGGCTGGACGAGGCCATCGATCTCCTCGAGCCCATGATGAAGGATCCCACCGACTTTGTCCGACAGGGCGCCCTCATCTCCCTGGCCATGATCATGGTGCAGCAGAACGAGGTCATGAACCCCAAGGTGGCCTCCATCCGCAAGACGCTCAAGAAGGTGGTCGGGGACCGACACGAGGACGCCATGACCAAGTTCGGCGCCGCCCTTGCCCTGGGCATCATCGACGCGGGCGGCCGAAACTGCACCATTGGCCTCCAGACCCAGACCGGCAATCTCAACATGGCCGGCATTGTTGGCATGGCAGTCTTCACGCAGTACTGGTACTGGTTCCCCTTTACCCACTTCCTATCCCTCAGCTTCTCGCCCACGTCCATCATCGGCCTCGACCACGACCTGGAGATGCCCGACTTCAAGTTCCACTGTGCCACCCGCCAGAGCTTGTTCGACTACCCGCCTGAGCAGGAAGTCAAGACAGAAGAGGGCCCGGCTCTTATTGCGACTGCCATTCTGTCCACCACGGCTCAGGCCAAGAGGAGAGCCCAGAAGAAGGAGCGAGCTCAGCGTCACGAAAGCATGGACATCGACAGCGCCCCGGCTAAGAGCGGAGACAAGATGGAAGTAGACGACGACAAGGCAAAGGAGGAGGGCAAGGACAAGAAGGAATCCGACGACAAGGATGCGGCAGCCGCCGACGCCAAGAAGAAGCCCGAGAAGGAGAAGGTTGGCTACGAGATTGAGAACATGAGCCGAGTTCTACCTGGTCAGCTCAAGTACATCAGCTTCCCTGCTGGCCGTTATAAGCCAGTCAAGAAGGTAAGACTTCTCATCCAATGTTTCACTCGAAGAGATTGATGCTAACCTTTTCCCCCTTAAGCCAACCGGAGGTCCTCTTCTTCTTATCGATACCCAGCCTGACGAGCCCAAGACGCTTCTTGAGGAGAAGCTGAAGAAGGTTACGACCGAGCGTGCGCCGGTCGCTGGACAGCAGCTGGGCAGAAGCGGAGCTGGTCGCTCAAGCCGATCCCTCCTCGACGATCCCAGCGGCCGCCTTGCCGGCGTCAACCCTGTGATGGAGCAGCTGCTGCGCAGCCAAGGTCAGGCACGAGCTTCTCCCTTTGGCGTGCCAGAGGCCCAGGGCCCTGGCGGCTACGGTAGCGCCGACGTCGGCTCGGGCGCCGCCGCCGCCGCCGGCGTGCTCACCGCGGTGGACGAGGACGGCGAGGGAGACGAGGAGGCGGCGGTGCCCAATCCGTTTGAGTACTTTTCCGACGGCGAGGACGAGGAAGAGTAGGCCTTTGCGGACCTGCCCGACAGAGAAGAAGAAGACGTTGACTAGTGAGACGGAGAGGGGTTTGGGTTTGATGGACAATGTGGCTGCCTGCCTGCCTGCCTGCCTAGGGATAGAGGCTGGGCGGCGGGTTTGTTTTCTGAGGGAGGTTTGTATCAACATACGAATTAGAATCAAAGGGGGATCTGGATGGAGGCTGCTCTTCTTTCAAAAGCACAGGATCGGGGATTGACGAGGAGGAAGAGGCGTCGAGCTGTACGCTGGGCGTGGAGAGGATACAAATAAACAAACCAATACAGTAAATTCTTAACAAGTTCTTGGAGAAACTTGGCCATGAGTCCCTCTTTCGTTTCATACTTGCTCATGCGACAAGGAACGACTGTATCCCATATATCTCTGGGGTGGAACCTGCCTTACTAGCACGTCTTGTTGCCCCATAGAATTGGATGGGTGCTTATATGTAGGTTTTCATCCACGAAATATGCTCTCCAGGAGATTTCCTCGACTTGTTAAAGGTGTCACTCAAATGTCGTCGCTACACGCAACAGTGCATCAAATCATCCGTCAATTCTGTGCCTTTATATCGCACAAGAGGGTATACATATATACAAAATGACGTCCTCCAACTCCTGTCCAAATCTATGCTACCGAAGTATCTTGCCATCCAAAACCCATCACCATCTTCGCGTGTACCTGCCTAGACAAACACGCTCTGCAACAAAAAAGCAAGATAAACTCCAATCCACTGTCTTATAGTGGCCCAATCAAATTCACGACTCTTCATGCGAAGACTTCTTCTCACGCAAATTCTTCTTCTTCTTCAACGCGACGGCGCCGGGCGAACAGTCTGTGCATACCTGCACGCGATGCCATGCGGTAGCCAGGTTGCCCCTGAAATTCCACGTAGCGGCATGGCTTTCCGGTTGGGTATTGTACGCCTCGTCCGTCGCCTTGATGGCAATGGTAGTGCATTTCCTACCGCCTTTGGAGTCCTGGCCACCCTCGTTGGCAGACCTTCTGGCAGTACCCCGCCTGATGGTGTTTCTATCTTCATCGGAGCCTTGGCTAGCAGTTGAGTCGTCTGGGATTCTGAAGGCCTCCAAAGGAACAGCCCCGTTAAATGTCCACCGTTTCCAACTCCAGGACTTGCCGTCAAACTTTGGCGCCTCGTCCGGCAGCAGATGGGCTTGCGACCACGTCTTCCCGTCGTCAAGCGAGACATCGACGCGGATGACTGATCGTCCACCGCCAGAATATGCATATCCGTTGAGGGCAACCTCCTTCGCCGGCGAGTCGCTCGACGTCGATTCATCCGACGCTTTCCAGTCTCCCAGTTTGACACCAGTAATGGCACTTTGGACGGGCAGCTCCTGGATTGCCGGGGCAGACTCCCAGTCGACCTTTGTCTGGTTGGGGCCAAAGCACTTGTAGTCCTTCCGCTGCCATTGACTGGGGCTCTCCTCATCGCTTAGGGTGATGTGATTGAGCCACTTGACCGACCGAGCAGCAACGTGGCCAGGCACGATGGATCGCAATGGATAGCCATGGTCCCGGGGCAGGGGTTGTCCGTTCATGCCGTATGCCAACAATACGTCGCCCTGGGGATCGACGGCCTTTCTGATGGGAATAGACGAGCCGTATGCCTCCATGCCAGAGAACTGCACATGCTGCGCTTCGCTGGTGCCGTTCCTCACGGTGGCGGCGTCGAACCCGGCATCGGCGAGGATATCAGCCAGCAACACTCCCTCCCACGTAGCGTTAGAAATCGCACCGGCTTCCCATTGCAGGCCGTTCGTTGGGCGGCCGGACCCTTTGCTCATATGGCTACGGCGGTTGCCAGAGCACTGCAGAACAGCAGTGACCTTCTTCTTTGCAAACTTGGTCTTGAGATCACGGAGGCTGTACTCCTTGGTGGTGCCATCAGGGAGCTCCACTGTCAGGACGTGCGCCTCAGCCTCGTCCGGAGAGACTTTAGGCACCCACATGTGGTTCCGGACGTAGAAGAGCTCGTTTGGGGTAATGAAGTGGGCGCTGAGAGCCGGTTCAGGGGTTTCCGCATTACAAGGCTTGTGTGTCCGCTTGATGAGGTCAGGGTGTCTCACCGGGTCGTCGGCGAATGGATCCTCAATCGTCTCCTGGGCAGGCTTGCCATTGACCAGATCGGCCTGGTGAACGTAGCCAATGAGGTATTGATTCAGTATGTCGTAAACGTATTGATTCTTGTGGATGGTGAATATGTTCCAGTAAGGCTCGATTGAGCCGCCAGCTGCTCGCAGAATGACTGGTCCACCAGGATGAGCGGCAATCCACTCGGTGATGTCGTAGACCTTGTCGCCGTACGTCACCCAGGGATGAGGTGATTTGGCGTCGTGCTTCCGAATTTCAGACATGCGAAATCGGGGCAAATTCGGATCGCGGTCATCGTGAACGGCCGCGTGGGCATAGCCATCGTCTTCGGACTGCAGCACGGCAGCGGCATCAAAGGCAGCCGGGGGCGTCCGATAAAGAGCATAAGCAAAGGATGCGAGGCCAATGCTGGCCAACAGAGCGACAGCCCGTGGAGATAGTTGCTGTGAGTTGGGCGCTTTCGCCTTGGCTGCTTCAGGACTACGCCTGGTAGCTGTTGATCTGGTGAATGGCCGGCTCTGATTTGCGGGTGATGCCTGTCGCAGGTGGATATGCCGTGGTCGAGCTGTTTGGCGTAGCTGCCGCGCGAAGCATTTGGAAGCTCTGGACGTCATAGTGAGGTGGAGGGAAGATGCCGCGGGTTATGTTGATTCAGCAGATGGCAAATTCATCACAGCAAAGGAGTACAGCCCAAATTGAGGAAGCCGAGTGTAGCAAGTAGCGGAACGCGTAGTTGGGAGCAGAGGAGGAGGAGACGCGGGTAGCAGTGACAACGGCTCTGGAGTTGCTGTTGCTGACGGCGATGGGAATGAATGGGAGGGATGACAGAAGGCTGCTGACTGGGACGAGATAAGCAGCAGATACGAGGATAGTGTCGAGGTCTAAGTCGGCCTCTCGTCAGCGCGCAAGTGAAGGAGACAGAGGCTGGGCAATGGCGGCGGTTGGAGTCGGCGGGCCGGACCGAGAGAGGCGTGGCGGCGGTGCTTCTGGTGATTTGGAGGAAGCAGCAGAAGAGGTGGTGATGCGGAGGGTTGATGGCAAAGGAGGAAGAAGAAGATGATGATGATGGAGGAGGAGGAAGAAGAAGAAGAGGTTTGGAGGTGAAGGGGAAGTGGGGAGGAAGAGGAGGTGAGGCAAGAGTGTAATATCAATAGTACACCGAGTTGGTCCTTCCTTGCCTGCAGCTTGACGATCCAGGCCCAGGAGAGTGACGGAAAGAGAAAGAGAGCTGCGTACGTAGGTATTAGGTAAGGTAAGGTAGGTACTCGAATACTGCAGACACACACCGGTCTTGCTAGCGATAAGAGGGCATGTCGTAATATCTGAACTCCTGTCCAAGGCCGACGATTACCGGCAGCGAACGCGACGGGGCTCCGTCACCTGAGCAGCGCTCCATCAATCAGACGCAGTCAATCTCTGTCGGATCGCCACCAGAAAAAGGGACCAAAGAAGGTCAAGACACAGGTCGTAACAGTACGTAAGACGGTGGACGGACCCTCGGGCTGCAGCCCCGGTGGAACCAGCACAGAGCGCTAGAAGCACCTGGACGGTGGCTCCTTGCAGGGGGGGCTGATGCGCTGGAACGGCGCTGATTGGGCGGTGTTTGTCAGTGCGGTCCTGTCAGGTTATAGGGGAGGGCTGCAGGGTCAAGTGCTTCCAAGGATGTTGTTTTTCCAACGGGGGAGTCGAGGTTTGACCGATGTTTTCGAGCTGAGGTGGATGTGCTGTGTCGCTGAAGCTGTCAGTAGGTAGGTACTGTAAGGTGTCACCAGCATCATCAGGCCAAAACGTTGGGTCGTATTCCTTCCATTCGAAAATCTATCTACAGCGATCGAATGAACCACCATCGCCTCTTCTCCGTCCGTAATCCCTGATCACCAATTCAACTCCCTCAGCATCTCCAGTACTACCAACAGAGAGACACTCTCGTCCCATCCAACAAACCCCGTCCACTGCCGACGTGCATCTCGGCGTACATTAGCCTCATCTCGCAGCCCTCCACTCTCGGCTGTCGGCCGCTCAGCTTCGGGTCGTCGGCCCCCGGGCCATCGTTGCGTCGCACAGGAGAGCGCGAGAGACCGCCGACGAGCCGACAGCGACGTTCCGATAGATGAAACGCAGCTTTTTGAATGTTTCGTATTCCGCAGCTGGACATGGTGGAGTGTGTACTTACTTACATGGACGACAGCCTCACGTAACATGGTGGCTACGGGGCAGACACCAGCACAGACGAGCAGAGTTACGCACGCACTCAGGCAACGACTAGATCCATGGCTTCGAGATGGAGCTGCAGCTGTTGAAACGATCAGTGTTCAATTGGCTTGATAGTTAACAATTACCACGGAGTAGTGTCCAACCAACATTAAGTCCGTCCTCCTGCTTTTCTAATCCGAAAATTCCTGGGTATATCTCCATAACTACTCAGAACGCCGATATAACGCCATAAACTCCATCCATGGATACTTCTCCGCCACACAAGGAATCCAAACACGTCCACGCTTCAGCCCCTGGAAACGTTTACAGTCCCCATCGACTCCCGACCTCATCAGAGCCACGGGCAGCATCTTCGACGAGCTCACCGTCCGCTTCCTCCCCAGAGCCCTCACCTCCTCCCTGGGAAACGCGTTCCTCGCTGCTCGTCGCCTCAACGACAGTGTCCAGGAAAGGCACCTGCAACGGCCGGGCGACTTCCATGCCCGAGAAAAACCCAGGTCTGTGTGCCGCAGTGTTCGCGGGAGGGCGTTTCCCGGCAATCTTGGCGGCGGGAAGAGTGGCGAGTGGGATGGGAGGCTCCGCCGTCTCCTCGTCGTCGGAGCTGGCCCTGCCCCTGGCGATGGGTGTGGGAGGGCGGTTGCGAACTGCCTCTCTCCTGATGCGTCGCCGCCTTCTGAGGCAGCAGAAGACGGCCACCAAGGCTCCCACGAAGAGACAGACGGCCAGGCAGGCGGCCACGATGGTGCCGGCGACGATGTAGCCTTCGGCCTTGGGACTGTCATCATCGTCGCCATCGTCGAAGGGGACGGTGCCCCAGGGGGATACAAGTCCCCCGGTCACGGGATTGATGGCGTATAGAACGCCCAACTCCGGGGTATTCATGTCCAGGACCTTCCTGGAGGCGAGAAGAGCGCGGGGGGCCATTGTGAATTGGCCGCCGTTGGGGAGGAAGAGAAGAGAAATACCGGACGGCAAGAAGCGAGAGGAACGGAGCGAGGTATAAGAAGACTTCGAAGCAACATCAAGAAGGCAAGACGAGTATAAGCGAATAGCTTTTCCTTGAAAAGATTTACTTGTACTTGCTGTTGCGTATGAAGGTGAACGATGCACAAATGGCAAAGGAGAAGATGGCCTTTGGGGGGGGGAAAGCCTGCAATTTATACCCAGGGCCACAGGGCAGAGGACATCTTGTCAATCATGGCTTCGGGCCGTTGACAAGTAGAGTTTTATGCTTATCTGGAACGATGTGAGTCTAAATTCCCGAGCCCAAAGTCTGTAGGGCTGCTTGTCCGGACTGGGAATCGCAGAGTTGAGGCCAGCCTCAATGTATCAAGGCCATGGACCGTTATAGCAACAGCGAATTCCTTTCAGGGAGGTGATCCGGAGCCACAAGAGCCTAAAGGGACCAAGGCGAGAAAGCCTCGCGAGTTTAACCTGCTGTAGGTATGTTTTAATGTGCCGAGTTGTGGAGTCTATGAGTTGCCTCAAGGGGCTTTCTCACACAAGCGAGGGTTCTCAACTGGTGAAAGTATGATTGGTGTAGAGGAAAAGTTCCGAAAAGGGCCGTTTAACAGACGAGAATTTTTCTTTGATGTACAGTTGTCGAGATGGATGACAAAACGCAGGTAACGAAGAAGAGCAACGTTAGGCAAAGTGGTAGAGGACTTCTCCGTGATGGCGATGGGGGAGGCTCTCGATGCTTTGTCCTTGGACGTCAATAATCATGGGCATCTGTATGTACGTGCGGAGCTATCAATGTTGCTAAACCCCCATGATGGCATAATTCAACGAGTGGTACATCGGCAGGACAGTTCGCTTCCAAGGTGACGAGGCGGGTTCAACAACTGGCTGGCATCTACTACTTAGATACTTTGAGCGGGCCCCTACCTTATCTTGAAGAAGTACACATCGGGCTGTTCTACGGCTGCCAGGTGCCTGCAGCTGTTACTGGTCGGCTCCTCTTCAGTGTTTACAAAGGTACTTGACCCGTTTCTTCTTTGTACACATCTTGGTAATTCCTCTTCCAATTCCAAACTCATCCTCATCATTCACTCATGCAGTCACCAACAAACCCCAGCGTCATTCACGATTGAAACACTCACAAGCTGCAACATCTCCGTCTGATCATGGCAGACACGCATAACCACCCACCTACCCCGACAATGTCGACTCCCCTGAAGAAAGAAGCCCTCACCTTCAGCAGCCTCCCCAGGGAGATCCGCCTCCAGATATGGGAGCACGTCATCAGCCCCAGCGTGCACCGTATCTCCGCCATCTCCGCGACGCCCAGCATGCGCGTCCGGGCCTCGAGCACCCTCGTCCGCTCAACGGCTTCCTCCCGCGCCGCCCTCGCCGTCAGCCGCGCGGAACGAGCCATCATCCTCCGCTGGCTGCTGCCCAACGAGATGCCCGTGATCGGCGGGGGCAAGAACAACAACAACAAGCACGGCGTCCTGCGGTTCCACGCCGCCAGGGACATCATCTGCTTCGTCTGGGAGGTGCTCCGGAGGCAGTTCATCTCCCTGTCCATCAAGTGGTGTCAGGTAGGCCGCTTCCAGGAGGGCGCAGACGGCGACGCAGACCCGCGTCCAGCGTGGATGTCGCAGATTCAGAACATGGCCATGGAGCTCGCGCCCATCGAGGCAGGCTGGCACGAGAACGCGCCGATGCACCTTGCCTTTGCGTCGTTTGGCCTGGGCAACCACTGCTCCTGGTTCAGCGGGCTGAAGCGGCTGTACATAGTATGCGAGCCGCGAGAGGAGCTGCTGCGGCCGAGGTTTCTGCAGAAGACTCATCCGGATGGCACCGTGACCGTCAAGATGGTCAAGGACTACGTCGTGAAGATGAAGAAGGAGCACGTCCGCGCTGCGTTTCTGCACACGGCGACGTACTCGGGAAGAGACGAGACGCACGCGTACATCTCGGGCGCGACGGCGATTGAGAGGCTGCAGATGAGGAGGTCGGCGTGCACCGCGGTCAAGGAGGTTTTTGGGCTCAACAAGAGGCGGCAGAAGCAGGAGCTACAAGGGTCACTCGACGACGGGCTCAAGTTTGATGTCAAGATAGGCGTTTTGCTGCATGTGAGGAAGTAGGGCGGCATTGAGAGGGTTGAGAGATGGGGATATGTTTGGGTGTTTGTGTGGTTGGATCGGACTGGACATGAAGCGGGACATGATGCCGATGATCCCTTTTTGATGGAGTGTTTTTTTTTTTTTTTTGTGTGTGTGTAATACTACCCCTGAATCTAGACAGTTAGAGCGGATTGGGTTGACAGCTTACGAGATGATGTTGTCTTGTTGACGGAAGTGATGCCCTTTGCTGGGGATTGTCTGATGGGGTGGGATGGGATGATACTGCGAGGTAGGTAGTCTATCAGATATCTGGACGTGTCCTAGATGCTCACGATACCCCTGCAACATGGAAAGGCAGGACAGAGTCATCTCTCGAATGACTCTCTTCTCCGACCAAGCAAAAATCCCATCAGGGATATCTGTAATATCACTCCTGGCCTTGACCTTCTCCCCCTTGTAGACACTTGCAGTCAACACAAGCGCATTTCAAAGCAACGATAACCCCGAGCCGTACTCGTACAGTGTCAGAAAACAGCTACATGCCCAAGCACATGCAGTACAAGCCCAATGCGGCGGCCAATGTACCCTCGGTAACGCAGTACCTTGCCCGACGGTACACGCGTCTCTGCTGCTGGTCCAATCACGGAAGGGGGGAACTTTTGCCTGTCTCGCTTGCTTGCTCGTCTGGCGTCTTGTCGTGTCTCGCGGACCCTAACCATGTCGCCACCAGCAGCAGATGGGCAGGTCAGGTCAAGTTCCAGGCAAATGGGCCAACGGGGGAAACGAGCTACTCTTCCTTACAGTAAAGCTGTCGTGGCTTAGTAGGTCTGGCCAATGTGAGATGGTTTGCTGATGAATGATGAGTGAGTGGCGCGACATGCTGCTGGATTTGCTTGAGGGGTTAATTATTATTGCAGGATTGTGCTGTCAATCAGGGCTCTTTTCGGGCGTTGCATTTGCTGGTCATTTTCATGGTTCAATCACTGGCAGAATGATACCTACATAGGTACACCGCTTTGCAGCGCCTGTTCCCTCCAGCATCTGTGAGCGCATAACGAGACCCCTCCCTTACACACGAGTACCGTAGCAAAAAGAGCAGCGCCGCGACTGGTTTGATAGCAGGCAAGCTTGGCATCTAATGTGAGGGCAAGCAATGAAGCGCGGAGAGAGAGAGGGAGAGGCGGAGGAGACGAGCCGACCTCCTTCTGGTGGAGACGAAACAGACAAGAGGATCGTTGTGCCGTCTGGGGAAGTGGGCCAGGCTCCATCTCACCAAATCCACAGCATCCGAGTAGCGCCAGTCTGGGGGCGGGGCGATGTCGAGGCAACAATCAAAAACACCAAAACAACGACAATGGTGATGTCGAAGCAGAAATAATGGGAAGAAAAAAGTGAGGCTCGCGATGTGTCCGTTTGGGGTAATTTCCAGGCACAAGGCGCGGATTTCTGCAGTCATTGTTCCAGCCTCAAGCATGTTACTACTAACTAGCAGGATGCGAGTGTAACCCTCCCCCCTCCCCGGCTGATGAGGAGAAGGAAAAAGGCAAAAAGTGGTGTGGTTGTGTTTGATGCAAGCGGTTTCTGGGGTGGCTTGCCGCTATTGTACGCCTTTATGAATACCTGCCTTAACTCATGCAAAACCACACACAAACGCACACACACACACTGTACGGCTTCAGCAGTCACGTCTCACATGTATCTGCAGGCAGGAAAATACATGCAACGTCGCCCTGTCGCCAATACGACCCCTTCGTACCGCTGAACCTTGACCGTTTCTCCGCATCTCTCCCTCCCCCCCCCAGTCTCACTCCAGGCAAAGGAATGAGTCGGTACATGCTGTCGCTTTTGCTGATACCTGCGTCCTTGTCACCCCAGAGTTTCTGCCGATAGTCCCCGCCTGCCGTTTACTTGAGCGCAAGGTACTGCGTCGTGGCTGCCTTGCTTCTGACCGCGTGAGGGTGGTGTCATCCCTGGATGAGGGGGGGATGGAACCTGGGGCGATTGGGCATTGGGTATATAAGGCAAGTGCGGAGGTATGTGGCTCTTGCTATTGTTCCTTTCTTTGCCTCCCTCCTCTTTCATCCTCATCGTCGTCTTCTCATCAACACTCATCAAGACCTAAACACTCTTCAACAACAACTGCTTTGCGACTGTGATTAACTTCATCAGTCGCCTCACTTGGTATGTTGTGTTCTCGCTCCTTTTGCTCTCTCGATTCCCTTTTTTGCTATCTGAGCACACTCTTCAGACACTAATAACCGGGCATCATCAGAACATCAACTCTCGTGACACTCTCCAACCAAACCTCCATTTCCATCAACAAGACATCACCACCACCACCACCATCATCATCATGGCTCCCCGCGTCCCCCGTCTCCCCAAGGCCAAGCCCACCGAAATCTTCTGCATCAGCGCCGCCGGCGTCGGCGTCCTGGCGCCCCTGTACATGGCCATGCCCGGCGCCGAGGAGCGCATGGCGCGCCAGACGACCAAGTGGGCGCCGCGCTGGGAGCGCAACATCAACTACTTTACGAGCCCTGCCGAGCGCACCGCCCAGCGCATCGAGCCGCCCATTTCAAAGGCCGTCAAGAAGCTGGACGAGAGGCTGCCGCTCGAGAGGATGGCCAAGGGCATGGAGAGGGGCATCCAGAAGTCGATTGCGCGCTTCTCGGGGCCCAAGCCCAGCGAGACGTGAGGCTTTGATGATGTGAACTGGCTCGTCTTTTTCTATACTCTCCTTTTTTTCTCACTATATCTTTCCTTTGTCCATGTTGCTGTTGTCGTCGTTGTTCTTGAGACTATGCTGGCCTGGTTGGTCCGGATGAACTGGTGGTTGGGATGGCTGGAGCCTGTGGAAGCGGGCTCGCCGTGGCGTTGGTCAACCGATTGTATATCAGTCTATGCCTCTGTACACTTCGTCTCTAGCGAAGAGGAGTTGAATACAAATCTGTAAAACACTTGACTGTGTCTTCTAGCTATGAGACTCCCTTGCCTACTGGAGCCTTCAAGATACTTTGGTACTGTATGAGACCACGCCTACCTCGACTTCATGTTTGAAACCAGTCAGTAATTCTCTATGAACATGAAACAACACATTGATCTCTGTAACATCTCATTGCATAGTAAACCTTCTTACATTGATTACTGCTATGAAACAAAGGTTGTAGGGTAGGTAACGACACTTAATACCTAAACGATGTCGCTGAATTTTGGGGCCTCGCCAAATGACTCTATCCCTCTTATATAACAAATGCCGTACAGAGAGGGAACGTTGAAGACGGAAGCTCTCTTTCCTTAATAGACTGAGATTTCCGTGCCAGTTAGACCTAAACCCGTTGATAGCAGATTGTAGACGGAGCATCAATGTAAGGTATGCGCAGTTTCACTCCTGGTCTTTCAAGTGAGGAAGCTCCACCTTCTGACAGAAATGCATCAACAGTTGATGCTGACAGTGTAGAGCGGGTATGTCAATCGGCTTCATAGAACATAGAACTCACGTCTGTTCGTTCGTGGATTGATGGTGAATTTATAGCTGTTTGAAGCGGAGGATGGGTTGAGACAGTAGTGCTAGAAGTGGCGCCAATGTGTTCCTTGAGCTGATGGGTAGCATATGCAGTCAAGCAATGAAAGGCGAGGTGTGTAAGTGAGAGGGGAGATGATTTCTGACGACATGGTTGCCTCTTAGCCGTCATCTCTCTCTCTCTCTCTATTCCTTCTTTTCCTCTCGAGAGGCTGAGATTTGATGTATATTTCTTACCGAGCTGCTGGTACGTCCATCTTCGGGGGAGGTTACACGGCAGATGGGGGGGCTGAGCTGAGTTGTGGACGGGCGTAAAATGCCGCTACATCCAGTCTGCTTACCTGTAACAACATCGTAGTGGTTATGGAGTCGTTTACTATCTTAGACACCCAAGATCGTGGATGAAGCCGGGGCTGATGGAGCTGTGCCATTTGTATTACTCAACAAGGGCTGACGCGGTAGTGATACATACCCTACAAATGCAAAGGTCATGATGAATTACCGTCGTGAACCATGTAAGATTCAGCGACACCTTTGGGCAATGGGTCAAAGCCTGACATACAGATACCAGAATGATATGCTAGATAGTCCCTGATGCTTGTGCTCTGCTTACCAAAGGCTTTCCCCCCACGCAAGTCGGTACGCCGGCAGCCGAAAGCAAACAGCTGCTGCTATTAGTATCAGAGATTTGAGGTCCAGCGGAGCAACAAGATGACCGACTTTGCCGGAGCAAGAGAAGCTTCTACACTGCATCACATCAGCTTATCTTCCTTTCTCTACTTCTTTGCGTTGAATCATCATTCGATTTTTCCCATTCACGCTCCTTACTACATGTTTGTTAGATATTCAATCTCATCCCCGTTCTCAGTCTCTTCTTATTCTTCACCTCTTCATCTAATTAATACCCCAGCTTTTTCGGCTCTTTTTCCCTGCATGAAGAAAAAAAGCCGCTCGGCACCGGCATTGATTAGCCAGCCAATGGGCACGCTCGCAAACCACCCACTAAGATCCTCTTCTCCCCTTAGCTTCTTGTAGAACTCACACACACACACACACTTTGGTATTCTTAGGTGCTCGTCCCAAGTGCCCCCAACACAAAGAGGCAACCGAGGTTTCTTTTTCAATTTTCCCGCGGACAATGTTTTGAGAGGGGAAAGGTTGAGGTTGACGATCTCGTTATAAAGGCTGGCTCGCTCTCCCTTTACTCCGTCGAAACCGAAGCATGACATGAATCACACGCCGTCTCTTGTACTATAGATACCTATAGAAAGAAACCTCTTGCTCATCAAACCTCATCTCATCAAACCTCACCACAACTCATCACATCACAAACTACCGCCGCCACGATGCCCATCAAGTCCCTATACGAACCCCTCGACATCCCCCAGACAAACGTCCTCACGTACCTCTTTGGCAATGGCGCCACGCTCTCCCACGAGCCCATTTGGTTCGACGCAAAGGACCCCAGCAGAAGCCTCTCGCCGCACCAGCTGGTGCAATGGATCCGACGTCTGGGGCTGGGCCTGCAGCGCCTGGGCGTGAGGCGAGGCGACGTCGTCATGATATGCACGCCCAACCACATCTTTGTGCCGGCTGCGTATCTGGGCATCACGGGGTCGGGGTGCATCTTTAGCGGTGCCAACCCGGTCTTTACCGTTGCCGGTGGGTGGTGATACCTATCCCAGTCTCTTCTGATGCCGTCTCCATCTTATATATAAACGGTTGGGCGAGAATATGAACATGATCCTTGGACTAACACCAGATGTGCTATCACGACTGCTACATCCAGAGCTCAGCTACCAGCTCGCCAACACAGAGGCCAAAGCCGTGCTCGCCCACCCCTCCGTCCTCTCCAAGATCCTCGAGGCCGCTGCAAAGGCAAACATCCCCAAGGCCCGCATCTTCCAGTTCTCAGACTCGCCCGCCATCCTCCCGCCGCAGGACGGCGTCGTCGACTGGAAGGCCATGCTGCCCCCTTACGAGGAGGCCTACGACTGGCAGTGGCCGGCGCTGACGCCCGCAGAGGCGCGCCGCACCGTGGCCACCATCAACTTCAGCTCGGGCACGACGGGCCTCCCCAAGGGCGTCTGCGTGCCGCACGCGAGCCTCATCGCCAACGTCGAGCAGTCGATCCACCTGCGCCACGCGCACCGCAAGCCCGCCTGGGACCTGCAGCCGCGCAACCGCTGGATCGGCCTGCTGCCGCTGTACCACGCCTACGGCCAGCTGTACGCCTGCCTGATGGCCGCCAAGACGCTGACGCCCATCTACGTGCTGCCCAAGTTCCAGTACGAGGACTTCCTGGCGACCATCCAGCGCTTCGGCATCACGCAGCTGCAGGTCGCGCCGCCCGTCGTCGTCATGCTGGCCAAGCGGCCCGAGACGGCGCGCTACGACCTCTCGACCGTGCGGCACCTCATGTGCGGCGCCGCGCCCCTGTCGAGGGAGCTGCAGCTGCTGTGCCAGGACAAGTTCGGCTTCCGCATCACGCAGGGCTACGGCATGACGGAGCTGACCTGCAGCGGCATCACCTTTGCCGAGGGCCTGGACGGCGATAACCTGGGCTCCGTGGGCAGGCTGCTGCCCAACTGCGAGTGCAAGCTGCTCGACGACGATGGGAACGAGGTTGGCGCGGGCGAGCCCGGCGAACTGTTTATACGGGGGCCGAATGTGTGTTTGGGGTACTGGCGGAACGAGGAGGCGACGAGGGAGTGTCTGGACGAGGACGGCTGGTTCCGGACGGGGGACATTGCCGTTGTCAACAGCGAGGGCTTGTTTTCCATTGTCGATCGGAAAAAGGCGAGTTTCCTTTTTCTTTTTCTTTTCGAGTTGCAAAACTTTGATTCTCTCTTTTGATTCGCTAACACAAGTCTGTATATGTAGGAGCTCATCAAGGTCAACGGCCTGCAAGTCGCCCCAGCAGAGCTCGAGGCCGTGCTCCTCGAAAACGAGCACATTGCCGACGCCGCCGTCGTCGACATCAAATTGTACGCTGCTCCTCGTCCTCCTCAACTCCCCCTCCTTCTCCCCCTTTCAATTTCCAACACATGCTCCCCCCTTTTTCATCTCCCATTTCAGGAAAGTTTCTTAAGAACTAACAAAAGAGTCTTCTCTTCAACAAACAGCGGCGAAGACGAATGGCCCCGCGCCTACGTCGTCCTCCAGCCCGCCTCCAGGGGCAAGGTCTCGCCCGAGGACATCCAGGAGTGGACCGCCGCGCGGGTGGCCAAGCACAAGCGGCTGGTGGGCGGCGTCGCCTTCATCGACGAGGTGCCCAAGCTGGCGAGCGGCAAGATTGTGCGCAAGGTGGTGCGGCAGTGGTCGAGGCGGGACGCGGAGGAGATGCTCAAGAAGGGGACTGCGCCGGTGAGGGCGAGGCTGTGAAGGGATGTTTGCTTGATATTTCTATCCTTTTTTGGTTTGTATGGTGTTTTTTTTCCCTTTCTTTTGGATAGAGTTGCATCTGAGCCGAGCCTTGTGTATGTAGACATGAAGAGGGAGATGCAGGTAATACAGCCATAGACTCGTCGTCGTCGTCGAATAACCTACTCTTGACATTGGGACAGAGATTCAGTTGCAAAGATGTATCCCAAGCTGTCCATCTGCCAATCATTATAAACCTTTCATCCACAGCCCTCGACAGCCTGTCAAAGAGCATTGCACCATGTAGTACCCCAAGTTAATTTCACCTCGACCCATCCGAGTCCGCCTTTTTCCCCCGATACTTTTCCAAACTCTTTGCTTTCTTGCCCAACACCACTGCGGATTTCCAAAGTCAGCAAAAATCCTCCCTATCAAAGTCTCCATCCCTCTCTCTTTTTTCGTCGCCACACACACACACACTCTCTCTCTCACACACACACATCATCACCCAATAAAAGACAAAGAAAAAAAGGGCAAAGAGAAACTCACAGCGATCAAACAGATAATAACTCGTAACCAACAATATCGGCAGCGCAATAATCGTCGACACCCACCTCCTCGCCGCCCCGTCATACCGCCTCTTATACTCCCTCTTCTCCTCCCTCTTCTTCTCCTCCTCGGCAAGCCTGTCCTGGTGCTGCGCCAGACGCCGCAGACGGGCCGCGCGGAGGGCAGATTCGCGCATCTCGGCCGTGCGCAGAGCGGCGGCGGCTTCTGCTGCTGCTGCTGCTCCTTCTTTTCCTTGTCCTTGTCCTCCGTTTCTGGAGGGCGGTGATGCTGCTGCTGCTGCTGCTGCTGTTGCTGCAGAGGTCGTTGCGGTGATTCGTGGTGAAGAAGAAGGAGAAGAAGAAGAAGAAGCCTTGTTGTTCAAGGGACTCTTTGTCGCGTATCCTGTCCTCCTCGTCGTCGTCACTGGGAGGTTATCGGCCATCTGCCGGAAAAGTTGCCCTTCGTACCGCTCCAGCAAGCGGCTGCGTATCCTTGAGCGAAACATGATGCTGTGAAATCTTCTCTTTTGACCAAAGTGTAATCCCTCTGTGTGATATTTTCCCCCCCTTGTCTCTTGGCTTTGCAATTGGCTGTGCTGGGTGTGAGACTGAGTAATATATGGATGAATTGAGGAGCAGTTGGATTCAGACACACGGCTCCAGCCTTTCGGGGGTTTTTTTTTTCTCATCGTTCGGCCGAAACTCGGGCCAAGGCAGAGATACATAGCGTAGATCCATAGTCCACCTCAAACCACACCTGCAGACAAAGCATCATCACGGCACAGACTCCAATCTCACCATGTCAGAGAACAACACAAGGCTAAATGTTAATGCAAGAGACTTTCTGAATTTAGCGTAGCAATTTCCACGTCTACTTTTGAAATCCTCACCAGCCAAGCGCTTCCTAATATCATTGGATTTGTCAAGAGAGCAGCTAGATGCCCTCATTCTTCAGTATTATTACAATTTTGAATCCCAAAAAACGCCCAGTTTACCATGTCAGAAACCACCAAAACCAGTCCTTTCAACCCTGCAGACTTAATCAATCATCATCCGTGTACCTCGGACCACTAGCCGCAGGCGTCTCGGGCGCGTAAGCTGCAGGCGTTGGGGCTGAGTAGCCTCCGTATCCAGCAGACGGCGTGGGAGCACCAGCCGCTGGTGTTGGTGCCGAGTCCGGGCCTCCCCATCCGCCTTGCCAGCCGCCGGCAGGAGTCGCTGAAACTCCCGGGGTGGGAGCGTTGTAGGCACCGGGCGTGGGCGCGCTCAAGGCACCAGGAGTAGGAGCTGACATGGCACCCCCGGGAGTCGGGGCATCGTAGGCGGCGGAAGACGTCGCCGCTGGAGTGTAGCCCCAGGAGTCGTTGCCGCTGGCCCCGGGCGTCGGCGCCGAAACACCCCAGGCCGGCGTCTTGGAGCCGGAATTCCAGCTGTCCCCTCCACCAGCGTATGCCGGAGTGCGTGAACCGGCCCCGAACGCGTCGCCTGCCGCCGGGGTTCTAGCACCAGCTTGCCAGGCGGGCGTGCGTGAGCCCGAACCGTAGGCTGTCCGGCTTCCGTCATACGGATTGACAGTCCTCGATCCGTCAGCCCAAGCCGGCGTCCGCGATCCAGAGTAATCCTGGCCCTTCCACGCCGGTGTACGGCCACCTGCCATAGGAGCTAATTACATGTCAGTAAGGGGCGGCGGAGAAGACTCGAACATGGCAACTTACTTCGTGATCCCCAAGCGGGAACGCGGTCTGAACCTCCAGCGCCCATTGGCGTGCGGGATCCTCCTTGCCAGCCAGGCACCCTGTCCCCGGAGCCGCGCCCTGCTCCGCCCGGCGTCGGCCGTCCTCTGCCGTTGATGTCAATGGTCGTGCCCGTGATCTTGTCCTTGTAGCTGAGAGAATCCTTAGGAAGCGTAATCGTCTTGTTCTTGGTGTGCAGCTCGACGCGAGCGTGCGTATCCGTCGTGTCCTTGACGATACCCAGGAGGCCCTTGTAGTATCCCTTCTTGATGATGACGGTCTGGTTGATGGCGCGGTCCCGACCAAACGTCTTGGCAATCGGCTTGTTCTCGGTGCCGTTCTTGTGAATCTTGAGGGCCGGGTTCATGGTGGACAAGTCAGGGCCCGACGCTGCTGCGTTAACACGGCCTCCCTTAGCAGCGATCGTGTTAACCATGCTCGCCTTGGTGACAAAGACACCAGCATTCTCGTTCGTCGCGTGCGTGTGCAAAAACACATACGAGCGGTGGATGTGGATAATCTTGCCCTGGCGCTGCTGCCCGGAAAACTCCTTGACCACGTCGTCCAGGCGGATCTCTGAACCCTCCCGATCAGCGGCAACCGCCTGCTTCCTCTTGGGCAGCTTGTTGGGGATCTGGGATGGCATGACTTGGCGAGTGTCTCCAAACTGGTCCAGCACAACCAGCGACTCCCGGTCCACCTTGACAATGCAGCCGACCGTGGTGGGATCGAGCTGCACAAGGTCGTGGAGCTCGTACTGGCCGAGCGATCCCTGTCCGCCAATGTCGCTGGCCTCCCGCAAATCCTTGCTAAAGACTGTCACTTCATTGTTTGTGTGGTCCGTCAGGAGCGTGACGCGGTCCTCGGATATCTTGACCACCGTGCCGACCTCATCCTGGAACTTGCTGCCGCCAATCACCTTGACGTGGTCACCAATCTTGAAGCGCTTGCGGAGGCCCTTGATGGGCACCTCGATGCTCTGGCCCTTGAGGTCGCCCTCGGTGACGAACATGGTGACAATGTCGCCCTGCACATTGGTAGCTTTGCCCACGACGCCTCTCTGCTCTCCAGCATACACCTCGATGATATCGCCGGGCAGGTACGTGACGAGCGTGTTGCTGTCCTTCAAGCTGGCCGCCAGCGCCTTGAGGTCCAGGTTCTCGGTGCCATCGTCGGCACCGCTGGCGAATCGCGTCACCTCTTCCAGCGACGGGTTGACGTCCGTGACCACGAGCTGCTGGATCTTGACGTCCTTGACCTGGAAGCCGTTTTCAAACTCCTCACCCATGTATGTCCAGGTGTTGGTCGTCGGGTTGCCCTGGATGTGGCGCGGATGACGCTTTCGCGCCTCCACCTCGCTGAAGAGCCGCTGGGGCGGCCGCGGGCCCATTCCCGGGGCCCTCTTGCGCTTCCCGTCTGCAGTTACGGCAGAGAGCGCCTCGTCGCGCATGCCGTAGTCGAGTCGAGGAATGAAACGGACCCTCGCCTCCAGGCCGTTTTCGGTGACATCAATGACCTGAGCCAGGTCTCCATTGTGCTTGGCCGGCTTGCGCAGTCGCACCCAGGCGCCCGGCTCCAGGGTCGGCGTCTTGGTGACGCGCAGCAGCTCGGGCATGTCTTTGATATCCACCAGCGTCAGCTTGGAGTGGGGATAGACGTTGAGAATACCATCGAGGGCGACGAGAATATCAGTCTGCCTCTGGGTCTCGACGTAGACGAAGCTCTTCATGACGGAATCTGGGCCGCCGCGCTCAAAAGCCGCGGTAATGGCCAGCTCGTCCTTTGTGCCTCTTCGCTCATCCACTCGCTTCATGATGGAGAGGACGACCTCTCGCTCCTTGCCTTCTTTGCATCGCACGGCCCAGATGCTGGGATCGTCCACACTAGGGAGGAGAAGGCGCTTGGGCACAACGGCCGAGTCGCCAAAGCTCTTGCCGGGTCGTCGATTGCCGTACCGCTGGCGCAGGATCTCGGCCTGTTTCTCGGCGTCCATGCTGGACTCCAGCTCGCGGCGGCGATCGAGCTCGCGGTGTCGTCGGTCATCGTCCAGTCGCGAGCTCTCGACCAGGTCGTCGGGGTGGGCGTTGTCGATGATGAAGTCTTCTATTTCCTCACCATCCTTTTCGTCGTCCTCACCCTCGTCTTCGTCATCGACTTCGGCCTCGATATCGATGAAGGCGTTCCGCCTATCGCGCTGGCGCTTTCTGCGATGACCCTGGGTTATCCGATGTCAGCATCCTCACCGCTACAACGCTCATCGTCAGATGAGAGGGGCCTTCGAATCGGTAGCCGTACATGTTGAACATCATCCTCATCCTCGTCATCCTCTTCTTCCTCTTCTTCCTCCTCGTCGTCATCGTCATGGCGACCACGAGTACCCGCTTCCTCTTCCTCGTCTTCTTCTTCTTCATCTTCATCCTCATCCCGAGCCCTGCGCGACTTGGCAGGCGTGGGCTCCTCGTCATCGTCGGCCTCCTGGCGGCGATTGGGGCTGCTGTCTCGCGCCCGGCTGGAGGCGTCATTAGCCTCCTCGTCGTCAGACATGTCGGCAGGCGCAGGGTTGAAGTCCTCCTCGTCCTCGGAGTCGTCGAAGCGGTCGCGATCGTTGGAAGCCATCTTGGGGACGGCAAAGAGACGCGTGCTGTTTACCGTACGATGTGAGATGGAGAGGTTGAAGGGGGAAGAAAGACGAGGCGTGGAGATGGCAGGAAGGAATTCGCTTTCAAAGAGCCAAGGCGAGTGACCGACACGGGTAATTGTCGGGCTAAACGCGCTTGGCTGACTTGGAGTGGATTTTGGGTGTGAAAAAGGAAGATCCGAAAAGGTCGGGTCAGGGGAGGAGGCAAACATTTATATGTGCGCAGAAGCGGAAGAGAAAAAGCAACTTGCATGTCAAAAAGTCAATCTCTATCTCGGGTGAGGTAGGTATTGATCCTCTTTCTGAGGCTTCTTATTTTAAGCTTTACGGCTGCTGTTGAAACCCTTTAGGTCACAGCCAGCCGCAGCCTTTAACGATCAAGTCTACGCCTTCGGTGATGGAGCTAACTTCGCATGAAGCAGCGTCCTTTTTCGAGCCAACTCTGGGGTGTAAACCGTCGATATACCGACAGAATGAATCTTGATAAGTATTTTAGAAAGTCTGTGATTTTTTGGCCCAAAGACGCCTTATCGTGCGTCAAGTGATCTCTCTTCCAGCTGTCAATGTGAACCTTAACCTACAACAGCCACAGTGAGGAGTAATCTAAAGGAGCTTTCGCCTGTAACAAGCAACTCATTCCTGACGGAAAGCAACTCAAGAGATGCATACGCTCGCTGTATTCGTCAAGCCCGTCTTCTTGAATCTCGAGGCTTCAAATTGCGATAAACTACCTAAACATGTAGCAAAAGGAACCCCTGCATAGGACATGACAACCGCTTCACGCCCCCCCTTGCCCATCCCTTTCACCATATCCATATGGCCAAACTTCCAATCGTTTGCTCGTCACGCCCCCATACTCCAAAGCTGTTGCTGTTTCTCATGCAGCCAGGGCCATCGGTACAAAAAACTCCGGTAAACCCTTCCAAGATGATACATATACCGCCTCCCTTTCCGCCAGACAACCAAGTCTATATCAATCGGAACCAGTCTTCTTTCTCCCCGTTGTCGAGAGATGAGGCTTCATTGGTACAGGTACAGTTCTTGCTGGGCCTCACCTCGACTCACACGCCCACCCAAAAGAGGCTCCTACGTGACTTTTACGCCCCAGACGCCTCGGCCTGCGCCGACGCCGAGCCACTCGCCGCCGTCGGTACCCTGCAAGTGCGGTGCCCAGCCCAGATTTCCGATTTCGTATTCGCAATCCCAGCATGCAACGGGGCTTCTTTGGTTCTCCTGCTGCTGCGAGCCGTTGATAGACGAGCCGCTCATGAGGTCCCACAGGAGCACCTGGCAGTCGTCGGCTCCAGAGGCCAGCGTCCCCCTCCGTGTCGGAGACCACTCAATGCAGTTGATGGGCCCAGAGTGTCCGCGAAGCTCGAGCAGGGCCTGGCCAGGCTGCCGAACATCCAGGATGCGGATCACGTTTGAGTCCTGAGCAAATGTCGCTAGGAGATGGGTATCATGGGGGGACGTAGCTAGTCGGAGGAGCGGGGGAGGGTTCGAAAGAGTCTGCTGAGCAGTTGTAGGGCTCATCCGCTCTCCGGACTCTGTCGTTGTATCAGTTAGCAATCAACCGTATCTCTGTGCATAAACCATCCCATGGGCATTTTGAGTCTGTATTGGATGACAAACCTCGATCCTCTTTGCCTGTCGGCTCGTAGATAATGGTGGAGTGCTCCAGACTCCTCAAGTCAAACATGCGAACGCTTCCGTCCTGGCCACAGCTTACAAACACGTCAACACTCTTGGCGCAGAACCGTACGTCGTAGACCTCCTTGTCGTGCGCAATCAGTTGTGTCTTGGCCGTCAGAGACGGAATGTCCCATATTGTGCAGGTGGTGTCGATGCTAGAGGTGATGATGAGGCTGGGAGAAACAGTGTTCCAGTCGAGCGACGTCAGCGGGGCCGTGTGATCTGGCGTCTTGGAGTTGGACAAGAGCGCCAGGGGTGTCAGCTTCGTAACGGCGGAATCGCGCTGGGGCCGAGTAATGGTGTTTCCTGGGTTCGCCGACGTCTCGGACGGCAACGACCACAGCCGCAGGTGGTCGCCGGAGGTCGCCAGCAGATCAGTGGACTGCTTCTGCGACGAGGGCGGCTCCCACAGCAGCCGCGTGACGGGATACGAATGCGTGGCCTCGGCCACCTTTGAGAACTCGAGACTGTACTTGGATGTGCCGGGCGTGTATACATCCTGCGGCGTCGGGACGACTTGGCTGTCTAGGATTTGGATCTGGCATCGGCCCGTCAGCTTGCATCTTCCATACTCAACTACGGGGGGCACTGGCTTACAAAGTTGTGGCCGTCCTCCAGATAGCTGCCGACGGCGACCTTGCCGGCACCGTTGCCTCGGGGCGTCCACTTGCACCAGTCAAAGGCGTAGATGGGCCACGGAGCCAGGTAGTTGCTGGGGCCCGGCTGGGTGTTTGCGAGTTCGTAGCCCAGGGTGCCGGGGGCCCCGTCGGACATGCTCGAGTCGGCGCGCGGGCGGATGTCGGCGAGGCCCAGCGGCGTGTTGGAAAAGGTGCGCTGGGCGCCCGGGGCGCCGTACTTTGCATCCTGGGGCGAGATGAACTGCGACGACGAGCCGCTGGGCGTGGTGGGCGTGTAGGCGTGGTATGACGAGGACGAGGCCGGGGTGTCGTAGCTGATGGAGCGCGAGTAGGTGTGCGCCATGTTGAGGACGGGCTTCTGCGGCGACTGATAGTCGGAATGGCCGCCAGGGGCGGTTGCGGACGCTGAGCCAGAGGCTGATGCTTGGGCCGGGCCAGAGGCAGAGGCAGCGCCAGAGGCAGAGGCAGAGGCGGCGGAGTTGGAGGCACCAGAGGCAGCGCCGGGATGCATCGACGAGTTGGACGACAAGGGCGGGCGCGACATGCCACCCGGCTGGAGCACGTTGGGCACCGAGCTCTGCAGGCTGGCGGGCGACTGCTCGAGCTTGATCTGGGGAGCGTAGTCTCGCGATGCCATCTGGCTCTGCGGGCTCACTCCGGACATGTGCAGTTCGTCGAGCTGAGCGCCATAGGGAGCCGTGGCCGACTGCTGCCGTCGCGGGGGAGGCAGCTGATGTGATTGGTTCATGGCGCCTCGCTGGCGGTTGGGGGCTGGCCGGGGCGTTGAGACTCGACTCGGACTGGCTTGTGCGTCTGTGGTCCGTGGCTGGAGGCGGTTGGGACGTGGGACGTGGGACTGGATGGCGATAGGCGAGGCGCGGCTCAGCAGTTGGTCGTCCGTCAGATGGGGGGTCGGCAGAAGCAGCAGGGCTGGATCACGAGGCGACCAGGCGGCCCCCCTTGGCAGCGCGGTGCTGGTTGATGACGTTTTGTCTTGTCTGGCGGATCTTTAGACGACGAGCCGGGGGGGAAAGATGAGGGACAAAGGCAGAAGCAGAAGCAGAAGCAGAGGCAGAGGCAGAGCAGACGAGGCGTGCACGGCTGGAGGGATCAGACCAAGGCCATTCTAGCGTTCGTCAGCGTCTGCCGCCCAGAGCTGCGTGCTGATAATACAGAGGTACCTGCAGAGAGCTGGATTACCGAGTATGTACCTAGAGTAACCTAGGCCCGGCTCATGTTGGATGGAAGCTCGGCAGGGCGTTAGTGAGGCGCCAGAGTGCAGCGGCTAGCACTGCGGTTAGCATCCTTGGGGGGGTGCTGTCTGGTGGGTGCTCTAGTAAGGCGGGTAGTACTACTACTTCATAGCATGGACTTGGATCTTGCTGTCGACATGTCTCACAGACTCGAGCGAGATTTCAATTACAGCCACTCGAATCAATAATAACGGGATGAGGGACCTTTCAAAATCACGCCATGGACATCATTTAGCTTAGATGCGCAGAAAACATTGATGGTGACCCAACTGTGCGAAACAGCCTTGACTCATCAGCCTTAACTCATCGGCAGCCTTAGCGTCTTAGTTCACATGCATCAACTTTGGTGCTCGAGTTGCTTTGATTGAGCTCCTGTGCGGATCGGCCTCTCTCATGATCATGATGAAACCCATTTGGATCATACAGATTGAAGTCCCTCTCTTCGCAAGATTCAGCTACTACAAAGTCATAGCATGATTGGACGGCTTTCTTCGAGGCACAAGGTTCCATTACACTCGATCATTCCTAGCGGGCGAGAAGAAGCTACCAGAGCTCCGTAATGCAACTCACGGTGCGGCATAGATCAGCTGATACGGCCTTAGCCAGCCGTTCGTCTACAGCGTCTATGGCGACATGTGCCCACCTGCACAGTGCAGAGTAGGTACAGATAGCGTCTCGATAAGCTCCCAAGCACATGCCGCGGTCTTGTCCTCAATACCTGTCCTCGTGAGCAGCTTCAACAAAGCACACTTGAATGATGCTTCATACTCGTGTCACCGTCAAATCAACTTACCCGATGCTCTTGTAAATCGACTGCTGCCCAAATTTCTTCTGCCTTCGCCGCTATCTTGCCAATCGCCTTCCATCATCCTCCCGCATAACCCACAACGAAGACCAGCTCTGCGCAACCGCCGGGATGGCCTTCTTCGAACGCATGACGAGCCCCCATCGCCATTCGCCCATCCTGCCTCTCCACAACCCTCCGAAACGACTTCCCAGCGAATACCAACTCAACGAACTGGACCCTCGACCCGACGATGCCTCGTCAAACGAGGGAGACCTGCCTAGAGCCTGGCAATCCCACTATGATGAACCATCCGAGTCGCGTGGGGTCTCGCCGACCACATGGCGTAGCAAGTCCGGCTCCAGCCAGTCGGTTCACAACGTGAAGCCGAACCGACGACCGATGTTTGCTGGTCCACCGCCGCCGATAACAGCATCGATGTTGATAAGCAAGGAGTCGTTCAGGGCCGATTCGGTTGGCCCTTCAGGCCGCAAGAAACCTACGCCATATAGCCTTCTCGGTGGCAGCCCGACCGAGGCTAACAGCGTCTTGTTTGATCACAGGCGTGAAGCTGCTATCAACACTTCCGATTCCGTTTGGCGAGGCTTGCGGAGGCAAGAGAAGGCCTTGGAGAAAGAGGTTCAGCTCCTGCTCGATCAGCAAGCCGCCGCCTTGGCCGCTGGAACCGGCCACGAGAATGACGAATCAAGCACGGGGAGTAGCACTCCGACGAGCACATTCTACTCTACGAAAAGTTCCAAATCGAAGATGGCCAGCTCTCTCTATGTGCCGCCTCGGGCCACCCGCGACGGCAACGTGGTGCCAATCAGACAGCCGGCAAACGATAAGCCGCCAGGGCTGAGGTCGACCAGAGGCGCTCTCCGGGAGTTGATAACATCCATGACGAGGCTCAAGGAAGACGAACATGCTCACCTGGACGACGCCATGATGCAGCGACAAGATGCGCTCAACTACCTGGACCGGCTAGGCAGCAGGAAAACCGGCATACAGGCAGAGCTGGATGATCTGACAGAGAACGGCGACGAGCCGCTAGCGAGAGAGCTGCGCGACCTGAACACGCAGCATGATGCCCTAGGCAAGGAGATACAGTTGCTCGAGGAGAAGTTGGCCGCAATGCGGATAGAGCACCGCACACTGGAAGAGAGAATAGACGACATCAAGAATAAGAGAGAGGCAGGACTCAGCGGATACTACGGCGCATTACGAGATGTGACCAACGAAGCAAATGCATTTGTGCAGCACCCTCCCATTCAACCGCTTGACGAGGACCTCCTGTGGCAGGGCGGCGAGGCTGACGGAGACCCGGCCGCTTCGGGAGGACGCGAGTTCATGCGCCTCATCCCCGAGCGGCGGACGCTGGAAATGGCAAGATCATGGTGGACGGCGGAGATGACAGTGCTGAAGCGCTGCAAAGAGCGTATCGATGAGGATCGCCAAGCGTTGGAGGAAGGGGGCCGGGTCTGGGACAAGGTCACCCAGCTGGTCTCGACATTTGAGGCAGATTTGCGAGAGGCGATGCAGGGTGGCACCGCGGCGTCTTCATCATCTTCAAGCCCGAAAGGCAAAGACAAGGTGCCCTCGCAGGAGGAGATTCTCTCCGATCAGCTGTCCCGAATGAAGCAAGTGATTGAAGAGCTGGAAGACCAATTGAGGCAAGCCGAAGAAAAGCGCTGGAACCTCTTGATTTGTGCTATCGGCGCAGAACTGGAAGCCTTCAAGGAGGCCTACAACGTCTTAAACAGCTTGCTACACCCCCCTGAGAAGCGGCTTCCCGGCGATGGCGGAGATGCGTCTGAGAAAGAGGCAGAACCAGGACATCGACCTGCCACGCAGAAGGAGGAGAGTCATGCGGCTGATGAAGAGAGCGACAACGAGGTGCCGTCAGACTTTCTCGGCGGCGAACATGATGCGAGGGATGAACCCGCTGTTGCTGATAACAGCAGCGAGAACGAGGTGCCGCCGGAATTTCTGGTGGAACACGTGTGAAGGTGAATATTGTCGGATTGCTTTCTCTACTTGGTTTCACAGGGTCTTTGGTTATCAACAAGCGACGGATTTTTGTTTTCGTGTGCGTTTCTTTGGTGGGCGGACTATATCTAGTTGATGGGAATCACAATACCCTGGCCTGGTGGTGGTTTGTTCCTTTCATGACTTGACGATGATGATATCTAGCGTGGCAAAAGCCTGTTGACCAAGAAGTAGAACATATCAAGCGATGATTTGACTTTCTATTCATTTTACAAAGGATTGTCGCTGAAGCTCGTTGATTATCTGCTTTCCAACCCAGTTGAGCGTACAGTACATCGGGTCCTAGAATCTTAGGCCCCGAGTAACCTCGGCTAAGTGGAAACAACTCACGACGAGCCTTTGTGGACCACGCCGCCGAGCCAGAATTTGAACCGGGTGGAAGGAATGAATAAGACGACCAAGCAGCATCTCGTCAGTGTGCAGAGTTTCTCTTTTCTTTCAATTTTTCTTGAATTTTGCGAGTTGGGTCATCTCATCATATTCTGCATTCAAATCAAAAGCCACGGAGTAACAAAAGCAAGCACCCAAGTGTTTCCCATCAAACGCCCAAACAGAAACATGACGTTGGCACGGCTCGTCCGTCATGATAACTCGAAACCAAACTTCATCCTCCTAGGACCTTTCCCTTAGACGAGGCCCCTCCAGCATCCCAGCCCATTCGCATTCATTTCGAATCAAGACAAGAGCTCCCGGCCGACAGACTGTTAGGATGGGTTGATAAATGGCTCGGCAACCGGTCGCATGTCGACGATTGGGCTCGACAACTCGACGGGAGGTAGTCTGAAAAGGATATGACATGTCCACGACAATCATCGCTTGCGCTCAAAGAAGCCGCTGGAGCCGGCAATGGCAACGGACTGGTCCATCACCCACTCGCCGACGCCGAGGTACTTGTCGATCCACTTGGAAACTTCCTTGTTCTCGCCGGCAACTTTGTCGCTCTTGAAACTGGAGGCCCCGTTAGCCCGTTGCGATTGCGATTAGGATTACTCGATCGATGGGGAAGCGACAAAACTCACGTCAGGCCGGTCGAGCGCTTCACGCCAGCGAGGAAAGCCGACACTGTCACATGCAAAATCTCAGCACACATGCAGGGATACACCACCACACGACCAAGAAAAGGAAGAATTCTCTTACGGAGGACGGCGTCAAAAGCATAGTGAGTCAAACGTCCAACCTTTGACCAGAGGCCCAGCGTCAGCAGGTCGAGAAGCTGCGAGCAGATTCTTAGAACGGCCAGTCAAATGCAGGCGAAATCTGGCGCGGAACTCCGGAATGCAAGCGGTCCCTTCAAGAAGAGAAGAGAAACGATCGCGAGCCGAAGGGCGCCAGCACGAGAGCAACGAACCGGGGGGGATCTGGGATCTGGGGGAAAGAAAGACGTACCACCATGATGCCTGAGTTTTCCCTTTTCGAAATCAGATGCAAGAGCCGGGCGTCGGTGTCGTTTGTGGGTATCTGGAGAAGGCTCGCAAGGGGTGTCGCAACGGTGAGAGGCTAATACAGCTTCGGAGGCGGCTGGAGGAACAGCTGAGGTTGACGCATCACGTGCGAGCGCTCCATGAGTTTTCGGAGATCGGCGCCTCGTCTTCCGGATCCAAGCTTGGAGCTTGGTGCTGAATCAGCTTTATCCATGCCTGATGGCTTAGTCATTCACAAGCTTGAAGAAGGCTACTAACTCTGCCCACCTAAGCCCGATTAGGATGGAGGGGCAGAGGGGAGGTGAACAGGCCCGATAGCTGGACGGAGTATCTCGATAGGACTGCGTGCTAACAATTGCCCGAATTAGCACATACGGGTACGCATACATATCACGATGATGTGGGAGCCAAAGGAAAGAGCTTCATGCGATCGAAGAGACAGCCAAAAGACGCAATCATTGCCCGGGCCTTGGCATCACGCCTGGATTGCCCATCTGATACACGCATCACAAGACACTCACCGCGCTTAGAGAGATCACCGCTTCGTTCCCCGAGATTCGCGCTTCATTCAACAACTTGTCGCTACTATTTTGCCGAGCCGGCGCTAGGAAAACGGCGTGAGGCGTGGGGGAGAAAGGCTCAATTTTTTTTTGTTGAGATGGGCCGAAACACGGAGGGCTGCTGCCGTCCCTTGTCCTAGCAGCAAGGGGCGTTTGACCAAAGCATTGAAAGGAGGAGTTGCTCAATCACGTACGAAAAGTGCAGAAAGTACGAGTACGAGGATGAGTACCTATGCGGTACTGAGCGCGATGGCTGGGCGCGGCACCGGCGGCACTCTTTATGGCAAATGCCTCATGAGAAAGTACGGCAAGGCAAGATGAGGCCAGACTGAGGCATTGCCAGCTACCAAAATGGCGTTGGTGATGCCCTTGCTGGTAGCGTCGTTGTTGATGGGCGGTATTACTACAAAGTGGTAATATCTGACGCCGAGTGATATCCACGGCATTACTACTACGATAGTCCACAGCTGGGTCCCTACGTGCAGCCCTGCAGGGCTCCGGTACGAAGACGAGGCAAAAAAAGAAAAAAAGAGGAAAAGACCGTCCGAGAACAGGCCGCAGTCTTCTTCTGCACTCCGGGCGCCGTCCGTTTGCGGCCCTGGCCCAGGAATTACATACTGAGGCCTGTTTCTTTTACGCCGTGGCAGCACGAGATAACGGTGAGACTAGCGGCCGGTCCCCTTATCCCAGCTGTTCCACGTTGGCCTGCCCCTCAGTTAGCGCTCAACTCAATGCCCCTCACTGGCGAGGCGAGGGCAAGGATGGAGGGGCAGCATCGCCTGAGTTGGAGCAAAGCGGCCGCCATGGGAGCAGCGAACCAACGGAGGGATGCCGTGCTTTGTCGTGGCTGCTGTGGCCAATCCGGGCCCTTGGTTGGCTCACAGAGCGTTGCTGTGAGACCATGAGCTATTATTGCTAGGTACAGTATAGAGAGAGGAGAGAGAGAGAGAGAGAGAGAGAGGGGAAAAAAGGTGAGGTTGAAGTGAGAAAAAAAAAAAAAAAAAAAAATCCAACCACTGACGGCTGCCGGCTCTGCCACCCCCCTCCCTCCACCCCAGACCACCTGCACACTCAGCGCGCAGCATCACCTAATCTTGGCTCGCCTTCCCGCAGCTCAGGTTGTTTTTTTTTTCTCTCTCCCTCGTCGAAGCCGCCCTTGTTCCCTTATTTATTTCCCTCTCCATCCTTGTCTGCCTTTGGTCCATCTGCCCCTTTGTCTGCATCTCTTTTGCACGCATCGCCTTATCGTCGTCTCTTTTTTCACTCACGGGAGCTTGACGAAGACCTGACTCGTGAGCCTCACCTGCTGATTTCTCTCCCCCCCTCCCGACCGGCTTGACTTTTGTTTCTCCTCCAGTACCTTATCGCGAAGCCGGAAGAACCCTCTTAACCATGTCCCAGATCTCCCGCACGCAGAGCATCATGGCTACCACGGCCCAGGAGCACCTGGAAACCGGCGGCCGCATCAATTGGCTGGCCTCGCTCAACACGGCCTTTACGCCTGCCCGCAACTTTCGCCGCACCTCCATCATCTGCACCATCGGCCCCAAGACCAACTCGGTCGAGGCCCTCAACAAGCTGCGTGATGCCGGCCTCAACGTCGCCCGCATGAACTTCTCCCACGGCAGCTACGAGTACCACCAGTCCGTCATCGACAATGTGCGCGCCTCTGTCGCCGCCCACCCTGGCCGGCCCGTCGCCATTGCCCTCGACACCAAGGGCCCCGAGATTCGAACTGGCAACACGGCCGGCGACGTGGACATTCCCATCAGCGCCGGCACCGTCATGAACTTCACCACCGACGAGAAGTACGCGACGGCCTGCGACACTCAGAACATGTAAGAGACTCTTTTTCTGCTGCTTTTTCTTGCTGTCATACCTGAGGCGGGGGAGGGGTAAAGAGATGAGGGGGGACACGGACACACAAAGATACACCCCGCCTTGCATCTGGCATGGCCACATTAGAGACTGCACAATGGGCAGCTCTGCTTGGAACCTGATTGATGCCCTATGCCTTCAACACCTACACCTGCCCTGATCGTATGACTCGCACGGTGAGCCACTGCTAACACAGCTTCACATAGGTACGTCGACTACAAGAACATCACCAAGGTGATCCAGCCTGGCCGTGTCATCTACGTCGACGACGGTGTCCTCGCCTTTGACGTCCTCAGCATCAAGGACGACCAGACCGTCGAGGTCCGCGCCCGCAACAACGGCTTCATCTCCTCCCGGAAGGGTGTCAACCTGCCCAACACCGATGTCGACCTGCCTGCTCTCTCCGAGAAGGACAAGGCCGATCTCCGGTTTGGTGTCAAGAACAATGTCGACATGGTCTTTGCCTCATTTATCCGCCGTGCGCAGGATATCAAGGATATCCGCGACGTGCTGGGCCCCGAGGGCAAGCAGATCCAGATCATTGCCAAGATCGAGAACCGACAGGGTCTCAACAACTTTGCCGAGATCCTTGAGGAGACCGACGGTGTCATGGTCGCCCGTGGTGACCTGGGTATTGAGATCCCCGCCGCCGAGGTGTTCGCCGCCCAGAAGAAGATGATTGCCATGTGCAACATTGCCGGCAAGCCCGTCATCTGCGCTACCCAGATGCTCGAGTCCATGATCAAGAACCCTCGACCTACGCGTGCCGAGATCAGCGATGTCGGCAACGCCGTCACTGATGGCGCCGACTGTGTTATGCTATCTGGCGAGACTGCCAAGGGTAACTACCCTGCCGAGTCCATTCATGAGATGCACGAGGCCAGTCTCAAGGCTGAAAACACCATCCCCTACGTCTCCCACTTTGAGGAGATGTGCACTCTGGTCAAGCGCCCCGTCTCGACCGTCGAGTCTTGCGCCATGGCTGCCGTCCGCGCCTCTCTCGACCTCGGCGCCGGTGGCATCATTGTCCTGTCCACCTCTGGCGACTCTGCCCGCCTGCTGTCCAAGTACCGCCCCGTCTGCCCCATCTTCATGGTGACCCGAAACCCCACCACCTCTCGATTCAGCCACCTGTACCGCGGTGTCTACCCCTTCCTGTATCCCGAGCAGAAGCCCGACTTTGATACTGTCAACTGGCAGGAGGACGTCGACAAGCGCATCAAGTGGGCCGTCACCCGCGCCATTGAGCTCAAGACGCTCACTGCCGGCGACACCGTTGTCGTCGTCCAGGGCTGGAAGGGCGGCATGGGCAACACAAACACCCTGCGCATTGTCCGCGCTGACCCCGACCACCTGGGCATTGGACAGATGGAGTAGACGAAATGGGAAAGGATACACAAAATGGAATTCTGAGCTTTTTTTTTTTTTTCTTTTTCTTTGTTATGACGGAACTCGGGGGCGGCAAAGGGAACATTCGAAGACCAAAACGAACAAAGAGTGCTTGACCACGGCCATGACGGAACAAGGCAAAAGGCCCTAGGTACGGCCTGTTATTAGGTTATGAGGCGGTTGCATACACGCCGGTATCATTAATGACCGAAGAATAAAACTATCACGCCTTACGATGCATACCTATTTTATTTCATTTTCAATTGCAGCAGTGTTTCAGTTTATTTGTGATTTGATTTGGTTTCAACGAATATTTGACGATGGTGATGACTCCAGACATGTGTGTCCATTTCCGATTCGATAAACCTCTGTATGAAGATCTGTATATACCTGAGCTCCATTGCTATAACTTGGAATGGATTTTGGATCGCTTCGTTGTGCTGCTGAGTTTGATGCGAGGGTGCGGCTGCTGAGTTTACAGGTAGGCATGGATATATGTGAAAGTTAGCGTCAAGGGCAAGCCAAAAGGAGGCAGCCTCATAACTTCATCAGGAAGAAGAAGTACAATAACAACGAGAACATCAACAAGAAATAAGATAGTCATTAAATCCCGTCTATACAGATCTCAAACGCCATCAAACGCATATTTGAACAAATTCAGCAGAAAAGAGAAAGAAAGAGTGAAAGAGAGCAGGAAAACTCTTCACTACTACAAGTTCTTAATCTCAAATCTCTTCCGCAGCCTCTCGCCGTGCCTGAGAAAGAGCCAGGCGACGGGGGACAGCGCGACGCCGATGAAGCCGAGGATGCTGTTGCCCCAGCCCATGCCCAGGCGGTCGTACATGGGCAGGCCGGCGAGGGGCAGGACGGCGCCGGCGACGGAGCGGATGACGGCGTTGGCGGCGAGGGCGGAGGCTGCGTAGACGGTGAATGTGTCGACGAGGTACATTTGGAGGGACTGCCGTTGACTCTGGTTAGCATGATGATGGGAGGATGTTGTTGCTGGGGTCAAAAAAAAAGGGGGGGGGGGGTTGGGCGGAGAGGAGAGGAAAGGAGAGGGGAGAGAGGGTTCTTACCATGTAGACGATGAGGTCGCCCACGCCAATGACGACAGTGCCGATGATGGGCGCGATCCAGTGGACCTTGTACTCGGCGGTCCAGCCGTAGATGAAGAAGCCCATGGGAAGCACGACGGCGCCGACCATGAGCGGCGAGAGGCGGTACTCGGGCTTCATGCCCTCGGGGGCGCGGCCCTCTGCCTCTGCGGCCAGGGCCTCCTCGGCAGCCTTTTTCTTGATGTTGCTGTCGCTGGTGAGGGAGAAGAAGGCGACGCCAATCATGCTGCCGAAGCCGATGCCGAGAAAGGTGAGGCCGGCGTAGCTGGTCTTGAAGTGGTAGATTTCCATGAAGAGGGGCGTGAGGCTGGTGAAGAGGAGGTAGAGGTAGGCGTAGACGACGCCGACGTAGACGCCGCAGATGATGCTGATCGGGGAGAGGACGAGCATCTTGAAGGGCCGCAGGATGCCGCGCCGGAGGTAGGCGGCGTGGGAGAGGCCCGGGTCGAGCTTGGACCGCAGCAGGGGGTTGGCCGTCTGGCTGCGCAGGCGGTCGGCTTTGCGGCGGAGCAGGACGGGGGCGTACGTCTCGCGGGCGAGGAGGGCGTAGAGCAGGGCCAGGGTGCCCGAGAGGATGGCCATGATGTAAAAGACCCAGCGCCAGCCGAGGCCCGTGGTGATGAAGCCGCCGACGACGGGGCCGACGACGGGGCCGAGCAGCGGGCCGATGGCGAAGCAGGCCATTGCGGCGCCGCGGCGGTCCTGGCGGATCATGTCGGTGATGGAGCCGCCGCCGTTGGTGATGGGGCAGGAGCCGAAGATGCCGCTGAGGAAGCGGAAGATGATGAGCGTCGTCATGGAGGGGGCTTGCGCGCAGGCGATGACGAAGACTGGTGTGTATGTTGTTAGGCTCTGAATTCAGGGGATGGTGGGTTCAAAGCTGGACTCACCGATGAAGCCAACGTTGGTGATGTTGTAGATGATGGAGCGGCCGTAGAGCTCGGAGAGCGGCGCAAAGAGCATGGGCCCGGCTGCGAAGCCGAGGACGTAGACGGAGACGCAGAAGGCGGCGAGTTCCTGGCTTGTGCTGTGGAATTCCTGCATCAGGTCGGGGACGCCGGGCGCGAACATGGCTACAAAGATGAAGAAGGAGTCAAAGTCAGTTTCTATGAAGGTGCTGGATATGGGAGTGTGGGTTTGGTGTTGTTGAGTGTGTTCTCATACATGAAGCCAAGGGCGTGATGAACGAAAGAGCGCTGATGAGGGCGCTGTTGAGGATCTTCTTCCACGAAGGCCAGTTGTACGGGTTCTCGGGGTCGTCGTCGCCGTCCCACCACACGAGGTTCTCGTCATCGCTGGGGTCTGATGCATTTTGCACCAGGGCGGCTTGCTTCTCGGGGTCGAGGGTGGCGGTTGCGGGATCGGGAGGTGAGTTGGAGGAGGAGGAGGAGGATGAGGAGGAAGAGCCGGTATCTCTGGAGATGTAAGTGGCCTTGGGCTCGAGGTCGAGTTTGTCGTCCGTGGGTGGGTGCGGCGGTGATATGGTGAGGGTAGACTGTGATTGAGACTCTGTGGGTGTGTTGGAGGAGGCCATTTTGGCTGTGTTTGGTGTGCTTTTCTCGTCAAGTTAGCGGCATTGTCTGATGTTGATGTTGATGGTGTTTATAGTGTTGAGTGGGTGTAAATGCGACGGTTGGAAGGAAGGCGTCGTCGCATGAGATGTAAGCCCATGTTTTCATTCCAATTCATATCAAAAATTTGCTTTTTGCTTTTCCCATCCTTTCTACCGCGTCCATTTCCTTGTCTCTCATCTTTGACTTTTTTTGCTTTTCATGGCTCGCATTGTTCTCGATCCTCCAAGGGGAAGAGGGAAACGAGTTCATTGGATGTTCTGCAAGGAACGAGCATCGGGCATAAGCCGTGCGGGATCGGGATTATGCCCTCCCAAAAGGAATTTCCAGAGGAGCTAAAGTTGAGCTTCTTACATACCTTGAACGCTAAACCCAATGAGCAGCACCAGCTCCCGCTTGCAATTTGCTGGGAGGGAAAGTAATAGTAGGAGGATGAGGATGAATGAGAGGATGGATGAGAGGAGAGCCCAGCAGTAGGTGCTCGGCCTTTGCCAGTGCCGGGGCTATTTGAGTTGCGGCTCCTCGTCAGCGGTGCATGTCCTGGGTGTGTAGCCGCACGTGTATGAAAGGAGGGCGCTCATGTGAGGACCAAGCGTCACGAAGAGAGATGGGGGATGGAGTAAGATTGAAGGAGATGGATGTAAGGACCAAGATGAAGGTGAAGAGGGCAAGCTCCGAGAGGAGACGGAGACGGGGGAGGAGGGGACTCAAGATTGCGGGATACTACTAGCAAAGAGGAAGCACGGCTCTCTCGTTGACAGGGTCTTTTGAACGTACCTACGAAGCTATTACTACTCGTAATAGTAGCACTAGAGACGGGAGGGTGAATACATGCACTTGACCTCCTCGTCATACAAGGCAAGACAGGACAGAGACAGAATGCGGCAGCTAGGAGCGGAGACGCAAGCCACGAGAATGCGGATCTCGACCAGGGGGGGGGGAACGGCCAGGGCCAGAGTCCGCATTGACATTCCCTGAATCGCTGCCAGATCCGCTCTCCAGACACGGTATTTGTTCCCCATGATCTCTTCCTCTCGGCTGCGAGGCTCTCTGTGCTACCTACTACTACTATGAAGGTTCACACTGGTCATAGTAACGGCTACCATCCATATCTTGTCCTCCCCTAGGGGGAGCGTTGGTGGCGCCGAATACCCGCCCCGATCTCGAGTCGGCCGCTCCCATCAGCGCCGGTTGTCTTATACTGCTACGGCCTGTCCCCCGTTTGATGTCTCTTGTCTCTTGTCTCCTTCACCGGTCTTTATGCACGGCTGCAGATCTTTGTCGAGGTGACATGCCAGGAAGTATTTTACCGTACGCGTACTTTTATCTTTACCAGGGAAGTCTCCGGACATCACTTGGAAAAGAAAAAAACAAGACGTCGATTCATGGCCTCCCAAGCTAACCTGAAGAAGTACCTACCTAGTTAACAAAAGGGAGGACGGCTGTAATTAGGGGGGCTAGACATGTTTGCTGCGTCTTACTTATTACCTTACTGGCACATTGGATCTTGTTACTAGTGCCGTGAACCCAGTCCGGGGTTGTCGATGGCTTCGGCGGGGTGGAGCTGCGTTCCTTGCAAAGTACAGTAGTAGTACATACGAGGACGGGCCGCTTCCCTATCAGCGGCTGGGCGAGTGATGCTAACCCGGTGTACTGTAATAGTACTCCATTTGGACACGGGGGGAGCGCACATGCTGGAAGGGCAGGTTTCGAGTGATGCAGGGAGACGCTTGGGCGGCGGATGAGTCGAGCCGAAGAGGTGGTGTAGATGATGATGATGATGTAGGTGGATGGGGGATGGAGCGTCCTTCTTTTTTTTTTTTTTTCGATTTGGGCATTTGAGAAGCCCGTTATACTGTAGATAGTGTGCATCTGATCTAGGAACCAACCAACAGCGTCTGGCCGCGTCCCAGGAATCGAGGCTCCCTGTCCTTTGGGGGCTACATAATCTGCCATGCCACGGCTAGATTGCCGGTGCACAGCTTGGCAACATCTCGGAGGTCAACTGTCTAGGTATGTAGGTAGGTACCTGGTAGGTAGTGCCCAGTCCATAGCACGCATACGCTTCTGAGTACGAGTAATACTCCATCAATTCTTCAGGTTCTTGTAGGAACAGATGAATATGCGTGTCTTTGCTTTGAAACGGCCATCTGCTAAAGCGCGAAGGCGCGAGACTTGAATCCTCGCTCAGGCACCGGTACCCGCGTGTCATGCACGCACATCGTCGGCAAACCCTTCCTTCGACCATGCTTCTGCGCCCAATGAGCGGCACTCATTCGTTCGGCCGATGCTTTGGACATGTCGGCACTGTTGGCTTCAGGGCCTACCAACAAACGGCGTACGGATGAGGCTTTCTACACCTACCTAGGTATGTAGTACCAGGTACCTCTAATCCTTTGCTAAAGGGGGGGCAGCACGAGGCCGCGGTGAGCCTCTCTTCTCGGGTCACCTACGGACTCCGGTTGAACAGGCCCAACATGCGAAGAAAGGCATAATACTAGTATCGTGGATATCTCTCCGAGACATTTGTTTTTGCCTTCAATTGCAGCGATTGGCTGGATCAGGGTGTCGTTGATATTGCGTGTGCGTCCCATGTAACGGCTTGTCTCACCGGGACGGGGCCTCAAAGTGAGTGTATGTATGTACTACTTCTAAGCCAGTCCCTTGAAAAGCCTTGTTTTTCTTCTTTCATTTTTCTTCTTCTATTTGTCAAGGGATGGACCTGCGTCTGCCAAAGAGGGGTGATCGTCGTAATGTACAGTATGACCCCTGTATTATTGTAACTGCGATACTTCGCAGGCGGCTTTGACCAATAGGCATCGTGGCACTGGAGAAAGAAGGAACTTTGAGCTACTTGGGCGGAGATCGAGATCATGTGCGTAACAAGGATAAATTAGATCTAAGCAAGGGTTATGCATGTACTGTTTTTGTACTCTTTTTTCTATATAATTAAAGCCTATTTAGATAGCTTATTTATTAGTGATAGAAAAAGAAAGATATATATTCTAGCTATATAATTTATGGTAGATTTATTTAAATTTTTTTATTTAGGGTAAGCCTTTTGCTTGTAGAGATGCAAGGTGTGGGGCCAGATGTATGAGAGTTACAATAATTCAGGGGTCATATTGTAGAAAGAGGCGTTGATTAGGTACGTGGTGGACGTGGGAGAAGCAACACGCATCAATCTCGGTTGATAAGCCACGCAGATCTCGAGCCGCTGGCATTAGTAGTACTATGGGGTTAGTACTCGCTCTGTCTGGTTTTCAGCTCGCTGTTGATCACATGCCGGCAAGGCCCCTCGACGTCGGCCGCTTTTTGTGGTGAGACACTGCGTTGGGCGTCTTATCGTGCTATTTATAGGGTTTGGCGAGTGGGAGATGCGGCATCCCCTGAGGAATGCTTCGACACGGCTGTTGTGAGGACGTGGCAGTCATGTACTGCATACTAGTACTCGGTACGTGATGCTGGGCATGACATATTGTAGCAAAACGCTTGTTACGGAATAAATACATGTACGTTCACGTTGTGCTCCGTATTACTTTGTGCTCTGTACGATGATGCCTGTCCGTGCCATTCAACATCTCTTTCGGACATACTACTACTAATAGTACACGAGCAAAAACGAGGCTTCTCTTCGAACAACAACCAATATGGTCACCAGTCACAGCAGCACCGCGGAGTTTGACAAAAACGGACAACAGCGACGGCCGAATAGCAGCTGTGTTACACGTATCGTCTCTGTGGAGGACAGAGTTGGTACAACACCACCGACAGATACCTCCCTATTCGTGAACCTCGCCAAAGCTGCGTCTCCGTTGCATGAGGTGGAGATCTTCACCGGAGCAACTACAAGTGCGAAAGAGGGTGGCACAGCTTCAAATCTTGATCTCTTCGATATGGAGCCTCGGGCGGCCTTGATTTGCTGTTGGACGGCGATAGTGGATGTTATCTCCTTGTGTAAGTGCGCGAAGCATAGGGAGGGTGGACGCGTGTCGAGCTCGTCTGTTTTTGATGACTTCAAGACATGCAGGTGGGCTGGGTTCGCGAGCCCATGACGGCACAAGTTCTGTTCAGATTCCGATATCCACATCTCAAGCATGAGCTGTAAGTGCTTCGCAAGAGGGTTAGAGAAGAGGATGCTGCCCCAGAGACGATCGAAGAGCCCGGCCAATCACTGCATGTAGGTAAGGTAACGTGCGAAGTACATGCAGGCTGCGGCTGCTCCTTGAGCATCAGCCCCGTACTGCGTTAGAGCTGTCGCCCCTCGTTTCCGGCTGTGATCAGACATCATATCCGAGTTCTAGTCGTGCAGAACATGTCCCGGCATTCACTGTTCACTGTAGGGAACTGCCAATCCCTCACCGTTGCCGTCCATATGAGAGACTCACTTCAGCAGTCTGGCACTGACCAGCCCGTCCTTGAACCTGGACCACTCTCCAAGCGTCGACTCGGCTCGTTCCAGTAAAATCCCACACTGCAGACGAACGACCTTTGCTTCTCTCGCCGCTCTTGCATCATCCTTCACCTGGTCAACCATGGCCACCAAGTCCTTGACCCTCGCCACCAGCACCGTTTGAAGCTCCACGACAACAGAGAGCAGCATTGAGGCAGCCGTATCGGTAGGGGCGACAAAAGTGCCCACCCGTATCTCAGGAACCGCAAACTTGGGGTCGTAGTCCGGCGGCAGAGTGGCCACCATGAAGGCGCACATCCGCCCGTGCTCTGCGAGAGTGTCCATGACATCGAGCAGACGGATGTGGCACGCCATGACGAGGTTCAACAGGGCGTGGTCCAGCTTGGGCAACGGCGTCGTGTGCAACGAGGTGCGGTCCTGGTGTACGCAGTCCGGAACGGCACAGAGGGCGTCGGCCTCGGCAGCGGTTGTGCGCTTGTTGAACGAGGCGGGTACGGCCTCGGAATAGAGGGAGGCGAGATCCTGGGCGTGGTGGAGGAGGCTGTCGAGGGTGGACTGCAGGTCGAAGCCGGTTCCCACGGTGTCGGCGTACTCTCTCAGCTGCTGCCTTGAGACGTGATGCATGTCGAGGGATGAGGGTACGGCTTGGAGCATGCGGTCCAGGGCACACAGAAGAGCTGCCAGCCGTTCGGAGAGGGTTTGGACTGGTGGTGGAGGATGTTGAGGCTGGCCTTGTTGCTGCTCCTGCTGCTGCTCCAAGCTCATGAGATCGAGCCAGTCAAAGCTGACGCCTACCCCGTTATGATTGTGACTGTGACTATGACTGTGTTCATGGCTGTGGTTCAAGGGCTCGTGAGGGCGAAATGGCCTCGATGGCGGACTAAAGACGCAGGCGACATTGGCCTTTGCGCAGCGGCTGCAGCAGGGCGAGCCCGAAATCCTGGGACACCTGAGCTTCTTGTCGTGGCATCGATCACATGCTTGCCGGAGGTCCATGGCGAATCAGAAGGGAATCGCGATGATGCACAGCGTTGAGAGAGAGCAGATGTCGTCCGACAAGCCCCAGGCAGGGCAGCCGCGGGGAGTCTCGGATACGGTAGGGCCATGCTGGCAACATGGACCGATATCACGCCATGGACGGCGATGTTCTTTGCACTTGCGTACCTAGCCTAAACAGTTCCATCGGTGGGATGCCAGGGCGAGACTCAGAATATGCAAGACGTCTGGCTTTCCAGAGACCGATGGGAAATGCAAGATACATGTAGGCATTCGCCTCCAATACTGGATCTGCCCATTTATCGTGATCGCCTCCATCGCCTCCACGGTCCACGTATGTACATCCACCTATTGAGAATAATACCTAGGTACAGTGGCAGTTCCACTGATGTGAGCATCTGCATCGCCGTTTTAGCGATGCGGGGCTGCTGCAGCCTGTCAGGTTCAGTGGAGCGCCCGCTAAAGCACCGCTAGAACGGCCCAGCCAGCTGTCGGGCCCCGCCATCAATTACGTCGCCACCGGAGCTCATTGAACTGCCCTCGACCTGTGCTCTTACGGCACTGAGGCATAGATCTCAATTCCCCTGTACATGTACGGAGTAAGGAAGCACAACCACGCCACCTTGACTTTTTTTTTTCATCACATCCCACGATCCCAGAAGCTTCTCCAATCTTCCACCATCCGCCTGCATCGCCTTCAATTGCTTTTGCTACAAATCTGCCCTCCCTGCAGCTTCGCCATGCTGGCGCTCTTCCTCACGACGGACATTCGCAGCCTGTCGCTATGTCGTTGATCCCATACCAGCCTCAGGAGGGCCGCGAGGTTGTACTGTGAGTCGCTCCATTTCCCCGGGAAGAGAGGAAGCACCGGGTCGCTAACAGCTGACAACACCAGGCGACATCGCAATGCCGTTGTAGTGCGCGACACCAGCTCCCAGCGGCTGGAGATCCGTGGCCATCCCGAATGCCCGACATGCCATCGCCCGCTGGGGTCGCCGTCGGAGCGCCCCTTCGACCACCAGTTTGACGTCGATCCCAACCCGTACGTCGACCCGGAATACTTTCGCATGCTTCGTGCCGGAAGCGTCGAGTCGAACCCGGCCGACCAGACTCCCTCGAGCCTCATCCGTCGCCTGTTCAGGCCTCCGTCGAGTGCCCGCGGCTCGTCAGTCCGCACGTCGCCGTCTGTAGACGACGAGGCCGAGTTCGTCTCCAGCGCGCCGGGCGTGCCACAGTCCGAAGGAAGCAGGATCAAGAGGGAGGCCTTTAGTCCAAACTACTTCAAAACATTCTTCGTGGAGGAAAAGGTCCTGGGCAAGGGAGGCAAGGGAGTGGTGCTGCTGGTGCGCCACGAGATTGACGGTTGCCAGCTGGGCCACTTTGCCTGCAAGCGGGTCCCCGTGGGTGATGACCATGCGTGGCTCGAAAAGGTGCTGATCGAAGTCGAGCTCCTCGCTAAGCTCTCTCATGCCAACCTCGTTTCCTATCGGCATGTCTGGCTGGAGGATGTCAAGTTGACCATGTTTGGGCCCAGCGTGGCCTGCGCCTTCATTCTCCAACAGTACTGCAACGGAGGCGACCTTCACCAGTATGTGATTGGCAGTGGGCCAAAGGAAGTTACCAAGGAAGAGCTCAAGGAGCGCATTCGCCGGCGCTCGCGAGGCCAAATCGATGCGACTCGGGACAGCCTGTCAGACAGGGCAAGGCTTCCTGTCGAAGAGATCTACTCCCTGTTCAAGGATATCACCTCCGGCGTGGCATATCTACATTCGGCAAACTACATCCATCGAGACCTCAAACCGAGCAACTGCCTGTTGCACCGAGAAGGCGGCAAGCTGCGCTGCCTCATCAGCGACTTTGGCGAAGTCCAGCCAGAGCATGTGGTGAGGAAATCGACCGGCACGACGGGCACCATCTCGTATTGCGCGCCCGAGGTCCTCCGCCTGGACGAGACGGGCCACTATGGCAACTTCACCACAAAGTCCGACATCTTTTCCCTTGGAATGATTCTCTACTTTATGTGCTTCGGCAGACTCCCCTATGAGTCTGCCAACGCCGTTCAGGAGGAGCTGGAAGACGTAGACCAGCTGAGAGCCGAGATCGCCGACTGGACGGGCTTTCAAGATGAGCGGCGCGAGCGGCCGGATCTGCCTTCGAAGCTCTACATGTTACTCAAGAAGCTGCTTGCTCTCGACCCCGCCGAGCGACCCAGCGCCAACGAAGTCCTCAACGCGATGAAAAGCGAAGCCTACTTTGACGGAATGACCAAAGACCGGAGCGCGAGCCCTGCCGTTGGGCTGCGAGGAAGCAGAGTCCAGAACCTGGATTCCCCAGCCGGGCCCAGCACGCCCACACCAGGTAAGTCCATCTGACCCGCATTCCTGACAGCACTTGATCTTATAGTACAACAGATCCTAGACGAGGCTATCACTCGCGCAGCCTGAGCGTGCCTCAGAGTGATGGCCCCTGGCCAGCTTCGGACCCCCGGGATGAGGGCCTCATGCAGGACGCCTCTGGCCTCGTCCATGCCGACCCGGAGCCCTCCAACGCCATTGTCAAAAGCCGTAGCCATGACCCGCACGTCCTTGAGCCAGTTGACCAGAGAAACTCTACCCTACAAGCCAACGGCCACGCGCATTCAGAGGGACCCCTCCTCCTCGCACCGCCCCCGCAGCAGTTCTCCACGATACCGCACGGAGCAGGCCTCCTGCTGATGCGCTTCTGCGCCATCACAGGCGTCACCCCAGACACGGTCAAGTACCTCGGCCGTCTGGGCTTGTTCCTCGTCAAGCTCGCCACCCTGGTCCGGCCGTGCTGGCCGTACATGACCACGCTCGAGGTCGGCGGGCCCCTGGTGCTGCTCGCCGTGCTGGACCTGGGACTGCCGACGACGACGACAAGTCACCACCACTCGAGCTCGGCCGCCGCCGCCGCCAACGTCAACGTCCGCACCGCCGGCAACGTAGCGCTTGGGCCGCGGCAGCGCCCGAGCCACGGCGAGCTGGCGACGAGCTTGTTCCGCCAGACGGGCGTGGGCACGAGGCTCCTGTTTCTGGCGCTGCATCTGGCCGTCGTCTGGCAGGCTGCTCGCTGGGAGGCGCTCTGCGTTGCTGTTCCGCGTGATGAGTGGGATGGCTGGTAGAACATCTTCTGAAGTCTCTCTTTATAGCAGGACCATTTCCTTTTATCACGTGTAATTGTAGCAAGATGGAAAGAACGAGAGTGTGAGTGAAAATTACCAGGCAAAAAAAAAAAAAAAAAAAAAAAAAAAGAAAAAAAAATGATGGGTAGGTTTGATGTGAAACTGATACGGACTACTGGCATTGATAGATGTAGCCAACAAATGAGATATCCATATATTGAAGACACTGGCAGCAGTCAGAACATTCGAAAAGATTCACACAACTCGAGGCAGTAGACCACCCAAACAGACACACAAAAAAAAAAAAAAAAAAAAAAAAAAGGCCTTACATACCTCAAAACAACAGAACAGCAAACAGACAACAGTGCAAAGCCCTACATCTTCATTGCCCCCTTGACCCCAAACCGCCTCCTCCTCGCCATCTCTACACCGGCCAAAGACTCGCCACTCCCCGTCCAGTTACTGACACCAACACCGCCTCCTCCGCTGGAAGAAGAAGACGACGCAGCGGCGGGCTTGAGTCTCCTCCCGCCCGTGATGCTGCCGAATCCGAAATCGGGCTGCCCGCCCAGGCTGCCAAAGATGTCGCCAATGTAATTTGAGGGCGCGATGCCCCGCGCATATGTGCAGTCCCAGTCGTCGAGGATGCCGCGGACGACTTCGATGCCGGCGGCGTAAAGGTTGGCGATGGCGATGTGGAAGCCGTTTTGGTCTGTGTGGGTGAGGTGTTCCCAGTCGGAGCGGGAGGGGGGAGGACGGTCAAAGTTGGAGCCTTGAGCTTGTGAGTCAGGGGATTGCTGCATGAATGGGTAGATGAAGATGCATTTGTTGACGATACTCGTGCGAATACATGTAGGGATGTGGGTAGGGGTAGGTGAAGAGGTATACGTAAGTGTCATAAGAGGAAGGGGGGGGGGGAGAACATCTGAATTTACCTGTCCGCATGGCAATGACACGGCTGAAATCAACCAGCCCCTCAATCGCTGCCCGCACCAGCACCTCCAGCGTCGCATTGTCCTCCTGCGCGCTCATGCAATACACGCCCGTCCCGTTGGTCCACAGGGCCGTCGTGTTCTCAAACGCCTGCGCCAGCCGGCCTCCCGAGTAGTAGACGTCGCTTGTGGCGCTGTCGCATTTGACCACGCTGGGGGGCATCACGGCCGTGCTGTACGACGCGCCCATGTCCGAATACAGAAGTCGGTATCTTTGCGGCTCGCGGTCGTCTCGAAGCTGTGCCCGTTGGGCAAAGGCATGGGCGGCGTCTCGCAGGTCCACGTTGAGCTCGAAGACCTCGGTGCCGTATGTGATGCAGGGATACTCAAACGGATGGGCACGGCCATAGGGGATGTAGCCCGTGAGCCAGTCGTCGGGGAGAGATCGGGAATCAATCTCGTACTGAAGAGCAACCTGGACAGCGTATCGAGCAAAGGCCGCGCTGCCAATGGTTGCGTACCGAGGATTGACCCCTGCGATGCCGGCCAGGAGAAAGTACGTCTGCGTCAGGTTGAAGCTGCCGGAGAGGATGAGGGCGGTCATGGAGACGGCCGAGTTGATTTCACCTTCGCCGACGGTCATCTGACAGACGCTGCCTGTCTCCGTACAAAAGACCCATGGAAAGAGCATGGAGAGGCCTGGGGCGGCGATGGCTTGCGAGGTGAGGTTGCCCAGGCCGGACTGGGGAAAGTTGTCGTACCATACCTGGGCTTCGGGCTGAAACTAAGTGTAGATGTGTTAAGTTAAGAAGATGACTGGCTGGCGAGTAACCAGATTGCGAGTAGACAGGCGAAGGCGTGGAGGCGACATACCATGGATACGATCATGACTTTTGGTGATATCATGCCGGCAACGGAAGGCTGGGCCTTGGTACCGAGAAGAAAGACCGTCGCTGTCAGGAGCATGGCCAGACCCAGCGTGAGAAACATCGTGACAGCGTGGGCAGACCCAATCGATGCCTGAGCTGCAGAAGCACGAGCCAGTCCATGAAGCCGGGCCACCTGAGGAGGAGATACCAGATGGCATTGACTTATACTTTAGACATTGAAGCTTAAGGTCAGACTCATGGTGAATAAGCTTTAACCTCAGCAGCAGTGATATAAAGATGCCGTGTCTTGTGTAATGCAGATATCCGTGAGCTTCATTCGACTTGCTTTGTTTCCAACGGCTCCATATTCACTACCCAGGCTGGGTGCAAACCCCGAGGGCCCGGATCATGATGGGCGGCTTATCTTGTTTGGCAATCTTCTGCCGAGGGTGACTGAAACAGGATCGAGGTTGTTGAAACATGCATGATGAGAGCATACGAAGAAGACATGGTGCCCATCCGCGGTGTCGAATCTTGAAGAAGCGGTACGGGTCACGCCGTTTGCTGCCTGGCCACTTTCTTCCTTGTTTGAAGCATGTCCGTAGAAGCGTTTGCCTTCCATGTTCATAGCGTCCAGACTCTCCTTCACAGTGAAGTTGCCGGGACGCGCGAGCAAACAGAGCATCTTTACGCGTAGGTCAGTCTCACTCTGGGAAGCTTGCTTAGCCAAGACAAGGACATGTAGACGAATCTGCTCACGATGACCAGCTGAAGGCGGATAGAATGATAGCAATGCGGACAAATAGCCAGAGTTTGGCTCAGGTTGACCGCCGAAGAGAGACCATAATACCACCTCGTCTCAGCTGAAGCCGGTCAGTGACGCGGCGACGGCGCCTCTTGGGTAAGCAAACCCGGGAAGCCAACACGCTGTACAGATGAGCGGCTGCCGCAATGCAGAGCTGGCTGCAATTGAGCGAAGCTAGAAGAACAAAATGGGGGCTCTTTGCTCGTTGCCACTGTGCTGTGTCACCGCATGGGTGCGTGATCTAGCGACTGTCTCGGAGAGAAGCGATTGAGATCCAGCGAGAGGCCGCAATCGACAAGACATGGCTTCTCGCCTCGATGCCCAAGGGGGAGGATGTCCGCCGTCCTCGGTATTCGGAGACGGTTGTGGTGCTGCATATGCAATTGTGCGCTCTGACCGCCGTTGACCGAAGCGGAGCGTCAGCGTTTACTGGCCCTTTGGAGATCCCAATGAGACAATGCTCGGTGGGTTGAATCTGCTCTGGTATGTATCGCCCAACGAGAGAGCTTCGGTTGCCTCCTGCTTCTTCTCCTCCTCCCCCACGGCCAGGCATGATTGCATGCCCATCGGCTTGGCTTCGGGCTAGGCGCTGTGCCTCGGACATGTGCGGAGGGCTGTGTCAGCGCCAAGCAGCTTGGCTGTGGTGTCGTGATCCTCCTATGGAGCGACTCGGGACGATCCAAAGCTTCTGTCGTTCCCTGCCCTCATTCGCGATGCCCAAGCCAGGAAACAAAGACTGTCGAACGACTTCGTAGCCTCGCCACATTCTTGTCTTCCATTCTCTCCTCCTCTATCCTTCTGTTTCTCCCATGTAATAGTTGCTTCCCGTGTTGCAGAAATGCTCGGAGTTTCGGACAATTGTCCCAGGCGGGATGGCGTCTTGGTATGGTTGGTGCCATTAGCTCAACATTGGTGCATTACCTGATCAGCAGCAGGACCCAATTGTATCGAGGCGTCGATGTCGGAAAGAGAAAGGCTTTGGGAAGGGCACCAGAAATCCGGGTCTCGATGGTGGGCGGCCCTAATGGCAAGCCATGCCACGGCTGGCTGATGGCTTTGCGCCTCCTACCATAAAGGCCAACGGGGCACTGCAAGCCTCTCTTGATCGCCAGTCGCAACTGGGGGACTTCGTACTCCATAAGATGAACACACTTGTGGAGTTGCCATAGTAGTCTACCCCAGCCGAGGCGGTTAAAGGGCCTGTCTGGTGCCTCCCGTCACGAGAAGCGGTGATGCCGGCACTCACTCTGTGCAAGAGGGCACAATGGAAACGTCATAATATCGTTCGTAAGATGACCTGAACAGAGTGCGAATGCCACTACCAAGCGCATTGTTACCGAGGGGGCCTGCAAAGTGGAGGAGCTCGAGTCGTCTTTGCCAGACAAGCCGGAGGAAATTGGGGGCCAAAACGGCTCGATTGGCTGGTTCGAATTTCAGATCGACTCCGCAGACTCGTTCGTAGGGCTCGCTATCAATCGGACTAGATACTACTGCAATCATCCTCTGATGTGTGTACTAAATTCTCGATGATGGGCAATTCGCCAAGGTCAGTGTCGAGAGCCAGTCCCGGATGGAATCGTGAGGCAGCCAAGCAGCCAAGCCGCTGCATCTCTGGAAGCGCTGAGTGGCCAATGACTCTGAGACCCGACTTTTGCCCTGGATAGATTGGCTGAGAAGGGGCCTGCCAAGATGCAGAGAGACTGCTTGTGAATGGACTTGCTTCGCGATTGACGTGCCAGAGTGGAGAGAGCCGGCAGCCAAAGCGCGGCCCTTCCGTTTGGCTCGGTGTTGCGGCTTGTTGGCCATCTCGATGCTGCGTGATGCTTCGATTGAAAATGACCCTGGACTGGAAGCTGCATGAATTAGCCCAGGACGAGATGTTAGGTAGGTAGATGGTGGACTCGCGAGACATGGAGAGAACCTCAAGGATAGGTAAGGTAGATGGGATGGATTTGTATGTACTACTAGTAGTAGGTGGAGGAATGGAGGCTCGTCAACCCGAACCCTTGCAGTCTCCGTCCAGCAGCCCCAGCTTGGCACCCGGACCTGTCACTCAGTGGCGGCTTAAGCTGCTTAGTGGCCTCGCGGCGCCTGACACGCCTAGGCTCCAGCGAGCTTAGCTCCCCTGTGGCGGCCAGCCCGGCCCCGGCGCCGCAGCGTGGAGCGCTGTAAATCCCCCCAACCCACCCCCCCAGGGCGTCGCCTGTTCTCGTGGTGGATCCCGGACCTCGCAAAAACAGAGAGACAGCAGGGCCTTTGTCATTTATTGCTGGGCGGCCCCCAAAGGCCAGGACATGGGATTCGCAACTCCAACTCCGCTGCCGACAACAGCGTCAAGAGATGCCCTCGTAGGAACCCGAACCCGGCCCTGCCATCTGGGCTCCCGCACATGGACGACCAACTCATCACGCCAGTCCCGGTGACGCGCCACCACGACCATGTCAATGTCGACGTCGATGTCGATGCCGAGGCCGGCAAGCAGGCGACACAGCTGGTCGCCGAGCTCGAGGCGGAGCAGCCGCTGCCGGCAAACAACTTCGCCTTCACGCCGTCCCAGTTGCACAAGCTGCTGAAGCAGAGGAGCCTTGCTGCCCTTGACGTCTTTGGCGGGCTTCGCGGCCTTGTGCTGGGCCTGCGGACCGACGTAACCACGGGTCTCAGCGCCGACGAGGCCAGTCTCGATGGCACAATCAAGTTTGACGAGGCCGTTGCGGCTGCTCGCGAGGATCGTGTGCCGGTTCTGTCTACCGTCGAGGAGCCGCTCGCTGCCCCAGGCTTGACTTTTCCGAGAGGAGAATCCCACCAGCAGTTCATCGACAGGAGACGCATCTTTGGCGCCAACCGGTTGCCTCGACGCCGGCAAAAGTCTTTCCTCAAGCTCATGTGGATTGCCTTCAACGACAAGCTCATTATCCTGCTGACAATCTCAGCATGTATATCCCTTGCCATCGGCCTTTACCAGTCTCTCACAGCCGACGAGGACACGTCGAACATCGAGTGGGTGGACGGCGTGACGGTCGTGGCCGCCATCGTCGTCATCGTCTTGGCCAGCGCTGCCACCGACTGGCAAAAGAATCACCGGTTCGAGAAGCTTAACGAGCGACAGCAACAGCGTGAGGTGACGGTCCTCCGCTCTGGCAGGATCCAGCAGATCTCTATATACGATGTCATGGTGGGAGACGTCTTGCATATCGAGGCCGGCGAGGTCGTGCCCGCCGATGGCGTCCTGATCCAGGGGTCCAGCTTGTACATCGACGAGTCGTCCATCACGGGAGAGACTCAGCTGGTCCGCAAAACAGCTCCGGCAGACCGCAACCGCTCTCGAGCTTTCCAGCCAGATCCCTTCATCTTTAGCGGCACCACTGTCTGCCGTGGTGTTGGTCGCTTTCTGGTCCTCTCCGTCGGAGAATACTCAGCCCACGGGATGACGCTCATGTCGTTGCGAGAGGACGTGGAGGAGACGCCTCTCCAGGCGAAACTGGGCAAGTTGGGCAAGCAGCTTATCCTGTTTGGTGCCGTTGCTGGCTCCATCTACTTTTGCATTCTCTTCATCCGGTTCCTGGTTCGATTGCCGCAGCACAAGCACGCCAGGCCAACACAAAAGGCCGAGGCCTTTCTCCATATCGTTATGCTGGCTGTCACCATTGTAGTCATCACCGTCCCCGAGGGACTGGCACTCAATGTCACCATTGCCCTGGCATTTGCAACCACTAGAATGCTCAAGGACCACAATCTCGTTCGTCTCATTCGGTCGTGCGAGATTATGGGCAATGCCACGTCCATCTGTTCGGACAAGACAGGGACCCTCACGCAGAACAAAATGGCCGTTGTTGCCGGCCGCGTCGGGCTTGAAAGCGGATTCGAAGAATTGGAGGTTCCTGTCACTGGTGCGAGCTCAAGGGGCTCCTCTTCGGTGACGAAGCTCCCTTCGGCTAGACAGTTCATGTCGACCGTCTCTCCCCAAGTCGAGAGATTGATCAGGGAGAGCATAGCCCTCAATTCCACTGCCTTCGAGAGAGACGACTCTGCGGGAGCCGAGTTCGTTGGATCCAGCACTGAAACGGCTCTGCTCAAGTTTGGTCGGGATCACTTGGGCATGGGAAGGCTCGGGGAAGAGCGAGCCAACACTCCTGTCGTGACCATGCTTCCGTTTGATTCTACGCGGAAATGGATGGCCGTCCTGCTGAAGCTTCCCAATGGCAGATACCGGCTGCTGGTCAAAGGAGCTGCCGAAATAGTGTTTGAGTACTGTGCCTTCATAGTATCCGACCCGACGTACCAAGTCACCATCGATCGGCTCACGGAACCGGACAGGGCGAGCTTTCGCAAAACGATCAACGACTATGCGGTCAACATGCTTCGCCCGGTCGCCATAAGCTTCAGGGACTTTGACGAGGACGAGGTATTTCTGCACCCAGACGACGACCCGGCCTCTATTAACTTGGAATGGTTGGCTTCTGGCATGGTCTTCATCGGCTTCTTTGGGATCCGCGACCCCCTTCGGCCCGAAGTCGTTGATTCCGTTCGCAAGTGCCAGGATGCCGGCGTCTTCGTGCGCATGGTCACGGGCGACAACTTCCTCACGGCAAAGGCTGTCGCAGCAGAATGTGGCATCTACACTGCTGGCGGCGTTGCCATGGACGGGCCAACCTTCAGGAAGCTGACGCCGTCACAGCGCGACGCCATCATCCCGCGCCTACAGGTGCTGGCGAGGTCCAGTCCCGAGGACAAGCTGCTGCTCGTCACACGCCTGAGAGAGATGAGGGAGACGGTGGCAGTCACGGGCGACGGAACGAATGATGCACTTGCCCTCAAGGCGGCTGATGTTGGCTTTGCTATGGGTCTGCAGGGCACCGAGGTGGCCAAGGAAGCTGCTTCAATCATTCTTCTTGACGACAATTTTGCATCTATAGTCCGGGCCTTGAGCTGGGGCCGGACAGTCAACGATGCCGTCAAGAAGTTTATTCAGGTGAGAAGAGAGCAACCTCGATCGAACCCTCAGGCACCACGATTTCTTGGTTTGAACTAACCCCGTTGCAGTTTCAATTTACCATCAACATAACCGCAGGCATCACTACAATCATATCAGAGCTCGTTGGCGACTCGATCTTCACGGTTGTACAGCTCCTCTGGATCAACCTCATCATGGACATCTTCGCGTCGCTCGCATTTGCTACCGACCATCCTTCGCCGGATTTCCTGATGCGGAAACCCGAGCCTCGCAACACGCCGATCATCAACATCACCATGTGGAAGATGATCGTCGGTCAGTCCATCTACCAGCTGCTGGTGGTCTTTTTGGTGCACTATGTGGGCTGGGACCTTTTCAATCCCGGCACCGAGCATGAGATTGAAAAGCTACAAACGCTGGTGTTCAATATCTATGTCTGGATGCAGTTCTTCAACCAGCACAATTGCCGGCGTGTGGACAATAAGCTGGATATCTGGTACCAAGGGATTCTGAAGAATCCGTGGTTCATTGGCGTGCAGCTCCTTACGATTCTCGGCCAGTTCCTCATCATCTTCAAGGGAGGTGAAGCTTTTGATACGAAACCGTTGACGGGCGCTCAGTGGGGATGGAGCATCTTGTTTGGCAGCCTGACGATTCCGCTCGGTGCACTGATCCGCCAAGTACCTGACAGTCTCGTCTTGGAGTTGTTCCGCGGTGTGAAGAAGCTCTTCCTTTTCGTCACTACTCCGATTCGAAATGTCTGGGCATTGATCTTTGCCAGAACCAAAGAGAGGTCCGGCGATGCCTCTCAAGGAGAGCTTGGGTCTGTAGAGAACTCGGGTATCTCATCCAACAACGCTTTAGCCCACCAGACGGAATTGTCAGTTGCAAACCCACCTCCACGAGAGGCGAACCATATCATGTCAGACACCGAGTCACAGCCTACTCTCAACGACAACAACAGCAGCAGCCTAGCCGAGAACTCCACAATAGCTTCCATATCCGAAAAGAGGGAAATTGACCTGCAAGCGCTGATTGATGCTGCGAAACTGGGCCGACTGGCAGACAAGGAGATGCTGGAGATCCATCCGCGCACGCTGAAGAACGATCCGATCCTCACACCACGGTCAGACTTGAACATACCGCCAAGTCAAGACCCGTACATTCTCCGATATTTCATCAGAACCCGGAGAAACGATGCCCGTGGCTCCATTAGCAGATCGGCTCGCAGGCCTACGGTGCCTGCACGGGCTACCTGGGTTGAGCCGAGTCGGCCGACTCCTGCCAGGACCAGGGAGCAGCCGAGGCGGGACTGGATTTCCTGGGAGGGGCTGCTGAGGTCGAAGAGGCGATAGATCACTCATCTCTTCTTATGAACATTGGACTTTTATACGACGTTTTGCTGCTGGTTTTTCTTCTTATAATTCTTCTACTTGACTATTTTTGTCCGAATGGCTTCTTACCTAGAGCAGCTTTTCCTCTTACTTTCCCTCCGATGCTGCTCATGAGCTGGGTAACAATGGCGCTGGCGACATGAGCATGGGACATGCACGCATATACATACATGTTGGGATTAGGCGAATCGCATTGCTATATGCTTTTCCGGGGTGATTGGGGCGCTCTATATGGATATTATATACATAATGTCTTTCTCCGTCTATCAGGTTAGAGAATGATGATTGGGGATGAAGGTTGGTTGGAAAGGGGAACGCCCGTCTTATGAAAGGATGTATTACATGTATTATGTGGCTATACATTGGCATTGGAGACATGATAGAGGATTCAGGATATCACGATTTTCTTCAAGAGGGCACATGGGTTTTAGTTTAGTAACTGAGAATATGATATACCAAGACTGGAATTTGACTATATATGCATTTCAACCTATCGAACTGAATCGCCTCATACTTTGAAATGGATTCTATATTATGAGAAGTATCTGGATGATGAGAAGTAGAAAGAGCCAAATGGGCAGAATCACGACTTCTCCCCGCCGTGCCATCCCCCCCTACTAACAAGATGTCGAAACGCTCCCCTCGCCGCCATGAGCTCCTCATACGTCCCCTCTTCGACTTTGACGCCCCCGTCAATCACAACAATGTTGTCGCATATGCGCATCATCTCAGGCGTATGCGTCACCATGACAATCGCCATCATCTCCTCCTGCCCCTTCGTCCGCGCCCTACCTACCAGCTCCGAGATGGTCTGCCTAATCATGCCCGAGCACTCCGCGTCGAGCGCACTCGTCGGCTCATCCAATACCAGAAGCCGTGGCTGGCGGACGAGCGCGCGGGCGATGCTCAGGCGCTGTGCCTGGCCCCCTGACAGGGCGATGCCGCCTTCGCCGACGGGGGTGGCGTATCCTTGGGGCAGAGAGACGATGAAGTCGTGAATGTTGGCCGCTTTGGCGGCGGCGTGGATGTTGGCTTCTTTGCGGAGGGAGGAGGCGGGGGGGAGGCCGTAGGCAATGTTGTCGAGGATGGAGGTCGGGAAGAGACGCGGCGTTTGAGAGACGTAGGCCATTGTGGAGCGGAGATGGTGCGTGTTGAGGGCCGAAGAGGGGATGCCGGCGTATGTGAGCGATGATGCCGTGTGGTTTGACGGACGGTAGAGGCCCGTGAGGAGGGAGATGATTGTGGATTTGCCAGAGCCGGAAGAGCCGACGATGGCGGTGCAGCTTCCGGGCGTGATGTCAAAAGAGACTCCGCGGAGGACCTGCGAGTTGGGAGACTGCGGGTATGTGAATTCCACGTCTCTGAGCGAAATGGGCAAGGGGTTCGAAAGCTTAGTTCCTCTGTCTCCTTGTTCTTCGGGCTCAATGGGCATCGTCACGTAGCCTAGCAGCCGGGTCGCGGTTGCTTGGGCCATTGTCAGCTGGGGCATGCCATCCAAGGCACCGGCCGACATTCCGATACTGAACAGCAGCAGGTTGATGACCTGCAGCATCTGAGTGAGGGTCACGCCGTCGTTGCGAGTCAGTAACACGGTGGCATAGTAGAAGACCAGCGCTGTCAGGGGGAAACTCATGGACTCGTACAGCCCAAACAATGCGCAGGTATAGCCTGCCCTCCGCTTTCCCAGGCCAAAGACATGCGCCATCGACTTTTGGTACTTTGCACTGAAATATTTCTCGAGCTTCAGGGCCCGCACGACGCGGATGTTGACAAAAGTCTCGTTGAGAAGAGCACCAGCATCAGTCGCTCCTTGGTTGCACCTGGCCTCCCACTTCTCGCTGAGAGTGGTATACCCCTTGACGGCTCCCACAATCAGGGGTAAGGGTGCGAGGGCGACGAGAGTCAGCTTCCAGGATACTGTGAGCGCCCATATCACGGAGACGGTAATCATGCCAACAGCACTGATGAAGAGGGGGATGAATCGCCCGACAATGTTTCGCGTCTCTTCTGAGTCCCTGTCGAGGCATTCGTTGATTCGGCTGGCTGAGTTCGACTCCTTATCAAACCACGACTTTGACTGCTGCAAGATCCTCTTCAAAGCCTCCAGGCGAAGCGCATTCACCCAAGACTGGCCGGTTCTCTCGAGCATATAGTGACCAAAACCAGTGGCAGTGCCGTCAATAATGCCTGTAGCCATCAGGTATAACGCCCACTTTTTCGCTTCGGCCGCCCTGTTGTCTGGCAGCCACAGCACCCCAAACAGCCGTGAGAGACAGAATGAGAATATCGGCGTTGCCGCAGCAGCGATGATGCACACCACAATTCCGACAACGAAGATTGCTCGATCGGACGCCCTAAGTATTGGCCACACAGTACCTAGTGTTTTCAGCAGAGTGCTCGGCTTGGGCCTCCTGTTCTTTGTGATGATACCCTCGTCCATGACTGGGGGTGCTACATGGGTGGCAGCGAGGCGCAGGCCAGGGATGCCCTCCCGGCGTTCTGCTTTCCCAAAAACATAGAGCAGGTCATCTGTGCTATATCGTTGATCGTCAAAAAGATCAATGCTGTAGTCGCTGTCTGGAGTTGGCGTTCGACCAGGCTCCGGGCAACTGCATCTGCGAGGTGATCCATAGACTTCGTCAACAGTGTTGGAAGACTGTCTCTTCTCGGCTTCGCAAAACGATCCAGATCGTGCAATTTCTCTAGGTTCTTCTCCGACATCAAAGCCTTCCCATATCTGCTTCTTCCTCATTTCCAAAGCAATGGCAGTGCCAGCTCCCAGCGCCTTATACTGAGAGAACCGGTTCCGGGCCGGGTCTGCCATGTCACTGTTGAGCTCCTTGTGCCAGAGACTTGACATGGATAGTGCCTTGTCATGTGAGGTTTCGCTAATAGTCGAGGTGGTCCGTTTAGTCGAGCCGAGCAAACCAGATGCAGTACGTTCCCTCTGAGTCGGTGAAGGAGGCCTTACTTCAATGGGAGCTAGGCGGGACAGCATTATGAATGGCCCTGTGGAAAGCGAGTCCAATTCTTTCCGTAGCCCTTGTTGCACCAGAGAAGCATTGTCCATGACGTAGACAAAGTCTTCATCCTCGATTTGATCAACATCATGCGTGATGATGATGGTGGTTTTCCCTCGGCGCCACTCCCTAATAGCATCCATCACCAGGCCCCGATTGACCTGATCCAGACTGCTTGTCACTTCATCGAGAATGAGGACAGTTGGATCTCGAATCCTTGCTCGAGCAAGTGCAAGTCTCTGTGCTTGGCCTCCACTCAGCTGTATTCCACTTGGGCCGATGCGTGTTTCGAGACCCTGAGGCAGGCTGCTGATTGTGGATTGCAGCAATGCAAATTCGCAAGCTGACGAAACGGCTTCCTTCGATACACTTTCTGGGTCGCCAAAGCCAACGGCCACATTGTTGAAGACGCTATCGTCAAACATTACGCTCGATTGCTGAATGAGAGTAACGTTGGATCGAACCCAATCCTCGTCCAGAGTTGTCAGTGGATGCCCATCTAAGCAGACAATCCCCGAGGACGGATCGTAGAATTGAGCGATGAGATTGCCGATTGTGCTCTTCCCAGATCCGCTTCTTCCCACAATAAACGTGAGCTGGCCTGGCAGAAAGGACATGGATGATCGATTGAGAACCGCCTTTGTGGGATTGGACGGATATGCGAATGTGACCTGCGGGAGACCATCGTCAGTAATCTTAGCAGAAAGCAGAGCACTCGAGTATACGGACATCTACCAGGTCCACGTTGCCGACACAAGCCGCCGGCCGGGTGCGGCCGCTTTGAGTGTTGCCAGTCTTGTCATCACTTTGGTTCGATAGCGATGATAGGAACAACCCTGCTGACATGCCCTTTGCCAAAACCAGCCATTGTGGGAGTAAGGCCTCGATCCCCTGGAATGCCGTGAGAGTTGCGAAAAAGGTCGTGATGACATGGCCGGGGCTCAGTCCTTGTTCGACGAGGACGGTGCCGTACCAAAATGCCGCAACGAACATGCCAATGACCCAGAAGGCGACATAGCCCATCTGGAAGCAATTGCACTTGGCTTGAATGAGATATTGTTTGCTAGCCAATTTGATTGCCTCGTAATACTGCCGGAGCTCGTGATCGCCTCCGTTGAAAATTTTGACGATTTCGATTGCTTTGATAGACGAGGTGGCCAATTTTGAGGCAGTCTCTTGATGGAGCTTCTGAGATTGAATCGCCGGGTCCAGCCGACGAGTTGCTATTGACATGATCACAAGCGAGACGGGCAAGGTTGCGATGAGGACTAGGGTGAGCTTCCAGGAAGAAGAAAAGGCGATAGCAAGTGAAGCAACCGAGACAATCAAGTCCGTGACCAGTAGTCCGAGAACTTGAGATGCTGCCAGTTGGAGTTCCCGAGTTTGACTATCCTGCAGTTAGCCTTTGATCTTGCACTTCACAGCGTGAGAGGAGTGAAAACTTGCGTCTGTATCCTGACCAGCAGACTGGAGATGCCCTGGTCCAGCGAGTCGAACCATGACATCTTCTTAGACAGCAGACTTTCAAAGATGACTTTTCGAGCCGAGTTGGCTTGCAGTTCTCCAAAGATGATCCATAGCAAGAGGAGCGCCGTGCTTGCAACCCAATCGGCAATGCCCATGCCCAGCAGAATCAGGGCCCAGTGAGCTACATTGTCGAGAGTCTCACTGCCAGAACCATGGCCAACCCCAAAGTCGGAGACAGCGTCGAAGGTTTTGCCCAAGACCACAGACAGGAGGGACTTGATCGAGGCAATTGCGGCAGACGCAACCAGTGCCGCAAGCAGTGGCGCCGTGTGATTCCATTTCGTGAAGGAGAAGAGGTGCTTGAAAGAGGAGCGTTGGGGCTTAGACTCGGGTTTGGTGGCTTGATAACCGGCAGAGGGACCAGTATCAGTGATCAATGTCGAATCTTGTGTCGAGGCCGGTGAAGACGCCGTCTCTTTATCTTTTTCAGCCATCACACGGAGGTCTTGGGAGCAGCTGGTTCGTGAAGCATTGGATCCTTGGACTCAGGGAGACGAAGAGGATGGAGATATCACGAGGAGTAAGTGAAAAAGCCATAATTTTCACAGCCAATAGAGATGGATTTGTCTCTCATCGTGAAGCGACTTGAATATGAGCAGATGCTCGAATATGCATCAGCCTGTGCGAGGACAATGCAGAGAGTCGGCGTCGTGGTGGGGAAATAAAGGTTGAGGGCGCCATTGTTCCATCTCCACCTTGATATTGTTCGCAAGAGGCGACTCGAGAACCAACACGCCGGCCACAGAGCGGACTCCTAGTAGATACACCAGCTGGATCTGGAATGTAGGTAATTAGTAGGTAAGATAAGGTAGTGAGCTATGAGACGAGACGGAAAGTTGCACGCCGCAAGGGTGTTCGATCTGTAGCAGTTGACTCACTCGAGTCCGTGCTGCTGCCACATCGTCGCATCGCCATCGTCGCCCGACCGTTTGACTTTTGGCTGACGAATGCCTTGCATCTTCAGCTCCTCTCTTCAACGATCTCTGGCTAAGAGGACGCATAGCGGTCAAAGCGCTCGTAAAGTAAGATAGGTAAGCCCCAGCATCCGATACAACATGCGAACGCCATCCGAAGCCATCAGGCGAATCGGGGGAAGCTGTCGGATTCCGGGAATCGTCACAAATTCCGCCGTTATGCTGCAACGCCAGTCCGCAGCGACGAATCACACCGATAGTCACAGTGATGAATCGCAGGTGTTGGAAGTCGACAGAACGGCGGCAAAGGCAACAACAGCAGATATCGTACGAGTCGCGGTTGGGAGGAAGAGCACACACAGTAGGTACAGTATCTGCTCGACCGGACAAGAAGCTTCAGGAAGAAACCACTTACTGTGCGAGCGAGACAGTAAGGGCATGTCGCACACACTGTACTGACCTCATCAACTGCCCCTCCAAACGGCTGCAGCCCCACGCTCGAGATTTTGGATTTTGCGACAAACAAACAGTTTGAGCTCAGTCAACAACTTGGATATCGCCATACAAACATCTACAGCATTCAACAACAACCGTCACAATGGATCCCTTAGAGAGCATGTCAACTGGCGGTCCTCTGCCCAAGGACTTTAACGCCGAAGATGCGGGCAACATGGAGGATGTACGTCTACCGTTCCGTTGAGCAATGGAGGAGCTGTTGCTACCCTTGGAGCTGTTTAAACATAGAGAGCATCTCGCTGACACAAGACCTTGTTCCTGCTTGATAGATGGAGAAGCAGTTTGCCGTCAAAGGTACGCATGGCTCATGATCCCGCAGACACCATGAATGAATCCGCCTAACGCGCAAGCAGTCGTGCAGCACATGGCCACCTACTGGTCCATCCTCGAAAAGGTCAAGGGCTCGAGCCTGCGACTGACCAAGATCGACGACGAGATCTACGAGCACCTCAAGGAGGCCTTTCCCGAGTTCGACCCGGCGGCCACGATCGACGAGGACCAGATGAAGAGCAAGACGGGCAAGGAGAGGTGGCGCGAGTTCATGATGAAGTACGAGAAGAAGGTGGACGACTACAACTTCGGCACCATGGTGCGCAACAACGCCAAGGCCGAGTACGAGCAGGACACGACCATCTTTGGTGAGCTTTCTTTTTGCCTGACTGGGGTTTTGCTTTTGATCGACTAAGTTGCTGACGTTTGATGGAATAGTCCCTAGGATGCAGTTCTATGCGATTGAGATTGCTCGGTACGTTTTGCATCAACCTGTGTTTCTAGTGGGTGCTTTTATTTGCTGACCCTTTGCGCGCACAGAAACAAGCACGGCCTCAACGACTGGATATACGAAAAGGCGCAGGAGGAAAAGGCGCAGGAGGAGAAGAAGGACTCTAAATAGATACCCCGAAATCTAGCAAAATGGAAATCAAGCGTTCTTTCTTCACGCGCGTGCCTGCATACCTACTGCTTCGTCTCAATACGCAGATACGTCTTGATATTAACTTGATGCTCTCTTTTTATGTTTCGTTTGGAATCTCGGTAGATACTCGTTCGTCTGTTACCTATCCTATTACTCAGTACCAAAGTAACCGCAATGGAAAGCTTGTCCTCAAATCATGTGGCCTTTGTCTGTTATTTGTTCGATCCGTATCCGTGCCAACGCCCGTTCGTCACCTGGCAAACTGGTGCCAGCTGCCCAGGCATCAGCGTCGTCAAAACGAGCCCTTAAGCGACGGCCGTTCAGCCCCAATGAATCATTGAACCCAGAGCAATTTCTCCCATACAGATGGGTGTCTTGGGTAGATTTCTGTCCTCCCTACAACACCGGCGAAAAATAGACAACAACATCACAGCAGATGCGTCAGACTCGGCCGTCCAAGGAAGATCTCGCGATACCTGCTCCCGCCCACATCGCCATGGACCAAACCTCCTGGCTCGACCTTTCACTCTCTCCAGACGGCGAAGTCATTCCCATTCCGCCCTCACCACCACCTAGTAAGTTCAACCCTCTCTCAAGCCTGGCACATCTCCCACCACCAAGCAAGCCACTTCACACGCTCCTCGCCACAACCTTTCCCACAGAAGGCATACAAACAACGCGCTGACTATCTCGCAGCATCAAGCAGCCCTCCCAAACTCACCCGCTCAAAGTCCCTCGTCGAACGAGCCACAAGCCGCGTCTCGCAACACTCCACATCTCCCAACACTTCTCGCAGCGACGACCAACAGCAGCAGCAGCAGCTCTCCGGTCGTCCTTGTCTTCCGCCATGGGATCGCACCGTGGACGTCGTCTACCATAAGTACAAGCACGGAGAGGCCAAGCCAGACAAGACCATTGCCGTAAAGACCCTGACAAAGAAGTTCTTTGCGCTACATAAACGGAACAACAACAACAATAACAACTCAAAACAAGTCAGCAACAACGACGACGTAAAGCCACAGGGACGCGCCTAGCAGAGCTTTCCCGAGCACATTCGTCGCCGTATCCTTGAGGCCCTCGTCGCTTCTCATGAGATGCTGAAATCGAAAAAGCCCATCAGCCTGAATGCTTTCCCCTGGAACCAAGACTGCTGGGAGCCCTCAGACTTTACACCCCTGAAAAGGGTCCTCGCCACGTTCCGCCCCTACATGCGCGTCTCATTCGACTTCTATTCCACCATCTTTATCGCGATTCTCTCAGAGCATAGCTTCCACGTCACCTTGTCCCCCTTCATCGCCCCGAACCTGAATCCCCTCGCAACTACATGGCTCAACAAATACGGTCCCTTCATGAGGTCCCTCGTCATCGAAATCGATCTCTCCCGCCTCGGCCTCGGCCCCTCCCCCCAAGCCGCACATCTCCTCCCCTGCACGGCCAAACTCCAACACCTCCTCCACAACTTCAGCATTTCCCAGCTCCAGCGAGCCCCGGAAGCACCTCTCGAGTCCCTCATCCTCGCATGCCGTCGGTTTTACGGCCAAAGAGAGGACATATCTGTTGTTGTTCCTCCTCCCTCCGTCCAGTCAAAGAACTCTGTCAGGGTCGTCGTCGAAGAAGAAGAAGAAGAGCTTCATCATCAGTCCTTTGTAGCTGAAATATCAGGGAGGCTGTCCTCGTGCGACATTCCCGGCATGATTGCCCGAGCACTATCCCCCGCCCCAGACGAATCCTTTGAACACTCGGACCTCTCTCTTGAAGAATCGTACATTGGCCAAGATGCAGAAAGCGAACAGACAGATTCATACATCTACTCAGACGACTACGATGACGACGAAGACGCCGATCTTGTCAACATCTCCTTCATGAGCGACAACAACAACAACAACAACTCATACGCCTTTTACACATCCTCCTCATCAGCATCAGACTCAGACTCAGACTCATCTTCAAACCCAAACACCCCCCTCGCCATCTCCCACACCATCCCCGAAGAAGAAGACGAACAGCCGCCGTTATACTGTCCGGACAAGCACCTCTCTATATGCAACCACCTCATCCGCCTCTGCAACAACGTCAACTCCCTCCGCATGGTCGGCTTCAGCGAGGCATACACAAACGCCTTCATAGCCACCCTCTTCCCCGAGTCGAAAATCCTGCCCCTGAGATACCACTCATACCGTGTCGCCCCATCCACCTTCTGGCCTCGTCTCCGCGGTCAAAAGTCTATGGTTGACAACGGCCGTGGAGAGATTGTGCTCGATGATCACGAGGCCATTCCGGAGCCATGCATTTTTCCCGAAGGCCCGTTTCAGCTTCCAGCCCCCAACATATACAAATGCCTGTCTATCAAATCCTTGCCGGCACACCGCCCGAGGAACAATACTGCCAGTTCGGGGTCGAGCTGGCCTTCTCAGAAGAGTGTCGAAAGCACCGAAGAGGCAAATACTTCGAAAACCTCGCGGTGTAGCTACGAAAAGTCACTAGTGCACAAGCTTTTGGAGAGGTACAAGAAGTCCAGGCGCAGGCCGAGGCCGACATCTGCTCCTTGAGTGCGGGACTATATCGAGTACAGATGATGTTTGCTGGACACTTGATGTAAGGGTTTGTTTGAGTAGTGTAGCTATGGACAGGAAGTATTGAGAAATGAGGTATGCCGTGTATAATATTGCTGGATACATGTATGTCTATATACATCAAGTCGCTCTTAATATGCCAAATATCGCTTCTCCGTGATCTAGTGTGTATGCAGTCGCTAATGTGCTCCCACAGAGGAATGTCGTTTCGCTCTCATGCCAAACAAATCTCGAAACAATTACGCCGCCTAATCGCGTAGCCCAAACATTACGCTTTTACTAGAGTCTGTCCGAAAGGTCAGCAACTGTTCGGACGATACGCATCGGGGAAGGGATATGGGCAACATACATTGGCAAAGGTGCTCTTCGCACGGATCCTCTCCCCATAGAAGAGGAGCACCCAAGGAATGACCGTCAATCCTGTTGCAATCCCGCCCAGCATAGCCCCAGCGCCCTTGGTACCGAGGTTGGTAAACATGATGCTCGTAATCAGCGGAAAGCAGCCACCGAGGACGTTTCGGCAGAAGCTCTGTGCTGCAAGAGCAGAGCTGGCGTAAATATGGTATGTGTCGGCCAGATAGTTGAACGTGGCGAGGTAGACGGAGTATATGCCCCAGGTCGCCAAGCCCAGACCAATTGCTTTTGAATATCCTCCCGTTGTCAGGAAAGCAATGAAGAGGCCAACGGGCAAAAGCAGCGCGGTGATGCAGGTAAAGTATAGTCTGGCCTCCGGTGCTTCAGCCGGAAATCTTCTCCGCATAAAGGCCCAGAACCTAGAGTTAGAGTACTGGAAGCCTTCTTCCTGCTTCTTCCACTGGGAGTGCTTCAAGAGATGCTCCTGAAAGATGCCGACAATGGTTGCCACCGCAGATGCAATCATCATGGCCACATACACTCTGCTCGACATGCTAAAGTTTGCGCCGTAGAGAAAGGGGACAACTGAAAAGGAGAGGTACAAGACGCCCCACGAAAAGGCAGCCCATAGGGAGAAGCAGAAGACCACTGGCTCCGTGAGGAGAAGGTAAAATGGCCTTCTGATGGAGGTGAGGACGATCTGTCCCAACGAAGCGCGTTGTTCGTCTTCCTTGACGAGCCAGCGGATTCGTCGTAAGCGGGATGTGGAAGTATTACTCCGATCATTCGGGTTGAGCGTAATTGTCGTTTGGCTCGACGTAGCAGACGCCAAGATAGCCAGTTCGCTGCTGATGGATAGCCCGTATACGCCATGCGTTTCCAATTCTTCATACCACTTATTAAGCTTCTTTGCCTTCTTGGACAACAAGACGGAAGCTCGGCTCTCTCTGAAGAAAAGAACGAGAGCAAGCAGCAGACCAGCGTCAAGAATGACCTGAACCCAGAACGACCACTTCCAGGCACGATTATTGCTGCCCACCGTCTCGATCAACGCAGCAGAAACCAGTGGGCCAGCCCCTGTCCCAGCCAATACGGCACCGCTGAACAGTGCCATCGGTGTGTTTCGTTCCTCCTTTTCCCATAGGTCCGCCAAGACGCCTCCGACGACCGCAGAGAAGACCGAGCCGCCGGTACCGACGAGGAAGCGTGACACCAGCATGCCAGCAGCATCCGGCATGACGGAGCAAACGGCCTGGAAGATGGCAAAGACGGTGCCGGCGATGATGAAGATGGGATAGCGCCCCCATATCTCAGACATGGGCGCGAGAGCCATTGGGGCAAAGGCAAATCCCATGCAAAACGTGGTGATGCCCACCAGCACAACGAGCCGAGATGTCCCAAAGTCATTTGCCATGATATTGGCCGGCGGAGCGTAAGCACCCGCTGTGAACGCTGTCAGAAACGTCGCCAGACATGATAGGATGAGCATGATGCTCTTATGAGTAGGACCCCATGTCAAGGGAGACGTGTACGTTGCCAAGTCTGGGCATAGAGGCGGTTGTCGACCATCGAGGTCCGGCTGTTGTATCATAGGCGGCGACGGCAAGTCGGTGTCAAAGGTAAGATACAGATACGTGATTGGCGTGTTGCTGTCCAGAGTCGTTGTCTCAGACTGCTCGGTCCCTGGCTTTTCGCTCGAGGATAGGTCCGCTTCGTCACGGGAAGGGCCACCGCTGCGAACAATGTCGAAGTCTTCCCGCCCCTGCGACCCAGAACCTCCCTTTTCTTCGGCGGCCATTGTCGTAGACAGCCGGGTTGATGAAGAGCGGGCTATGAATCGTAGCTGCGAATCCAAGACATTGATATACTGTGGCGCGAGCACCCAACAAGTCGCCGTATCACTGACACTCAACCAAACAGCCAGCTTCGAGAAGGATTTGCTCCGATCCAAGGTGCGGCAACGCCCATTTATCAAATGGCTAGAAGGCGTAAGTGGAGCTAATAGTCACTCGACGGGAATAACCAGGTTTTCTTTGTACACCGGTCAGGTCGATCTGCCCTCGCATGGACGGGGCCGGCCCCCACGCGGCTGACGGGATGACCATGACTCTCCATTCGTTTATCACAACAATGCTTGTCCACGCAGTCGGCAAGAACCCCTTGCTTCATGCTATTCGTCGGGATGAAGTTCCAGAACAATGAATCACACAACTCAGCGCCGGAGTTCGGAGCTCTACCTCGAATCTCCTCGACCGCATGCCAACTCGTCTTGATCCTGACAATTCAGTCAACCAACGCACTCACTAGGAGCTGTGCCCATATTAGTCAATAGACCGGCGGGAATAAGCCACGGAAATCCTTCAGAGCGGTTCTCCACAAGCCAAGCTTTGCATCTGAGATTCCTAATCCGTCCCCGCGAAAGCGTTGGGCTTGGGGGCGGAGACCAGCATCAGAGGAGCGACCTGAACTGGCCAGCTAAATCCGAGATGTTAGCTGCTGCCAACAGCTGAATTCCGAAACCGAAGGTTTCCGTCCAGGCTGATCCCTGATGGAAGAACTCGAGCCCGGCCAGTGGAATATCCATCCACGGAATGAGTGGATTCAGCGTCTGCATCTCGGGGTGACGAAGTCAGATTCACGGCACGTTATTCCCGATTAAGGCCGCCGGCTACCGGGGCCATCGACGCAATTGGAGGACCGAGGCGTTTTGCTTCTGCATTGCCGTCCCGTTGTGTTGCTTTCTATTACACAAGCAGAGATGACTAGTGCAGAACTCCGTAAGGACACAAGTCCACCATGGTGCGAACATCTCCCCTGATGATTGCCCCCCCACGAAACCTTGTCGATAGCTTTGTGCCTGCTTGAAATACCTCCCCAATTGCTTCTTCATGTTGACTCGGACGTGGGTAGAATGACGTGACAGAGAAATTTCGGTTGTTTCTATGTCAAGTGTGCATCCATGTCTTCGACCAGCGCTGGACATCTGGCAGACAGTCTTAGTTCTTTCGCTCGGCTGCTTGTCTTGCGTTCGGGGCTGGATCTGCTGCAACTTCCACAGGTATGGCATTGACGCTGATGTGGCCTGCTCTCCACATCTGAGAAAGCTCCTGGCTGGATAGTCGTGGCTCTACCGGGAGCTCCCTCAACTCCATCGACTTGTTTTCCAGCTCGGCTGGGCGTTGGGAAACGGGCAGTTCAGTGGCGTCTTTGTGCGCATCCTGCTGGCCCCATGTACCCGTGTCTTCCGTAAGCCGTCTGGGACCTTGGTATCTCCTTCGGCGGCGTAAGAATAGAAACGTAATCGCCGAAGCAACAGCCAATAGCCCCAGGCAACTCCCTATTGTGACTCCGGCAATCGTTCCGGGACTGAGCGTCAAACTCGGCCCTGGGGCAGGTGAATCCGATGCGCTGGATGATGTTGATTCCGTGGGCGTGGAGGAGGTTGGCAAGGACGAGCTAAATTGCGTTGTCAAGACTTCAGATGTGGTTACGAAGCTGGAAGTTGAGACGCCGACTGTTGATGTCTGCCTAGGGGTGGGGGCTCCTGGCGGATTGAACTCGGTACTCCTCATCGCATTCGACACATCCGCACTTCGCCAGCGAATCTCAAAGGCTGGGGCAGAGAGAATAGTCCCATCGTAGTTGGACACCGCATATCTCTGATCTTTAGTCCTGTCGTTACAGTCGTATCCCCTTCCTCCCATGTCAGTAACCACGCCCTCCTGACTCATGCTGCCATGCCCACTTACTCGGGAATACATCTGACAACCGTCTCTTCCCTCTGTATGGGCCAGCCGCTGCTGACGGGGGCCGTCTGGGTGCACCTAGCATAGTATCCAGTAAAGCATTCCCCGGGCGAATAGAAGCCCCCGTTTGCCCAGAGCTCCAGCCCTCCCGGAATCCGACAGCTATCAAAATCGGACTGAAGAACCGGGGCGGGACAGGGAATGAACTCGATGGTCATGGGCATGTAGGGCACTCGCTTGGTGCCGCTGGAGAGTGTGTGGACCGCCATTTTGAACCAGTGAGTTGCGCTGTCGATTCCTGGTTTGTTGATTCCTGTTGTGTCGATTCCGACCCCGGATTTAAACACAGCCGTAATATCGTGATGGATCTCGTTGTAACTGCTCAATGTCAGTGCTTTCCGACATGAACCAGACATGAAGGAGTCAAAGTCTGTGCTCTAGAGAAGAGACGAGGGCGGTTTTATTTGGACGAGGGCTGGGGTTCGCCAGAGAGGGCAGTTGCGGAGTGTTTGTGCTCGCACCTTCCGTTGTTTGGCGATGCAGCACCGGAGCACGTGTATCACCATCGGCTGCAGAAGCCGTGAATCGCTACAGAGAACCGACAGAGTGTCAGCAGCGAGCGAATGAGCATCGAATTGTACTGCTCTGTACGTGTACTCGGGCCGTATCCGCATGGCTGAATTGCTGTTGTACAGAATCTCGATCCAGCAGATGTCATCTCCGAGCACTTGTTCACCTGGGGTGGTAGGTGCGCGAGAAGTGTATCTTGATATGCCCAAGGTATGTCTGTGCTTGGAAATGCTATTCCAACCGTCCTCGAGTGATCAAAATCACTGACACTGAATCTCGTGTAAGACTAACGAGTCGCTTAATTCCAAGTCTATCGTATGATACAGTGCTCATGTCTAAATGCCGAAAAAGAATGGAAAGGTTGAAAGATGGGGTTTCCGCCTCACCACCTAATCCACACCATCCTCGTCTGTACCTCCTCCTCCTCCGCTGCCATTTGCAGTGCCGCTACTCTCATGTGTATCCTCTAGTTTCCCATTCGTCGTACCATCGGTATGACCGTGAGCATGGCCGTTGGTGTGGCCGTTGGTGTGGCCGTTGGTATGACCATTGGTGGTACCATTTGTTCCATTTGCAGTCTTGACTGTCCCATCTTCATGGATAGACTCTTCCAAATACAGCGCAAAGGTAATCACCAGATAGGTATCTCCAGTAACCTTGTTCCGAAGAACATATCTCAGCTGATGCGCAAGCCGTCCATCATTTCTAACAGCAACCCATTAGTACAACACCCAAACAAATAGTCGTCACTTCTCAGGCTGGACTAGACTACTTACTTCAAAGCCTCGGCACCAAGATACTTTGCAACCGAGAGCTGAAACCCCGGCAACCGAATCGCCATGTTGGCAAAGTCGAGATACGGGTTGAAAAAGTCAATGCCGTACGTCTGGCCGTAATCCCACGTCCATTTCTCCTTGTTCGCGTCCGACAAGGCCCACTTCATCCTCGGCTTGCTCTCCTTGGGCACGCCGTTCATCTCGCGCACCTTTTGCCCCCTTTCGTCTCCTCCCTCCTCGAACCACAGCCCGCCCTTGGACTCGTCAAACTCTCCCGGGCCGACAGACACGACGTTGAAGGAGCTCAGGGCCGGCCCGTACAGATAGGGCTTGTCCGCGTAGGCATCGCCCTCGAGACCCGGATCGATCCACCACTTGACAATGTTCATCGCATAGTTGAAGCCCGGCGGCAGCTTGTCCCTGATGGGCCGATCAAAGTCATTGCCAAACTGCAAGTCTGCGGCTCTGATCCCCGAGGCGGCACCACCACCCGCATCATCTCCTCCATCATCTTCTGATGCCCCAGCCGGCTTAAGCGGCGTAAACCGGAATGCGATGCTATACTGGTCCTGATTGCTCGCATGCGGCTCCGTGGAAAAGTAGGGCGACGTCGACGGTGAGCCACGCGGCAAGCCCTTGTAGTCCTGTATCCGCACGTTGAGCTCAATGTCGGCGAGGTCGCTCTTGATGCGCACCGGCGCGGCCTCGTTCACCGGCACCTCGACGTGCGTGCCCTCGTCGTAGCTGGGCCCCGCCGTGACTCGCAGGATGTACTTGTCCTTTGGTGTGCGTGAGAGTCTCATGTCGTGAGGATCGCACTCGATGGTGCATTCATTGGCGCTGTCGATGGCACTCATCTTGACGCAGGTCTGCTGAGGATTGATATATGGACAGGATCATTCGTCTGAAGGTCGGAAAAGGTTGAATTGAAGGGCCGAGTCGGACTATATAATGATGCCCCTCTGATGTGTGGCTTTTCTCCATCTCCATGGCGCCTGAGCTCATACTTTTTAAGATTCTTATAGCATTGAACTTGCTATTAATAACAAGGACGGGTCTGGCTTCTCCCTACTAGTGCCGCTTGCCTTGGAGCGAGGTGGCGAATCGTGCGCGTCAACGGTACGTTACCCTGGAGCCATGACTTGGTTTGCTGGATTTCGGTACTTGTTCTTCCCATCGTTCTTCCGCCTCCAACGGCGTCTTACAACGTATTTCCTCCTTGATTAAACAAAAACGGAAGCAATCTTAGTGCGGATCTTGAAACAGCATCTCCGTCGCCCAGAGTTTCATCCGGCAATGCTACATCTTACCAGTTCATGTGAAACGGTGGAGCTTTCAAGCAAGCTTGGGGCCATTTCCACTGCCCTGACCGGGACCCCTAAGGTATGTAGAAAGAACATACCTACGTGTTACCTAGGTAGTACTCATAACCATCGATGCATTGAGAGAAGACGGGCGGTCACAGCCACAGGCGGGAGTATCAATTGTGCCCCTTGGGCGTATGACGGAAGAACAACTTCAGATCTCCAAACGAGAGCCGGCGTGGCAGAGGGCTTGTCTTGACTTGTCACATGTGACACCCTTGAGCGTTGAAAGTGACGATCGAAATCAATCAAATAGCAACATAGACTCGGTCAAAGTATGAGTGCTCATATTGCAACAGATTGCAAATAGCTGTAGCTCTAGTAATTTGACGAGATGCTATACTGATGCTGTCGGCGCCAATGGACATCAACGTATTAGCTATTCCCTTGACTGAGTGTCATCATTCACATGCCAACCTCCAAACCCCAGAAAAGTCACCATCCTCTCCCGCAAATTCCGGAAAAAGGGAAAATAGAACCACAGCACTTACACACTGACTCCAGCTTCAGCTCAGTCAATCAATCCTCTGGCTGATGGGCTTTGCCGCCACCTCGCCGGTGCACCAAACCATCAAACTACAGTACCAGTCCGCTTGGGCACCGCCCATGTACCCCGGTACCGAAACTTGCGTCTGCAGTGACAACATTGACGTCATGCCCAACGGGAGCCCCATCTTGCCCAAATCTGGGGCGCAGCTCAACAAACGCAAGGCTGCAAATTTCGGGGTCCTCGTCTCTCCTCTTGAGCCACTCTTTCCTGTCTGCCAACGATAGACTGGGACTCACAAGGTTCAATGATGGAATGATATTACACTCTCGGAAAAGAAAAAAGGATTTTCCCCAGTCATCCGCCCGTCACATCCCATCACACACCGGCGCATCGGTCACGGTGCCTCTTGTTCTTCGCTGCCTTACTAGGTGGACCTTCGGCGCTGCTTGGTGGCGTCTCCCGGCTTTGGTCACCATGATAAGCAACACCGTCACCGGCCGGCTCACCATCCGCCTCTGCATCGCATTCTTCCGCTACACGCCATTCATCTACACCGTCCTCCTGGCCGCAACATACAGCTGGTATGGCTGGACTTCGGCACGCCAGACGACCGCCGCCCAGATCTTGTGGGGCCTCATCCTCGCCGAGGCGCTCTTCTTCTGCCTCATCTACCTCCCGTACATGCACAAGCTGAACCGCAAGGCCGTGCACCCGACGCCCCTGACGTCCGTCGAGAGATGGGCTCTCTTCAACCAGTGCATCGACAATGTCCAGTCCGCGGAGGCGTACCTGCGGTCGTGGTTCCTCGGGGCTGAGATCAAGGACATCCGCCGAGACAACCTGCGCGACTTCCTGCTCTGGGGCTTCTTCGACCAGGCTAGGGAGGACGTCGAGAGCAACGGCGGCCACTCCGAGGCCGAGGCACGAGATCTGGAGGAGTTTGTCAAGAGGATTGAGGAGCGGCTGGGCTATCCTCTTCGAGAGGGCCGAGGTTCGGCGCAGTGCATTCGACTGACGTTGGACGACATCGAGGTCACTTACAGATCATTAACGTGGTACTTGGTCATATACCTGGTGGATCAAGCAACACACATGGCTCTTGCGTGGCATGGCTTCAAGTTCTACGCCAGAGGGCTCGCACCAACTTTTGCAACGTTCCCACCGCGTCCGCAGGAGATTTTCACCAGCCGGCGCTCGCGTGCTCCTCAGCTGAGCTACTGGTACCGGCCTCATGCATCAAATGACTGCAACCCAGTCGTCTTCTTCCATGGCATTGGCGTTGGGCTCTGGACATATGTCGACTTCCTTGCCAACATCCATGCGGCTAAGGATATTGGTGGCGGCCAGGGTATCGGTGTCATTGCTGTGGAGATCCTTCCCGTATCCTTTCGACTGACCTCCCCGCCTCTGAATAAGGCCGAGTTCCTGCGGCAGATGGCCAAGATATTGGAGCACCATCAGTGGAACAGGTTTACAGTCGCGGCACACTCGTATGGATCCGTTCAGACCACCCACCTGCTGCACTCCAAAAGCCTAGGGCATATGGTCACATCCGTCGTGCTCATCGACCCGGTCACGGTGATGCTGCACCTCCCCGATGTCGCCTACAACTTCACTCGCAGGAAGCCCAGGGGAGCATATGAGTGGTTGCTGTGGTACTTCGCCAGCACTGATCCAGGCGTGGCACGGTGCCTAGGCCGACACTTTTTCTGGCGTGAGAACATCATATGGAAGGAAGACTTTGAACACGCCGACCCGGTGTATCGTCGGAAGGTTGCTGTCTGTTTGGCTGGGAGAGATGTACTTGTCAACACCCCCAGCGTCGCACAATATCTGACCGACCTTGGGGTGACGGGACTTAACCAGGCTCGGGGCACCGCTGAGAATCGGACAACCGATGTGGAGGTGCTCATGTTCCCTCATCTGGATCATGCGCAGATATTCGACACCCCAGCAGACTGTCAGAAGGTAATCCGGCTTATCAGATCATATTGCGGTGCAGGATCAGCGGAATAGACCACTCTATAGAGCCGCAGGAGCTGAAGCGTGCCGTAGCTGCAGCAGCTCGGCGGGAGCGAGAGCCAATCTCAAATAGCGAATCACTCAATAGTCTTGGCCTCCTGACCTCCCCAATCAGTCAAGATGGCTCCAACGGGACGGGGGCCGCTCTGAGTGATGACCCAAACCAGCTCCTGGTCCGTATCGTTCCGAACCTGGTGCTCCGTCCAGGCCGGGACGAACGCAAAGTCTCCCGGCTTAAGCTCGTGATGTCGCAATTCGCCCTTGAAGCCCTCCTTGACGACGAGCGTGCCGGTACCGGACACTGCGTTGATAATGGCGTCTTGACGGCGTTATCAGAAACCGAGACCAACCAACCAGCGTGGCCATTCTTGGGGAAGAGGGAGGGCACCCCCAGAGGCGGGGAGGCGGCAACCTACCTTGCTCGCTGTTGTGGTGGATTGGGGAACTAGAATTGGGGGGTATGCGAAGGACTGCCCGGAAGAGAGAGAGAGAGAGAGGAAAAGAGTTACGACGCAGTTTCTGGCACGCTTCGTTCAGAGGGCTAAGGAGAAGACTCACCCGAAGCACACATCTTGTCACACTTACCGACGATGGCGGCATCTCGGATGGAACGGCCTTCATTGTCCAGAATGGGCGTGAGCTGATCTGCGCGGGTCACCTCGGTGGTAGAGGGCAGGATCATGGGGAGGATCTCCGTGATGATGGGGAGTAGCGACGACATGGCCCAAGACATTCAACGACTGTATTGTGGGATTGCGGTCACACTTGGCGGCAGGGCAGGGCCCAACCAGCAGGCAGTATCAGGGCGTATCAACTGCCAGTTTTCCTAGCGTAGCTGGCGTCCCGGCTGACCCTATGTCTCTCTCTCTCGCTGAGTGTCTCTCGTGTGCCTGCGGTACTTGTCCGTTTAGGCTGGGGGTGCCGGGGATGCAACGAGGACACCCAAGGGGGGAAGACGAGGCCCAACTAGGAAGGCGAGGCAGTGATGTGGTGCGAGGATGCGGAACATAGACGAAGCCGTTGAGAAATGATGTGCAAGGAATAGGGGACGATGAGATGCGTAGCGGAGTACTGAAGAGAAGCAGGACAGATGATGAAGCAATGGTTGGATGAGTTCTCGGAGTGAATGTGTAAATGATATGAGGCCTGGCTGGGCTCGAGGTGAGGCGAGAGAGAGGATAGGATATGACGTGTCAATGCTGCGCTGGTTGGTAAAAGGCAGAGTTGAGATCGAGTGTCTAGAAGCCAAGCGGAAGTCTACATAAGGTGGTAATCGATAGGGGACGCATGGAGGCCTAGCGAATCGCGATCGTCGGCAGATTTGTTTTTCCGCTTGGGCTTCTGCTTGGTGCGACTTGGATGCATGAATGGCTTCTGTATCACCTGTAAACATGGCTAGCTCTGCAGGGACTTGGTGAGGATCAATTGGAGAGAAATCACTAGAATAAACGACTTTATTTGGTAGAAGCAAAATAAAGGATTTGAAAAACGAAAGAGGAATGAACGGGTATCTGACTTCAAGGTACTTGTTGAGAGACCTGATACGGGTACCAGGTAGGTACCTACTAATACTAAACCACAAAGAGAAGAACCGGCATACGACTCTGAGCAAGGGATTCTCCTGCTGCTTACTCCGGGTACCTTTCTGTAACTGGGCTTGAAAAAAAAAATTGCTGGTGTCTGAAATCCAGAGAAGCATGACCCAAATGGAACCGCATAAACTACAAAAAGTTCTTACACGCAGAAGTTCTTGTGGTCGTTTGTTATACGGAGGGCCTATTACTACAGCAGGTCGCAGCAGCCCCCACTCGTCCACCAAACAAGCCCCTGGAGACGCAAAGAAAGAGCCCTTGCGAAGGGGACACAAGCTTTGGCCAACCTGCGGCCGGTTGAGCCACAATGCGACTGTAAATCTTTGACGGCCAGCCGAAGTCTTCTTTTTCCGTACAAGGGTGGCAAGCCAAGATCAAACAGCAGAGGGACTTTCGCTTGCTGATGTCGACAAAGATACCCATACTGTGTCCTTTTTTTTTCTTTCTAATTTTCATTCTTTACAGGTACGACTACCTACAAGGTAGTTTCAGGTATTAATACTGTTTACGGACAGCCTAGGTCTCGAGTTTCGCCGAGAGGAAAACGACTGTGCGGACAGATTGAGATCTGACGGACTGGGGTGACGCGAGGATCAATTGCCGTATATGACATACCTATAGCGACGGTGCGTGATCTACAGAACGTGTCTTTGCTCTTTACGGCCACCTACCTTATCATGGATCGTGTTGTATGTATGTACAAGTACGTAGGGCTCCGATATCGAGCCGTGGGCGGCTTGCTTTGGTGTGGCCTGGATGGGGTGCAGTCGGAATCCTCAGCCGAAATTGATTGAACGCTCTCCTCGTTGGTGCTTCTCTTCTCCCCGAACATAACCTACCTTACCTACTCAGGTACACAAGTCTGCGGCACACAGGTCACGACAGCCGCACAGCATCAGGGTTCAGCATTGATCGGCTTGCTAATAAGCAGTGCCCTGTGCTCGCTCCCCCATTCTGCATCCGCTCCAGTGGTAATGTTACCTACTCGTATAGGGAGGTCGACTCGGGGCTTTTGGGGCAGCCTCCCCCAGTACATGTCGTAGAAGCCAAGCGCACACTCTTGCGTCTGCCCGCCTGGTTGGTCGACCGGATTGCGGCCCCCCCTGCTGCCAGATGCCTGTTGGCACATGGGAAAAGACTCCCTGCGGCTAGTGCACGATCCCGCTGGAATGGGAAGCTGGGCTTAGGCCAAGAAAAGCAGGTGAGCGTCTAGACGCGGATGTTGCTTCAAGTTCGACTTACACACACGCTCACTCTCGGCTCGCACGAGACAGAGGTCGTCCGCAGCCGTTTGCTCAGACAGAACTAGCACCGACGTCTGGTGGCTAGCTCGGCATCCCAGGGATGCAATGGCTTGTGAAATATCGCCGACGGTGTTATGCAGACTTGGGTGAAAGGGGAAGCGTTGGATCTAAATAGATCTGTTGGTCCAGGTGGTGCTTGTGCTCACCGGGGCGACAGGCGGAAACCAGGTTTCTTGTTCTCACGACACGTACGATATTTTTCAGGTATTTCGTATAAGCTACCGGGAAGGGGGCCTCAAGCCGGCTGATCTGATCGCAAACTATTGCCTCCGATAACATGGATCCTTGGCGGACCAGTTGCGAGTATCTATCTGGGTACTGAATCGGGTTGTGGTTTCGCTTACCGCAGCCTCTTGGCTTGACGAGACCATTTCTTCCTGCTTGTGCGTACATAACAGATAGTACCTACATCGGTATGTTGCATGTCATGGTTCTATGGTAGGGGTTTCCATGTTGCGTTGATGGCACTCTACATGCTGGCAGCAATCTGACATACCTTACCATATATCCGCGGTGCCATTTGGTCAAGCAGGCTTCGGCATTTATCAAATCAAGGCCGCGACATGAGAGGAACACCAACAACAACACCGACAACATCATGCTCTTTGAGGCGCTTGGCGCGTATTGGTGCGTATAGGTGCTGCCGATCAAGGCGCAAATTGCTCGGCAGGTAGTATTGAGTGAGGATGCTCGTCCTTGAATGCCGCGGTGGGATCTGATTGACGGCAAATACAAGATTCGGCGACCCTCCTCTGCAACCGCCCTCTATGTGCTGTACAGCTTCCCACACACCCTCTTCTCGCCTAGTAGCTGATAGGACGGGCATCCGAACAGGCACACACACTGACAAGGCACCTGTGATAAATCTCGCAGCCCCGGAGGAGCCCACACCGGAACGCCTAGTGGTGATGCGGCGGCGCCGGCGGAGAGTGTGGAGAAGAAGCAAGGGGTGTGTCACCGTGAAACCTGGGCCAGTCCCGGCTTAAGTCGACGGTTATTCTTGGGAGGGGTGCGCGAGACTGGGAAGTGCTTGTCAAAGAAGGGGGGGCGAGGGAGAGATGCCGGCAGCAGAGCTCCAGAGTCAGCGAGCGTCGGGGATGGCCTCCGTTTGGGGAATAGGAAGCCTCCCCCTTCACGCGCCAGGCAGCCGTCACGGGCCGGTTCGTTGCTCGGTGTGTGTATGTATGTTGACACGAGGGCCTCGTTATATCATCTCACCATGGCCCAGCGTCATCGGAGCGGTTCCCGCGTGGTTTGTGGTCTGGCAGAGCTGGTGGGCGCGCCGCTCTTCGGCCGAGTCTTTTGGGGGGGATGATGGCTTGGTCTGAGTATCTGGTCGTGCCCGTATAAGACAGCGCCAGCCCTACTTACGTCTCTCCCATCCTGCTGTCGTGTGGACAAAGGCGCTGCTGCGTCGTCAGTTTTCCACATGCTCGACCCAGAACTCGGCATGATACTCGATGTACCGTACCTTTATTTGTCGTATGATCTGTCTACAGAGACGGAGAACTCTTCACTGCCACGGCAACTTGTTTGCTTGACCCGTTGCAAAGCGCCCTCCCTGGTCGCCGGCTGCAGCTCTTTTGCAACTGTGATGGACTCGGTCTGCTCGACTGCTACGCTGTGTCGCTTCCGCGCTGGATCTCACTAAGGGAAAGTAGAAAAAAAGGCGAGGAGAAAAAAAGATCCCGGCAAAAAGGCTGTTCGCGCCTAATCCTAATTTGATCTCAGACATCCATTGAACGACCATCACCAGATAGACCGCCAGGGACCGAAACGAGGTGCATCGAGCCCTGGATATCCGCTGCTGCTGGCGCTCTAGTCCAGTTGAGTCCTTGTCGTTCGTGGGCCCTGATGGTCAGATTCGGCAGCCTTTTCTGGAAGCCAACGGAAGCTCGACTTACCGGGGGTCTTTGCGGCAGCTCCCCGTCTGGAGCTTCGACGGCCAGTGGCTGCTCAGTTTGTTCAGATTTCAGGTTATTGATGGGATTGTACCTAAGGTATTACGGCGAGGCTCTGTAGCAGTGACGGGCTCACCTTGAACTCACCTAGCTGCCGTCGACGCCGCCAGCTGTCGAGCGCTGCAACTCACTCCAAGGTTCCATGTCTGCTCAGTACTTGGCTGCGTAGCCTATTTATTCCGGAACCTAATTCTCACCTTGACTCGAGCTTCTCTGTTTCCTCTCCTTCTTCTCCTTTTTCTTCTTCTTCTTCTTCTTCATCATCATCATCATCATCATCTTTTCTCTTCGTCCCCGGTTCAACTCGCTCGCTCGCTCGCCCTGCACCGCACCGCACCATGGACCCGGGCCTCGCTAGCGGCAAGGCGACGGAGGCGAGTGCAGCTTCGTCATCGCCCGCCTCGGCAGATGCAGCCTCTTCCGCCCTGTCGTTATCGTCGTCGTCGTTGTCGTTGTCGCCAGCCACGGCTTCGGTCTCGCCAGATGCCGATGCGCGCATCATCTACGGCCGAGTCGACGCCGCAAACGAGGACAACATTGATCTGCTCAGCAGCGTCGCCGAACATGGCGCCCTGGGCCGGGCAAAGCTGCTGAGGCCGTCTGCGGCCCAACGGCGTGACGACGCCAATATGCAAGGTACTGCAGCTCCTGTGTGTGCGTGCGACGTCCTGTGCCCACCACACCAAACCCGGTCGCTTTGTGCTGCGCGCCGCCGAAATCTCCGAATTTCTTGGCCTCCCTCGTCTAATTTCCTCAGCTGTTTTATCCAGCTTTCTTTGAGCACCATCAGCTAATCTTGTGCTGTTCAGAGCGAGACACAGACGCTGCCGGCTCCAGCACTGCAGAGCAGACGGCGGCATCGCCCCTCAAGACCTCCGGTAAAGCCCCTCCACTGCTCGCCACGCCCGCCGAGCTCATTGACACGATCCTCTCCCATCTCTCGCCATGCGACCTCGCTGCCGTCTCTGCGACATGCCGCGCCCTGCGCCAGCATGCGCTCTCCGACCTGCTCTGGCAGCCCCTCGTCCAGCAAAACGTCCCTGCGATGCAGGTCACCAGCCCCGGCCCCTGCGCCAGCTTTCGCGAGCTGTATGCCGCCCACGATAGGGTCTGGTTCCTGCCAAAGTACAAGGTCTGGTTCTGCGATCGCGATCTCACGGGAAAACTGATCCTGGTGCGCTACGACCCCAGGCGTGGCTGCATCGAGGGCTACCAGCTGGTGGCCGTCAGCAACCAATCGACCTTTCAGCACTGGTCGGCAGATCACGACGTAATCATCCACAGCTTCTCGCCCGTGGTGAAGCTGCATCTCGACAAGCCCGTCCTGCAGTTCCGTGTCCAGGATCGGCAGGAGGATGGAGGCTTGTTCAAAAGGCCCGGCGCTAACCGCTTCGCCGACGAGATACCCATGAGGCTCGACGACCGCGTTGGCGGCATGTACAACAACTTCATGCTCACGAAGCCGCTGAGCTCCGAGGAGGCGGACCGGCGGGCGCACCTGGGCTACCCCTATGGCAACATGTGGCCGTCTCCCGTGATCCCGGCAAACCACTATGTGTCGGGCGATATAGAGCGCCGCGGCGTTGCTGCTCTGTCGTCCCGAGACCGACCTCAGACCAGAGCCGAGGTCTCTGACCAGACTTTCTGCATTCGCCAATGGATGCAGCTGACGGGCACTCCCGGCCCTCTTAGGTTTATGGGCGAGAGGGGTCTCGCCGGCGCGCTCCGAACCCTGGTCCGCGACCTGGTGGACGAGGAGGCGGCGGGCATCGGCATGGGAGGAGGCCTTGGGCTCCATATTGGCGAGGAGCTCATCACCTACTCGACCCTCGATCCGGCTCTCTACACCCCGACGCCGGAAAAGCCGTGGCGAGGCATCTGGGTGGGCGACTACAGCGGACACGGCTGCGAATTCCTGTTGATCCATCAGCCTGACGATCCACCTGCCACCGATGCCGAGCTGGGCGTTTTCCGCGACGAAAATGACAGCGATGAGGTGTGGGCGCAGAAGAGGCTGGATGCCAGGGTGTACAGAGGCCGCCTGGAGGGCATCAAGCTCACGGGTGACCCCAACGTGCCGAGGGGCGAATACACCTTCGTGGTCAATGATCTGGGCCCAGGTGGCCTCGTCGGAACAGCCACGGACGCCCAGTTCTCCGGGGCCAGAATGGTCAAAAGCGAAGGCCACATTGCCGCCACTGGCTTTCTCAGAGGTACGCAAGCACGAGCACCTTGTCGCCATGTTACGCTCGTTTCAAAGCCAAAACTCAAAGCCAAAACTAACAGTTCGGTGATAGATAAGTTCATTGAGAGCCAGCTAATCCTCATCAGCCACGACAAACTCGCTCAACACTGGGTTGGCTTCGGGCACATTAGCTTCCTGGAGAGGGTCAACATCGATCAGTTCCTTACGCCCTGAGGGGGGCTGGGGGATTCATCAGCTGAATGACAGTTCAACGATGGCATGTATGGAATGGGCGTTTGACTTTTCACGATGGACGATTTTACCACGATACCCGCTATGATGGAACATGGCCGTTTCTAATGATTGCTTTACTCAGGGAAAGGGGAATACAGGGATCGCATAGGATGTGGATGACGGCTATGCAAAGAACTCAATGCTGTCCTAGGTTTCGACGGCTGACTGTAACACGGCAGGTAACTCGCCAACTCATGAATGGAAGCTATTTTGTGAAAGTGTGTCATTTGATCATCGATAGCTAATTCATAAGATGGGCTGAAGATTCGACGTTATTAAGAGACAGAAGGCTGACCATACCTGTGCTAATTGAAGCATAGATGAAGCCATACATTGCTCGATCTACAACCCGGGATTCTCTTTCTTCTTGAGAAGAAGACGACTAGAGTTTATGCTGATTCCACTTTCAGGGTATAGGATATAATTGAGATGCAGAAGCGATGGTAGTCGGATCATATTCCCACAACCACCCAGCAGACTCTCCAAGGTACAACAAGATGATTGCAGTCATGAATATTCATAAATTCGCGCCTATCTGGCTTCATGTCCAAAGACTCGAGAACAATCAAGATTCCGACAAAACTGAAAGAAAGAAAGAAAGATATGTATCCTTCACTACCACCTCACACATCTTACTCCTGAAAGGTGCCTCGCAGAGGCAACCCGTCGTCATACTTGCCCTCCTCCTTCTTCATGTGCTTGTCAAAGCTCTGCGTCGACATCTGCACCTTGTCAAACAGCCTCCTGTCCAGCACAGGCGCAGCAGGCGGCAGCTGGCCCTTTGCGCGGGCGGCGTCGGCATCCTTGGTGTAGTTGTGCAGGGCCAGGCTCGAGGCGATCTGGAAGGCGTTTCGGATCTGGCGGCCGTTCCAGCAGCCGGTGGAGCGGGCGAGGTCCTCGTAGTGCTTTGTGGCAAACTCGAGGATCTCGTCGTCCTTGATGGCGAGGGCGGGCTCGCCGGTCATCTTGTGGCGCTCCGACTCCATGATCTTGAGCTTGGCAATGTTGAGGCGGAAGATTTCGGTGGTCTGGGTCTTGTCGAGGGGCGGGTAGTAGAGGGAGAGGTGGATGCGGGACTTGAAGGCCTCGTCGATGGTGCCGACGCGGTTGGTGGTGAGGAAGAGGAGGCCGTTGTAGTACTCGAGGACGCGGAGGAAGACAGAGACGAGGGCGTTGCGCGTCATGTCCTGCTTGGAGCGCTGGGAGAGGAAGACGTCGGCCTCGTCGAGCAGCAGGACGCAGTCCCAGAGGTGGGCCAGGCGGAAGACGTTCTTGAGGCGGGACTCGACCTCGTAGGGCGAGAGGCCGAGGTCGCCGCAGGTGATGACGAAGAGCGGCTTCTTGTTCTCCATGGCGACGGCCTCGGCGGTGGCCGTCTTGCCGACGCCGGGGACGCCGTGGAGCAGGACGACGAGGCCGCGGCCCTTGCCCTGGATGAGGTCCTGGCCGGGGCCCTCGGTGGCGGCGTCGACGTAGCGGCGCTCGAGCTCCTTCTTGCGGAAGTGGGACATGACGAGGCTGCGGACGACGTCCTTGTAGTCGCCGTGGATGCGGAGGTTCTCAAAGACGCCGACCTCGCGCCGGACGGGCTTGAGGAGGTTGAGGTCGATGGGCATGAAGCGGCGCTCGCGCAGGGCGTAGGCGAACATGCGCTTGGGCAGCAGCACGAGGTCCTCGTCGCGCAGCTTGAGGGCCTGGGCGTTGGCCTCGAAGTTGCGGGTGCCGCGCAGGCGGTTGCGCAAAAAGGTGTCGACGGCGAGGTTGTCGCGGCGCTGGCGGCTCTCGACGCCGTCGGCCTTTTGGATGATTTCCTTTTGCACGTACGACCGGTTCTGGCGGGCGCCGTCGAGCCACTTCTGGATGGGCATCTCGTCCTCGGCGATCTCGCAGCGGATGGACTTGCTGACGGCCAGCTGGTGGAAGTCGGGCCGCCAGTTGGGCATCTTCTGGTAGGCCTCGGTGAGGTCGACGATGACGTCGCTCTCGACGAACTCCGGGTGGCGCATCTTCTCGTAGTACTCGTTCTCGAGGATCTCCTGGTCGGGCTCGTTGCGGTGCGAGGGCGGGTTCCGCGTCAGCGTCCAGGCGTTGTGCTGCTGGTGGCGGTCCTCGAGGTAGTGCAGGAAGCGGCGGCCCTGGGCCTTGAGGCCGTCGATGAGCTCCTCGTGGCCGGGCTGGTAGCGCAGCGGGTAGCAGGGCAGCGAGTCGATGGAGCGCTCGCCGGCAAAGGCCTCGATCTCGAACTTGTTCTTGACGGCGCCAAAGGTCGAGCCGTCGTGGTCGACGTAGTAGGCCGAGATCTTGAACTTGTTGGAGTCGTCGACGTCGTCGAACTCGTCAAAGAAGCCCCAGCCGTTCTTGGGGTACGACGTCTCGGGCTGCGGCGCCTGCACGCGGTAGATGCGCCAGACCTCGTGGTAGCGGCCGCCGGCCTCGACGGCGGCCGGCATGTGGATGAGGTCGCCGACGCGGAAGAGGGACCACAGGTCGTCGAACTTTACCTTTTCGGCCGAGCTGTCGTCGAAGCGCGCGTACAGCGGCATGATCTCCTCGTCGATGAACTTGACGTAGCAGCGCATGTCGCGGAGCGCCTCGGGGCTGTCCATGAGGCCGTCGAAGTTTTCGTCGGCGTTGGAGTCGACCGAGGCAAGGGACTCGGTGTCGGACTTGTCATCTTCTTCTTCATCTTCAGTGTCGTCGGCGTGAAACACCGCCTCTTTGCTCACGGGGGCATCGACAAGGACCTCGGCCTCGTCGCTGGCGGCCGTGTCGGAGCCCTGCCCGTCGTCGAGCTCCTCGTAGTCCGCCCACTTCTCCTCCAGCGTGGCGAGCACCTCGCGCATCTTGGGCTGGAAGTACACCAGGGCCTTGAAGGGCCGCATGAAGGTGCGCGGCGTCGACCGCGACTCGGTGTCGTTGAGGAAGGACGTCAGGTGTCCGAGGACGGGCTGGGACTGGACGCGGATGCGCTGGATCTCCGTGTCCGAGGGCAGCAGCTCGTTGCGCTTCTCGCGCTTGACCTGGGCCAGGGGGTCGACGACGGCCTTCTTGCGGCGCTGGTCGCCGTGGTTGTCGTACAGGCTGAACCAGCTCTTGCGGACGCGGGCCGTCTCCTCGCTGCGGCGCAGGGCGCGCTCGCGCCGGATCTGGCCCTGCAGGCCGGGCCCCGCGACGAGCACCTCGACGGCGTAGTCGGGCTCGTCCTCGGCTTGGAAGCGGTTCTTGAAGTTTTCAAAGTTGACCTTGCGGACCTCGGGGATCTTGGGGCGCCACTTGGCGGCCACGCGGCGCCGGTCGGCCAGGATGCGCTCCCGGCGCTCGGCTTCTTCTTGGAGGGCCATCATGTCGAGGTCGTGCGGGCCGTAGGAGCGGGTGGAGCGACCGGCCGTGTTGCCGAAGCCGGTGTTGCCGGCGCCGCGGCGCGGGAGGGTCTTTCTGGTGGTTTGCTTGGTGCGAGCCATTGCTGCGGTGTTGGTGTTGTTGTTGTCTGGATAAGGGGATGGATGAGAGGGGGAAAAGGGGAGAGAGCAGGATGATAGGGATGGTGATGTTAAGGGGGGTGGAAAGGGGAGGGTGAGGGAGGACGGATGGTTGTGATGAAGGAATCAACAAAGGATCGAAGCCATATTAAATACAACTTGAACAACTCTACAAGTCAAGAGTCCTTCCACCGCAGCAGCAGCTGAGAACCGTGACTCACGCCGCGAGTGAAGGCAGCCAGGCAGCTACGGGCACCGGCCGTGAGACGAGAGAGCGGCAGCCAATCGACCTGCATGCGGCTTGCATGGAGTGCCAGGCAGGCAACCATCTAGTAATATTTTAGGCCTGTGCTCGAGGGCAGTGAAATGCAGATTGCATCTCTACTGAGTTAATACGTGTAGTTACTGGGATGATAAGAAGTGGGCGAAGGAGCTGGGTGCATTCGCTTGTGTAGCCGATCTCTGCTCACCTCCATCGTTAGTTTACAATGGAGAAGAAGCATGCAGATAGTGATCCCGGGGGAGGGGATTTGGGGAGTGACACGTTGTTGCTAGGCATCCATGCTTGCTTTAGCTCTTGTCAGATTGATAGTTGAGCTGCAACAGAGAGGTAGATGGTGTGATGATGACCGAGCATGAGAAGCATTGATGAAGTCGTAAGATGCCGTCCTCGAGCAATCAACCGTGTGCAGTCCTCATAGCCCTGTCTGCCTTAATACCACCTTGTGTTGATAGTGTAAGTCATACGATGTGCCCCGATTGACCAACCATTACAGCTGCCCGAGATCGATCGCACAAGGCTCCAGGAACGGCCCATACAAGAACCAAGCCTCTCTGCCTTCAACGTTATTGTCCAAAACGGCCTCAGTGCAATACTAACACAATTAGGCTCCCACGTCTCTCCCGTGTCCGTGCGTGAGGCTCTTCAAGTGTGCCTCATGGGCGAATCGGTAACTAGTCGACAGGCTTAAGACACACAGCCACCACGCCATCCCCACAACTTTGTGCCAGGGGGGGGAGCTGCAGCTCTCTCATGCCGGTGAATGCAGCCAATTGCTGTTGAATTCTCACATGGGAAGAGACGATAAGCAGAAGGAGGGAGTTTCATTGGCAACATGTCGTGAGTCCTGCATTGTTTTTGAAAACGTTGCGGTGAGTTGAAGGGTTGCTGCAGGTGGTTACCTTTGGCTTGGTTGCCTGTTCACATAGGCAAGGTAGGTTGATGTGCAGGGGGGGTCCTTGGCCGCGAGCCGCCGTGTTTGAGGCTGAATGTGAGTGAATGAGCACGACTTTTTCACCAGATCTGAACAGCTGCGTGAAAAGAGAGAAAGAGAGTGGATAGGAAAATGCACGATTGGATTCTGATGCTTGAATCATTCTCTGACTGTATATTGCTACCTTGTCCTAAGGGGCTCCTACCTAGGGATGCGTTGATGGCGTCGAGTTGATGAGATTGCTCTGATGGGTAGGATCTCTTGTAGGTGACCTTGTTTGGGCCACAAGTTACAGAAGTCAGAGACGCAAAGACGCAGACTGGAATCACGGAGAGCTCTGAGTAGAATTGACGGCTGGCCAGCAAGTGAACTTATCATGCGGGACTATCATCAATCTAGCACTACAATTATATCTTGCCATAGCTCCGGTCAGTTTCCCTCGTCATTCACGCACTGCTATGACCCATCTTCTCCTACACTGTCAGATTCATAACCGAGGATGTGATTCTATAGTAAACAGGGTATCATCAATTCAGTATTAGTAGGTAGGTATGGCAAGTACAAGACTCTAAGCTGAAATATCTAACTGTTCGCCAATGCAAGGCACAACACCCCCCCTTTCTTGACAAGAGGAGAAAAAAGTAAAAAGAAAACAAGGGTAAAAGCAAGAAAATCCCCAACCACTGCGCTTTCTAATAGGTATAGACGAGGCACCACAATATTATCAATCATCAGAACTCATCACTCTTTTAATCATACACAGATCCCTTGGACCACTTGGACCCAGCCCTGATCCTCTTTCCATACCGATAAAAGAAAAAGGGCACAGGAATCAGCAGGGCCGCGAACCCGCCCGTGATGCTCGAGCCGGGCCCGACGCCAATGTTATGGAACATGGGCCCGACAACGAGCGGAAAGGCGCCGGCAAAGCAGGACCGAAGAAACGTGTTGGCCGCCACGGCCGAAGCGGCGTACGTCTGGAACGTGTCCACCAGGTAGTTGAGCGCCGCCTGGAAGATGGTGAAGAAGCCGGTGCCCAGCATGACGAGGCCGATGCAGGGCACGATCCAGTGGATGTCGCGCTGGGCGCCCGTCCAGCCCAGCAGGAACTGGCCGCCGCTGAAGAGCAGCGAGCCGATCATCATCGGGGGCAGCCGCTTCTCGGGGACCGCGCGGTTGCCGGCGGCGTAGTAGGCCTTGTTGTACAGCAGCTGGTTGTAGACGTTTGCGCCGCAGCCGAAGACGGCGCCGAGGAAGATGCACAAGAAGGGCAGCGTGGCGTTGAGCGGGTTCCAGCCGCGGATCTCGCGGAAGATGATGGGGATGCCGCCGAGCTGCATGTACAGGATGCCGTAGCAGAAGCTGGCGTAGAGGGCGACGAGGAAGCAGATTGGGGTGAGGAGCAGCTGGACGGGGCGGACGAGGAACTTCTTGCACAGGTCCTTGACGTTGACGTCCCACTCCTCGAACTTTGCGTGCAGCGCCCAGTTGCCGCTCTCGTGGCGCAGGCGGCGCGCCTTGTAGACGAGCAGCTTGGGCGGGTAGCTCTCGTCGATGAAGACGACGGCGATGACGAGGACAAAGGCCTGCAGGATGCCGGTGAGGTACTCGGTCCAGCGCCAGCCGAGGGAGGCCTGCTCTGCCACGGCGGCAGATACAATGGGGCCTTTGGGAGATGTGGGTTAGCTGGGAAACAAAGGGACAACCCGGGGGTGATTTTTGAACCCGTCGTTATTTGTATAGGGGGGGGGGGACTCACCTAACGAAGGGCCTCCAACGACGGCCATTGCGTATCCAGCCATGGCAATGCCTCTGTATGCCGGCGAGTACAAGTCGCCCAAGACGCCTCCCGTGTTCGTGACCGGCGCAGACGAGAAGAAGGCGCCAAAGAAGCGCGTCAGCATCAGCGTCTGCAGGTCCTTGGCCGTGGCGCTGCCGAAGCTGAAGCAGATGGCCACCAGCATGGGAGCCATGACGGCGATGCGCCGGCCATAGACCTCGCTCAGCGGCGCCCACAGCAAGGGGCCGACTCCGAAGCCGAAGAGAAACAGCGTCGTCCCCAGCGTCGCCACCTGGGTTCCAACGTGGAACTCCTGGGCGACCTGGATCGTGCCCGCCGAGTAGGACGACGACGCCCAGGTCGCCGTCATGGTCACGAAGCCATAGAGGGCCGTGGTCAGCACCTTTTTGTGCGTGGGCCAGTTCAGCGGGTGGTAAGGGTCGTCAGGCCCGTCAAAGTCGACAATCTGGTCCTCCGTCGTCGGGATGTGCGCCAGCGGGTGCGTGAACTGGATGGGAGGCCGCGAGCGCAGCCGCGACAGGACCGTGTCTCGCCGCGACAGCGTCTGGTCCAGGGCCGTGCCCGTCCCCCGAGCAGATCCCGGCCGCGATCGGTCTCTGCTGGTCCGGGACGCGTGAGACCGGATCTCGCGAAGCGCCGGGCGGTGGCCGTCCAGGTCGTCGGCCTTTTCCTGCTCGTCCCCTGGGCTCGCGCTGCGCTCCATCTCCTCTTCGGAGCTGTCAGAGAGCGTGGCGGTATCACGGACTTCGGATCGGGATCGGGACCGGGACCGGGATCGCGGCCGTCCACGGGCCTGCTCTTCGTCGTCTGGCATGGTGAGAGCGTTTAGAGCACGCGAGGTGCATTTGCTAAAAAGCAGCCAGATCCAACAATGATGAAGCGACTTGATCTTGGCGCATCACCAGATTCCGGATCGTGAGCCAAGGACGGAGCATCCATTTATATAAGTGCCTGACTAGCGGTAAATCTTGCCGGGAAGAGGCATGCAGAGTCCCTGGGGCTGTAAGAACGCAAAAAGCCGAAAGCCGGAAGGGAAAGAAATCCCACAAGACCCTTTCGACCGCTGATTTCTAACAGCAAACGACCCAGAAGCGATAGTAATCCAGCCAACAATGGGCAAGGAATATTAACAGAAGGGGGACAAGAAGAAGAAGAAAAAATCTGATCCCAGTCGCCTTCGAACGTCTTGCCGTCGTTATTCCCGGTCCACTTCCCGGCTCAACGATGCCGAATGGTTTAGGGGGGGGGGGGGGCTCGAGTTGACGTCAATGCCCGGCTCGATGCCACAAAGAGAGGGAGGCGGCGAAAGATGTAAAGGCGAGCCGAGGACGGGGCCGATGCGACTCCGTTGCAGTGAGTTTGCATGGCAGCCATTGGTCACAGGATGGGGGAAGATTGGGGAGCTTGTCCGTTTGTCTGTCTGTCTGGATGGGTAGACGCCGATTTAGCCCGTCTTTATTCGGCTACTTGCTTGATAATGCTGACCTGGGCGCAGGTTCTCGTGGTTGGTTGGCCAGGGCATCCAGATAGAGCTACACGATGTACAGTACAAGTAACTACGGCAAGGGGCTAACTGCAACTGGTCAATGACAAGGTAGGGGGGCAGGGGCCTGAAGGCATCGAGTGTCACCCTCTCTGGTGAGATCCGGTCATGGCTCTGGTGTTGAGGTCAAGTGGACATGTCGTGACCGAGTCCCCTTGCCGAGGAAATCGATCCATCCCTTGTCAGCTAATGGTGGGACCAGCCCTGCAGCCCGCCTGGGCTCGGATCTGGCGCTTTTTCTTTGTTAGTTGGTCGATTGTTGGTTGAAGCCGTGAGACTTGGGCATCACCAGCCACGGCAATCTACATACTATCCCATGGACTACACCAGGCGATCGAGCCAATGCCAAGACAGCACGGGAATCGCTCATCAAACGGCTCTACCTCCATAACACTTGCAAACCGAATTTCAGTTGGCTCCTCGACTGCTGGTGAGGCTGTGGTTCATATTTCTCTATACCCATCAAGGGGAGGCCTTTCCCCACTACCCTACATTGTTGACCATAGGTATGTATGTACGACGCAGCGAAAAGGAGAACAACTCAACCAAAGACAGCCCCCTTTTCACCGCTGACAGACTGGTCATTTTGACAAGATGCCGTCACATCAAGGGTGGTACAAGTATTTTCACTTATTTACCTACATATGTACTCTTATCGAAGATAGTCATTCAAAGTTGTGAGCCAATATGGACATAAATGGTTCTCGGCTTCTAAGAACAAATCATATTGCATAGACCAACTGCCAGAACATGGTAAAAAAAAAAAAAAAAAGGGCAGCATGCCATAGCAATGCTTCAAAAAACTGCAAAAATCAAACCGAGTCAAGACAGACCTTGAGCTATCACACGCATTCGAATGTCGAGACCAAGATCCAGAGAGAGGAAAAAAATGAAAGCTGACGAGAGTGGGACTCGAACCCACGCGGATTGCTCCACCAGGAATTGCTGTTAAGGTAGCCTTAACCTGACGCCATAACCAACTCGGCCATCTCGCCGATTTCATGCACATGTGTGTCCTATTACCGTATATGGAGGGTGCATTGCAGGGAAATTGTTGCATCTTCAGACATTCTTTGCTTGTCAATGCCTCTTCATAGTATAGTAGGACGTTCACTGTCAAGGGCAATCTTTTTTGTTTTTACTGTCAGAGAAGAACAATTTGAGACCTTTGACTATTGGAAACAGCAAAGACGCTCAGAATCGCTTACAAGGCGCTTCAAAGAAAAAATGAACTCATGCTACGGCTGGAGCAGATACACCTACCTACCCAGAGTCAAATAATTTATATCAGGAGCCTCTATTCCGAATCCTTAAACGCCCCCAGCTTAAACAGCCTCTTTGCATTATCCTTGCCAATCTTCCGCACATCCTCCTCATTCTTCAACGTCACTCCATCATACCAGTCACACGCATCCCCAAACGACTCAAACGGATAGTCAATCGAGAACAAGATCCGGTCCGCACCGCCCAGCTCCGTGATGCAATACTCCAGCGTCGGCGTCGAAAAGTGCCCGCTCGTCGTGATCCAGATGTTGTGCGCAAAGTACTCCCGAATCGTCTTCTTGCAGTCAAGGCCCAGCGGCTTCTTGACGTCCTCGAACCAGTGGTTGATCCTCCACAGGTCAAAGGGAATGTGCTCGCCCAGGTGGCCGATGATGACCTGCAGCTTGGGATGCCGGTCAAAGACGCCGTTGGTGACCATGCCGAGGAGATGCAGGCTCACGCCCTGGGCGAAGCTGAGAGGCGGGCCGATGAGCCACTTGCGCTTGGCCCAGAGCTTGTCGTGGATGGTTCCCGTGGGATTCCGCGGGTGCAGGTAAAAGGGGACGTCGAGCTCGGTGACGGCGGCCCAGAAGACGTCCCACTCGGGGCCGTCGTAGAAGATCATGTCGTCTCCGTCGTCGCCGGCTCGCTGCGTGTCGTTGACGAGGGCGCCCTTGAAGCCCAGCTGGGTGACGCATCGTCTCAACTCGGCCGCTGCCTCGGCAGGATCATGCATAGAGAGCGTGCTATGTATAGGTAGGTGCCCACGGTCAGCAGCTGCAAGCCTTGAGGCATGGAATATCAAAAAGTGCCCCATGCGTTGTCTTAGCACTCACGCCAAAGCGCCGAATCGATCCGGATGGTCCTTGATGGCACCCGCAATGTAGTCGTTGATTTCTACAGCAAAGGCCTGCGCTTCCTTGCTGTCCCAGATATCCTGCACGCCCGGTGCCGTGTACGAGAGTAATGTGTAGCCCACGCCGTGCTTGTCCATGTAGGCGATGCGCGTGTTGGTGATGTCTGTCATTTCGTGTGCGTGCTTGTCAGGGTTGACGGCGAAGAGCGAAGCCCACCACCTCGTCTTTTCCTGCATGCGAGGGAGGGCGAATGCCTCTTCCAGAGCTACCTTGCCGAGCATCTTGGTTGGTGTTTCTGAGTATATACGAGGACAATTCTATAGACGCAAGAATAGACAGAAAACTGATGGCAACGAATTTGAAAAAAGGGGTTGTAAGTCCATGCACACAGGTTGATACAGTCACTGTTATAAGAAAGAACCAGCCGGCCTTTACATACTCATCGGCACCGAATATTGTTGCAACTCCCACACGACAAAACGGGCACAAGACGGGAGCTTACAACGCCAGGACTTGCACCCCTCATCTGCTGTCCCTCTTCCGCTCAATGGCGGCTCAAGCCCCTAGCAACTCAATACTATTCTGGCGACTATCGGCGGATGACGTCTCAATCCACGAAGGGGGTTTAATTGTAGGTAGTAGCCCCATCAACAGATCGAAGCTAGGAGTGGACTTGGATCCCGATGATGGAGTCTCCCGCGCTCCGCCACACGAGCTAAGGGCTTCTGGAGGAGCGGGCTGCAGTGGGTATCGACGGCTGATGGGTCTGGAGATGGTTGGGATTTGATCCGAGAGGATCTCAGAGGAGGATGCGGGGGAGGGTGAGCCGGGTGTCTTTACCGCACAGTATATTTCGAGTATGAGACAGCTGGCGGATACGGTCACCTCATCAACCCTCTATCTGTTCAATCAAGCAAGACGCCGGCATCTCATCTCATCTCACCGGTGCTGGCAGATTGACCGCGTCATCGCTTGAGATAACGGCAGACATGCTCAAGCAAGGGATACATGCTCTGAACAAGTAGCTGGCCACCACCCCTGAGCATGCTCATCGCGCAAGCTCCGACGACCCGAGCATTCAGGATGAGCACCCGACCTCCCGCCAACAACGACTCTCCCAAAGCCGCCCCTTCATACTCACGCCAGATCGGATAACCCCCTATCCAGCCACTGTTCGCATCTGTCCATACAAGGCAAGCTATCGCGCGCGAGCCGACAAAGAAGAGCGCGAGATGCCACGCCCAAAAGTCCACCCGAGCCAGCGCCAGCGCGCCGCAGAGGCATGCAATTTCTGCCGCGCCTCTAAGAAGCGATGCAGTGCCACCGTTCCCTGCACCGCCTGCCAGAGGCGCGGCATCGGTGACTCGTGCCATCTCACCCACCGGCCTCGAGGCTTCCGCGCGGCGCCGCTGCCGCTGCCGCATCCGCCCCGGACACGGGCTTCGGCTCCGGCTCCGGAGCAGGTCCCGGGGTCGCCGAGCGGTGGAGACTGCGTCCCGGATGTCCTTCTTGGCGATGGTGCGTCGATGAACGATTCGGCGTGGGATCGAGAGGGGTTTGGACAGATGGATGCTCCCGAGTGGTGCTCGGTGAACGGCGGCGATGCCGACGGGAGCTATCGACCGCTTACACCGTCGGATTCTCGTGTGAGCGTCCCTGAGGGGACTGCCAGCCGATCTGCACGCCAGTCAGCACGCCAGTCAAGAGCACGGCGAAGTTCTCCTGCTCCGGAACCAGAGTCTCATGCTCGTATGCTTCTGAATCTACGAGGAGAACGAGGTACGTCGTGCTGTGTCTGATGGAATCGGAATGTTTGTCCATGTGAAGCTGACACGCCAGCCTTTAGTGTACATTGGCGAGGCTGCGTCTTTGTCCTTTCTCCAGCTGATACGAGATACCGTAACGGCACAGATCGGACCGTCACAGTTCTCTCATAATGAGAAGCGCGATAGTATGCTGGAGATGGAGCCTTCTGCGGCGGAGTCGAGCGGCTTGGGGACGGCCAGTTGTAACATTGACCTGGAGGGCAGTCTGCTGTATACACGGACATTTGAAGCTGCTGTGAGTACGCCCTTGACATACCTTGGCTTCCACATAGGGAGAGGATGATGCTAACAGTACATTAGACTGGCGGCCTATTGGACGTCTTTGGGCCAACAGAAATTGAAGATCTTCTCGTGAAAACCAAAACTGACGAGGCTCAATCCCTCAACCCGTGCCAGCATGCCTCCATCGACCTCGTCATAGCCATTGGCGCTCAGTGCAAGTCCCCCCTCGAAGCGCAGCAGGTCGGGCCACCGTATTTTCGACAAGCACAGCAGCGTGCCTTTGCCGGCATGCTGGAGGATCCAAACGTCGACATGGTTCGCGCATTTCTCCTCATGGCCTTTTACATGCTCGGCCACTGCCGGAGAAATACGGCGTTCATGTACTTGGGCATCGCGGCGAGAGCTGCGGTTGCTCTGGGGATGCACAGCCCCCATTCTTACACGGACTTGAAGGATCCCGTGTGTCAACATAGGTAGGCTGAAGTCGGTCATCTCATGGTCTTCTTTTTTCAAGGCTGACGAAGGCATAGGCTTCACATTTGGATGAGTCTCTGTGTTCTGGATATGCTTGTGAGCTCTATCCTGGGGAGGCCGCCTGCTACAGCTGGCCTCAGGGCGGAGCTTGACGCCGCAATCATCGGTTCCAACAGTTCGTCAGCTACGCGCCAAAGTCCACGAACCGCTGGCCTCTTTGCATCATACGAAATACTCACCATCATAAACGAAAGCATCGAAGCACTCTACGGCAGAAAAGTCTCCTCAACCATCACGGTGGAGCCGTACTTGAGCAAAATCGAAGCCTGGAGCAAACGCCTGCCCAGCTTTCTCCGCAACCCTCTCACGACGAGAGGAGATGCTTCTACCCAGAAAGCTGCAACGGACAGCATACACGTTGCCTGTCTCTACTACTTTGCCATTACTCTGGTCACTCGGCCCGTGCTGATATCGAGACTCACTTCTCGCCCAGATGTTTCCACGCCTTCGTCCTCTCCCCTGGCGTCTGCCTGTCTTGATGCGGGAGTGTATCTCATACAGGCGTGTTCAGAGGCGCATAAATCTGGGCTACTGCTGGGGAATATGTGCATCTTGAAGTAAGTCGTTCTTCTCCTGCTCCGTGCGAAACCTAGTAACGGGGAATAGAGCTCTCATATTTGCCGCTGGCCTCATACTCGGATTCGACATGTTTGCGAAAAAGGAGCTCGACTACGAAGTCGAAGTAGCCTTTCGCAGCGCCAAAGACGTTCTCGATTTCCTGGGCGTCCAAAGCCCCCAGGCTAGTCATTACTCTGAAATCCTCGGCCTATTGTCTAATGCAATCATGAAGCGACGCATGGAACTGTCATCGCGGCCTCGAAGCAAATACGTCGGGAAGCTATTTTCCTTTAATAGAGAGGGCCATTCGGACCACGATGACAGCGCTGGAAACGATGAAGCGCTGACTTTTGATGACCGTATCAGTACTACAGGAGTCACGGCTAGAGAGGTTGTTGGTGAAGTTTGGGGTGCAGATATGCCGGCCCAGGCGGCGGAGATGGGGGGAGACGTGTTGCGAGGTTGGGACGGGTTGGAGCTGTCTCAGTGGGATAGCTTTCCTTTCTTTAATCCGCGGGCGTTTGGGTTCTGATATGGCTATCATGGGGGAATGGCCTTCACTACTGAGGAGGGGATAGCCAATGCAATCATCTTGTTGAAGCTCATGCGCTGTGGAGGTCTCGGTATGAGAACGAAACTATGAGACCCATATGCAGCGGTAAGGATCTTGCTGCGCATGGGAGAGAAAGTAGTTCAAGTGATACATCATCTTTCTTATCAACACTGAAACTGCAATTGTGTATTCCACAGTGCGTCGGATAAAGCACTCTATTGGTGTCTTATCGGCTTGGTGATGAGGTGTGACAGGCACAGAAGTGCGTACACATTGCATCCCGTGCCTACCCAGCACGTCGTCATCCAACAGCCAAAACTTTGCATTCCTGTCCCGAATACGCCGGGATCAGACAGTTTGGAGCTTGCATATACGACAGAAGAGGAAAATTCCCGACCCAGTCGGACGGGATCAGACATGCGCCCCTTTCTGCGGCTTACACCAAACCATGGAGCGGCTATGGCACCTCCATCGAACAAGGGGCGCAGCCGCCAACATCCGCGATAAGCCTCTCAGCTTGGACACAGCACTGACGTGGATGGCTTGGATCACGGGGAATGAGAGAGATAACATGTGAAGGATTGAGCTGAGTTGATGATGACGAGAAGAGAGTTCCTTTTCCGATCCTTGACGAGGCGGGTGAAGCAGAGGCACATGCGAAGAGAATAGATAAAACTTGGGGCTTCACCCAGCACACCGCAACTACTTTCGCCAACAGAGTGTTTGATACATGTATATTGTCTGCACGCCAGATAGCCAACATATCATCATCATCATCATCAACAACTCTCTTCCACAACTCACAATGGGCTCCAATCCACCCTCCGGCTGGCGCCGCCTCAGCATCGGCATCATCGGCGGCGGCATCGGCGGCATGTCCGCCGCCATCGCCCTCCGCCGCGCCGGCCACGACGTGACCGTCTACGAGAAGCACGACTTCGCCGGCGAGGTGGGCGCCTCCGTGTCGTGCGCCGCCAACGGCACGCGCTGGCTGCACGAATGGGGCGTCGACGTGGCCAAGGGGGATCCCGTCGTGCTCAAGAAGCTCATCAACCGCGACTGGAAGACGGGCGAGCCGGTCAGCGTGTACGACTTGGACGACTACGAGGAGCGGTGGGGGTTTGTGTACAACATGTTTCATCGGCAGTATATGCATGCCATGCTGAAGGATTGTGCGCTGGGCGAGGAGGGCAAGGGGCGGCCTGCGAAGTTGAGGGTTAACCATCAGGTACGTAAAGTGGCGAGGTATATAGGCTGGATATAAGGGGGAGAAACTGACATGTTTATTACCCGCAAAGTGCCAAAGCATTGACTCGAACACTGGCAAAATCACCTTCACCAACGGCGTCACAGCCCAGCACGACCTCGTCGTCGGTGCAGACGGCATCGGCTCCGTCGTCCGCCGCGAAATCGGCATCCATCCGGCCAAGCGGCCCTCGGAACAGAGCTGCCTGCACGCAAACGTCACCACGGAAGAGGCCGTCAAGCTGGGCCTCGTCGACTACTCGCAGCACAGCGCGCTCGAATACTGGGGCGGACAGGAGGGCAAGTGGGACAAGATTGTCCTGTCGCCGTGCAATGGCGGCAAGCTGCTGTCGTACTACTGCTTCTTCCCGCGGTCGGTGGGAGATTACTCTTCGCATACTTGGGGCAATGATGATAGGCCTGTGGAGGAGCTGCTGGCGCCGTATCCGGACCTGGATGCGCAGGTGCTGGCGCATCTGAAAATTGGAAAGGAGATTCGGCCGTGGCGGCTGTGGGTGCAGTGAGTTTTTGTGGGCATCGGGATGTTGCCTGGATGCTGTCTGCTGACTTTGAGGATATAGTGATCCGTATCCTTATATTCACAAGGGCGTGGTCTGTCTGTTGGGTGATGCTGGTCACCCGGTATGTTGCCCCTGAAGCTCGCAGCTCTGAAGAGATCCCACCAACTAACTCAACACGACTAGATGATGCCACATCAAAGCCAAGGCGCGTGCATGGCCATCGAAGACGCCGCCGCTCTGGGCATCCTCTTCAGCGAAAACTACTTTAGCGGAGATATCAGCGAAGCACTGGCGGTGTATGACGCCGTCCGGCTTCCGCGAGTGACGAGGGTGCAGTCTGCCGCGGCCAAGGCGGCTTACAACATTAACGAGAGGATTGGTAAGTTGACTCGAGCAGTTGCGCCCCCATATTGTTAGTCAGTGCTGACTGTGAGATGTTGTTGAAGGCTTCTCGCAAAACAAGGATATCCCGACGTATCAGGTCGAGGATGAGAAGAAGAAGCTGACGATTGAAGAGATGAATGCGTAAGTTATTGTCATAGGGTTTAGGCATGAGTGATGGGCTAATGATGGAACTAGGTACGACATGTATAAAGATATTGAGCAAGCTCTGGCTGAGAGGCGTGGAGCTGCGTTCCGAGAAAAATACATCCGGGGGCTGCCGGTTGGACTGGAGCTGCCGAGTGGGATCATAATTGGACAGGAGGCATAGATCGGGGAGATGAATGATGTTGATACTCTTCTTGGAACGTAGGCTCGGAAGCGTGTAAATATAATTGTACAATTTATCAATGACTTTGCAAGGATCCCTCATCATATATCGAGTGTTATTTTGTTGTTGTTGAGATGTTAGCTGATGTTGTTTTCAGTCAACGGCCGTTCATCAAGAGAGCATGTAGGGATTATAGTCATTAAGTCAAAGCCAAAGACCTTACGATATGCATTTCTTCACTCTTCGACCCGTCAAGCTCATCAGTAGAGGCCGATATGCAGTCGGCACGACACACATCATGCTTCAATGTCTTTGCTACTACAAGCAATTCCAATCTTCGCTATCATGACAAATTACAGTTCATACATGGTCTCATTCATGTTCCAGATTAGTTCTTCCTTGCCAGCTTTACATCATATTCCAAGTCCCACTGTGCCTTCGCATCTCCCTCACGGGGCTTGAACTCGACAGTCAACCCATCTTTCACAGCAAACACGCTGTCGTCTTCCAGATACTTGGAGTCTTTGTCGAATATCTGAGTTGTCAATGAACCGTATCCTTCGGCTTCGACCTATAATGGACACGTTAGCGTGATCATAGTAGGAGCATAGTATGGGATGATGTCTCTTACAATGAGATGGATGTGCGCGGGCCGGTACTCGTGGCGATCCATGAGCTTCAGCAGCTTCCCTGCCGGGCCATCAAAGGGGATCTATATAAATCAGCAAGTTAATGATGCACTCTTATATGACAACGTACGACTTCCCTCTTCACTTACAGGATAGGGCGTGGGGCGGAGACAGTAGAACGAATATCGACCCTCCGCATCAGTGATGAACTTGCCACGCAAATTGCAGTCAATCTGATCCGGATCCTGCTGCTCGTACAGTCCTGTTGTGCCGCTCTCCGTCAGTACCCAGCCATTCAATCAAACAACCTCATCAAAAGAATCTCACCATTCGTCGAAGCCTGCCAAACGTCCACTGAAGCATTCGCCAGAGGCTTCCCCGTCTCAGCGCACGTCACCTGGCCATGCATATACGCCACCTGTCCGTCCTTTGGCGTGTTAAACGTGATGGTGCTGCCATTCTCTCGAACCGGCGCATCAGCACGCCAAAAGGGCCCCAGGATAGCAGACGACGTGGGCGGCTTGTCTGCCTTGCTGGCCTCTCTGTATGTGATGTCGTCCACAAGTCTGGAATGTCGTTATGTTCAGTTTCCCCTCAATCACTAGTATAGCCAACATGTGATGCATATCGAGTGCCTCAGCGAGGGGCCAACTTACGATTCCAGGCCAATGACATCGCACAGCAGCTGTCCCTCGTTGCGCCTCTCGTTGCTCATCCGGCCTGCCCAGTTGATCATGTCTACGCCCGCCAGCCATTCGTCCGTTGTGAGGTTGACCTCGCGCGCGAAGTCGTGGACGTGCTGGATGAGGGCGGACAAGACTGTGCGCATTCGGGGGGAGGTGTTGGGGCCCATGGCTTGGATGACATGGCTGGTGAACTCCTGGCCGAGGCCTTCACTGGTTGGTTGTGAACCCATTTCTTAGTATACGTGGAAACTGTGTGTTTACTTGTCGACTGGATCCAAGTGAGATATTGTAGTCAAAGAACGCTGGCGTTGATGCTTCACTGAATAGCGAGTCGGATCAAAATCCTCAGAGATGTAGGGCCTTGCTTATAATTCAGATACTTGGACACTCAGACGGACCGCCTCAAAACGACCCAGTTCGTAAATCAGCATTATCAAGAAACGCATAAGCCAAAGCTGCCGCCTACATGCCGTACGCTTCGCCTCCAGCTGTGCCGCCGGCCGATATCCGCCTCGCGGGGTTCCCCAGATCCGACAGTGGCTGCAGGGTCGGATAACATCCCGGGACCCCCTGAAGCTGGGGACAGTCGACGCTTTCCCCGCAAACAATGGGCGACTCATTGTCCTTAGCGAGGAACTGATTGGGAGACTAAAAGTTCCATGTGAACGCTCTCGACCTCTCACCGGTCGTGGATTACCATTCAGCTCTAGGGGTGGTTTCTCCCTGTCGGATATTATCAATGGTGCCATGTCCAGGGTTGTGTCACCTGTGTTCGGGTATCTTGTGAGAACACTCCGTGAACCCTGAAAGCCACTGATGCTCTATGATCCTCAGTAATCTGCGACAGTCATCATAAGAATCACGAAACAGTAAGTTGAGAGAATCAAATGTAACCAAACGTTCTTCATATCTTCCATGTCTATGGAATCGACGTCTACTCAAGCCGATAGTCCTTCTCCTCACCAACCTCCCACGTCGCCTCATCCGAGCCATTCGGCCGACTCGCCCGTCTGAACCCCAGCTCCAAGCCCTCAACCTCCACCACCGGCTTCACCACATGCACCTCCGCCTTGTACTTGTCGGCATACCACTTATCCAGAAACTTTGGATTCTCTACAAAGCCAGGATAGACCTCCCGCATCCGCCGCAGCACGGTCCCGGAGATCTGGTCCACGCTGTTGTGGTACCGCAGCGCAAGAACTTCTGGGCCCATGGTGTCGCGGAGCTTCTGCTGGACATGCTCCGGCAGCAAGCCGACTTTGAACAGCAAGAGGTCGTAGTGCATGAGACTGGCTTTGCCGTGCCACGAGCCTCCGCGGGTTGCTCGGTGATAAAGGCCGACCAGCGCGGTGATTGCGCCAATGCAGCCTGTTCCGTAGTCTGATATGGGAAAGGGGGGCACCATGGGCTCGTTGCGGCCCATGAACTTGCCCTGTTCCCAGGCGATGCCCGTCACCTGAACGATTCTGCTGTCAGCGATTTCATATTAGGTGAGAAGTAAGAAGACATCTTACACAGTCGGCAATCTGCTGCCATCCAGCTCGGTGCGCCCACTCGCCTTCATAACCAAAGCAGTTCTCGTTGACATAGACGAACCCCTTGCCTCTCTTGATGGCCAGTTCGGACAGCTGCTTTGGTCCGTAGCCCAGCTTTTCAATGGCTCCAGGACGATAGCCGTCGACCACGACGTCGGCCTCACCCAGTAGCGTTTCAAACGCTTCTCTCCCTTGCGGAGTCTTGAGGTCCAAGTCCGTCGCTCGCTTGCCCATGTTGCCGTCGACCTGGAAGAATGGCACGTCGCTGAGGTTCGGGCTCGTCACCTTGATGACTTCGGCGCCGTATTCGCCGAGAATCCTGGTGATTGTTGGTCCGGCAATGATTCGACACAGTTCCAGAACCTTGATGCCGGATAGCAGTCGATTGCCCTGATGCTCTGCGAGAGGTATCCGCGGCGTTTGATCCTCCAAGCCCTCGACCGACCATGGCGGAAGCGCAATATTCGCCTTGCCCTATCAAGGTCGTCAGCTCACGCTGTCTCAGCCCTCTGCTAGTTGGTCAAGCTGCGACTCTTGAACTTACATGAGGAGTCTTGAGAAAGTCGGCGTGAGTAAATGCCTTGACACCAGCTTGTCTATGCTCCGCATTCAGCTTCTCGAGCTCATCCACTGTAAATTTCTTCACCGCGGACTCAATCGTCTGCACAATGTCTTCGTGCGTCTTCAAGTCAGGCCGAAAGGGTTCCAGCCCAATCATTCGCAGCGTTGTCGACGCTTCCAGCGAGCCGTGGATGTGATAATATTCGTTGGGGGTCTTGGTGGCGTATAGATTGGCAGACATGCGGCGATACGGATCAGACTGCGCTTGAAGCAAATCCGTGTCTGGCCATACATCCAGATTTAGCGAATCGGTTATTCACATGTCTTGTCGACTGTAACACACCTTTGAGTAGCCCCTTCACTTCCTTGTCAAGCTTCCCATATCCTCCAACCCTGGCCAGGTATGCTTGAAACAGAAACGCCGTCGTCTTCTCAAGGTCAACCACGATCTTCCTATTTGACGGAGATTCGCCCTGCCGCGTATCGGCGAGGAGAGACGCAACCGAGCCTTCAATAGCCTTCAGCGCAGCCGCTGTTTCCGTCTCTTTGAAAGGGATGGGGAAGTAGGGCAGATCTCGCTCCGCGACAAACTGGACATGGTCCGCTCGACTAGCTACTCCAGCGGGTAGCGATATGGGGTCGAATTCCTTGCGGAGATAGTGCAGGATGTCAAGGGCCTCTTTCTTGGAAGAGTACGCGGGTGTTGACTCTCCGTTCATGATGGATGACGAAACCTAGCGAAATCTATGAAGACGATTGAGGTTATGATATCTGATGGCGCTCGGTACATGCAAGGTTGTCCCTCTGCCGCCGCGCTGTGAAGTTTGGAGCGGATGCTGTGTTTGATGGTGTAAAGCAGTGTGTATAAGTCGCCGGCTGGGAAATAAAAAGAGGCAAGTAGACCACTCGATGCCGCATCCAAGATCTCTACGCTGAACATTAATCAAGAAGTATTCCAAGTAGATTTCTTCAGAGAATAGATGGATCTCTGAATCTGCTCAAAGTGTTGCAATCCGGGGTCCTCACCGAACCCGAACCGGATCCCGTATCCGATCTTCAAATGCCGGACTCCGACATCAGTGGGGGTCGCCCTTAACCGACGGACCTGACATGTCACACTCCATCTTACATCATTGTCTCTCCCCTCATTCTGGTGGCTTTTTTCTTTGCCGTTTATCTCTAAAGAGAGTTGGATATCCGTTGGCGGAATCGAAACACCCCCGAGGCATCCCATTGTACCGCGTCTATCCGCTTGCTTAAAAACAATCGTTCTACCCTAGGGTTAAGTCATAGTCCATCCATCTGTCAGAACGAGGATTGGGGCGCTGACTAGCTCTTTCGTCAAAGAATTACCTATCCCAAGATCAGGAGTCTATTCCTGGAGAAGCCCAAGCCATGCCATTCCTCAAGCTGCAAGACCGAGACCGGCAGCTGTACTACACTTTTACGGCTCCCCAAAACGAAGCTTCGTCTTCAAACAGAATAGCAACCATTGTCCTCATTCACGGCTTGGGCTCTTCCAGCTCCTATTATGCTCCCATTATCCCAAGGCTTGTAGAAGCAGGATACTCCTGCCTAGCACTCGACTCTCATGGTCGGTTCATTTGCCCCCCGCTGTTTCACGATATTGCAAACTTATGGTGTCGATACTGATGAGAAAGCAAAAAAGGCTCTGCCTTGACCAAATTGACTGGTGAGGGCGGCGATCTGAAAACCATCATTGACGACATAGGAGCCGCCATCTCAGCCCACGACATTCCACCCAGCCGCGCCGTGATAGTAGGCCATTCCATGGGCGGAATCGTAGCCCCCGAAGCTGCTCTCCGCTACAAATTCGCGGGCACAATCCTGCTCGGACCCGTGTTCCCCAACGAAGCCCTCACAAAGAACCTCGAAGAAAGGATTGCCAAGGTCCAAAAAAGTAGGAACTTCAGGGACAGCCTTGGCTACTGTCCTAGTTCAATAACTGATTTGCTTTTTCATTTTCGCAGACGGCATGGATGCCCTAGTCGACACGATCCCCAAAGTCGGGACAGCACCGTCGTCCACGCCCCTCCAACGCGCATTCATCCGCACTCTGCTCCTCGCCCAAACCCCAGAGGGCTATATTGCGAATTGCAAGGCAATTTGCAATGCCTCCATCCCCGATTATGCGAGCATCAAGACGCCGCTTCTGCTCGTGAATGGCGCCGAAGACGTGGTTTGCCCGCTGCAAAACTCGCAAAAAATATACGATGCGTGAGTGCTGCTCTTGTTCTGTCTTGTTTATCACACAGGCTGCTGACCCTTTGCAAAGATGGGGCTCCGCGGATAAGCATCTGCAGATACTCGAGAGGACAGGTCACTGGTACTGCATCGAGGCACCCGAACAGATTGGCGATGCCGTTGTGAAATTTGTAGATGGTCTAAAAGTCGAATAATCTGCTCAACTCCTGATTACCAAAGTCGCCCGTATTCAAACGCATCTCACACTCTTAGACTACGCCACCTACGACGTACCAAGATCACACACATTCGATACCTACCTCATATATGCTTTCTAAGCACAGCATGAAAGTCAATGTACAGTCATGGTTGAATTCTGGTTGCGTGGACCGAGCAGCAAAGGAGTGTTGTGACCTGTTTGACTGATGCTGTTTAGGATACCAGGTAGCACCAAGGTGTTACACGTCTTCCAAAGCAATCGCAATGAGTTTGAAATGATCCCTCGAGATCAGCTTAAGCTCGCCATTCCAGCCACCTTGAACCCCAATATCACATCCGTCTCTTCCAGAAGAACCTCGGTGCTAGCAGGTGATCCTGCGCGCTGCTCTCGGGTTGATCCCTTGAGTACTCCGTAGAGCTTCCATGTTCATACACTCCCCCTTGGTATCATCTGACATGGCTTTGAAATACCGCGGTCCGTCTCACTGCTGGGTTCCGCCGGGCTCTCATGACGACGTCTGCTGTGTGGCGTCCAGTCCGAGCAAGGCATAAGTACATGTATATTATGCTCCCTTTCTTAATCGAGCGGTTGTTATAAGAGAGAAGAGAACACATGCGACAAAGTAGGTGTATGTATGTATGTATCACTCTCTGTTGACTGTTTACAATGGTCAAAGTATCGAATGCGTTTGATTGATAGACATCTGGTGTGTTCATCACGAAATTCAGTGTCCAGTCCAGCCTGCTTCTTTAGATGACCGTCACTTCTGGTGGTTTCTGTGGCGGTGGACGCCAAGCTCCAACCTTGAAATCGCCACACATGCAAGCTTTACATAATTAGGGCAAGGCAGAGCCAGGCCTCGGGTATAAATTCACAGCCTTCCACCGCATGGCATGCGATCAGATACATGCAAATTACCATATACAGGGGCCCTACGCTGGACTATTAAATCTGTTCTTTTAAATCACTGGGCCGATGACGCCCATGTTGGAGGGTTGGGCGGAGGCCCGTATGGACGTCCTTGAGGACTCCATCAAGGGACGCTGGGGGATTGGGGAGAGGAGCGCGAGCGCGTTTCCTTTCCCCCCATCATGGCCAATGATGATTTTGGTACCCTCCTAAGACTGAGGCCAGAAGGAGATTCCCCTGACAGCGTTGTGTTGTCGCGTCATGATACTACTGCTGCAGAAATAGCCGAGACTGGGACCTGGAGGGGGTTCATACCCAATGGCATCTCAACTCTGATCATGGCTTTTTCTCACAACTGTCGTCTACCTCCCTAGTCATCGCCTGGTAATCAGGACTACAGATGGTTCGACCACCTCGTTTGCCCAGACGGTTTCGAAGATCATCATGATGCCGCTACGCCATAGTACACTCTGTACACATACGAGCACTGCCTTTTGCAGGTAGATACTACAACGCACGCCAATTGGTTTGCAGAAGAATAAGAGATTGAGGAACGATCAGTAGCGCAGGGAAAGATGTTGTACACACATCTCAGCCACGCTGAAGCAGTCGGATAAGTGAACATGTTGCCTGAATGTACGCACGTATCGATGCTGCGCTTACAGCCTCACTTTCTGCAGACTCTTAGCATGCCACACCCACGCTCGCCAAGGGGATGCCCAATTGTGTCCAGAAGCCTCAAGCAGATCAATCACGAGTGAACCAATCCTGCTAGTTGGTACCTCGTATAAGGCGGACTACCTACGTACTGTCGAACTCACCATCCGAACATGATATGATGGCTCTACGTCATTGATTCTCTGTAATATAGTGGTCAGTATCAAGTTGAAAACTGGAATGGACGCATGACCAGCCAGTAACAGTCCGAATACCATTCAAATCTTCGATCCCCTCTGGCGGCTGTGCAATGCTCTCAAATCTTTCCTCAAAATCTTCCCCGTGGGACTCCTAGGAATGGCCTCGATGAAAATCACACCCCCTCTCAGACGCTTATAATCCGCGACTTTGCTCCGAACGTAGTCGACAAGTTCAGCTTCTGAGACGCTGCCCTTTGCTCCCGATGCGAGAGCGACGTATGCGATAGGAACTTCCGTGTCCTCTCGTTTCGTCCCGATGACGGCGGCATCGGCCACGGATGGGTGAGCTGTAAGGATGCCCTCAAGTTCAGCTGGCGCAACCTGGAGTCCCTTGTACTTTATCAATTCCTGTGATGTGTTCAGTACCTAGGATGCTTCGGACAGTTGTCAAGATCCAGCCAGGCCTTACCTTTTTCCGGTCAACCAGGTAAAACACGTCTCCCTCCATTTTAAGGACATCACCTGTTCGAAACCAGCCGTCCGTGGTAAAGGCTGCGTTGTTGGCATCTGGGTTGTTGTGGTATCCTTTGGTGACCATTGGACCTTTGAGCAATGCCTCGCCTGATTGTCCCTCTTCGACGTCATTATCGTTCTCGTCAACCAGCCTGTTTCGCAGATGACTTGTTAGCAATTTCCTTCGGCACTGCTTGATGTGTGGGAGCATCCGTACCTCAGGCTGACATTCGGCAGCAGCGGACTCAAGCTCCCCATGGTATCAGTCCGGTCAGGTGGAGTATAAGTGACAGCGCCCGTCGTCTCACTCAGCCCCCAGACTTGGTAAACAATCCCCTTGAGCTTCTTGCTTGCTGCTTGCTGCAATTCATAACTCATCGGCGCCGCAGCAGACGTCGCATATTCGACGCTCTTAAACTGATCTTTGACTGCGGGATGTTTGGCAATGGCCATGAATATGGGCGGCACAGAGAAGAAGAATGTCGGCTTGAGCTCTGCAAAATATCGAACGAAATCATCAAAGTTGAAGCTTGGCATCCAGTAAGTCACGGCTCCATCGTAGACAGCATTTACGAAATAACTCTGCAAGCCGGCAATGTGCGCGGCGGGCAGGTGGCCGAGCGTGGATCGAGGAAAATCTCTGCCTATTCGTTCCCAGGCTTCACGGCCCAAGGTGCTGGGGAGATAGCACTCGGAAACCATGTTCTGGTGAGACACGAGGACGCCTGTTTGATGTGAGTATCTTGCCCGTCACGATGTTTCTTACGGCACCTAGCCAGTGGTGAGATGTGCTCGTACCCTTTGGTAGTCCTGTAGTGCCTGATGAATAAACAATGCATGCCTTGCTGTTCTCGAGCTCCTCCGGATCAGAGATTCGTCTCCAGTCCAGAGATCCTCTGAAGTCGCATTCAATCTCGCCGTCAGCGCTCTTTAGCTGTATCTGTGGATGAGACTTTAACACCAGAACATTCCTAACAGGCAGTCCGGCTTCACGAGCAGCACTCAGAGCGACGCCTTTGACATCTTCACTGCTTACAACGACCTTTCCAGGACCATCCTTGATCTGCCTTGTCAAGTCTGACACCGTGGAGGAAGGTGATGCAGCGGAATAGATGCCCTCCGCAGCAAGCACCGCGTAGAGCACGCAGGCTAGCGCAGATTGTCCCGTAGATATCGATACAACCACGTCGCGCCCGGGTCCGTCGCTCCCAATGCCGTATTGATGGCGAAGGAAGTAGGCGAATTGGCGAGTCAAGTCGCGGACGCGTGCCTTGGTGATGGTTTGGGAGGGATATTTCGCCTCGGCAAATAATGGGTCATCGTCTTTTGCTCGAGAACCTTCATACTCTGGAGGAATATGTGAGCGTCAATGCTCGGTATACATGTAGATGGCGAGATGTGGATTGTGGCACTTGGAGGAGGTGGAGATGCCTCATGCAGAGTAGATGCTATGGTCAACCTACCGAACAGAAGAGTAAGAAGATCCAAGTTGGGTATTGTCATCCGTCTGGGGTTGGTATATATCATGATGCGGAATGTCGGGATGAAATAGGCTGCTTGGGATGATATCGATGATTCAATGTGTTCGATCCCATTCAAGATATGTGGCGATGCGTGTTACAAGTGAAACACCGCGGAGTTGGGACTCGTTTGGGCATGCATGGTCAATATCTAGGCAAACTGCATGTACCAGCTACAGCTCCCGCTCTCCAGCACCGCTTTCTCACGGCCGAGCCGAGGCCCATGCATCTGCTCAGATGAAAGATGGCGACAAATCTGTCCTAGGCGATATCCAAGTACCCAGCTTCTTACTATGTGTTTGTGTGTATGCCTACACTAACGAGCCCCAGAGGCGGAGAATCCTTTGCAACCAACATCATAGCCCCTCCTCAGGCTTCCCCGTATGTATTTGGCAGACCAAACCCTGCCAGTTGAGTATATACATGCAGAAAAACGGGGGCAAAAATGCACAGGCAAGGGGACACATCTCGGCAAACCGTTGGCTTGCTGGAGCGGGGAAGGGGAAGGGGAAGGGGAAGGGGAGGGCCTTACAGGGCACGTTCACATCTGTCTTCAAACCACCCCTCACTGAGACTTATCGACCTCGTAATATTACTCAATTCTCTTATGTCTTCAAGTCATTGGGAGACATATGTTGCTTTGGTGAACAACAAAGCTCTCGCTACGCTGGACAAGCTGCACCGTGATCATCACTTACACGAGCCTGTTAGTCAACCAGCCTCACACGGCATACCTTACTGAGGGGCCGAAAACAGCATCGACAGCTTTCAATGTCTCGACCCAACCATCAGCAACAAGACCTCCAGCAGTGACATTGCTATTCCTCAAAGCTTTCCCACATCCTATTGACCCTGATGATCAAACCTTCAGAAATCATGTACTGAATCGCATCAAAGGTGTCGAGCAAATCCAAGTCAAAAAGACAAACTAGCCGCACTAGCCTATATATAAGGCAAACTATCGCGTCAACTCGCATCCGAACCTGCTACAATGGCTCCAAGTCATTAATCTTCCGTAGTATAGTGGTCAGTATGCAAGCTTGTCACGCTTGAGACCCGGGTTCAATTCCCGGCGGGAGAGCGCCACCCTTTCAAAGGGTTCATCTTTTTTGCCTTTTTGCCCATTTTTTCTTCTTTTCTATAGACTCCTGAAGTATTCAAGTATCAGCAGGCTACAATTTTGTATATCATATGCTTCTTTTAATTTACAATATGTCTTCTATGCTATCCAGTGACCGCTGTAATATCCCAATGAACCAGCGAAATAGAGCAAAACACCATGGTATCATCATCATCATCATCATCATCACTTACAAGGCATCGCGCCACCTCTGCCTCAACGCCCTCTCCCACTCCCTGAAATCCTTCACCACGCCATCCCCCCAAAGAATCTCCCCCGTATGCAGAAACTGATTCAGCGGCGGCACCACAAACCACGCATGGTCGCTCCGGCAGACCACGTCCAGCCTGCGATCGCTCGTCCTGTTGCCCGGCTGCTGAATGACCCCGTGGAGGCACTTTTCGCAGTACGCCTCCACGCAGAACCGGCACAGGTAGAAGTTGTCCGCCATGGAGATGTTGTCCAGGCACTGCGCGCACGCCTTGTTGACCGAGGCCTGGATGTCGGGCAGCTTCGGCTCGATGCGCGTCCGCACGGGAGAAGCAAGGGGCGTCGCCAGGGCGGCTGCTCGGTTGACCTTTCTCATGGACCGGGCCAGCGCCAGCGCGTTGTCCGCGTCGTTGGCCGCTACAAAGGCCTGCAGCAGGTTTTCCGCGGCGTAGCGGTCGTTGCGCGGCTCGTCGTCCAGCAGGATGTCGAGGCTGTTGATGACGAGGCTGCCCAGGAGCTGCCGGGCCTTGAGCTCGTTCTTGAGCAGGCGGTGGAACAGGGCCAGATAGACCGACGCAATGTTCACGTCCGAGCCGTACTTGTCCGCCGGGATGTCCAGGTTCTGGTGCCTGCTCTGCTTCTCCTGCACCTGCTCCAGCTTGTCGAGCCACTCTCCAGCCTCGGGCGATGTCAGATCGACCTGCAGGATCTTTTGCTTGTACAGCGCCGATAGCCTCTGAAAGGACATTGCGTGTCCATGCCGCATGGGGACGTTCCCCCGCGGCCGATACTCGATCAGCGAGATTTGCTCGAAAATCGCAATCGCGGCGTCGAGATCGCGGTTGTACGCACACGTGTTTCCGTAGGCCAGGCGGAGATACAGCACGCCCATCTGGTTGCGTACCGTGTGAGCCGTCTCAATGCCAACCTCGTATTGGTGCAGTATGAACGCGACCTGGCCGACCTTGACGGCTGCTTTCGGGATCCATTCCATGACGAGCGGCTTGTCGCAGTTGTCCAGCAGAAGGCTGGTCAACAGAGTCGTCTCCTTGTCTTTCTTTCCGGTAGTCTTCTTCGCCATCTCCTGAAGGAGCTCAATGACCTTGGCATGCAGATTTTCCGTCGCCAGCATCTCCAAGTAACTCAGCTCTGCCTCAAACCGCTCATTCGAGTTCAGGTCTGCATCTGCTGCGCTGTCGATTGCCTTTCGAAAGTATTCCAGCGCGGCCTCTCTCCTCCCCGTCTTGTAGGAACACCGCGCAACAAGCAGGTAATCCTTGTACAGCCGCCATCTGCAGCTCGTCAAATGATATCCCTCCAGCGTGCCGTCTCGAATGCTCTTCTCCTCAATCTCTGCGCACTTGAGAGCTTGTGTTAGAGCCTCGCCATACTGCCCATACTTGGACAAGCAGTAGGCGATGCGTCCAGCGGTGCCCACGTTGTTGTGATCCAGCTCGAGCGCTTTGTTGTAGTGAATCAAGGCGTCACTGTGTAAGCCTAGCATGAGGTACGTGCTCCCAAGTCGTCGATGCCAGTGTGCAGTCTGGGGATAGTCCGCCCATTCGATGGCCTTTAGAACCCTCTCTCTGACGGGGGTCTCTGACCAGCCACTCTGGGCTTGGGACCAAGGCCGTTCATCACTCATGAATGCCACGTTTTGCACAATCTTGAAGCAGAAAAGCGTCGGCACATATTTGTAGTAGTCCTCAGAAAGCCACTGCTTTGCGTAGAAGCGGCCGATTGTTCGACAGATGCCGACATCTTCCTTGGCCGACTTGGTCACAAAGTCTCGTGCCTCGGGAGTCAGACTCGCCAGGACCTCGGCGTCGTTGAGCCACTTCCGAAGACCCTGGATGTTGGAGTCTGTAAACACCTCCAGCCCCTCGTTGTTCTTCTCATACATGATGCTCCAGTCGTAGATGATGTTCTCTACGGTCAGCATGTTATAGATGTGCATGCCCAGCACCCTTTTGTGCTCTGAGGGGACGCTCGCCGGATCGAGGGCCGCCAGGTGCTCTTGCCAGTACCACGCAGCATATTGCTTGATGGCTTCTCTTCCATGGTCCAGCTCTCGACTCTCGAACCAAGCTTTGTCGTTGAAGATCCGTAAACAGGTCTTTAATATGTTGATGCGAGCCGTCATCATGTCAAATCCCAGCACAACGCCCCCTTTCATCGCATGAATGCCGTTGGCATTTCCATCACGAAAGAATTGCCTCACCGAGGTATGTGAGAAAGTGACATACGTCGTGGATGGGTTCGACCGAAAGTCAACCTCGTTGGAAATGTCCCAGACTCCAGGACTTCGAGCCGGGCTGAAATGCCGCGTTGGGCTCGATATCCCGCCTGCAGGTGGGCTCGTCGAATGACTCCAGGCGCCTCTATCAACGGGACTCACCCTTCGGCCAGGGCTACTTGTGTCAGACAAGCTGAGGCCCCGACGCCGCGGGCTTTCGTTTCGAAAGTTCCTCTCCGGATACACCTCGCGCTGCGTCCGAGCAAAATCCTTGAGCAAATCGTCCGTCGTCAAACCGTCCTCACGCTCCAGCTCAAAGAAGCACGCATACTGGCCTCGCAACGACTCTTCCAACCGCAGCGGAGGATCTCCAAATTTCATGACGAGCGCAGCCTCCAACTGCTCCAGCGTGAGCGACTCCTCCGCGCAAGACACCCACTGCAGCATCTCGTTGAGGTCGCGAGCGTCTTCCTCCGAGATGGTGACGGAGAGGTTCGCCAAGGTCTCGTTGAGCATTCCGTTGATTTCCTTGGGGAACGACTTCAGGCTCTTGAGGATCGAGCTTGGATGCCGCTTCTGGTTGATCTCGTTCAACATAAACTTGGCCAGGATGAAGAGGCCGTCGACTTGCTTCTTCATGGACTCAATGACTTCTTGCTTAAAGTCTTCCGGGGACCGACTGAGGATCCTCGAATGCCGGACGCCCTCGGAGATGAAAGCACTCACGTCATCCGCGATTCGATCTGGCGTAACGTAAATGGTTGTAAACACCTGGCCGACTGCATTCGGGTCCATTGCAAAGGTCACGATGTCAGCCAAATAAGTCCTCCCCGTCAACGCAAACTGCACCTTTGTAGGCTCTGACTCATTCCCAGGCGCAAGCAGAGACAGGAGCTCTTCGATATCGCTCTGCTCTGCTTCGTCGATGCCGTCGAGGAAGACGTAGATGGGCTCGTCACGGGCATCATCCAGGAACGGCTGCACAAACAATCTCCTAAAAGCACTCGGCACCGTCTTGATGTCGTCGCTGCTATGGAGCTGTTTCGCAAGCTTCTCTGCGTAAAAGGCATCGGTTTCGCTGAGCTGATAGGCGACGTCACGCAGGGCCTGCAGCACGGATCTTGTCTCGGGATCGTTGGCAGAGAAGAAGAAGTAGCCCAGGTGAGGTAGGCTCTCAAGGCCCCAGGTAATAAGCCGTGATGTCAGGAACGACTTTCCAGTACCTTGAAATATGTTAGTGAGTACTCCCACGTTGGTGTTCAACGGGCATCAAGAGAACTTACCAGGATTGCCGCACATCCACAGATGGCGCGTCTCCCCTCGGAGCCAGGACTTGAGCCCTTCGTCTTCCAGCAGCCAGTCCCCGGTGCCTTGAACTCTGTACTTTGTGAATGCATCATACGAGTCCTCCCAATAAGGCGTAGGCTCCAGAATCTCCCTCACTTTGTCCCTGTAAGAAAGCGCCCCGTCCTGCTGCTCCCCCAGTCTCATATCCAATATGCTTTGGTTCATCTGCGCAACCAGATTCTCTACCTTGTCCGCCTTGAGATTGAGCTCAGCCACGCCGTCGTACGTCTCGGCAATGACTTGCCGCTCCTCTCCCAGCGTCAAAGCATTGAGCTTGTCCAAAGCCGGCTGAACAGGGCTCTCGATGCCAACGAGCTTCTTAAAGTACGCCTTTAGTCTGCCGCTGCGCGCAACTTTGGTCGCAATGACGAGGACCTCGAATAGGGTTGCCAGGATGGTGACCAGCTTCTCGCGCAGTGCAGGACTAAGTGTGTGGTTCAGATACACGTCTAATCTCGATGTGAAGTCCTAGACACAAACAGTTAGTTTCAACCCAAGTCTAGAGCAAAGGTCGTCGTCTTACTTTGAGCTGATCAAACAGCTCCAATATCGAATCGTACATTGACGAAACATCATGCGCGGCGTTAATCAGGTACATCACCGCCGCAAAGATGCCCTGAGCAGGCGGAAAGGTCTCCGAGACGCCCTCGGCAAGAATATCACCTATCAACACTACCGGCCGCAGCGTGACAGCAACGGCGTCGAATATGTGTTTGCGCTTCTCTCGAAAGTGGCTGAACTGGTCGTTCTGCGCCGTCAACTGAAGCATCAGGTCCGGAATGGACCTTATCGGCGGCGTCAGGAACTCGTCCAGCGTCAGGCCCTTGCCGGATGAGTCCTTGAAGAGCCTCGCGGCATCCGCCAGAACGGCGGCAAACTGCGTCTTCATCCCCGGCGCCTGCTGGGTCCGTTGCTTCTCCTGGTCGCCCATCTTCTGGTATGCTTCTGCTAAGGCTTTCCTTGAAACATGACAGAAGTTGGGTATCGTGGATATTCAGAGTTTCGATTTCCTTAGCCCTAATGATAGTTCACGGATCCTATTTTGATCACCTCTGGGGCTCACTTGATGTGGGGGAACATCGAAGGGCCATCGCAGGGATTTAAAGAGCCTCAAGTGACAGGGCTAGACGCCCTTCTCCGCCTCATTTGCGCGCGCTAGATGCCGAAAGGCAGTCCCCAGGCTGCATGCTGATCCGCAGTCGTTGCTGTGTCGTCAGCCGTCAGACGACCTGGACAGGGGGTGGCCGTCAGTTGAGCCAACATCTACCCAAGCAAGGCGGGCGGGGGTTTGACAGAATCTCTGCATCTGTGAGGGTTTCAGAGTCGGGCTCACATGCCGCATCGCGAACTGTGGCAACTTGGAGGTAGAAGAAGGAGGACAAGCAGGTCTCGAGTACGCGTACGTGTATGTAGACGCACGCTTTTCCCGAAGACGTGGTTCGCCTGATGCCTCCACTTGGGCTGTGCTCAGCAGATCTTGGCCACAAATGCCACGCTGCAGCCTGGCCTCAGATACGGAGTCATCGCCTGTGCTGTGGAACTTTCACGCTCTCTCTCTGATGACTTGTAAACAGCCACATGATCGCCTCGGCAGCTACTCGTGCCTGGCATGAAGATTTGAGACTGTCTTAGCTGTCTCGCGGTGAACTGACGTCACCTCAACGATGAGAGCAATGAGCAAAGCGATGCTGAACATGAAACACGATGAGCCCTTGGGTCTGTACTCGTATTTGTTGCTTGCATGTGGGATAGACCCTGACGAGACCCGGAGCGGCCCGTTGGTGCTATTTTTGCCGGTGGCGCTGAGGGTGTCCGTTTAAGTCCTATACATGTACCGAGGCATCCATCCACGATTCCTTTGCATGAGCGTATTCCCTTGGTGTTACCGCTGGATTCTTGATGACCAAGCTCTCTGTTCAGCATTGGAATCCAGGTCATCTGACTCTGCATATCCAGGATTTTCCTGATTTACTGCAAAATGATGCTTCGTTGAAGTTGTTCAGCTTTCATAGAGACTTATAAGTAGTCAACCTTCCCCCGTTCCCTTCCATAGGACCGGAACCTGCATCCATCTTGGCGTCTCGTAGTTTGGAATGGTAATTTGGCGTGGCTGTGTGAGTTCGCAACCTGCCTTAGGAAATTACCCAGGTACTAATAACCCTTGGGCAGAATACGGCTTCTTGGGCTCGCTGAGTGTATGTATGATATGCATGCAGAAGGCATAGGTGGGCATAAGTCACTACAAAGCGGATAACAGTTACGATCCATACCATCTTATACTTGCTTCATAAGGCAAGTTTGCCGACAACTGCTGTTGTGAATGTCATTGCCTATGAATAGCAACTTTGTGATTAACACAATCCTACACATGGTTTACGCGATAATGCCCCCAACTCCAAATCGTCAAAGATTTTTACACCACTTCAGGAAGATATGTGTCATAAACGGCTTGTATACCTAGGTAGCTAAGGTGGGTAGACAAAGCATCGGCCCGTCCAGATTCAAGACTACTACTTGTAGACGAGCATGAGTAGCCAAATCTGCTCGTCTGCGATCCTTCCTGCACACCATCTCTACCAGTAATCCTTCGGAAAGGATTTCTGTACCACAACTCTTCCAAGTCAATAGCCGCTGAGAAACAATAAGCTTTGTAGAAGTCTAGGCGCCGTTGGTCCCGACAGTAGTACAACATGGGTAATTCATCCAACTTGTTATGTGAATCAAGCATCAAGGTTGGTAATACAGCTCAAGCTCCGACTTCACAATCCTAGATATGCGTGTAAGCCGAATCCCCCTCCTCGGCATTCCGATGCATCTTATACTTGACGTGACACTACACATAGCCTATTGCGCTATTAGGGTTTCTCAAAATCTTGTCGTGGATATCCAACTCGGGTTGGAAAGATACATATACGAAGCTATATCCGGTCCGTAGTAAATCTTCTCTTTCAACTACACATTCGGAGAAGTCCTCCACGTTGTCCCCAAACCTCAAGACCTTGGAACATTCAGATAACCGTTCAGAGAATCATCCCTCGTCTCTGTATCCCACTCGCACCATGTTATCCGGCTCACCCACAAAATACGCCGTCGCCCTCTTCTCAGGCTTCCAAGCCCTCGACGTCTTCGGCCCCCTAGACGCCCTCAACATCCTCTCCGCCTCCACCCCCCTAGGCCTCTACATCCTCTCCACAACACTATCCCCCGTATCGACGATCCCCGTCAAGGACCCTATCCCCGGCTTCATCGGCCAGTCCGTCGTCCCGACACACACGTACCAAGACGCCCCAAGCGACATTGAAGTCCTCCTCGTGCCAGGGGGTCAAGGCACACGCGATCCCGAGCTCACGCAGCCCGTCGTGGACTTTATCGCATCGTCGTTTCCGAAGCTTCGGTATCTTCTTACTGTGTGTACGGGAAGTGCGGTTGCGGCAAGAGCTGGCGTTTTGGATGGCAGAAATGCGACGTCGAACAAGCTCGCCTTTGACTGGGTACTGGACTGAAGGCCTCAAGCTCTTGATAATGGCTATTGGACTAACAATAACGTTTTTTTTTGTAGGTCATGTCGAATGGTCCGAATGTCAATTGGATTCGTCACGCGCGATGGGTACAGGATGGCAACATCTGGACCTCGTCGGGAGTATCGGCCGGCATTGACATGATATATGCCTTCATTGCTGATCAATATGGCCAAGAGCTTGCTGACAGTATTGCAACAATATCAGAGTATTCGAGAAGCACTGATCCTACGAATGACCCGTTCAGCGGGCCGGCATGAAGGGAGCAAGAAGTTTGTTAGACGCCTGGAGTATCTGCATTCGTAGTATTAACCTATGGGGTTTCGTTATTGCGTTGACTCTTTTGTACACAAAGAGATTCTATATGAGCCTTTATTTATATATTACTGCCATGAACTTCGCAACCCTACCGCTCAAATCTCCCTATGTCACCTCCTGACCCACATCACATCCCCTCTCTAAAGAAAAAAACTCGAACCATCTAGAGCTGAGTATACCGGCAGCTCACCGGCTTCGCATTAGGCAACGTCCTCGCCGTGAAACCCAGACATCCCTCATTCCCTCCAGGCTTCTGCAGTCCCAAGCCCAGCCAAATCCTCCACGAGCCATCAATGCTACTCGGACACGCAATCAAAGCCGTGTCCTTGAACCACAAGTTCTGGTCCGCATCAACCTTCCAGCCTTTCAGCTCTCCATATCGCGGAAGAGGAGCATCCCCAGTAATGTAGCCCACTATTCCCTGTCCTGCAAGCACACACACACACACACACAAGTCAGTCCAACAAATCCCGACTTTCAATTTCCCCAGCCTTCGTAGCCAGTCCCGCATCAGAGAGAGTGAGGAGAGAAAAGACTTACCCATGCCAGATCGATCAACAAACACCTTCTGCTTCACCCCCTCGCACGAATACAGCACCAACTCCTCGTTCTCAACGTAAAACGTCGCGTGGTCGCTCGACTGGCCGCCCTTGCACGTGGCATTCTGCGCCGGCAAATTGAGGAACAGACCGCTCTTCGCAGCACTGACTTGCGCAAAGTGAATGGGGCTGGCAGACCGGAGGGCCATAACATCAAAGGTCTTTGGTTTGGCGGGCGACGGAGCGGCGGTAGTGGCAGTGAGAAGGAGGGAGACGAGGGACAGGAGCTGGAACTTCATGATGGGCGGTGATGGTGATGGTGGTGGTGACGATTTGGTGATTTCGATGTCTTCTGAAGAGTGTAAGTAAGTAGTTGAGGTGAAGGGTCATAAACTGTGTGACTTGCTGAAGAGGAAAAGGTCTGAGACAATGATGATTCTCGACTCTTCTTATAGTAGTCCTTCCTCCTCCTCCTCGCTTCATACCGCCCTCCCAACTCCCAGCACCTCGTTCAGAGCGAGACATTTCAGCCACCATCATCCCCACCGTCTCAGGGGATCAAAGCTCCAGCAGCATTCACACATCAAGCAACGACACCGACATTTTCAGCTCCTGAGTGCCGAGAAGCCTTGGCACGACCCAAAATAGACGTAAAATCAAGCATAGCCGACATGTATTGCCGTCAACCGAGAGTGCCGACTTGCGAACATCATCCGAGAAACCTCGTGTTGATCGGTCTGCTGGGGGTCCGATACGAGAAATCGAGTCGATCGGCGTGGAACACAGTGGCTGCAGGTGGCTGTAGTGTACAGGAGAAGAGTCTAGAACTACCACGTCCGCTGGCTTTCAGCTCATACAAGCGCAGAATAAAGCAAGGGGGATGACTGCTTCTATTTATGCAATTGCAAGTCTCTTCACAGTGTCACATACCTCGCCTCAAGTCAAACAATCATGGATAGGCTGCAAAGCCACTAAATACAAAGAAAGGTGGTGTAATCTATATTCATGAAAAAAACAATTGCCGTCAATCTATCTATAGGTAGGTAACGTAAGGTGTGGTATCTCCGAATTTCACAGTCTGCTCGCTAGTAGTACGTTTGCCATCAGTTCCATCGATGAAATCAGAGCGTCGTAAAAAGTGCATTGACAAGGTAATAAATGACGTGTGCTGGTATCATGCATCGTGTGCTGTCACATCCTCTGCGTCTTCTTGCACTTGTCGATCCGACAGCTTGGGGTTCCGCAGCGCTAATGCAAAACAAATCATGGGCAAACAGATAAACATGCCCGTGATGCAAAGTAACCGCTGGATGCTTTCATAACTGTGAATAATGGCGCCTCGAATCTCGGTGCCCACGGGGTATTGCGAAACGATGTGAAATGGATTCTCGTAAATGGCTCGTGCAAGCGTCGTGTTTGGCTGGAAAGCGAGGCTCGCCTCCAGCGTCGGGTATAGAGTCTGGGTCCAAATGGCCCCTGACAAGCAAGTGCCGAGCGCACTGCCAACGTTATAAAAGGAGAGGTAGAGACCCGTCAAGATGGCGACATGGTCTCGAGAGGCTGATGCCTGGATCGAGGCCTGAGTGGGATAAGCAAACAGGCCGCTGGAGAGGCCGAGGAGGATCTGGCCGCCAACGAGCCCGGCCCTGGAAGTCGTAGTCGCTCCTCCGGGGAATCTAATGAGAACGCCCAAGGCGACCATGAACAGAATGGTGCCCATGACGATGATGTGCTTGAGTCGGCGGAACTTGTAGATGACGAGGCCTACGGCAACGCCGCTGACAACGCCGAAGAAGGAAAAGAAGGACAGGATCCGGGTCGCGCTCTCAATGGGAAAGTCGAATGCAACGATGAGGACGGTATACAGATAGTTGCCCTGCACATACCAGGCAAAGTTGAGCAAGCTCCGCACGGCCAGGGCCGCCCAGACGCCACGATCCTTGAGCAGATGGAAGGGGACCAGGGGGTTTCTGGCGCCGTTCTTCTCCCACAGGACAAAGACGGGAACGAAAATCAGCCCGACGACTAGCGGGAGGACCACCTGCGGGTTCCTCCAATGAGATACCGTGCCGCCAGCAATCGTCAGAGGCGTGAGAACAAGACTAAAGGCTGTGACCAGCGTGACGAGCCCGATGCCGTCCACCTGATCGAAGAAGCGGACGCTCCAGTTGCGGAGGTCTTCGTAGGTCTGCCCGAGCTCGCTCTTGTGCCCGTGCCGGAGGGTTGTGCGACGGTCGATGGAGTACAGCGTGATGAGCAGCGGCAGCGACGCGACAGGGTAGATGATGCACCACATGCCGATGCCCCAGCGCCACGTGGTGATGCGCAGCACGGCAGACGTGATGCTGCCGCTGATCCAGGTGTTGATGACAAAGGGCAGGGCCGGGATGTAGCTGAAGAAGACGCGGGCGCGCATGGACGAGAAGTCGGCGACGAGAATCTCCAGCAGCAGCACGATGCAGGTGTAGCCGATCTGGTAGAGGATCGTGCCGGCGCAGAAGGAGTAGACGGAGCCTGCCGTCGACTCAATGGCCATGCCGACGACGTAGAACAGCGTGGATGCCGCCACGACCTGGAAGCGCCCAAGAACGTCGGCGATCTTGGCCGCCGTGGGCTGGACCGCAACGGCGACGACGCTCCTCAGCAGGTTGATGGTGGCCAGGTATGAGTGCACCGAGAAGCTCGAGGTGGCGTAGGGCATGTACGTCGACCGGACCTGGCTCTCGAGGCCGTAGGCATAGCCGATGAGGAAGATGCCCGAGAAGATCCAGAAGCGCTCCATGGACGAGAGTCGGGCAGAGGCGGCCTCCATCCGCGCCACGCCCGCAGCCCGAGAGCCGGAACCCGCCGGCGCTGAGTCTGCATCTTCGGCGTCCAGCAGACAGTCATGATGGTGGTTGTGCTTGAGAAGAGTGGTGGCGATGGTTGCGTGAGGCTCGGGAATGGATCGCAAGTCCGAGCCTAGGAGCGGTGCTTGTTCGCCTGAGGCGGCCATCGCTGATGTTATTATTAAGCCTCGGCCGGCGATGGATCGGATAGAAGCGCAGGCCGAGAAGGGACGAAAAGGTCACAACAGCCAGCGATCATTTGGATGCGATGCTTGGTCTCATGTCATTTCAAGCAAATCAGTAAAACGCATAGCAAGCAGAAAATGAAAAGAAAACGGCAGAATGGCAGGGGGGATGAGGGCTTTATGAGTGAGGAGGCGAGCTTTGCGTATGTACTTCAGGTATAGTAAGGGAGGTAAGGGTAAGTGGTAGGAGGCAAGGAGACTCTCGGATCTGATAAGATCAGGTCGGGTCAGTCAGGCTGATGACAGGCAGCCACGGCCCACCAGGTCCGCTGTAAGATGCCGCGCTTCCCAGCAATAATAATGGCCGGCTAATCCAAGCACTACATAAGACCATGTCTGGCGGATAATGGATGCGGCCCAACAGCTCCCGTCCGCTGGCATGATCATCGTCACATGGCCGGGTTGGGGCGGCTAGGATGGATGGTGGTGGGTGGTTGCAGGAGGATGAGACGGCAGAGCGCCACGGCTGAGAGAGACATGCAGCTGGAGGAGTCAGAGTCAGAGGAGGAGTTGGGGGCCTGTGCTGTCAGTGACTGCCTACTTAAGGTGATATTAATCCCTACCTACCTAGGCTGACATGCGGTTGACGTGAGCTGTGTCTTTGATCACGGGCCTCCGTCTCAGCTGAAGAAAAGAAGCAAAGACGAAGAGTGAACGGCAGACATGGCGATGGAGGGAATCCCAAGTGTGCGCCGTAGTACATACATACAGTAATAGCATCCTGGACAGATGCGCAAGGGGATGGTGGAACGTGAAGATATGCACAAGCAGGGGGCAAGTTTCTGCATCGTCACAGCTGCTGCATTTGCCCTTGCTTCGTACACTTCAGCATGCGTTTCTTGAGGTTGCATCGGGTGCCCCGTCTGCCTACATGTCCCGCGGAGATTTCAGCCCGATTCGACAGGGACCTAGCTATGTATGCGTCATTTTGGACACGGCGTTTTCATCTTTTTGCATTCGCAAATCCCATAGAGGGCATATTTGCTTCCTGTGCCTTGGCGCAGCACTCACCTGTTCTGATCTCTGAAGCTCCGTGAAGCTCCGAGACACGGCACGTCAGCTTGCCTCTGCAAGTCCTTTGACGGGAAGAGCTGATTCCAGCCGACATTGATTCGTCGCACTCATCGCCTTGCTGCGCATTCATTTCGAGCTTTCCCAACGGCTACTCTTAGTGGATGTTGCAGGCAGCGGCGGTGATCCTTCAATAGGACCAGTCTCCGAGGGATGCAGCTCCGCCCATTCATGCCATTCTCTGGCCCCCAAGAACTTCGGAGCAGGTAGCAGCCTCATGACATATCACACAAGGGCACGCTCTGCCTCGTGTCTCGTCGAGTCGGTTTGCCTCGTGTCTCGTCGAGTCGGAGAGTTGGTCGCCGGATAAGCAATCTGTCCAAGACGACCGAGTATGATGCTAGGAGGCGGGATGAGGAGAGGTTCGACATTTCCACTGGCACTTCCATGACTACCTCGATTCAATTTCAGCCAGACCTTTCCGTTGAGCAGGGAGACTTTCCTGCACCAGGACGGCCGTATGAGATGGTCTCATTTGTCCACGGTGCGCATGCTCGATGAAGCTTCTTTGGAGCTGTGCTTGCGATATTCTTCCGCCCGAGACAATGAATTCCATTGAAGAGACCCAAAGTGTTTTAAAGTGAAGCGCTTTGAAAGGATGCCCGATAAGATAAGATAGCGGTCCAGTGCCCCGCCCCCGCTACAATTGCACCTGTACGCCTTTGTCGGCCCCACCGATTAGCAGAGATTTTGGTGATGAGCAACAACTTTTTTTTTTTTTTGCAGGCTCTCTTTTTTCCTCTCTGGCGCAAACTCGAGACTCACCAGCAACTCCGATTTTCGCACCCGAGCAGAATATTCAAGATGGCGGCAAACGTTGAGGCTGAGGCGCCTCACAACACCTTTGACGTACGTCCAATTGCCCCCTCCAACAGGAGCTACGAAGCAGGAAGCAAAGGCCATCTGCAGGGTTCGTCGGAGCCTCTGGCTGTGTCGCGATATCTGCCCTCCCCATGTCACCACCGCGCAACCTGCCCTCGAAGCTGTCACGAGCCTCGCACGAATTGCTATCCAACACGATGTCGGCCGATATAAAGCGATGCATGCCTTCTTCGGAAGGCAGTGAACGACAACTATGCGACTGCGAAGTACAACCCGGGGGCAGCTGAGGGCAGACTGGCTCATTCGCAGTGGTCTGGATGGCATCGGCACAGTCAGAGACGACAACGAACACTAGAAGATGCCATTGCCTCTCCAAGATAGGATCCGTGATGGCTAACACCTCGTGATATAGACTATCCTTCTGTTGGACTTTGGTTCGTCAAGCCCGCTCCCTTGACTCTTTTCCCGCGGCTGTGCCAACCCCAATCTTTCAACAAACGGCGATCCTCTGTCCACTCCTGCCAATTTTCTGTGCACATGAATCACCCCATGACCCATGACATATATATATCCAACTCGTAATGGCAAAATGCTTATTCAACTTGTTTACAGGCTCTCAAACCTCCCACCTGATCCTTCGTCGGTTGAGAAATGAGGCCCGAGTGTACTGCGAAATGCTGCCATGCACCACTAAGCTGGCGGAGCTTACCTTCAAGCCCAAGGGAATCATCCTCTCCGGTGGCCCGGCATCCGTCTACGATAAGGACGCACCTCGTAAATCCTCCCTTTCTCGACCTGCGGGGACTATAATGCTGATGTATCCAAGACGTTGATCCCGCCATTTTTGATCTCGGTGTCCCGATCTTGGGTATCTGGTATGAAACCTCTCGCTGCCTATGAGTCATACCGGCACTAACATCATGCTCGTAGCTATGGTTGCCAGGTAAATCTCTCGCATCTAGTCTTGTAAAACCACGCCATGAGAATCGCTTTCCGTCAGTATGCTGCGGAAGAGTGAGGACTCGGACAGACTGCCGCAGCAATGCCATGACGAGTTGTCAGAATAGGAACTGATCAATTCTGCGTAGGAGCTTGCCTGGAGAATCGACTCTGCCAACGTCGCTGGTGGACAGATCCGAGGTTTGTAAAGCCAAGAAAGCCTGGCCGACGAATGGACCGCGGTTCTAACAGTATCATCTCGTAGAGTATGGCCATGCCGATGTCACCATCCACAACGGAGCCAACTCCCACGCCAACCGTCTCTTCGCCGGCCTTGGAGAGACGATGCACGGTGAGACCCTGGCCTCGATATCATCATCCGAAACATTGAGTCTAACATGACTGTAGCTTACATGAGCCACTTTGACAAGCTTGTTAAGCTGCCCGAGGGATTCGAGGTGATTGCCAGCACCCAGAACTCCGAGTACGCCGGAATTGCCCATCAGACCAAGCCCATCTATGGTACGCTTTGCTTTATTTGCTTATGGTTTCATGGATTCTTCAACTGACTTTGAAACCATATAGGCGTCCAGTTCCACCCGGAGCTGGAACACGTAAGTCCTCTTTCGACTCTGCGACCTTCGCCTCTGCTGACTCGGTCGTCATAGACACCCCGCGGTATCGAGATCCTGCGCAACTTTGCCATCGAGATCTGTGGAGCCCAGCCCAACTGGGAGATGAAGGACTTCATTAAGAAGGAGATTGTCCGCATCCGCCACCTTGTCGGTGATCGTGCCCAGGTCATTGGCGCCGTCTCGGGTGGTGTGGATTCGACCGTTGCGGCCAAGCTCATGCAGGAGGCAATTGGTATGCTCCCGTCACCGCTAGCCCACAAGCATTGTCTCGAGCATCTTGAGAAGCTAATGCAGTGCAGGTGATCGCTTCCATGCAATTCTGGTGAACAACGGTGAGAGCGCACTCGTCCCATTCTCAGTGGTGATTCACGTAGCCCTAACAGACTTGCAGGAGTCATGCGTCTGAACGAGTGCGAACAGGTCAAGGAGACCCTTGACGAGCATCTCGGCATCAACCTGACTGTCGTCGACGGAGCTGAGCTGTTCCTTAGCCGCCTCAAGGGTGTCAACGAGCCCGAGAAGAAGCGCAAGATCATCGGAGCCACCTGTATGCTTGCTTCCCCTTTCCTCTTCCGCCAGTGCTTGGAAGCCTCTAACGTAGATGCAGTCATCGATCTCTTCCAGCAAGAAGCTCTTCGGATCGAAAAGGAGGCCGAGAACACTCCCAACGCCGGCCCGGTTGAATGGTTCCTGCAAGGCACTGTACGTATCTCCCCCCCCCCCCCCCCTGGATTGCAATGATGCTGACATTGACCGTAATAGCTCTACCCTGATGTGTATGTCTGACCCGTTTGGTACTATCACTACTGTGCGAAAAGCTGACCTTGTATTAGCATCGAGAGTGTCTCCTACAAAGGTAAGGCGCTTGCTTGAACTGTCGTCAAGGGATCCACGGCAAGCTGACATTTCCGCAGGACCAAGTGCCACGATTAAGACCCATCACAACGTTGGAGGCCTTCCTGAAACTCTCAAGGTACTAATCATGTCAAATCTTAGCTACAATTGTAACTAAGCTCACTAACACTCTGCAGTTGAAACTGATTGAGCCGCTCCGAGAACTGGTATGTTGTTCAAAAGTCCATAATCAGGAGGTTATCAATTGCTAACTCTAGATCAGTTCAAGGATGAAGTCAGAGAATTTGGCCGGGAGTTGGGCATTCACAGAGACCTCGTGATGCGTCACCCTTTCCCTGGGTATGTGCCTCGCCCTTTCAATGAAACAATCCGCGCTAACGTTCTGCTCAACAGTCCCGGTCTTGCGATCCGAATTCTGGGTGAGGTTGACGCTGAGAGAGTCGCCATCGCTCGTGCCGCGGACCATATCTTTATCTCTGAGATTAGAGCGGCCGGCGTGTATGACGAGGTAATGGTGCTGATATACCTTCTCGCGAGCATTTCTAACCATGCCACAGATGAGCCAAGCCTACGTTGCCATCAGCAAAGACCGAGGTACGTGTTGGTCCCGATGTCTGCTCCAATCAGCAATGGATTCCCTAGGATATCACAAGTCTGTTACATGGTTGCTGATAACTATACAGCTGTCGGTGTCCAGGGCGACGCTCGAGTTTACGGATACATTGCCATGTAAGTGCTTTCATCGATGCTCAACGGACCATACCCTGCCTTATCCACGCAAGCCGTCCTACTGGACCACCATATCGTGGGAAAAGACTTTTGCGTTTTGGGAGTAAACATATCAACAATCACCTCATCTCGCACTCTCAACAATAATTGCCCACTGGAGTTGATTGCTAATCTGGACATCAGCCTTCGTGCCGTCAAAACACTTGACTTCATGAGCGCCGAGGTAAGATTCCGCCGCATCTAATCGGACATGAAGTTTCTGGCACTAACACCATTCTCACAGCCTTACAACTTTGACTTTGCCCTGCTCAAGAAGATCTCGACGCGCATCGTCAACGAGGTGGAGGGCATCGCACGTGTGACTTACGACATTACGAGCAAGCCTCCTGGTGAGTCATCCCATGCCACTCTGTTCGATGACGAAAACATTTGAGCCCCCTTACTAACCAAGTCAATAGGAACTATCGAAATGGAGTAAAGGGGTGTTTGCAGGAACAAAAATTGACATTTGCGTTGCGTTATGAGTTTGCAATTTTAGAAAAGAAAAAGGGTGCGGTACCAATGTGAGACGAAGCCACCGCTGGGAGACGCCCTCGAATTTGGATAAGGGTTCTCCTCAATATTCTCAGTAACTGCTTTGGGCCACCGCAATCTCAATTATCCCCCGGGCCTTGCTGGTACGATTGCACCACAGAGCTTCTCGTTACGGCATCACCACCAGCTGCGTCACCAGATTCCCACTTGAACTTGCGCTGCGACAGGCTCTAGTTCGACCATACAGATCCACAAAAAGGAAACATTCCATACTATTTTATTGCCATTTCACTTCCACGTCTGTCCTGTACGGCGGCGGACGGCAGGCAATGTATTAGCATGGAAAGGTGGTGTAGTCGCAAGAGAAAGCCCAGCTGCAGCAGAGGAGAATCAGATGACAATATAGATTCAATACCAAAGTTATATCCAGCTTCCTGATGCAAAAGGTTGCGCATATATGCCATGGCTTGATACATACCTAGGGAGTCAATGTTGTGCTTCGGCCTCGTGAAGATGTACAGATGGTTTAATCACACCAAAAGTAGCCCTTCTAAGCCCCTCCCGCTCAGTCTCCAGTTATACCCGCCGCGCTATGAATCGATCGTCTACCCTGTTCTGAAATGGTTGGAAAAGAGTTCGAGAACCTCGATTCGAAGCGGGTGGTGCAATGGTTCTCAATTGAGGGCGAGACTTGCTAGGAGCCTGTTCTTGTATCACCGATGATTTTCTTCAGTCTGATGAGGCTGGCGAAGGGCTGCGTGCGATCCGCCCACTGCCGCCAGAAACCCGTCCTGATAGACTTCTGGAAGTAGAAACATTTCTGTCACTGAGGCGGCGATCAAGTCCACTTTTCAGGATGGCCTCTAGCCATGAATCAGAGCGTCATGGGCGGCAAGTCTTTATGCCATGCTTGAGGCCTCAATGTCCATGTTGTTACAGGTGACGCATGCTGACTTGTTGCAAGCCTGAGGCTGAGAAGAGGGATTCGGTCATTGTCCTTGCTCACCACTGACTCAGTGAAGTCTTGACAAGCAGGCCAGACTCATATATCTTTTATCAATCTCACTTACTACCTTGTGGTGGACATCAGCATCCAAGTCGAAGCGTAATGTTGGACTGCATACGACTTATCAAGGCTTACAGGATACAAGTGATGTGGTCTAGCTTGTGAAACCGGAGCATCGTCCAACTCCACGTTTCCATCCTTTCCATCACATGCTGCAATATGTACTAGGTAATTGCAATCCCTTTCTGGCAACGCCTATTGAACCACCTCGTGGACATGGAGTCTCCCTTTCGCGTTGGCATCTATATTCTCGCCCTGTTTGACGGCTGTTGCCAACTCTAGGGTATGGCGTCGCCCGCAAATGTATGTATCGTGAAGGCAGTGAGGCGGCCAGTCGGACCAACCATCAACCTGGCCGTATCCCAGAATATCCCCAGTAAAAGCACACAAGGACCCTCCAGAGCATGTGTATTGTTGAAGGCTTGTTAACGGATAATGCACTTTCCAGATATCATGCAGTGTTCTTCAGCTGCAACCCCGGCGCTGCACATGCACACGTCATCGGATCGTTCAGTCACCGATCTTTGTAACTAGAGCAGGATCACACAAGAGCCAAAGATGCAATGCAATGCAAATAGTAGTACAACAATTCCATGTCACACCGAATAATACGGAGCAAAACGGAAGAGAAGCTGTCCCGTGTCTTCCCCCCCAGATTCACAGGCAGGTCGTCGAAACGAGTAATTTTGCCGACCAGCTCCGGGAGCGGCCCCGTCACTTTCGCGGGCAGCTAATCGGCGACATCGGAACCCCATCTTCCGGCCGCAGACAACTCAAAATCTACCGCTAAACCGCTACTAGGCCAAGGAACTGCAACCAGACGACGGGATATTGATTGACTGCATTCTTTAACCAAGTCGAGCCCCCTCCAATCGAACTGCTGCCATTTCTGCTGCTGCTTGTTCGGTAACAGGACGAGCGCAATGGCGACAGTCACCAAGGAGCCGGCGGCTGCTGAGAAGAAGCAGCGCCCCAATGCGCTGCGATCCATCATTGCTGGCTCAACCGCCGGAGCGATTGAAATCGGTATGTCGTGATGCGCCTTTGCCACGAGTCACGCGAGCATCCTGATATACTGACTGCTTTCTCGATTGATTGACATAGCCATTACATATCCCGCCGAATGTGTGTCCGCACCGCTACCTCCTTGATATCCGAGGAACCACATCCTCTCGCCTCGGCGACTGAACCACTGACCAGATACATTGCAGTCGCAAAGACAAGATCGCAGCTCAACAGACGGCTAGCAGAGGGCCAGAAGCTGCCGTGGCCTCCGTTTGGAACGCAGTGGTACGCGGGATGCACCACGCTCATCATTGGCAACGCCGCCAAGGCGGGAATCCGTACGCAGGCAATGCGACAGCTGGCTGTATGATGACAGGTTCTGACACAGGTGCTAGGATTTGTTGCGTTTGACCAGTTCAAGAGCCTTCTTGCCGACGAGAACGGCAAGCTATCCGGGCCGCGAACCGTCCTGGCTGGCTTTGGTGCCGGCGTCACGGAATCGCTGCTCGCCGTCACTCCTACAGAGAGCATCAAGACGACTCTGTATGGCCCCCCCCTCCGCACATGATGCCTTTACGTCTCCTAACGTTCCCATTAACTAATCTGCTACCCCTTCAGCATCGACGACCGCAAGTCCCCCAAGCCCCGCATGCGCGGCTTCCTCCACGCCGTCCCCATCATCGCCCGCGAGCGCGGCATCCGCGGCTTCTTCCAGGGCTTCGTCCCGACGACGGCCCGCCAGGCCGCCAACAGCGCCACCCGCTTCGGCGCCTACAACTTCTTCAAGCAGATCGCCGAGTCGTACACGGCGCCCGGCGAGAAGCTCGGCGCCGTCGGCACCTTTGCCATGGGCGGCCTGGCCGGCCTGGTGACGGTGTACGTGACGCAGCCGCTCGACACGGTCAAGACGCGCATGCAGAGCATCGAGGCCAAGTCCATGTACGGCAACACGTTCCGGTGCGCCGCCATGATCTTCAAGCAGGAGGGCATCCTCACGTTTTGGAGCGGCGCGCTGCCCCGGCTGGCGAGGCTGGTGCTGAGTGGAGGAATCGTGTTTACCATGTATGAGAAGAGCATGGACTTGATGAACAAGCTGGACCCGGAGATGAAGTACATCTGAGGGAGAGATGTAGGGACATGGGAGGTGCTGCTAGACGGGAGAAGGAGAACGAAAAAGACAGGCCTGGCGTTTAGGATTTAGATGGGCACATGCAACCTGGTTTTGGAACAGCCACTAGTTGTAAGTGTATGTATATTCGTTATGTACGGTGATGATTGCAAATAAAGAACGTCGTTTTGGTATCTCGTTCCCCCTCGTGCCCAATTCTCATTGTAATATGTAGCCCTTTGCCCTCCTTTCCGTTGTTTTTGTTTTTTATATGCCTGTCTCGTTCGTTGCCAATGTGTAGTCGCTCTCGATCTCGACCGAGTGTCCCTGTCGATGTCGATGCCAATTCTCCCGTTCACTGCCTCACTGCAGTCTAATCATGCCCGACAACCTCTTGCCCAACCTCTCCAGCCAGGTCCTCTTGGGCGCCTCCTCAATCTCCCTGACCAGGTCCTCGAAATACGTCGGCTGGCTCTTTGGCTGCAGCATGGGGCCCTTGAGCTTATACTAGACAGTCCGCAAACCCGTCAGTTAGCAATCTCTCATCACCCAACCGAAGAAACCAGTAAACGCAGATATAATAGAGAAAAAAGGGTTGTGTGTATTGCGCACCCTGTCCCTAAACTTGTTCTGCACCAGAAACTGCAGCGCCCTCGCCTTGAGCAGCTCCTCCGTCTCCATGGCGGGCTTGTACGCGCTGAACCGCTCGTCGACGACCTTGCCCAGGACGTCCTGGAACTGGTAGTCCGGCCGGAGGTCCTGCTTGGGCCATTTGGCGAAGACGTCGGAGTAGATGCGGCGCTGGTTTTGGAAGCAGGTGTCAGTCAGTCAGTGATTCACCAGATCCATCAACGAGTCGGAATGCGCATGAACAATTGGAGAAGGGAATGAAAAACTCACTGCTAGTGATCGCGACATTGTCAACAGGATGCGCGACTCTCTCTCTCTGGCGCAAAATGCAACCTCTTTTCTTTTTGTCGTCACTGTCTCGCAAACCGGATGGACTGCCCACCTATTTATTGGGATACCAGCCGAGCCAAGATATCGAATTTCTGAGCTTGATGCAAACTTTCCCGCCCATACAGTGCTGGCTCCACAGTGCGAGCTCCAATACGCATGCAGCTGCAAAAAGTACTGGGTTACCGCTGAAAGTGCGCTAGAGCGTGCATCTTGTGCGACATCAGACGTTCCGGCTACTTCTGCAGCCTCCGGAGGCGCGCACGGTCCCCGGAGCTACCTAGACAAGGCGATGCAAAACAGCATCCAGACATCATCGACAGCGCCTCATCTGATTCCTCCGAGCAACAAACGCGCAGGTTCCGGTACGAGCCTCGGATCTCGTACTGGGCATTGTAAGAGCAACCTACCCAGCCACTGCACCTTCAGTTGACTCTGCCCGGGAGAGCCTGTACTACTACTAAGGTACACACCTACTGCAGGCAATAAACAGCGCCGAAAGCGCCAAACGAGGGTCCCGAACCCCCCCCGCAAAAAGTGCCTCCGAAAGACCCCCAAAGAGTCCCTGCCTGGATCATTCCAGAGCGCTCCTGCAGAAGTCGAGTACCGGTACGCGCGTCGCTACCGGCTAGTACCCAGAGCGCAGCTGTCTTCCGGCCGGTCCCGCAGGTACCTCGCAGTGCACCGGCAGGTCCAGGTTGCCTCCCTGCCTTGGCGCTGGGCTGGGGGTCATTGGTCATCAGCCATCAGTGGCCGCATAATCCCTAAAGTGACCTGAAGCGCAGGGCCTTTCTCTGCCTGCTTCCCCATCCATCCGTTCATTCCACTTCTTCACCAACTCATCTCCAAGCCTCGACTCCTCGACAAACGACTTGATTCTTCTGTTCATTCTTTGATTTTCGTTTCCTTCTCTTGTTCCTCTTCGCGCCTTATACCCTCGTCGCCTTGATCCTGTGTCTCGATTCAAATTCTTCACCTCTCGTCTTCCTTCTCCTTTGTTTTTTCTCCTCGCCCCTTTGCGTCGCTTTTTTCCCCGATCTGCGCTCCTTTTCTCAACGGCGCTCGTGACCCGATTACGACATCACCAACTCTCCTCAAACACCGCCGTTTCCTCCGCGCTGCGTGAATTTTTTTAGCAAACAACCATCGCAATCATGTCTGGGCGTTACGAGAGGGTACGTGGCTGCTCATATATTTTCAGTCCCCCTTGAAAGACACCTGATCTTCGGTCAACGGTGGGCGCAAGACTGACGCTCGATTGATGCAGGTAAATGCCCACGACGAAGACGAGGAACATGATGTTCCACAGCGCCGAGCCCAGATCCCCAACTCGCCACCCCCGTCGTTCCACTCCCGCGCCTCCTCGCCGACACGAAATGGCCGGGTCAACAACGATCTCGCCGATGCCTTTGATGACGACGATGCCAGCGACGACGAAGCCGACGACAGACAACGACTCGTTCGGCAGAACTCGACGCCGACCATCCGATCTGCCGACTCTGCACGGTCCTCTGCTCCGACGGCGCCTGCACCAACCCCAGCGACCCCGGACAACGCTTCGTCTGGGTCACGACCCCGAGTGATGGGAGGCGGCGTTGGGACCGACGGAGTGTTTGCCAACATGTCAGCCCGACCTGAGCGGACGGATGTTAATGCTGAAAAGGAGGAACAGCCACCGGTATGTCCCACCTTGCCGATCCTCTTGACACTTCAAGTCTTGAAAAATCACTATGAAAGATTCAATACTAACGAGCCTTGCAGACGTACGAACAAGCTGCTGCCGATGCCGCCCCGCCGTACTGGGAGACGACAATTCTTGCGCCCGGCTACGGAGGTGCCGACGAAGTCTATGTGGACGGCATGCCCGTCGGCTCGGTTTTTTCATTCATCTGGAACGGCATGATCTCAACCTCATTCCAGCTTGTCGGATTCCTGCTTACCTACCTCCTCCACTCGACTCACGCTGCCAAGAACGGATCGCGAGCAGGCCTCGGCATCACCCTGATCCAGTACGGCTTCTATATGCGGGAGACGCCCGATGAGGCGCCAACGATGACGGGTCCCGACGGATATGCGGCGCCGCCAGATCCCAACTCGCACAACTTTGATCCCGACGATGTTCGTGATGACGGCTCTGGCATCTCTGGTAACGACTGGATGGCCTATATCTTGATGGTTGTCGGCTGGTTCCTCCTCATCCGGAGCGTGGCCGAGTACATGCGAGCCCGACGGCATGAGCAACTGGTGCTGCAGAGCCCCGACCGAGGGCTCGGCGTTCCGGTCATTGCCGAGGGCGAGAGCGCAGAGCACGTGGTATAGAGCGGATGTTTCCTCTTCTTGTAGACGTAAACCGTTTGCGTATCCTCTTTTCGTTGTTGTTGCTTTGCCGCCGAGTGGCTTTTTTTCGTTTGGGTTGTGGAAGGGAGAGTGAGGGGACGTGGTTGTTCATAGCAGGCAAGACTTTTGTCCTTTGCCTCATTGCCGTGCTTTATCGAGTTTGTGGCATGAGTTCTGGCGTTGGGGAGACTTGCATTCCTAGTTCTGAGGCATCACGCGCAGCACGCTTCTCTTATGTAGAATGTATCAATATACCACCACAGTGAGCCACACGTCTGCTCAGACATGTCTGTTCTCTGCTCTCGAGTAAGACTGAATGATTAGATCATTGAAAGTTGCTCACACTGGGAGCGTCTCCAGCTGGCAGATACTGGAATCCATGGTCGGGTCTGGTCCCATCCAGTGATGGCGTGCATCCTGTAATTTACCTAATCTTACAGGGCCCTCCACTAATTTACAGGCCTGGAGCGGCCACTAACGCCCGCTAGCCGCCGCCCCGCGTCGTGCGGGGTCTGCAGATGGCCCGCTGGTTGATGGCGAGCTTGAGCGCTATCGGGTGTCTGTTTCTCATCAATCCCATTGTGGGCACATGCAGCGGGTATTACTTCGAGCAGCTAGCTGGTGAATGACTTACAACCTACCTCCATCAGTCAGCACGGGAGCTCAGCTCATGGGACGGACGGATCCTTTGACGTCTTTCTCACATCATGCCGTGCTGATAACTCTCGATACCCTCATAACATCTTGTCATTCTCACTGATACTTTTCCTTCCTGCAATCACCTACCGAGCTATCGTCGATCGTATCATTTGCTTACTAGTATCGTGAACCCGTCTTGACCGTCCACAGCATCCATCCTACCTCTGAGCTCCCCGACGGACAACACAAACCCTGGCTCTTCCACTTCGCCCTCTCTCCATAACCAGACTCCCCAGTCCAGCCTTGTTGCTCAAGTCAGCTGGCGCTTGCATCCTCCTTGCCGCCGGACTCGAGGCTCGACGAGGCATCAGCATGGCGTGGCGCTGCTCGGGAAGCTCCAACGCAGGGCTCGTGGCCAACCTGTGGACTCACGGCCTCATCACCGAGCCTCTGGTCAAGGAGGCCTTTCTCAAGGCATGGCCATTCTTCTCTGCTTCTCCGCTTCAGCTTGTCCCCAAGAATACAACACATCTAACGCTTGGAACAGGTCGACCGAAGGCATTACGCCCCGGCCATGCCCTACCAAGACTCCCCCCAATCCATCGGCTACGACGCCACCATCTCCGCCCCCCACATGCACGCCTCGGCCATTGAAAACGTCCTGTCCCGGCTGCTGCCCTCGGACGCCTCCCCGGCGCCGCGCGTCCTCGACGTCGGCTCCGGCTCGGGCTACCTCACGCACATCTTTGCCGAGCTGGTCGGCGACCGGGGCCTCGTCGTCGGGCTGGAGCACATCAGGGAGCTGCGCGCCCTCGGCGAGGCCAACATGCGCAAGAGCCCCGACGGCAGCCGGCTGCTCGACGAGGGCAGGGCAAAGTTCGTCGTCGGCGACGGGAGGCTCGGCTGGAAGGAGCCGGCGCGGCCGGGCGAGGAGCAGTTTGGCCAGCAGTGGGATGTGATTCATGTTGGGGCCGCGGCCAAGGAGGTGCATGCTCCGCTGCTGGAGCAGCTCAAGGCGCCGGGATGGTGAGTCTCTCCTCTCTCTCTCTTCTCTCTCTCTTTTTGTTGTTTTGTATACTGGTGCTGACGGCGGGGGTTTCAAGCATGTTTATTCCGGTGGACGATGATGCCACCGGATGGGATCAGAGCGTGTGGCGCATCGAAAAGGACGAGGAGGGCAACGTGACGAGGAAGAAGCTCTTTGGGGTGCGGTACGTGCCCTTGACGGACCCTCCCAAGAGGTGAAGTCTGTGGCCTTGTTTTTGCGTTTGACTCGCCTTGATTGGATTCTCTTTGTAAGTTGGTATGAATATCCCCTGAGCTATTGTCACTTGGATTTCTTATTTGACGAGACTGGAACCGAACGATCAAAGGGATTTGCCATCGATATTCACCAAGATTCAATAACACCTAGCCTTGTGCAAACTGTTGAACGAGCGTATACAAGTCATCAAAGTCGTGTTCTCAAGCAGCCTCCTCAACGCCTCGAAACTTGCATGTACTACCATACCACCTCCACATAATCCTCCCTTTTTCAATACATAACCTCTTCCAGTCAAACAGCTCCCCTTACAACAAGCACACAGCCATAACCAATGCCGTCACCCCCAACATCACACCAGCCTCATACCTCGCCCCTCCGTTGATTGTATCCGGCACCTTTGTCGGAACCTCCCCCTGCGAAGTCGGCCACGCATGCGAAGCCACAGGATCCGTAACAAGCTTGACACCCGAAGAAGAAGCCGCCGCATGCGCCTTCGTCTTGCAGTGCTCGCCGTCGCACTCCAGCTTCGTGTGCACATGAGGAGGAGGCGCAAAGGGGCATCCCGGCGGACACGGAGGCGGGCAGTTGCCAAAGGGACAAGGCGGGCATCCCGAGGCCGCGCAAGGAGGCCCGCACTTGTCGGGGCATCGCGGCAGAGCTTCTGCCTCTGCCGACGCAGCAGCGGCGTTGTGATGGTGCTTTGTGATGGGGGTTGACGGCGGGTCGATGGCCTTTGCTGTGAGAGGGCAGTCTGTGACTTCAGGCGGGCAGGATGTGATGGTCTTGACTTCGGTCGCCGTCTTTGTGGGCAGGTCCTTGTTGTTGTTGTTGTTGTTCCAGGCGCCGCTGCCGCCAATGTCCTTTTTCTTGTCTCCGTGCTCCTTCTCGCACTCATCGTCGTCGAATTCCTTCTTGTACAGAGTATAGCGCTTCTTTCCCGAAACAGGACACTCTGGTCCTCCGCAGAAGCCAGCCGCCTTGTCGGCCTCGATACACGGGATCTGGCAAACCGACTCGTCCAGGACCTTGTACTGCGGCTCGGCTCCTGACGACGACGACGACGAAGGTGATGATGATTCGTCGCAGTGGCAGTCCTCGCCGTTGAGGGCGGCAAATTTCCCCTTTTCGTGGCACGCGTGCTGGCATTGCTCTGCGGAAAAGGGCGCCGCCGCCGAGAGGACGGCCTTGTAGGGGAAGGAGGGGGCGTCTGCTTCGACGCAGCCGATGTATTTGAAGCCGGGGGCTGCGTGGTCGGCTTGGGCGGCGACGCTGGCGGCTAGCAGGCCTGTGAGGAGGAGGAGGCGGGACATTGTGTTGATGGTGATGATGATGATGGGATGTGTGGAGGTTTCAATGAGTGAGTGAGTGTCTGTGTGTGGTGTTTAGGTGCTCTGCTGGAGCGTTGGGCACACGAGGTGTGATGAGGGCTTGCTGGATCTGCTTTGAGAGGAAGAGCGAATCGTGCAATGTTATATATACATCTATAGGGGGGTTTTCCAACCTCTCAGAGGGATGCATCGCCAGATTTGGGCACGGGGACAACGGCCGTGGGCTGCTTTCCGCGACATACGGGGAATGTATGTGCAGCCTCACATGAGCTATGAGAGCCAATCGCGCAGATGCCACGCGACCCGACACTCTGTTCGTATCGAAGGTAACTAGAATTCTATTCATATCAACGGTGCGCGATACTTGTAATAGTCAACAGCTGTGTGCAGTACTAGTAGTATGTACGCGGAGCGTTGTAGCAAGATCTGCGAACCTAGGGAGGAAGGTAGAGCTGGTAGGTATGCGATGTGCAACATGCCACTTCACGGCACGGAACACTTGCAGCGGGACCGATGGAGAGGCTGGGTTCCAAAGTGGATTTTTTTCAGGTTCTATATCATGGTTTTGAGCTGGGAATTCTATCACTATTAGAGGTCGAGCTGAGACATGTGTAGTCATTACCTAGGTTGGGGGGAAAAAAGGGGGGGAGGAGGGAGGGAGGGAGGAGGGGGAAAGAGACTGGCGTTGTTCCGTTATGGTACCAGCCTTGCGACAGCCCGAGGGATAGGAATGCTTTGCGAGCAGGAATTCTCGTCAGCCGCGGCTTTTTCGTGTTTCGTGTTTGACAGCACGAGCATTCCGCAGATGGAGATGTGCTACTAGTATAGGTTTTTGCTAATACCATGTAGCAGTGTGTGTTCCGGGCGAAGGGGTTGATGGATCGAATTGGCCTCGCATCTTTACTGAAACTACGTGTATCTCGCAATGCTGACCAGTACACTGCGAGAGGTTGATCTGATGCTAAATTTAGCATGACCTTGTGCAAAGGGTTACCTATTCAGTCCTTTTGATCCCTTTGATGTTACGACAAAGGTTCGTTTGGGAGAAGTAACTAAATGGTAATTGGCGAGTCTATAGCATTGAAAGGAGGACCAATACACATATCATCTAATTAGAGGTGATGCTTCAGCTCAATGAACAAGACGCTCATATGTTCCGACCACATTGTCCAAATGAACTCTGTACAGTATAAGGTATCGTGGTTTCACCGAGTACCTTCATGCTGTATCGTCTAGTTGTGCCCATGCTAAAGGCTTTGCCGGACAACGCCGCTCTCACCATGCTTGGAGAAAAGGGGTTTTCCAAGACGCCGCAATATCTACACCGGACCTAGTTCCGAAGGGTGTTGTGAAAGTTGACAATGAGCGTTTCTAAGCGATGGAATCTTAAAGAAGGCTGCCTTTTCTCATCAACTCAATGCTCTGCCGGGCTGACTTTCGGCAGCTCAGCGGTTTTTTGACCTCGCCATGGACGCCATGTTCCCAACCGAACACTTTGAGCAGTGTAACAACCCCAACCGTCAACACCACTAATGAGCTCCTCGTGTAGTCTTCGGCTTGGGCCACGAAACCTTCCATAAGCCACCAAGCAGTCCATGAATCACAGAAGAGATATCGCTTCCCATCTTTCGGATCTGCTACACCTCTTCAGGACAAGCACGTTGCCCAAATAACCCAGATGGCAAATGTTAGTCTGCAGCCTTTGTTAACAGGCTCTAACCGAAGGAGACAGCCGAGATCTACTGTCGTGTAGATGGCTTCGTCTCTTCAAGAGCCCGCTAAAGGGGTATTAAGCTTAAGCATAATGAATAAACTCAAAACTCTACAACTGAGGCGTCCCTGAAATGACTCCGTACAGCCTAGTCAACTGCCCTCTTCCCCAACAACACAGAACTCGAGAGAGATTGGGGTGAAGAAGAGAGCATCTGAACAGCTATATAATGAATCTCATACTCCCGAGTTCAGCTCTTGAGAGAACAACCATCTCACAATCTCTCACACATCTCCATCCTCTCCTCTCCTGTTCCCTTTCCGTTCCTTGTTTTTATATATCCTGAAATAAAAACAAAACAAAACCAAAATGTCCGCTCCCAAGACACCCCCCGCCATCATCTGGCTCAAAGTCTTCGTCCGAGCCAACCTCCACCGCGTCTCCCGCAAGCTCCGCGGCGACGAGCCCGAGGCCGCCCATGGCGCCGATGACGAGCTGCCCCTCGGTCCCCCTCCTCCCGCCTACGAGCGGAAGCCCAAGTCCCCTCCCACCGAGGGCGAGATTGCGACGCTCCAGCAGGAGCTGCGCTTGTACGAGGCCCGGCTGGAGGCGCTGCCGGAAGACAGCCCCGAGGGGAGGATGCTCCTCAAGGACGCGGAGATGCTGGACCGGTGGATCGGTCATCTGGAGTATCTCCACGCGGAGCGGGTGGGCAGGACGGTGCCGGCGAGGTTCCGGAGGGAGCCGTACAGGGATCGGCTCAAGAGGCGGATCAAGAACCGCGGTAGAGCGGCGGAGCCTGCTCCTCGGGTGGTTGTTGGGGTCATGTGGTGACTGAATGCTACATGAAAGGTAAAACAGGCATGACCCCTTACTAAATGGATGCGTTTGGCAAAGCAGTCGCTAACAATTCAAATAGCCTCCCATGTATGCAAGTCAACCAACCACCACAGGCTGGCCCCCCTTAAGGGGTTCAAGATATGATACGGTGCAAGCGACTTTGGAAAAAAAGGTAAGAAGAGTGTCTAATAGTTCAAAGACATTCGATATCAAGCCGTCGCTGACAGTGTACACACAGATTCCATACACGCACACATCTATCTACCACGGCTGCGTGCCCTGACCGTTGACAACCTTGCCCGCATCCGCATCCCTCTCCCCCTCAACAACCTTCCTGATAAACTCGCCGCCAATGGCCGGATCTCCCGCCCCCATGGCCTTGAGCATCTCCGGAACGCCCCCCAAGTTGGTCGCCAAAAACCCGGGACTAATGGCAAAGGTCCTGACGCCGTCCTCCTTGAGCAGCCAGTGCCAGTTGAGCATCACCATGTTGAGCGCCGTCTTGCTGCTCTTGTACCCGAGGTTGGCAATGACGCCCTTCTTGGGCCAGCCGGCCTGCGGCTTGGGCGCCCAGGGAGGGTAGAAGTCGCGCGAGTGCGCCTCCAGCGTCGACAGCCCCGAGGTGAGGAAGAGGAGGCGCGGGGAGGCGGACTTGATGAGCAAGGGGGCAAAGGTGGCCGTCACGATGTGGGTGCCGGTGACGTTGACGTCAAAGGCCTTGTTGAAGATTGTCCGGGCGTTGGAGACGTCGTTTGCAAAGTCGGTGGTGTCAAATGCTGCGCCTGTTTACACGCAGACAAAACCCCTTGTGTTAGCTAGATCTTTTCACTTACAGCATGAGGAAAAATTGGGGACTGTTTCATGATGATAGAGACGAACCAGCGTTGTTGACAAGAGTATCAATGCGGTCGACCTTTGCGCTGACGGCCTCAAACGCCTTGGCAATGGACTCGTCGCTCTCCAGCTCAACGGCGACGGGCTCGAGGGTGCTCTGCGACGAGTGAAACTCCTTGGCGAGGGCCTCGATGGCGGTTTGGCTCTTTTCGAGGGTGCGGCTGCCGAGGAAGATGCGGTAGGGCTTGGGAGAGCGCAGGAGGGCCTTGACGGCCTCGTAACCAATGCCGGTGTTGGCGCCGGTGATGAGGAGGATGTGCTTGTCTGCCATTGTGTGATGCTGAGGTTGTCTTGTGGTTGGTTGGTTGGTCGGTCGGTCAGTGTTCTTGAGTTGATGGTGTAAGTGGTGTGAGAGTGAGTCTTTGTGGTCGTGAGAGACGAGCGTTATACAAGTGTAGGCGTTTGTAGACTTTATATATCCACCTCACCCCCTATATACCCATCAAGATATCCAGCCACTTATTCTAGTGGCGTTCAATCCTCATCCTCGCAAAAACAAACACCATCGTCAACAGATATCCTGCCTACCTTACGCAACGGAGCTCTCAACGCCTCTTTTCGACCCCCGGCTCCGCAAATACGCTCAACGACAGCCGGCGTTAACCATCGACAAGATGCCATGGCTGGCGCGCTATTTCCATCTCGGACAGCCGAGAAAGTCCGTACCTCGCGCTCGCTACCATGCGTGGGGGGGAACATCGCGGTGGAGGAACCGGCGTTTGTGGAGTTTCGGGGGGTTGTCTGAAGCCATTCGGAGCCGAAGGGTAGCTAAAGTCCAGGCCTGTGTAAAGCTTGCGTAAGGGTCATCTAGCTACCTATGTAAGGACAGTGGTACCTGGGTTCCAGGATAAGATTGATTGCAGCTGCTTGATCACATATCATCTAAATCTCAAATCATCATCTGCTATTTCTCCTTCTCTGAAACCATCTTCATCTCATCGATCTGCATCATTCGTCATGTCCGGATATAGCCCTCATCCCCCTAACCCTGGACCCCACCCCCGCAACCCCAATCCAGGCCTCTCTCTTCGAGCTTCACCCTCCCCTGTCTTCACTCACACACGTGAACGCCACTCACTCACTCACTCACTCTCTCATCTCATATAAGACACACACACCTCACCCAAGCCAACCATGACATCCCCCATCAAAAAGGTCTGCCTGGTCGGCGCCAACGGCACTCTAGGCTCCGTCCTGCTCGCCGCCCTCGTCCAGGCAAACTGCTTCGACGTCTCCATCCTCCAGCGCTCAACCTCGTCCTCAACCTCCTCAGCCTCGCCCTCGATCCCCCGCATCATCGTCAGCCCCGACCTCGCCGTCGACGAGCTCACCACCGCCCTCGCCGGCCAGGACGCCGTCATCGCCGCCTTTCCCCTCGGCCAGGGCGACCAGCACCTCCGCCTCGTCGAGGCCAGCTTCCACGCCGGCGTGAAGCGCTTCATCCCCGCCGACTTTGGCAGCTGCGACGCCGCCGACGCCCTCCCGCAGGAGTATCTGCCGCTGTACCGCCGCAAGACGCTGGTGCGCGAGCGGTGCGAGGCCTTTGCCGCGCGCCCGGGCTCGGCCTTTACCTGGACGGCGCTCGTGTGCGGGCACTTTTTCGACCACGGGCTGAGGCACGGGCTGCTGCACTTTGACTTCGCGACGAGGACCGCGCAGATCCTGGATGGCGGGCACGCGAGGGCTTCCGCGTCGACGCTGAGGCGCATCGCGGAGGCGACGGTCAGGGTGCTGCAGAGGCCGGAGCAGACGAGCAACCGGAGGCTCTACGTCCAGAGCTTCAACCCGACGCAGCTGGAGATCTTGGCCGCGCTGGAGAAGGCCATGGGGGAGAAGTGGACTGTTCGGCAGGTTGATTCCAAGGCGTACCTGGAGGATGCGCGGAAGAGGCTGGAGAGCGATGACGAGGAGGCTGTTTTGGTTGCGGTTGAGGACATTGTCTTTGTGCTGGGGGCGCTGGATGCGGATTGGACCAAGAGGGATGGCTTTGCGATGGAGTTGCTGGGGTTGGAAGATGAGAGGCTGGAGGATGTGGTTGAGGAGGTTGTTGCTGCGTATAGAGCCGAGGCACAACGATAGACGGTGATCGGTACATAGGTTCTTTAGAATAGACATTGGACCACCTCCAAGGGCATAAGGGTTCGGACTGAGGCAGAGCGCAGTGGTATCCAGCTTCATTTGCAACTCTCGGGATGCTGCCCCCTTTGGACTAGCTACATAAGACACGAGTCTCTCTGGAGCACATGCCATGCCAGAGGCAAGTGAGTCTTCGTATTCAATAGTCCCCAGCTTCAGCCGCAATTTACATCTACGCACGATATCATGTCCGGCTAATATGCTCTGATTACGGGACATGGTTCAAGCTTCAACTGCTTCTGACAGAAGAAGACATTTGATCCAACCTGGTCCAATATGCGTCTAAGTGACGCTCGCTAGATGGACTTTCTTCCATGGTATTTCATCATCATTTCACAGACAATCATCACGAGAGAAGCTCTCTTCTTGGAGCAGCAGTGGGCATCTCACCACTCTGCACCCCTCATGCCCTGCATCGCCAAGCCATTCAGCCCTCGCTCAATGCCTTCACCCAGCCTATCAGCGTGAATGGCATCACCTTCAGACTGCAGCTAACTCGCAACGGGACATCGTCGCGCCACCAGAATAGCGACGGGTTCGACCGTTGTGAAGGGTATTTAGAGAAGCCAAGCTGTCTCGACGGGTATTAAGAGGAGCCGAGCTGTCTCGAAGAGGCTTCTCTGACGCATAGGTCAAAGTCGGTTCAGCCCTTGAGCAAGGTCTTTGCACTTTTCAAGATGCAGCAACTCGCCTCCAGCACCGCCCTCACTCTCGCAGCGTATGCCATCTACAAGAGCCAGCACTCAACGCTAACCCAGCAATCCAACAGATGTCTCCTATCCGGAGTGCACGCACAGGCATCGCCCATCAGTTGTGTCCCTACCGTCACCGTAACCACTCGCCCGGGCACCAGCGATGGCTGCAAGTTCAACTGCTCCAGCGACTTTTGCATCATCGATAGTCAGTTGATCCTCTCTCTCTCTTTCTCTCTCTTTCTCTCTCTTTCTTTCTCTTTATCCCTCTTTATCCCTCTTTATCCCCCTCTCTCTTCAGTGGCGCTCCAGGCCATCTAACGCCTCAGCCCCCCTCAGATATCGTCACTCTTCCCTGCGGCTGCTCACAGGCCGCAGGCGTCGTCACGCAGACCGTCACCGCCTGCGCAACGTCGACCCCGTGCTGGAACTGCCACACCGGCTTCCCATTCACCACCACGGCCACAGACTGTCCATAGCCGACGAGGAAAGAAAAAAAAAAAGGCCAGATTCAGGTCCGATATCGTATCAGTGTAGGAGGGCTGTGCAGCCGAATCGAGCTGGATGCGTGCAGGCCGCATCATGCTCTGCCGTGTTGCAGCAGAGACGAACAGGCTCGGTAGAGTAGAATCAGGCTCTGGCGTTAGCTTCAAGCAAGAGTCGAAGGGGAAAGCTTCAATGGATGTAACGCCGCGGTTATTTTTGCATCAATGCGTGCTGCAGAGCCCAATGCTGCACCGCCTGCAGCAACGGCAGCAGGTGAAATGGCACTGCATACATGAGGTAGGCTATTTGTTGCGTGCATACATGAAACTTGATCATTGGCACGGCTCTGCTGATGCCATCAATGAATGCTTTGGGATGTTCAAGGCGGGGGGGAGGACCAGGGCCGGAGTTGAGGATATTTTGGGAACGGCAATACGCGTGTGCTGGCGATTCGTGTGTGTGCGAGTTGATGAGAGTTGAGAGTGATGAAGCAGCGACGAGGTTGAAGTTATATTTGGAAGCTGTCCATGTACTAAATGAGGTCATGGAGATCAGGGCACATCTCCATCCAGGTCGGGCATCGATCGACACGGTCCGCTATGAGTACCTAGTAACAGCAGGTCGTAAATACAGTCAACCCAGCTGTAACACACTGTGTTAAGCATCGATTGATACCGACTATCGATAGTGCTTTTAACACTGTGCCGCTGCATCACCACCCAACAGGCGACCACAGCTCGCCCACTAATATTACCTACCTATCCATCGCCACAAGCAACCAAAACGCAAACAACTTCATGACTCGACAACAACCAAAACAAACTCCCAATATCAACACCAACACGCTCAGCCCAAGTCCAACATACGTGTTCTCTACCTTACGACACACGAAGCACAACCTTGCTGCCAAATTCGCCCCCCGACAAGTCACAGCTGACGCCTCATCACCAGGTTCAAGGCTCGCAGGTCCAACCAGCTCGCCCTATCGGCTCGCTCACCGGCTCTTGATCTCAGCATTTCCCCCCCCCCTAAAATAAAAAAGAACCTGGAAAGGAAAAACCGGGCTAGGCCAAGCTTCAACACAGCCCCGGTGCGGTGACGTTGTCATTTCTCTCCTAGCTCGCTCTTCTTCGGGGGCGCGCTCAGAGTCGGGCAACATTTCATTTCAGCCTGCCTTCTTTATTATCACCAGAAGAACAAGAACAAGGACACATCCGATGGACCAAGAACTCTGACAGCAAACATCTTTGCCTTGGCCCCGTCTTTCGTTTTGATCACAAGATAAAATCACTGCTGGTCGGAGAGCCTCTCGTTGTCTCTGTTTGTCGAGCATCTGAAGTAACAATATCCGGTTCCCCTGTCTTTTCTCTTGGCCCAGATCTGCGTCTTTGTTCTGCCGGCAATTGGCAGCAGTCATCAATCTCTTCGTTCGGCTTACGTCCAGCCCGCCTTTTTTTTTTTATTTCTCCGGCCCTTGTTGATACTACTATCCGCATCGGATCCTTTTGCACCTGCAGCACAATCCTTGCATGCGACCCTCGGACTTCTTTTCATAGGCAAAGAAGAAAGGAGACCAGAAACAGCGTCGTGGTCATGCTCGTCCTGACTGGAACCACATGATTGATAGCGCAAACAGAAGCATAGCGAATACTAGCCTCTACCATTCATTGAGCGAGCAGATAGAAATACCCTGGTTTTTTCCCGGTCTGGTTCCTGCATCACGCCGTTTCTTCCCCAACAGAGGCATATTGTGCTGCGATTCTCTTGATCCATCATGGAGGCTCATTCACTCGCCAAGATAAATCTGCTGGCGGCGAATCCCCCCAATTATCCCGAAAACCCATCAGAAGAGATACAGCAACCCTTGACCCTCTACATTTCCAGAGTCCCGGGCGTCAGAGGTATTTATAAAGTCAAGATACGCTCGTTTACAAAGTCAGATCTGACCAGATGAACTCACAGATGTGATCCTCTCAACCTTCAAACCGCGGCTGAAAAATGTCACCATTGAAGATGTTACCGGCAGCCTCTACTATGTCCACCTCCAACTTCCCATGCTGGGCATGGACGCCCCTCAGCCACTGAGAGAGGAGTCTCAAGGCAGGTCCAGTGAGGAGAGCTACATGACAAGGACCATTGCCCGAAAGCCGGTGCCTGGCGTTGCCCCTGAGATCTCGATACAAGGAGATCAACCACAATATCCCCCAAGCATCGGTGACCCATTACCTGCGCGTCCGAGTGATTTCAATGCGCCTTTCAACTCGAGGGACGTCGACTATGCGCCCCCTCTGCCTCCCAGACGCCTTGATGATTCGGGCTTGGGGCTCTCAGACAGCTCCTCCGAGCTGAATCCCCAACAAGCACCACAGCAACTACGCGCATCTGCTCCTAGACGCAAGCCCGTCGGGCCAAGGCAGCAGAGTGATGTATCCCAACCCCGCCTCTCCATGGACGACACAGCGCGATCCAGGGAGCCAACCAGAGACGGGGCATATACCGCCGGCCATACAAGGCAGAGCCGCTCCCTGTCTCCGCTGAAAAGCACCGATTCCTCTACGCCACCGTTTACTTTGAATCTCATAAGAAGGGATCCAGGGAGGGGTGATCAATGGAATGTGGGCATAATCTCATCCTACGAGGTGCCTCCCCTAGCCGGAGAGTCTGGCGCACATCTCTCCGCCTCACCAGAACGCCGCTCTCCGCAGCACCCGTCCATCGACATACACATCCAGAATGCAGGATACGCCAAGTTCCGCACGAGGCCGTCGAGCGCTATGCGTCCTAGGCGGAGCATGGATGCCGATCGATCCTTGGCGGACATGGCCGGGCCGCAAGACGGCCACAGTTTCTACAGACAAGTCACCATGGCCTACTCGCGAAGCCTGGGCTCTGCCATGCGATCCAAGTTTTACCAGGTCGGGCAGGCAGTGCGCAAGAAGGCGCACAACCGCGAGGGCAGCGAGGCATCGGTCAACTCTGTAAGCTCGGGAGAGAAGAGCGGGTCGCCGACGTCTTCGCGGCCCGACAGGATGAAGCCGCGGGGGTACACCTTTACGAGCCCCTGGGGCGGAAGATGCGAGTTTCGCACGGGCAATGGCGGCCGAAGCCTGCTGTGCTACCATTTCCTCCACGAGGGCGAAGTCGGGAGCTTCAACCCGCTGGTCCCGGATTCCAACCCGTCCAAGTCCACGTCGGCCGTCGTCAGCGAGCTGCGCTTCAACCTGCCGGGCTCCGATCTCTTTCCCACTGGCGATGCGTCCAAGGGGGACGGTGAGAACCGGCTGGGCCATTTCGGCAAGATCATCAAGTCGGCCATGGACCGCTCCGAGTACAGGGACGACGACGATGTCATGTCGCCCTTTGACCTCAACATTGGAGGCGAGAAAGCGGGAGGAGGCAATCGCGGCACGCGGGCCAAGCTGGGGAAGCTCATCATCTACCACGAGGGGCTGAAGATGCTGGACTTGCTGGTGGCGGCTAACATGGGCGTGTGGTGGGGGTCCTGGGAGAAGAGTTTCTGAGGGAGTTTGATGTTGATTTATTGAGATGGGTTTGCCATGATTAACGCGTAATGAGCTTGTGATTATCATATCTCTTCCATATTTTTTTTTGGTTATTTCTACTTTGCTTCTTGTCTAGTTACCGAGGATAGTGTTGGCAGGAGATGACATTAGTACCCAGCAACTGGCGTCATTGTAGCAATTCAAGATCACGTGCCATGTCACGAGCAGCCGTCGCCCAATCACTGGCCTAGCAATGTAATCCCGCAGCAAAGCACTAGCAACAAGGCACTCCGTTCCGACAGAAGAGGCAAAAGAGCCCTGTCCAGCGTCGCCAAAAACGTCTCTCGCCTCTCTCCCCTCCGAAATCGACGACACAACCAGCCCCGTTGCCTCGGGCCAACCTGCCAATCGTCTCGCCAGCGAAAGATCCCGACGACAACAGCAATGGCGCCCACTCTCGCCGTCTCGATGCTGGCCAGGCGCCAGCTGGCTGGAGCTCCGGCCTCGTCCGCCTCGCTCATGATGGCCACGAGGATGCTCGCCTCTCCTACATTCTACCAGCAGCAGCAGCAGCAGCGAGGATACGCGACGCCCAAGGGAGCCCCGCCGCAGAACTTCCGGATGAGCAAGAAGACGGAGTGGGTGTGGGAAAAGGACAGCCTGCTGGACCGGCTGGGCAAGTACTTCCTCATGACCGAGATGGCCAGGGGAATGTATGTCCTGCTCGAGCAGTTCTTCCGACCTCCGTATGTATATCCCGGCCTCTAAGGATGGACGATTGGGGGAGTTTTTCTTTTTGTTCAGGCGCGGAATTGCTGACTTGGGGACGCAGCTACACCATCTACTACCCCTTCGAAAAGGTACACAACTTGCACTGGGATGACCTCCATATCCCATCCAGGGTCATTCTGTGCCATTGAGCTCCGATTAACAGTCATCCTAGGGCCCCATATCCCCCCGATTCCGTGGCGAGCACGCGCTGAGACGATACCCCTCTGGCGAAGAGCGATGCATTGCCTGCAAGCTCTGCGAAGCCGTAAGGCTCCCTTCCCCCCCCAGCCATCGTGGAAGCGCAATGCGCCGGGAACAAGCCTACTGACAACGTCTGTGAATCAAACAGATTTGCCCTGCCCAAGCCATCACCATCGAAGCCGAAGAGCGTGCCGACGGCTCTCGCCGCACCACCCGCTACGACATTGACATGACCAAGTGCATCTACTGCGGCTTCTGCCAGGAGTCGTGCCCCGTCGACGCCATCGTGGAGTCTCCCAACGCAGAGTACGCCACCGAGACCAGAGAAGAGCTGCTGTACAACAAGGGTGAGCCTTACTGGAATCGTGCAGGAAAAATTGGAATGGCATACTGATACAGTGTACAGAGAAGCTGTTGTCCAACGGAGACAAGTGGGAGCCTGAGCTCGCTGCTGCCATTCGCGCTGATTCACCTTACCGATAAAGACGACGCAAAAACATTTAATTCCTTCTTGTATGATGTGGGGCGGAGAGGCAATCAAAAGAGGCGTGATGCGAGGATTGTACATAACTAGGCGCTGCAACTAAAAAGGCCATTGATTCAAGTTTCAGACTCGGTGAACTTTGATGAAGGTTTATTCCAAGTATCTAGGAGCCGGCTGACCATGTAGGAGGACAACGAAGTGATTGTTGCTGCTTTCAAGCTGCGCAGTAGCGAAAGGTCAGCATATTGTGAATGTTGCTGATATCCAGGCAGGCCGCGTTGTTCAGATTTATTGATGCTAAGGCATCCGATGTTGTTTCATTGGGGTTTAAACCCGTGGTACTAGGCATGATAACCCCTCTGCTCGCTGGTATGGTATCGCACAGAGCTCTCTGGGAGGCAATTCTGGGCTGCCGTCTCCGTCAGGGGTAGTTGCCGTGTCTTTCATAGCACAACCGTGTGGAGGCCCGTCATACTGATTCTTCCTCTTGATTCTGCTGGAGGCTTTTAGCAGTAAATACACCAGGCGCATTATCATTCCTATGGTGATTTTCATGTCGATCTTTGTTAATTTGTTCAAATACCTGGTTGGTAGACTTGGAAAGGGTCGTGGGTCTTGAGATATGAAGCGCGAGGAAGGATGGCTTTAAATGCGAGGCATTAAAGGAAAATATATATAGACGTATTTGTAAACGTCATGTGTTCACGCAGTCGTCTTTGCCATGTTCTCTCATGACCTTGCGTTAGGTGGTGACAAGGCACTCGTCATCAATGTGCTTGACGACGATTGTAGGGCAAACTGCACTCTGCGGGTGATGGCTCGTGGAAGCATTCTCCCACCTTTACACATTCAGCACATTCAGCTACAAGCAACTCCAGCCACCGTAGCCCAAAGTATGCAATCAAGCTTTGCTCACAACAAGCAGTCATAGGCTATGCTTCAAGCCGGCCAAATGTTAACCTCACAATTGTCCCTTCTCGGGCAGATCGTCGAACCGTTTCAATACACCATCTTGAACCATGCTTGTCAAGCTACCTAATGCATGTAATGTTCAAACGACGAGCTTCATCCAACTCCACGACCCAATGGCAAGCCCCTCATTCCCGCTGATTCATCTCACGTGACCCCTCTTCCTCCCCCCCTCCGCATCCCCCCTCCATCTTTTTTACAGCACTGCTTCCAGGTAAGTCACTGTAATAGTAAGTACCTTTGTACCGCCAGACCCGGTCCAGCTCCCAGCTCCGAAAAGCCTCCCCAAATGACCGAGTAATAGCCAGCGAGAAATTTAATCCATCCCGCCGAACATCAAAACCAAACCCGTCACCAGAAAAAACCCGCCCAAACGACAAACGAACCACCCCTCGAACTCTCAACAATAACCCTCTCTCCCCCCCCCTTTCTCCCTCCAATTGGTCTCTCCTCTTTTCTCTTCTTCCTGATACTCGGAAAGTCTCGAAAACAGAAGCGAAAATGTTCCGCACTGCCGCCCTCCGCACAGCCGCCTCGGCCGTCCGCGCCGTCGCCCGACCCGTCGCCATCCGAAGAACAGCTGCTGCTGCTGCCTTTGCCGCTCCTCGCGCCGCTGCTGCTGCTCCCCTGCGCATCCAACAGAGCGTCATGGGGGTGCGCATGTACAGCGCCGGCGGTGGCCTGAACAAGGAGGAGGTTGAGGGCCGCATCATGAGCCTTCTGCAGGGATTCGACAAGGTAAGCAAGTTGACGTTTTTTTGCTTGCGCTGAAATGGCGCTCGTGAGGGGAGATGTGGTCATGGGGATTAGAGGCAATGCTGTCTATCAATGCTATCACCACGGAATGTGCATTGTGTGGAAGAAGAAGAGTGCTGCGCAATGGACAAGGCGAGGCTGGAGATGTCAAGAGTTCGTGATGCGAGGCGCGGGGGGGAAAAGATGCTCGAGCATGCGGGGTGTGCAAACATCAAGACAGCGCCCTTGTCCCGACATGCGCCACGGCCTTCTCTTTTCATTGAAAAGTGTTTTATATCTTTGAGAGAGCCTTTTTGCTAACGATATTGCGCTACAAGGTCAACGACGCCGCCAACGTACGTCCGAACCAATCTCTCTCTCCCTCACGCCCAACGAATGATGATGACATAGCAATCTAACCACTACCGCTTTCAACCCTCAACAGATCAAGCCCACCGCCCACTTCGCCAACGACCTCGGCCTCGACAGCCTCGACACCGTCGAGGTCGTCATGGCCATTGAGGAGGAGTTTAGCATCGAGATTCCCGACAAGGACGCCGACAGCATCCACTCCAGTACGACGATCCCCGTTCTTCCTTCCTTTCCAATCCTGTTTTTGTTTTCGAGGAAATGCATATGCCCTGATTGCAATGTATCCATGCTGACCTTTTGTTTTTTTGTTTTTTCCCTGCGTTGCAGTTGACAAGGCCGTCGAGTACATCCTCAACCAGCCCGACGCTCACTAAATCCGCCTTCCCCGAACCCGCACGACTCTGGAAAATTTTCACTTGGGGCACCTTAGTTCTTTCCACCCTTTCACACCCTCGCTCGCTATTTGACTCGAACAATTCGCCCGCTCCTGGATTATTACCCGGATAAAGAACGAGCTCTGGATCATGGGATGGGAGATATCGAGACGCAAAACTACGAACAAACATGTAAAAAAAAGAAAACAGGGCGAAATCGTTTGTTTAATCGCAAAAAAACTTCCAACTTATTCTTCTCTAAATCTGTTGGAGGGAATACACGGGGTGTTTGGTTCAAGGCAGTTCAGTGATTTCCAGGCTCGGACGGACGGAACGGGTGCAAAGAAGGGCGTGTTGAAGCGTGTTGGAAGTGTTAGATCGGGTAGGAAATCAGGGGGAAAAGAAAAGAAGAAAAACAAAAGAAGCCGGCTGTATTGATGGGTGGGTGGTCTGGAGAAGCTGTTAAAAAAGGCAAGGAGGCTTTTTTCCCCTTGGGCAGCTTCATCCCTTGTACTAGTGTATAGAAGAATCATGTTACTCTCCACCATTTGCTTGAACCTGGATACCGGTAGAATCGCTGTGTTGGTCTCGTAGAACGTATTGATATGGTCGCCTGAATCCTCAGACAGATAAGGTACAGAACTAAATCCAAGATTGGCCTCGCCAAAGAGGACTGTTATTATTTCCAACCCACCCCCTCACTATTTGACCCAAGTAGCTTGCCTGTTTGTGTCTGTGCAAAAAGTACAATCCAAATCTCAAGAGAAGAGCAGAGACCCGAAGGGATGCCATGAACTAACGATCCAGTGGGTTCGTACTTTCATCATGTCTCCATTGATGATGAGAGCAAATAGAAGAAAAAAAATCATACTATGATGCTGCAAAACGCCTGTAATGAAACCACCCCGCGATCCAGAAGAGAGAGATATGGCTTCAGGGCGTGGCCGTCCTAGGTGGCTCCTCGATATCGAAAATGCAAAAGAAAAAAAATGCCCAGGATGGGGAACAAGGGAAAGGAAGGGCAAAACGCAAAAAAAAACTCCAGCCTATATAGTAGTATATGTACACCCCCTTGTGGTCCCATTTTGTTTTCCTCCCCCTTCCCAACCCTTGGCGATGTTGGATGCCGGATGATGGATTTGTGTGTTCCAGATTGCCACGATGTTGCAAAGAAGAACAAATATGTGCGATGGAAGTAAGCAGTATGGAAGACCGTCCGGAAATTTCGGTGAAATGAACTCTCGGTTTCCAAGTTTGAGTGTTCCTGGAGCGCTGTCGTCTGGTTCGTAGATTGTCATGCCTTCATCAAAACATGGTCATGATTCCTCCGTCGGTTCATTAGTCCTCAAGGGCTGGGAGGGTCATCTCGTCTAAGAAAATGCTCCGCCATGCTTTTTTTTTTTTTTTTGGACTTCGTCCTCTTTGCAAGGACATCATCGTCCATTGACTGGTACAGCATCTCTCCCCTCTTTGGCGCCGTTCGAAGATGTCGCTCCCTTGCTGGCGGCAGCGTTGGCATAGGAGCTGTAGCTCCCAATGGCCAAGCCGGAAGAGCCACGCTTGCGGGCTTTAGCCGCTGACGAGTCCTCCTCCTCCTCCATGCTGAAGACGAAGGCGGGATCTTCCTCGTCTATCGGGGTGGTGAATCTGACGGACGAACCGATGCTGTTGCTCGAGACGTGGCGCTCCAGACTGCGGTCCTTGCCAATGGGCGAGATACCGTTGCTAGCGCTGCGCGTGACGGTGGGGTGCAGCAGAGGGCTGGAGCCGTTCAGGGTGTCATCCAGCCGGCTCCGTTGCAGCTGCTGAGAAAGCATCGACATGGATTCGCTTCCAGACCGAATGGCAGATGGCCGGCCATTGGCCCCAGAGAGGTCGTCCGACATTTCCTTGGCAAGAATCGAGTTGCGCAGGGGGCTCCCAACATGGCCAAAGGCTGATCCGGCAGCGCTTCGGGCCGATCTCGTCATCTCCTCCTCCTCCTTCTGACGCTGGAACAGGGGTCCCCATCGACTCGGGCTTGAGCCAATAGGGCTGCCATATTTGCCTAGGCTGCCCAGGCTGAAGTCGGGTCTCTCGTCTCGCATCGAGCCTCTGCGGGCTTTTTCTGCCGGGGTCAAGAGATCTTGCAGGTCGCCCGGAACAAGGTTCTCCGGCACGTTATCGTCGTCGCCAAAGGCAAACTCGGCCTCCCAGTCGCGGTCCACCATGTTCTTGGGCATGCTGGCGCTGAGCAGCCGCGGCTTGGGGTACCTGGTCGAATGCATAATTCGCTTCCCAAAGTACTCTTCGCCGGAGAGGTGCTGCGAGTCTGGCGGGCTGCCGGCGATTGGAGTTGCGAGGTGCTCAGACGATCCAAAGGCGGAAGAGTGGAGCAACTTGAGCGTTTCGGACGTCCGCGAGTCCTTGATGCTGCTGAGCGACGGAGAGGGCGACTCCAGGCCGAATTTGGACGGCACGGACGAGGGCCACGGCGCAGCAGGGAAGCGAGCGGCGTTGGAGATGCCGTTGGAGTCGAACGAGGCGGGCAACGGGGCATCGAGGACGGACAGGCCCTTTGCGGCGGGGGACAGGCCAAAGCCTAGGCGAGAGGGGTCGTCGTCGGGCGGCGAGCCGTAGTTGGACTCTGTGACGGAGTAGGGCGCATCAATGGTCGGGGGCCCGTTGTCGTGGCCGCCGGAAGGGCCGAGATGCTGCATCTCATCACCGAGGTAAGGGTATGCGGGCTGATCGGCGCGGTAGAGGGACGTGGTCAGGGCGCTCGCGGTCGAATGGCCAAAGGGGCTACTGACAGCGCCCTGGGTCTGTGAGACGGGACTGGCACCGCCCGCGCGGTTGAGGGGATTTGGACCGATGGTAACGCCATTCTTACCGTAGTTGATTCGGCGGCCGTCGGGCAGGACGTGGATGTTTGCGCACTTGGGGCCAAACTTGCAGTTACCCTAAGAGGAAAGAAAAGCCAATGGTCAGCCAACCAATCTCGACACACGCAGCTGGCCATGGTCTGCCCTGCCATGGCGCAACAAAGCCCTCGGAGGGCCCCCGCACAATCCGTTTTTTGTTTGCACGCAAGAGAGGAAGAGAGAGGGGGGTTTAAGAGGGAGAGTCTTGTAGTGAGGCCATATCGGAGGGGCATCGGAGTGGACGTTTGCCGGCTGCGGGTGTTTCCGGCCAAAGGGGAAAGAAAGTATGGAGTCTTTTTTGGCTTCTCTTTTTTTTTTATCGTCTCTGTCTCCTCCCACTGATCGACTCAATGGGCCGGCAAGGCAAGGCAAGTAGATGGATAGACGAGACGCAAAAAGACTCAATGGAGGACATGGCGGGCAAGGACTGAGCGGAGGCTGCGGCAGAGGCGGAGACGGCAAGGAGACCAAGTCAAGAAGCACCCTCACCTTTGCGAAATATTTGCAGATGGTCTCGGAGGCAGCGCCCAGGTCGTGGCTGAAGGGACAGGCATTGCCGGCCTGGCAGGCGCCCTGGCGAAAGAACTTGCACGGAACGTGCGACGTATCTGGGAGAAGCAAGCAAGCAAACGAGGTCAGCGCAAGGTCGGGCACTCTGGCGGGCGATGTAGGTGGTGGTCGTGTGAGCGGCCCGCAGAGGCCAGAGACAAGAGGTGTAACACGAAAGGGCTCAAGAGGGCAGGGCAGGGCAAACGTACTGGGCGGGCTGCGCGGCATGCTGTGATGGGCGCCGTGGGCAGCGCTGGGGATGCTGAGGCTGCCGCTGCGCATGTGGCGATACTCGGGCATCGTGGCGGCGGGAGACGAGAGTCGCGAGAGGCGGCGCTGGTCGAGCGCTGGGAGGAGCGGATGTGAGGCCAGAGGAAGAGGAGAGGAAGTGCTGCGAGCGTGTCGGCTCGAGAGAGGGGGGAAATTGGGGTTCGGGCTCAGGCTGCTCGGGTTGTGTAGCGGCGGCCGAAGCGCAGCGTGGGCGGGGATGGAGGGGACGGAGGGGGCCGCCTGGGGCGCTGGAGCAGGCGCTGGAGGCGCTGTGCGAGGGGGAGCTGGAGGGCCTGTGCAGGTGGCCTCGTGCGCGTAGGGGCCTGTACTGGATGTAGCAGTGGCCGGCGCTGTAGCCGTCCGGGTGCCGCCTGTACATGTAGGGGGGCCCTGCACCTGCGCCTGGCCGGCACCACACAAACTCGACCTGCCCGAACCTGGTGATGCAGAACCTGACGCTGAAGAACCTGGTGACGCCGCCTCCGGGCCTCCGAACGGGTGTTGGATGTGCTGCTGCTGCTGCTGCTGGTACGGGTCCAGGTACATGTACCGGCGCTGCTGCATGTGCTGCATGTGCATGTGCTTCTGCGTGTGTGATTGCGCGTGTGTCTGCGTCTCCCGAGAGGCTGCCGGCTGCTGTTGCTGTTGCTGTTGCTGTTGCTGTTGCTGTTGTTGCTGTTGCTGTTGTTGCTGTTGCTGTTGTTGCTGCTGCTGTTGTTGCTGTTGCTGCTGGTGGTGACTGAGGCTGCTGCCGGTATTACTGGCTTGTTGACGATGGAGATTGCGGTTTCGGTCTCCCGCAGAATCTTTGTGTCTCAGCACGGCTCGTAGCAGCGCTCCCGGCCGTCGTAGCCCTGGAGGCGGCAGCACAGCGTATCGGTCGTGGACCGCGGCCATCGGCTTACATGTAAAAAGGTATGTATGTATAGGGGTCGATATAGGGAGAGCGCAAATGTTTGCGGTTTGAGAAGCGAAAGATGGTACGGCAGAGAGGCCAAATTCCAAAAGGCAAAACGAACGATTTAAAGAAGAATCGAATTAGGCAAGGAAGAGGAAGGAGAAGCCGGAGAAGAAGAAGGGGAACCCAAGCGAAGAACGAAGACGGAACAAGACGATGGGAAAAAGGCACGGCGTGATATGCGCCTGATTTACCACCTTCTTGTGCTGCTCGGTCCCAAGAGTTCGAGATCAAGGGACTGATTACTCCGTATGCCGACTAGGTTGGTAGCTGTCGAGCTTACTTTGAGGCTGGCGATGGGCTCAGCAAACGCGCAACGGCTCAGGTCAGTTGCCCGTCTGTCAGCAGCACGCACGTACCGATGCTGCGGGTCCTCCCAGCCTGCATGTGCAGAGCGTGAGATGCGGGATTCGGGCCCTTTCCAGTCGGCAGTGACAACGGGATGCGAAGTTCGTGAGAGATTCCCTCAGACGATCAAGGCGAGCCGATATCGAATGATGGCCCAGATGTCCGACGACAAGGGGGTGTGTATGTGTGTGTGTGGCAGTGGCAGTGGCAGGGGGGAGGGGGAAGCAGTGGCAGGGAGGGTCAGTTGAGGTGATGGTGATATATCACGGCAGAGGTGCATGACAGCTTCAGTCCTCTCATGAGTCGGCCGCCTATCAAGCCGATGCACGGGAACGTCTAGCTTATTATATATCTGCGTCTGCAACTGTGAACTGAAAGGCGGAGGGCAACCTGGAGGGGTGGGAGTCCAGTGTCGGCAAGCTGATACATGGGACATTCACGCTCCTGTTAGTACATGTAGTTGGTTTGGTGTCAGAGACACGAGTACACACTCAAGACCTGCAGAATAAAGGACAGCTATGGCTGCTACAACTGCATGTATCCATCCGGTGGCTAGAGCGTGTTCGATAGACAGCCGTTGAAGGAGACGGTCCAGACGGAGGCGTGCAGACACGGGCGTGGGAGCAGGTGTAGCCGTATCAGTGTAAGTGAGGTAGCAGACGCATGGCACCAGACCAGACCTCTCCTACCTAGTATACAGAGATCAACCAAGCTCGTGAAAGTGTGTGTGTGTGTGTGTGTGTGTGTGTCGGTATGTGGCATGTGTAAGTCAGCTACTTGAAAGCAGTGCTGAGTGCATGTGTGTTTCGTACCAGCAGAGGCGGGTGCGGATGACGGCGTCTGAGCGGACTGAGGAGCGCCTCATGCAGTCTGAGTTGGTGTAGGTACACGAAAACACCACGTTCCGTTGACGATGGCCTTGGCCGGTACCTCCACTCTAGCGCTAGAATACGTGAGCCGGGCAGGTACCAGCGCTCTTACCTAGTGCGGCAATATTGCCATTGTGATTGATATCTTACTTATACCTACAGAATCTCTCACGCACCGTCCATGTACAGTAAGGTATGTGCACACCTACATGTACACTGGACCATGTGCGCATGCCGCCAAGTCGGAGCAAAAGCCCGTGCAAATCATCGGCCAGCTGGTGAGGCGCCTCGATGCTCCTCCCACCCACCCATTCCGGTTCATTTTTCTTTTGCAAAGGGCGGGCGAGACATGAGGCGGGCGATCAGTTCATGACAACCTGCTAGTCTCACAAATAGTCTGCGGGCTGCCTACTTTGCTTCTCTGGTAGAGACGGGAAACAGACCGTTTGGCCGGTCTCTGTCGAGGTTTCGATTCAGCTCGGAAGCGATTTGTCGCTCCCGCTTGATGGGATTTTGCGAGCCCAGAATAGTAGGTAGCAATAACGGCGGCGGAGCTGACCGTTGGCCCTTTGGAGCTGTGTGCTGTTTCAAAGTCCTCTCAGCGTGGCGAGACACCCGACGACTGAAGCCTCTGGGGGTTAAGGACATGAAGCATCAATGCTCGTACATGTGTATACATGAGCGGAATAACATGTCCACGCACATGCCAATATGACCTCGGTGCCGGCCGGCATTCCAGTCCACTGGCCCCGAAACCTGAAGACATCATCGCCGTCGTCACCATCATCACCATCGTTGTCGGCTTCGAATTCGATGCGAGAGTCCACCGGCTGAAACGCTTCTGCTACATGCCCATCTCATCTGCCTCAGTCACCATGGCCAAACAGAATTGCCATCAAATCCCCTCAATCTGTCTCGATGCATAAGTGCGCATTCACGTCGTATCGATAATGTCTGTATGTCCGTATGTACAGTATGTATGTAAAGTATGTCTGCATCCGAGATTCCATGGCCGCTTCTGCGGCCACCCTGCTGCAGATCACCCATGGCATGTTGATGAGCACGGGGTCAGCATCGATGACGATCCTTGTCTGTGGAGGGGTTGGTAGAATTGCATCGGAGTTGAGCGTTTTCGATGGACGCAGAAATAGAGGGCATGGGAAAAGTCGATAGACCATCATCCCGATCATAGTTACGATACTCGATCCCGGCTCTCATCAGATTGGTGAGACCACCACAGCCATCGGCCTCGGCAGCGTAGGAACGTATATACATCCAAAGTCGACCTCACAATTCAGCATGGAACGAGACGCAAAACCTCATATGAGCCCACACTATCAAGAGCCGCGACATAGTAGTACCTGGGTCGGTAGGACCCATCGCCACAGCAGATGGTCGCACCGCTACCACTTGCACGGAGCAAACGGTTAGCAGCATCCTTCCCGCGCTTCGTCCTCCCCGTTCATCCTCCTGTTCCTTCGTACAGATATGCCAGGTAGACAGTTTATGGCGTCTGCCCCGGGAATGTTCGCAACGCTAGTCGAATGGGATTGTCCTCGTGTTACGAGCATTGGGCTTGTCATCCAGGGCCGTCGAGCCTGTCTTGGCTGAGCCGCCCTTGCGCGGCCCAGCCATGGCGCTGCCTACGCAATCTTGTCTCACCCAGAGGCTTTTCGTTTTTTAACTTTTCCCCTCTCTTGTGCCAGAAGATTCAAGATTGTCAAAGACGGGGCTGCTGCTGCTGCTGCTGCTGCTACACGACATGTGACTATGCCTGTCGCCTTTTGATGGCTTTTAGAGCGACGAGGGGCCTTCCTCCAGGGAGTCGCAATCTAGGAATTCGGCTTGCTCTGTGATAATCTTGTGTTGATGATTCATCTTCATTTCAGCATTTTTCATCTGGTTGCTCGTCAGCGTATGACTCTGTTCAGATCATGTCTGGATAATCCAACAATACTGTACTCGTATCTAGGTACGTGTATGTACGTTCTCGTACAGAGGACATGGCGCATTCTGTCCTCACCAGCTCGAGCAGCCTCCCGCCGCTAACACAACGCTTGAACCTGGCTTTGTCCAACCAACCACCCCAACTTGAGTGAAGAAACCAGGCGAATGTCACAGGGGCAAAGAACAGACGAGATGAAGAGACGCCCCGTTGTACGAAGAGTCTCCATGTTGGTAATACATACCTACTCGCTGAGCAGAGGATACCCAGCAATCCGTGTAAATCCGGGGAAATGCTCCGTCTCTCTTGGTGGTGCACATACATACCCATATCCCTGTACAGCGCCGGCAAAAGCAGGCCTCGGGCTTCAGTCCACTTGTGTTCCTCAAGCCCGTCTTTTCCGAGTCGCCGATAAAAGCCAGGAATAGCAGATGCCACGATTGCAGGTATGAAGCTGTCGTCATCGGATGGCCATTGAGCCGGACGTGAAAAGAGAGGTACATCTACTACTGTACAGACAAGACATGGATGCAGATGGCCCCCCTCCCATCCTCTGTTTTTACCTATAGATGTAGGTACATACGAGGTGGCTGAGACAACCATGAGAAGACGAGAAACCTGCTTTGATCTCCCCGAGAAGCACCAAGCGATCGAGTCGACACTCGTGATCTATGCCTTGTCCAGATAGTATTCGTACCTCAACTCCAAGGACGGTCTCGTGACACACACACACACACAGCCTTGATATCCAGAGGCTCGGCAATTCCCACATCTCTTATCTGCCCTCGAATTTCTTCCGAGGCTCCCCCATCCGGCGTCGCCTGCATGATTACATGTATCGTACCTACATACTTGCCTACATGTACCTAAGGTATGTCTCTCCAACAGACTGGAGGCTTGCACACCGTCCTTTGTGCTTCATATTACTTGTCATCTCATCGTCCGTGAATCCTCCGCACAATCAACATGGACATGGACAAGGATATGGACACGCTCGCCTCACAGCAGCGCCGCAACGGAGGATAACCGCCAGCAAGGGAAGGGGAAAAAAAAAACCTGAATTGCGACCCCAGCCGAACCGCCGCAAAGCGACTCGTCAACTTCGCTCCCATATTGCTGTCATTGTCCGCCTGCTGCCCGTGTCTCAGCTGTCTGCAAAGGCCGTCACTCGGGGCCATTGGAAGCCGCATCCATCGCCTGGTGGCCTCGTCCACTCAAGAGGCGCGCCAGCCCTCCTCCTCTCTGCCCCCATGGCCTGTCTCAGGGCAAAGAGCGGCTAGCGATGCCCTCACGGGCCAGCGATGGGGAGTGTGTGCGGCGATTGTGCTTTGATCTGGTTAGAGTTGGTAGTAGTAGTAGATGCCTCTCTGGAATCTGCTGCCCAACGATGCAATGCTCTCGATGTGCGTCGATCCCTTGCTGGGCTTCTCTAGTCGCACTTCATTCCGATTCGCTTTCGCCTTCAGCTGCCATCGCCTGGATGTACCTAACAGGTGCGCGACGGTCATCACGAAGGGAAGGGAAGACGGGCGACAGACGCAAAAGACAAGAAGAGACAGCTTCACATGACAGGTCAGCAGAAGAGGAACCGCTGCGGTACGACGTTCGTCTGCGCACAGTCTGCCGACGACGCCCACAAGGACCTGATGGCGCACCTCTCCGGACAATAGGTAGATAGATAGGCGGGCTTGTGCAACAGCCACGAAGCCGCCCTTGTGCCTGTCGACGCTTTGCCCCTTCCAGTGCCCGTGGGAATCAGCGGCGGGAGGCTTGTCAGTGGCCTCATACCTGGTCGAGGCGAGCTATCGACGACGAGGACGAAGGACGACGCCACCAGAGACCATGTGCAGGGGTAGCCGGATGCCTGGGTTGTGACTAGCGATATGGCTTGAGCCGGGCTTTCGCACAAACTTGCCCAGCAAGCCCGTCAGCCGCAGTCCGTCGAGGCGCTGCCTGTATGTACTGTACGGAGTATGAGTGAGCACCTAACTTGTATAGATCGTCCATCCATGGAGCTTGGGACTGCGCCATATGGGAGGCGGGTGATGGATGCCTATCATCTTTGCTCCCGCATTTGACTTTCCGGTCCATGGCCGCGAATGACAAGATGAATCTGCCGGCGCAGACAACATTGAACGCTACCCTCGCCGATGTTCCCCCTCGATACGAACCGTCAGGGATGGTCGTCTTGACGTCCGTGTGGTCCAGAAGACACCATGAAGCAAGACGCACGCATGGCCGCCTTTGTTCGTCCGAGCCACAGCCAACCACAAGGCCCTGCCTGCAAGTGCGTCGGCATGCCGCATCTGCTCCCACCCACCCCATCATGCACCCTTATGCACAATCTCGTGCGCTAACGCAAGCATGTGTGAAGATGCATGCCATGGCGGGGACTGTCTGTACGAGGGTCATGCGTCCCGCAGAGTTGCAGTACTACCTACATACATATGTACATGCCTACAGTATGTACGAGCTCGAGACTCCAACCTCCGACCTCTCCTCGGCATCGCCTTGCTGGACACGCACGCACAGGTATTACGCGCAGTTACAATACTGCACAGTCCGCGGATCAGTGGGTTCTAGAAAGATGAGCTTACATTGCCCTTTGGATGGTAGTATCTCTTCCTCTGCTTTTCCTCATCCTTCAACCCAGCTCCCAAGTTTCCAACATGGAGCCCCCCCCTTTTCCTATCCATAGCCAAATGCTAACCCCAATACCATGATGCTCCGTACAGTTGCGGACACTTTGCGGCTGGCTTTACGCCTCTCCCTCTTCTCCCAACCGCCATGGCTCCGTCATGCCTTTGTGGTCAAGGTGTGGGCCGTCCCAGGCGGGCCTCTCCGCACCTTGCCACGGTTCCAATGCCGTCCATGTTAGAGCCAGCTGGAGGCGGTCCCCCTTCTTCTAACCCGCGACGCAGCTCAGCTTGGAAATTCGTCTGCTTGAGCGGACGGGTTGCTCGGGCCTCCAACTTGTCTCATCGTTTATCACACACCCTTCTTTCGGCTACTTCTTCACCAGAGTCTCAGCAAGCGCCGGTCCCTCCCCCCCCCAGAGGCTCAGACCGTTGCTGCACCCCCTGTTCTGTTAGCCTTGAACTCTTGCTTCCTATGATCTCCATCCTCTCTGCGTCCCACCACTTCACATCTGCAAGATCTGCCACTTTCAAGCCAAGCACTCCCTTGCTGAATCTCATGATCCCTGCCCACTCACCCCACCACAATGCCGGCTCTGATGGCCAACCTTGTCCACCTGTCCCCGCTAGCTTTTATGGTCATCCGCCCATCGAGGCCATTCACACGCCTCCCCCCTCCTCCTCCTCCTCCATTGCGCGTTTCCTTTGCCTCCTAGGACGCTCTTGGCGGTGCCGTCAAGGGGTACCACCATGCAACCAGATGATGCGCCATGATATCTGTCTTCCAATCAGCAAAGGTCACAGTCCCATCGGGGGGAGGTAATCATGACGTTGTCTGGATTACCTCTGCAGCTCTTTGACAGAGGAGAGCCCGTTCTAACCCGGCCTCCTCTTTCTCGGGGCCTAAGGTCCTAAGGCCTCTGATGAGTTGTTTGATGGCGGGGACGCCTATACAACAAGTCCTAGCAAGTCCTTGCTCGAGCATACGGGAGTAGACCTGTCGACTTGAACACAGCGTTTTTATATCAAGGGCAGAGTTTCACGCCATAGACTAGCCCTGCCAACATGAGCAGCTTGTCGGTCTCTCCTATCTGAATCATTACAGGCTCCTTGGTGCTCGTATGTATCCTACTTGGAGGCCACCCAGAGCCGCCCAGGGTCCAGAGTTGACGTCCACTTGGCTTTGTCATGACCAGCGCCACGATGAGCTTACTATGGGATCCCCTGGCCTTGATTGGAAGATGCCACGCAAGCCATGGTTACCAGAAACGGGCAGTTTGTCTGCATGTGACGGCAATATATGTCGCGAGTGGACACATGCGCCCGTCCAGATTGAGTAACCGCAGGCAGACACGGAAACTTTAATCCGTCTTGGCCCTTTGAAGCATCTCGAGGGGCCAGGAGAGGGTGACGCAGCTCGTCAGTGTGTGTTGCTGCTGGACCATGTCTTGCTCGACTCGGCATTCCCTTTTGATCTATTTGTCCGAGACTCTTCGGGTATTTATGCCCTCCTTTTTTTTTTTGTGCTTGATGGTCTCTCGATTAGGTTCAGATTGTAGCTGTCCCTCTTTTTGACGTGAGGGGATATGGGAACTTGTTTGTGCATAGTCGTGTTTTTTGACTTTCTGGGGTTTGTATTATACGACTCGAGTTCAAGCCATGGGAGGTGTCGTGATAACGATTCTTTGCGAAGGGCCGATGCTTGTGGCGAAAGACTTCAAGGGGTGTTGGGATGTGCTCCTTTTTAAGTGATTGGTGTGGTTGCCTCTCCTGAATGGCATGTTTGTTTGACGTCCAGAGGAGAAGTGGCAACTCCCATGAGCAGATTTTCAATCGAGGTATACCGTGTTTGGTTGTTTCGGCATACCTAGGGAACATTTGCATGATCAAGGCAGCTTTTGTTGAGTTAAGGAGAGCGTAATCTATAGAAATATCAGAGGCAGAACTATGCATCTATTGATATTAAAGTCAGGCCACCTAAGAGCTGATTCACAGCTGTGTCATGTTTCTACTATTGACGACCAGTTTCCAATTCTGCACATGGTAATCTAGCCTTACCATTCGGGGTTGTCGTTGAAGCCGTGATAATCGAGGCAGTTCTTTTACAGTGAGGGTAGCATGCGTAGGATTTTTTGCTTTTCCGCTCAACTTTAGAGACTGAAAGCAAGAGACTTTGACTATCAGAATGGAATCTTGCAAGTAATTTGAGAAAAGACAAAAATCGGCAATGTGTTCAATATATGAAAACACATAAAGGAACGCCGAATTATGGCTCAAGTCCTTTATAATCTTGCGCCTGAATCTCTCTAAAATTTAATTCTCGACTGACTCGAATCAAACGGAGAGTGAGAGCTCAAGTTGTCGAATCTTATTTCAACCGAGCATGACTCTGTTTAGAGGTAGGTATAGTGAACAATAATTTCAAGCGAGATTATCCTCGCTGTCATGATGCCTCATATATTCCTCGCTTTGATATAGAGTTATGATGGTAATAGATGCCTGTTTCTCCCATTAAGCGATGAGATGTTTCACGTGGGCTGGTAAGCGCCTCTATTATTTCAACAACAATGCCTTTCATTCTTCAGTATAATCCCATCAAGTCAACCTCTGATACAACAGTATCGAGCATCACCCTTCACCTCCTGTGTTATAAGGCATTAACGAAAGAACTAAACCACAGCAACAAATAAACAGTTCACACAGCACACATACCTTGATCTACACAGGCTCTTCGATATACAGTCCCTCAACGCTAAGACACCTCGTGTAACCTTAAAAGCCATTGCGCAAACGGAGCACTGGAGTTATCATTTCAATCATTGGTATTCAAGTTGCCAAACAGACTCTATACTTTCTGCTCTCATTACATAACTCGGCACCTGTTGCTCTACTTACCAGAGAGACACCACAGTGGTGGATTATTCACTGGAAAGACAACGATTCTTCTTTGAGAGCTATTGTGCATGTAGTCAGTAAGTAGAACGACATCCCCTGGCTCCCAACTGCGCAAAGGTCACCGACAGAGTCTCCGCCAAAGAGTTTACAGATTTCAGAAACAGAAGCGAGGTGATCCTCAAGTCCTCACAACCACTTCAGAGACGGCAGCCGTGCCTTTCCAAGGAGGAGGAAGGCAGACAGAAACACACCTATATCGCACCTCCAGCGATGAGTTTCAGCCCGACACGACGCAGCAGGTAGTCTACGGATTCGCCTGCACATATAGCCAGGCAACGTCGCGGCCTGCGGTACTCGCTCATTGGCCGTCCTTGGGGCGAGTAGCTCTGCCGAGATTGTTATGCTGGTGACTGTTTGGTTTAAAGTGGCTGCTCTGGTAGTGGTAGCCCGGGATGAGGCGGGAGACATGCAGGCGAGATTGAGCATCGAAGTCTTCGTAGCGGCGCACTTGAAGACGAACGGAAGCCAGGCTGTCGTGAAGAAGACGAGTGACAGGTAACTCTTGTGTGCTCTCAAGAATTGTGGTATATTATATCCATCTAGCCTATAGCTGCAAGCATAGGCTCAATCTCAACTCTTCAACTTGGTCATGAATCAGAAAAAAAAAAAGGTTCAAGTCATTTCGCTTTGTATCATCTCGGTATTGCGTAAAATCGCACAAATCAACTCAAAAAAACATCCTTCTGTGCGTTGTAGCCATTCGTTACGCAGCCTCGGCACACTGGCGGTATCGACAAATCGTCCAGCGCTCAGCACGGGCATGGGAAGATGCAGCAGTCGCAGGGAATCGGGCAGGGTATGATGAAGCAGAATCGGCCAGGGCACATGCCCCCATCGTCACCTCCGCGCATCTTGACGTCGTCTGTCGTCTCGGGCTGTGGCTGTTGGGCGTCTGTTTTGTACGGGAATTGCGTCAGTGTCGAGCCATTTTCTCCGCAGGTTTGGCAGGGGGGCAGAGGCAGATTATGGTGTTTCATGTTTCGGACTCACTCATGGCGGGGAGGGACTTTGGCTGCGCATCGTAGACGCGTTCAGGCTCTGTCACGGTGATGGTGGGTGTAGGCGCGGACTCGGACATGATGGCGGTATGGAGAGTGGTGGTGACGCTAATCGACGGTGCCTCGGATGATGGCAGGTGTGCAGAAGCAGAAACGAACACAGATATCGAGCGACCCGACGATAGAGAATAATGCAGTGTCAGTCGATAATATTCGAGCTGTTGGGACACAATAAGCAGGGTGTGTGTAACTTGTGAAGTGATGCAAGGGCAGGTATGCAGGAGATGGAAAATAAATTGAACAGACAGATTAAAGGTTAAAAAAGCCAAGAGCTTGTCAGTCAGTCTTACGAGCTTGATCCAGTTCGCTCTTGCCTCCTGATGATCAGGAACGGGCGGCTACGTCATCGACACGTTGGTCCCGTCTCCACTCCCGCAGATGATCCGCCTTGGCACTTTGGCGGGGAAAATGTTTGATCCGCAGCGTTCCAGCATTCTCCGTCTTGTCATCACCATCAACCATCAAGTCCATGCTTAGGTACATGTACGTTGCCATGAGAGGTTGGCTCTAGCAGCTCTTATTATGTGTTATATGGCTTCTACGTAGCATTTGGTATGCGCACCTATACCCGTGCCATCGAATCATCGTCTGGCCGGCTGACCTCGCCAAGCACCGAGGCTGTCAAGCCCTTCTTCTCCTTGCAGCTGCATCCATACCTATGAGGGCTAGAGGTACGCAGTAAGCACTGACTGGGCTGAGTTGGTGACGGGTGAGCATCAGCTTCAGCTGGCTTCAGCCATGATGACAACACCGCTACTGCGTTTGTGATTGCTGGGGGAAACGAAAGATTTGCGACAGCGGAGGAGCATTGAAAAGCAGGTGCCGAATTCAAAGTTGACTGTGCTTCGGATTCGAGCGTGGCGTGATGGAATTGAATTCTATCCCGACTTTGTATTGCACCCTTCAAGGCATGAATTCCTGAGATTGCATATACATGCTTGTTAAAGTATGTCTGCATTGTGTGAATGGCCAAGCCTTGCGGTGTGAAGCAGTCCATCTCGAGATGCCACTCCCCTGATATGATAGGTCGCATCAGCCCAGGATGCACATTATGTCCTCGCCAAGAGGCTGGTTCCCCAGATGAGATAGATGCACAAGTATCTTATACCAAAAACTTCTCTGCAAGCCGTTACCTGGGCTGTATATCCGCTGTCTCGTCGACAGCCACTGCTAACATGGCATTTTGGATGTGCGGTGCGTCTGTTCAGGGGGAGGTCCGCTGTTCTGAATCTTGAGCCACCTACTTATGCAAGTCCTAGTTCACTGTCTTAGCACATCCATCTCCATGATTTCGCTAGACGGTTATCAAAATCATTCATATGCCTGCTACTCTGAATGACTCTGCCGGCAAGGGACTCTCGCGAGAGACCCATCGATCTCGGATGAGCTGTCGGCTATTGTCTACAAGCCTGAACAGTCCATCATCTCTCCCCCTTGGCACTTGGCTATCTTTGAGCCTCGGAGAAGTACAACTTCCCGAACGTAGTCCATGTCCTTTGCCACTAAGACGACAGAAGTCGCGCGGTGGTGACAAGCTTTGCGTCCCACGTTCTGTCTCCTTTCATGTCGGCCGTCTATCTCCGCTCTGCAACCCCGAGAGAGCTCTTCTTGGCAACTGTTGTGGCAATGCACAGGAGAAGAAGTTATTTTCCATATTGTATTGTCATTTTGAAAAATCATCAGTGACCCCTATTCCGTAGAAGCCGAGTCAGCAGCAAGTTGACTCAACTCATCTCCGTCAACAATCATCACCACCTTTGACAGCTACTATCCCTGCGTCCCATCTACAGTCTATCTGTACGACGCTGGCAGCCTTCAAAACACGCGGTTTTCAAATTACAAGCATGCAGCACAGTTGATGTAATCTCGCTGGTGTCGCGGTGAGTCACCGGCCTTGACACGCCCCCACTATGACTCTATCGCCGAATACTCTGTCAACGCAAACCAGACCTCCCAAGAAAGGGGTTGAATCAACACCATGAGCCTAAAAAATTTGGCTGTTGAAGACTGAGGAAGAGCGGATTTGGATTGCCACGGTGGGGAAGATGAATGTGTGCAACAGTACATGCACTCTGTGTGGTAAGAAGATGCATTTGCTGCGGCGGGATGGATGATGAGACCGATGCGCCATGGAGCAAAGTGATGTATCATTGGAATTTCAAGTGTCCGTCTCGTCTCTGTGACTTCAACGATCCATGTGTTGTATCTCCTGCGGTGTTTTGTGCAAGGTACATACATGTAGCTTGGCTTCAATTGATTGTGTGTCAATATTCTACATTTAAACGATGCCTCGTCCCAGCTTGAGGTTCTCTCGTTCCCAAGCATCAGTATGCAATCGTCTTTTCCAATATCCCAGTCGGTACAGAGAAGCTCTCAGATACGGGGCATCTGTTGCGTCAAGGCAATGATTGGATGCTCAGAGGCTGAAATAGACCTTTGCTGCTCATTTCTCCTTTCCTAATCCTCCTCTCTCTACAACCAGTATAAGTGTCCAAGAGAATTACGGATGAATCTATGAGAAAATGAGGTTTGGATGTCCCAGTGAGTTACCTTTACTTTCTTTCTCTTCTCTTATCGTCCGCATATGTGTACAATTTTGCACACCCCCTATTATTCGTGCCCTGTCGACAAGACATCGTCGGTCTGCCGTGATGAGGCGAAAGAAGTTGAAAAATCTCCATGATACATCTTGTTCATAAAAAGGAAGAGAATCGACATCGTCTGAGCAACCGTGAGAGTCTCTTAGTCTTTGGGACCCTATCACTTGATTATGATTTTTCAGTCGTGTTCGTGGCTATGTGGCCTTGCTAGGGATTGTTTCGCTAACACCTTGCATATCATAAACCAGGGCTCTACGGCCCAGGATAAGAAGGCCAAGATTCATAACGAGCCGAGTAATAGTTGGAGTGATAAAAACTTGAAGACGGAATATAACACAGTCCTGCCCTAAAGACCCATTTTCTGCCCCTTTTTTCTGTAAACACCATAACACTAGTTGATCTATATAAATTTCCATAGAACAAAAATCACAGGAACAGATTAAAATACAGAAAGGCGCTCTTCCCGCGAGTGAAGATCCGCTTTGTGTGTCGTCTTCTAGTCGGAGTGCTTGAAAGCCTGGTGGCGTCCGCGGATATAACTCCAAGGGCATGCATCACCTCCTCCCCAGCACCTCCCGCAGAGCTTCAACCTCGGCTTCGCGCCTAGCAAGCCTCAATCTCAACTCATCACGCTCGCAAGCCATATCGCTCAACGCACGCTCCAGATCAGCGATCCGGTCAAGGCGCTTCTGGCGGTATTTTCGCGCCGCCAGGGTGTTGCGCTGCCGCTTGATGGCCGCCTGCGCCTCGTCGTCGACGGCTTCAAACTCATCGCCGCCGTCCGTCGACCGGGCAGTGCTGCGCTGTTTGGAATGCGAGCGGCTGCTGTGTGTGCTGGCGGGCGAGTCCTGGCGGTAGTGGTGATGCGGTGCTGGTGTTGACGGCGGGATGCCGAGCCCTGGCACGGTGGACAGTTGCGACGGCGTGGGCATCTGGAAGAAGACGGCGTTGGGGCTTTCAGGGGAGTAGCTGGGGTTTGAGACGACCAGTCGGTCTTGTTGGTGGTACGGATTGCGGATGTTCGCATGGTGGAGGCTTGTGCCAAATAGATGCTGGTGATTGTCATTGTCGGTTGAGAGAAAGGCTTCTGAAGAGCACATGTCCTCGGTCGAGGCTTGCTCTGGCCAGTATCTGAACACAAAGTCTCTGTCGTCAACCATTATGGGCGAGGGAGAGCAAGACATGTGGGGGGAGAGAAGTAGATGCTTGAGGAAAGAATGGATGGCAGAGATGCAGATATATAGCAGATGCCTATGGAAGAGATGTGAATGGTATTGATTGAGATGTGGTCTTGAATGCAGACTCCAAATGTATATCAGGCGATGGCGTCTTGTCAGACATATATACCTACCTATGATGAGAGACCTAACCGAGAATAAACTGGTGGGCAGGTGAAGCAATTGCATGGAGCATGACAAGAGACCACGCACATGGCCCGCCAAGTAAGAAAGAAGCAATATAGAGAGTGAAGCGAACCCGACAAACAAGCTGCGTCCGACATCTCGGTCAGATCCACGGTTGCAATTGAGGCCAAAAACTTGGAAGCTCTACACACGAAAAGGCGGGAAGCGGGAGACTTGACGTTGCAGCAACCAGCAAATGAGCGACGGCGACAGGGCAGAGCTGCCCCGATCCTTCGGTGCCAGCGAGATTGTCGGGCTGCGGCAGTGCATGCATGCTTGCATGCTTCATGTTCCTTGCTTGCTTGCTTGCTTGCTCCATGTCATGTCATGCTGCTGTGATGCTCTGGAGCGCAGAGGGCGAGCACGAGGGCTAGGCCGCGACAGGCAAGGAACATGGAGGACGAGGACGAGGACGAGGAAAAAGGCTGGCAGATGTCGTGCGTTTGAAGAGGTCCCCTTCTTCTTTGGGCTTCGCTTGCCCTGTTTGGCCCTCTCGCAGAGCAGTTCAGCTCATATGCTGCGAGTCGATAGTCTGGGTTTTGGTCGCCGACTGGATACATGTAATGTAGGTGAGATGCAGCTCGGGAGGGTGTGAGTGAGTGTGTGGGCGCCACCGTTGGCATAGTATTAGCCACGTGCATGGAATATGGATTGTTATATTACCGTCAATACAGGCGTGAAGCAAAGGAAACTGATGGTGATCATTGTGTAAGATTCTTGTGCCCGAGGTGATTGATGTGCTAGTATTGTGTACATATTGTGCATATGTCATTGTTTTGAGGTCGGGGTTGGGTTGAATACGTTGGAAAATGGCAACAACAGTGCAAGTATTTCCAAGTACAACCTCCTATATCGATGCTCTGAATTGTACCACGGACCCTATCAAACTCGCCGACTTGGAGGTGTCGAGCAACGCACACAGCGCCCCTCTTGCCAGGCCGACGACTCCAATGCCACTCAACAGCGATCAGGCTTACAAGGGTCATGGGACGCAGCAACTATGTACCATGAATTTCATCGGCCTTGACAACACGGGACCTTCGACCCAGAGGCATGGAGAGCTTAGTGATGGCACTGAAGTCGCCATGAATACTGTCTGATGTGCCTCCCAATCCGTTTGCCGTATCTTGATTCATCTCGCGCTGCGTTGTAGATGGTGGCTTGCCTCGCCGGGAGGGCTATCACAGATCATCGCCGAACCCAACCAGCGGGCTCCACACGATGCTGACAGTCCCTCGGAGGACGCGAGGACGCACGCAGGGCCTTGTTTGAGCATGTTGGAGATGTTCAGTGGACGGTTTCCTGGCTTTGCAGGACCCCGCTGTGAACGAGAGAGAGCTGTGCTGAAGTCTGCCGAGCGGTCAGCCTAACAAGATGATGGGGCTTCCGCGACAGACGCCGTTGGATTCGGTGAGCTTTGACAATGGTAGGGCTGATGGAAAGCTTTCGAGGTCATTGTTTGGGTTATGACAGCGGGGGAACAGCTTGTAAGACTTTGGGCATCACGCACGCTTGGAGTGCAGTGCCAAGTAGGTAGTCATAGTGCTTATGCTGCTTCTTGCTTGCAATTTGGCCTCAACTTGCGACCTACCTACAGTACTGTATGTAAGGTAGCATTCGTCTATGCACGCGACTGATCCTCTCATATAGAAGAGACGAGGAGGCAATCACATCAGTGCAATGTGTGCAAGATGAACTCGATTCGGGGCCAACAGCATGTTGACAACAAGCGAACAGCACCTACATGTATCTTGCTGGCTATACATGGAAGAGAAAGGGTTTTGCCTCATCCTTTTCAAAACATACCTACCCATACCTCAACGGCACCAACCGCCTCCCCCCACGCCTGCGCCACCACCAGTCCTCTAAAGACACTCCCCGGCGCTGAGGGACAGCCTGTGGCGTCCCCGTAGGGCTGGCTTCTATTACTGTAATGCCTCGTGTCTGAGAGGGGGGCTATGTTGAGAGGTACGAGGCCCTGGGACCGGCGACTGCCGGGCTCGACTAACACGTTACATACCGACAGCCTGACGACAGTACTAGATTCATAGGGTCGGATCAGGCCATGAGCAAACTTTCATGAGTCGATAAAAATTACTCTATCCTCTGCAACTTTTCAAGTGTCGGTGGACAACAGCGACCAGTGAGGCTATAGTCTCGCCTCGGTCCCATAGAGGGGTTTGGTCACAACATCACACTCTTCTCCCACTATTCATCTCAGAACACAACCAATTTTCTGAGTGTAGTCGTCAAAGGAGGCTTGAGGCTTTGGGATTGCAGTTATTGGGGACACCCGTCAGCTCTATCCCGCCGCCCCTGTGTGCCCCAAGTGCGAGTATATGCTTTGAGGAAAAGCCTCCCCGCCGAGGTTTTCCTTGGTCTCCCAGCCTATAGGGACTCTACCTGGCTATATGGGCTCAATGGCGACTTTGATCTCATCGCGGAGTGTCTCAGAAAGGCTTACAAGGCTTTTTATGCATGTACTTTCAATGCCAATGGCGGTTAAGCTCTCAACGCCGGCCCCGGTCCTAGTCGATCCCGCTTGTATATACAATGCGTTGCCTGTCATTTGATGACGGATATCCAACCAGATGAGATATTGTCTGTTTTAGAGAATGCAAGCGCAAGACCTCTCGAAGAAATGTGATAGCATAGCGCTGCCATTTCAATTGTTCTGGCTGTTGCTGTTGTCATCCCTCTATGCTTTTCCTCGCAATACATACTCAGGCACGCGCATGCAGCTCCCCACAAGAGTATAGATAGCCTTCTTCTTTCATACAGGATGCGACAGGGCTGTATACGCATGTGCTTCACTCTACTGCTACTAGCAGTGCAGCGTAGATTAATACAGCTTCGGTAACATCGTTCAAGGTAAGCTGACAGCTCAAGCCCAGATCAAGCTCATGCATGCTGCTTCGCTTCTCGCGATGAGCGGCCCAGGCTCTACAAGTCCATCCGCACATTTTCGCAATCGCATCCTTCTCAACAAGTAACTCATCAAGTCCCATTATTCTTCTTCCATTGAAATAGCCTTATCTATTTTACTCCTCAAAAAATATCGAGATAATGCAGCGTACGCTGTACATGGCCATCTAATTACGTCTAAGATATCTGCAAATCAAGACAACTTCACCAAACAAGTTGCTGCTAATTTTTTTTCCCCCATCACCGCCCCGTAAGTCGTATCTCGGCGTACCGCAGCGGCACGTAGAGCAACGAGCTCACAGCAAACGCCATCTCGAACCCAATGTCGCCCGTCGTCTTCGCAATGGGGCCCTGCCACCACACCTGGTCCATGCAGGGGATGACCAAGCCGAATGAGAGAACTCCGCTGGCCAGAGCCGCGACGCCGAGAGGAAGCTTCTTCGCGTCGCTCCAGATGGCGTGGTCGTACGAGTCGTAGTTCTGGCGGCGGAACACGACGTGCTCGACGATGACGATGCCGACAAACGCCGCGGACCAGTAGCCGATGAGGGAGACAAAGTTCTCCAGGCTCTCGAAGAAGTCGCCGACGGCGGTGATGGCCACGGCGATGATGATGCCGGTGATGACGATGGAGAAGAGGTACCGCGGCACCTTGAACAGCCACGGCGCGAGGGTCTGGAAGTTGAGCGTGATGGCGTAGAATGTTCCGCAGGTGTTGCCCAGGAGAGACAGCGCCAGGATCACGACGACGAACTTGCCAAAGTTGCCCGCGGGCGACAGCATCGCTGCGAGGACGCCGCCGGCCGAGTACAGATCAAAGGCCTCTTGCCACTCGGGGTTGTTGGGCATGGCTCCCGCCACGGCGGCGCCGAGAACCATGAGCAGAACGGTCGGGATGAGCAGGCCCCAGTAAGTGTACTGAAAGACTCGCCAGCTGTTTAATTGTTAGTGACTGAACATTGCGTAGGCTCTGAGATGGTATATATATATATATGGAGAAACATCTCGAGGGGCTGTGTTCACTTACGATGGGACTTTGGGATCAAAGTAAGTGGTAAAGTCACTCGCTAGAGCAGCCCAGGGAATTTGGTAGCTAGCAATGATCATGCCAAAGTTGAGGATGCCGGCTGCCGTGGCCGGGGCCTCGGGGGCGGCCTGCTTCTTGAGGCCTGAACCAGCGCAGCCCGTAGCAATGACGATGCTGATAATGGCCGGAATAGGGGCATACGTCTCAAAGACGTGCAGGACCCGGAAGCCGCAGAAGGAAACGAGCAGGGACAGCACCGCAATGATGACGATGCCGGCGTCTTCGTTGATGGATCCGTTGGAGATGGCCGAAAGACACTGCCCGCCGGTGATGCAGATGATGACGGTGAAGCCGGTCATGCTCGCCAGGTTCAGCAGGACGGGGATTGATACAATGTATCGGCTGAAGATCCAATCGGCCGTTGTTAGTAACTCCTGATGTTCTGGATTACATGGTGGCGAAGGTGTGTGTGTTCTTACCCAAAGCTGTACCGGGCCTGAATCATCTGCCTCATGCCCGTCTTGGGGCCCAGCATGGCGAGATACGCCGGCGGGATGGTTGACAGCATGCAGAAGAACAGGATGACGAGGGACGAGTCCCTCAGGCTGAGGCCATAGGCCACGGGGCCCAGCATGCCAAACGTGATGCTGGGGAGGAGCAACAGCGGCTTCGGTCAGCATTCTTTGTCCCTATGCTTGTAGTACTTGTACAACTACATGACATGTGGATCTTTGGGAGACCAGCTTACCCCAGGATGTTGGTGTTTATGGAGAACCATAGCGTAAAGATGTTGAAGAAGCGGGTGGCGGTGCGCTCCTCGACGGGCACGGGCAGGATGCCTCGCTCCTCGACGCGGCCAGCTCGCAGGACCTTGTGGAGCAGCGACTCCTCGTCGCTGTGGTGGCCATCCTTTTCTCTGACGGGCACCTCGGATGCCTCGACCGTATCCACCAGCATCTGTGCGGTTGCGTTTGGGTGGGAACTTGCTGCTGGAGTTTTTGTCTGAGGTCTGGTCTGCCGTCTATAAAAGCCCGACTGCTCAACTCCTTTGGAGACTTGTCGAGCCTCTGCGTCGATCAGAGTAGCAGCAGGATAGAGTATCGTATGTAATAGACACTCGACAAGATGGAAAACGAAAGGCGAAAGGAGCGTCAAATGTCACCACACAGCATGACCGCCTCCAGCAATCGATGTATGTATTACAGTGTTACCGCTCGGCGAGACAAGAGAAGCAGATCGAACCAGACGCCCAGCACTCGATGAAGTAATAATAAGTGAGTCAAAATTTCGCCTCCCGAACGCCCTTCCGGTTCCGCCCCTCCTCTTCCTCCTCCTCCTCCTCCTCGTCCGACCCAGAGAGAAGCCGGGGGACGAAAGAGAAGGGAAAAAAAAAAAAGATTTTCACATCCGCAAAGCTAGAAGTGGACTAGAAGGGCGCCTCCATCCAATCACAGCGGCGATGCCGATGGAGGGGATTCGATGAACGACCGGCCCGTGTGACGAGATGGAAGAGATTGCCTGCAAGCCACTCCGCCGCTTGGACAGGAACAGGGTTAGTGTTGTACGAATGGCGATGCTACTAGAAGGCTGAGATAAGACAGAGGGTTGTGGGATTAGGTAATCCTTGCGCATCAAGGACCTATCACAACGTCGTGATGCAGCATAGATGTATCTGATGGGGATGATGATGTATAAGTGCCTTTGATGAATTAGAGATAGAGAAGACGTCTGGCTTTATCAGTGCTTCAGAGACTCTTACCGCTCTCGCGAGCGCATTCTCACCCAGTACCTACCTAATGCCAAGCAGTTCGTACGCTCTCTCCTACCTACCTATAATGACTGAGAGTATAGGCGCCTGACATGACAACAAGACGACATATCGTGCTGAAACCAGCAACTCTCATCCAGTTGCACAGAACATATATACAAGAGAACCCGACCCTCGCCTACAGCCCAGACAGACTGGCTCTTAGTGCTGCAACTAAGGTACATGTACCTATCAACTACTTCACCACGTAGCGCTACCCTACAAGTACCTGCAAGCTCTCAGCATTTGCAGCCATTCCTCGATAGAACCACGTCCTATTGCAGGGGTATACTTGTATATTCCATATGCTCATCGAAATGTACCTCATTGACGCTTCTACGGACCATTGCCCGCTTGCGACTTCTTGCGAAAAAAGGCCCCCAGAGCCCCCATCAGCGCACCAAGCCCCCTTTCGTGACTCTCCTTCTCCAGCCCGTCTCGAATCCATCCAGGCAATTTCCCCCGGATCCGATCCGTCCCATATCGTCTATCAACCAAGATAATCGCCGCATAGTCTCCCCGGTGCCGGATAGCTCGACCAATGCTCTGGTTGACCGCCCGCATGCAGGCGTTTTCGTAAAAGTCCCGCGCCGCCTGCTTTGCTTGTGCCGTTGCCTCGCCACTATTTCGTCCTTCTTTGACAAGCCGGGCTTCGGTGGTAGACTCAATGTACTCGAGCTTCGCCTTCCAATCCGGCGATGCAATGTTTGGGTACGGCAGTCCCACGACCATCACACAACGTCCTAGGCGGTCTGAAAAGTTGATTCCTTCAGACATCTTGCCGCCAACAACGCTCAGAAGCAAAGCTCCAGTGCGCTTATCCCCAGCTGGCCTGACTCCGAGGATTGCTTGCGAGTAGTCTCGTAGCACATCTTCGCTCGATTCGCCTTTGGAATCTCTGAAGACGGATTTTCGGGCTTGAAGTCGATCCCATATGGTTTGAGAGCTCTCCCCCTGGCGTTGCTGCCAGACCTTGACAATCTCATCAAGGTAGCCATAGCTCGGAAAGAATACGACCACTCCGTCAGGGACAATGTTGCAAACGTTTAGAATCGCCAACCCCAACTGCGTCATCATCTCCCTGTTCCCTCGCTGCTTGAAGCTGAACTCAAACGGAGGCGACGCAGGATTGCTCGAAGCAAGAGTCCAGACACAAAGATTCTCCGGGGGAATGACATGTCCGCAGCTTAGAGACGTTACTTTTCCAGGCTCGAGGGTGGGAAACAGTTGGTCTTTGTAGTCTTGAAATGGCGACATGGTCCCGCCAGCCAAGATGACCGCCCTGGCGCTTGAGGCAACCGAAGAGAAGGCGTGAGTTGGTGAGAGAAGAAGATAGGTCAATTTCACGTCCGTCGCGGCTCCGTGGACCTTTTGGTAGAAAATTCGGCCCTCCGAGCTTAGGTTTGTAAGAGCGATCAGAAAAGAGACGAGAGTATGGAGGACGGGAGTGGCGGCTTTTGGAGGTCCGGAATTGCTGCTGTCGCCCTCAGCCTCGACATGAGCCACATAGCTCTCAATCTTGTACGCCAACTTCGACTCCTGTATGTACTGAATGAGTTCATAGATGTTCATCTGGTCAATGCCTTTGTGCCTCGTGAGGTCATTCGGGTCGACAATCCCATGTTCGTCCTAGACGAGTTAGCCAGGCAATCACGGAGACATACCCCGTTACCAGACATACCTTGAACTTCAAGGCCCCTTCAAGCCACTCCGAGAGCCCGTCAATGATCCTCCCAACCCTCCCCACGTTGACTCGATTGATACCCTTTAGCTTCTTGCCAAATCGTTTGACATAGACTCCAAGCATCTGGCGACCCCTGCGGAGGTCGCTCAGCTGAATCTCTGCAGCATGCACATTGGATATCGCATCGAGGATATTGTGCGCCTCATCGATTATCACTACGTTTCCTTCCAACTTGATGCCCAAAGCCTCGCGAGCGCTCTGCTGCAGCAGAAGCGGGTATGGCAGCGTGATGATTTCGGCTCCCGGCAAAGCCACGCGAGAGGCGTAGTAGGGACATATCGACAAAGACTTTCCGAGATGATGTAGATCCTCGATATCGGGAATGGTTGCCAGAGCAGAGTCTCGAAACTGGTGTGTCTGGCTGAGAAGCTCCTCCTTGGGCACAAAGGAGCATTTGCTACTGGATTTCGCTTGTTGAAGCTCCGCGCAGCGGTCGTTGATGGCTTGCACAGACCCAAGGCGAGCAACAAATGGATTGATGCAGAGCTTTTGCCGTGATGACAACGGCAGCAGTTTTACGGGCTCCGTCGGGGAGACATCTGACGCCTTTGCAACAGATGGTGGCAGCGACGGCGGAAACGCTGGGCGACGCAGCTCTGAGATGAATTGTGATAATTGCGAGTGAGTTCTCGATGTATAGTAGATCTAACATGGGAAGAGGTTACTACAAGAGAAGATGAGATCAGGGCCGATACTCGCACCTTGACTTTCTCCTCGAGTATGTCATCGTCATCCGCCTTCTTCACGCGCCCCCCCAGGCCAATCCTTTCGAGAATCTCTCGTGATTCCTTACTCAGGCCGGACAAGGCATCTCGGTCGCTCACTTCATGGTCATCAGCGTCCAGTAGCCATTCCGCATCTTCGTCGGCTATGGTTTCGACAACCGCAGAAACGTCCTCCACACGGCGTCTCTTTCGACCTCTTTCTTCCTGAGCCTTCTCCTTCAGCCGAATAGATGCCAGCCGCTTCTCTCTGTCTTCCCACTGCTGCAGCAATTCGCTCCGTTTCCGGGACAGAAGTTGCTCAACGATCCAGGCCGGCTCATCCTTGTACGATTCTCCTGCTTCCTGCAGCGCTGCCTCTTGCCTAGTGGCCTTGTAATTTCGCAGCCATGTCAGAGAAGCGCAAATGAGCGACAGAGATTTGCCCTGAGACGGCTATCAGTAAGTGTCCCCTGAGATTGTGGAAATGACACCCTCGTCTACGTCCAAAGCCGCTGGACGAGATGCTATACCAGGTTGAAGATGGTTCTGATCATGCAGTCCTCCGGAAGGTATAACCTACGGTTCCAGTTGGGCTTTCCAGAATCCCTACTTGTCCGTTGCCAGTCTCCAGCACTTGATACACTGTCTGCATAAACTGGTTCTGGACGTCATACGGCGTATATGGATGGTGAAAGTCAAGGCTCGACAGCTCGTGCGCGATGCCGTCAACTTGGTCCGTCATGGCCATTTCGTCACTTGACTCATGTTGCTACTCCTCGTCATCACGTGCCTTGCCTGCTCAACGATGCATCATCAGAAAGCATCATCAACATCGAATTGTTGGTTGTTGAAGCGCGTCTAACGGCGTTCGCGCAAAGCGGCAGGAGTTGGCATCACATTCCCTCAGAAGCGCGGGATTGGCCAAATTCACCCCACACTGCGATAAAAGCGCGACAACTGCTTATCACGGTCATGCCGCGAAAGCACGTGGGGCTTATCGCACGTGATTGTAAATGCACAATTCAATTCGGGTGCGGGCTGCGCAAATCACAATCGGGCTTAGGGCTGTGCTGCCCTCTCGCCTAGCAATTTTCCGGGGCAGCAGCAAGTGCCAAAGCCGCCGGCCGCAAAAACATCACCACCCACTTTCAAGTCCTTCGACGCAACACATCGGAGAAGCGACAACACCACAACCGTCGCCATGCCTACCCGAACTTCAAAGACCCGCAAGCAGTACGTTGATGAGCCCGCCTGGATGAATGGATGACCTGGGAGAACGTTTGTCGCGGCTGCCGAACTCCTGAGGGCACTGCCCGTCGTGGTGACTCTGGAACGGCCAGCGATGGAACAAACGACGACGAGATATGGGAGGGAGATTTTGCCAGTTGCAATGGAAGGCTAACATATCGCTTTTTTTCTTTTCTCGCCATATAGCCGCGGTCACGTCTCCGCCGGAAAGGGTCGTGTCGGCAAGCACCGCAAGCACCCCGGTGGTCGTGGTCTGGCTGGTGGTCAGCACCACCACCGCACCAACATGGACAAGGTTCGAACCGACTGTACAACGACGAGAGGCCCCGGAACAGATTAACTGACCATTTCGACAGTACCACCCTGGTTACTTCGGTAAGGTTGGTATGCGGTACTTCCACAAGCAGCAGAACCACTTCTGGAAGCCCATCATCAACCTCGACAAGGTACTTAATTGCAACATCCTTCTCCGCGACGAATGCCCTCTCTCTTTCTGGCCTCTTGGGATGATTGGTGGACAATTGGAGGAACTATGAGATGCCAGCAAGAGAAGGGTTATATCGGGCGTGTTCATGAGGGAACAGATTGGCTAACAAGAGGATTCTAGCTGTGGTCACTCGTCCCCACCGAGACCCGTAACGCCTACGTCTCCGGCGAGAAGAAGGACACCGTCCCCGTCCTCGACCTCCTGCCCCTGGGCTACTCCAAGCTGCTCGGCAAGGGCCGCATTCCCGAAATCCCCCTGGTTGTCCGCGCGCGATGGGTCAGCAAGCTCGCTGAGCAGAAGATCAAGGAGGCTGGTGGTGTCGTCGAGCTGGTTGCGTAAATGGCATTTGAAAAAGAATCAACATGCTGGTGTGTGCTGGAGTAAGGCTTGTGGATTTGGAACCGGGCACTTTTTCTCAAAGGTGGAAAATAGAAATCCCTTCGCCTTTCAACCCCAAATGTATACCGAGACAAAGTGGTCTTCTTTTTTTGGGGAACAAGAAGGGATTGGGTTGGTCGGCTACGAGCATTGCATCAGGGACTCTTTAACGGAGTTTGTTAACGAATGAAAAATTAAAAAATTCGCCCACTGGTCTCGTCCGCCCCCCGGTCTCCGTGCAAGATGAGGGAGACCTCTTCCAACCCTTTCCTCCAGAAGATCTTGATGATCACGGTTGAGGTCAAAAGGAGGGTTCCCCCTTACAGATTTCAAGATTCAGCCTTTGTCTGCTCTAGTCGCTGCCAGAGTTGATGACGCGATGCTCTAAAACGCCGATATCGACTCAGTCCTCATCATACCATACATGATCTTCTAGTACATATTAGTCCATTCCCTCTACCTGAAAGACCCGAAGCCCCATTGTTCGTTTCATCATTGCATGTCCAAACCCAGCTAATGCGTAACGGTCGTCATTATCTATTATGCTAGTCCTACAGAGGTCCCTCCTGATTCATGCCGGCAGCATGTCGACCTCGTCTTCGTCAGCAGTCTCCTGGGATGCCATCCCAATGTTCAAAAACTCATGATCCAGAGCCTCCTGCGCCGTGATGCGTCGGCTCGGATCCAGCTCCATGCATCGCTCCAGAAATCGAATCGCCAGTTTCTCGTCAGGGGTCAACGGCTTGTCTTCCGTCCTGCACGTGCTCCACAGGATAATCTTCTCCATGGTGAAGCCCTGCTGGCCAATGGTGGGTATCGTGGTCTCGAAGACGCAGCCGTGCAGCAGTCCGGCCGCCTTCATCCGCTTAGTCCCGAATATCGTCGCAATCTCAATCATTGCCTCGACGTCATCGGCGGAGTTGAAAAAGGGAAATCGCTTGGACAGTATGGTGAGGAGTATGACGCCAGCTGACCAGATGTCAATCGCCGTGGTCTGCTCCGTGCACTTGAAGAGCACCTCAGGGGCGCGGAAGCCTCGAGTTCCCGCCCGATTGGCACGGCGGGAGGGGCGCGTGTCGGATTTTGGGTAGCCCGGCTGGGTGGTCATGGAGGTCTGCGCCCAGACGGAGGAGGCCTGGCGATGTTTTCGCGTTTCTCTTGTCTCGTGGCACAGACACTGCTTGCTGTCGGTGCCTTCTCGCTCGGCCAGGCCAAAGTCGACGAGGACGCCGTGCTGGGTTGTGGGATCGTAGAGGAAGTTGGTAGGCTTGATGTCTCGGTGTAGTATCTTGTGCTCGTGTACGCTCTTGAGAGCCGTGAAGAGCGATCGAAGATAAATGGCAATGTCAGGAATCGTCATCTCGCGAAAGTAGGCTCGAAAGTCGCCGTGTCGGAAGTAGGGGAGTATGGCAACGACTTGGTCGGTATGGCGGAAGGCGGTGATGAGAGGGCAGACCGAAGGGCACTGTCGCAGGTCGTGAAGCAGCTCCAGCTCGTTGAGGATGCGGGCCGGGCTGGATGTGACGTAGATCTTCTTTATAGCAACATAACGCGCTCGCTTCCGTGGAGAGCGGGACTGGCTCGATCGGCCCTTGAGAGGAGGAGACGCCCATTTTGACAAGTCGTCTTCGTGATCCCAGCTGTTGTCGTATCTGTCGTAGTGGATGTCCTCGGCCTTGAAGACGGTGGAAAATGTACCTGAAGAAACAGAACAGTAAGCACTTGGCTAAAGAAATTCTAGCAATGGATGGTTCGACACACCTTCTCCAATACGCTTGATCAGCCGATACCGATCTCGAAACCCGGGGAAATCATGCTGCAGCCTGTCCATGTCGGCTTGGACACTGCTTTCGACCTGCTCCTCGTCCGAGCTCTCCTCCTCCTCTTCTTCTTCTTCCTCCTCCTCCTCTTCTTCTACTACTTCTTCCTGCTCTTCCACGGCTTCCTCCTCGTCCTCCACCTCTGGTTCGCCAATTGTGGCAGCGTCCTGGCCATCTACATCGTCTTCGTCCACCATGACCTCCGTCTCCTCTGTTCTCGCATCCTCGTGGATATCGAAGGTCTCCTCCACTGGCCGCAGCATAGCCGTCGCCATGGCTGCCGGCTTTGACCTCCAAACAATGGGGACGAGGAAGCACCCAAAACTGTATGCCGGCCAAACTCAGCTGCGTATATCTCCCAAGAAACACAGCAAAGAGGCAGTTCTGGGAGTCAATTGGACTTGGCCGCGATTCAACAAAGAAACAAAAAGTCCGTGTACAAGCTCTATCACGCTTGATATCATGCACCAGCGAATCCAATGCAGGTCCCAGCGAAGTGCTGGGTTCTTCTAGGGCCTGTGGAGGGGCTTTTCCGGCGGCTTCGGGGCAGCTGCAGCGGCTGCTCAGTGGCTGAAAACGCGCCCGGCCAGCGCATGGCGGGGCGTCCAAAGGCCTCGAGTCGCGTCGAAGAAAATAAACAGATTGGTTGCCAAGGGCCTCACATGGATGCATCCCCGCCATTTGCCGCAAAAACAACCCTTGAACATTGATCCATCCGCCGACATAGCAGTGGCGACAAGCACCCAAGCAGCAAAATTACGACGCAGGGCGAGGCTGCGATCCTGCATCAGAGTCTCAGCTGGCCGAATTTCGAACCACACGCCCAACAGCCGGCTTCACAGAGCTTCGTCTTCTCTCTACATCTGCATAACCATCGATACCCAAGCTCGACACCCCGCCAACTCGCGGCGCAAGAACCGCCCATCATGGGGACCATCAGCTTCGACATCAACGATGCGCTGAAGCATTACATGTCCGATCCCGCGACGATTCCGACGCCCGAAGCAGATGCCGCCTTGTTCGACTGCGAGAATGACCCCGAGGCGCTGACAAACCAGGTCATCAACCCTGTGTTGAATCCCATCATCGACGCGGTCGCGGACAATCCAGATGCCATTCTGCGGGCCGTCAACATCGACTCATTACAATTTCTCCTCAAGTACGACTCACAGGATACCCTTTGCGAAGACGATACTAGGACAAGATATGGGGGTCGAGGGGGAGAAATCGTGAATCTGCTGCTGACTGATGGCTCAACGACAGATATACCCCCTATATACCAGCTCACATCCTCAGCAAAGTGTTCGACTTGGTAATGAGCGGCCTCAGCGCCGAAGCGGACGCTGTGCACAGCGACATCGAATCGCCCGATGAGCAGGACTCCGTGGCGCATCACAAGCAACTGCTCGAGATCTACGGATTCCTACTTCAGTGGACCATTGCGGCCGTCGAGACAAAAGCTGCAGAAAAGTCGTCCGCGGCGCCGGTGGCGAGAGGGAGAGGAAAGCCGAAGAAGACAGCATCACAAAGAGACGATGTCTGGGACTCGGCGTCACAGCTCCAGGGCGCATTGGAAATCATGTGCAAGACCCTCAAGCTCAAGCTGTCTAGGATATTCCTGACCACGAGCGAGAGGGATACATTTGTTGGTTTGCTGACGCGACCGGTCTACATGATTCTGGAGAACGAACAGCGTGTCAAGGCAACGACTATCAAGATGCACTGTTTCAAGGTCTTGTGCATCGCGGTCAAGCACCATGGCCATGGCTACGGTATGCTATGCCTCGTCTCTTGCCAAAGATGCCTCTGCAGTTTGCTGACACAAATTACAGCCGCACAAATCAACGTCATTCAGAACCTGACATACTTCGAGCATCTCTCAGAGCCAATGGCTGAGTTCCTCCACATCCTGGCCGAAACATACGACTATCCGCAGCTCACCGACGAAGTACTGCGCGAGATCAGCAACAAGGAGTTCAACTCCAATGATACCCGAGGACCAAAGTCGGTCTCTGCATTCATCGCAAAGTTATCAGAGCTTGCTCCAAGGCTGGTGATCAAGCAGATGACGATGCTTGCCAAGCAGCTCGACAGCGAGGTGATTATACCCCAAGCTATACAAAGCGCAATTCTTACAGCTAACCGCCGTCCAGTCATATACCCTCCGATGCGCCTTGATCGAGGTCTGCGGCAACATGATCGCCTATCTCAGCAGGCAAGAAGAGCGAAGCGAAAACCACAAGTCCCAGCTCAATGCCTTCTTTGACGTGCTTGAGGAGCGCTTCCTCGACATCAACCCCTACGCAAGATGTCGTGTCCTGCAAGTCTATGTGAAGCTATGTGAGCTTGAGCAAAAGTTTCCCAAGCGACGGCAAAAGGCTGCCGAGCTTGCCTGCAGAAGCCTCGAAGACAAGAGCAGCAACGTGAGGCGCAATGCCATCAAGTTGTTGGGCACACTCATCAAGACCCATCCGTTCACTGTCATGCACGGCGCTCAACTTTCCCGAAAGGAGTGGCAGGCTCGCCTCGACAAGGTTGACGAAGAGCTTAATGCGCTGAAGCCTCCTCCGGGTATTGCTGGCTTGGCGGATGCGACAGTCGACCACAGTCTCCTCGATGAGGCTACACAAGTCGCATCCCCAGAGAAGCCCAAGCAGATGACGGATCAGGAGGTGTTTGAAGCGGTTCAAAAGGCACAGGCGGAAGCGGCTACAAGCGAGGCGATTGAAAAGCTCACCCTCACTAGGCGATACTACAACGAGGCCCTCAAGTTCATTGACGTGCTGCACGACGCAACGGAGCTCATTTGCCAACTTCTTGGGTCTCGGAACAAGAGCGAGGTCATCGAAGCCATTGACTATTTCGAAGTCGGCGACGCCTACAACATTGAGCAGAACAAGGTCGGCATCCGGCGAATGCTGAGACTGATCTGGACCAAGGGCAACAGCGACGAGGGCAAAGGTGTACAGACACACCTCATCGAGTGCTACAGGAGACTATTCTTCGAGGCGCCAGATTCATTCAGCCCCAACGATGCCGCCAACTACATTGCGCGCAACATGATCAGCTTGACCTTTGGGGCCACGCCTGCCGAACTGACTTCACTTGAGCAGCTGCTCGCCACCATGATGAAGGGCGGCGTCATTCACGAAACCGTCGTGGCCAAGCTCTGGCAGGTGTACGGCGTCCAGAAACGGGAAATCTCCAAGACGCAGAGACGAGGCGCCATCATTGTGCTGGGGATGCTGGCATCGGCCATCCCTGAGATTGCAGTGGGCGAGATCGAGACGATGCTCCGGACCGGACTGGGAGCCCATGGGCGGAACGACCTGCAGCTGGCCAAGTATACCTGCATTGCCCTGAGGCGGATCAACCCCACGGGGAGACAAGCCAAGGAGTCAACCGCCAAGTTCTCGCGGCTTCCAAACGACCATGCAGTCTGCTCACGACTAGCGGCCATAACGGATGTGCCCTCTGACAGCAAAGAGTGGTATGGCGTGGCAGAGCAGGCAATCAATGCCATCTACGCCCTCTCCAAGCATCCCGACATCCTTTGCTCGGCCATCATCCGGCGCAAGGCCAAAGAGGTTTTTGGCCGCCCCAGTTCACGACCAAATTCAAGAGATCAGCACACGACGCCCGACTTTGCGGACCCCAGGTCACCGGGTGCCGTGCCAGCGTCACAGGAGAAGCCGAGGAAGCGCGATGATGCTATTGCCCTCTCTCAGCTCCTCTTCATCGTTGGTCAGGTCGCAATCAAGCAGATTGTACATCTCGAGCTCTGCGAACTCGACTTTAAGCGTCGGAAACAGGAGAAGGAGAAGCAGGCGCCCTCCAAGGCGGACAAGGACAAGGAAGACGCGGACGAGCTGGACCTCATTGGTGGCACGACGGAGGATGACTTCACAGAGGCCATGGCGCACATCCGGGAGCGGGAGCTTCTGTACGGGCCGGCGTCGCTCCTCGCAACATTTGGGCCCCTTGTGTCGGAGATTTGCGCAAACAACACCACATACGCAGACGAGGGCTTGCAGGCGGCGGCCACGCTGTGCCTCGCGAAGCTCATGTGCGTGTCGTCCGAGTACTGCGAGACCAACCTTCCACTTCTCATCACAATCATGGAGCGGTCTCCCGATGCCACGGTCCGATCGAATGCCGTCATTGCGCTGGGTGACATGGCCGTCTGCTTCAACCATCTGATTGACGAGAACACAGACTTTTTGTACAGGCGTCTGGCAGATACGGACGTGTCGGTGAAGCGGACATGCTTGATGACGCTGACGTTCCTGATCCTGGCTGGTCAGGTCAAGGTCAAGGGGCAGCTGGGCGAGATGGCCAAGTGCATGGAGGACGAGGACAGGCGGATTGCCGATCTTGCCAAGATGTTCTTCACAGAGCTCAGCACCAAGGACAATGCGGTGTACAACCACTTTGTGGACATGTTTAGCTTGCTGAGCGCAGGTGACATGGAGGAGGAGAGCTTCAGGCGCATCATCCGATTCCTTCTCGGGTTTGTTGAAAAGGTAAGACGTCTACTGGCGAGTACAAGGGATGCAAACGCGCAAACGCTAACGGGGCCGTTTTATGTAGGACAAACACGCCAAACAGCTATCGGAGAAGCTCGCAGCCAGGCTTGCGCGCTGCGAGACGGAGCGTCAGTGGAACGATGTCGCCTTTGCCCTGGGCTTGTTGCAGCACAAGAATGAGGAGATTACAAAGCTTATTTCCGAGGGGTTCAAGATTGTGCAGGCCGCCGCTTGAGTGTCGCTGTCCGTTTCGTCTGTTTGCAGCGTGGAGTGCCTGCGTGGGAGTTGATATTTCTTGTATATAGATGGGCCACCGTGATGATGCCCGTACCATACCATGTATGAATGCAATGCGATATGAAGTTTGATGCATGCCACTATCAATCAGGCACTACAAGCTTGGATCATTCTCTATAAGATAATGTGAAGATTGCAGCAGATCAATGAGCTCTCGGAGAGAGAGAACTCCTGCATGTCGATAGAATAACAGCTTGTGTCTGCACTGGAATTCGGATGAAATTATAGAAACAGTGTAGTAGTGTCTCGGTTAATTCATCTTGCTTATCAAGGAATTGTCGAGTCGACATCCATCATCAATTCAGGGGCTTGAGTCCTCCGTCCCACGGTATGACAAACTGAGCTGCTGTTGCAAGACTTGTTCGTAGAACCTTGAACCACTACCCTAGATTCTCAAGACACTCAAGGCGGTGTTTCGGAAGTCTCTCGGTACTTGCCGCAGCCATAACAGCTTTAGCCTGTCTGGATCGCTCTAGCGCCACTTTGTCAAGACAAACAAAGCCAAAGCACAAATCGACAAGGCAGGAAATGCACGTGACCCGTGTTTGCTCTAGCCTGATATAGAAACAAGCGGTTAGTTTTGGTGGGGGCGCGTGCTCCGACTCAGCGACGCTGGAAGTGACTTTGGTACTTGCGTAGGTACATGTACAGAGCTTTTCAGCTTGCTCTCAATTGAGCCAAACGCTTGCGGGCAAGCTGCTGCGTCACGTCACCCTCACCAGCACCTGCGCCAGAAACTTGGACCTTTAACCATCTCCCGCCATAACAGACAGACAGCTTCTGCTCCCGGGCAAAGGGCCATCGCCAAACCATCAACTATTCACCGCCATCGTGCTACAACCTCGGGCATCTTCTCTTTTGCCTTTTGCCATCTAGAGTCCGTGTCCCGGCATTTGCCACTGCGCTTCGTCGCGAGCTCCTGTTCCGCCGCTTTACCTGCGAACTCTCTCGTCGGATCTCGCGCCTGTGAGGGCCATGGGCTTGGCTATTGTCGCTGCTGAGATCAGGACTGCGCACGGGGAAGCTTTTCAGTATCGCCTTGGAGCAAGCAATTGACGCTCCAATTGCTCTTGCGCTGTCCGTCGCCAACGCTCGTGCCACCCGAGTAGCTCTAGGAGCTCTGCGAGCTTGCGGATAAAGAAAGGAAAAAGAGGCACGACAACACAACACAACACAACGCGCAGAGCCCAAGATAGCCTCGAGTCGCGCAGCCCAAGAAAATGCACGACAAGGTTGTCTCTCTGGGCTCGCGCCTGCACTATCCCATCGTCATCACCAAGCTCCTCAAGAAGCCGGGCGAGTCGATCAAGAAGCAGGAGACGATAATAGAGTACAAGTTCACCTGGCGACGCAAAATCAGCGACGATGAGTGGGTGGACGAGACTACGTATACCGAGTTCGACAGCCCGGCCGAGGGCACGCTGAAGGAGTGGCGCATCCAGGAGGGCCAGACGATAGCGGCCGACATGCCGTGCATGACCGTCGAAGAAGCCTGCGGACACGAGGTGCAGATCCAGGGCCTTTGCAGTCTTTGCGGCGCAGACATGACCGAGATCAACTGGGCCAGCGAAGAGAAGGACACGGATCGGGCCATGATCAACATGGTGCACGACCAGACGGGCCTGATGGTGAGCCCGAACGTGGCCAAGCGGGCGGAACACGACACCCAGAAGCGCCTGCTGCGCCAGCGAAAGCTGAGCCTGGTGGTCGACCTGGACCAGACCATTATCCACGCGTGCATAGAGCCGACGATCGGGGAGTGGCAGCGCGACCCGACGAATCCCAACCACGAAGCCGTCAAGGATGTCAAGAGTTTCCAGCTCAACGACGACGGGCCCAGAGGCTTGGCCAGCGGGTGTACCTACTACATCAAGCTGCGGCCGGGCCTGAAGGAGTTCTTGGAAGCCGTCTCTACAAAGTACGAGCTGCACGTGTATACCATGGGAACCCGCGCGTACGCCCTTAATATTGCGCGTATAGTGGACCCCGACAAGAAGCTTTTTGGAAACCGTGTCATCAGCCGAGACGAGAATGGAAGCATCACGGCAAAGAGCTTGCAGAGATTGTTCCCAGTGAGCACCGACATGGTCGTCATCATTGACGACCGCGCCGATGTCTGGCCCAACAACCGACCGAACTTGATCAAGGTTGCGCCGTACGACTTCTTCAAAGGCATAGGGGATATCAACTCCAGCTTTCTACCCAAGAGGCAGGACATCCTACCGTCTCCGCCGAAGCCAAACGGTCTGGTTCCCAACTCGGACAACGCCATCCCGGGAGAAAAGGTCTCACCACTCGATGAACTTGCGCGAATGGGAGGCGGCGATGAGGCTAGTCTCAAGGTCCAGGAGGAGGAACAGGAAAAGACGCTGGAGAAGCAGTTGACTGATCGCCCATTGCTGCATATGCAAGAGGAGCTGGATAAGGAGGACTCGGAAGGTGACGGATCATCATCAGCATTCCATCACAGACAGCATCTCTTGAATGACGATGACGAAGAACTCGTCACCCTGCAAGATCACTTGACTGATCTTCATGCTGCATTTTACGACATGTACGACAGGAGACGGGCAGAGAGGAGAATGTCGGAGCCGACACATCCACCGGGGCATACGAAAGCGCGCAGGAAATCCCAGCCTGATGATGGGGTGGACTTGTCGCTGGTTCCGGACGTGGGCGATATACTGGACGAACTCAAGTCTAGCGTTCTGTCGGGTCTTGTCATTTGTCTGTCAGGTCTCGTGCCGCTGGGAGTCAATATCGAAGAGTCTGAAATCGGAATGCAAGCGCAGAGCTTCGGCGCCCAGGTCGTTGATAGCATTTCGCCGAGGGTCACTCATCTCGTGGTTTCCTTGGCGCGGCCTCGGACGAAAAAGGTGCAGCAGGCGGCCAAGATCCCAAGTATCAAGATTGTGAACCAGAATTGGCTGGCGGACTGCCTTAGCCAATGGCGGAGGCTGGACGAAAGCCCGTACTACATGCCCATTCTCGATGCGGACCGCGAGAGGTCAGAGGAGACTGCGGAAACCAGCGCGGCCGAAACGGAAGATGCCGGCATCAACAATATGAACATGGGTGATTTTGACGAGGAACTCAAGGAGTTTTTGGGCTTGGACGATGACGATGACGACGATGATGATGATGATGAAGACGACAACGACAACGACGATGGCAATACCGAAGGCGATGAAGAAGCGGACGAGGAGGAGGATGGCGAGAACGACGGCGAAACCACAGATGGTGAGGCCGACGACAGCGACGACCCGGAGAGACGGGGCACAAAGCGCAAAGACAGAGAATCCACCATGGAGTCTGACGGAGAAGGGTCAAATCCCGTAGGCGAGAGTGCGCTGGCGAAGAAGCAGCGGGTATCACGGAACCGGGGGGCTTCATCACTGCGAGCTGTACATACACCGAACGGCGAGGGCGACCCCAGCAGCAGCGACGCAGCTGCTCCGCCTCAAAGCACAGAGGGAGACAGCCTGGCCGAGTTTGACGAACTGGAGCGGGAGCTGCTGCTAGGGCTCGAGGCTGCGGGCAGTTAGAGGAAGTCTGGCGTTGAGATTGCGCGGCGTGGGGCGTTGGGGACGATGCCGATTTACAGCAGAAGAAGCATCTGGCCGGCGCACTTTGTTTGATCGTTTTGTGTTAGAGTAGTCCTTTTGGGCAGTTGGGGTTAACAATGGTGTTCAATTCTTGTTGTTCTTGCTCGCATCTTGTTTGATCATGTCGTCTCGCGTTTGCCCGTCCTTGGCTTTGTGGGTTGGACTCAACCCCCCCTTTCGTTGGCCAGAGGGGGGACAGCATTGTGGCATGCCCTGTATGAGAAAGGGATTGGAGCTTCAGCGCCTTCGGATACATGTGGCATTGCAAAGAACTGCAAAGGAACCTGTAAACTCATAGCCAGTGCAACGTGATGATGATGATGGTGCTACACGCAGCCTATTTGGCAATGAGACCATGTTCCTGAACACCTTTCGATGCTTCATTTCCACCATACCTACTGGAACTTTTATCGACCAGGAACGGAGTGCCAGCGTCAAATCATTATCCCGTACTAACATCGTCCATGGCAAACTACACCAAACAGGGATAATATCTGGTAGTGCTCCTCCGCCGGTATGAAGTCCCTCCGGCGACCCACCTCTTCAACTCCGTAGAACATGAGCTTTGGCATGGGATATTGAGAAAAGGGAGTGAAAGAGGAAGGAGGAAGAGATTCGTTGGTTGCAGTGCACGGTGTTGAAGGAGGGATTCGATGCTCCGGTTGACTACAGGAATTGATGGACTGAGAAAGGCATAAAAGTAATGAGGCACGTAAAGGATCGAGAGCCTGAAGAGCAAACCCGCTTTCACTTGAGATTTTGTAAGACAGCATGCTCGACCTTGCAGTCATCTCATATCCGTCACTTATAAGACTCTCCACAATGGGCCTTTCATACAATCCCGACACAGACGTGCCCAACCTCGCCGGCAAAGTCATTCTCATCACTGGAGGCAAGTCTCCCAATCCAACCCCTTTACAGAAACACCTCAGAAACTGACACCACAACAATTCAAAGGCACAAGCGGCATCGGCAAACAAACCGTTCTCGAACTTGCAAAACACAACCCATCCCACATCTACTTCACAGGCCGCAACACGCTCTCCGCCGCCACCGTCATATCCCAGAGCAACTTATCCCCCCAATCAATCACATTCATCCCCTGCGACCTAGCCAGCCTCGAAAGCGTCCGCCAAGCAGCAGAGACGCACTTCAAGCACGACCGCCTGGACATCTTCATCGCAAACGCGGGCATCCTCGCCGTCCCGCCCGGCCTCACAAAGGATGGCTATGAGATCCAGTTTGGAACGAACCACCTCGGCAACGCAGCCCTCCTCCTCCGGCTCCTCCCCGTGATGCTCCGCACGGCAGGGGACTTTGTGCCCGACGCGGAGAAAGAAGAGGAGGGGGAGAAGGAGAAGGATGTGAGGTTCGTGGCCGTGACGTCGCTGGGATACTTTACGCATCCCGTCAATGGAATCGACTTTGCTGGTCTCAAGACCAAGCAGGAGAACTTGCTGCTTGGGAAGTGGGCGCGGTACGGACAGAGTAAGCTGGCCAATGTGCTTTTTGCAAGAGAGCTTGGGAAGAGGTTCCCGCAGATTACGAGCGTTGCGGTGCATCCTGGCGTTGTCAAGACGGAGATGATTACGAGGCTGGGGTTGGTGGATAGGGTGCTCACGTGGGGGATGAGTCCGCTGGGGATGCTGACGCCGAGGGAGGGCGCGTATAATACCCTGTGGGCGGCGACGGCGGCGGATGTCAGGGGGAGGATGAGGAAGGGTGATGAGGGGGGAGAGGTGGCGCTGTTTGAGCCGGTTGGGAGGCCGCATGCTGGGAGCGCAAAGTGTAGGAGTGATGAGCTGGCGGGGAGGCTGTGGGAGTGGACGGTGGAGGAGGTTGGGGTTGAGGTCGAGGGGAATATGAGCGGGAGGTGATGTTAGGATGGGGTATGTAACTCATAACTCGATATGCTGGGCTGTGCATTGGGTAAGGTAGCCAGGAACGAACAGTCGTCAAGGGCCTGGATCTGTGAGTCTAGCACTGCACCTGGAAGTATTCGATGTGCTCCTTCTTGGATCCGATTTCTCTGAGTTCTTGCCCGTGGAGTCGAACTTGACGACGAGTGGACACATCTTCATAAACATATATACAAAACTCCAGGCCCCTTTAAGCACATCTTTTTTTCTGATCTCCTCTGCTTCATGATACTGTTTACTTCGAGGGAGCCGGAGCCACGGCAAACGTCGGCCGCACAAACCTGCATCCCCAGTTAGCCACATCAACCATTCGTGAACCGTTAACATCAATCGTAGAGACGCACCTGTCGCTGTTGTAGACCTTTGTGTTCTCGCCCAGCAGCTCCTTCTCACGCTTCTGGTCGGCCAGGTATCGTCGCACCTGGTCGCGGTCCTCTTCGGCCTGCAGGAGGGGGATCAGATGGATTCGCGCCCACATCTTCTCGCGGGCGAGCTCACTACAAGACGACCATTGTCAGTTTGTGTTGGAGCCTTCGGGTTGGGGGGTTCGAATAGGACTGGTGGTTGGGATGAGGACGTACTTGGCCTCTCGGATGCCGCCAATCAGCTTGTACCAGCCGTAGCCCATGACGGCGCCCATGCCGAGAAGCATGATGCCCGGTCGGAAGCCCTTGGCGGGGAGGTTTCGCTACACGGGAGGTGTCAGCCTTGGTGTCCAATGCTCCAAGTGCGCCGTATATGTTGTCGAGTCATATCCCTCTCTTTCCATCGATGCACTTCTCGCCGTTCCTCCAAGTCGCAGCGTCACGCCATGTCTGATTCCACTTCGAACCGGAGATGACCAAGATATAAAGCCTAGTGATCGCTTCCAGCACCAACAACCCTGCCGCAACGCACCTTGTACTGGACGGGCTCGTACCCGCCCCGGGGGGGCATATCTTGAGGCATGATGGGCGGTTCGCTGCGGTCGAGGCGGGATAGAGACAGGAGGCGGCGTCAATCAATCGCGGTCTGCGCAGAAGAGTCAAAGAGTCGGCTCGTCAATCGATGTGTCGCGATACCTCTGCTGCGCGCCGTCTGCAGGGGAGGTTCGAGGTCGTTTCTGGCGTCGGAAGCTATTGCTGGTGAGGGCCATTTTCCGTGAGAGCCTCGCCAGAGGTTGGCGGCACTGATTACATAATGCACTTCTTCATGGTGGGGCACTGCTCTGAGCTGGTGCTGTATGTAATATGGTAAGGTAAGGTAGACAAGTCGAGTTGAAAGGCAAGAAGGTCTGGCTGCCACCTTCCCGCTTAGCAAAGAGACGATGAATAATACCTCTCTGCTTCTCTAACCTGAAGATGGACTTTGTCTCTCTCCATCATCACCAAGAGGCTGATCCCATTCTTTGTCTGACGGGTCTCCTTTCATCTACACTGGATGCCATGGAATCGAACGTCCACTCATGACAGAGCATCCAGACTCTCATCCCTCCTCAATGGCTCAGCAAACCGATAGACGGACAAAAGACACGATGGACGGGAGGAGAAGCAGCAGGCATGGGCAACGACTGGACAGATGCAGATGCAGATGCAATGCAATGCCGCTGACCTGACCCTTGATGCGGCTATGCCTAGAATTCACCGCGAATGAGGCGGCATCCATCGCATGCTTCTCACTCCAGACAACTACGCACCATCTGCCGACCCCAGTCCTGGCCCTTCCTTTAGGCATCACCACCCTTGGCCTTGTTCCAGCAGACGAGACGGTTGAGACAACCCCAAGGTTGCGCCGCCGCAGCAGCCACATTCTCCTAGTCGGTCTCGGTCGGCCACTCAGATCGGAGCCTGCACCTGGATTCCGTTGCTCATCGCCCTGCGTAATGCAATGGTGGGCAGAGGCTAGGTATCGTGGCCATCCCCCCTTATCTATCTGGTGGCCCGAACCTGATGCCTCCCGCAGGTGAAACTCTCCCGGGACCCTTCCGAGCGCTCAGGATGCTGCATGGGGCCTGTTGTTTGAGCCTGTATTACTCCGCGCGTCTGCCCGACGACGGAGGGAGGTGGAGTCTCTCTTCTCGGATCCCCCCGTTTTTCGACGCCCACAGGCTGACTCTGCCGGCCTTGACCAGCGGGTTTGCGTGCTTGGCTGGCTGGCTTGCTCGCGGTCACACTCTCGCGGCCATGTAACACAACATCCGATGGAAGCAAGACTACTCCACGCCCTTGTATCCCAGCCTCATCTTCTCATCCCGGTATCCACTGGACCACAGACCTTCGCACAATGGCTGGCTGGCCTGCCGTCCCGGGCCCCGCTCTCTCGACTAATATCGCGACTTTGCCACAGCTCAAATGTCTGGCCAAGCCATTTCCGCTTGCAACCCGATCGTACCCGCGGTTCGCCGCTCTCTGCCTGCGGCTTTAGCTTGGACTTGCCCTGCGCTGCAGATCGACGCAACGCAATGCAAGAGCATGATAGGGGGCCCTTGGTCATGCCTCCCCGGATTGGGACCCTGGCTGATGCTACCCTTTATGCTTTGTTTCCTGGCCAGGAGGTTTGCCTTGTTTGCCTGCCACCCGCGGTGCGCGTCGTTGCGTTGGACAGCTGAGGGTCAAAGATGGGCTGATGGGCGTGGCGCTCTGAGGCTCGTCGACAAAAAAGACGCAGGCCCCGTCTTTGCATGAAATATCTGATATTCCCGGCACTGGTATTGAATCAGTCAGACACTCGAGGCCCTCTCTTTTATCTTGCCTCGTCCCGCGTCAACTGCGCCGTCAGAACTCGCCACTGATACGCATGTGCTCTTGGGCGCCGGATCCCATCTTCTTTCATCCTCCTTTCATGGACCATCATCTCATCTAACTGCTAAGAGAAACGCCAACACTCAAGGAAGCAGAAGAGGAAGAGGAAGAATTACACAAAATATAGGGCATCATGTATGGCAACTTTCAACGGATCCCTTATCCCATCCACAAGAGCCCCATGGACGGGGACACAGCCCACCGCGACCTCGACTGGGTGTACGCCTCCCAGACCGACCGTATCTACGTCCTCCGCGCTGGCGAGTTCGGCGTCACCCGCCAGCAGAAGCTCGACCTGCTGCAAAACGTCTTCTGGCCCGCCCTCATCCGCTGGGTCATTTCGAGGCAGCAGATCCTGCCCGGCGGCACCGTTGTCGGCGGCTGGTGGCGCGCCGACATGCAGGGCATGATGGACTGGTATCGCGAGTGCCTTCACATGACGGCTCGCTGGGAGGACGCCATTATCGCCCACACGGACGGCATCTGGAGGACGGCACTGGAGACGTCGCCCTTCCGGGACTGGCCCGAGTTCTTCCTCCTCCTGAACGAGCCAGTGGTGGATGAGAACGGGCAGGTTGTTAGGGATGCCCAGGGTCGAATCGTGTACAAGGACAGGGACCCGACTGTCGACGGCATGGAGGATGCCTTTCTGGACTTGTGGGAGACTATCGCAAACTCCCGCCCGCTGGCAAATTACGTCCAACGAGATGCTCTCAAGGACGGCAACCTGCTTGCTTCGCGAATGCGGGCCCCGGACGTGTGCGTCTAAGCGGATTGATTCAGCGGCAATGTTATTTGTTTACTGGGCTTTCACTCTCTGCTCTTTGACGAAGCTGGCGCTTGGGAACAGGATCTTGGGTATATTACTTTTCGTTCTTTGGTCGGACAAAGGTTGGGTTATGATGGGACTTGGGACTTAGTAGGCGTTTTCACTAAACAGCGAATCCTTTATCGACTCCTTGATTTGACACTCTAGTATTGGTCCCTTGTCCTGACGATGATTCATGTTGTTTTCAGCGTAGTACTTGGTTGGATACGGGCCATACGACTTGCATTCTTTCGTTCTAAGACGCAGCAGGATCTATTTCCAAGAAAAAAAAAAAAAGGCATCAAATTTCATTCTCGCCTCAACAAGTACCCAGAATGTCCCAACGTCTCTCAAATCACATTATCAAAATCCATCTATTTGCATCCATCTGCAAACTAGATAGATTGATTTAATCTCGAACGTGGCCCAATATGCGATCCAATGCGTAAGAAAACAAAGAAACTCAAAAGGAAAGGAAAAAGAAACAAGCAGTATTAAGAAATAAGAAGGACACCAGTCTAGGGATCTTAGGAAATAGGGAAGAAAAAAAAGAAAAGAGCAGAAGAGGAAAGAGTTAGGCAAAGACTCTTGCTTTGCCATCCGATGATCCAACCCTCCCTCGAGAAAAGAGCCATGACTTCGTTAGGTTTCTCTCATCAGAAACGATAAAGGTGAGAAGAAGATGACGGAAGAGGAAAAAGGAAAAGGAAAAGAAGAAGAAAAGAAAAAAAGAGAAGAGATTAGAGAAGGAGAGTGAAAAAGTCCTCCTCAATCAAGCCTTGACCGACGCCTTGCTATTGTTGTTACCCAATGCCACGCCATCCAATCCCTCGCTCAACTTGGTCGTAATCACATCTGGATCCGGTTCATCGCCCCGGACAAACGTCCAGCTCTCCTCCGTGTCCTCGTCTTCTTCGGCCTCTAGGTGCCCGTCTGTATGCTTAATCAGGCTCTTTGCGTACTCCATGTCTCGGTAAATCGACTGAATGGCAGTCTCCACGCCAGATTCCTGCAAAAGGAAAAACTGTTAGCATATCTATGGTTGCTGTGATCAGGGAATTTGTTAGATGCTTACCTTGCGAATCTGCTCTCCCAGCAGCCGGGCCTTGACAATCATTCGCTCGTTACGCGTGACCTCCCAAAGAGCCCGGCCAAAGGATTTCGTCCCCCACTTCTTGACCCAGACACCAACGCCCAAGTCTTCCACTCGGCTCGCAAAGAAGAACTGGTCTCCAAAGAATGGCCGGATAATGGTCGGGATGCCGGCCCGAAGACTGGCGCCCGTGGTGCCGGATCCGCCATGATGTGCTGCCGCATCAATCTGTCGAAACAGCCAGTCATGGGGAGCAGACTTGATGACGTGAATCTCCGGCGGCATCACTGGCTCTTCGACGGCGGCGGCGGCGGCCGGCCTCACGGGTTCGTCTCGCCCGGTGATGCGGTCAGACCAGCCCTTGGACAGGATGCATCGGACATCGGCCTTAAGGATGGCGTCGATGACCTCCTGTGTCATCTTGACCGGGTCGTTGACAATGATGGAGCCAAACCCGACATACACAATCTTCTTGCCGTCGTCTCTTGCTTTCTTGATAAAGTCCCGGAGCTCTTGGGGAGGCTCGTAGTCGCTGCCTTCATCCAAGAACCAGTAGCCGGTGACCCTGACCCAGTCGGAAAAATCCAGCGGAGGCGCGACAACGCTGGGGCTGAAGTTGTATAGGAAGGGCACCTTGTTGGGCTGCATCTTTTCCAAGCTAGTGTTTGGCAAGCCAAGCGTCTTGTTCCTCCATCTGTTGACCTGGTGGGCAGTGGCCTTCCAGAAGATGTTGTCAAACATGACGTAGGTCATGTAGTTGTAGGCGCCGCCCATCTTATTTTCCGGCGTGACAAAAGCGTGGGGATACGCCCTGGTCCTCGTCCAAGGCATTGTGAAGGCTCGAAAGTACGGAATGCCAAGCTTTTCTGCAATGTGAATGCCCGCCATGGCTGACGGCGACTCGATGAGGAGCTCCGATCCCTCACAGGCCTTGTACGCGGAGTCGAGGAGATCATCAAGCCAACCTCGGAATGTCGCATTGGCTTCTCGTAGGAACGAGAGGGTAAAGGTTCCATTCTCAATGCAGAGGCGCATGAGCTCCCCAGGATCACCTTCTACACACGCAAATTCGATACCGTGGGACTCGATCCATCCTTGGAACTCGGCATGGGTCGCGATCCGTGGCTTGTGGCCTTCTGCGAGCAGTCCCTTGCATAGGGCAATGTACGGCTGAACATCGCCCCTGGAGCCAATTGTAAGGCATGTGATTCGCATGGGATGCGGCGCCTTGAATTGGACCACTGATGCCTCCATGTCATCCCCGGGCGTCATATCGGGGACATGAGATAGAGCGGTCGATTGCGACAGGTCATGTTTACCATCGACAAGCGCCTCCCCCCTTGCTATACTCAAGGCGTCTCGCTCTGCAATGGCAGCTCTTGCATCGTCCCTATAGTGCTGCTCTAGGATTCCGGATTCCAGAAGATGGCGAGTGGTTTCGAGGCCCTGCAGGAGCGTCACCGCGCAGTCGTCACGGACCTCGGCCGTTCGAAACTCAAAAAAGAGTTCCTCATGCCCCCGGATGACGACAACCAAGCCAGAGTATCCGAAGCGGAAGCCCTTTTCCTTGTGGGCGTTCTCGATATCCTTCAAGGGCAGAATCAGCTTTGTGCGAGTGCCAGGGAGCAGACTTCGGAAGCAAAAGTATCGGCCACTGAGGTAGATTTTGCCATACAACGGCAGGACACGCATGATGTAGCCAAAGTATGTGGCCTGCAGCCTCTCTGTGTCGGGGAGTGCAAAGTGCGCTCGGAACCGCTCATTAGAGGTTTGTATCTGACCATCGTCGTTCTCTTCCAGCTCGTCTTGATCGGGCCGAAGACCGGCAGGTTCGTCGTAGTGCTTGCGTTCGCCCTTCCACATGCCGGAAACCTTCTCGACATAGCCCATAGACTCGGTAGCAAAGAGGGTACTCATTCTTTTGCCCGTCTTGTTCAGGTACTCGGCGATTGCGCCGGCTCGCTGTAGGGGATAAGCCCCTATTTTGGTGATACTCTGCAGCGTAGGCGTCGACGTCCGCGGGGGTTCAACAAAACCGCTGTAGCTTGACGCATCGTTTTGACTCGCTGCCGCCGAGGAGTGCGGCCCCTGTCCTGACGCTGCATCTTTGCCCTTGAACTCACCATAGTCGTGACTGGAGGTTTGTGAGTGTCTCATCGTGGGACTCTGGAAAACGTCGCTGCCTCGAAGAATCTGGCTCGCAGAAGGGTCTTCAAACGCAGACTGCGTGAGACTAGCAAAACTTGGCTCCTCGATGGACGAATACAGATTGGACTCTGACGACTCTAGCAGTCGCGATTCCCTCCTTTCTTCAGCGTGATCTGACGTCTTGTTGTCGCTCGAACTCCTGCCCCGAGAGCTTCTCAAGCTCAGCACGCCTGCTTCGTCGGCGCTCGGACTTGTCGAATCCGCCCATGCCGGAGAACCGTCCCCTCTGGCAGTACCCAGAGGCTTTGTCGTGAGCGCGCTGTCTACGCGGGTCAAATTCCTGAAGGCGGTTCCGGAGATGTGCGGCGATGACTGATTCGAAGACTCTTCCTTTTGAGCTGCAATGACCTTGCCGGCAGTTGGTCCCTCAGCGGATGCGTTTTCGACCAAGACCTTGATAACACTGATGGCCTCTTTGCCGGAGTTGAAGAATGAGAAAAAGTACTGAATACAGAGAAATGGGTTAGAATTGCCGTTTACAAGAGGAGCCAAGAGCACACCCCCCCATCATCACTCACCTCGTCGATAGCAAAGGTCTCATCGCTGTCGATGACCCGAATCTTACACGTGTCCGAGAACTCCATCATCTGGGTATCTTCAACATCGAGGATGTTATCGATGGGCAGAGAGATCTTGACGCTGTCACCATCGTTGTGGCTTCGGAAAATGACCCTTTGTAGGCTCTTTACCCACTCCTTAGCGCTTGGCGCACTCTCGGCCTTGAATTTGTAGGTACGATGGCTCGTCACTACGTCAAAGTGCACGCCCTCCTTGTCTTCGTCGGTAACGCTAGCAGAGATGCCGAAACTGAGGTCGATGTGGCCGTGAGGGAAGTACAAGTTTGTGGGATCCTGGTAGTAAGACAAGACATCGCCTTTTAGGCGGAACCAGTAGCGGTTGTATTTTGGATTGCGTTTGCCGCTTTTCAGCAGGAAACCCGACTTGGTAACGGTGTGCTATAGTGTTGATTAGCTCGTGTCCAGCAGTTTTGATACAAGATGCAGAAATCTGCCTTACTGTCTTCTTAGGAAGGTGTGCGTAGAAGCAAATGTGCTTGGAAGTGATGTATAAGAAGCCTTGGAGCAAGACACTCTGTAGTAGCCAGCAGGGATACTCTGCACACGGGCTGCCTGTTAGTTGCGACTTCAACATAGAGGTGAACCGGCGCAAACGAACCTTCAATGACACGCTCGGGTTCGTCAAATTTGAATATCTCCATCAGCTTCTTTGCCAGCTCTGTGACATGCTCCCCATCGCTGTGTTCATTGTCTTCTTCGTCTTCTTCGTCGTCCTCTTCCTCTTCTTCTTCGTCTCCCTCTTCTTCTTCTTCTTCGTCGCCCGCTCTCTCTCCTTCATCCGTACGCTCAGGACCGGAAGAGTCTCTTTCGGTATCGAAGCTCGACCGGCTAGCCATTTCAGCCTTGGCCTCTAGCATCCTGCTCATGACGGGCGCTATCCGGAGGTCATCTTCAGGCTGCTGTAGGGATATCTTGGGAGACGGCGACTCGCTTGTCTCGCTATGCTCGTCGACTTCCTGGGTAGGCTCCCATAGCCGACTGGAGCCCTTTCCAGATCTGCTCGTCCTCTTGGGCAACGACGCAAAGGACTTGAGCATCCGATGTCCAGACGGCTGCTTCTTCCCCAGCCTCTTGTCCTTGGCCGGTAATGAACCGAGTATAGCGGTTTGTGAGAGATCGCGATGTCGTGAGCGCAGAGGCTTCAGGCTGCTCCCCTCGTCCTCGTCGCTGCTGCCGTCGTCAAAGCGCGTGTTGAAGTCTACGCGAGAGCCGGCGGCGGCAATCAGACCGAAGATGCTTTGGTTCAGGTTCACAGCCATGTGGCCGGGATTCGCAGGCCCGACATTCTCGCTTGTCTCGTCGTCGCTGCCTTGGAGAGGTTCGGGGAGCTCGACAGTCGGAGTTCGGTCGTCGTTGGGAGGAGGAGACAAAGGCGCAGTTGCAGTTGCAGTTACAGCATCCGCATCCTCGTGGCCGTCCGGGCTGATATAACGGGGCGTGGGCGTTGTGGCCATAATGGCCCAGGCAGAAGTCGCTTCACCTCTGTAGGTTTAAGGTTGGCAAGCGCGGGGAGAAACGCCTCCCGGTGATGCAAAAGGGCCGGCTCTGGAAGAAGCTGGACGGGGGTCAGCAGGCAGAGGCAGAATGGCCGCGAGGATGACGGCAGACGTGCAGCTGCTTGGATGGGCAAACGGCCAGGCAACCAACCGCCCGCTCCGCCAACCGCCTGAAGGCTGGAGGGGAGAGGCAGCAGCTCCGCGGAAGCAGAAGCGGAAGCACAGCACAGCGCAAAGGGGAGGCGAGGCGTCGTCGATATCCGCGTCTGCCGGTCAGATGGGGAGGTTCGGGCGAGAGTCTGCGTGCTTGTTTGGTGGAGGACTGATGGGAGGTTGGACGTTGGGATTACGGCTGCAGATAAGGTCAGGTCAGGTCAGGTTCGCGGGCTGGCGTGCTGCCCTTTGGATGGGTTTGGTAGAGGTACCTGCTGGTAGGCGGTACTTGGCTGTACCTGCCAGGTACCTAGGTACTGCCTTACACCAACTTTACTCCCGTCTCTTGTAGGTACCTCTTGGGCCCTACACCGCTCGCTGTAGGCGGCCGCGAGGATCAGCGTTGGGAGGCTGATTCTACCTCTAGTGCCCGGTGAGTCGGTAAGTGAGGAGGGCCCTGTGAGGTATGAAGGCGTCGCATCAGACGGACAGCCCTTTCACATCCGTAGCCTGATGGTACCGGTACTGCGTGCGCCGACCCGTTGGTGTTGGGGCTTGAATAGCAGTGACATCCAGTCTGGCCCGATCCACTGCGATGTCGCCAAGGGAGCGGCTTATCGATAGCATGCAAGGGAGATGCCGTCCATTAGTCGTGTCCGTAAGGTACCTTATCTTGTGATGCTCGTCATACCTACCTGTCCCCTACTACCTAGGTATTCAAACCAGAACAGGCCTGAAAGATGTACATAGCAATTGCTTGTCGCCTTCAGGCCAATGGCGCCAGAGCCGTTTATCGTCCTGCACGTGCACAGCAGCGGCGCCGCAAAAAAACACATACATGTACATAAGTCACACACGCTGCCCGGCTTGTTAAGGTAGTCCTGCCTCCACCCCGCGTCTCCCATGTGATCTGGTCACCACGAGGCTTGGGCAATCTGCAGGCCCAGGACGATGACGCGCGCTGCGGAAGAGCATGACAGGTGACGGATGGCTGTTTCTGTCATCACTGGATTACTACTACTTGATTCCCCGACACGTTATTCGACAGTGACACGATTCAGGACCGGGGACAGAGCTTGTGCTTGCGTACCAAGGTAGTATCTCAAGGCAGGGTGCTACAAGCACAACATGAACAGTGACATGAGGTCCCAAGCTTCGTCTTACATAGGTAGGTAAGAATAGGAAGCGATTGCAAATGCCTGCAGATTCAACAAGTCCATCTTTTGCACAGGTAGGGAGTACGAGTACGAACCCAAAGGCACGGTGCTACCAAGGTGCACAGGGGTCAAACAGCAGCGTGTGCGCAATCCATCATGCAGCCGCTCCGCTGCCGTACATGTAATACCTTACTTGTACATACGACGCATCTCTGGTTCTCCCTTGTCTTTGACTCAAACATCGTGTTCGTTTTCGCTCCCATCCTTGTTTCTTCTGCTTTTCGAGCAACTCAAAGATTGAATTTTTGTACTTCCAAGTTCCAAGTACATCACGGTGGTTTCTCCTCTCTCACTGCTCAGCTGATGCTTCAATCCATCGATCCATTCACCTTGACCATGAGCCGACCCGACCCGGTGATACATGTATATCCGGGGCTGACTCAGCCAGAGCTTGCTTCGCCTCAGGCTGTGTGGCTGCCAAACAAGCTACGAAATAACGACATATCGATTTTGGAAAAGAAACAGAGTTGAAAATCGATCCATTGAACATTGGATTAATCGGATCCATCGGGTGGCTTTGTGGAGAAGCTGACATTCTTCCCGCGGTTTCCAATCCTTTGGTTCCCGTGTGTTTGGATAAGCTCAACGGTGGGTTTGCCGGCTAACACACGCCTTGTCGTATGGGGGAGCTCTGGCTTTATTAGCACATCACGACCTCAACTTTCCAGTCTCATCTCCTTGTTATCCATAGCATTTTTCCACAATTCTGATGAGAGAGGCATCTTGTAACCGTGATATTATTGCAATCGTATTTCCATCTACAAAACTCTGTATTTCTCCATCAGCTAAACGGCAGAGTGAATCGTCTCTCTTGTTAGCAGAACATTCTAGCGTAAAGTCCAGAGGAGGAGGCACTTACGCAGGCCATAATGCCATTCACCATGTAACGTCACAACTCACACCCAATCGTCCGCTCCAAGTGATTTGCTATTTCAACATCTCCAACTGCAAACCGTCATAGAACTACATCCTCCCATCAGGTCAACGAGTGCATTCCTTCTCATCACCTATCACAACGCCCCTCAACAATGTCCTCCCCAAACCCCTCCATATTCCCCGCATCTCTCCTCTCAAGCGACGCAGCGGCAGCTCTCCCCACTGGCTTCACAATCCGCCCCCTAGAAAAAGCAGATTACGCAAAGGGCTTCCTAGAATGTCTCCGTGATTTGACTTGGATGGACAATGTCACGGAAGAGGACTTCAACGAGCGATACGATGACATGGACACCGGCGGCAAAGGCCCGTATTACTATCTCGTCATTGAGCACGAGGGCAAAATCGTGGGCACCGGCGCCGTGATTGTCGAGAAGAAGTTGTCAGTTTTTTCCCCCATTTCTCATGCCCATGTAGTACAAATTGGGGTTCACTCTTTTGTTGACAAATTTGGCCGACAAAAGTATACAAAATCGCACCACGGTCGGCCACATTGAAGAGATTTGCATCTCCAAGGAGCACCAGGGCAAACGGCTGGGCTTCCACATGCTCGCCGCTCTCAATTCCGTGGCCAAGAATGTGGGGTGCCGGAAGACGATTCTGAACTGCAGCGAGCACAATATTCCCTTTTACCAAAAGTGCGGCTTCAAGGTCTGCGGCACGGAGATGGAGACGGTCTTTCAGTGAGGAAAAGGCTGTCCTGAAAACGACGGTTCCTCGTTGAGCAGCCAACCATGTCTTGATATAGCCTATGTACCATGTCTGCACCGCTAAAGGATAGGTAACATAGAAAATGTATACATTGAGCGAGATTGTAGTGCCCCTTCCATCTGTTGCCAGCTAGGTAGGTACCCATGTGCAGGTCTAAACATCCAAGCCGCGCATCAACCGGGCATAGCAGCTACCCCTCGCCGCTGTCGTGACCATAACTGGATCGTCAGTATTCCAAAATCAACCGCATGTATATCTTCTTCATGCACACAAACGTCTGTCTACTGCCAGAGACACAACTTGCCGCTCGCCGTCCCTCCAGCCACCCAATCCATGCTGGGATGGAAATGGGCCACTGCTGGCACAGCAGAGATGCCCTCTCCGCCAAGTTGGGCCAACTGACTGCCGTCCGCAGCATATACATCGACGAAGCGATTCATGTTGCCAATTGTAAATCTCTGAATCCCGTCTTTGGGATTCTTCTGCCACTGGGGCTTCAAGATTGTGACCCATCGACCCGTCTGGTTATTGTGTCGGATAGTGTGCGCGGGCTCCATCGTCTTGGCGTCAATGTTCTGGCCCGGCTTCCACTTGGAGGCTTCTGAGAAGTCATATATCTTAATGGTGTCGTCGTATGATGACGTGGCGACGTGGCCACCGGCGCTCCAAGACGCATGCGAAACGGACAATCGCGACTCGTGCTCTCCCAACAGCGTCGGATGTTTCAGCTCTCCTTTCCCGCTCATTTTTCGTAGGTCCCAGACTTTCATTGTCCTATCAAGAGAAGCCGTCGCCAGCAAATAGGGGTGGAGCGGGTGCATCGAAAAGCCTCCGATCTTCTGCTCCGAAAGACTCCATAGCTCCAAGCTGTCTGGTGCTCGGGTATCGTACCGCCCCACTGATCCATCCAGTGTTGAGAAATAGAGCATGTTTGGCTCTGCTGCGGGAATCTCGAGCGCTGATATTGGCAGGTCCTCGTTGGCGTTCTCGGGTGCAAACACCTGCACAGACACGCCCTTGTCCAAGTCCAACTTTCGTATTGACGAATCATATGACGAGGTGAAGACGGCGTTGGCATCGATAGGCGAAAAGACAAAGGACGTGATTGTCCTGGCGTGAGTCTTGAAGGCGGAGATGACTGGATCGGGCAGATCCTCCTCGTCGTCGTCTACCTCGGGAACCGTCTGAGAGGCATCAAATACCCCCATGGCGCCTTCTTTGTCGCCTGCAAACACGATGGGCTTGTCTTCAGTGGGGTGGAAACCGAGGGCATATATTCGTTGTGGCGTAATCTTGATGTCTGTAGCAGTTGTTTAGTATCCTGCAACAACGAATGGTTCCCTCCTGATCCTTACCATTGGGTATCCAGTGCTCGTAGAGCTTGAGGCCGTTCATTCGTAGTCGGAGATCCTTCAGGTCATCGTCCGTTGCCTCTTTGGGATCGTAATCAAAGGTTCGAACGCCCGGCTGCGCGCCGCGGAAAATGCCCTGCAGACCGTCCATGCTGCCAAGGTACTTTTTACCATCCACAACAATATCGCCGAGTTTCATATCGCCAGCAATTCGTAGTCTTTTGGCCTTGGCCTGCTCAGCCTGGTGCTCGGCTTCCACCTCCAATTTCCGCTTCAGCGCTTCGTCGTCCGCGGCGACGCCGGCAAGACGAGAGCTCATGCGCGTTCCCCGCCGCAGCTCCCGGACAACTGGTTCTGCCTTTACTCGTTTTCGTGGAGCTGGCGGCTTCGATGCTGGCTTTTTCTCTGGTATAATCTTCTTGGCAGTGACCGAAATCTCGGACAGGAGAGCCTTGTTCGCGGCCATGTTCTCGAGACGCCGCCTCTCAAAGGCACTGAGGCCATCGCCCTCGTTCTTGGGTGCCATGGTGGGCGGGTGTCGCAAAACGCAAAAGAGGACAAAGTGTGTAGTCGAGCCCGTATTCAAGTTGCAGGTAGACGCAAGTGCCTCAAGACCAGGAAAAGAAAGGCGAATGCTGATATACCAAGGTGCAGCAAAAAAGGTGAGCGACGGGTGAGGCGAGCTGAAACTGGCGGGATCGCGTAGGATCGCGTCGCTGTTAATTGTTCTGGCGCGAAGTCACGCGCAGCTCTTTCCAGTTATTGCGGCAAGCGTTCCAAGTGGGACCTGCTGCTGCTGGTCATTAACAGTGAGAGCCGCCGACAATTAGCCGTGCAAAGTACTAGTAGTAGAACTTTACGCTGAATGCCTTATCTTATCTTATCCAGCAAAGTTGCCTCCAAGAAATTGCAGTTTGTTGCTGTCGAGAAGCTCAAGTTGTTGGACAATCAACTCCTCATGCTTCCCTGTTGCTAACGATGTCTTTCACCATGCTTCCCTTTCTATACCAGACACAAACTCTTCGGCTGGCGGCCAGGGGTCCCTCGTTCGCGCTGAGTTTCGCCCGGCTGAGACACACTGCAAGACGGACAAAAAGGCCTTCAGACAATGCGATTCCCTTCCAGTGGGAGGCGGAGGACCGAGAGCTGGCTGGCAGCGACGAAGGCCGCATCTCAACCATCACGCCGTCCGAAGCCCAGATCTTCAAGGGCATCTTCCATGAGATTGCCCAGGGCAAAATGCCCGCCTCAAGGAGGCGCGGCCCAGGGCGGCAATCTGAGGATGGGTACCAGGGCTTGAGCGACGCACCTGCGAGCAGCAGCGAGAAAGACAGCAGCCCCGTCTCAGCTCGCTCCCTTGCAGAAAAGGCCCGCATATCCGAGTTCCGGGACAAGTTCCTCAGCCGGTATCCCAGATCTCTGCAAAATGCGGCTCAGGTCGCGCTGGGCCTGCATGAAGTCAGGCCGCGGGATGCAGAGGCTGAGCAGGATGCTGCTCAGATGATGGAGCTTGAGGTTGACGACGAGGCGGCAAGGGCTGAGCGTGAAGCCCTTGAGCTCGAGAGAAGCAGAGAGTGCGAGAGGGTGGAAGCTCTGATGAGGGCATGCAAAACTGATGCAGAGCTGTGGAGTGTGATGGAGAAGGAAGTCTTTTCGCTGCCCGAAAAGCTGCATATTGCCCAGGCAAGGCGGTCAGGCATCAGCTCTAGGGGCTCAAAGGGCAGAAAGAAGTCAAAGGCCAAGGCGGAGGAAACCGGCCAATCTGCTCTTTCAGAGGTGGATGATCATGAGCAGATGACGGCATCGGAAGTGGCCTCGCAAGATGAAGAGCGTGTCATGAACATCCACGGCCCGCTCTATTCACGCTTCCTCACCACGGCGCTCGACCTCTTCGACTCGGCCTTTGCTCGTCCCTCTCCATACATTTTCCAGATTCTCCCCCGTATCAAGGAACTCGGCTTGCCGTCCTTTGTCCTGGGCGTTTCGACGCCATTTTACGCCAAGCTGGCGGATATCTACTGGCGCCGCTTCGGAGACGCGACCTCTGCGCTGGACATGCTACACGAGATGAACTCAGCCGGCCTGTTTGCCAATGCAGAGGTCAACAATCTCATCTCGCAGCTGCGCAATGAACTGCATGCGTGCGCCTGGGGCGGCCAGGGGCCCTTTGTCATGGCCATGATGGAGTCTCCTCCGTATGACGGTGCGTTGATGCAGAAGCTCGAGGAGGTGGTTGGCATGATTGGGCAGTCGTCGCAGGACCGCCTGAAGGATCATTCCTTCTAAGCCATCTGCACGGGGGAGAAAACAATTGCCTCCTTGTGTCTCCTCCACATTGCTCTCCCGATCTATGCAGGTGCACAGTCGACTCAGCACTTACACACTCGCACGCCTCTCCAACCGCAGATGTTATTGTCGAGATATCATAGCACTTGTATCATTATTTCATAACCTACCTACCTACCTATTCAGGATGGCTCTCTATACCCACTCGACTTTTCATATCCGTTTTATACAAACAATTTCACGCATAAGCATAGACAAGGCAAATGGAGCTTCTCTTTTACAAGCTCATCAGGCACGAGCTCGATACTTGCGCTGTTGCCGCAGTCGTACCACCTCGCGTGCGTGTGATGGACGAGGCCACGCGCATGTATGTTTCACTCGATTCTTCCCCGACTGCCAGGTGGGAAGCCGTGATTGGATCTGAATGCAATGAGGGGCGGGAAAAAAAAGCAACTTCTTCCAGGCCGTCTTGCTTTTCAGCTCAGGTAGCCAGATCAATGCCTGGATGTTCAGCCTCGCACTGTGTGCATCGTCCCCTTTGCGATTTGGCTTGCGTCCTCCTACTGCAGGCGATGCATACAATCACACCCTCTCAGGCACGAGTTGGCAAGAAGGATTGTCAGAAACTTGTTGGCTATTTAGTGCTGCGTGTCCCGCGGTGGTGGTGGAAATGCCGTCTCTGCCTCATTCAACCGTTGTTGTTCGGTATAAGCCACTGGCGGTTATTGAACGTTGAAGTAAGCCTTACAGCTGAAACATCATTTCTCTTCGGTATTACTGCTACAATGTCTCAGCAACGTCGAATATCCGCTAGAGACCGGCGCCATCAAGCTCCCACCATGGCTTCAATCCAGCCAGGAAGCCCTGCGTCTTATCCAAGGCTGCATCTGCTGAACATGCCCCTCGAGGTCCGCCTCAAGATCTTCCACGAACTGTGGCAAGACCGCGACTTTGACCTGCTCATGTTCATCAAGGACTACGAAGACAGACACGACAACGACAACCCCATCACCCTCGCATCCATCCACTTTATCCACTTCAACAAGCTCCCCCGAGTCCACTGGCACAACAAGAAGATTCCGTGGGACCGATATGCCTCCTGTCTCAGCAACGTCGAGTTCCTCTGGTTCAACCGGCGGCTCCGCGGACACATGATGTACAGCAACCGCAACTACTTCCACGTTTTCAACCTGATGATGTCATGTAGACAGCTCTGGGAAGAAGGAAGCCTGGCGTACTGGCGCCAGAAGCGCCTCCAGATCGCCATCACCAAGGAGTTTGGCGAGATCCCTCGTGGAGACGAAGAGATCTTTGCCATGCCCCAGTCTACCAACAGCATTCTTTTGGGCGGGAGCATTGGAAACAGCGTCAGGATCTTGACGCTGAGGTTTGACGACAAGGTGTTGAATTGCCGGGTGACGCGCTGCGATACTGTGCCCGGGATAACGACCTGTGCTCGACACGCTGATGAGACGTTCATGCCGAAGCTGCAATGGGCTCACGACACCATAATGAAGGCCCTCAGGCTGTTCACAAGCGTGACTTGTCTGGAGCTACTCATTGAAAACGAGCGCGTCTTCAAGCTATACGACAGCAGGGGCACGTTTGCCGAGATTCTCAACTTTGTCAAAGAGGAGCGGCCACTGATCAAGGTGGTTCGCATCAAGGGCGGCCCATGCGCGGAGATGGTGAAGCAGTGGAACCTCAAGCTCGACGCATCCGTGTCTGGGATTGCATGGTCGATGAATCCCTGCGTTCCGACGTGCAAGGACAAGAAGTATAGTGCTCATGTGGACAAGTTTGATGCGACGCCGCGGGAAGTCGATCAGCGGCCTGATTTCGCTTGACTTGTTTTTTTTTTTTTACAAAAGCGGTCGAGGGACTGTTGTGGAGGCGAGTTGTCAGGGGGGGAAACCGAAATAGATGGTAAACCAGATCCATGGGATCGAATCTCAGCTCAGACATGACTTGTCAAGATGAAACGCTCTCACAACTTTTCAATCCCGACTCAATGCGCTGATGACATCAGCTGTACTGTACTCCTCACTTCGGCGAATTCCCTCAAGCTCTCTACATGCACCTGATGGACCGTTTCGGCGTCAACTCCTCCTCCCTTGCCAACTGCCCTCGTAGCATTGTGAACGAGTATGATGATCCGAGGCATATCAACAGCCAGCCAGCCTCCCCCCCTCTCTTCCTTATCCAGGGGCGAACAGACTCCAGCGCCATCAGTCCATCGCGATGAGCTGCTACGTCTTCCATATTCCAACGACCTCCCCATTCCCTCGTCGAAGCTAGGTTCCACGCCGAGCGAACCGCCGTGCTCACGGCGGACGAGGCGGATGATCTGCTTTAGGAGGCGGATTTTGGGGGGGGGTAGGGGCGGTTGAGGGGCCTGGCCAGGGTTACTTCTGTGTGTCATTATACTCGACTTGTTTGAAATCTCGTTGCTTTTCTTATGCTCGAGGCATATACGATTGGAGCAGAGGTTTCTATGTATCCGCGCTGGTGAGGGGATATTGTAACTGCGTCGGTAGTCGGCCAAGCTGCAGATACGATCCGAGGCGGCTAAATCGAAGGCCTTGCGGAACTTGGCCTGATTATGTAGATGGTTTGGAGACTCTTAGAAGTCTTGATACCACACACGTAGTTGCTTTCTAGACGTCCTCAAGTTGTTTATCATCTGCTGCTCATTTAGCAAGAGTCCGGTGCAGCTTTAACATCTTTGAATGAAGATTGGCTATGTTCTGATCACTTCACCATGGGACTTACAGTGCTGCGCTTATCCTCATCATTTTGGGGTACATGATATAATAGCTCTTTGTATGGGTGCTTGAAGGTTGTAGACCACGAGGCACCAACACTACGCTGGAGGCCAGGGTCCGAGTCATCGTGAGTCCAAGTTCTCACATATGTCATTGCCCGAGCCATGGGAAACTAGCGAATCTTGAAAGCAACGAATACCAGATCCAACGAGAACTTGCGACTCTCAGCTTCAATCGAGAAAAAAGCAGAGCTTATACTGAGCCGCCGCACAGTGCACTCGGCGTTTGCTGGCTGGCGGTTTGCGTTGAGCATGGGTTTACGACGCCAACGGGATATAATCCCTGTACAATCATGGAGCTGATCGCCCCGAGTTGGCGGATGAGCTGCCGGACGATTTTTCACAGTCCTTCCCTTTGAGAGCGGTGCTGTCAATGTGTTGTTGCCTCCTCTCAAAAGGGCTGAACATGTCACTGCTGCTGGGATCAGTAAGGCTTTAACAGTTGTGGCCATGGAGCCCAGTCCACTTCTTACGAGCTTTCCACAGAGGCCTTCTGAAAGGCTTCAACGACTGCCGCAATGCATCCGTCATGTCTACTTTGTTCATCGCGCTCAAACTCCACCACTCCTTGCCGGAAGCGGCTCCATCACGCATCCCAGGCCTCAGCCTCACCATAACCCAGCATAAGGGAGAAAAAGCAAACAAGGATGAACCAGGATTGTACACTCCGGCAGAGCTAAGCAGCGTGTTGCCGGGATGTCAGAAGCTCTTTAGTAAACATGGATCTCAGCTGCCCAAGCCACAGCTGCCGCCAAGACCGCCCTTGACATTGAACTGCGGAACTGCTCACCAGGTAACTCCTCTCTTCTTGCTTTATCTCAGCCAATAGAACATGGGTTTCACGCAGAGATGTGGCTCTGTACCGAGCCCCGGCTTCGATTTAGCGTCGAGGCCAACCTTTGACTTGTCATTGCTAGGTAGCTCCATACCTTGATCATCCCGGTAGACCCTGATCAAAAGCCGGCCAACTGAAGAAAATATCAACCTTGGCTGAAAACAAAGCCACCGGCGCGAAAGGCTTCTGTGACAAGCCTCTTTCGCGTGAGCCGTCCCCTTGATGGCTTCACTGCAATTTCCTCATGCAAGCACCCCCCCCCCCCCCCCCCCCCCCGTTTCCTCTACTAAAGCCGGCTGTGGCGCCGAGTGTGAGTCAAGCCGAGGGCGGAAGAAGAAGAAAACAGCGGCCTACCTACCTTTGTGCGAGTCACTTCTGTCATTGCTTTACGGTTCAGCCCAGGCAGCGTCCTCGCAAGCGGCATGAGCATACGAGTACAGTATGTACACGCGCAGACAAGGATCTATGGAGCAGCTCGTGTGACTCTGGGCGAGCTTCCGTTTGGCTGCCCGGCTCAAGCGTAACGTCTACGGTGTCGAATGATGGTGAGACACGACTGCCGGGGAAAACGCGCCATGCTCGGCATTGACCTATGAGAGCTGTGTGCGAGTCGGGTCCGCATCCGAGACGGGTTGATGTATGTATGTTGTCCTTCGAAGCTCATTGTACCCGACCACTTACACCACCATCCTTTGTTGCAAGGTAGATACCTTAGTTCTTGGCTGCTCATAAAGACTTTATAAGCTTAGGTCTACTTTTACTATATCCATTGTAAAGCTAGACAAAGTCTCCCAAGACATCGCCCTCTTCGTCATCTCCTCGTCTACAACTCATCGCCCCATGGCGCTTCCCATGTCGAGAGCATGCTTGAGCAAACTTGCCCATCACACCCAAAGCTGTTGCTCAATGGCCATCAAAAGCGGCTGAAACTAGTGTGCAGGGCTGGACAGAGGTCGTCTCCCACGCTAGATGCCGCTGCGTCTGAGCGTATGTGCTGCCTACTCTAGGCGGACCGTGACGAGAGCCAATGGCCATGGTTGAGTCCTTGCGCGTGGACCGGGACATGCGTCGTCCTGTCAGAAGCAAACCCAAATAGCCCACTGGAGAGCCTCCGTTGGCGGGATCCAAGGGCAATCTTACGGCTGGGTTCACCCCCGTAGACTAGCATCACGGGCTGTCGGTCTGCCTCGAGGTGGACTGCTCATCTGGTGGCTGCATGGCAAGTGTCCGATGCTGAAACAAAAGGAACGTGTGGCTTTTGGGCTAGTATTTTTGCTTTATGTCGTTGTCTGTATATATTCGCCAGTAGGAGCTCTCAGTTGTGTTGTAGTTCGGACTGTTTGCTTGCCCATCCCACGCTCTCTTGCCTTGCTACAGCTTCTTCTGGTCCACCTTTGTCACTCATTTACACCTTTGTATTATCTTATTGATACCCAATTCCCAAGCCATCATAATGTCTGCTCCCACTGAGACTCCCGCTGCCCCTGTTGCGGCTCCTGCTGCTGCTCCTGCTCCAGCCTCTGTTCAGTCTTCTACGCCTGCCAAGAGCGGCCCTATCGACGACAACGATGTGAATCACTGGAAGGATCGCTTCAACGATGTCCTGTCTCGACCTGGCGAGCACGTCAACTCGAAATCTCCCGCTGGCGCACTCAGCTGGGCTACGCACCTGTTTGACTGCTTCAACCCCATCGACCTTTGCCTCATCACTTGCTGTGTTCCTTGCGTCACCTTTGGAAAGACGCACCACCGGGTCAACAAGAACGGCAACATGGACGGCTATGAGCCCGTCAACACATCCGTATGTCTTCCTCCCTACGCCCGTCTTGTCTGTCTCGTATGCCGGGGAACAATAGCTCACTAACACGGCTCTGCCCTCTATTACAGTGCCTCCTCTTCTGCGGCTCCAGCTGCTGCGCCCTTCACTGGATCCCCGCCAGCATGCAGCGTGCCGCGATTCGCGAAAAGTACAACCTCGAGGGTAATTGCATCGAGGACATTGCAAAGTCTCTTTGCTGCGCGTGCTGCAACCTGATTCAGCTCGAGAAGGAGACGGAACACCGCGAGGCTCTCTTGAGGAACGGCAGCTCGGAGCAGTACAAGTCCGACAACGGCATGGTGTATCCCGGAGCCAACTAGGCCTTACTTTTCATTGCCTCTGGTATTTTTATTTTATGTATGGAGTAGTAATGATGTGGTGTAATATGGCTCAAGACTGTATAATATGGGAGTTGGACTGGCATGTTATGAGGGTGTTGGGAATGTGTGCGGATGAGTACCCACGTCTTGAGATTATTGATTCTGTAAATATTCGCATTCTACTTGAGATGAAGACGAGTTTCAACTTGTTTATCGTGTGAAGCGTCCATTCTATATTGAGATTGGGCCTTTGAACTCATATGCCTTTGTGACCCCCCGCCGGCTTACATGCAAGCTCCCCGTCAGCATCAGCTTGATGTCATCCATCAACTGAACGCAAACCTCTTAGCTCTTCCGAATGATTAATAGTGTAAGTGTCAACGCAGATTCATCTTCTTGCACGTAATACACAGAAATTCATCGTCGACCATAAGAGAATCGGCATGGCACAATCAGACGGACTTGCATTCAATATCGGGGCCTTCGCCTCGACCCTGTTTCTGCTCGAGTTTGGCGCCGACAAGTTCATCACTCATACGGCCGCCGTCGCAAGCCGTATCGGGGTATCTGAAGTCATCATTGGCCTCCTCACAGCAGGCGCAGAATGGGAAGAGGTGCGCTTTGCATCAAATGCCTCTGTCTGCAATAATTACTGATTGTCGCTCAGCTTGCCGTCGTCGTCGCGTCTCTGGCGCAGGGCCGTTCTTCACTGGCAATGGGGAACGTGATTGGCGCTGCCATTTCCAACATCCTCGGCGCTTTTTCCCTCGGTTTGCTATGTTACGGGAGGGGGAAGACGGTAGAGTTTGACAGGAGCTCCCAGATCTATTCTCTCTTGACTCTCGCCTTGACTACGGCAGTTGCTCCAGTCATTTACTTTTCGACGAACATCACCTGGTTGGTCTGCGGGCCGCTTCTAGTGGTGGCGTTCGGCTTCTATTTCGTGCTCATCGCTGTGGCCATTGGTCGAGGGGTCCTTGCTGCGCCAGAGGACTCGGACGCCAGTGATGCTGATGATGAGGATGAGGATGAAGATGACGACGAGAGATCAGTGTCAAGTTCGCGAGGCTTGCTCGCCAACAGCCCTGACACACCCGTGAGGGCATACCCACGCCGCTATCGTCACCGGCTCGCATCTGATGTCTTCTTTCTGTCCTTTGGCTTCCTTGCCATATGCCTTGCCGGTTACGTGCTCTCCCAGGCGGCAATCAACGTCATTGACCGACTTGGCATCTCCGACATTCTCTTCAGCATCATCGTCATCGCCATTGCGACAACGCTGCCGGAGAAGTTCGTCGCTGTTGTCAGTGGCTACCGCGGCCACCCGGGGATTCTAGTGGCCAACTGCGCCGGGAGCAACATCTTCTTACTGTCGCTTTGCTGCGGCATTATCATGATGGATACCAAAGGGGGCTTGGACGGAGGCAATGTGACCGTCTCGGAATTGGGGGTCTTGTGGGCTTCAACGGCTGCGTTTACAGCGACTGTTTGGTTTGGGGCAGGCTTATCCCGCTTGATTGGGGGGATCATGATTGTCTGCTACATTGCCTTTATTGTGCTGGAATTCACGGTGATTCATGGAGTGGCAGGTTGAGATGCTATGAGCCCGGAGAAGTTTCTTGTGGTTGCTCGGTTCGAGATATAGCACACATGACATGCAATGACAGGTTGATATGTAATACCGCGACTCCCTCGAGGAACCCGATATAGTCAATGCGATGCTGGCCATGCTGCAAACATGCATAACGGGACTCAAACCTTCTAATTTGTAGGGATGGATCGTAGCAGGCATTTGCTCACAATGACAAAACTGACGGCAGCACGAAAGGGTGTCATGACTCGTCTCTTTAAGCCCTACAAGGAAGCTGGTTGTTTACGGCTGAGATTTAGTGTTCTGATCGCCATGGATGGTTGAAAGCACATCGCCCCGACCTCACTGTCACTTGCTAACATTGCCCAGTACAATATCTTAGACTATGCGGCTCGTAAAGTCGACCAGTGAAATCATTTGACGGCTACATCCCTCGTATCGAAGAAGCAGCTTGTTAGCCGAGAGGTCCTGACTGGCTTAGAGCACAGCCTGGCATGGCATGATCTCGGTTCTGCGGCAGTTTGGCACTCAGCTTTTGATTACGGCTTGCGGGTTACGTGGGGGATCGTACATACATGCGTCTATGCGACCAATTAGTATTAAAGAAAGCCCAGATTATAGCAAAGCTACAGTATCTCGCTGTTGAGAGCTTTTGCGGGGGTGCAGCTCGCCTACATGGAATATATAGACACTGTCTAGCGGGACGATTAGAACGAATGTGCTATCAGAGCTTGTTGCGACTGTGACTGCATGCTTGAGGCTCTTCGCCTCTTATATGGTCTGATTGATATAAGCGCCAATTATTGTAGCGAACAAGTAAGAACATTCGGTGTTTCAGATAATGAAAGCCTACACTCCAGAGGGGGGAATTCTTGCCAAGCAACATTCAAGCTCTTATTGTCCTGGTTGAATGCTATTTTCGAGGGCTTGCATAGCCCTGTAAACACAAAACTTGGGGTCCTGAGTCCCTCACTGCAGCCTGTGATACCCGGATCGGGTCCATTTCGCGGTGCAGGAGTTCAACCCCGGTAGTCAACGCAGACACGCTCGAGTCCAATGCAACACAGCGGTGTCAGCTCTCAAGCCACGAACGGGGAACCCTCACGGCAGCAGACAGAGGACGTAAAGACGCACCAATTCCGCTTTTACGAAGCACTTTACAGAGTAGTCGGCCCAAATTATGAGCGGAAACAAGCGGCATCCTAGATTTCTAAAAGAGGAGGATGAAATATGCTCCGGTCGAATCAAGATGCTTGTCCTCGGGCTATCGCTACCTGTCGTGGACGAGAGAACACACGGCACCTATTGTCTAGCGTCCGACGAGTGCCGAAAGAACGTCTGCAGGTTCGACTCTTATCACATTTAACACGGAAGACTACGTTCCGTTTGCCTGATTGATGGTAGACTCGCGTGGGAGGATCGTCAAACAGAGCTGGCGAGCGCTCCTACGTGGGGATGAACGAACGGCTCAGCTTTTACATAGTATTAGATAGAACAAGTTGAGTTGTAGGACCTAGTCTGGTCAATGTGTATCTGAGAAGTGAGAGGCTTGTTACTGATTGAATAGAAAACTATTAAAGACAATGATGATGTCCCTATGGGGAGAAGCCTGGAGTTTTTCTGGACACTCAAAAACAGTCCACAGCCTCATTTTCCTATTAGAGCTATCTTCTATAAGAGACCATCATGAAGCTGAGCATTGCGGCATACGTTATAGCCGCCTCCAGCCTTGTAACAGCTTCAAACTCTTTTGCGGGATCCAGCTTGTATTTCCTGCCAGGACTTTCGACAACCGACCAAGCCTACTACATCAACACCCTCGCCGGTTATGGAGCCAAGGTCGTTCGAATCTGGGTCAACCAGCTCGACACCGGCTGCGTCAAAGGCAGCAATGTCGTTACAAGCGTTCAGGACTTCGAAACAACCATCGGCCAGTACAACTGGGACTCTCTAGCCAAAATCGACAAGGTTCTCGCCCAACTGGCGGCAAAGGGAATGAAGGCCATCATCTCCCCCCACGACGGCAACGTGATTCACAACGGCGACGTCGATGGTAACGGCTGCGACATCTATTGCACGACTTACGGCACCTCCTTCTACGGCAACTCAAACGCTCAGACCCAGTACGACGCTCGCATCAAGGCCATTCTGACGTACAAGTCTCCCAGCAGCGGACTGCAATGGGGGAACTGGTCCCAGGCTATTCTGGCGTTTGACCTCCAGAACGAGCCTTTCCAGTTCACCTTTGATGGGGCGAACAACGATCCTTCCAACTGGCTGTGCAACAGGGCAACGAACTTTAAGAAGTACATTACGGATTCGAACATCAAGGTCGCGACTGGAGGCATCGGCGGTGACCAGGTTCATGGTTACAACTTGCTTGGCAAGGCGTTGACGTGCTCTAACATTGACATTATGAGCATCCATGCGTATGTTGGCCAAGCAAACACCTGGGGTGCTCTTTTACCAGGCTTTGAGTCTACTGCTGCGTCCAACAAGAAGCTGCTCCATGTCGAAGAATGGGGAGTGCAAACCGACTACAGCTCTGGTTTCGACGACCAAGCGGCCTCTCTCAATGCGCAGGGCATTCCATGGGTAAGTATACCGCCACTTATCGGGCACTTTATGCACCGTTTCTGTGATATACCATGGCTAACAACCAACCGTAAAGACATACTGGCAGATGATCCCTGGATCGGACGGCACCCAATCCTGCAGCAGTGGCTGTTGCACCGGCTACGACGGCTTCGAAGTCGGCTTCAACAGCGGCAAGGGAAATCTGCAATATGCCATCTCCCAAGCCAACAGCCAGACGACCAAACAGGACTGGAGCTTCGTCGGGGCGCCCCCCAATGGAGGAGGCTCTAACCCTCCGCCGCCTCCTCCTCCTTCAAACGATTATCCGTGTGATGGCTGTACTTGGGGGTAAGATTCCTCGCACTCTTTCGACGTCTGATTGTACGTGGCGAACTGACAATAGACTCTATTTAGATGTGAGGGCTGGAACTGCAACAGTACTTCTCCCTGTCAGTCGGCCTACTCTTGCGTGGGAGGATACTGCAAGGACTGCACCTGGGGATGCGGGGGTTGGAATTGCAACTCGACTCAGCCGTGTAATGCAGATTACACGTGTGTTGATGGCGTGTGTCATCACGCTGGGCCGGCAACTGGCAAGTGTTAGAAGCAGTATGGCGTGTGTTGGTTCTCTGGCGGATGTGAGCATCCGAGATACGCAAGGGTTTTGGAGGAACAATGTCAGCTGAAGGGACTCCGAGTATCTTGAATGAATCCTTCAACTGTGAGACTCTTGAAGCCATCTTTGGGAGTGGTATAGATGGTTCAAAGAGATAGGCGGGTCAGATGTATCCGTTCAAAGAGAACTGAATGCAGTTATATGCAATGAAGAGGAAGAGCGCGCGGAAGCCGCACTTAAAGAGCACTCGATGGATGTTGATATACCAATAACATACAATGTTACGAACAAGACAGTGGATGTTTAGCATAACCAAGAGCTCAATGGCTTTTCCTGCTGTTGCCCCTTCTATCCGAAGGGTCACAGCTTGAGAGGGAGACACTGACATGCCGTGGCTGAAAGAGAATAATTTTATGTTTACAGATGGAGAGAAATGACGGGCAGCTTCAAACGCTGTACTTCTGATGTTTTGAGCCTTGTATCAAAAGCCATCACGACTCAGTGAGATGATAATGGATTCATTCAGACAGTCTATCACCGAGTCTTCAAGCATCTAATAATCAGATCTCAGCAAGAATGTCGAGTGGGCAGATATCGATAAGGTATATAAGACAAATGTGCATCCCCAAAAGCACACATCTAGCCCTTATAGCTCAGTGGTAGAGCGTTGCACTTGTAATGCAAAGGTCCATAGTTCAATCCTGTGTGGGGGCACGAAGCGAAAGTTTCACTTTTTGCTGTGCATTTATACATCATTTTTTTTTTTTTTCTTTTCCTCTTTTAGTCACGACAAAGTCTTCAAGCCTTGGCTTTGTTTTCTTCTCTCGTGCATTTCTGGCATACTACTAAGTTCTGGTGTTTGGTTAAGGTTCGAGTTCGGGGGCAGCAACTTGGTAATTCACCGAGCACTTTTGCTGGAATACCGCTGGCGCAGCTACTTATATCGTGTTCCTTTCACTCAGTCATGGATTCAGTTGACCTACACCGATGCAGGCAGCATCAAGCGCTCTAGAATTCGAACCCCGAGGGAGAGCTTACTCGCGCACAGTCAGCTTGGAAGTCTTGCAAGCCATAGCCGACATATCTCATACCTACTAGATGGGAGAGTGATGCTAATGTCACAATTACCACACGCAGATAGGGCAGACTTCATCAGCAAGCAATGGAAGGGTCATTTCAACAGCGTCGTGTACCAGAAAGACATACGAGCAAACCAGACCTCTACTGTATGCAGGTACAGGCTGCAGAACTACCGGATATCCTGTCCTCTTCCCCTTTATTCACCACGAGAAATTTCAGGGTAGAGATATTTTCTGCTCTGGTGAATTTTTCTTTTTTTGTCGGCGGCATGACTAAGCAATGCCGGAGAAGCCTTGATAAAGAGCAATCTGGAGCGGTTTTCACAAAGGGTACGCTAGCGCGATTTCCCCATAAAAGTGCCCTTGTAGCTCAGGGGTAGAGCGTTGCACTTGTAATGCAAAGGTCCATAGTTCAAATCTGTGCGGGGGCATTTCTTTTTGCCTTTTTGTTTAGATCTTTTGTTTTGCTCGGTATGACTGCTCATCATGTATGACGCCGTATGAGCATCACCACCGTGATATCCAGACTCGACAGCCCTCATGAACGTTCGTTCGTATGTATATCTTTTTTCATTGTTTCATATTTGTTCATATCTAGCTGCTAACGCATTCTCTTCATTAGAAAAAACTACGCCGTCCGGCTAGAGTGCATAAAGACATGTCTATCAGCATCGTCAAATCCATGACTGCATCATCCCGATCCGATGAGCACTGGCTGCCAGATGCCAGTCACCTGTCAGTCAAACAGTCTGGGTAGAAACCAAGCCGTGGAGCTGCAGCCTCGAAACTCACCGCTTTTGCTCTACCTGTGCTCTCCTCCGAGGTGAAGCACGATGCTTCCTCTACCTCTCCTCCTCCTGCAACACCACGGGTCACCCATCCACCACAAGCCGCACCATCACCAACACCATCACACAACGCTACAGCTCCTCAAACAAAGAAATGGAGATGGTCTCCCTGCGCCCGCAGGACATCAACGAGCTCATCAACGACGTCATGTCCAGGACGCACCGCGACCTCCGCCGGCGCGCGCCCTCCATCGCCGACGCGAACCGCATCCAGGAAATCACCTCGTCCACGCCGCAGCACAACGCCATCGTCAAGCGCCGCCGCAGCTCGGCCTCGCCCATCTCCATCGCCTCGACGCCGCCGCCCCGGCGAGCGGCGCCGCGCAGGCTCAAGACGGAGCGCGACAGGCTGTTTGACGCCATCGAGGCGGGCGACGCCTACCCGCTCGAGGCGGTGCACATCAGGAGCGCGGACGACCTGAACGAGGCGCAGCTCAAGAAGTGCTACGAGATCCTGCATGCGTGCGGCAGCGCGACGGATCCGAATGCCAGCCTGACCAAGACGAGGCAGAGCATCGACGGGTTCCTGGATGCCGTGTTTAACGACTGGTCGAGTCGCAAGGCTGGGTCTTTGCTGCGCTCGGAGCTGGATTTCCTGGTGGAGGCGGATGTTGTCGCAGGGCGGGTGTGTGGTGAGTGTTTTATCTTTCCTTCCAGGGCCTCGTCTGCCATTGAGGTTTATCGGTTGATTCCCCTTGCTAATGAAGAAACAACCGTAGCAAAGCCTCAAGAACACAAAGACATTGCCGACTGCGACGCCGGCGGCTCTCTCTGCGCAGCGACAGTCTCCGCCGTGGCGACGTACTGCAGCAACCCGCCCATGTTCAAGCTCGAGTTCTCTGTCGTCGACGAGCTCTCCGGCCAGCCCGAGCCCATCTGCCCCATTTCGCGGCGAGACGTGCGCTGGGCGGCGGACGGCGACTGGGTGGCCGAGCTGCGCAAGGGCCTGCAGGCCAAGGTCGTGGCCAAGATTCACAAGCACAACAAGCACCTGGCGATCTGGCAGGCGCGCAAGCTCATCGGCGAGTGGGCAAAGGGGAGCCTGTCGATGGGGGAGGAGGCGAAGAAGATGGGCTTTTTGGAGAGGGCGGAGGCGGACGTGGCGGTTCTTGGGCTTGGGGGGGTGTTGGGGGCAAAGTAGTATGCGGCGTTTGGCTTGTTTTCATCGACATTCTTATCTTGGGGGGTTTTCTTCTTCTTCTTCGGCGTTGTTGATACCCTGACTATGGAGGATATGGGAAACTACTAGGCTACGACATGAAATTTATATGGGAACCCATGGGCTATGATATGAGGTCTATATGGATTGTGATATAATGGGGTCGCGTTCGGATAGAGCCGACATCTGATTAGGGGCTTATTGGGACAAACGGATCAGCGAAAGCATCATTTATCGCAGAGCTTGGGAGGGTTTATCAATGCTCATAATCAGCCATCTTTTTGTCAAGATCCCCCCTTTCTACCATTGCTCGTCTGTCATAATAAGAACATCATGATCCTTTTCAGGCGGTCGCCCAATCAATAGTCATCCCTCTTCAACCAAGGCTCACACGCCTCAAGCAGCCTCTCATGCACCTCCCTCGCCCCCGACCTACTCAACACCTCCCGAAAGATGGCCTCATCCACACGCTTCACAAACACCAACGCTCCCACCCACACAAAATCCGCATAACTCACCTCTCCGCCCAAGAAGAACGGCCCCTCAGCCTGTCTCTCCTTCAAGAGCTGCGTCACCTCGCTCAACGCCGGCCGAGCCCCCGCCCAGACCTCTTCGCCACCGTTCTGGCGCTCGTACTCGTCGAGCGGCATGCCCAGCCTGCGCTCATGTCGGCCGACCCAGTAGTCGTAGTCCTTGTCGGGCAGGATGACTTGCGAGAGCTTGTGCATGAGGATGGGGAAGAGGGGCGTGATGGTTTCGAGGGTGAGGTGTTCGATTTTAGGGACGAGGGGGGACGAGGGGCGGGCGGGGGGAGAAGGGTAGCGCTCTTCGATGGCGGCTGCGATCTTGGCAGAGTCCATCATGTATGTGCCGTCGGGGAAGAGGATGGCGGGGATGGTGTATGCCGTGCCTGTTTCGTTGGGGGGGAGGCTGGTGATGAGGGGGGGTTCGTGTTAGTTAGTTGGTTCTCCTGGGGTGGATGATGATGCTTGAGTGAGGTTGGGTTCATACTGTGGTTTGAGGCGTGGTGCAATGTCAGGATAGTGGAGCTGCGGTGTTGATGCTTGTTAGGACCTGTGATTGTTGAAAAGGTGTATCTATCGATGGATGTACTGGTGATGGCGTACCCATTCTGTCTTGTAGTCGAGGCCCTTGTAGTTCAAGAGCAGGCGTGCTATAGATGCGTTAGCACGATATCAGAGAAAGAGGGAGCTACAATGTGAAGTTTGGCATAGGAGGGGCCATGTGTGCATCAAGTTTGTCTGATGATGACGGACAACCAACTCACTCTTCCATGGATTCAGAGACCACGTCCTGTTGGGCTCCTTGCTGGGCAAGTCAAAGAGAGTAATTTGCTGCTGAGAGCCCATGGCTGCTGATTCTACCCGTGGAGATAATGTCTCGGTTGTCCTGAGCTAATAGTCATGGAGCTCATGATGGCTTTTTATGGTTCTTGAGGTCTTATATGAGCTTGAGACGGCATTAATTTTGCCTACCTACTCTGCCTACCTACTCTGCCTACCTACCTACCTTGCCTATGATCTGCATACGGTAGGTAGCTTAGAAATAGTTGCATTACAAATCTGCCCAGCTTGACGTTTGAAATGGGGAAAAAGGCCCCGCCCATTCAATGCGCGCAAGCGAATGGATTGTAGCAAGTACTATGTAAGATGGGTTTCAGTGCCCTTCAAGCACCTAGTCAGTCGTCTTTCACAAGTATTGCGTTGACTCGGTCCGAGAACGACCTGAATCGACTGTCTCTGGGCGTATCTGCATGCGTATTCCGAGCGGAGGGGCTGCTGCTGCTGCTGCTCCTCCTCCTTACCATCCTCCATGGCGGAAGGTTCCGTTGTTTCAGCTGTCTTGGACGGAATAATTGCGCTCTGGAGCACGTGGCACCGCTGTTGCTTTCCATGCTGCTCATGCTTTTTTCTGGGAAGGTTTCCGCGACAGTTGTCAGAGTGTTCTGCCTCTTGAACTGGATATTTCTAGTCATCAAGGTACTTGGACTAATATTCACTCATTGACGTTTCTAATGTAACACTACATGTACTACGGTGTACTCACACATGGATTGACAGGTATAATCCAGAGTGGCATCCATGATGCTGTTGATTCTACGACCCTGAATCACTTCGTAGCTCAATGGCTGCCTCATCTTCACTTCATTGACTTCAAGACTGACTGACTGAATGTCTCAGTGGTATTAGTCATGGCGCCCATGCCAACAAATAACCCTGTGGAAACTCAGACAAGGTGGAAAAAACGGACAAGGATGGCCAGCTTGGAGAACAGGGCGGCGTGTCTTGGCAGTCTTGTCGTTGTGCCCCGCAGATTCGCAGACTCAGATTCTCTGTTAATACTAGATCTCTATTTGCAGGGGAGAGAGAGGATGCTACGCAGCTTGTAGGAAGAGAAAAACTCTCAAGCACAAAGATGGGGGGAATTATAAGGGGTGAGAAGGACACGAGCAGTTGGCTGTTGTTGAAGATTTCTAGGTAATACTACAGTGTTAAGGCACCTTAGATAGAGAGGTGGAGGAGCTGCCAAGACTGCGTACTCAGGTACTATTCCTTTGGTGGATGAATTAGAGATGGTGGGCGCGATAATAAGCGGCTGGATTGGACTGGGCGGGCTGAACTAGGTACTATCTCGAGAGCGATTCAGCTCGAGTTTCCAGGTTAATAAAGCAAGCAACAGCTGCTTCACAGTATATCATGCTAGTTGGGTTCAGTTCAACAAGTCTCGATTGCCATCTACACATTCAGCATTTTTTCTTGTCAAAACTCCGACCAAAGCCAATGTGTACTACCCATATATAAACACATAAACATGCTCCATAAAGACACTCATTTACACAAAAAGACACTTACTGTAGGTAACTCGCATGCCCACGAAGCCACTCTATGTCTCAGTCATGACCAAAGGCTTGCCGCGCCAAGAACCCGACGCCGTTTTACCCGTCCTTGCAACCCCCGTCGAGCACCTCGGCGATTGGGCATCTGACCAGAGTGACGCGTCAAAAAAACTCCACCACGGGATGAAACTACCCCGGTCTATCGATGCGCTATAAGGGCCCTTGCAGAGCAACTATAAAAGCCCATGGGGTGCAGCAGCGATGGGCTGAGGGAGTCTTTTTTTTTTCTCTCCCAGATCTATAAACGCCGTTGCCCGCCCTTTGCTTCTCTCTCTCTCTCTCGTGTTGTAAGAGAGGAAAATAGAGAGCTCTCGAATTATTACAAGACAATGACGCCGCGCTGGATGTGAGCCGTCTCGTTGACCAGAGGCATGCACCCAAACATCTTGGTCAGGTCGTTGAGGCACTTGCTGCGGGCCTCGAGGTGGCCGGGCTTCTTGCTGATGCCCTGCGCCGGCTCATAGTTGACGTACTTTTCGCGGCCGCTGACCAGCAGGGGCCCAGTGCCCGTCAGGTACGACGCGACATAGTTGAGGGCAATGTCCTCGCAGTTGAAGTGGTCGTCGACGTACTTGCGCACCTGCTGCATCAGCGCGTTGTCGGACGAGTAAAAGTCGAGAAAGGACATGTGGGCGAAGCACAGGTTCGTGATGATCATCGAGTAGACGTCCTGGCCCTTGTCCTTGGAGCAGAAGCCGTACTTCCAGAGGGCGTCGTTGTCCTTGTCCGGCGTCGCGCACCGCGGGAGAGCGCCCGTCAGGCGGAAGCGGCCAAACTTGCGCCAGGACTGGAAGGCGAACTCGAGATCCTGCGGCTTGTAGTACACGTCGTCGTCCGAGAGCAGCACGGCGCGGGTCTTGAAGTCCGGATCCGGCAGAAGCTTCATGTTGAGGCTGTTGCGCTCCGACACGCGGTAGCGCACGGGGACGCCCGTCTCGGACTTGAAGTTGCCGGGGGGCGCCTCGTCGAGGTTGTTCCAGACAATGACAATCTCGTGCAGCGACGGGATCTTTTCCGACAGCAGGACGCGCATCGTCTCTTCGAGCTCCTTGGGTCGCTTGTACGTCTGCATCGCGATGCTACACGGTCGAAGCGGAGCTGTTAGCAATTGTTTGGGGACGAAAATGCGCATCGACGTCGCACGCAGAGTCCCTCGACTCCCGGCACAACTTACGTGAACTTGTCATCCATCAGCTTGTCGTATCGCTTCCGCGCCTCCTTCCACTGCTTGAGGGGCTCGGTGATGTTGTTAACGTCGCAATGCTCGTAGTGAACCGGATCGGAAGATCCCGAGAAGCCGGGGATGCTCGGCAGCTTGGACATGTCAATGTCGGGCAGCTTGACGTCGGGCAGCTTGAGGTCGTTGAGGTGCGCGGGCGGGCCGACTCGGATCAGCACGACGATGAGGCTGGCCAGGACGAGGGCGGCGGCCAGCAGGGAGACGAAGCGGCGGGCGAGCAGCGCCCTCAGGCCGGCGAAGTACTTGGTCACCATGGCGGGAGGCGCCATCTGTCAGGCAGCTTGAGGGTGTGGTATAACGAGCGACGAGAAGATGGAAGACGAGGGCGCGAGACTGTCACTTGCAGGAGAGCGGATCACGGGCAATTTCTGGTGTTGATCGTCTGTATGCGCTGACCGAAAGGGGCGGTGCTCGGGACAGTCACGTGATGAGCGCCTCTGACGTTGGTGACCCCTGGTTTTGACTTTTTTTTCTTCTCCTGGCGGTTGGTGAGTTGAGGCCTTTTTAGGACGCATGCAGAAGGCCATCGAAGGATCCAATTGCTGTCTGCCTCGTATCGCAGCTCGGATCCCGTATCTAGGTACCTACTTGATGACTACGCGAACCCAATGCTGGCCTACCCGGGACACGGTATTCCTGACGATCATAAGGTAAGAAGGAAACAAGAGACGAGGAAACATTTTAGTAGTGAATCTTTAGTTCCAAGCAGCATCGACTACTATTATTACCATGTGAATGCACACACTTTCTGGCTCATGACGGCATGCACCTCGTTGGTGACTCTGCTCGCTTCTTATTGGCTGCACGACTCTGGTCTTGCAATTGCCAAGCAATGGATCTACAGCGATGCTCAACCAATGGCAGCGAGACGTCGATTCAAGCTGGGGAGGCCTTGTTCTGTATGTACAAGCCACGGGTAAACGCCGACAAGAAAGACTTGGCGAATGTTCCTTGATGCGAGCTGAAGCTGACTGGCTGGCATCAACATCGGTTTCAACTGATGAGCAGCAGTACACAGATCCCTACATAGAGTATCTACTAAATACCTTACTTGGTAGACGGCAGATTCGACTGTGGTGGCAGGTCTGCGAAGCAAGGACAAACCTTCACTAACCCCCATCACAGCTCCACGCTTCAAGCGCTACTGCTCGGAAGATGAGATCTAATTCCGAGGAGCTTCGCTATGGCCCGAAAAAGCAAGTATAGCCGTCCCGAGCCCAGCAGCCCGTCACAGTCAGATTCCCCATTTCAAGTCATCAGATAATCTCACCTTGGCCCATCGTCTAGACGCCACGCATGGACTAGTAGAGTGCTTATACGACAGAGCGAGATCGCAGTTCGTGGGGACAAAGTGTTGAGACTGGTGACGAGGACAGAGAAAGTCTCTCACGATATAGCCTCGGTTATATATGGCGATGAGGATGATACTCGCACTATCACTTCTACCAAGCTTCTTCCTCATCCCTGTATTGACAGTCACCTTCGTGTAAAATTTGCAGCAATCAACCCCATCTGCAATGTCACTTACAAAAGAACGCAGGCACATGCTTGAATTTCAGCGTATGCGCCGAGGTTGCATTCATGCGAGCCGTCTCCCTTGTGTGAATTTTCACTGAATACATACCTATCTGAAGAGTAGCATCGCTCGGCGTAACTCATGCAGCCACAGTGCTGCAGACAAGTCAATCCGGTGCTTCTTCCGAGATGAACGGGCCCAACACCTTCCATGTGCTGTGCAAACCCCGAAAAACTCCCGCATGAGATCGGGGAGACGAACGGCTGCGCGGTCGTGACCCGCTTCCGGTGTCTAAGACAAGGGGGCTCCCGGCATCGCACGCGCAGGGCATTTGGTAAAACCCACCCGCCACATGGAAAGCAAGGAAAATTGGGCTGGCTCGAGAATGTCTTTTTTTCAGCGCATGGCCACGGACGCGGATCAGATCTTGACGACCTGGCGAAACAATGTGCTTGCTGCAGCAGGGGAATAAGCGTCGCCTATATATCTACCACTGTAGCCAGAGCAAAGGGCCGGGCAAATCAGGCCATAACAAGCCAGAGGCGGCTGCTGGACGGAGCAACTCGCCTCTTCAGGATAAAGTGCTGATGTCCTCGGGCTCGTTGGGTTGGCGTCCTGCAGGTGCGTCAATTGGGGCATCTCAAGCGCCAGCTGGATGCATAGCCAAGAGGTAGCAATCTCGGCAGCGCGCTCCGTCAAGGTTTCATGGATCGTGGTCGCCCTCATACTGTGAGACCTGTGAGACCAAGGCTAGCACTGGATAAATTCAAGGTGCTCACTACGGCGCTTGTCAACGTGAAACCTGCGCCGAGAAGAGTGACTTGGCCGATGCTCAACGGCCTTCCTGGTGAAGATGCAGAAGAACGAGGGAGACGGGCCGGACCACCTGTCCATGGTTCTTTTGTTGCCTTCATTTCTCGCCTGGAGAAAAAGTCCCTTGAAGTTGCACGTACAGCTGCTGGCGTCACGGAGAGAAAACGGCAGGAGTTCTGTCAGCAAGCTTATCGTGGTACCTGCCTCGCATCGTGTCGGTAGCCTCTTCCGAATTCGAGCACCTCGCTTGATGCCTTTGCCTGAGCTGAAGCTGAATCTTCTTCCACTCAACAAACAAGACCTGCTCTCGTCCACTTTCCCAACATCGCCTAATATCGGCTGCAAATAGTCCTCAGGGGCCGAGTCAACCTTGACAAGCTGCCAGACGGCCAACTTCTTCAACGAGCCGCTGTCACTTGGCCCACGACAGCTCGACCCTTAGCCTCGACGACGGCTTCATCTTAAACTCACCACCAGCGCACAAACCCTTGCAAAGCAGACGGAGCCGAGCGCCCGCTACAAGTGGCCAAGCAAGCCAATGCTGGGTCGCGTCCTCAGCCACAGCTCCGGCCTGCCTCGACGGACTGGCAGCCGGCGAAATACCAAGACAGGCCGCTACTTTCGAGTCGGCGCACGATGAACCCGCCTGTGGCCCGAACCCAAGCCTGTACGAAACCACCCATGACCTTGCTCGATCGGTCCAAGGCGATCGTTGGAAGCACGACCCTCAATCAGGCGATGTGCATCCCCTAGCTCCGTCCCCTGGCTTGGCCCTTTGTCTCGAGCTGAAGCTGAATTTCTGGAATGCGACGCTAGCCGTCCTCTGCAAATGGACCCTTGATGAGACCACGGACAGGAGGCTCTCTCTATGCGTGCCTGAGAAGGAAGCAGCAGCAGCAGCAGGTCCAGCAGAAGCATCCGCAGCAGAATGAGAGCAGCGTGATACCGATGGTCTATAGCAGCAGCACGAGCGATATCCTCTCTTACTGCCTGTCGACGTCTACACTGAATAGCTGCGATTCAGCCGCAGCCCCCCCCTTTGGCGCAAACCAAGGGTTTGGCATCTCAGCTGGCAAGCCATCAGGGTTCAGTCAAGTGGGTTGCTTCTCGCTTGCCTCCCCTTTCCTTTCATTGTCCTCGTTCAAGAAGAACAGAAATGGCACCATGACACACATATGATACGCCGTGTGGAAACTTCATGCACACTAGGTACGCATTCTCAAGCGTCTTCCGCGCACCCGGAATCGATGCCACCGGCGCCGTATAATTGGCCACTGGCCGCTGCCGCGAGGGCTCTCGCTGTGGGGATGGCCCCCCTGCTCTTCCGAAGGCCCTCGCCGTCTGAGAAGGATATATCTGGACACATGAAATAGCACGGAGACACAGCCTTTATGCCTGCCACGATGCGTGATTGGGCTAGCGGACGTCCGCTACTTCGGGTTCCTGAGTCGTGCGCCGGCAGAGAAGGGGAACAGACGTCGTTCGGGTCAGCGCCCTCCATCGTCGAATTAGTGCCAGTCGCCGTCGCTTTACTTTCGAGGCCAAAGACAGCCTCAGATCCATTGCTGAGCCCATTTCGTCGATTATGGTCCCTAGTGCCTTCAGCTCATTCTATATTACATACAAGATGCCCAATGGAAGCCGTGCTTCGGCAGAGGATATTTGCGGGGAGAGTTAGACAAGTTGCCCCCCTCACGACTACGGTTCAAGCTTTTTTAAACGCCATCATCTCAGCCACTCGTTTGTGGCAACTTTTCTTTCTGTCTCTTCTTTTGCTGCTCTTACCGTCGTTGGACAACTTGTCGAGTTGGGCACTTCGGCTGGCTCAAGGTCTCTCTCCTCTTTAACAACCGCATAGTCTTGAAACCGGCCATCTCGAGCAAGATCTTCGCCCTTTCTTCGAATCGTTCCAGGAGCGGCAATTCTTCGCATGGCGTTGCCCACTACGACTTTTAGCTCATCGATCTAGATTACTTCGACAAGAGGCAGTGGTGAATTCGGCAATCATGAAGCTATGGCTGTTGGCCGTTGCGGCTCTGGCCGCTGTACCAACGGCCTCTAGCCAAAGCACTACATCGCCTCAGGCTGCTGTGGCCGCGCTGCCCTCATGTGCTGTATGTGCTCTTTTCTGATATCTTTCCATCCTGATAATCCACAGGCTTTGACTGACTCTCGTCACAGCAAGACTGCGTCAAACTGGCTCTTGCCAAGTCACCCTGCCAGCCGACAAATGCAACCTGCGTATGCACGAACCCAACGCTCCAACAGACCATGCAAGGATGCGTCTTGCAAAGCTGCACAATCAAAGAGGCCCTATGTAAGACCAAACTCGAGACACGCTCCTTTTATGTAGCGGCATCTAACAGAGACCTTGTAGCAACAATGAATCTGACGGCCACGAGCTGCGGCCGACCCATCAGAGACAAATCGCCCGAATACATTGCCATCACCACCGTTCTGGGCGTCTTGTCTGGCGCATTTGTACTCCAGCGACTGTTATACAAGCTCTGGGCCAAGTTGGGCCTGGGGGCTGATGATTACATGACCCTCGCCCTTATCCTATGGGGCATCCCGAGTACCGTCATCAGTACGCACGCCATAACGAGGCCCGGACTGGGCCGTGATATCTGGACCCTGACGCCCGAGCAAATCACACGCTTCGGCCTCTACTTTTGGTTTCTGGAGTGGGCATACTTCGTAGAAGTCAGCATGCTCAAGCTCAGTCTTCTTCTCTTCTACATCCGCATCTTCCCGAGCCCTGGCGTGCGTAGGCTACTCTGGGGAACCTTCATCTTCAGCGTCATCTTTGGTCTCGTCTTCACCTTTATCGCGGCATTTCAGTGCACGCCGGTCAAGTATTACTGGGAAAAGTGGGATGGGGAGCACCAAGGCAAATGCTTTGACATCAACGCTATTGCCTGGTCAAATGCTGCCATCAGCATAGCGATTGACATCTGGGTGCTGGCTATCCCTCTGTGGCAGCTCAAAAGCCTGAATCTTGACTGGAGACGCAAGATTGGCGTTGCCGTCATGTTCTGTCTCGGTGCTTTGTAAGTCGTGCAACCCCTTTTCTTGCTCTTCATTTGCTGTCCTGAACTTGTCGCTGACCTGGTCGCCAGCGTTACCATTGTGAGCATCTTGCGTCTCAAGTCTCTCATTCAATTCGGCACCGATAGCCTGAATCCCACCTGGGACTTTCTCGACATCAGCCTGTGGTCCGTCGTGGAGATTAACGTCGGGCTCATCTGCGTCTGCTTGCCAGCTTTCCGCCTTTTGCTTGTCCGCATCTTCCCCAAGCTGCAGGGCTCGACGGAACGGTACTACGGAAAGAGCTCGAGGCGGAATCGAACTGCAACCAATCCGCGGTCAAGCCGACTTCCCTTGGGACATAGTGCCGGATCGCAAGTAGACAGGTCACAGCCTCATCCCAATATCGAGGGCAACCGGATTGGTTATCAGACGTCATACACGGTTGAGTATGGCGAGACTGATGAAGTCCAGCTGGTGTCCCTGAATGACAAATTCAGCGCGAGGTCAGACGTTAGATCAGATGTATCATAGCAGGATCACGGCTGCATCGTTGGATTATTCCTTTTTCTTTTTCTTTTTATCTATTGTTCATTGTATTTTCTTCTTTACATCCCATCTCAGCATGAGGACGCGATACTCTTGAAAAGGAGGGGATATCACGGATATCACTTGAACATATGGCGCAATGTTCTAGATTATCGAACCAATACTCGCGTGTCATGGTTCCTTGGCATTTACTATTAGAATTTGGAGCCGGCGGATAAAATTGATGATTTCCATGACATTGTGTGTCGAATATATGTGAAGCAGGGCACCAAGAGGCGAAAAGGGGAGATACATCATCCTACTACTGAACAATGAGACGAGGCTAATTGCTGGCTTGGTACCAAGCCTAATGCAAAACGAGTTCATGCACAACGATTCCGTTGGGAAAAGAAGGACATGCAAGATACTTACTCGAATCAGGGCACGTTTCAAACAGCCAATACAGCAGCTCAGCTGTCCTTCCAGAACGTCTCGCCTGCGTCGCGCCAAGAGCTAAAACTGACTCGCGAAGATCACCAGAGCTAGAAAAGAAGCTTCGCGTGGATTTTTTTGGTCTTTTTATTGTAATTGCCGCCATGTGGGAACTGCCGGGACTTGCTTGGCCTTATCCACCGTTCAGCTCAGCCGCGCGTGAAGATGGGTCCTGGACCCTCGATGGGGATGTAGTGATGGTAAGGTTATGAAGAAAGAGGCGGAGGCAGGTTGGTGAAGCTTGTTTTGTTGATATTACGAGTACGGGGGTTGCGCGGTGCGGTGTTATGATTGTGAAGGCAAGGTCGAAAAGGAGATGGCTGGCTATTAGAGCAGTTGTACTGTACATGCTTGTACATGAAGGGATTAAAGATGTGTGTTTTGAGAAACAGCGGATGTTGAAGATAGAGGCTCGGGGTGAAGGGGGAAGTAGGAAACAGAGATGTGGGTATCCTCCCCATTCGAGAGCTGTTCTTACATGTAATTGATGAGATACTACAGAAAGATTTGGGAGCTAGAAGCAAATACGACACACAACAACATAGATAAATATCATTTCCTCCGTTTATGCGGCCCCGACCCTGCCAACCTTGCTCTCCCACTCGTCGTTCACGTCTCTATAATCCTCCGCACCATACGGACTCGTCACCTCCGTCAGAAACCCCTTTGGCTTCCGGTGCGGATCCAGTCCGAGGTCCTTCTGCAGCAGGTCGAGGTAGTACACGGCGTCAAAGATGGTCGTCGGGGCCTTTGTCTCGGCAGGATAGCGCCACTTGCCGAAGCGGTTGTGCAGCACCGTCTCGTAGCGCAGCTGCCGCATGGCGTCGTCGTCGACGAGCGCGCGGGCGGGCAGGTCGTTTGCGAGGAGGCCGCGGAAGTAGGCGCCGATCCAGAGGCCCTGGAGGTGGGCGCAGAGGGTGTTGCTGAAGTTGCTGACGAAGCCGCTGAAGGCGACGTCGCGGGGGCGGAGGAAGCGCTCGGAGGGGGGAACGAGGAAGTGGTAGAGCATGAAGGGCGTCTGGGCAGCGTAGGGGTTGAGGGGGTCGGCGCTGGAGACGCCCTTTTGCTGCGTCAGGGGCACGTAGTGCTTGTTCCAGACGGGCTGGTCGCGGAGGCGGGGGAAGCGGGCGGCGATGTCGGCGTCGGCGGCGCGCAGGAGGTCCTGCTGGTTGGCGAGGTCCTCGGGCGGCGCCTCGGTGTCGACGGCGTGCGGGAGGCCGAGCTCGCGCTCGATGCCGGCGGGCAGGAAGGTGATGGGCGGCGAGCTCTTCCAGCCCGTGTTGCAGACGAAGGCGTCGGACGCAAAGGACGTGCCGTCGGCGAGGTGGACGGTACCCGGGCTCAGGTGGTCGACCTCGCCGACGTGGATCTTGATCTTGCCGCTGCGGACGAGGTCGAAGAAGTCGGCGTCGTAGTTGAGGATGCTGAAGCTGGCGGCGGTGAACATGGCGGGGATCCAGGGCTTGAGCTTGGCCGTCTCCGGGTGCGCGTCGTAGTTGTTGAGGGCGAGGACGTCGCCGCCGAGGATGGCCCAGAAGGCGTTGACGATGGCGCGGCCGATGAAGGTGCCGTGCAGGAAGCGCTGGATGCCCGTGTAGCCGGCGGCGCCGCTGTAGATGCAGGGGCTGAACCAGGTGAGGAAGCGGATGTCTGTGTAAGTCATATTTAGTGGCTGAAGTGTTGGCTGATGAGACGGGAGGTCCTACTCGCAAGCTTCTCGATCCATTTCTTAAACGGAGTTACGTATGAGGGGGCGATCCAGCAGGGACCATGGCCAGAGGCTGTGTGTTGATGCAAGTCAGCGGCCGAGCTTCTTCTTCTTCCTCCTCCTCCTCCTCCTCTTCCCTTTATCTTCCTCGAACAACGTCAAAGAGATGAACTTACATCGGATGACCCAATTGACCTCGACTCCCGCCATGGCGTAGCTGTAAGCGGCATCCCAGCCAAACTTGGTCCCTCCGTACACGGTAACGGCCTTGGACGTCTCGAGAGTGTCCCGATTCTGCTTAAAGTACTTGCTGTGAAAGATCCTCCCGCCAAACTCCTCCTGGCCGTCAAAGTGCGGCATAAAGGGCTCGGAAGTGAGCCCCGTGGCGACAATGAGACGCCTCGCAAAGACCTTGTACTCGTGGCCCTCGCCATTGACGACGGTGAGCGTCCAGCCGCCCTCAGCCGTGTCGTGATGCTCGGCGACTGTGATCTTTGTCCGCAGACGCAAGCAAGGCCCGAGGTTGAACTTGTCCACGTACGCCTTGAGGTAGGCGTTTGTGACTTCGCCGGGGATGTACTGGCCGGGCTTGATTCCAAAAGTCTTGGGGTCCATGGGGAAGTCTGGGTATTCGTATGTGCCTAGGAGGTTGTTGCTCTTGACGTCTGGGTAGAGCCGCTCGTCGGCCCATGTGCCTCCGACGGTGGACTGGGCATCGAAGATGACGAGGGAGTCATTGGGGTTGACGACGCGGTATTGCTTTGCGGCGGCGAGGCCGTACCATCCTGGGTGTCGGGGCGATTAGCATTGTCTCCTTTTCTTTCTTGCTGAAGCTTGCTAACGCGTAGACGCGATTGCATTGGAAGGAGAAAAAGGAAGCCGAAGAAGAAGAGGAGACTGAAACGAATGAGACAAGAAAAAGCGAGAGAATCTAAGTGAGATGTGAGAAGTAAGAGACTCAGCACTTACCGGCACCAGCCACGACACAGTCAATCGTCTCCATGATGGAATCCTACCTCAGGATAGTTCTCAACAATGATGCTCCTTTTCCCGTTCCTCTGTTCCCTCTTCCTCTTGCCTCTTCTTTCTTTTTTGTTTGAGGTTTCCCCTCGATTGCTACCGTGATGGGGCCATGCTGATCAAATACTAGGCACAAGCATTCAGTTGCTCTATTTAGCCAGGGCAAAGACAGGGGGGGCTGTGCTTGTCCGCCCATGCCTTGCCCCCCCCCTCTCTGTGCATGTATCGCTTAGATTCCTTGTCCGACTCTCGCTCGTGCTTACATGGACCGACTTTGGGGCGTCCTGGCGCAAGCCTGGAGGAATTTCTGACAGGAAGGATCAAAGAGCGTTGCATCGAGTGGCCACAACCAGCAACCCGGATAGAACCTGGCCCAACATGCAGAACTCTGGTGACCCGCATGCGCTGTTTGTAGGTATGTATGCGGTTGGATTTGAACAGAGGATTCGAGCATTCCAGTTCGGCCCGTGACGAAAGGAGCTGGACGAAACTGGCGGGTTCTTCATTGGATTGAGGCGCGCTTGTGCTACTCGAGTATTATCTGTGAGCTAAGATTTGACTCGTGGAGTCTTAGATCAGATTCGCGAGCGAGGCAAAGACAAATCGATTCGAGCCCCGACGAGTCAAACACTTTGTGCTAGTATGTACTTGGTCCAAGCCATCTTCTAGTCAGCACACATGAAGCTTCTCGAGCCTCTCTTCTTCTCTTTTTAACTGGATCGCGCACTTCATGTGAACCGCGGCTCTTTGCACTGCTTCCCCTTGCGCTAAATAACGGGCTGTGGAGCTGCTCGATGCAACTCATCCCCATCGAGACGGAAATACTCTCTGCCAGGGTTCGTTCGTGGGCACCGGCTGGGTTGCAGCTTGACCCTTGCTTGGAAGCAGTACGTACCTTGGCTGGCAACTTGCATCGGAGGAAGAGGTACAGTACAGTACAGTACTTGTACATGCGGCGAAAGAATCTGACAGGGCGGGAGACGGCTGCCAAGATGGACCGGTGTGTCCTATCAGACAACGGTATTGCCGTGTTCTAGAGAGGGCCAAAGGGCACCCTGCCTTGTCTGCCTGTAACGCGGTTGCGGTGCTGACAGGTTCCGATTGCAGGCAACCCGGGTGAAGATCAAGAGAAGGGAGGGAGGGGGTCGCGGAGAATGAAATATGATGGATAGGCCTCGCCATCCTCCTGTCTACTAGTAGTAGTTGTCAAAGCATGTCGAGGTTGGGTCAGCTGCGAATCGAGAGCGGGCGCTGAGTTGTCGAAGACCCCAAGATACTACACCCCCGATTCGTCAAGAGAGCCTGGACACACACCCTTTCTCACTCGCATATAATAAAACCAGCTGACGCCCACTTTGCTGTAGCCGCCACAGCTCGGAGCATTATGTCGTCGCCTGCAGCGCCTCCGCCAGATGCGGCTGCTGCAGCCGCAGCCGCTGCGGCTTTCCACCAGTTCACCGTCGAGGCTTTCACTCTGCTGGGTGTTGGGATACTGGTCACCGTGCTGAGGACGGTGGCTCGTGTGAGGTTTGGGGGCTGGCGGAATCTCAGCGGCGATGACTACCTTGCCTGGCTGGCTGTCTTGTTGTACATCGCCGAGACGTGCTTGGCGTATAGCGTGGGAAACAAGGCGAATGGACTTGCGAACAACAACATGACGGACGAGCAGCGAGCGGCGCTGTCGCCTGATGATCCGGAGTACCACTTGAGGTGAGCGACTACGGAGACAGAACTCGAGGGTTGAAAGGAGGGTTTACATGCTGACTTGGTTGGCAGAGTGCTGGGATCCAAGATTCAGATTGCGGGATGGTCGACGTATTCGACGCTGCTCTGGACGCTCAAGACGTCGCTGTTGTGCTTCTATATCAGGCTGACGGTACGTTGCTCGCCCATCTTCTGGACATCTTGACTGACTATGATTGTCTCGTGAATAGGATGGATTGGCCAGACATTACCGTATCCGAATCTACATAGGCTTCGCCTTCCTGGCAGGCAGCTACATCACCGTCGCGATGAACCTATACCTCTCATGCCGGCCTTTCCATAAGCTGTGGCAGATATATCCCGATCCCGGAAGTCAGTCTTTTCCCCACGTTCCCGTGCCCTCGTCGGCTTTTCTGTTATGCTAACTGCTTTTGCGCATCTAGACGTCTGCTATCCTGCCGTCTCGAACCAGATCATCTGGGTCTACTGGTCATTCAACGTGCTGACTGACATGTACATCATCTCGGTTCCGCTGCCCATGCTCTGGGGGACGAGCCTGAAGCCGTGGAGGAAAGTGGGACTTATTTTCCTCTTCAGCGGCGGTGTCTTTGTCATTGTTTGCGCTACCTTGCGGTCCGCTCTCATTGTCTTGGTAGGTCATTTATACCCCAGTCTCTCTCTGAGACATTACGCTGACGTTGATCTAGGATACTGCCAATGGTGCGCAGCTGGCCGGATCTTGGGCCGTGAGAGAAACCTTTGTCGCCGTCGTCACCACCAACATACCCATGCTGGTCCCCATGGCCAAAGTGATCATCGGGCCCTTTATCGGGTCCATCCTCTCCTCGAGGCGCTCTACACAGAAGCTCGATGACGGGACACCCAAAAGCCTCGTCACCTTTGGCGGGAGCACCAAGAGCTGGCGCGGCCGTGGACCGCCGACGGCTAACCCAATCACAAATTTCACCATCAGCGAGAGCGAGGAGCGCATCGTGGAGGATGTCAGGATGCAGGACCTCAAAGTATGGAGCGACGGACGAGACGAGGGCCACCACCAATCAAGAGATGACGATGAAAGCAGGGAGATTCACAAGCAGGTCGATATTGACATTGTGACGACGAGCCAGCGCCCCTCCGATGAGCAGAAGCAGATGTCGCCTGATGAGCATGCGAGGAGGCTCAGGGGGGCGTTTCCGTTTCCAGGGAGTGGCAATGGCGAGAACGGCGATAGCAACGAACGGCATCAGCATGATTAACGACATCAGCCGGGCGTGATATTTAGAGTGCTTTCAAAAGTTCTTAATATTTGCTTTTTTTCCTCCTTTGTTCTTCCTTGTTTTAGACTGCATAGTAGCGTATCAAGTCTTGAGAGATGATTAGAGCATGAAGTTACGAGTCATAAACTATCCGTCGTTTTTTGGCACATTGAGCGTCTTATTGGATGTCTTGCATATTTGCTTTTTCCTCTCCCGCCTTTCTCGGATCCTTCCATCCTTCCTTTTGCCACCATTGTCGAAAGATGCAAGCCACATGTTGAGATCATTCGATCCAGAGGCGAGGACTTGTTCCACGGTCACAACTTCTGTTGATGTCTAGGTAGGTAGTTGTCTGTTCTGTGTGCATTTTGGAGAAAGCGACTGTACAATGGCCGGAATACTTTCGGCTCTCGCGTGGCAGCCAAGGCTGTGACTACACTCACTCCGGACAGGTCCTGAATCTACTAGCAGGATTGAAGGATTCATGCATCTTTTGTGCACGATGCAACCATCCTCTCGGTTATTTATATTAGAGTTTATGACCACCCATTGCACGGTTCATGCCGATTCAGACACATCCATATTAGTTGTCGTCTGTATCTCATTTGATATAGAATCTTGAGCATACTTGTCAACGGGATGAACTCGTGAAAATTGCCCGTTCAAGTGGCATGGTGCATGGTTCGGGATTATTCGGCCACACGCCTGCCTGTACGAACTTCGTAGGGGCCACGCACGTGTCTTGGCCCCTGCCTGGAGATCGTGCTGCGTGCCTCCAATTTTGTCCCGATGCATGGGAAACCCCGTAACTCTTCTGTAATCTCTGCCTTTCCGGGACATTTGTTCCCGAAGAGGATGCTACTTAGCAATGTTGTCTTCAATCTCCAAGCCGTAGTGGAGATGGGGGTCGAGTAGTATCGGCATGTGTCGACTGACTCGTTGCCGTATGACAGCAGATGGGGCAGAGGTTCATCGGTCTCGATTAAGCAGGACGAACTGGGCTCTCAACTCAACGACCATTGAGGGCGGCAAGTGTCTTCTCCCGGCGCTCGGATTTCCGGCCCCCATATTATCGCGAGCGAACGCTTACAGATCCTTGCTTCCCCTGCGACGACGGGGAAGACGAAAAGAGGCAGAGGTGACATGTCAAGAGGACGCATCCTTACTAGTTTCTCTGCTCGATACCGAGGATGCACAAGTCAAGCATCGCGTATACCGGAAGCCAAAGAAAGAGTGGGCAACAGTGTTCTAGTGTGCAGATTGGTGTGGAGGAGAATTGTGATAGACGAGCAGTGTGGGTTGTGGGTTTGAGATAGACGATATGAGCTGTTCACAGAAGAATTCCACTTCGTACTGCTTGTAACACGTGTATGCGCAGACAACGCGGCCGAAGAGACCCGTTCGCAGGTGATTGACGCAGGCACAGGGCTTGAGACACGATGCCCGGCAAAATTAAAGCATACACGGATGGGGGTGATGGCACGCTGACTGGTGGATTCTCCATAGAGGAGGTACATGTATCTGTCTGTGTCTCTACCGAGGATAAGGGGGGATAATTGCCTTACTTTCTTTTACAGGTAGGATACGTGAAGATCATACTGCCGTAACTACCTAGTCCTAGTTCAACACGCAGGGGTAATGCTCGAAGACGTTCGCGTATAGCACTAGGAGCTTTCTCGGTTCTTCATCTGCCTTCATGATGAATAGTATGAGCGTTTCCATGGATCGTGATTCTGATACAAAGGCATAGGAAGTTCCTACATGATCGGATCTGGAAGTAACTAGACATACAGGAGCTCCTTGGCCCCTTTCCATTGACCGCTGCCTTGTACAGTATGTCATACTATTGATAATTCTTGCACGTCCGACCGTTATGTCTGATTTCTATGCAGTATGCCCCCGGGATTCTCCATGTTGCTCTCAACAACAGGTCTGTATCACACCTACATCGCAGGTGCGTTACCCAATCCCGCTGTCTTTGACCATTACATCGCCACGTCTTCAGTGGCCCTGGTCAAAAGTATGCCGCGACCAGCAAGCTTTTGATCAAAGCCCTTCAAGTCCCGATACCAGGAACAAGCCTGTTATTCGTCACCGTTTTAACAGGAAGAGTTCGCTTCAGGTGACCCTTGAGCAACATCCCTTGTGTCTGTCGCATGCTTGCGCCGAGGAATGCAGCATTGTTTCCTTCGCCCCTGTCGACTCCCTATAAAGCAACACTGTGTACAGGTGCGGAGTGTCTGTACTGCTACGTTAGCGCAGCATTCACATGTTAAGCTCGGGCACCGATGAAGGCCGAAGCTTGCAAAGGGGTTTCAAGGTGCATGTAGGAGGACTATGATCATCTCATCTCAGTAAGGAAACCGTACGAATTGCATCATGCGAAGGCCATCAAGGTAGACGTCTGTAAGAAGTCTTTCGGTTGAGATGACTTGATTACGAGGATGCCCGTGTAAATCTAGAATGAAAACACAATTTATACAGGTCGTCATCTCCAATTGTTAGCCTACGCTCTGCACCAATAAGCCGGGGCACACGACCAACACAAATCAGACAAGGTAGTACTTTTGCATGCTTCGCAGAGAGAAGTGATGAAAACACCCCAATTCAGAAGATACAGAGTGGCTTCAATTTTGAGATACTCACATTTAGTTGAGGGATCATGTATGACAATGATATTGACGGCTATTCTCCGTGGCGAGTAAATCGGACTTTGGTCTGCATCATCGCGGGCCAAGACCGACTCCGCACTTTGATCGCCGATGACGGCTTCCAGTCGGTGTGCAGCCTCTTCTGCCTCATCATCCGTTCCATCATCTGTTACGTTAGTTAAGAGTAATCGGAAAGACAGAGTTACCGCCAAATACCATCTAATAGTTCACGTTATCTTCAGGTCCATCACTGGAGGACGGGGAAATCATGTCAACTACAACGACCGCCGTCCAGGTTGCACCGCCGCTCGTAGGAGAGAGCATTGAGCTCGGGCATCTAGACCCGGGCGTCTCCTCTGGCCGGCAACTTGGTCCCGATTCCAATGCGGACTCGCCGCATGTCTCGGCCGGTGACAATGAGGGTGACGAGCCACCGGCGGATGCTCTCACGGAGGCCGAGAGGTGGAATCGGCCCGTCAAGAACATTGGCCGGCTTGCGTTTGCGTTTATGTCGTTTGCCATTGCGGGGATGAATGATGCTGCTGTTGGCGTAGGAAACTCAGCTTCTCTTCGTCGCCCTTTTCTATAGGACATCATGATGCTAATGAACGACATGACTATTCGGAACTAGGCTTTGATTCCATATGTAAGTGACGATACAGCCCAGCCCTTTCCGGTCTACCGTTTCTGATCATATCGTACCGACAGCTCGAAGAATACTACAACCTCTCTTACACCGTCATCTCCCTCATCTTCCTCACCCCCTTTGTCGGCTACTCCATCGCCGCCTTCACCAATGCCCGCATTCATGTCCGGCTCGGCCAGCGCGGCGTGGCCATCATGGCGCCCATATGCCACCTCATTACCTTTGCTGCCCTGGCTTCTCACCCGCCGTATCCCGCCCTCGTGGTGTGCAATGCCATTAGCGGCTTTGGCAACGGCCTGACGGACGCGTGCTTCTGCGCGTGGGTCGGTGCCATGGACAGGGCGAACACGATTCAGGGCTTTCTGCATTCTTGCTATTCGTTGGGGGCGTTGTTCTCGCCGCTGATTGCGACGTCGATGGTTGTCAAAGGAGGGTTGCCTTGGTACACCTTTTACTACCTCATGGTGAGTTTCGCCTCGTGAGTGATGACATGGATCCCAGGCTCAATTTGACTCCCCTTTGCAGATTGGCATGTCTGGCTTGGAATTCGCTGGGCTTGTCATGTTCTTTTGGGACAAGACGGGCGCCGTGTATCGAGAGGAGCATGCCCGCGAGAACGCAGATGCCGGGACTGCGGGCGCCGGTACTCGCGAGGCAATGAAGTCCAAGGTTACCTGGCTTTGTGCCCTGTTCTTCTTTGCCTACATGGGCGTGGAGGGTAAATGATGCTTATACCCAATCAAGTTTATATACCATGACAGACTGACAAACTGTTGCATAGTTGGCCTTGGGGGCTGGGTCGTCACGTTCATGCTCCGCGTCCGTCATGCCTCCGCATATGCCTCAGGAGTCTCAGGCTCCGGGTTCTGGGCAGGCATGGCGCTTGGCCGTGCCGTCTTGGGCTTCGTCACGGAGCGCTTCGGGGAGAGGCTCTGCTTGGCAATCTACCTCGGCATCTGTCTTGGTCTCCAGCTCCTGTTCTGGCTCGTGCCACAGTTTGTCGTCTCTGCCGTCGCCGTCGCCTTTCTGGGCTTCTTCCTGGGCCCCATGTTTCCCGGCGCTGTCATGGTGACGGCCAAGCTGCTGCCGAAGCGCATCCATGTGAGCGCCATCGGGTTCGCCATGGCGATGGGAGGAACGGGAGGGACGGTGTTTCCTTTCATCATTGGTGCGATTGCGTCTCATAAGGGGGTGTCGGTGCTGCAGCCCATCATTCTGGGGCTGATTGCGGTCATTGCGGCGGTTTGGCTGAGTTTTCCACGGATTCAGAAGCGAGACTGAGGTGAGCACCTCTTCACTTCAAACCTCAAGCTCACGGCATGCAATCTTGATAAGTAAGGTAGTCTCTTGAAGGATATCGGTTCTTTTGACCAATGGTACCTTTTGTCCTCTTCTTCCCTGTTCATGAGCCAAGTCGTGCCCTAATCGCTCCAACAATAACCCCCCTTCAACCTCCTGTGCAACTGGTAGCCGAGCAACCCTGTCTTCATATACGAGTTGGCCTCGCCTCTCCATCACATACGACCACAGCCGTCATAGAAATCAGGATCCCGTCTGATCTCCATTAGATAAGCTGATGAGCGCTAGATTAGTAGCTGAGTCGGTGACGATCAGCGAATCCCTGGTGTTGTATGTTTTGTTTTTGGCCTTTTTGTGTATTGATGTATTCATAACGGATAGTACCTAATGGGAAATCAACTGGTCTCTCACTGTAGATGCCTGGGTTGACTATAGCTGTAGCGTGTAGGAACTCGATACTCGTAGAATAGAATACTAAGACTAGGTCATGTCCTCGACCGATCTGCTCACACCTCGACCGCTCATACTCCGCATTGTTGAATCACTTACTTATTGAAGCCCAGCAATGTATGCTTCCTCCCTCGTTGCAAGATTGTCTATAGTACAACGATATTGGGGCAGAACTATGGCTCATGTAAGTCGCAAAGTCGTGATAAATGATGCAATTTGTGCAAGGTTCAGTGCTGGCTTAGCGCCATGTGATTGCTATGAAGTAATAAAGAATTTTTACTCCTGGCTCGATCTCTCCGAGTTCCCATCACTGGCCACGCTCAACAATCTAAAGCCTCAAAAGCTCCTCGTCTTTGCTCTCCTTCTTCTCACATCTCTCGGGGTAATTTAATTTCCTTCTCACTCAAGAATCAACCTCAGTCTCCCCCCAAGTTCTTCCGAAAATGCCTCTCGTCGACGCTGACGCCCCGCCTTCAACCAACGACACCCACTATGTCGTCTACTTTGCCTCTGGCGAACCGTCCTGGTGTCCCGACTGTCGAAATGCTCTCCCGGCACTGCAGAGTGTCTTTGGAGCAGACTCGGCGCCTTTGGCCACCATCATCCGCGCTGGCTCTCGCGAGGAGTGGAGGGACCCGAGCAACAAGTGGCGACATGCGCCTTACAACATCAACTGTCTCCCCACGATTGTGAGGGTGGAAAATGTAGGGTCGCCATTTGGAAAGTGTACATGCATTTCAGTAACAAGCATAGAGCTGACACGATGATGCAGGGCAAGGAGGTTGCTCGGCTTGGAGACGTTGAGGGACAGCAGGAGTCTGCTCTGCGCAAACTCATTGCGTAGAGCTGTGGACTTGCAGATGCCGTTAATGTTTTGTTTGATCACTCAATCTACCTATGTTTGTGTGTGTTGCCCACTCCCAGCAACTTGTGACTGCTCTTATCTTTCCGGATTACCTTCAACCATCGGCAACCTGCTCCGGGACATCGTGGAGGTCGCTTGCAGTACAACACATGTGTAGGTATGTTAATGAGGCCTCTGATTACTCCGCAGAATTGGGAGTATGCCTAGGGATGGCCGAGACAATCTTTGAGCGGGTACTTGCTTGGGTCTCTGTGTCTTGATCTCCTCTAGATTGCATTTGATGGAACAAATCAACCACAATTTCGTACTGCATCGTCTTGACCGTATCACCGTGACACCCTGATTGTGATGACAACCTCGATATGAGCGGGGCAAGTCCTAGAATAGCTGAAGACTCGGTAAAACATCCCACACTAAGCAAGTTCTCGCTCTCACAGTATCATCTTTTAGTCCCTGTAACACCCTAAATGCCCCCTCACCTTGCGTGACAAACTCGATCTTACTCAACGTCCGAGTACGCCTCAGGTTGTCACTCACATCAGGTTCTCGGGCTGCTCATATAGTCCAGCGATCTAGACGACATGTCTTCACGGAACACGGCAAGCTCAAATGTGCCATGGGTCATCGCTGTGGCAGCGGCGGCCTTTGCAATTGGCGTCGCCACGTCTGATGCCTTGAGAGACGCCATTTTCGACGTGCAAGATATGTTGGCAACTTACAATCGAGGCAATTTTCCGCAAGGGCTGAATGGACTGCCACCACAGGCACAAGTGATTGATCCATCAACCTTTGCGGCGATGCCGGTGGTGCCCCCGGAGAGTATTGCCAATATCACTACTGTAAGTCAAACATGCCTATTTGAGTAACATGGCATCTGATCGGATCGATAGGTCTTTATCCCGCCTGGTTCTACTATGGAAAGCTTGCAAGAACGGCCATTCCATATTTATCATCAGGACTTTGTGCATATTCTGGGACCAAACCCGACGCTTACGCTCATTGCCGACTCAGGTAGTGACCCGTTGTTCCATGAAGCCTTTGTGTGGTAAGATGGTTGCCGAGTCTGCTATTACAAAGGACGACCGTCTCTTACACAGCTGTTAGGTATCCTCCGACGAATGAAGTCTTCTTTGCCCAAAATGCTGGAGCCCGGGCAGCTGGAACCGGGCTGAAGAAGTCCAGCCTAATTCTCAAAATATCCATGAACGAAACCGTGGCCCTCTCGAGCGAGCGGGACGCTGTCGGTAAAGTTCAAGTCGACGTGGTTCCTATCGAGCCCCAAGTCATCAACCCAAACGGTACGCTTTCTTTGAACTGCTGACCTTGGGCGATGCTTCCAATGTTGGCTCGACGGTGCAATGTCCGCTAACAGTCATTCAGGGGGGACAAACTACAAAGGAAACATGCTGTTTACAGGCGAGGGAATGGGCGCAAATATTGCCCCGGCCCTCTTTGCCGTTAATCCTGTCCCGCCCTACAACTCTACGGGTGAGTGCTGTCTTCAAAGTAGGAAACCCAGTCTTCCCAAAGTAACTGATTCTGTTTCCAGTGCTTGTAAACAACTACTTCGGTCGCCAATTCAACTCCCTCAATGACGTTGCTGTAAACTTCCGAAACAAGCACATTTACTTTACGGATACGGTGTACGGCTATCTGCAGGACTTTAGGCCTAGACCTGGTTTGCCGAACCAAGTCTATCGCTTCGATCCTGATACCAGAGCCGTTACCGTCGTGGCAGATGAGTTTGTGAACTGCAACGGTGAGAAAAATCGATCATGCCATGTATAGCTCTTACTGAAGCCTGGCCAGGCATCACATTTTCACCCGATGGACGATATGCCTACGTCACCGACACCGGGGCTGGCAAGGCCTTTCGAGGCTATGACAACGCTGGGCGTTCCACAATGTAAGCGGATGGTCATCTGACTGCCAGATTAAGCTCTCGATAGCAAGGGAACCCATCTGTCTGACCTGATGATCAGTTATCGCTACACTGTAGCTCGAGATGGAACGTTCAAGGACCGAAGGGTATTCGCCTATGCCGGAGCTGGCCTCGCGGATGGTAAGCCCCGACTACCTCTCCACTCGTGTGATGTCGCTGACAAGTCTGCGTCTGCGCAGGAATACACTGCGACTCCAGGGGCAATGTCTATGCTGGCTGTGGGGATGGCGTCCACGTGTGGAATCCTTCTGGCACCCTCTTGGGGAAGATCTTTCTCGGCGAGACATCTGCCAACTTCCAGTTTGCGGGCGACGGCCGAATGGTCATTGGGGCTGAAACGCATCTCTATTATGCGACTTTGGCTTCCAAAGGAGCGCCCATCTCGTAGATTGTCTTGTGATTTCAGAAGCTCTGTATTAGTGCTATATTCACTATATCAAGATGTTGTCCGAGTAATCTTGAAACAACGGTCGGTAAGAGTTACGAAAGGCGCAGAAAGTACTAGTATGACAAAGGCAGTAGGAGTTCTAAGTTATGAGAAGCTGAGATCAAGCAAAGGGCATGTACAATTGGTAGAATTAGGAAATGCTTCACAAATGACTACATATATAAAGTCCGCTTGTCTAAGATTCTTGCTGACCAAGCTGAGTTGTTATGCCACCTGCTGCTGATCAATTGCCAGATGCTCTTGAAAGTATGGGATCAGGCGTGCGACCGCAGGCGTAACATATTCAGGCTTGTCATACAGCCCGACGTGAGTCGCCCCTTCGACCCAGAAAATCTCCTTTGGCTCCTTTGCCTGACGATACGCGTCCTCTGCCATCCATTTGGTCTCTGCTTGGGTGCCGACAACCATCAAGATGGGCCGTGGAGAAATCTTGTCCACGTATGTGAAACCATCAAACGCAAAGATCTTATCAATGCTACTCCATGGCATGACCTTTGCCGAGCGAGGGTGAAAGCCGCGAGGAGTGTTATAATACTCCCAGCCCTCGTAAACATACGGCCCCAGAGCCTCTGCAGCGGACGCGTTGGGTGGGAAGATGGGAAACGCGGATATCTCTCCAGGGTTGTTTCCAGCTGCGGTTCGTGCCTTGGCAGCTTCTCGTAGCATATTCTCTCCCACCGAGGAGTCTTGTTTCCCGTCGAAGCCTTTGCGAAAGAATGGGCCGACATCAGCACCGCTAACAGTGGCAGCTGCCCTGATGCGTCTATCCACGGCCGCGGCGACGGTTACATAGCCGCCGGAGGCGCAGATACCCAAGATGCCGATGCGGTCGGGGTCAACGCGCTCATGGTTGCTGAGAAACGTGACGGCAGATTTGATGTCTTCGACTCTCTGGGCAGGGTCTTCAAGGCCCCGAGGCTGGCCTTCGCTCTCTCCATTATAGGCAGCATCCCAGGCTAGGGTGATGAAACCTCCTTGGGCAAGACGACTGGCGTAGATGGCAGCCGTCTGCTCCTTGACACCGCTGGCGGGATGAGACACGGCGATGGCGGGGAGTCGTCCTTCAGGGGCATCTGTGGGAATATACATGTTGGCAGCAAGTTTGAAGCTGGCGCTCATGAATGTGATGTTTTGGACGATAGTCTGTGCTGTTGCCGCGGAGGCAAGATGAAGAGGCGTAACTTGGTCCATTCTGTATGCCGTTCTTGTGATCTTCCTCTGTCCGCTGAGGTATGTGTTGGATTGGAGTGTGAGTAGTCGGTGATAGTCTGAGCTGAGGCATGAAGGTTCTTTATATGTCGACAGAGACTCTATATGGCATAATGGCAAGCACCTGACGGATACATCAAGCTAATCTCCGGCTAGGCACAGGATGCAGACCTCTCAGAACAAATCGCAAACTGTAAGAGAAGACAAATTAAATCAATCTCCGGTCTACAAATGTACGTCGGCCCGAAGAATGATTACGAGCTATGTTAGAACACCTTCAGAACACCTTCGAGCCAGGTCGTGGGTTAGTAGGTATACCGAACATAGACTTAGAGACTACCACGTCACCAATGGGCCACACGGCGACTCCATTCCGCTGCAAGTCCGCATTTCAGTGCGCGGATTTTGTAGTCAATCAAGTCAAAAGGCGGATAGGTAGCGTGAGCCTCGAAGATGTTACCGTTGAGTTGCGGAATAGTTGTGAATCATGATACTACGGCGGCAAAGGGCAGGCCGTGATACCCACACAGTGATTCAAGCATTGGTGCTAATGCTGCAACCGGCGTACAACTCGAATGCTATTGGTCCACTCAATGTTTTCTTTCGAGATCTTCTACCGGGGAGACGAAATGCCTTGTCAACATACGAGTACAGTTGATGGACGTGTGCAACAAGATTTCTAATTAACGCCTAATTCCTTCAGCAATCCTTATTTTCCTCGATCGTAGGGCTCACCAACACGTCAGAGTGTACCCAGAGGTTGAGGACCCCTCGTTTGCTCAATCATCATAGAGTGCTTGATAGGTACTCGGCGGGTTGACTACATGTAGTAAGCGGCCCTGACTAGGCCCCTGCCTCTTTATTTTATCTCAGAACTTGGAGCTTTAGTCAGGGTAGGGCTGACCGGAACGACTTACATGGGTCTGCTTGGGTGAACTCCCACTAACAGTCTGCACCCCAACGGCCGTGGGAACGTGCGTGTAGCACTTCGTTTCGCTAACGGTACACTTAATTGAGAGAGTTACTCCGCCTAGACGTGCAGTCTGAAGAGGTACCTGGACTTTAACGCGACGGGTTGTTTAATGCTCGAACCTCGCATCAGATCCACGTAGGTTTGATTGGATGGGTCCCCAGAGCAGTTGAGGAGAGCAGGGGGTTTGCCGCCTATATCTCTCTCACTAAAGGTGAGCGAATCAATGGTGGACATCAGCCTCGCACTTCAGACACCCACTCCTTTCGGCCGCCAAACTCGACCTGGTTTTGCTTCAACTTCCCTGGGGATCGAGCCGCTACTTGATGAAGGGTTTTAGATCACTTAGCAAGAATTTCCAGAGAAAAGATCATCCGAACCTTCTTTATTCGTATCTTTGCTAATGCCTCGCACATACTCCCTTAAGCATTGACTAGCCTCCCACCCTCATCGATCAGGTCCTCAGGCGACCCGAACTTCACTATCTTCCCCATATCCAGCACCAGAAGGGTATCATAATTCCTAATAGTATCCAGGCGGTGAACCACGGACAGCACCGTGTGTTCCGCAAACTCCCTTTCCAGGGCCTCCACCATCATCCTCTCCGTCTCTCTATCCACGGCACTCATAGCCTCGTCTAATATCAAGATCCTGCTCTCCGACTTGCGCAGAATCGCTCTCGCTAGACACACCAGCTGTTGCTGGCCCAAGGAAAGCGAAATGTTCCCCACGTCTGTGTCGAGCGTGCCAAACTTTTGAATCGTTTCCCAAAGCGAAAGCCTTTCTAGCACATTAATTATTTCTTCGTCCGTTGGTGGCAAGCGGCGTGCTGCGGCATTACTGCTAGTGGTTTGTTGATTGGGGAGAATTAGATTTGAGCGGAAGGTTCCAGGAAACAGTCTGGGATGCTGTGAGATCACGTTTAGCCTAGAGCGTAGCTCCCCAGTTGAAATGTTGGCAATGTCCACGTCGTCGATTCGTATCGTACCCGTGTAATCGACCATTTTAAGCAATGTCGCTAGGAGGGAAGACTTGCCACTGCCGGTACGACCGCAGATAGCGACTTTTTGACCTGAAGAAATCTTGAGAGATGCAATGTCCAGGACCGGAGGAGTTGAGCTATCCTGTTCCGTTAGGTTGTATCGGACTTGAACACCCTGCAATGATATCTCACCCACAGATGGCCAGCTAGGTGGGGGATGAACTTGATCTTTCAGCAAAGGCTCGGATTCCTGCGGGGTCGTCTTGACAAATATCTTGAGGCGAGAAATAGCACCAAGCGAAGTTTCCAAGGCAGTCCATGACATCAGGAGATTGGAAAGTGATTCACTGAAGCCTATTACGGTATACATCGCAACGGCTAAATAGCCGGGAGAGGTCGACTGGGTTATTACCGCGAATAGGACTAAGAGGACAGCAGAAGCGGTAACGAGAAGATCAAGTACCAGCGTTAACCACCTCTGGACGGACAGAAGCAGGTAGTGAGGTCGTTGAGAAAGATCCAGAAGGTCCAAGGACTCTTGCTCCATCACATTTTGCCAGCGAAAGGCCCTGATCGTTGCGAGGCCGTCGATTGTCTCAAGAAGTTGCCTGTATAGTGGCGCTTTGGCTTGCAAGTCTAGAATACGGAGTTGCCGAGAAGTAGCGAGGTAGAACTTCTGTAAAGCGTACAGAATGATAAGAGCAACGGGCAACGATGCCGCCAGGTACTTGGAGCCGATCATAATGAGGATGAACTCGCCAATGCAGGCAAGAAAGGCTGTTTCCTGTTGTCAGCCCATAGAAAAAAACAACCGGCCAAGTTAAAAGTCATGTCGGAAACACACCTGACAGAGTGGTGTACATAGCCGTAGGGAGCTCGCGGTCGACGAGGGTCATGTCTTGAGTGAATCTGTCCTTCCCGTAAGTGACGACTCTTTGCCAGGTGGAACCTTTCGATTATGATGCTCACCGATTAATTAAGTCCCCGGTATCCATGCGATAGAAGAATAGCATAGGTGCCCTATCGAAACCGTCAGCGCACACGGGGTTACCACAACCATATAACTGTGGTATGAGCACTGACCTCAAAGTAGTCTCAAGCAGCTTTCGGTGAAGCCAGATAGCAGAGCGGGGGATAACGTTCACGAACATAAACCTGCGCGCAAATCAGCCATCGGTGGCTCCATTTTCTTTGGAAACTAAGGCCAAGGTGGAAAGATCTGAGGCAACGCACCAGCAGTCAATACCTATAGTTAGGATATGGACACATAGCAGGGCCGTATACACCCCATAGTACATGCGGTTATTTGAGCTCTCTGTTCTTGACTCGGTCCACCATTTGAGCCAGATCTCTGCAAAGCCCGTTAGTACCAATATCATGGCTATACGTGTCGTCTTTCTTCTATGGCAGCACTTTGGAGCCACCAGGAGCACTCACGCGTAAACTGTGAGAGAAAAACAGGTATTATAGCCAAGCAGATTACTGCCAGGCCAAACTTCAACCCGATGGACTGGAAATAAAATAGATAGAGTGACGAGTCGCTCGTCGTAGCAAGGTCCTCTGCTTCCTGTTCATCTTCGTCCTTTGGTTGAGGCTTGGTTACTGTGGTATTCTCGCCCTCGATACGCTCTGTAAAGTCAGACGGGCCAAGGGATTCTGCGGTTTTGACTGCTTTTCGGGCAATAGCGGCGTTCTGGACCACAGCAGATGGGCCTTGATGAGTAATACGGCCTTGATCTAGGATGATAATTTGATCAACGTCCTCCGCATACTCAACTAGGTGGCTCATCGCATGTTAGTCACTGTGAATATTCAGACCCTGTGAAGCAGCAACTTACGAAGGTGAGTGGCGAGAATAGTCGTACAACCTATTCGACGCAATAATCCGGCAGGACCGAAAACCTGAGACCAAACATGGTGGCGTGTATCTGGGTCAAGACTCGCAAAGACATCATCCGCAATCAATATTTTCCTTCGAGCATACAGCGCTCGTGCGAGGGCCTATACATGTATTTCGTTAAAGTGCATTCCGAGGAAGGTTAGAGAAGTCAGGATGACCTACAACACGCTGCTTTTGACCGCCACTAAGATCCAAGGCATTCGTCAGGTCCTTCAAGGGGAGCATTTCGATGTCTCTTGTCAGCGCACAGGCTTTCGTGACGGCTCTATACCAATCCTCATCGACGTCGCTAGTTTCAGGACCGGCGATGTTCCTTTTGATAGAGCCCTTGACTAACCATGTTTGCTGGGAACAGTACGACACACTGGATGAAGAGAGCCTCAGGTCACCACTGGTGTCTAACTCGCCTAAAAGACCAAGAAGAAGCATAGATTTTCCAGAGCCAATGAGCCCAGTGACAACAGTTAGGGAATCGTGCTTAACAGAAAACGTCAAGTCCTTCAGGATCGGCTCATTTTGTCCTGGCACTCTGAACGAAACTTGTGTGACCTCGATGGCGTGTTGCCCTGATCGAGGGCTCAGGATGGAAAGCCCAATATCTGAGAGCTCGCCAGGGTTATCGGAGCGAGTCAAAGTCTTCCTTTGATCAGACTTGTTGTGGTCGGTAAAGGAATTAATCCTGTCAAAGGAACCTAGACAGCTGGCAAATAAGGGGACGGCATAGAGAAGATGCGACAGGGGTGCCACGATGAGGCCAATGATGGAAAGAGATGTAAAAGCTGTCGTAAGATCGAGCTGATCACCAGATCTACTTTGGACAGCCAAGGCAATACCGAAAGTAACTATTGGCGAAAGGGCCGTAGGTGCGTTGCCTGATTATTGCCGTTTCGTCAGCTTCTCGTATAAGCCAGAGCTGCTCAAAGAAGAGCGCCTACCAAGCATGTTCATGTACGCGATGAGAGTGCGAAACTTCTTTGACTTGTGAAGCTCGAAGACTCGGAGTTCGCTTATGTGGTCCAACCAGTAGGGAATAGTGCCAAGCATCTTACTCTCTCGAACGTGAGTAAGCACTTCGGAGGTTGAGCTGATTCTAGCCTGTATGGCCACGGTCCAATCCTTCATTGCAGGTCCCATCTTCTTAGATAGCCGTGACATTGAAAAGCTGCACACTGGGTCATACATTAGCATCTTGATGCCCAATGCCCGAGTGACTTGATGTTGGTTAATAATACTCACCAATAACTGCAAAGACCGGACCGACCGAGCCAGGGCCCAGCTCTCTCGAGAGCAGCCAGATTGCCAATATTATCTCGATAGGATTAGCCCATATTTCATGTATTGCCTCGAGCGCGCTTGTGATGGCTGCTGCATCAGGTCCTATCAGGGTCAATGATGCAGAGTTGGGTGCCCTCGGTGTGGCATCAGCGCTCGAGGAGATGGCGGGTGCGCTAAGCGTGTGTGAATAGACCAAAGAGACGAGAGCACCTCGAACCATGGTCAAAGAACGGAAGAGCTGATGTTGGTAGAAGCCCTTGGAAATCTGTTGAAGAACGCACGTTAGCATACAAAGCCCTCATTCTGATTCGGTCGAAGTTGCTCAACTTACCGCCAAGCTAATATATACCAAGGCCGTGGCACCAACAAGAGCGAAGCCTGTGCTTTTCTCTGGATCATGGTCCTTGTCGTTGGCGACGTAATCAACAACGCGCTTGAGGAGGAATGGCTGGGCAAACTTGAAACCGATGCAAAAGATACGAGGCAGAGCGGCCAGGATCAAGGATTGCCTGATGGAGTCGAGAAGCGCAAACAGCAGCCTGTGTCGCTGCACAAGTCTGAACTTTGGAGTGGCCCAACTTCTGCGAGCTTCTTGAATCTTGGAGAGCAAGCGCCTGGACTTCAAAGCAGCATCGGTATCATAGAGCGACTGCCCGGACAATGTCGCGCGGAACCCACGGATGAGAAGCCTGTTCAGCCACCAAAACAGACTCCTATTGATAATGCTGCCTGTGCTCTCCGGGTTGAGTCTGTTCCATGGCGGCAGGAGAAAGCTGCGCTTTTCTTGCAGCTCCAGGAGCAAGATCAAGAGCTTGGCAGCAAGTCCTGCTGTGTAAACAGACGCTGCGACACGCTCTCCTATCAGCCACAGGGTACGGCACTGCGCGGAGTCGAAGGCAGTTGAGAAGACTAGGTATACAAGGATAATGGTAGGCGGGCGGACGGAGCGACTGAACTCGAGGACACCAAGTACGGCTAGGGCGATGCTGTCCACGAAAGTGAAGACAGCTGCGGCGACGGAGACCGAGCCTGAGAGTCTGGTCTTTTTGGACCACAGCACCAACGAGGTTAATTGGAGAGCAATGAAACACGCATATGCGACCTAGACGCGACGACATTGAAGTCAGGCATTATTCGATGTGACTACCTATCCTTTACGGCAGCGGTGTGATCTGGCAACCTACGGTCTTAGCATGGTACCACGACTGGCGTTTGACCTTGGGTGACTCGCGAAGAAGAAGGCCGAGGCGAGCGATTGCGCAAGTCAGAAAGAGCGCACACGGGGCAATGGTAAGTATAGACTGCTCGAACTTCAGGGTGAAGTCGAACCGGTGAGCGGTGCAGTTAGTGGCAAATGGTCCAAACGAGTCGTCACAGTCGTCAGCCATCGCGTGAAATTAACGCCCGTATATCGTGCGTAGTTATGGACGAGAGTCGTTGCGTATAACGATGGGAGTGAGCAAACACTTGTGAGAGAAGTGTAAAAGAGTTGGACAAAAGCTGGGGCAAGTTGAAATCGCAATCACCACCACCCCTTTCAGGCAGCAGGCATGTGACACTGGAGGCGACACAGATTCCACAAGCCCTCCAGCTGGCACTGAGTGAGGGATTGGGGGGCAGCCTCGTAGAGGAACTTTTGCAAGCTCATCGATCGACTAATGCACAGGAAAGTCAGACCAAACCAACAGCAATGCACAGGAAAGTCAGACCAAACCAACAGCAATGCACGCCACTCCAAGAAAGCTAACTCTCTTAACTACCTAGGTAAGGTGGGCAGGTACCTTAGGCACTGTTAAAGTCCAGATTCCATGAGGCGCCGAAACTGATAAAGATGGTATAGGCTTTACCTACACTCATGGCAGACCCTTTAATAGGAACCTCGCCCGGGAATCCTTACGTCAGGACTTCTATAGTGGTGCCCTAGCATTAAGCTTATTACTAGAGTGATGGCAGGCTGTGCTCTAAAATATCCCACCTACTTAAGGGACCCCGAGTTCTCCTCTACCTATGGTCGTATGTACCTGGAACAGAGGCAAACTGACTTATCACCAACTGGGTGGCTGATGGTCTTCCACACTGTAATTGGTGTTGTCTCCAAACCTCCAAAACGAACTTCCTCCCTCCCATTCATGATCGGCCTTCGCCACAAAGCTTGACACAATGGGTAGCTATGACTCCTCGACTGACACTGCAGTTTCCTTTACCCGATCAGGGCACGTCTGGCGCGGTGTCATGGTTCCGTTCATGACCACAGAGCCTTCCACGATAGAAGCTTTATCCCCCCCTGAATGCGAACGGATCCCTTTCCTTTATCAAGCTCGCAAACTCAAGATCTTCGTCAGCGATCCTCAAGAAGCCCATGTTATGTCTTGGAGAGATTAGGCTCTGCCTGGCTCTCAGCTGTACTCAATCATGCTGGTCCATCACTCGCTTCAATGAGATGTGAGATGGCAGGAGTTCTGACGCCTAGGTGAGGTATGTCATATAAGCATAAGATGTCAATAGCACATGCGGCTCAAAGTCAGTCTCCTGCTTGTAAAGTCACGGCCATAAAACCTTGGTCTGGTTGACTCAAGACCTTTTGACACCCAGAGAAATCTCGCCTCGTCGCCATGAGCTTCGATACAAACGTACCTTAAATACGGCAAGGAATCCCCCCAGGGACCCTACAGACCAATCTCCCTCAACCGGATGTAGCACTGTGTCGGCTCCCTCGCAAACTTCTGCACCGCCTCATACCCGCCCAGCTTCTCCGGGACCGGTAACAGCTCGAAATTCCACACGATGAGCGCAAAGTGAATCTTGAGCACTTGCAGCGCCAGCTTTCTTCCAAAACATCCCCTAAGCCCCAACCCGAACGCCAGCGATGGCCCAGCCATCGTGTTGAACACCTCGGCCCCGGTGTCCGGATCCGTCTCGAGCCAGCGCTCAGGCAGAAACTTGTCAATATCATCGTCTGACCAGGCACGTGTCAGCGCTGACTTGGCCGTCTGGCGGGCCCCCGGGCTGCGTGCCTCGTCTGCAAGCTTCATGTTGGGCTCGAGGTAGCCTGGGCCATTGGCCATGAGGAAAACGTTGGTGCCCTTGGGGATATGGCGGCCAAGGACGGTGGTGTTCTGCTGAGCCTGGCGGACAACGAAGGCGATGGTGTTTGAGTAGCGAAGAATCTCCTCTACTGTGGCATCCAGGTAGGGGACCTGTGCGTTGCTGAGCTTCGCGTAGGTCAGCTCGCGCTTCTCCTGGACGGCGGTTGGGAAGGCGGAGCGGAGCGCGTCACGAAGACGGTTCTGCGCGGCTGGGTTGTCGGTCAGCATCTTGACGCCCCAGGCGATGGTAGTGGCAGATGTGTCGTGGCCAGCTGTCATAAAGCCAAAGAACTCGTCGGCAATGGCGCCCTTGTGGTAGTCGGGCTGGCGGCCTTCTTTGGTCGCCACGTCGCGCTCGCGAAGGAGGACGGAGTGAAGCGCGCTCTTGGCTTTGATGCTGGGGTCATTCTTGATTAATCGGACGGACTCTTCTATCTTCTTCTGGATGTACTTGTCCTTGATACTCTTGGCCTTTCTCATGTAGGGGAACTTGCGGATGACCCATGAAGTCAGCACCGGGGCAGGAGAGAGCTGTGTGTCTGTAACCGAGTTGGCCAGGATGAGCACAGCCGAGAAGATGTCTGGAGTGTGACCTTCGGGGAAGGCGACGGGCTCGTCGACATCATGAGAGAAAATGGGCTCAAAGCTGTCCAACGCCCTGATGCGCTGGATGGTGTTGGTCTCGTCCTCGACCAGACCAAAGGAAGAGGCAAAGATGGAGTCCAACGCAGCAAAGGTGATATCCTGGTGGGCGGAAAAGGGACGGCCCTTGGCCATGGTGCATTTTATCTTCCACAACTTCATGAGGGCACTTGCGGCCATATACACCTCAGGCGCGCTGACTTCCCGGATGAAAGTCGGGGCCATCAAGTGGTTGATCAAGTTTCGGTTATTCTTGAATCGAGGGTCGGTAGAGGTGAACTGAATATGTTGCTCTGGCAGAATGCCATTGATAAGCTCGCCAAAGAACTCGCTGCGGTCGAATTCCTTGATTCTCCGAAGCAGGATATCTTGGCTTTCGAAAGGGTCTGTCACCACGACCCATGGTAGTCCTCCGGGCTTGATGAAGGCCTGCACAATAGGGCTTTGGAGGCGAGTGGTAAGAGACGTCAACCAGCACTGCTCTCAAGTAAAAGTTACTCGTTAGCAACCTGCATCCGCCTAGGCCGGCTCATGTGGTGCGTAGGTAGTGGCTGTGTCTTACAAATATGCGCTGTGTACGCATCACATAGCCCATCATCTCCGGCACATCCCCAAACATCTTTGCTGCCGCATCTTTATTGTACGGGATATCAGGGATCGGCTTCGGCAGGATCCGTCGGTACGCCATGTACAGAGCCACACAGATGCTTACCACGACCCAAGCTCCTGCTGAGGAGATAGTCACCGTCATTGTGTTTGCCACAGTGTCGCCTTGTTGTACGAACATAAGCCTGAGATGCAAAACCAACGAACGGGGAGGCAAATATGTTGATGGCTTCCGGATGAGAAACCGCCGGGCCAGCAGCTTATCACTTCAGGTTGACATTCCGCCACCTCCATTTGAGTTGGCTATACGAAACGGACCCTGGCTCGCCCCCGCATAAGACATGAGCGAATTTTTCTTGCAGCGTAGCATCAGCTTGTCCAGATCTCTCGAACAAGTCTACCGTATCGCAAGGTTGGGAGGAGCACTCTTATACTCTACGTCTGGGTAACACCAACAACGTTGCTGGGGGTCTGGCCGCTCTTCGTTCCCCACCTCTCCACTCCAGAGGCAAGACTTACCTTCAAACATCATACACCGTCCCAATGGAAGCTTGTCCACTGACCTAGTAGTACTCATATTGAACATCATTCTACCTCTGATACAGTCTCTAGTTGTTCTTGCAATGATATATTTGCCCTTAAGTGTTTCCTCTAAGATGCCTGATACCGAGAGCGTAATGATCGAATTGCTCTCCCGGAAGCCAAAAGGGGCTGTTCGGACTTGCTGTACCCAACACCAGAAACCTTCGTGCTATACAAGTCATTGATGGCAAGACATATAACCTTTGTTGCAATACATACATGCACTCTTCTGGGGGGGGGGGGGGGGGGGGGAGTCATTGTCTGCATGAGTGTGTTATTTGCGTGCATACATATGCTACTGCCTCGTCTCCGTGGTCACTACGGACTACGGGACCCTGGCATTGCAACAAAGAAGCGAAGTGGCCGACTCCTTTAAATAAATTCCTGATCGCGCCATTGAATGGTCGTACTTTCAAATGAGTTTGCTCTAGGTTACATAGTGTCCAACCACACATCACCATCACAAGTAGCTTGTGCTTCTCTCTCTGGTTCTGCTTTATTTTGTTGTCTGAATGATGTTAGACACTCGCCCCTTCACGCTTACACCGCCGCCCTAATGGACGTGGTTGCGGCAGAGTTTGCGGCAGAGTGAAGTCGGGCATCATCCAGTGTAGTATTTCAGTATCATTGCGTTTGACACAGTGGTCATGCCGTTCCCTGTAGCCGCAAATACTTTGCTGATATAGCTCTGACTTCATCTTTACCTCGATTTGAACTGTCCCCGGGGGCGGATGTTGCAGTAAGTTGCCTGCTTATAGCGCCCATGCGCCTTTATGATCCTTCAAACAGCTTACGGTAAAAACATTGAAATCCCTACAATGACTTCTTTCCCGCTTGTTCCAGTCGGCAGCCAGAAGGATTCTGTAGACCCCGCCATCTGCCCTAGGCAGCAACGGCTCAAGAACAAACCCGCCTCCATCTGCATAAGACAAGCAGAGAAGTTCTCTTTTCTCTCTGCTAGCTGTGACTTCCAGGACCCATATTCCGATCTTTGAAGACCAGTCATCTGGGACATGGGGCATCAAGAGAGAATCAACATACGATCGCCGGCTGGTGCGGCCGCCGTCTACAAGGATGTTGCTCAGCTTGACTCAGTCCAAGAAGAGATACGCATGCTTCATCTCGAGTGCGGTTCAGGCTCGTCTCTTCCGCAGTGCACCCTCCATCGAGTGTCTCTTCGGTCTGATCCGCCGCCTAAATACGAAGCGCTGAGCTACACATGGGGTGACGAAAACGATCGAAGAGAGATCGCCGTCAACGGTTACATAGTCGATGTTACCGTCAATCTCTATTCAGCCCTTCGCCGGCTCAGACTGGAAAATGAGACACGCGTTTTGTGGATCGACGCTCTTTGCATCAACCAGACAGACTTGGATGAGCGCTCTCAACAGGTGCAGCTAATGAGAAACATATATACCCTGTGTGACCGAACAGTGATATGGGTTGGCGAGACTCCGGAAGACTTGTCGCCTACTTGGGGGATGCATTGGTACGGGGACGAAAAGGATGATAAGGCGATGGACTGGTTCTGGGATGATTTCTATCCGGAAGCAGATCTCTCAGAGGCTGACGCAAATGATGTCGACTGGATCTTTCACGCATTCGCAAACATTCGGCTATTCTCTGGCGGCCATCTTTCCGATCAGCCACTGTTCACAGACCTGACAGGAGATGAGTTCTCATATTCAATGTCGTATCCGGACTATTGCTGTCAGGTTGCTGATGCCCTCGCCCCCTTCTATGAAAGTCCCTGGTGGACGAGAATTTGGGTCAGCTTCTTCAACTATCCCCTCATTTTCGTCGGACTTATGCTAACATCAGAATGCAGACTGTCCAAGAAGTTATTCTTCCTGCAAAGGCAACATTTCTCTATGGCCCAATCGCAATCGACATGTCCTTCCTCCTTGATGCATTCTCTGCCCTTACCGGCCACATGTTTGAGCCATGTTGTTCAGAGGTGTTTTCAAGCAGCAACTTCAGCGTCAGGAAATGCCTGCGAAAATTGGGAAGTGCTCTAACAAACATCAAGAACATAAGGACCAGTCATGGCAACGGGGCGAGCGTTGATCTTTGGGAGACTATGACCACATTCAGGGCCAGATTTGCAACGGACAACCGGGATAAGGTCCACGGTGTTTTAGGCCTGATCAACTCATGGCCGGGGCAACCCATTATCCCGAATTACAGAACGACAGCTGAAGCAATCTACTGTCAAGCTGCCATCTCGACTGCTACTGGGACAAAGTCTCTACTGCCACTCCATTTTCCGCTCCAGAAACATGCCTGTCCTGGTCTGTCTTCATGGTGCGTGGACTGGACCGCAGCCAGTGGACTTGCTGATCAGCTCAATGACTTCCAATGGAGCCAACAACAATTCAGAGTCTTTCCAACGCATGGAAAAGACCAGTTCCACCTAACTTCCCATGCAGATAACCGCATACTTGAAGTGAAAGGGCGCGGAGGCGATAGGGTGGCCTCAGTTGGCAGAATATGCCAGGGAAACGATCCAACCGAGAAGCGCAAGGCTCATTGTGATTGGTTCCTCCTTGCGGACCTTCATCGCAACCCAACAAAGCCTAATCCTGCCAGGTGTTCAAACTTTGAAGCTTTTTGGAAGTGTCTCTGCTGGGATATGATTATGCGCACGCGAGAGGCTGCCGTGGTAGAATCTGCAAGGTCTACCGGCACCCAAAGCTACGAAGCTTTCGTGGGCTACTGCCACAGCTCACCCAAGTCCGTCTTTCATCCTCAGGGGCTATCTCAGGCAGATCGAGAGGCTGTATTGCGACTTGATCCAAAATTCGAGACGACGGATGATACGGACTGGGGCCATTACTCTCAGCCAGACTTTCTCACGGAGCAGTTCATCAATGGGTTGACACATAACACGACCATGTTCTTGACGGACTCCGGGTACCTGGGTCTTGGGCCTCCCGAAACACAAGTGGGAGATGAAGTCTGGTGTTTATTTGGCGGCCAGATGCCCTTCGTCCTTAGGCAACTGGGGGCCAAACAAGAATTTCTCCCGGGACAAGGAGAAAGGCAACTTCATCAAGTGTTTGGCATTTGCTATGTACATGGCATCATGGATGGTGAAATTGCAAACGATGAGAATATTTCTGTTAAGACTCTGTATCTAGCTTGAATGAGAATGATCTCGACAACTAAGCAGGGCGCCAATAGACTTACGCATTGCTCTAGTTTCATGCGCTCACTAGAAAAAGATTTCTCGGCTGTATCTCATCACCGTCATCTCTGAAATCCATCCCTGATAGCAGTACTACTCCAGCGCTTGTCTAAACTTCCCGCACAGCCCTTAGCTCAATATTGTCCGACTTGTCCACAGTGCTGTAAGTCCCTGTTCTCCTTCTTGAACACAGCGTCTTCGGCTCGGGTATGTGACTGAGAACCAGAATAACAAAGTAACAGATGGCAATTGTCGGTAGTGGCCATGGCGTTGGTAAAAAGTTAGACAGAGCGCCTTGGTTGAACGTGAGCAAGCTGATGAGCGCAAGCCCGAGGCCCATGCCAACGGTGAACATTGCTTGAAGTATGTTGAAGACAGACCATCCATGCTGCTTACACACGACATGTAAAGCGGTCATCAAGATCAATACCAAGCCGGCCGTGAGAAAGGCATAGATAAACTTGGAGGGCAGATCAGCTCAAGGAAGTCAAGAGAGTACACTGGAAAGACTTACGACAGTCCCGAACTTGTGCGCAGTGGCCAGATATGCGGCTTCCGTGGCAGACTGTACGTCGGTAGACTTGGGCTCCTCCGCAGGTGCAGCGAGGCTTAACGACGCAAATATGCCATTGAAGACTGTTTGTGCGAGATCTCTTGTGCCGTTCAACCAACAAGTCACTTCTGGGTCATTGTCGGCCAGCCGGCCACTCACTTCCCAGAAGGTATTGGGAAGAGTGAGCAGGTTCTTATACGTCCTCTCGACATCATCCCAAGCTGCGGCCTCATCTTCCGGAGGGTATGACTCCAAGAGCTCTGTGACAGTTTCATTTAGTGCCAGGACCACTTCTTTTGTGGTTGGATTCTTAGGCAGCTCATGCGTGATGTCGACAATGCTTCGGGCCGCTGATTTGATCGACTGGAGCGCCTGAGACCAAGCGATGAACTGATTTGCGCCCTCTAGAAGAAGTACTAGAGCGATATGGAATGGCAAATGCCACGAAACCCAAAGCATTTGTCGCGTATGAGCCAGTCTGCCAGAGTGCATCCAGTCGAAGTACATCTGGTAGACGAAGTAGATCAGGGCGACTGCACATGTGATGACTCCGATGAGAGCGGCGGCTATGAATACACTGTTAGTCAAAACACACAAGGATAGTGAGGCGGGCAGTAGCTTCGCGTACACCACATATTACCGCTGTTCTTCAGGAAGGTATTCTTCACAACTGTCTGAATGTTTCGGGCTACGATAATTGCTCCTATGCGGCTTGTTAGCATATAACCCGACTAGATTTCTCCTACATATCTCAGCATACCTTCACCAAGGATGATCAAAGTCAGCAGATTCATACGCTCGCTTAGATGGGTATCGGACAAGCTAAGCGCCTTGATACTGGAGAGGCCGAGGTGGATGACAACCTCAGCTATTGCCCCAAGATACCAACTAACAGCAACAACTGAGCTTGTTTCATCGACAGACAAGAAAGATACCGTGAGATATATGCTGAGTGGCATGTAATTAGCATGAGCCTTGGTTGAATGTAGGACTTGTAGCTATGTGGATCAATAAGCAGTAATGGTTCACTTACACGCCAAACAGTAGATGAAGACCTCCCACAATTATAAGTGGCTTTCTCCCCTCCTTGTGCTTACGAAGTTGGAAGACAATCATGAAATATTGAAGCGCGAGCATCGACCGTGACACCATAAGGAACAGACCTATTGTCGATTTGCCCTGTAAGCTCAAGTTGAACTGGATTGATCTGGGATTTCAGACATACACATGGCTCGGAAGACAGATTTTGCTTCTTTGAAGAAGTCAAATGTCGGGCCGAGTTCTGCAAAGCCGACCATGACGGCCAAGTGCACGGCACGAGATACTCGCTCCCAGACACTATCTGTGACATAGCGGACATCGTATAGGGTTGTTAAGAGCCAAGTGGTCCAAAGAAGTCTATCATGACATTAGCAACGTTCAGTGAGAGCTTTGTCCTTGCTTGATATGCACACAAGATGTATCCCACAAATGATCCCAGACTTGAAGCATCATTGATCTCATGGACCTAAACAGCAGAGCGAGTAAGCTTATGCACGGCTTATTGGCGTAAGGGGTGCAAATACCGTCGAGAAGACATTCAGGTTTGCGACAAACCAAAGGTCATAGAACAACTTGTTCTGTTCGTTAGTCAATTTTTCACGCAAAGAGGTACCTTATGTAGTTGTCAGACCTACCTCGAGAGTGGAAGAAGTTTCATGCTATTCTCCCTCCGTCAGCAATGTCTTCTGCAAGAATTAACGAGTAACTTTTACCCTTGCAAATTCCAGCCCGTCGTCCACATCAGGATCGACGATGAACCGGGACTCTCTCGAATTGACAAGTGACGCCGCGTCGAGTTTTTTCCTGTCGGCTAGTGGACTTTTGATTAGTTGGAGGCTGGTGCTGGTATAGGCGGCAGCTTCAGGACGCTCGTCGTGAGCCATGGTATCGATGAGATTGACTGTGATAAAAAGGTCAGGAAGAAGTGGGCTCGAAATGAAGTGAATAGAATGGAAGCAATTGTCGCCATTGTACTACAAAGTCGACTTGAAGCTGAGAATGCCGATTTGATTTATAGATGAGCCCTCTCACGAGATGTAGGTAGCATTTGCCGCCGGTCCCTTTGCGCTGGAAGGATGCGACGTCAGCGTCAGAGTTATACGGCCAGGCTGTCAGATCCTATGCATATCGCCTTGTTGATGAACATACTGCCATGGTTTGGAAACGTACATTGAACTTGGAATACCCCATCGAGGGCGCTTAGAGGCTGTCCGCATGCTATCCACGTCACTGATCCCTGTGTGGTTTGTAGAGCAAAACCTGCAAGATCTGTAGCCACTTCAAGTTGGCATAGCCCTGGCGATCCCCATTACCCGATTCGGACAACAACGCGGTAGGAAGCCAATGAAATCTACGCCGAATTTGCCGGGTCGGCTGAGTGCCTGACCGGAGAGGCTTCTTAGTCGGTTAGGTTCGACTCCTACCAGCGCCGCCACTTGGTAGTAATAGCTTTTAGCTCTTCCATGTCTGCACCTACAGGGAGTCCGTGTGGTGTATGCTGATGCTCAGCCTCTCCTCGTCGAGAAGACTACCATGTTCTCATCTGCAGCCTACTATTTTAGTACATGAGGATGATATCTACACCGCCATGTGACAATCACTGTGTCGGGCAAGGCAGCGTCTTACTGTTGGAACTACTCGAAATAGACAGAAGTCATCACCCTTTCCTGATATGGATATCGTTGCGGCGTCCTCATTCAGAAGACACTGGCAGATTACCCGAGAGGAGGATATAAGGACGGCCAAACTGTAGCTTCTCGCAATGAATCCGGCCTCCATCACTTCTCGACACCCTCATCAGAACATAAAGCCTCCATCAATTCTCGCTACCTTCATCAGAACATAAAATATCTCTTTTGTCTTCTCTCTCAAGAGGGCAATCATGCGGTTGCTCAGTGCAGAACTCTGGTTTCCAGCATTGCTTGCTCTCCAAGCCAATGTGGTCAAGGCCCAAGCCAATTCACCCAACTGCACAACCAAGACTGAATTCTTCACGCAGCTGGTTGAGCATAACTCGACTGCGAACGGTACTTTCCAACAACAGTATCAGATACTCAAACCTCACTTCAAGCCTGGAGGTCCTATCTTCTACTATCAGCAAACAGAAACTGGAACGTTTGCGTGTTTGGTATACATATCAGAAAGTCCCCAGTCATGTACATGTCCTGATCTGTTACAGGAGAGAACCAATTATCCAGCATGGGCCGATGAGATTGGAGGCATGGTGATTAGCCTCGAGCACCGTTTCTTCGGCCTCAGCGATGCATCAAACGCCACAGATCCCATCGAAAAGTACAAGTCCCTGACTCTTGAGAATGTCATGCTGGATGCCGTGACGTTCATCAGCCATATCAAGCATACTATTCCTGGTGCCAAAGACAGCAAGGTCATCGTATCCGGCGGCTCATATGGTGGCTTCCTGACGACGGTTCTCAAGATGAACTATCCTGAAGTGTTTTATGGAGCGGTGCCGTACGCTCCGCCTCTCCGATCGATTGGAGCAAATTACCAGAACCCGAGGCGATACGATTGGTTCAACTGGGTATGTTATTATCAACGAGATTCTACAGTGAGTTTCTGTTGCTGACAGAAATGACCTAGGTTAACCAGGTCTACTGGGATCTATCTGCGGCGGCGGCTAGCAAAATGAGGGACGCTTTCACTTGGCTTGCACAGCGTTTCGAGAACCGTACGTCAACAAGATTCACCGACTGTCTTCATCCATTATGACTTTGTTACAACTAACGTCTTGAAGTGGGCGAGGTAGAAGACATTGCGAAAGACCTCAATCTCTGCACCGTCCCAAAGACAGCAGCGGATCTTCGGCTTGTGATGGGAGTCATTGCCACCAACGCAGAGCTGATTCCCCTGCTCAGCTACAGCAGCCCAGACGCAAATCCCTACGGTGCTACGCCTCAGAAACTGGTCAACATAACACTCAGGGCAAAGGAACCAATCGACATTGTCAATGCCACTCTGACCTTGCGGAACCCGCCAAACCTGGTTCCTTGCATCGCCTGGGACACGGATCAATCTGCGGAAGCAAGTCTGCAGAAAGCCCCTTTCAACTACCTTACGTGCAATTACTTTCCCTTGATTGTAAACGAGATTGCCGAAGGCAACATCTTACCCCCGACATCTGCTCAAACAGAAACGGATCCCATGACCTGCGAGACACTGTACGGACTTGTCCCCCCAACGCAGGCGGAAGTTGAGGCAAAGTGGCACATATCACGAGCGGATCTGATCCAAGCGCCTCGCATCATATTTGCCTATGCGGAGAACGATCCCACCAGTGGTGTTGGCATCCATCCATTTCCTCCGTCGCCAGACCGCAACGCGTCTCGATGGATGATGACCAGCCTTGCTGCGCATGGCGAGGAGTCTATTGCGTCTTTCGCGGGCGATAAACCCAGTGTCGTCCATGTAAGCTTAGCAAAACACCATCTGAAGTACCACGACTGACAAGTTTCTCCAGGCAAGACGTGTACAGTTGGAAACGATCAAGGAGTGGCTCGGGCTCTACTGAGAGCGAGACAGGTTCACCCCTAAGTGCCGGCATCTGAAAGGACACTTACATTCGTTGTCGCCAATTGAGCTTTTTTTCTGTTCTCTTCTACCGGCTTTCTCGTCTACTTTCTTTCTTTATTTCCTTGCTTCTTCCTTACTTCCATAGATCTCACTCTCGTTACACCGACTTTTTTGGAAAACTCAGACAAATCGTTGCCCACTCTCAAATGCTCAATATTTGCATAGACCCAACCTGCACATTTACAGACTACATGAAAGAACCTCGTATAAGAAAGAAAGAAACAAGGCCTCACGCCCTTTATTTGATACCCTTCAATATCATCGTCGACAAGCTATCCAAGTACTGTGCAGTATATGTGACATAAAGTCCCCCCATCAATAGGTTGATCTTGTCTGTGATCCAGTCCTTGCGCTTTTGGTCACTGACGGCGTACGCAATGATCAATGGCACCTGCAAGAACTGGGCTCCAAGTGGTTTAGATAGACTTGCATATTCATAGCACATGCAGATTCGCTGCGCAGTATCAGCAATTCTCAGTCGCAGTCTTGGATCAGCCACAAGATTGACCAGACAGAGGTCTGCAATGAGCAAGGCCATCCACCGCCACGAATGGAATATGGCGCCCTCGTGAGAGCGAAAGTGAACACTCAGCGGGCACTCGTCATCCAATGCCGACGACTTGCGCTCTTCGAATCCAAGATCCTCCTCGAGACTGACAGACATGGAGCCCCGAGGCGAGGCTGCTCTCAGGTCCTGTTGTATCTTCCTCCCATAATCTGTAAGTTCGCCCAGACCTAGTTCAGATACGCCAGCTCTCCAATCTAAAACGTATTTCACGAGAGTGGGAATTTTGCAGATGCTCTCAAAGAGGTAGTCAACACTTGAGAACCTCACGCTTCTGCATTTCTCCGGGCAGATGTCTTGCCATCCTCCCGTAAGCAAGAAGCAATGCTCCCCTCGAAGTAACGCCTCGAGCACCTAACACTATTTATCAGCTCCAGTGCCAATACGCTTATGAGATACCATATACGCACAATACGGCCTCGTTGAGTGCGGAAAAGATTGTACTCGAAATTGGTGCGTACGCGTCTTGGACCGCGGACAAGTATCAGTTTCGATGCACCCCCCGCATGCGCTATGTATTGGTGAGAGCGTCTTTCTGGGGCCATCATCTGTGCATGGTCAGAAGATGACTCTTTGGAGAGCGCAAGGATCCGGCCTTCTCACCTCGTAGTGGGCCATCAACATAGTGGCACAAACTGTTTCTGTAGAAGTGCCCAAGACAGGATCTGCAATTACATGCTGCAAGGTTTGGAGGGCTCTCATGTACTCAGGGCTGGGCTGGGAGCTAGGCTGAGATGATTGAATTGCTTGAAGCAATTGTGTGTGAGATTGCAGCAGACACTCTACTGCAATATCCAGGGCGGCGTTGTGACCAAGGCGACGCGGGATTTCGGTTATGTATCGGCCTAGATGATGCAGCTGGTAACCATATGGAGGGCTTTTGAATGAAGCAGCCAACGCTGAGGCAAGCTTCTCTCCTCGAGACAAACTGGGAGCCTTGAGTACGGGAGGGCTGGAACTCCTTGGCGAAGACGGAGGAGTTGTCGATCGGTAACGGAGCAGCTGGAACTTATAGATCATTCCATCGTTGCCGCCTTCTCCCTGAAGCAGGGCCAATCTGGTCTTCAAATCTTCTGTGCCTGTTCTCGGAAGAGCAGGTTGTTCTTGAATGTCTGGCACCGCGAATCGAGTGTTTGTGTCGATAAAGTGGAATTGAGGCGGATACACGCATTCTCGGCCTGCTCGCAGACAGCGATCACAGACTGGGCGGTTTTCATCGCACTGCATCAACTCGAATCAGCTATACTTTCGAAGACTCTGGGCTTCCTATTCACCTTAATCTTGATCCGCCGACAAGCACCACACCCAAAGCTTCTTCTCGAGCCACGATGCATTGCTTATTACTTAATTTTGCAATTGTCGAGTTCAGGTCAGGACGCGAAATGCAATGTCTTGACTGTCTATCGTGGGTTCGATATGAGTCGATATTGCTTTGGGATTTTTGGCAAAGCTGCGCCATTGCTCATGTAAATATGCTGTAAGCTTCTCTGCCTCGCAATCTCATCAGCCTTGCCCTGAGTGTGCCCGTGCGTTGCAGTGCTCATATAGGTGCTGTGGCGCAGGGATATGATGATCCTCCGAACCCTTTTGGGCAAACAATGCGGTCGAAGTATCCCGCAATCTTAAGCCGCAGGATTCGGGGTCTGCGTCGCCATCAGACCACTCAGAGAAAAGCCTTGGTAAGATTTGGATATCATTGGATGTTAAAATCAGCCCCGGGACCTAGTTCTATGTACACATGGGTTCCATGGTTGTCAGCTCCAGTTGCCATCATATAGAACGGCTATTTAGTATCAGCTGACCCGTATATGTCCATATGACATGCTGTTCATAGGTAGTCAGTATCTAGATGGCATTGTTAGTTTCTTCCTTTATTTTTATCTTTGGCTATCATTGTCATATATCTCAGTCTGGCTATAGGCAATCATTGGGATAAAGAGAGTTGAGAATCTCGAATTTCAGTCCCTGTCGCTAGAATTGAGAGACTGGAAGATTGTTTCTGGGCTGCTATATCTATAACCGACCATGCAGGCACCAATCATGTCCTCAAATCACAGAGTAGCTTTTTGGCAATGCCACTCACCACACTAAAAGACGACGATTGTGTCTGAAGCTTTCGTATCTTTAGTCGTCACTCATGGATACACACAAACTGTAGTAATCAGTTATAGTATATAAGACGTAGGTATCGCAACCACTTCAGAGCCAGCCAGTGACAAGTACGCCAACCTCCAAGGGACATACCTTGTGATACCTATGCAATGCCTTCACTCGCCGAGTAATAGCCGCTCGCTATATATATCATAAACGATACCAATCATTAGGCATCTGCAACCCCGCACCTTTGGGCATCGAGCCTTGTTTCCCAAGATCTCTGGAATAGAATTGCATTTCTTTCCCATCACTCCAGCTCCATGCCACAGCTTCTCAAGATGAGCTATCCTTGGGGCGTCAAAGGACTAGACAAGTCTCGATTTGAAGCCTATGCGAAACTCTTGCGTCTGAAAAATGGCGGCCAGATCGAGGAAGCTTCAAACTTCTCCGAAATGCCCGACGAAGAGGCAGAAACGGATACACTGGACGATGCTGACTCCGTCAACGCCAACGCATTTTCGATGTTTGATGAGAGAAAGCTAAAGAGGGCCTTCCTTGATAGACTATCGGAGCTTGTTGCGAACGAGAAAGGAGGTCATCATGTCTCCTCATGTCTCATGATTGAGTGGCCTGATCGAGTCGACATTCTCGTGGCAAGGAACAATGGCTTCAGGAAAGCAGATGCAATTCTCCGCATGCTGGACACTTTAGCCTCTAGCCTTCGGGAGATTTCCAGGCTTGCCTCATCAGGTCCGATTTGTATTGCCCACTTGAACCACGTTGGAAGCTAACAGTGGCCCCGGCTTCCCAGATCCCGTCGCGACCTCTGTCAAGCAGCAACTTTGGACGTCACTAGTCCAATGCTACAGACCCAGACTGAACAATTATATAAAATCAAGCCAAACTGGCCCTAAGGGCCATCACCTTATCTACGGAGGTCCAAGTAGATACTTTGACCTTGGCCGGTTGCATACCATCTCTGCTCTCACGCCTCGGTGAGATCCGTTCCCTTATAGGCGTTGTCACACCCTCGCCAACACAGAGTAACATTGAGAAGCTTGTGCAGAGCGCCCATGACGTTTATACATCATACAATGAGCATGATTTTGAAGAGATCGCTGGGAATCCCGCAGATATCAGGTCTCTGAGAGACGCGCTGGGCTACCTCGGCAGGTTACAGACATGCTTCCACACCTTGGTGAGAAGCACAGAAAGGCTATCTAGCTTCCAAAATCTCCGGATACTGCCAGTACTTGATACACCAACCGGCCAATCCAAACCGACTGTAACAGTCCGGAACAATGCCTGGTCGTTGGCGCAGACGTTCTCATCGCTCGGCCTTACACTAGACGACAAGAGCGTAGCATCCATTGTCAGCACTGGGAAGAAGAAGGGGGCCTGGACCAAGAACAAACTGCTCCAAAAGTTTGACAAACTGAGGGCATCGGTCTCCGAGGTGCACGCAGAAATGCGAGTCATCTTGGCAGCGACAAAACACGATTGTACGGGCGCGACGATATTCAGATACGTGGGCTGCAGTAAGCGCAGCTGCTTCCTTTGCTCCAGGGCTATTCAGAACTATGAGGGTTACACGACAAGAGGATGCCATGGCAAGCTCTACAATCTCTGGACGGTGCCTCAGCTTCCAAGTTGTGACGAGGACAAAGGGTTGAAGCTCGTTCAGGCTCTCAAAATTGTTGAGAGAGCCATGAAGGATTCCATACGCAATAAGACCTACGGACTTAACCCTGCTCCTGAATCCACGCTAGGAGGCTCCTCGGTTGCGACTAGAAGACAGCTCTTCAGTCAAAATGCTCATACAATGACGCTCGTCTCCGATTACCTCAGATCCCAGCGCCAAGGGATGAGGTCCGACAGTCGGAAATTAGAAGACTTTGCAAGCCCCAGGTGAGCCACGGTTCCTCATTATAGCCATTGAAGTCCTGACAGGCTTTAACAGGGAGCCAAGCCTGTCCTTAGCAAGCGGAGCTAAACCAGAAGCCAACCTTGATCCCTTGTCACCGGCCCAAACCCAAGATCAATCAGCGACAACATTACCCCGACCTCAACAGCTTCGAGGTGAATGCGAAGTTTGTGAAGAAGAGACTGATCGCCACTGTGAATTCTGCAGCCGAGATTGGTTCTGTAGCCGAGTGTGCCAAGATCGGATGTCGTTTTATCACCTCACAAAGTGTTCAGCTCGCTCGATAACGAGTGCCGACATACTGTGTCAAGATGCTATCGGAGATCAGCTTCCCAAAGACCCAGAGGCGCTTGAGCATTTCGGGTTCACTCGGTGCCGCGACGGGAGAGAGCGGTCTCACCTGCTCGGCCTCTACCAGGGTCTCTTTCACTTGGGGGTTGGGCCTATCCAGCTGAACGATTGGCGAGAGAGAGACATTCTTGTGAGCAGTATCATCGACAAGTTTTCCAAGGTGCCCGCGAAGTGTCGGGGGGGCTACTTTCCATGGTTCGTTCGAAACCAGCACATTCTTGATAACTCAAGGCCACCTCTTGAGCTCGAGGGCAAGGATCATCCCATTCTGCGGGCTGTGGCGGCTGCAAGGCCCTACCTTGACCCAGAAGATCGCGCCAAGGAAGTGAAAGACCTAAAGCCACTTTCCAAACGGGATTGCTTTGTGATGTACGCCATGGCCTTGGACGGGACTCATCCAAACCCGTCTGAAGATGGCCTTGACCTGTGGTACAGTTTTGGCTTTGCAACCTGTCGTGACGAATACGATGAGAGTCGCCTTGGGAGTCTCTACAGTCGCCTTATAGGTGGCAATAAATCCTTCAAAGATTACGACCAAAGCCTGGGGTTTACCTCAAGGGGCTACCCCGATCTTCCCACATGTTCATTCAACGAATTCTGGGTGGCCTATGAAGCCGGCACTCTTCCGGAGCTCCTCCATCAATATGGGATGAGCCACTCATTACACGATGACTCCGGCCTTCGGGAGTTCCTGTCCGTTCCTCCAAACCAGGATGCACTACGCCCGTCGGTTTGGAGGTTGAAACACTTCTTCGCCCTCGAGCCCAATACTCCACTAAGCAATTTTCCCAAGATTGAAGCAGCCGCCCAAGAATACGGGTTCACACCTCAGCTCGACGCACGGACAAGGTTGGCATTGAGACAGTTTTACGGGCAGCTATTTGAAAAGGTTAATCCGCTCACGGTTCATGAAGCAAAGGATTGTGGCACACTGCTTCAGTATGCGGAAAGCAACCTCACTACCATCGATGATGGGGTGCGGCATGTGCTGCGAAGGCTTGTCTGAGAAGCACGATGTTGCTCTAGCAGAAAGGTGTCGATTCCAATGCACAGTTTGTATACCTGGCAATGAGAAACAGAATCTGTAGCATTCATCATGTAGTGTTTATATACCTAGTCATGACTTTCGACCCTGACAAACCTTGATTTGATCAATTGTCCAGCATATACCTACATAAGGCGGATTGACCTCTAGGCAGGTCCTTCAAGGCCCCGCCTCTCTCTATGGACGGCAAAACAATACTCAAGTAGAGTATCGTCTCTATTGACACCGGAGCATTTACATGTGCTGTTCAAACCATAGCTGTTTCGTTCTACTGACCGCAAGGTCGTGGTTACAGCAAGCTACGGGCCTCTGTTTTGTTGCCGCTATAGTCTGGTTTGCCTGTATTTTCAAGCACATACGACCATAGGTAGTGGAGAACTCGGGGTCCCGTCTGCTCCCCCATAGATAAGCCACTAACCGGCAGATTAGTAGTTGGGTGGGTGACCACCAGCGAACACCGGCTGTTGTATGTTTTTGCTTTTTTGCCTTTTGCATTCGTTGTGATGTCTTGTAATTCGGGTTGTTGTGCCTGGAGAGAGATGTGAGCTTGTTTTTTTTTTTTTCCCTTCTCTCTGTCTTGGATTTCACGTGGTAAGCTACCAGAGCGGGGGTCTTTCGAACTCTTAGCACCCGTTCTGGAGGTCAGTCCATTGCTCCAGTGGAAGCAGGCCTACAGACTTCTAGTGTAGTATACCACCCTTTCTTGACACGATCTGCAGGTATCAGTTTCCTGATACATAGCCTATGGCCACTCCACAGTAAACTCATTCCAGGTAAACTCATTCCTGGTAAACTCATTCCTGGTAAACTCATTCCTGGTAAACTCATTCCTGGTAAACTCATTCCTGGTAAACTCATTCTTGGTACAATCATTCCTGGTAAACTCATTCTTGGTACACTCATTCCTGGTAAACTCATTCCAAGTAAACTCATTCCTAGTAACCCCATTCCTCTGAGGAAGCAATATCGTATTCGTGCTGGGGCTTTACAAGGGACTTCCAGATGAAGTACACCCTAGGATTGGAAGCCTGCCAGAGAGATGCCAGTGGAAAGGGGGTTTAAAAAGCACTCTTGCATGGGCTAGAACTGAAGGCTTCTTACCCAAGAGAATGTGGCTTCCGAGAGATCGAAAATGGAGTGTTGACAGAACAAAGTCTGAGAATGTGTATGGTTCACTTGTCTTATATTTATTAGGGTCTTCTAAACCTCCACACAATGGCCGCGCGAGTAGGTATGTCAAAGACAAATTCATGCCGCTATGGAAGCTCCCGCTCTACTGGTCACCATTCGACTTTTGTCTGAACTGGGTTTTGAACAAGTAAATGAGACTCAGAATAGTTCCGAGCCCGGTCAGGCCGACAGAGAACCACAGAGCACCTCGATAACCATGAAGCAAGTCTGCTTTAGTTTGTCCGCCATGATTAATGTTCGTTTCGATGGTGCCGGCAAAACCAAGTCCGAGTGATATGCTGTAGTTGACAAGAGTCATGACTATACTAGCTCCCATGCCTTGGTATTCCCGGGCTACTGTGCTCGAGAAGATCATGATGGCGGCGGGTAACGATGTGTCCATTCCGATGGTCGCAATGATGGTAGCAAAGAAGAAATAAGTCCAATAAATCGAGTCCGGGGGCCGAAGGGCTTGAAGAATGGATGTGACCAGGAATGCGACCTGTCCAACTGCCATGATATATGCAGCAGGAACCCTGCCGATGATTTTGCCGACAGTCAAAGCTGAAGCTACTCCGGTGACGAGGATAGGAGCAAACCATGCGGCTAGTTGAATAGGAGTTTGCTCGCCTATATTGAGGCATACTTGCACAACGTAGAGGAGCTATACACAGCAGCGTCAGTCAATTTGCCCTTCAGTCGAGAGCAGAGCAATACGAACCCATATGCCAAACGTGGCCCAGCCAGCTGCCGTGCATGCGAAAACAAAGGTTATGTCCACAGTGAATGCAGAAACGGGCAAGATCGGATGGCGTGCACGGCGGATTTCGATGTAGAAGAATAAAGAGCCAAAGATGAAGCTGAGGATCAGGCACACATACACGTAGGGCTCCCTCCAAGTAACAACCACAGCTTGGTTCCACGCGAAGTTGAACAAGACCAGAGCCAGCACGCCGGTTGCTCCTCCAGGAAGATCCAGACGATCCGCCTTTTGAGACATTGTCAGGTTCCGCTCCTCCTCCTGCAAAAGCAGGTCTGGAATTGTCCAGGCAGCAAAGACGGCCACCAACGCAACAGCGATTGCCTGGCTCCAGTATATCCACGGCCACCATGCCATAGCAAAGAGGGGGCCAAACACAAAGCCTGCCATGGCGCCAAAGGGCGCCGACGCGGCGAACCATGCGAATGCCATGTTTCGAGGTCCCTCGGAGAAAGACTTGCCAAAAATGCCGAGTGCGTTGGGCAGCGTCAAGGCCGGACCCATGCCCTGGAAGACGCGAGCAAAGACGTAAAGCACATGATTAGAGTAGACGGAGAGTCCTGCCACCATGCTCCACAGAGAAAGCCAGCTCATGCCTAAGACAAACATCTTTTTGTTGCCAAACTCATCGCCAAGGCGTCCACCTATGAGGATGAACGTGCCAATCGTCAAGCTGTAACCAGCCATGAACCATGACAACGTGCCTGGGTTGCTGATTCCAAAGGAGTCTCCGATTATGGACAGCGTGGTCAGGGTGTTGCACAATCCAAGTTGGTTGATGAACATGGACATGCATACACTCGCGATGAACAGAGTCCGGCGTGGTAATGAGAAGGCGTCGGCGGGATAGGCATCCTCTTTCTTCGAGAGCTGCGCAGCCTCGGCATCTGATGTTTCCTGAATCAGCAAAAGTGCGGAACGGTCCCAGAGAGCGGGTTTCGTTTATATCGTCTCTGAGACGTCCCCCGAGGGTTACTTACCTTGCGAAGATGACGATGGGTTGGATGGGATTTCAGAGTTGCTCTTCTCCTCTGTAGATGAAGCCATGGCGAATTAGGGGTGTTGAAGGTGGTCGTGATGACTGCACCGCTTCACGGGGAATGGGAACACATGATGTTTTATATCACATATATGCAAGACGATCACGGAGCCCTGAACCCAGAGTCAGGGGCTCTGAGCACCGGACTCATGAGTGGGAGCTCGGAAACCTCCAGAACATGTTCACCAATCAATTATCTGATCAATCCTGCTTATTCCGTCGCCGTTTGCTGTTGAGGAAGAAGAAGGACGACGGAGAATGACCGTCGATCTCCGGATATACTGGACGGGTCAGCGCCTCAAGGTCCGAACGCTAGACCATTCGGCTCCGGATGGCGTGAGATCGTCGGAGATCTGTTGTCATCACGTGGCCTCGCCGCGGCAAGTCGACGACGATGCACCGCTTGTATTTCACGGAGACGCTCTACCTTATCCCTCTACGATTTCCTACAACACATACGCCACTCACCTTGACGCTTGCCCTGACCGTCCAGGTACTCCGGGCCCCTGGCAGAAATGACCCCATCGGTATTGGTGACCATGGAGTCGAATGCCGTCAGTGCGGGATCCGAGCAGCTGGTGTGCGAGTTGTGCTCCAAGTCTTATCAGCGGCGTAAGTATCCGCTTGTCCGCCTTCGTCGTTCCCTCATGTTCTCTGCTACTGTCTCACCGTCTCTCTCCGTTTCTCACACACTTTATGCAGGCGACTTGCTTATGCGCCATCGGAGGCGCTGCCGGGGTCTGGCCAAAGGTGGGACTCGTCGGAAAGCCTGCGATGCATGTGTTCGGGCCAAGTCCAAGTGCTGCTACACCCATCCTACCTGCTCTCGCTGTATCAAAAGGGGAACAAAGTGCCTTTACAGCGCACAACCAGCTGTCCAAGCTTGGGCTTGCGCCGAGCACTTGAAGGAACCCTCAGGCGTCCAAATCCAGGGCCTTCAAGCCCATTCCTCCGGGGGTAGCCAATCCCCTATTCATGACCTTCCGACCTGGAATTTTCCGCTCTCGCCGTATCCTTTGGATACCTTGGACTTCAACACGGCAGATTTTACAAACGTGTCTCCCATCTCGCATCTCGAGTCTGTAATTGAGAGATCGTATGTACCGCCCACAACTCACGATGACCCATCATCTTCGTCCACTGGACAATCCTCGGGCGGCGGAACGAGGTCCCCCTCCAGCCCTCCGATATCGTCGACACCTCTCATTCTCACTCGTGTCCTAGGCGACTACGCTTCGTCACTGATCAAAGGCTCTTGTCTCGCTCCATTTCTACACTTGCCAAAGGTCAAAAGCGTTGAACCCGACTTGGCGTCTTTCCCTTTCACCTCAATGGCCATTTGCAGCAGTACCAGCATGAATCTCTCGACCGACAAGCGGTTTTTCCGGCGGGCCATAGAAGCAGCGCGCCATGGGCTGATTCTGAATTTTGTGAGTACTCCTGGGGCCCGGCTCGGTCCTAGTCACTTGTTGAGACGTCTATTAGCCATCGTACGAATGTATGCAGCAGTGGGATGCGATACACGCCCTCTTGATATACGAGACCTTGGAGCTGAAAGAAGGCATTGGCGTTGAGTCTGAGGGATGGAGACTCGCCATGCCAGTCAAGAATCTAGAAATGAGCTTTCTATTGAAGGTTTAGCACCGTCCCTATCGACCGAATCCCTCCACCAGGCTAATATGATTAACACTCGGCAGATGACAAGAAGCTACATCGAGCCATACGTACAGATTCGCAGCTGTGACATGGATGCTTTCCGCGATCGCAACTCGTCACCGTGTTCGCCGCAAACAACGACATGGGGTCGGTGGAGGACCACCGAAACAACACGCAGAACAGTCTTCATTGTCAACATGATCAACTTTCTCAACAATTATAATCCTACGACAAGAAGCACCTCGCCTTATTACGAACCGCTGAACGACGACCTCATTCTCAACATGCCGTTGCCCTGTAGCCAGACCGTGTGGCTAGCATATGAAGAGGAGAGTTGCCGACTTGCCATGAAGAATCAGCCTTTGTTCAATCATTCAACACCGGAATTCGATCAACCCACAATGGAAGCACTGTCGAGAGAGACTTGCTTGAGCACTATCCTCTCTAAATACAGCAAGGAGAGCATTCAAGCTGCGATTGGCTCACATGTTGGAGTGGGCGACTCAGACAGTTTGAGACGCCTGATCATACTCTGCGCTACTGAGCAGTTTCTCTAATTGTTATGATCAAGACTCCAGATGCTTGAAGCACAGAAGCTTCAGGAGGCCTTCATGAAGCATTGAAGCGGACCTATGGACGGGCTATATCAACGCTCTCGGCACTCATCTTTCATATATATGCCTCGTGATCGATCATCCATAGTATCTTCCGCTCTACTCTCATTCGTCTAGCTGTGTGACAAGATTGACAGTCTCGGCCACGCTCGCAAGCTCCAATCCCAGCAGTTTATTGGACAGAACCTCATCTGTGACATAGTTCGACTTCAAACCAGGCGTGCAGCCGTAAGCGGTTGCTCGAACCAAAGCATAGGCACCACTGAAGTCGCCAGCACCCAGCTTTTGGACAGCAGCATGAATTTGCTCTTCGGTCGTTGTGTTGTTGACGGTCCATTTCGCACCAGTGGCATTCTCCAAAGCAGCCAAAATCTCATTTTGGGTGGTTTCGACGGACGAGACAAAGAGATATCTGTTGGCAGTCTCCTCGGGTCTCTGCAGCACTGCCGCAACGGCTTTTCCAAGGTCTTTCTCGTTTGTCATGGTAAACGTTTTGTTCCCACCGTCCCAGATGGTAGCAGTCTTGTTGGCGATATCGTACTCGAGAAACCCAGTTCGCAGACCCTGCGTTGCCCGGTCAGTTACTTTCCAGCTTCTAGAACAATCCAAGCACTTGAAGGGCTCATTACCCAGTCGAACAACAGCGAAGTAGCAATCCCCGTCCAAGAGAATGTAGCTGATTGCTTGGTCTTCAAGTACTCGATCAATTCCGATTTCTGGCCAAAGAGCGGCAGCAGCTGAAGAACAGCAGCATCCTGGCTACTCGACGAAAACTCAGAGGGCAAGAAACGCTTGACTCCGGCGTTGATAGCGGCGTCAACGAGTTTCTTCTGCTCGCCAAACCCAGCAGCTCCCAGAGCAGAGATGACGGCATCCTGGCCCTTGAAAGCAGATTGGAGATCAGATGCGGTAAAATCTGACTTGTGAACGGCTACATTAGGCGGGAAAGTAGCAGGGCTGTCTTGGCGGGAGATGACAGTGATGTTGTATCCGCCGGCAGTGATTAATCCTTGGAGGATAATTTTGCCGACACTACCACTGGCCTGGAATAGTATCAGTAGATGAGTTGGTGACAAGGGCAGCGTGGGATCTTATGAACACATACACCAACAATAACAACGTTCTTGTAAGCCATTCCGAACTTTGTGAGGTGATATCGCTGGCTACTAAGTCAAAGAGTTTATCAAGAGGATGCAAGAAGTGGTATAAGTATGCTTCGTTCATCCGATGTTGTGCTTTGACAGTGCAAGGCTGGTGATTGTGTTACTGAATGCCTTGATCTTCGGGAAGCCGACGGCCAAGCGAGGGCATATGCTCTATATTTATACCTAAGAATAGCACCACGAAAAAGGTACAGCTTGATAACAAAATCCCGAATACCTGAAGCATATATCATGTTGACAATCACAATATGGTAGACCCCCTACGACCCTAGACATGCTTCGAATTGTTGACCAGCAGTTCCAGTCATCTAGCAACTCAACTCACTTACAACCGGTCCGCTCTTCGACTAGCTCCCGAGACGGGACGTTAGACTACATGAGGAACAATCGCGGATCATCATTGGCTCATTCCTCCAAGTCCGACCGCTTGTGACCGATCATCTCATCGATCCTACGCATGAACCAACAACGATTCTGCTTAGAAATGCGGACGCAGCTCCGTCATGTCCGCCGTCACCAATAGGACGCTCCTCCGCACCTCCGCTACTCTCACTCATAGCTCTCCTATGCACTTCATCAATCTAAAAGGCAGTAAGAGTTAGTCAAACAGTGTTCCCTTTAGCTCGACTGCTGAGAAGTGCAGCGGCATCATCACCCGATAAGTCAACGGCTCTACGTGACACCTCCAGTAACGTCCATGACTCGCAGGGTCATTGCATCAGGGCGCTCGTGTCTCGAGTGTCGTCGGCGCAAAATCAGATGTGATAGGTCGCTGCCCTGCGCATATTGCACGCGGATCAAGCTACAATGCAGATATCCTTCATCGCGGCCCAACGGAGACGCTGCTGAGGATGATGATCTGGCAGCCCGAGTACGGTCTGTTGAACAGGCATTGCAGTTTCTGGAGCAAAAGATGACACATATTGCGGATTTGCTGCGGTTGAGTCCGGCGCCATCGACCAGACAGCATGGGAACTTTGCGCAAGACCATGAGCTCTCATATGTATGAACGCTAGACTCTCATTTGCGTTGGGGAGATGTCTCACTCTCTATAGGACGCCGCCCTCAACTTACCAAGTCCAAGCTGGTCTTCTCCGCCGAATACTTCACAAAAGAACGCATGTCATAGCAGCAGTGCAGAGACAACCAGATATCGGCTTCTACCGTCGTTACCATTGACCAAGTTGGGTGAAGCATCACAACATGAACCTCTCCAACTACTCCACCCCTCACCCGCAAAAGCCCTGTTCATCTGGCAAACATATCTCGATGTGGTCGACCCTCTGATTAAGATACTTCATGTTCCCTCTGCCCAAAGGCACATCATGAGTTTGATGCAAGGTCGTCAAGAGGCTGTGGACGCACCCATGGAATGTCTGATGTTCGCCATCTACTATTCCAGTGTGATCTCGCTATCGGCAGCAGATTGCCTACAAGAACTGGGTGAAGAGAGACACATTTTGCTACAAAGGTATGTAGTATTGCCATGGATTTCCGGTATTCATTCTAATAAGCGCCTGTGTACCGGCAATGGGCAACTCCAGATATAAACAAGGGGTTGAGCAATCACTGACACAGGCAAACTTCTGGTGCTCGCGAATTATAACCGTTTTGCAAGCCTTTGTTTTATACCTGGTAAGTCGGTCTTTTCTTGATCGAAGCATAAAGTTGAGCAGAGTTTGTGTCTAACCCAAGATACGTTTTGTTAGATCTGCGGACGACAAGACGTAAATGGCCCCGACGTTCGCGCTTTGACCAGACTCGCCATCGGCAATGCCCTGAGGCTTGGCCTACATCTTGACATTCCTGGCATTGGCGTCTTTGACCGAGAGATAAGGCGCCGTCTATGGTGGCAGATTTGCACCTTGGACGTTCGAATCGCTGAAGATTATGGCTGTGATCCATCCGTTATTGAGCCAAACCCTCATACAGAGCTGCCTCTGAACGTCAACGATGCCAGTTTACATCCTGATATGGAAAAATTGCCGATTTCACAACCTGGACGAAGCGAGATGCTGTTTAGCCTGGTGCAATTCGAGACAAGCAATCTTGCTCGACGAATCCTCTTCTCTGATCAGTTCTCCCAGAGCAACGGCTACCAGATGATGACTGAAGCAGACAAATGCCAAGCAGTGGACGACTTCAGGGGGCGCATTGAGGAGCAGTACCTATCGTACTGCGACACGACAATTCCCCTGGACTGCGTCATTGTCAGAAGCAGCCGACTTGTCCTCGCAAAGTTGAAGTTGGCTGTTTGTAAACCGCGTGCGGACCAAAACCACGGTATGCCTCTACGGGACAATTACCGCGAGGCATGTGTGGACGTCTTGGAGCAAGCGCGAGCCTTGCAACAGTATGATGGCGGACGCCAGTGGCTCTGGCTCTTTGAGATGGACGTCGACTGGGATGCCCTGGCGTATCTACTCTTGGATATTTGCATGACGCTCGCATCGCCGTCATCCAGCGAGCCAATTGACGTGCCGTGGGATGTCGTGAACGAGACTTACAACCATTGGGAAAACAAGCCCAGTGCTCGTCGGGATCATCGCTGGACCAAGATTGAAGAACTCCGTTCAAATGCTTTATCTCTGAGAGAAAAGGTGCAGGGCATCATACAAACACCTCAGGCAAGCTCAATTTCTCACCAATTCCATGGTCCATCAGGAGATCTGCCAGACCTCGCCGTCGAAACCCCTCCACACCGACAGCATGAAACCATCTCGAGTGTCTTTCACAAGCCTGCTGCGGAGTGCACAGGCATTGGTCTAGTACCTTGCAAAGCCACAGACCACAACACACAGATCCAACGATCGCACTCGGCAGGTAGGCAAGAGTGTGGGACCAATCCTGCAGGGGATCGGTGCCCCCCAAGCTGCGACCCTGCCCCCATATCGGCCGCCCCGGCCGAAGAAGCCCAGTATGAGGCGAGCACAGCAGACTTGCCGGGAAAGGGGACTGTGTGTGAATGGAGCGCTTCTCTCATCGAGAAATATTGGGAAGTTGCCGGACACGACTGCAAAGGCTTCAACCTGTGGCAATGAACGGATGCATTTCTTATTTTCTTCTACAGCGGAATGAAATGAAGCTGGACTGCGACCTCGGTATATCAAGGCCTCAATCATGGACTGAATGTCCAATTGATTGCTTCTTGTTCAACCTAAGACATTTCCGGCGAGGTTTCAAGGGTCTCCGAAGACTTGCAGCTTTGCTGTGTTACATGCATTTGCAACTCCGAGGTCCAATGGCGTCCGTGTCACCACGGATATATGTGAGCGAGGGATCAGTTATCAAACCTCCTGCTTGAGACCTGTCGCAAAAGAAGACTATATGTTATGAAACAAGGAGACTTTGGTCAGCTTTTCCACTGCTATGCGTACCTTACATGCCGCTACTGCAAACAAATTGGGGCACATAAGTAGGGAAGTGTTCGTGTCAAGCTCCCACTCGTTCGGCTAAGGTATACATATATACTGTAACACGCAGGTAGCGATCAGGATCGAACATGCATTACTCTCGCTATTTTTAGCTATTCTTGGGCTACACAATTTAGACTATTGCTGAAGCTCCGAATGTCGTTCTTCGGCCACAATTGAACAGGTCATCCTTGCTTAAGCATGGAGAATTGGGCTCCAACGTATCTTGCTCACGAAGTTGGTGGCGCAAGCCTTCCACTCCTTCAACTTTCCTGTATCGCAGCTGGGCGCGGCCCGCATCAGCCAGACATTTGGAAAGTACGCACGTCCATGTGTTAGAGGTCATGAGACAGGGGTTTCGGCTGTGGCAAAACAGCTCCAGGAGGACCAAATTCAGCATTCGAGTCTCTTCGTCATTCTCCCTTTGCTGACTTCCTTTGTAGGTCCAGCTCGTCTCACAATGAAACTGACACAGATCAGGAATGAGATATAGTCTCCAGAGTTCACTATCTGGAGGTGAGCTGTTATAAGTCACCGCAGCAAAAGAAGAGGTCTGCAGCCCTCTAATTCAGCAGCGCTAAGAAAGCTGATCTCAGATTTTAGCGCTGTTCCCTACCTACTGAATGTTATACCTGTTAACAAGATGCTGTATGGCATGATATTTGTATAATAAGCAACCTGGAAACACCATCATTCTCTCTTCACAATATGAGTCCCGGGGCACGAGTTACACTACTAGTATATACCAGCTGACGCCTACAATCCTCAGTGCGAGAGTTTAGAAACTTCTTGAGCACCATTTCCCATTCTGAAGCGTCATCTCAGCGAGTGGGTATTATTGCAAGATGAGTCTAAAAATGGTTCTAGGTAGCACAACATCAGCCCCATCAACACAAGCTCGGACTTTGTTTTCTGCAGGGTCGACTACTAATCTAAACAAACAATAGCTTCGATTCAGCCTCACCTACCGGCTATGCACGAGGCATGTTGTCGCTACTAGTATCTACATCTGGTTGCTCGTAAATCTTTAGCACCGGGTACAATGACAGGGGTGAGGCCTGCCAATTTCACCCCTGGATAAGCTGAGAACAGACCACGGAGTGAGTGCCGAATGCCTTGTTGGGTAGCAGTTGTATTGAGTTCTTCCAATCTGTTACTATCGTATATATATAGGTACTCGGCAGATGCCGGAGTCTTGTATCTTCAGACCATTTGTCGCCAGCCTGTCAAGCCAACATCCATTCCTCCCGACACTCGTTAACCTCTTTCTTCCCAGCCTTGACCAATCGCCATCATGACTTCCCAAGGAGAAACAAAGGGCAATGAGGCCACTTGGTCGAATAGCCTATTCGATTGCTGTAGCCCAGCCGGGCTTTGCTGCTTGACCTGCTTCCTGCCCTGCGTCACATACGGAAAGGCCCAGCACCGAATGGCGCACGGCAGCTTGGATGGCTACTCATGCTGCAACGCATCTGTAAGGCTTTCTCCAGCAAACTCAGAGTTGTGCAAGTAACCTGACACGGCTTGGCTTATTAGTGTATTGTCTACGCGCTGCTCGTCCACTGCGGCCTGGGATGCATTCCCACCACGATGCAACGAGGCGAGATTCGCGAGAAACATGGCCTCGAGGGCGGCTGCTTTGGCGACTTTTGCAAGTCCTGCTGGTGCACCTGCTGCACCCTGATGCAGCACGAGAAGGAGCTGGAGCAGCGCCAGGCCCTTCTCCAGGGCTCATCAGAAGCGTACAAGCCCAACGGCGGCATGGTGTACTCGGACCAGACGCAACAGAATAACCCGGGCTATGCGTGAGGAGTTGAATCATTCCATTTGGGGGTGTTGAGGCGTGCCATTGATGCATTTCTATTCTGCTTTAAAAATCTGTGATTGTTCTTTACTTGGAGAGATAAGGATCGGCAAGTTCAATGAAAATCGCAGTCAACCTGTGATACGTTTCATTAGTGGAGGACACCAGCTGACACGGGCATGCTACGATACCCACGAGGGTCAAAGGGAGACACGGGAGGGTGTATTTGGCTGTTTTTCTTTTCTTCTTTTCTCATTCAGCGTCTTTCAGTTGAGGTTTCCTTATTCTGGGTTAATTCACATAGAACTGACTTGAACATTGTTAAGTGAGTGTTTGTGATGTTCTTAAGTCAACTGTGTGTACACAGCTGCATTGTAGCCCTAAGGTTCCACGAGATGCTTCAATACCAGCAATAAAACTCATCTGGTCTGTAATTCGTCCCAGATTCGACCAACTTTGAAGCCAATCACCACCACTCTCAAGCCCATCAGGTTGCTCACCTCATTCCCTCGATTCATCACGAAGCAGTGAAGACGGCTTTGGCTAAACCCAGCGTTCAGCTTCACAGAAACTGAGTGCTGCTATAGTGCGAATGGCACCAAAACCAAGCACATACGACCATAGGTAGTGGAAAATTCGGGGTCCCGTCTGCTCCCCCATAGACAAGCCACTAACCGGCAGATTAGTAGTCAGGTGGGTGACCACTGGCGAACACCGGCTGTTGTATGTTTTTACTTTTTTTTGCCGTTGTTTGTTCCTGCTTTCGCCTTCATCTTGCTCCTTTGTGATCCTTTGCCTTGTTGTTGTGCTGCGATTTCTGTCAGATGTGACCTTGCTCCACCATCGAGTTGGTTGCGACCTTAAAACGTGGGGTCGTTGTCTGTCATACTCCTCCTACAATCGATCCCAGTGCGTAATCAGTGCCTCTACATTAATTCGTCTCGTTCTATGTCCATCTATATCACCTCTACGCTCTCCCTTCCTAAGTAACATATCAGCAATCTAAATGACACGAATCGCTTACAGTCCAGGTTCAATAAATCATCCATCCTCTCCCCTGACATCACACCCAACCCAACCCCAACTCCACAAACAACCCCCAAACATGCAAACAACTCTCCCCATAGCATTCAATCCAAGATCCAACCCCTTCCCACACTCCCCCATCAATCGGCACCAAAGAGACAAGATCGATAGTCTCAGCCATCCAAGCCACTGACCTCCCTTCTCCTCTTCAAATCAACCAACCAACTTCTCCAACTTTCTACCCCAACTTCTTGGGATTCTTTCACTAGGGGGGTTAAGCTTAGCCCGACAGCCCGACTAAACGCAAGACCTTCTCCAATGGCTTATTCTCGAAATGTCTCCCAGACGTCATTCAACCCCCCTTCCCCTTCTCAGCTGAGCCAATGCAATTCCAAGCTTATCAGACGATCGAGGCGCCACTTCGATTGACTTTACGCGAGAACCTGTAATGAAGTTGCCGCCAGCATTCTGTCCCAGGAAGGCTTGAAGGCATGCAACGCAGGATGCAGGCCAATTGTGCGTCCAAGGCCACCAGGTGTTTGTGAATCACGATCAGTAGAACAGGCAGAGTAGACGATTGCAATCGGAAGACTAGATTTGGTATCATGCTTATTACAAGTACACCTAGTGACTAGGATATTCACCACAGCCATTATCTTACACCCATATCCAAACCTGGTATATCCAAACTCAAGTCATAAGTATGCAACAAAAGAAAGTCGTAGCGCGTTATATACAGGAAAGATACATAATGTTCTTAGACATGCTCCTCGTGAGAAGGAGCCGGGACGTCATGAGCAACCTGCTTATCGTGACTGTCCGTAATGGGGGTATCGCTGTCGTGGTCGGCAAGCACGTCGAGATCGACGCCCGCCTTTCTGCGGATGTTGGCCATGTGCTCCGGGGGCGGGGGAACCCATTTGGAGCTCTTCCACGGCTTGACATGCTCGAGATACATGGTATCGATCTCCTCGAGGGTGCGACCCTGGCCTTCAATGACGAAGAAGTAGATGATGAGGGCGCCAACAAAGTTGCAGGCAGCGAAGACGTAGCCATATCTGCACACGCTAGGTTAGAACGTGCTCACTACATGAAAGCCGAGAGGCAATTGAACATACCTAAAGTCGATGGCACTGGTAATGAACGGGGTGAAGAAACCGATGCAAAAGTTCCAGATCCAGTTGCTGGCAGTGGACAGCGCCATACCCTTGGCACGGTAGCGTGAAGGGAAGATCTCGGCCTGGATGGTCCAGATCATGGGTCCCCAAGTGGTGGCAAAGCCAAGAATGAAGAGACAGGCGAAGACGATGAGGACGACACCTGGCGTGGGTGTGTTTGCGGGATCGTTGAGATCAAGCATGAAGTGGCCGACAGAGGCGAAGATCAGGAAGCAGCAGAACATCCAAATGGAACCGCCAATGAGAGACTTGCGACGACCAAAGTGCTCGACCATGTACAGACCAATAAAGGTGACGGCAAAGTTGATGGTGTTGAGGATGATCTGGGTGACGAAGGAGTTGATCTGCACCGATTTGAAGATGGTCGTGCCGTAGTAGAAGAAGTAGTTGGCGCCGGTAAGCTGCTGGAACATCTGCAGAGTCATGCCGAGAGCGATACGATAAGCCATGCGAGGGGCCTTGAACATGCCGACGAACTCCTGGATAGGGCTAGTCTTGATCTTGTCTTCGGCGCGGAGCTTGCGCTCAATCTCCACGATCTGGGTGTGGACGGCCCAGTGGTTTTCTGTGGCTCCGTACACACGGCAGATGGTCTGCTTGGCTCGTTCTTCGTGACCATGTCGGAAATCGTATCGAGGGGTCTCGGGGAAAAGCAAGATGCCAAAGCCCAAGACCAGAGTCCAGATCCAGCCCAGGCCAATGACGATCCGCCAACTGGCTGAGCTGTCAGCTTGGTGTTTGACAGTGCCATAGTTGAAGCAGGCGGCCAGGAAGATGCCCATGGTGATGAAGAGCTGGTAAGCGCAGACCATGGCACCTCGGATCCAGGCAGGCGCCGTCTCGGCCTGGTACATGGGGACAAGCAAACTCAAGGCACCAACGCCCAGGCCGGACACGAATCGGCCAATCATGACCTGATACCATGCCGTGACAGACGCAATCTGGATAACGAAACCGATGGACACAATAAGACTCCAGAACGAGATGGAGGGCCTGCGACCAATGCGGTCGGCGATGGGTGCGGCCACCAGGGCTCCGATGAGAGTACCGATGGACAGGAGAGCGACAATGAGACCGGAGCGGACATTGCTGAAGTACTTGGTGCCATCAGAGTGGGTTTGGCCAAATCGGTCCAGGAAATCGGGCATCTCAAGGAAACCCGAGATCTGACCAGTGTCGTAACCGAAGCTGGGTAGGGAGACGTTAGCATTGTCGCGTCAATCTTAAGCTTGACTTGAGACAAGCGGCACTTACATCAATCCACCCATTGAGACCAAGCCACCCATGGCCCAGGACCGTCCAGTCACACGTGGCAATGGAGAATAGTCCAGGCCAGAGACTGATGGACGGCCATAGGCGGCATCGTGCTTCTCCGACGCAGGATCATGCTGGTCGAAGGTAACGGTCATGAAACCGCCCCTTCTGGAACGCATCTTGAATTTTCAAGCTTGTAATGTCGGGGCCCTTGAGTGGCAGTAAGGGGCGTCGTGTCTGCCTGAGGCTATCACGAGGTAGGTAGGTGTTACCCTATTTGTGTGAGACCGTGGAGGTGAATGTGTATATAGATATACGAGAGAAGACGAGAGCCAACAAGCTGGACAAGGCGTTGTGGCTAATCCAGAAGCTTTGGCTCCCCTACTATAGGCAGAGTGATGTAGTGGTGATGCTGGCTGTAATGCCGGTGGTGTATAGCTGTCTCAGTCGAACAGGATAGTCGTCGTGGAGGAGGGGAGGCATCGGGGTATAAATCCTCTCCCGCATGGGCAGAGCCGCCACTGATGCCCCGGCAGCTCCCAATGACCTAATTGCTGGCACAACACCCACGCCATACGGTCACGATCAGGAAACCGTGGGACCCCGGCCCAAGTCCGGCGGTTTGGTGGGTGGTGAAGCAGGCATCTCGAGCACCTCACGCGCTTTAGCCCCGGATTGAGCACCACGAACGGACCAGCCAAACGTCTTCCCACCCCACGGGTTCAGGCTTGGGGAAAACGGGCCTCTCAGCGAATGGAATCCTGGGGAACTGGCCGACTAGGGACCGCACAGGGGGGCAAGTCAGGTGTGAGGCCGAAAGCGAACAACCGCGAAGAGGCTGGAAAGGACGTGGCTTGGGGCCCTTCATTGGGTGACAGCTCAGCCCACCCATACCGAGCCTCTCCTTGCACAAATCGGTCCTACTCTCGCGGACGTTCTCCAGTTTGCTGTGGAGAGGCGAAGACCGGAGAGACAGAGAGAGTGTGAGAGAGCAGAGAAAGACGGACATGGAAGCGGGCTCTGCTTCGCCGGCCCCCCTGACATGATTGGCCCGTCACCCCCGAGCCAGCGGGCAGGAGCGAGGTGAAGGCGAATGAAAAGCAGGCAATCGCGATTGACCGAGGCTCCACCAGCCTGAGAAAAGCTCCACCGCAAAAAGCTTATGTACCGCCTGTGTATCCGGCACCTGCCAAGAGGCGTGCTTCAGGGCGATCTTGCCTGGCCCTGCTACTTGTGCTACCTGCCGGGCTACAAGGGTACTTTGTCTGCCGGTGGTTTCTTGTTTTGGGGCCATGTCTCGGCAGACTCGGGCCCCGGTTTTCCCTTTCCTTCTTTTTTTTCTGCATCCTTCTTTTATGCTGTTAAGGTGAGGCTTTACTAGTAGCAGAAACATGCGTATGATTCAGCAAGCCGCAGTTGCAGATCCAGCCCACAATATTGAAACGCTGCAATTCTAAACCGCGCATTGCAATATTGTCTTCTCTATGTAAATCTCTTCTCCAAGAACAATCTTTGTCTCTTCACGATTTTGAACCCGAAAAGAAAAAAGTGATAGACATAATCGCATCGTCAATGCTCTGCAGGCCGCCCCCAAACTCCTTCCTCCAACCCGTCAACCGCTCCTTCTGACTGGACGCCCCATGACGTCGTCTCTACCGCCCCGGCTCCGGCAAGTGGGGCAGCGCCAAGCACCGTCGATTCCGGCCTGCCCTCGGCACTTCCAACCAGATGACGTCGTGGCAGCGGATGCTTCTTGTCGAAACTCGTATGTCCAGGGAATATCATAATCATGTACATACGGAATCAGCAGGGGGGAGGGCATAACACAAATCATCGCCTGCATGGATGCGGTCAGGGGCGCCTCGTGGAAACCGGGCACAGGAAGCTGGGCATAGGTCACGATTGAGTTATCGACAATTATCAGGCCTTTTGACCTTGTACATGTTCTGTGCGTCCATGGGAAGAAGCTGACGAGCCCTCCCCCCCGACCAAAGCCACACAAAAGAGCAAGAAGCCCAGAGAAGCATCCACAAGCCGCACCGAAAAATCGAGAAAAACACCAAAGAAGAGCAAACAGATGGAGCAAGTAAAACTCCCCCGAGTCAGCAGACGTCGTCCCTTTCGGTCCTTTACCATGCAAAACGCGCGCGTTCCGGACAATCTTCCACTTTCCAGTCTCCAGTTCTCCCCAGTCTCCAGTTCCCTCTCCAGTCCCCATGACCCCAGGTATCTGAAATACGCTCTCCGTGCTCCGCTGGCAAATATCATCACCTCCATGCGGGTACCGCAGGCCCTCCGTGTCCGTGCTGATTCAGCGGCGCTTCTTCGTCGCCATCTTTTTTCCCTCCTCTCGTGTCATACGTCTAATGAATCCTCCACCACCAAACCACATTCCTGCCCGTCTCTACGGGAAGCATAAACGGATACGCAGGAAAGCCCAGCCCCGAGAGGGGAAAACATCCCGAAATCAATCAACTGACCTGGCCACCATCTCCTCATTTTGCCTTGTTGTCATCCAAACCAGCCAGCATCTTCCCTCCCCTGTTTGTTCCCTTCTTTCTCATGCCGCCTCCTGCACAACCCAGCCTCGGCCCCTCCGGAAACAGAGTTTCAACCGTCTCTTGTCCTTATATCTTCCTTCTCCAGATTTGATCTGCTTCTTCTGCCACACACGAACAAGATTGAAGAACGAGGCGCCGAATCAAACACCCGCCTGTGACATGCCAGATCCCCCTTCCCATCAGCCATGCCGCTCTCCCATCCAGCTTTATCCCTCTTATGATCCTAGGATACTAGAAAACCAAGAACCACCATCACAGGGGGAGGCTGCCGAAGAAAGGCCAGAGTTTCAGGCCGCCCTTTTTGCCTCCTCCACCTGTCGGCCACCTTTTTTCGTCTTAGAATAAATGTCCCAACGGCACAATCTGATTTGATGCCGCTCTCCGTAGCAAATGTAACGAGATCTGGCCCAACTGTCTCTTGCCAAATCATTAATTCACCGGTCGGATTCGCCTAGTTGCCGCCACGCACGTGCTTCAGCCGCACCCAAACGGCTGGCAACGACGGCATTATCCCCGTACCTGCAAGGTAAGCAAGGTAATAAGGAAAGGCAACTTTTTTTCTTTCTAGATCGATACAACCCCAGATGGCCAAAAACAGGAAAAGCACGATTTCTCGTGGCAGCCACTTCGGCAAGTCCTCTGCTCCCATAGCACCACTTTGCCTTGTTCAGCTATTGCTCAGGACAAGCCGACGTCCCTTTTGCCCAAATCCTGAATTACCCTGTTAGATGGGAAAAGCCACAAAAAGGAATCACTTCGAAACTGCCTAGGTAGATAGGGCCGATGCTACTGAATATCGATCGACGCAGCCATTACTCCGGCAACGTCAGCTTCTGTCTCCGGAGACGCACGATTCAAGATTGAAACTCAGCTGCAGTGCAACACAAGTCGAGGTTAAACTTTGTCTTATTCTCCACGCTAAATGAATCGCGACTGATGCTACTCTGTATACTTTGCCAGTTCATCGCGGAACTTTCCATGTCAGATTACCAGAGCGTCCGCAATCCCCTTTTTGTCCCGTATTTGCTGCCGTGATTTTTTTTTTTTTTTTCTTCTTCTTTTGATATTTTTCTGTCTCTCGGGGGGGCCTTTGTTTCCTTTTTTTTTACTCTTTATCACAGATTCTGTGCCACAAGGTCATTACTAGCCCGTACGCCACGCGCCATCCTTCGTTTCTATTACCGTTCTATGCGTCCGTTTTCGCTCTCTTCATCTCAAATGTGCAAGTCGTCAAAAGGAAAAGAATCACCCCCAGACTTTGCCAAACACTCAAGTTCAGCATCTGGAGAAAGCCTCGTGGTTTCCCATCAAGAGGCCATTCCACGCCTGAAAGCACTGGGACAAACGAATGTCCTTTACAGCTCCTCGGCGGGAATGTGACCCTCCACCTGGCTCAAAGCGGCCAGGTTCACCTCTCCAACACGCTCGAGGCTGGCCGGGTCGCCAGCACCAGCCAGCAGACCCACGCACTCAATCACGTCCTCGGGCTCCAGGAGATGCCATTTGGCCAGCGTCACCTTGGTGCTGGCTCCCACAGTGACGGTGAAGACGTGCTGGTCTTCCAGGATCGTGCCACATGCTCCGTTGAGGCTGCGGAACATGTCCTCGTCGGTAAAGTCGTCTCCAGAGCAGAGAGCAAACTCAATCTTTCCGGGGTAAGGGTCCTTGTCGGTCGGGGCGGCTCCCGGGTTGTGATAAGTGGCCACCAGTCGCTTGGCGATCTCACCCTTGTTGATGAACGTAGGGCGCACCTCGATGTTGGCCTTGCCAGGCATCACCTCGACCTCCCATCGCTGGGCAATGCCGGTCTCGAGCTCTCGGTGACACTCGCGTGACATGTGGAGGCCTTGCTCCGGCTCGGCCAGTCGATAATGCCAGGTCAGGGCGCAGCGTTTTCGCTCGATGAAGGAACCTAAGGATAGTGTGTTAGCTTCTGCTTTCTGTCTTGTCTTGCCTTAACCCGTGATAGGATTGTTCTTTGAGGCAACTCAAACTCGGGATAGACAGCAACTCACCTGGAACCTTGTCCGTGTAACGCTGGAACACCTCCATGACCTCTGCCTGCCAGCCCATGTCAAACTTCTCTGCCAGGTTAACCCACTCGTCGCTGCCGGGGTCTCGCATGAAACTACCATGCTCGGCAGAGAATCCGATCCGGGGGATGTGGCCGAGATGTTGCTGAAGGAACTCTTGGTCTCGGCCAGAGATGATCCAGACCGCGTTCCTGGGGTCCGATGCAAGCGACTGCAGGTAGCGGATGATGCGCTCCGAAGGAACAGCGGCGCTCGGTTCGCGCACAATGGGCGTGAGGGTGCCGTCGTAGTCAAACATGAACAGGCGCTTCTTGGCGGCGCGGTAACGGGACAGCAAGAGCGCGCGGTCGAGAAGGGGTGTCGATGTGACTGAGTTGGTCTCGCTCAGCGCCGCGTGGAACTTGCGGATGAACTTGGTGATCCACGACTGGACATTCTGCGTCGTGACGTGGGTGTAGAGGCTTGTCTGCATCTTGACGCGCTCCTCCTCAGACATCTCCAGAGCCGCGTTGATCTTTTCCGCCACGCCCGTCAGATCCCAGGGGTTGATGTGGATGGCGT